ATGGTATATTTACTGTACCCCCCCCTTGTTATTTCCGGTATATACCCCCCGGTATATATCCCTTCCCCTGGCATATGCTTAAAACCCTGGTGTATATTATGTTTTCCCATATATTTCCCCCTGTGCATGTTTCCCCCGGTGAGTCTTTGCCCCCCTCCCAGTCTTTACCCCGGTATTCTCCCCCTGGGCCCTATGTTGTGCGTGTTTACCCCGGTGCTATTAACTCCCTTTCCCCGTTTAATTTTTCCCCGGTATTAATCCTCCCCCGGTATATTTCCTCCCCCGGTGCGTTCCCCCCGGTTTTCTCCTCCCCCGGTGCGTACCCCCCGGTATATGTTCCTCCCGGGTTTCCCTCCCCCGGTTACGTTTAATTATCCCCTAATCCCTCCCCCCCTGGCATATCCCCCTCCCCCGGTACATGGCTCCCCTGGTGCGTAACTCCCCCCGGTGTACCCTCCCCCGGTGTATATCTCCCCCGGGTACATACCTCCCTCGGTGCGTGTGTCCACTGGTATATGCCTCTCCCTGGTACATGCCTTCCCCCAGTGCGTACCTCCCCCTGGTATATGCCTCCACTCGGTGTGTACCTCCCACCGGTGCGTGTTTGCCCCGGTGCGTGTTTACCCCGGTGTGTACCTCCCCTGGTACATGCCTTCCCCGGTACGTATCTCCCCTGGCATTCTCCCCTGGTACATACTTCCCCGGTGCGTGTTTACCCCGGTAAGTCTTTGCCCCGGTGCGTACCTCCCCCCCTGGTACATGCCTCCCCCGGTGCGGTGTGTTTACCCCGGTGCATGCTTCCCCCGGTGCGTGTTTACCCTGGTATGTGTTTACCCCTGGTGCATGTTTACACCAGTATATACCTACCCTTGGTGTGTCCCTCTCCCCGGACTGTATCTCCCCCGGTGCATACCTCCCCTAGTGTGTACCTCCCCCGGTGCGTACCTCCCCCGGTGCGTATCTCCTACTAGTATATATTTATTCTTAATACACATTTCACCCCCGGTACACGTGTTAACTGCTATATGCCTTCCCCCAGTGCGTACCCTCCCCTTAGTTCATACCTTCCCTGGTGCGTATCTCCCCTGGGTGTATTTTTTCCCGGTATATATATCCCCCCCGGTGTGTCCTTCCCCCAGTGTATTCTCCCCCAGTGTGTACCTCCCCCGGTGCATACTTTTACCCTGGTGCAAACTTCACCCTGGTGTATACTTTACCCCGGTGCGTGTATTAACTAGTACATACCTTTTCCTAGTATATGCCTTCCTCCGGTGCATACCTCCCCCTGTGTATACCTCCCCCCGGTGCGTGTTCACCCCGGTGTGTTTACCCCGGTGCGTACCTCCCCCGGGTATATGCCTTGCCCTGGTATTCGCCTCCCCCGGTGCGTACCTCCCTCTGGTGTGTATCTCTCCCCGGCACGTGGCTTCCCCCTGGTGTATGCCTCCCCTGGTGTATACCTCCTCCGGTGTGTGCCTCTCCCGGGTGTGTATTACCCCCTGGTGTGTGTATTTCCTTGCTATATATACTCTGCATATGCTAAAAACACTGCCTGTGTATATCCCCTAGTATATATAGTTTGCGTTTATTTACTTTAATATATGCGTCACCCGGTACATGTTTACCCCGGTGCGTACCTCCCCTGGTATATACCTCCCCTAGTGCGTACCTCCCCCGGTGTGTATCTTCCCCGGCACGTGGCTCCCTCTGGTGTATGTCTCCCCGGTGTATACCTCCTCCGGTATGTGCCCTCCCGGGTGTGTATTACCCCCAGTGTGTGTATTTCCTTGCTATATATACTCTGTATATGCTTAAAACACTGCCTGTGTATATTCCCTGGTATATATAGTTTGCGTTTATTCACTTTAATATATGCGTCACCCGGTACATGTTTACCCCGGTTTATGTTTACCCCGGTGCGTGTTTGCCCCGGTGCGTGTTTGCCCTGGTGTGTACCTCCCCCCTGGTACATGCCTCCCCGGTGCGTGTTTACCCCGGTGCGTGTTTGCCCCGGTGCGTACCTCCCCGGTGCGTACCTCCCCGGTGCGTACCTCCCCGGTGCGTACCCCCCCCGGTGCGTACCTCCCCCCGGTGCGTATCTCCCCCAGTGTGTACCTCGCGCTGGTGTATACTTTACCCCGGTGCGTTTTACCCCGGTGCGTACCTCCCCTGGTACATGCCTCCCCGGTGTGTGTTTGCCCCGGTGCGTCTTTACCCCGGTGCGTACCTCCCCTGGTATATGCCTCCCCCGGTGCGTGTTTGCCCCGGTGCGTCTTTTACCCCGGTGCGTGTTTACCCTGGTATGTGTTTACCCCGGTGTATACCTCCCCCAGTATATATCCTTTCCTGGTACATATATCCCCCCGGTGCGTCCCCCCCGGTGCGTATCTCCCCCAGTGTATATTCTTTTCCCGATACATGTCCCCCCCGGTGCGTCCTCCCCCTGGTATATAGCTCCTGCTAGTGTGTATCTCCCCCAGTTCGTGTGTTTACTAGTATATACCTACCCCTGGTACATGCCTCCCCTTGGTGCATGCCTGCCCCGGTGCGTATCTCCCCCGGTGTGTGTATCTGCCCCTGGTATGTATTTCCCCCGGCACATGGCTCCCCCTGGTATATGCCTCCCCTGGTACGTGGCTCCCCCCTGGTGCGCACCTCCCCCGGTGTGTGTGTCTCTCCCCGGTGTGTATATCTCCCCTGTGTATATACCTCCCCTTAGTATATATCTCCCCCGGTGCATACCTGCCCCTGGTGCGTACCTCCCCTGGTATATATATTTTTCCCGGTATATATATCCCCCGGTGCGTGTTTACCCTGGTGCGTGTTTATCCCGGTACGTGTTTACCTTGGTACATGCTTTCCCCGGTGCGTACCTCCCCCTGGTATATACTCTCCCCGGTGCGTACCTCCCACCGGTGTATACCCTCCTTGGTACGTATTTCACCCCGGTACACGTGTTAACTGCTATATGCCTCCCCTAGTGCGTACCTCCCCCGGGTATATGCCTTGCCCTGGTATACACCTCCCCGGTGCGTACCTCCCCTGGTACATGCCTTCCCCGGTGTGTACCTTCCCTCGGTGCATATCTCCCCTGTTGTGTGTGTACCCTAGTATATATATATTCCCTGGCATATATAATTTTAGTATATATATCCCCTGTCCCCTAGTACATGCGTCCCCTGGTATATATATCCCTGGTGTATATACTTAGCATGTGCTCCCTTTACTTTATATACACCCCCTGCGTATATATATTTTACGTGTGCTTTTTCTAATACATGCCTTTTTTATACTTTTATACCTTCCTCTAGTATATATTTTTACTACTATATACCTCCCCCAGCGCATACCTTCCCCCAGTGCGTACCTCTCCCCGGTGCGTATTTTTCCTGGTATATATCTCCCCGCGGTGCATACCTGCCCCTGGTATGTACCTCCCCCGGTGCGTGTGCCTCCCCCGGTGTGTGTGCCTCCCCTGGTATATATCTCCCCCGGTACATGGCTCCCCTGGTACGTAACTCCCCCCGGTGCGTACCTCCCCTGGTACGTGGCTCCCGCTGGTGCGTATATCTCTGCGGTGACTATGTTCCCCTAATACATATTTACACTAGTACATGCCTCCCCCGGTGTACATACCTCCCCCCGGTGTGTATACCTCCCCCGGTGTGCATACCTCCCCCGGTGTGTATACATCCCCTTGGTGTGTTACCTCCCCACAGTGTGTGTACCTCCTCCTAGTATACACATATCCCCCCGCTGCATATCTACCCCCAGTGTATATCTCCCCGGGTATATACCCCCTCGGTGCGTGTGTTTACTAGTATATACCCTCCCTGGTATATGCCTTCCACCGGTGCGTACCTCCCCCTGGTATATGCCTCCCCCGGTGCGTACCTTCCACCAGTGCGTGTTTACCCTGGTGCGTCTTTGCCCTGGTGTGTGTTTACCCCGGTGCGCCTTTGCCCTAGTACATGCCTTCCCCGGGTGTGTACCTCCCCCGGTGCGTACCTCCCCTGATACATACCTCCCCCCGGTGCGTACCTCCCCCGGTGCGTACCTCCCCTGGTCCGTGCCTTCTCCCGGTGCATGCCTTCTCCCGGTGCATACCTCCACCTAGTATATATACTTTGCGTTTGTTTACTTTAATATATGCGTCCCCTGATATATATTTGCCCCGGTGCGTGTTTACCCCGGTGCGTGTTTGCCCTGGTGTGTGTTTACCCCGGTGTGTTTTTGCCCCGGTACGTACCTCCCCTGGTACATGCCTCCCCATTGCATGTTTGCCCCGGTGCGTGTTTGCCCTGGTGCGTCTTTGCCCCGGTGCGTGTTTCCCCGGTGCGTGTTTACCCCGGTACATGCCTTCCCCGGTGCGTACCTCCCCCGGTGCGTACCTCCCCCGGTGCGTGCCTCCTCCTGGTGCATGCCTTCTCCCGGTGCGTACCTCCCCTAGTATATATCCTTTTACGGTACATGCTCTCGCGGTGCGTACCTCCCCCTAGTATGTATCCTTTCCTGGTATATTTATCCCCCCAGTGCGTCCTTCCCCGGTGCGTACCTTCTCTTGGTTCCCTGGTATATACCTCTGCCTAGTACGTGTGTCCACCGCTGTTTATATCCCTATATTATATATGCTCTGCATGTGCTCCTATATTATATACACTTATTAGTCTAAATAACAATTATAAATATATTACTGTTCTTGCTACACTGTATACTAACTAGTTATACCACAAACCCCGTGGATCCCCTCCAATTCTTTGCAGATCTGCCATAGCCAGCAAAATAATGCGAATAACTGGCTGTGCTGGCCTTTAGCTCCCTCCGTGGCCTGCCCCAAAACTGCAACACTTGCGTGGTATTGTTTACGTCCACCCCGTGCTGCTGCAACCGGCGCTGCCATAGTGGCTGGATCTGCTCCTCCCACGGGCCGTACGGTATTACAGCCGTCATGGGGACCAATATATCCTTATATACACACTCGGTTTGTGTTGGATGGCCATCTAGTACCTCCCATCGTCGACAGATCGTCTGCGGCATATAACAGCGGTAACAAGCGGTATATCTGGCGAATAGAATCTTATGCTGGCGAACCAGATTAACCCATGCCTTGGCTTTATCGCTTTTGGGCCCACGGCAAAAGTATAACTCGTGTTTATTCCGTTCCCGACCCGCAATAGTGCAAATATAGCACTTTTTTTCTGCCACAGCGCTATCTCCTGCTCAATGGTTTCCTCGTCCAACCACTGCCGAGCATCTTGCGCCTGGTGTTGAATATGGGGCGCTGCATAGCGCTGGTCTTGCACACGTTGGCGCTGGCGTTCGGCGATACTAACCGTGGGCGTGGGATTGGGGGCGATATTTTGCGTGCTCTGCGGTATAACATGCGATATTACTTGAGTTTCAAATAATTCTGTACTGTCATGGGATTGGGACCGGCGTGTGGGATTTGGCGCGATATTCTGCGTGCTCTGCGGTATAATATGCGATAATTGAAATAATTCGCCACTACCATGGGAATGGGGACTGCCCGTAGCGCTAATCTCGCGTGGTGGGCTTGTCGTGCTGGCGAGATCGTCCATGCGGGTGTCCGGGGAATATCTGTCCGGGGACATGCAAACCGACTCCTGCGCGAGCTAATCAGTGTCACAGCCATCACATAGTGCCTCCGTGGAATCAATATCCTGACAGTATCGGCGCGTATAGCCATTTACTGTGTCAAGGGCTAAACCTCTATAACCTAATAACTAGGGTGGATACAAAAGGAATCGTCGAAGAGGAAAGAGAAGAGGAAACAGCGATGAGACGATTGCGAAGTAAGGGGGAAGTCACATGATAGAGTGTACTAATCAATATACTAATCATGTGGCAGGCGAGGAGAAAGGAAACACGAGGGCTGAGGGCCCGAGTAGGCTGAGGGGCTCTAGCCCCTTACACTACTCCCCCCTTCCCTATATAAGGCCTCCGAAGGAGGCCTAATAGCGAGGCGGGTTGCTGGCGCGGGCTGTAAGCTTTTTCGGAGGTTTCTCGGAAGTATCAGACAAAGTAGAGCGGGCATCGCAGTCTGCGATCCAATGATCATTAGAACCGCAGTAAAGGCATAAATTATTCGCAAGTCGGAAACGGCGGCGGTCAGAGGTGGTGGATTCATGAGAAGAATCAGATAAAACAGGCGAAGCAGCTCGGGCTACTCTCACAGAGCCAACATGAACAGGATTGGGGTTTATTTTAACTGAGTTGACTCGGACCGGATCAGTATCCATTGGGTCTGTATTCGGGGTCAAAGCTGGTTTCGGGTCTGATTTTGGACTAGGACGGGTACGCCGATCGGTACTCTGGACAAGTTCAATATATTCATTATAGGGAAGATCAAAGAGAGAATTATTCGAGTCTTCTAGTATTCGACGGAGATTAGGCCGTAGCCCCCGGTGTAGCGTGGTAACACGTGATATATCTGGCCATGAGTTTACATTGGCTTCATATGAAAGTCGTTCAAAACGAGCAAGGTAGGCGATAAGCGATTCGTCATCCCTCTGTTGTATAGAAGTAAAGCGCTGAATAGCCTCCTGCTGTTCCCGTGGGTTATGGCATAGACGCTGAAAAAGAGAAAATAACTTCAGGATCCCATAGCTGGTTTTCTTCGGCAGATTGGCGGAGGTGCAGGACAGAAGCTTGCTGAGACTGTTCTAGTCAATCCCCATACATAGTCAAAAGCATCAGCTCCTACGAGCTGGTCTGATCGAAGTTTTGCTTTAATTGACGGGAGCCATGTGCGAAGCGTGTATGGTTTACCGTTAAAGCGAGGCGGATCTGGCAGGCGGGATCTGGGTGTCTGGACGGAAAGAAGCTGCGTACGAAGCTGGTGGACATCTGTTCGGGAAGCATCAAGGTCCGCACGTAGTTGCTGTATTTCATTACGCTGGTTTTGAATATCAAGGCGCTGGTTTTGGAGCTCTTGCTGGAGCTGCTGCACAAGCAGGAGGAGTGGATTCGGGTCGGACATCGTAAAGATATTCCCATAGACTGGCGGACAGGCAGGCAAGCGGGCGGGCGAGCAGGCAGGCAGGCGAGCGGGCGGACAAGCGGGCAGGCGAGCGGGCAGACAGGCAGACAAGGACGATTCCTAATGTCAAGGGCTAAACCTCTATAACCTAATAACTAGGGTGGATACAAAAGGAATCGTCGAAGAGGAAAGAGAAGAGGAAACAGCGATGAGACGATTGCGAAGTAAGGGGGGAAGTCACATGATAGAGTGTACTAATCAATATACTAATCATGTGGCAGGCGAGGAGAAAGGAAACACGAGGGCTGAGGGCCCGAGTAGGCTGAGGGGCTCTAGCCCCTTACAGCTGGTCGACCATGGTCCACGGGCGCGGTGGTCCAGAAGCGCAGGTATTGGCTGGATTGGAACCAGGATTGGCCTTGCACGCGGCGAGGCGCCCACGGAAGGCCGTTAGCACGATGTGCAGCAACCTGGTATCTTTTACTTATTTGCTGAGACCGGGTAAGATGCCCGCAGTGACTGCATTCCCACAGATCGTGAAGCTCAAGCTCTGGAATCCGGGAGGAGCTGTTTGGAAGAGGCGAGAATTTATTATGGCTGGATCGGGGGTAACATCGCGAGGGATCTAACGCAGGTGTCGCGCTCGATCCGCAATAGTCTGTAGCTAATGGACATCGGAAAGATAACGCTTTTTAGCTGTCTGGTTATAGCAATTTTGCACCCAATACACACTATACAATTATATTCCTTCAGGTAGGTCAACAAAGGCGGTGGTTGAGACCCGTCGGGAAAGGCCACGGAAGTCCTGCGAGTTGCCATAATATCCAAACAGCAGTGAGTAAAAAAAAAAATAAAGACAGTGTTATATTCTCCTTACATTAAATGTAGACTGTAAGGAACAGGCAGGTGGGTTTTTTTTTTTTTTTTTTTTTGTTTGGGGATCGAATCTCAGGGGGGGCAGAATTTTAGGGGGTTGGTCTTAAGATTTCGTCTGTGGGGAAAATAATGGACAGATCACATTTTCCGAGTTGCTGCTGGAAAGGGGTTTGAGAAGAAGATACGGTTCGGAACTGTACAGGAGTAGGGAATGTCTTACTCGGCGCAGTGGATTTTCGCCAGTCTTGAGATTGTGGATTGGAGGCAAAGTTGAACCTCTGTGTACCATACGGTCGCATTGGTCGGCTGGTTTGTTATATATATATATGTAGGGGTTCGATGACTGGATGCCCGACGCCAAGCCGGCTGAAGGCTCTCATGTTGGTTCGTTATATATATATATATTGGATTGAAGAACCGAAAGTATACTAACAAGCCAGTCAAGGGTCTTTCGCTACGACATCAGCTAGCCTAAGGATCGTGTGTAACAGATCCTTTAGATTCTGCAGTATATCTCGACATTGACTTACAACGGAGAGCTACCGAGGATCTGATTGATGATTCCAGAGCATCGTCTCCACAGGACTCAGGCGGACTACAAGCAGGCAATGACCACACGGGTCCAAAACGCAAAGATAGACAAATCGACACAAACGATAACTTGAAGTAAAAGCAAGGCCTATCGAGTATATATACTTAAGAGGAGATAAAGCACTGACGAGTTAATATGGTAACCAAGTTTCTCCGTAGTGAATGGCTTGCATTGAACGCGAGGGACTAAATGGAGCCGTCTAACTGCATGGTAATAGGTGTTATATATCTTCGTCCCCATCCAATCCTTCACTGTGTTGTGTTGTGTTCTGGATAGGAGATGTCGTAGCACTGAATAAAAGACAATGCAGTAAGTGCAGAACATCTGTCCAGCAAATCAGCGCAATACTCCAGCGCTAGATTGCTGAAAAAGTAACTTATCCGTGCAGGGCTGAGACGGGCCACTCCAAGAGCGCTCTTTTGACTTACTCTCCATGGCATGGGCCTGTTCTGCGCCGGCACCTTAGTCGGGGAGCATCCCGGGATCGGGCGTCATATGTTGCCCAAACAATCCCTGTTTGTATTATAGTGGAGGACAGGGTGGTTTTCAACAAAAATTACGAAAATTACACCACGTAATTAGAGTCTCTAACGACCATAAAAATCCCAATACGGTATCAACATTAATTAGCAGAAGAATTCAATACAATAATAACTAATCGATATAAATCAACATGGTGTTGTTGCAATTTGTTGAATTGTGTCGATTTGTATCGACTTGTTAAAAACCACCCTGGTGGAGGAACTAGAGGGACTGGCATGTGGCATTTGTATGGATAACGGTTATCTTAAGTCCTCGTTCGAAGAGGGAATAAACAATCAACAACCTTCTTACAAACCACGGAGCGCACCTGCGTAAGGGGAATGTTGTCTTCTCTCCTGCCAGGCTGAGCTGTCTCAGAGTGTCTCCTTGACCTACTCCTTCGGAGTTCTACCATTGCCCTCTTATTCAGTATCGCTGCGTACATACCGGAATGGTTGGGCGCAGTCGCGATCGGGTTGCAGTGCTGAGTGGTCGGTAACCGGAGTTATAAGAGATAATCGGAAACCGGGGCGAAAATGTTACCGAATCAACGATCCGGATCGAAAAACATTATCGACCGACGATGGGACCCGGGGTGGGTGGTATCGGGACGGCTCGGGAACTCCTGTTGGCGGACGATGGGACGGGAGCCGGTGTTGGTGGTGTCGGGACGGGCTCCGTTCGGCATTGGACGGTCGACGGGGATTGTACGGGGTGGGGCGGGTCGACAGTCTACGGGGACTGTATGGGGGACGGGTCTTACGTCAGCGACACACAGCGTACGTGGAGTGTCCGGGGAAGTGCGCAACCGGACCTCTGCGGGCCGCCGTATTCCGCGGGCAAAGGCCCGTAGAGTGTAGGGACTATCTATATACAGAGTTAATTGGGAGATTGACCAAGAGCTTGCCTCAGGATCGGACCACGAAATCCTGCTTTATTCTGTTGAAGTGAAAACGCAAGAAATCGCAAACCCCTGGCTAGTTTACCATATAACCTGAAAAAGGCGAATTGGGCGCTATTTAGCGAAAAACTCCTTAAGCTAGACCAAGAATTTAGACAGGGAAGCTTAAATAGTGACATAGAGCTAGAAACTGCAGCTCTAAATCTCCAACAAATAATACAGATGGCTGCAGATACAAGTATTCCAAGAAGAAAACCATCTGCCCAGTCAAAAGCATGGTGGTCAGAGGAACTCAAAAACTGAGAAAACAGCTTGGAAAAGCTAGAAAGCTTTGGAAAAATAACCCTTGTACAGAGCTCTACGAGAATCTTTTAGAGATTAAAAATCAATATTTCCAGGAGATCAAGCAAGCTAAATCAGCATGCTGGAATAAATTCCTGGAAGAAGCTCGGAATAAGGAGATTTTTAAAGCTTTTAGCTATACTAAAAAAGAGATCTATCCAAAACTGCCCATCTTGACCTATTCTGTGGGAAATCAAGAAAAGCAAGCAATCTCTTTTCAAGATAAATGCCATGCATTTCTTTCCACCTTGTTCCAAAAACCCCGGAGGCTGAGCCCATTGAGTGGCCAACCAACCAGGCAGAATCAACCAACTGGCCAGAAACCAGCGAAAATGAAGTATACACTGCTATTTTTAGTAGTTCTACTAAAAGGCTCCGGGACCCGATGACATTTTATTTTTAATTATTCAAAAGGCTTACCAAAACATTGCTCCAAGATTCCACGAGCTTTATAAAGCCTTAATTAAAAATGGTTATCATCCCAGATGCTGGAAAACTGCCAAAGGGGTTATCCTTAAAAATCGGCGTCTGCCAAAGGGATTACTCCAAGCCAAAGGCCTACAGAGTTATTTCCCTGCTTAACTGCCTAGGCAAGGTAGTAGAGAAGATTATTGCAACTAGGCTATCTTATCTAGCTGAACTCCCGCAATCAATCCTTTACCATGACCAAATGGGGGGAAGAAAAAGAAAATCAGCAATTAATATAGCACTATCCTTAGTCCACGACATAGAGGTGGCAAAACATGATAAAATGGTTACTACAGCTCTTTTTTATAGATGTAAAAGGAGCTTTCGACTATGTATCCACCAACCAGCTACTTAGAATATGCCTAAAACTAGGTCTTCCACATAACCTGATCCAGTGGATCAAATCCTTTATGTCGGACAGGAAAGTGTTCCTAGCTTTTGACGGTGAAACCAGCAACGAGACCCCAGTGCAAGTAGGGATCCCCAGGGATCACCTATATCACCCATCTTGTTCCTCATATATATTAGAGAGCTCTTTCAGCTTGAAATGTATGAGGAACTAGATAGTGATACAAGGAAAGCCTTTGAAAATACCCGAAAGCCTAGCTATATGGATGATATATGCCTCACTATTAGCTCTAATAGCCTAGAGAATAACTGCAGGCAAATAGAGCTGGTAGCCAACGCCATGTTTAAAAAGGAGCCAAAGACCATATCCAGTTTGACCAGGATAAAATAGAGCTTATTCACTTTAGCTCTAAACAACCAGACCAAGAAAACCAAGACACCCAGGTTAAACTAGATAATAATATCATAGTTAAACCAAGCCCTATGGTAAAATGGCTAGGAATCTACTTAGATTCTAAACTCCTTTTCAAGGAACATGTCCAATTTAGAGTTGCATTTGCAACCCGAACATTTCACTAAATAGTGAGGCTTTCAAATACAGAAAGGGGCTAAGTTTTCAAGCCATGAGACAACTTTATATTGCTTGTGTTTCCTCCATTGCAGATTATGGAGTCCCTTTATGGTGGAAAGGCCAACAGTATTTGGTAGACCACTACCAAAAACTGCAAAACACAGCTCTAAGAAAGATTCTAGGGACTTTTAAAACATCGCCTGTACAGGCCATGGAAATAGAAGTATCCCTACCCCCTCCGTTGGTTAGATTTAATAAAATCTGCAGAAACTACGTACTTAGAACTGCTTATTTTATAAAATCCCATGCAATTTAAAGCAGACTCCCCACCACATTTATGCTAAACCCGGGGAATTCTCCATTAACCAATCAAGGTTTTGGATTGGAACGAGAAACCTAGATTACTAGATGCAGAAGACCCTGAATACCACCCTAGAAAGAGAAAAGAGAAAATACCTAGCCAGTTAATCCGACTGCTAGCACTATTCTCCTTTAAGACGTGGAAAGGCACCTTTCAGACGCTAGATCAAACCCTACCGCCCTGGTCCCAACCGTTAAACCAAGTAGTAGATATATTTATATCTAGCAAACCAAAAGAGCAAGCAGCCCAGGAACACAAGACGCTAATATCTCAATGGCTTGCTAATAGGGATAACCACAAAATTATCTTCTATTCAGATGGATCCCAGCTGCAGAGTGGTCAAAACGGAGCAGGAATTTTCCTCCTAGAGAATAATCCTCAAAATCAAAAGGTTTGGGCGTGGAATCTAGGTCATGAATACGAGGTCTACGATGCGGAGTTATTTGCTATCCAAAAGTATTAAAACAAGCATTTAAGGCTATTCAAATTCCAACTTTAGATATCTACATCTTTTCGGACAGTCAAGCAGCCCTAAAAAGGCTTTAATCAGCAGACACCAGCTATGAACCATACCAAAGAATCTTTAAATAGGCAACTAGAATTAAGGAAAAGAATATTAATATTCATATCTAATGGGTTCCAGGCCATCAGGGAATTTTTGGTAATGCCAAAGCTGACGAAGCAGCGAAATACAGCGCAGAATGGACAAGTAAATATTATAAATGTCCTATTTCAGTTAGCCATCTCAAACAAGAGCTCAAAGCGAAATGCCTTGAGGATTGGGATAAAGCATGGGAAAATGCTAGGAAAAGTGATTAATATAGGGGCTTTAATTCCATAGCTTCATGGAAACCAAGCCCCTAAAGCTTCCCAAGCAGACCTGGTCAACCATTATCCAGCTAAAGCTAGGGCATGGGTATTTTAGATCCTATCTAGTTCGAACACCTAACTACAATAGCGATATATGCACATCGTGCTGCAGCAACAAGCGCCAAACTCCGCACCACCTACTTTTTCAGTGCCAGGCATTTAGGGATATTAGAAAAGGGTCTATAGAGACCCTAGACAAAAAAGACCGAAATCTGCCTTATCTGTTTACAAAGAAAGCAGGGCAAGAGCAACTGGTTAAATTCTTAAAGGAAACCGGGATCGCCACTAGAAAGTGGCTCCTGGATCCTTAAAACAAAAATGTCAAAAACAATAGAAAAAAAGGAAAACAGAGCAAAAACAGTTAAAAGAGTTGGAATTTCACATGGTTTAACCCCTTTTATAAGGTCCCCCCCACTCCTAGAATGTTATACTGCTTATTCATATTTGATTTTACCCACTATGTACGTATCTGTTTGTTAGTTCAAATCCTACCACCCAGGGGTGGTAGGTAGAGCATGCATAGTCTCTGACTGAAAAATGCTCTATAATATGGAAGAATAATAATAATAATAATAATAATAAGAAACCTGGGCAATTCTTCGGGTTCAGCTGGAGGTGAAATATAATTGGATCAAGATCAGCAGCGAGAAAGTCGAGCTAGGGGCCGAGATCTGGCAGCCGAAAAACCACCTTCAGCCAGCTGGTTCACTCGAACAAGCCATTTTGCGGGCGGATAATACAAATAACAGGGGCCCGAAGTTAACCCCAACCTATTCCCACCACCAGGTGCGCTGTGTCTCTTCGTAGGCTATTCACTCTATCTTCCTTCCGATCAGCGTAACCCGCAACCTCTCGGGCTTACGCACGACCCGTGCTTGACCCCGCAGTATTCCCAGCCTTGTGTGTATGGAGCTCGCTCCTGTTGTCAATTGCGCTGCCCTACGAGTCTATTGAGCTCCACAGTTAATGAGTCAATCCACACAGATGGTTGAGACTCGGAAACACCATTGCTGGGAGTGTCGCCGGCGCTCCTTGGTCTGCGACTTTGGGGTTCCGGGCTGTAAGCGATGTGCAGCATCCGGAGTCGATTGCCCTGGGTACAGCAAAACACCACCTTTACGAATAAGGTGGCTGGCGCCCGGTCAGGTCAATGTACGAACAGTCAAAGACACCCCGAAGAATCGCCAGAAGGATGGCAAAGATGAGCACAGAAGTGCCAGCTCAGCGTCATCCAAGGATAGCCCGACGCCGTCAGAAGAAACGCGGAAATTGGTGATTCCTCGCTACGAAATGAAAACGGAAGCTCATGCGCAAGTAGAATCCTTCGAGTACTGTGCGTCAAGCGCATCAGATAAACTGGTTTATAAAAAGCTGACTTCTGGGATAGTCAATACTTGTATCTTCCCTATCCAAGCCCAGGTTCTCAGTTTGGGCACCAATATTAATGTTTATAAAATTCCACTGCCAATGTTTCAGATAGGTCTCAGAGCCCCCGACCATATCCGACTTGGTTTGATTTGTTCCACCCTCAGTCACCGAATGAGCCAAACAGTCAATGACCCTAGCTCAAAGGCGCTGGCAAAGACCTTCTATTATTACCGAGGTCTCATGATTCGCTCGTTGAATGAGGATCTCAGCGTGGTCAAAAAGCGAACAAGTGATATAGTTCTTGCTGGAATTCTCACCCTTCTTTTTGCGGATGTGAGTTTGTGCTCTTTCATCTTTCGAATTGCTACGCGAAATCACTTTACTAATAGCAACGCTCCACAAAGATCCAGCAAGGAATTTCCCAGAGCTGGCGATTTCATATAGAGGCAGTTCGCAGACTGTTAGTGGTGCGTGGTGGCATGCACTCGGTAGCTGTATCCCATGGTGTGCTGCCCATGATTCTTTGCTTTGTCTAGTAAGTGATCATCAAGAGCCCCTTGGCCCACAAATGGCCATAATTCTGAAGCTTTTATAGTCTGGCTGTTACTGCAGACACTTCATCCCCTGCATCAGATTTGCTCATCGAGACTTTGCCCATTGAGGAGCTGTATTTGCTGCTGGGAAAATATGGAGGCAACGGATATGCCTTCCAGATGTGTCCTACTCCTCTCTTCGTTGAGATAGCCAAGATCAACCATCTTCGAGCTCGAGCTTCAAAAGCCGGTATTATTGGAGATCTTGATCTTCAGGAAGAAGCCTGTGAAATCCTGCGCCGCGTTTATGACTTCTCGCCCGTCGAGTGGACCAAGGCAAACGGGCCTTTGGAAGAAGCCAAAATATTCTTTTTCAACATTCTACAGAAAGCAGTTGCCCTGTATTGCATGTCATCGTTGCAAAATCTCTGTCTCTTTCCCCAAGGCTCGCCATTAAGCAACTCTCGCTACACCGAGAGAGAACTTTTATACGGACTGCTTAGTCAGGCTTTTGGGCCGCTGTCATCTTTAGGGTTGAAAGGATACTTGCTCTGGCCCACCATGGTTCTTGGCGTGGAAGCAGTAGATGGCGGCGCAGTCATGCGTTTTTTTGTTCAGAGAAGTTTGATCGAACTAAGCGTTTCCAGAGGCACATATAGCCCTCTTGCGGCAAAGGAAGTTCTCGAAAGCTTCTGGGCCTCAGACAAGACCGGATGGGATGCTTGCTTCGATCAGCCATATATGTTCACGACAGTCCTTACGGTGAATCGAGGTCAAATGGTTAAGTGACCTCATTAAAATCAAGCTGAAAATTTCATTTATTGCCAGGGGGAGAAATATACTCTTTTATCAAGGGTGGCGAGGACATTATAGACAGTCTTTACTATGAATGTTATATTCCATGAATATGCTGGCTATCGAAAAACGCTTCTCAAGTTCCTTTGGATCATGCCGTAAGTCAATATATCTGTTCAGACAGGGAACCGCTCAACAAAGACAGACCACACTTTGTTTTTGAAAGTGATATTGTCAACCAAGAAAAATACAGTATCATGGCATCTTTGTAGTGCAGCGGTATTGGCCGACATTATCTCATAGTTCCCTTTTATATGCTACTAACTTTGACAGAACACACAGGGATCAGTAACCACCATCTCTCATACAATCCAGCTCTGAGCTATCAGATCACTCATGGATCTGTTTAAATCTTGTCGGACCTGTCTGGTTGCAATTTCCGTAGTTGTCGAACCCAAATTTTGTTTAACAGGATTTGCACTAACTTATTGGCCTCGTCTGCGTATTTATCAAGGCAAGTACGACATAAAAGTAAAGTGCCTCTTGATAAGGCCGGGGTCAAAACCAATGGAGTACGATTGTACTCTGCCCTTCCTTATCAACACATGATTCGATTTGATTCGCGCGGCTTTCGAGGCCCTAGGCTGCATGTCTCACGAGAACAGCTTCCTCCCTCTGGCTTAAGCGGTGTCTGCCTCCCCCGCCCTCTCTCGGGTCCAGTATGACCAGTCGCAGTTTGCCAGCCCAGTTTGAGTGTCCTGGGTGTGGATGTGCCTTCTTGTGGCGAAGGGACTTGCAAGAAATCCAATGCTGCGTATGCATCAACAGTAGTAGGCAAGTGGTGGTCACTCCGGAGAGCAACTGGACGCTCTTACCCCAGAAAAACTTCAGGATATCGGTCATACCGGTAGTATTTGGACTTGGAGCTCGGCAATCAACGGTTGGGGGACGCCAGATGCATAGCGTGCCAGAAAGAAGGGACCGAGTGCTGGGTATACTCCAAAGTGGCGCCAACCAGATATGCCACCCGTGTCATACTAGTGCCCGTTGTCAATTCGTTGCCTGCGCCGGTGAATGAGTCTATCAACCCGGAAAAAGAACACCGCATGACCCCTCGCCGTCCTTCTCTGTTGGACGGCTTTTGCCAAAGTATGGTCCTCCACCAGGTGCTGGCAGTATAGGTGTTCAGATATAGGTTTATTGGGGATTTATTGGGTTCGGGTCAAGATCTGGATGTTGGTTGCTCTCCTTCGCGGGCAAGTTTCAACTGGGTATCTATGTAGCCCTGCAGTTTCTGCCACATGACACAACGCGGCCAGATCTCGAGGCGTCCCCAGAACCTTCCAGCTATCACAACTGCCTCTACAGCCAACGACCCAGCGACTGCTATAACGGCTGCTGCCGACAAAAAGATTAAAATTCCTGGTCCCGGAGCCTACTGGGCTACAATCGGTTTGAACTTGCGCGACTCCGATCCGACACCGACGGATCGTACCGACTCTGCCGGAGAAACCGACGGATATTGACGTGCGCGGCACGTTCCGATCCATCCTCCACTCCCGCGGCCTGGAGGGCCGGTCGCTCACATCCAGGTCCAGGTCCTCCTTGTCGAACGCATCGCTGGGGGATCCTTTGAGTCGGGTCACTCCCTCCAGCAACACGCGGGCCTTGGAGCGCAGGTCGACGGCGTCACCGGCCGCACGAAGGATCTCGGAGTGTTGTTTTTTGAACAGATCGCGCTGTTTCGACAGCTCACCGATCTTAATGTCGGTGATGGACTGGAGGGTCTGTGGGAGAGCTCCGGTTGCCGCCATTTTTCTCCTGTGGATCGAGAGGAATGAACAAACTGGGATGGGATGGGGACTCACTCTTTGGCGCAACTGGGGAGATCGTCCTTATAAAGAGAAAAGAGAGAAAAGAGAACGGCCGAGGGAGCGTACTCCGCAATGGAGAGACGGGCGCTAAAATGCCGAGCTCTAGCGGAGATGCAGCCCAACACTAGCTTCCAGATGTCGAACAATGCTCACAGTTTTTCGTGCAGCCACTCTTGATGTTTTTGAGAGACAATACGACACCCATGCAAAATATATGTTCTCATATACATTTCACACTCACATGTGCAACCTCCATTAACACTTGAATACCTACATCGCGGAGTACGATGTATTTTCAGAACCAAAATTTCAGTATCCCCTTGACTGTCAGCACTAGGCATTTTGGTGGTAACGGTCAATACAGCCTTCCTATTGGCTTATGGTGTGAGCGTCAACAGCACCATGACGTAGAGGTACAAAGACAGGATACTGGGACAGGGAATCATGGAGATATTAGGTAGAATATATAATTTCTACAGCCTCGTGTTCCAGGGGAACCGGCATTTCTTGGCTCTTTTAGTCCAGCAGAGTATTCTTCAGGTTGAGGGAGGCTGTGCGGGGGTGTAGTTAATTCACCTGTCACACAATACGGCAAGCCATTACGTCCACTCCGCAACAAAAATAATTTCTCATTTTCTGCCGGCAGAACCATCCCATGTGACTTGCTTGGTTTCACCATATAAATGGCTACTAGTCCTAAGCACCACGTAAAGGTGCAAGTCATGCTTAGGTGTTGTACACAGGGCCCGTACAACTAGGCGTGCAGGTGCTGGTATTAATTCTTGTGCATGTATATAAATTATTATACCTACCTAAAGAAGAATAGGATGATTCTTATCCCCCTCCCCTCCCTTCTCTAGACTGCGGCAAAACCATGGACAACCGCGGATAACCAAAACCGCAACCGCAAATTTGCGGTTTTGGGGCTGATTTAAAAACCGCAAACCGCACTGTGGGCGGTTGCGGTTTTCACTTTGGAGAACCGCGGTTTTTGCGGTTATCCATGGATATGTAAACATTACAAACATGCTGAAACTCGTGACTTTCCAGTGAATGCATAAATTGTGCACTTTTCGCAGTATTTTTGGAGTATCTAGTATGTAATAGATTACCTATATCTCTTAATTTGAAACCTTTAGAATACACTTTTAGACCAAATTCGATTTCTCTTCTAAGTCTCTAATATTACAGCTTATCAATCTCAAATCCCTCAGGTAGCTTAGGCCTCTTCCGAACCCTCCCTGACCGCGCCTGCGTCTTCTCAATTGGCATATCGGGAAGTGGGAGACCATTATCAGCATCATCTATAGCCTCAGAGGTGTTACTTCGGCACCGCTTCCGTTGTACCTGCTTAGTTTGAGCTACAGGCTGCGTGGTAGATAACCCTTCTTCTGCCTCGTTATCAGATTCATCTGTATCATCCTCAGATAAATCCTCTGCTTCGCAACCCTCTTCTTCATTATCACTAATTGGTTCGAGTTCATTAAGCGATGGAACAGGCTGTCTTGTCTGATCAAGCATAGCAGCCTCTCCGACAGAGAGATACTCTTTAATCATCTCTAGCTCGCTTTGTTCAAGATCAAACTTAGATGAGAAGAGATGGAGCATTAGATCTTTAATTGTGCCTGGCTTTAACTGTCCCCGACGATAGTGACAGACATCACGAGCACAATTAAAAGCCGCTCAACACCAGCGCCACTTGCAGGAACTGAGAGGATATCTCGTGCAATCTTTGCAAGGACTGGATACTCGTGCTCATGCTCCTTCCAGAAGACCCGAGGATTACCTTTTGTGAGCCCTATAAAATTAAATTAACTTCAGAATAGTATAGAAATAGAGAATATGTACCTTTTGCCAAATACCGTGTTATTTCATCCTCCGGTTGATCCACTTCAGCTTGTAGAGCTGTCTGTGATTCACATAATAGCTCAAGCTCATTTTCAGCAGGATCAAAGATTGCTTGGTTATCAACCGGTTCTGTTTCCTGGATAACCTGCTGCTGATATCGCTTAAACTCCTTCTGTAAAACCTCCCGGTAATGCTTCATGAAATCGACTTCCTCTCCTTTCTCATTTTTCCTCTCAATCCGCATTATCAAAGTATCGAAGCTTCTTTGATGGACAGAGAATTGTTGCAATCGCATAGACTGTGCCATATGACTCATTGTCTGTTTCAGTGTAGTATTTTGAGAGCTTTTTTTTTTGCTGACTGAAGTGCCTGAAGCATTCTCCTTTTCCATGGGACAGCTTTACGTTTCAGTTTCTTCTCAACGTCATCAAGATGATTAAATAGCCGATTATAGATACTGAAGACATGGTGAACTGTAACATCTCTGGTCTTTGATAATACACTAGTAAAATCAAAGAAAGGCTTAGTGATCAGAAGCAAATATTCAACTTGGCGCCATTCCTCTTCATCTAGCTTAAATTGAATATGTTGATATGTTATACAATACCGATCAAAGACTGATTGTAATTTCCTGGCACGATTAAGCATCAGAAAGGTAGAATTCCAGCGTGTGCGAACATCTTGGATCGGAACAAGCTTAGGCTCAGTAGTTTGAAGGGTAAGAAAAGCTTCCCTGCGCTGTGGACTAGCATTGATAAAGACAGCGAGCTCTCGAATCTAAGGATAATATATATTAGTATAAGTATAAAGAGAGCGCGAAGATATACTTACCTTTTTAAGGTTCCCATAATATTCCTTGTAGGCTGCCGAGAGCTAGTTTGTAGTGACTGTGTACGCGAATCAGACCACTCAGTCTCTGCTTCCTTATTTGTTGGATTTGCTTTTATCTTTCCAAGTAGATCCTTTAGGCTAAGCTGGATAACATGCGCAATACATGGAATTCGGAAGACAGAAGTCCCACTTAGAGCTTGCGATTGAATCATCTCTTGGACACCTACCATCATGGTGTTGTTATTTGACGCATTATCTGTGGTAATTGATAATACACGATTATCAATATTATGTTCCATGAGTATTCGAATCACAGTCTGACTTAAGTGAGCACCGGTATGCGATCCTTGGAGATGCTCAAAACCAAGAAGGACCTCGCAGTAATTCCATTCTTGATCAAGAAAATATCCAGTAATTGCCATAAATGCCTGGGAAAAGGGAGATGTCCAGCAGTCAAGTGCAACTGAGAGATAGCTTCCTTTTGGAAGTTTGCTAAGCACATTTTGTTGCCTTTCCTGGACAGTGTTGTCTAAAAGTCGTCGGATAGTCCGCGCAGAAGGAATATCAAGCCTTGATTCAGAGAGTTGGGCAGCTTCAAGAAGGCCTTTAAACTCTGGGTGTTCAACAATACGAAATGTGGAGACGGGCGGTGGTAATAAAGTTAAGAATTCTTCGCTGGAAAAGATCATTGGTAAAGACCTTTGTTAGTGCACGCGGCTAGATAATACTAATATTAGTAGTCTCTCTCTATATCTTTAAAACAATATTCAAAACGTACTGATTCACGTATTAACTGGTCAATCCCTTGCCTCTTTTTTTTCTAAGCGACATGTACCACCGTTCAGATGTGCTTTAAGTGCAGAGGTTCCCGTACGCTTATAACCTGGATGAGTAAGGGTTGCAAAACACCGCTTACACATAACCTTGGGCTCGCCAGTCTTCTCGTGTGCAACCTGTTCAAAATGCTCCCAAAGCACTGATGATTTTTTTCCCATCCCAATGTAAGCTATCTCGGCATTGAGAGTTCAATCCAAACGTAGTTGTTAACCACCATTCCACGAATTGTTTCCGGGAGTCATCCATCTCAGGTTTAGTAGCATAGAGAATCCAGAACTTTCGAAGTGTAGATCCGACACGTTCAAGTGACTTCGGCGCATAAGAAAATCGCGGAGGGGAGTAAAAGGAATAGAAGTCACAGTTGGTTGACTGCTTGGTAAATCAGGAAGGTCATCTGATTGAAGAAGATCGGGATTGATAAAGGAATCAGAATAAAAGGATACTTGGGACTGAGACATTGTCGTAAGTTCCTAAAGATTAGAAACTAGAAATAATAAAGAGACATCAGGAGAAGAGAAAGGAGAGGGACTTACAGGAATTCCCCTATTATTTAGGAGATAAACAGGTCGCAACCGCGAGTTCGACCTGTACAAAACTATACTCTATGTTAATTGGGTGACTAGCGATGGTAGTGCGGTTTTAATGCGGTTTTAACGCGGTTATCTTGCGGTTATCATGGATAACCACAAGATAACCGCAATGGAAAAAAATCACCAAATTCAAGCAATTTGAAATAGAAACCTGGTTTCTCCTGAATTTTTAAGTAAATATACTAATTTAAAGTAAAATATAAGTATAATAGGCTCTTCTGTATTCTTTAGTAATAATTTTTATCTATAATAGCCTGATTTAGTCAACCTACGAAATCTTATAAAGTTCATTCAGTGAGTGTACTAACTTCTGTTTGTATAAAATATATATTTTACAACAACATCCTGATTTCCTTAGTAATCTTAAAATCTCAGACAAACACCACTTACTAGCTACGTAAAATAAGAGGCGATATATCAATATTCGGCTCGTTATTTAAGAATAAGGATCAAGGTGAGCGGTAAAGTAGATATCTATATATATTACCATGCTCTATCGCCCTCCCACGACCAAATATAGAAGATAAAATAAGCAAGAAACTGCACAAACCAACATTGCAAACTAATGCTACAATAACTCATGCGTTGCAAGGAAGCAATATTACTTGCTGACTTTGGTGAATAGTGATGCTACGATCGGGCCAGGACCTCACGGCAGTGATATAATGCCATGTACCTTCTTGGTTACTTATAATATACCAATGGTCTAGTGGTAATGCATTAGATCTAGTAATCTAGAGGTACTGGGTTCGATTCCTAGTAGGTGCTTGTGTCTATATTAGACCATCTGTACTGCAGCTGGCTAATATAGACTCGTCCAGTGCCTAATCCTATGGAGGACCTTTAGATATTTTTATTATTTTACATGCTTTTATTTAACTTTTAGGGCAAACAAACATACTTTAACAGGGGCGAAATGCCTTGCTATCTAATAACTAGATATAACAAAGAGGAATCGTTAAGATAAAGAAAGTAAAGGGGAAGAATTGTGTGTTCTTATACTACAAGAGGTTATATAACTGCAATAAGCGGACCAATCATGTGCGCCAATTGCAGCGAAGGCGAATAGGAGTAATATACGGGCGTGGCCTGCAACACATTCCTTGTCTTTAAGTTTTCGGAATAGCTTATTATCGTACACTCCCAGGAGCATATTGCCTGGGTACACGTATATAAAACGTTAGAGGAGCTACAACCAATAGGGGCAATAGGGACAGTAGGGACAATAAGAACAATTGGCCTGAGAGGTTAACCGGGCTCACTGTATTAACCAGAACAGGTGTATTTTCAAATTAAAAACAAGAGTATGTAAGCTGCATAAGTGTCACCTGATATGCTAGAATTGGTTAAAGAAGCGAGAGTTATGCTAGTGCGGTTTTCATGCGGTTATCCATGGGTAACCGTGGTTAAACCACAAATCTGCGGTTGCGGTTGCGGTTTTCAAAGTGATATCCAAAACCGCAAATCTGCGGTTGTGGTTTTGACTATGATACCCAAAACCGCGGTTTTGCCGCAGTCTACCCTTCTCCTCCTTGTTGTCTGATAGAGTAATCGGATTCTCCTGTTTATCTTCTTCAGCGTCCAAATTAATTGGATGCTGCTGAGAGGAACCGATTGCCTGCTGATGCTCTCCTCCAGTACCCAGGCCAACAGCCCGCTCTTGTAGTCTATCCAGTGGATATGCTACGGACCGCCAGAGCTTATCCCGTATAGTACAGCGGGCAGCCAGATCCGGCCATTTGCAGTTGGCGCATGTACCACTGAATACACCTGGTACATAGCAACATTTGGTAAATAGACGCATACCTTGTGGAGTGCGGCATCTCTCACAAGGCACTGGCAGTGTCCGCCCACGGGATTGAATAAGCAAGGCATTAATATACGACGGACGATGCTGCATAAGATAACAAGGAGTTATCCTGCCGCGGATAAATAAATGTCTTGCCCTGGAAGGGCCAGCAGCTGCTGACCTATATCAGTATGTACGTAGTTGGCCAAGAGATTGGACTGGCTGTTGGCAAGACTGGATTCTGTCCAGCAGGCAGGCTCTCGTACATATGTGAAACCAGCCATCCAATGTAAAGCTGGAGGGGGAGGGGGGACAGCGACGGTTGTTATTATTAAACCTATATAAAGCATTAAAATTAGCCAACAAAATCTTGTCCGATTATTATAAAAATTTAAAGAAACACTTATTATGCTAAGTTTAATATCTCGCCAAGTTTTATGTACGTACGACATTCTGGTGGGGGTAAAAAGGGGGTAAAGGTGGTAGAGGTAGTAATTGTAGTGGGATTATGTAGAAAGTGAGAGAATTTGGAGGTCTTAAAATTCTGTACAAAACATTACTATATTTTTTCTGCCTAAGGCTGTACATATAAATACCTTATTTTTAAAAAAAGGGCATATTCCTTTATCTCTCCTTATCCTTCTCACCTAGTGCATACTTCTTTCTTGTACGTAAGCCAGCTCACTTGGAGACGAATCCTTTTCTGTACAAAAAGACAAATTACCTGGTGATGAAGATTGAATAGATCTTTTTTAAAAGATAGGTAAAGTAGAAGTCTGTTTAGAGCTTTCTCTTAGAAAAAGAGGATCTTTCTCCTTTTTTTCTTGTTTTTTTTTTTGACTTAACCTTCTCTTCCTCTTTTTTAATAGGAAGTATATTGTACGGTGCAAGATAGCCTAATTACCAAGAAGATTTGTAGTCTCTCTACCATTACGTACAATATTCAAACCAAGTAAGTAGGTCCTCAATTGCTAGACTCCAGATAGTGTATAGCTAATAAACGTTTACCGTCCTTTAATTTTGTAGCTAGTGAAATGTCTCTCCTCCTCTTTTCTATAAAGAGGATGTTTAATTATGCAGGTAAAAGATTTCAGAGATAAACTCTTTAATATTATCAACCGTACGCGCAGTAATTCGGATCTAAATCCTATCTTATTTTGTTAGCATTGACTATTTTCTTATAATCTTTATACTAACAATTTCACTTAGTGTTTTCGATGCTCTTGGATCGTCCATATTAATACCCGACGATAATATGCCACTGTGCTTTGTACGAGGTTGGACGGTGATATGTTGCTGTCTGCTCCGTCTAGATAATAGTTAAATACTGGCTGCCGCTGTGATTACGGGGATAAGAAGAGAATGTTGGGAGATAGATAATGATGAGATGTACGGAAGGAGGAGAATTAGTTAAATAATTAAAATAAGGTAAAGCGCCACAATCAAGACATGCTTCACCTTCTAGATAACTGACCGGTCAGGCCACAAACCTTGACCAAGGTGGCCGCATTTGCAAAGAGAATTATAAGTCTGTACAGATAAAAGAGAAACAGAGAGAATAGGAATCCGTACAAGATATAAAAAAGATACTTTGTTTGCTATGCCATGTCAGGCTCCCAGTCAAGCGCCCCAACCGGTTAACTTAGTAATCCCAGTACGGGCTTAGACTGCATATTAATATACAAGGTGATAGCCTCACGTAGCTGCAGATATTTAGTACGAAATAGTATTGGATCGGCATCCAGTCTATTTGGCAATACATTTTCAGGGTCAAAGCCCATCCCCCGAAGCTGTGTACGACAAAATTGCAAGGTTTCTGCAGGAAGATATTAATCAAGCTCTAAATGCTATTAGTAGAAGTTTTGTATAGCTAGGCAAAATGTACCATATTCCTGGACATCTCTTTGAAGTCTCTGTACGGTATATTCTGCACTGGTAGTATAATTAGAAATATCTTCATCCGGATAGTGATACAGCATGTACGGCTTGCCAGCAACAGAATTTAGATTTGTTTGGCGTCGAATTCTATGGATATTCCATACTTGGACAAAATTATATACCTCTGCTCGAATAATAGGCATATAAATACTGTACAAAGCAATCTAATTAGGTATAGAATCCTTTGTAAAAAGACCTTCTTCTTTAAGTGCACGGAGAGCATTCTATAAGTATTAGTATATTTTTATAAAAAAAGGATAAAAAACATACTCTTTATTTGTATATAGCTAATTCACTTAGCTTTCCCCACCAGGCCTCTATTCTCTAATTCTCTGTACTTAATCCGGTGATCCAACAATTATTCTCTTGTACAGTAGGATTATATGCTTGCTGAAGTTGGAGATATACTGCTTTAAAAAAAAATTAATCTCCGAGCCATAATCTGATCAAATTAACTTCGGCTGAATTTGTATAGTTTGAACAGTATTAAGATACTGTCGAAGAACACTAACTGCCGTATAAGCAGAAATCCCACAGTAAATCCAGATTATATAGCGAGAATAGGCATTAATTGCAGCATAAATTTTAATCCCGTACAACTCAAGCTTTAGATATCCATCCACCGACCAAATCTAGTTTGGCCCTGGTATAATATATTCTCCTCGTTGTCTTTGCATATTTTTGTTCCGACGATTAATAGCATCAGGAAGGATTGTACAGTAAATAGAAAAAAAGACGATTACTAAAAAAAAAATATTAGCTATAATACTTATTAAAAAAGGTTCGTACCGAGTAATTATATAACCCTGACTGTGTATATAACAATGCAAAAGCTCTTTTCCATATCCCTGGATAATTCCTTTTTCTGCCTCAAGAAGAAGCGCTTGCAGAACCTGCTCTGTTTAAAGTTACTGCTGTTAAGCACCATGTACGCGTCGTAGAAGACCAAGCTTTGTGCGGACTCTCCGAAGAGTACAGGGACTTATTGTAAAAAGCCTTCCTTTTGCAATGCATAAAGAAGCTCTTTTTTCCTCTAGTCCAACCTAAAAAAAAAAGCACCTGAATACGAGCATGTAGGCGAGGATCCAAGGTTTTTGTACAGTCTTGCTTTTAAGCACCCCATGTTTAAAGGCGAGCCTCTAATATACACTTACTGATTTAAATACTGTGCATATCCTTAAGATAAGAAAGAATAAAATTAACTGTTTCTTCTGCTTTATAAAGATTAAGAATATCAGCCTTATACGGCTCAAGATCAATGGATTTGCGACCCATAATGCCTGGGAGTGTAAAGATAAACAGAAGAAAAAGACCTACCTGTACGCAGTAGATATACATCTTCATAATATACTTTATCTTTATGCAGCTAGATTTAGTAGGAAGGCGGTTAAAGGTGCGGTAAGAGAACTTAGCGAGAAATTTGATTGTTGCGGAGTGGACGTAATGGCTTGCCGTACACACAAAAGCCTTGCGCTAGTGTGGTAGGTAGTACGTGCCTTCCCAGTTGTCAGCCACTAGCCACGCACAAAAAGAGGGGCAAATGGAGATTGTGGAACCAGGAATGACACGAAGGATGCGTCGGTCCTCAACCAATGGCCTCTACGGCCCCCACACGGTAGGCAAGGAGCGACTGAGCAGAACAAGGCTTAGAGATGTATCTCCCGCTATGGGTTGAAAGAATTAGAGATTCGCATGGATAGCGTGGCTGCGGATGACAGTCAATCGCGACTTCTAGGAATTTTAGATCGGGAACAGGAACATGTGCCCGTATATATCTTTTCCGCCGATGCTTAAGGATTTTGAGCATTTGTGGGGTCACAATTGGTATACTTCCCAGATATGCACATTTGCTCCAATAGCTGATTCATTTAGGACTCCTATTATCAACTCTAAGCTAGATAGCTGGTAAGAACATCATCAATTCAATCGAAGAAGCCCTGGACCACGTTTAAGTCTAAACTGCATTCATTAGGTTAGACCGCTATGACCCCCTGCCGCCAATTCCAGCTACCCTCTAATTTCTTAGTCTTCTTCCTGCCATTGCGGTGGCATTTCTCCCTTCTCTTCCTTTCGCGCGATTTTGGTCATTCCTACCTGGCTCGTTTCCCGTACGAACCGAACTGTCATCGATCCGTCCGGAACTTTATACCAGTGACTTCTCCAACCTGACGCTTCATCAATTCGCAGGCAGTTACACGTTGAATATTATAATCTAACGAGTTGGAAAATCCAGTCTTTACATCACAATAAGCGTAGGTTCCATTACACTTTGGCCATCGTTCTTCGTTCCTCTTATTCCCCTCTCCCTACTCGCTCTATAAGTTAAGTTTCGCATCAGTCACTGACGTTTTCCATTATATAGTCTCAGGGCTACAGTGGTAACCAGGATAACGGGAACTACGGTATGTGCGCTTATTTTGTCTGCAAATAAAGTAGGTCGCGACTAACTAGATAGTTTCTTTGTATAACAGAGATGGGGTCTTATGACCAGCAACAACCGGCCGATGCGACCACCTTGTTGAACAAGTGCAGGGAGATCAATGATGGAGTCGCGGACCTACAAGCCAAGCGTGAGGGGCAGCTTATGGCTGCACAGAATGCTATGTTCGACTCCAGCAATGTGAAGGAGGATCAAGTTTCTCGCCAGACGCTGGATTACATCAAAGACGAGATTAACAATGGTTTCCGTTACCTCCGTGATCTCCTGACCCAGATCGATAACACAAGTCGAAACATCCGTCGTGAAATTGAGCAATACCAAAAGGCTCAGTCCGATTTCCGGAAACGGTTGACAGAGCAAGTGCGCCGTCGGTACGAGATAGCCAACCCGGAGGCCTCTCCCGAGGAGGTGGATCAGGGTGTTCAAAATGTCTTGCTGGGCCAAGAGCAGATGTTCCAGGTATGACATAGATGGGAAGTGGAGGGTAAGGACTTTTATTGATACACTATTTCTAGGTTTCTGGTAGCCGAACTGGACAGGACAATAACGCCAGGAAAGCCGCATTGGAGCGGTCTGCTGCGATTCGGAAGATGGAACAAGATATGCCGGAACTTGCTCGGCTATACCAGGAAGTGGCGGAGCTTGTACACCAGCAAGACCCTACTGTAGAACAAGTTAATCAAGACGCTAAGGATATCGCTGGGAATGTCGCACATGCAGAAATTTCGCGCGCCATTGATAGTGCACGTCGCGCAAGGAAATGGAAGTGGTATGCACTGTTTATTATCAGTAAGTATTACGCGTACTAAGTGCTTTGCCTTGTGAGCGCTGGCTAATCGCATTACAGATCTTATTATTTCGATCGTTGTTGGTGTTGCTTGTTATGGCTCAGTCTAGTGATCCAATCTCTTATTCCTTTATTGAAAATACTAGGTAGCTCGTCAACGAGAATATCAAACATGAAGGAAGGACACATAGAAGTAGCGGTGTAAAGTAAACAAGCTGTACGGCGACGCACTAATATCCCATTCCCTACATCGGGATTCCCTCTAATTTCTATTCGTGAATGGGACGGGAAACGGGACCGAACTTATAGACGGGAAGGGAGTGGGAATATCCCGATTCCTGGGAATTTCCCTTATTTTAATCACGTGATAAATAACTTGAATCGATAACGTCCCATTGTGTTACGGAAACACTATAATCCGCCCGACTTGGCGGTGCGGAGTATCTGACGATCGATTCAACCCCTGAATCCTTTAGATAGGGGAGCACCCAAGATCTAGAGGTGAGCACCTAGATAGGAATGCAAGAGACTCAGTTGGTTGAGATACTGTGATTCCTGGTGTTTCCACTGAATGACATCTACTTCCTAATTAGGCTAGTTGGCCTGTAGTTGATGGAATAGCCCTACGCCCCATTTCCCCTGAGTTCCACAACATTGGTTATGAGCCCGGGTTTGCAGCGTCTGCTTAACAACCAGGCCTTTGCACCCCGGGAGCTTATATAGGCTTACAAACCCTATCTAAGCACGCAGGTGAAGCTATCCATCAACGTGTGTATCTGTTATGCGTGGGGGTCGGTAACGAGCTGAATGGGGCGCTACGGTGCGAAAGGGAGTGTCTATATAGGAGAGAAGATAGAGCCACGTATATTGCAGAACTAATCGCTGGCCTTCAAGAGTTCAGGCCCGCGGGTGCGAATATAAACACTTCGCACCTGACTAAGCATCTTAGCTAAGGATCTAGCTATCGCGCTTCCGAGCGCTCCTAACACTATCTTCCCCTCCAAGAGGCTTCGCCCTCGAAGCCTTAAAGACTGTAGTATGAATATATGCGTTATGATGGGTAATGTGTTATAGATTCCAATCCCTTGAGTCCTTCCCATAATGGTTTGTGCGGTTGATCGATGTTTGGTACGATGTCTTGGAGCTTGGGTGAGTGTAGGTGTGTTTTCGCAGGTAGTCGCTCCATGGCAACAGTTCTGCTTCATTCACTGCAGTTTTTCGCCCGTTTGAGCTTAGTTCTGTTGTTGACGCTGAGCTTTTTTTGCTTCCTCTCTCTCTCTTCTCTTTTTCTTCTCCTCTTCTCTTCTCAAACCACCAAACTTCTTGCGGTACGTGCGCACTCTTCTGCCTCAGCTAATAAGGGTAACGGCTCCTCCAGCGCTTTCTCGCATGTTTTGAGCTTACTAATATGGGTGTTTTCGCAGATGGTCGCCGCAAAGCTTCGTCGCCTCCATCGGGAGAATCCGCCCACGACGCCGTCGCCTTCTCCGTGGGTTCGTCCTCGTTCATCCTCTGAAGACGATGTCGTTTTCACACCTGCGCCCCGCTCGGTTTCGCCGGAATGGGAGGGATTTCCATCCTCTCCTGCTTCGGCGGAGCCGGACGGAGTCGAATCGCCCTCTCCGGACGTGTCTGGTAAGTCCGGTCGTTTATGTAAGGTAATATTGCTAATTTGTGCGAAAGTTTCATCGCCCCCTTTGTCTCCATCGGCGGCTTCGGTCGTCCAGGTGCAGACTACCCCTGCGCCGGTCCATGTTGATACGAATGGTTTGCCTTTGGCCCAGGGGGGGTAGTCCTGGTGCCACCGTTGCCTTGTTCGTTTGGAGCGAGATGCTGCGTCAGCGTGTGTTTTCTTGCCAGGTCGTTTAAACTGTGTTTATTGTACTGGCCAGCGACACCCTTTGTGTCGCTCCGGAGGTTGCCGCTGGTCCTTTGGCTGTTTCTATGGTTACTGAACATCGCACGTTTGTTGGACTTCCCCAGTCTCGTCGCCCTGCTGCGCAGGAGAGGGCGGCTGGGCTGGTAAGGGAGTATAGACGTGCGGTTCGAAAACCTCGAATACCACGCGTGGATAGCAGTACATCTGTGCCTGTCCCTGAACGCACTCCATCGCATTCGCCCATGGCTCCCGTTCCTGCGACTCCCAGTCGCCTGGGTCGTTTTGTTGATGCGGTCCTTTCCCCTTCAAGGGTTGAGTTGTCTCTTTGGGTGGGAGGTCGGTGTTATTGGGCCGTTGCGCCATCTTGTCTTAGTTAAATAGAATGCTATTTTCCTTTAGCCATGTAGCGCGTACGTCGTCGGGTAACAGGTGCTGTATTAGTAAGCCAGATGTCCAGGGCTTCAGTGTCTTCGACGTGCGATCTTGGTTCCCAGGTATCGTCATCAGGTGGATAGCCCTTCCATCGCACCAAATAGCTTATGTTACCACTCTTGTCGCGTTTTTCCTCCAGAATTTGATCAACTTCCCCTCCTCTTCGCCATTAATTGGTATTGGCGGGGGTCGGCTCCATTGACCCGGTCGTTCATGGTATGGCTCCAACAAAGACACGTGGAAAACGGGATGCAGACGGCGATATTTTGGTGGTAGCTGAAGCTTGTACGATTGGTTTCCCCATGCATCAATAATGGAAAATGGGCCTAGCTGGCGGTGGTCTAATTTCGCATTAGGTCGCACTGTAGAGACATTCTTCGCCCGTAGCATGACTTGATCACCAATCTTGAATTGTCTGTCGATCCGACGCTTATTATATTGCCTTGCCATGGCTTTTGCGCCTTTTCAAGCGCATCCTTGACCAAGGATCGCTTTTCCTTGAGCTGTGTTGCGCGCTCCAACGCTGCTGCGCATGGCCAGTGGGATCAGGATCGACATTATTCTCAGGCTAGGGACGAAGCCCATCAATGCTTCATGTGGGCTTGTCTTTGTGGATAATAATCGCAGCATTATATGTAACTTGTGCCATTGGCAGCCAGTCAACCCAATCATCTTGCAAGAAACTCGCATAGGCTCGCAGGTAATACTCAATGTTTGGTTTTGGCGTTCTGTCTGACCATCTGTCTGCGGATGAAACGCAGTAGACAGTTTCCGCTTCGATCCTAGGCAATAGCACAGTGTCGACCAGTAGCTACTGGTAAACAGCGAGCCCCTGTCCGACACCCATCGCTTTGGATTACCAAACATGGGTACCACCTTTTGATAAACAAATGTGCGAGTTCTGGCGCCGAGATATCCTTATTCAAGGATTAAGTGCGAACTTTTTAGGGATCCACAACCACTAATATCGCATCATAACTCTCTGTGCCCCCTGGGCTCAGATATACTGGTGAACTGGGCGGTAGTCAGTAATAAAATCAAGAGTCAGCACTTCCCCAGGCTGCTCTGGCACCGGCAAAGGCTCCAGCTTGCCATAAGGTGCGTGTCTATGCACTTGAATTCTTTGACAAATATCGCAGGTTTTCACATAATCCAGCACATCGCCACGCATACCATGCCAATAGTATTTGCGTTCGACGGCTTCCAAGGTGCGTTTTCCTCTAAAATGTCCTCCCTGAGGATCATCATGATTTGCTTTCATAATTTCATGTGTTACCGCAGGAATTCTGGGTACATAAACGCGACCTTGGTACCTGAGTAGGCCATTTTCGCCAATTCCCCAGGCCGGACTGCCATAGTCCCCAGCTTGCGATCAACTTTTCGCTTAATATCGCGTACCTCGCGATTCTCTTGGTGCAATTTGCACAAATAGTCCACCATGGACTCCTCAATGCTGGAGTAAGCTGATTCGGATCCAATAACCTTGCGGACATAGATCCGTGGCACCCAGGTGTCTAGAATTCTGGTAACGCCGGCAGCACAGTCCTCATCCACGGGTGCGTTCTTATCCACGTGGGCATGCATACTCCCCATGGAGATATGCGCATAGAGCTCATTTTATTTAATTGTTTGGACCCGCCTTCGGTGTCCAGCGCCATTATTCCCGCCCATGCGGTTTTAACTCATTGGGTGCGTCATCCCAATGACTCTTGCCCATGGCCAATTTCAACTTTGATCGCAATGTGGGAAGCAGTGACGCATCACTTACTTCATCTGCGCTCGGCAGATAATCTGGCCTTCTACTTGGCGCATCTGCAGGGTTCTTTACCCCAGGTCGGTGCTCAATATGAAAATCGAACGCGCTCAGAACTCGACCCATCTCGCCTGACGTCCATTAAGCCGCTTCAATGTGGGCCGCATGAAACCGCTTAGGTTGGCATGGTCAGACTTCACCACTATTGGCTCCCCGCTCCCTTCGAGGTAATGTCGCCAAACTTTGAATGCTTCAATGATCGCTAACAACTCTTGGTCATGCGTATCATACCTGCGTTCAGAATCGGTCATCTTTCGTGAGAAAAATGCCACAGGATGCCACTCGTTATCATCCTGTAATTGGGAGATTATCGCACTTATAGCGAAACCAGACGCATCTGTCTCTACCCTGGTCCTATTCCTAGGGTCATAATGAGATAGCAATGGTGCGCTCGAAAACGCACTTTTAGTTTATTAAACGCAACTCTTGCGTCCTCAGGCAGCTCAAGGCGCTGGTTCAAGAACCATTGCCTTTTGCTCCTCCCCCCCTTGCTCCCCTCGGGTGAGCTGGGTCAGCGGCAATGCAATGCGGGAATAACCCTCAATAAAACGCCTGTAAAAAATTTGCAAATCCCAGGAATATCATGATCTCTCGCACGGTTGTTGGCTCCGGCCAAGCCTGGATGGTAGCCACACGGCTTTCCTCCATCTGAATGCCCGAAGGCGTGATGATAAATCCCAGGTATTCCACACTTTTCACATGAAATGAGCATTTGCTCAGCTTGGCGTATAGCCCGAATTGTCGCAGTCTCTCCAAAACTGCGGTAACATGCTCAACATGTTCCTCCTCACTCTGCGAGTATATAAGAATGTCATCCAGATAAACAACACAGCAATGGTCTAGTAGGTTGCTTAATGCGCGATTAATATAGGACTGGAACGTAGCTGGGGCGTTGGCTAGCCCGAATGGCATGACAGTGTATTCGAAGTGACCATATCTTGTGCGAAATGCAGTTTTCCATTCATCCCCTTTTTTAATTCGGATGCGGTGATACGCGTCTCTCAGGTCAAGTTTGGTATATATCTTAGCGCCAGCCAAGCGATCCATAGTCTCGCTAACAAGTGGTAAGGGGTAACGATTTTTGACAGTAATCTCGTTCAAACCGCGGTAATCCACACAGAGTCGCAGTGTTCCGTCGGACTTCGGTACAAAGATAATAGGTGCGCCAGCTGGGCTTTTCGAGGGACGAATCCATCCCTTTTCTAGCGCTGCTTCAATATATCTGCGCAGAACTGCGAGCTCACTTTCGGACAAGGGGTAAATTGGTCGGTATGGGGTTCCTTTCCCGGTTGTATATCAATTGCATGGTCGTGGTCTGCATGCGCAGGTAGAATCCCTGCATTTTCCTCCGAAAAGACATCTTCGAACTCCTTGTAGATTGCGGGTATTCGCACTCCTTCGCCGATTGTCGCAGAACCCACACGGATTTCGACCTGGTTATTTTCGGTTGTGGATACGTACGCTGCGTAGACTTGTTTTCCCTCTCTTAAAGTGCGATTCACCTCTGCTTCGTTGATTATCTCGACTTCTTTCTCCGGAGGTATTTTCCGGTATTCCCATGTTCCTAGTTCCCAGTCGACGTTTGGGTTCGCCTCTCTCAACCAAGGGTATCCTAGAATCGCATCATAATGGTCCATATCAACCACATCGAATGTTCTTTCAATCGTTCTACGAACACCGTGGCAATCTTGGGTGGTTGCCCTCAGCCTGTAGCGTCCGTAGCAACGGATGCGGTGACCATCTAGGGCCACTATCCTCCGCGGGCCTATTGCAGGCTCCGGGAGGTGCGCATCTGCGAACCTTCGGCTGATAAGAAGGGCTTGACACCCCGAGTCGATTAACGCACAAGTTGGAATAGTGCGCTCTTGTGCTTGCAGCTCAACCATAGTCTCAATGGCATTATCTTTTTGGATTTTCTTCCTCTAGGCCCAGAGCCGCAGCTGCTCGCATCACTGGGCCACCTAGTTTTTTTGCCTGGTTGTCGTCCCTTCTCGCACGTTTGGGACATTGAGGCGCAATATGTCCCTTTTCTCCGCAGACATAGCATTCAATATCAGGGTTATGCGACTGCTGTCGCTTATGACCTTGGGACCTATTAGAGTTTCCTCTAAAGGCGCGATTGTTGCCTCTCCATGGCTTGTCTGGGCCCCGTTGACTGGAAGGTTGTTGTCTTTCCGTGTTGCCTGGGGTCGTCGTCCGGTGCGCATAGCTAAGCTGTGTTGGCTTCTCCTATTCTTCGCTTGCGATATTTCCTTGCGTCGACCCGGTATGGAATCTTCAATTGTTTGGAGGTGGGCGATATAGCCTTCATATGTCTCTGGTTCGTTGGGGTATTTAAGCGCTTCATGTCGCAGGTCTTGCTTGACTCTTGTCCGGAGGTGATCCTTTCGTTGATTTTCTGTGTATGCTTCTGGGAGCTGAACTTCCCATTGGTTAAGGTAAGCTGCGAATTCCCGCACGTTTTGGTGATCCTGTTGTCTGGCGTCATGGTAGCGTTGGCTCGCATCTCTTCGCAGGTTAACAGGGTCGTTTAATTGGCGTAGTAGAAATTTGCGAAAGTCCTCCCAGGTAGGTTTATCGGCGACTTCCTCCTCGTGTTGCCTCCATAGGCGGATAAATGTTGCGCATAGATGTGCCGTACCTTCCACCACTTTCGTCGTATCATTAGTAAAGTAGTAGCGATTTCGTTCGAAATGGGTTTCCATGCGTGCGATAAATGTCTGATATTCCTGCATGTTCTTTCCCATGTATTCCGAGACATGTGCTGGGGGTGCTGGCGGTTTCAATGCGTGCGTGGGCTCTGGCATAGGCTGGGGTGCGGTTTCTTGTGGTATTCCATGGTCGGGTGTGCTTATATTGGATTCTGGCCGCGAAATTGTTGCACTTCGGTTTTCTTGGATGCGTTTCTCATAATCGATAAGCTCTTGCAATGCCCTCCTTTTATTTTCCATGCGTAATCTCTTGAGTTCCTGCTTTTGTTGGCGTATCTGGTCCCGGAGTTCGGCAAATTCATTATCCGATGAAGAATCGTTTGTTGTTGTGGACCCAGTAGCCCTTTTCGAGGGCTATCGCCTTGCAACACAGCTGTTTCCTCAACTGTTTCTTCAGCTGGGCCCGGATTCATCGAAGCATCAGGTTGTGCTTGGATAGATGCGGTATTCTCTGAGACGGGGTTGACAGAATTCTCGGTGTTTCGGGTGACTTGGGAGCCAGCACGCTGCACGCGTCGAGGTGCCATAGTGCTCCTTTCAGCGGGTTACCGTTGGGGTGAGCGATTAGAACTGTTATGCGTGGGGGTCGGTAACGAGCTGAATGGGGCGCTACGGTGCGAAAGGGAGTGTCTATATAGGAGAGAAGATAGAGCCACGTATATTGCAGAACTAATCGCTGGCCTTCAAGAGTTCAGGCCCGCGGGTGCGAATATAAACACTTCGCACCTGACTAAGCATCTTAGCTAAGGATCTAGCTATCGCGCTTCCGAGCGCTCCTAACAGTATCCTCAACGTCCAGGACAGTGGCTAGGACCGATCAACCTACCTACTAGTCGGAGTTGGGTAATATTACCACGCCTCCTTAGCGCCGAACGGAACGATCGACGAAAGGACAATCAAAGATCGATAGATGTCAGAGAGGGCTCGGGATCCCCGGACAGGACAATTTATATCAAGCCGGGAGAATACTAAGGGACCAAGTACCGAACCGAGCGCCGCATCGAGTGAGGATCCCGTGGCGATCTCACTACCAGGTGAATTCTTAGAAGAAGAGGAACCTGAAGAGTCTGAGCAAGAGTCTAGAATAGAAGTCAGCGAGGCAGCTGAGCAAGGGAATTCTAGTGAGCAGGAACAGACTGAGCAAGGATCTTGGATTAAAGCCAGCAGGGAAACTGAGCGAGGGAATCCTGGTGGATCCGAAGAATATAGAATTGAACTCAGCGAGGCAACTGAGCTAGGAGAGCCAGACGTGCCAGACGTGCCAGGCAAGGAAACGCCTGAAGGGGATAGAGATCCTAGTGAACAACTGCAAGCGGAACTAGCAGTTAAAATGGCCGGAACAAGTGGAAATGGCCAGGGAGGCCAAGAAGGTTAGCGGAGAGTGATTCCAAAGCTTGAAACCACCAAGGAGGTGAAACTAGTGGCGTGTGGAATTAAAAAACTTAATTAGAGTAATTATCAAAGCTGGAAGTCAGAGATAATAAACTTCCTAAAGATGCAGAATTGCTGGAAGATAGTAGATCTAACCAATAAGTGGAGAGATAATCCTAAAGCTATTAAGGAACTGCTAGAGGATACCAATTAGAGTATTACAAATGCAAAAGCACGGCACTATATTAAAACAGCACTGGAAAAGGAAGATAAACTTGCAGTCCAAAACTTTAAAGATGTTGGAAAGGTATGGAGATACCTAGTTAAATTCTATAGTCAACAAAATAAAGTGGATAGGCTGGGAGCCTTGCGGAAGGTTCTAAGATGGAAAAAGGACCCCTTTATAAACTTGGAGAAATCACTTTAACAGTTGGAAGCATGGAATGCAGACCTGAAGGATATTAGTAATAATTTAATAGGATTTAATAAGTTGGTCTTATTAAATATCTTCTTAGATGGTTTACCTCAGGAGTATAAGTCCATGGTGGATTCTATTATTACCAGTGGAAAAATAGATCGAGGAATGATGCTATTAAGACTCCAACAAAAGGAAAGCCGGGAAAAAGACTGCAGATACCAGTAAGGCAGCTAAGGAATTCGCCAACCAGATTAAGCAAATGGAATGCTTTAATTGCGGAAAGAAGGGCTATTTTGCAAGAGATTGCAGAGCTCTAAAAAGGACCGAGAGCAGAGCAATTCCCGGGAAAAGAAGGAATCCCGGAAGGGCCGCGGCAAGGCCAAAGACCGCGGGAGCCATCGAGGACGCCCAAAGCAAAAAGGAAAGGCAAGGACCGCGGATAAGAAATCGGATACCGACAGTGATTCAAGTGGGAATAAAAGCAATTCCACAAAAGATAGTGCCTGCCGAATATATGGAAGCGTACACAGAGTGCAATTAAACAAACGGATTAGCAACCAGTTTAAATATGTGCTTGAAGAAGCGTACCGAGCAAAGGGGAGCAAGACCCTATTATGACAGTGGAGCAACAAGAACCTGCAGCGGAAAAATTAATCTATTTAAGTCATTGGATCAGAGATATACAGGCAGCTTGGGAACAGCTGGGAAATCTATAAAGATTACTGGCAGAAGCACAATGAAGATACTACTAAGCAGTGGAAAAGTGGCAAGGATTTTAAACGCATTGTACGTGCCTGGGATGAAGGAAACCCTGCTTTTAACACAAGCTTTATATGCAGACCGCATTTGGAACGAGCATACCGAGAAGGGATACCGATTCTTCCGCAAGCAAGGCACAGAGAATGTTGTTTGCAACTGGATACAATATTGGCCGAACAAGCTACCTAGGATGGGTAGAAAGCAAGAATGTATTAGCCACAGATGCAGAAGAACTCGGAGAGGGAGAATCTGTAAGATTGGTAAAAGTAGGTAGATTGGGAACTACTTCACCAACAATTTGGCCACCCAGGAAAGACAAGATTTAAAAAGATGGTAAAGAGAATGGGCCTTACTACTAAAAAAAAGGAAGCTGTAGAACACTTAAGAACATGTAAGACATGTATACAGGCAAAGAGTACAAAGAAGCAGAACCATGGAGAGGTTCCGAGAGCTTCTAGACCGCTGAAACAAGTTTATATGGACTTTTGGGGGCCATATAGTAAAACCAAATACAACAAGGGATAGAGATACTATTTTTTTACTTACTAATAACCACACACGGTATTCATGGGTATATTTAACCAAGGATCGAAAGGCAGAGACTGTCCAGGAGACTCTAGAAGCATGGTTAGCTCAGGCAGAGCGGGAGAAAGGAGTCAAGCTCCTAGTAATACGCACAGACAATGCAAAGGAATTTCATGCATTAAAGCCATGGGCAAGAAAGCTGGGGATTTAATTAGAGTTTATTAAGCCAGATACACCTCCACAAAATGGAGTTGCAGAGAGGTTGAATAGGCTGTTATTGGAGATGGTGCAGGCAATGCTAATTGGAGCAGATATTCCAAAGGAATACTGGCCATATGTAATTTAGATGGCAAACAACCTATAAAATAGGACCACAATGGTTAGAGACACCAAAAAGAGCCCATTTGAACTTTGGAATGGCCACCCACTAGATATCTCAAAGTTTCGAACCCCATTCTGCAGAGTTTGGTTTCACCGGAAGCCAAAGGATGGTGATAAGCTTGAACCAAGAGTAATAAAGGGAGTCTTTATTAGCTATGAATTAAGCAGGAGTCATTACCTGGTAATAACTAGAAAGGATTAGACAATCCATCGAGTAACAAACCCCATTTTCCTGGAAGACAAGAGAGGTTTTATCAGCAGAGAACCAGGAAGCAGAGATATTGGGGAAGAGTTAATATACCAGAAGGTAGTTAGAGAAGGGCAACCGCTACTCCAACCTAGTTTAGGAAACATCCAGACACCTTATATAACTGAAGGACATGCAGATGTTCAGCAGGATTAAGGAGATAAGGAATCTGCAAAAGATAGTCAACAGGTCGATGAGGTTGAAGAAGCTGAAGAGGTTAAAGAGGTTGAAGAGGTGGAAGAGGTTAAAGGTTAACATGCAGACAAAGAAGACCACAACATGTCACCTGACCAACCAAATCAGGAAGGTCACATGCAGAGAGATATTCAACAATCCCCTTAACAACTGCAACTGCAGCCGTCGCAACCAACCCCGAAAACACCTCTGATTTGCGCAGACCAAGCAGAATTCGAAAGCCTTCGCAAGCGGCAATCGAATCCAATCAGACAGAGGCAATATATGGGCGGAAACCACGAGCCCAGAAGCGCAGAGAAGAGAGGGAGGCAGCAAAAGAGCCTTCTCCACGCATATCCACTGCAGAACTGCAGCGAATCCATGAAGTTGCAAATCTAGTTGTAGCGCTAGAGCTTCATCTTGGTGACAACAATGAGTTTGCTTTCAGAACCAAAGCCAAGGCTAATAGCAAGTTCGACGGACAGATTCCAATCCCGAAGACCTACCAGGAAGCAATATCTGATCCTGTACATGGACCCCAATGGAAAGAAGTAATCCGGACCGAATTAAGCAACTTAATCCGCTTCGGAACATGGAGATATGTTAAGAAACCAGTTAACTAAAAGGTTATCTCTACTAAATGGGTATTTAATGTCAAATACTCTGCGGACAGATATATGGATCGATTCAAGGCATGCCTTGTTGCTTGAGGCTTCTCCCAACAAGAAGGATTAGACTTTAAAGAGATATTTGCACCAGTGGTACAATTGGAGAGCTTGCAGATCTTATTTACACTAGCTGCAATATATAATCTAAAAGCTCACTTGCTGGACGCCACAAACGCCTTTGTTGGATTAAAAGTGGACAAGGAACTCTACATAAAGATCCCAGAAGGAATTAATCCAAAATCCTATAATCCAAATAATGTTTGCGAGCTCTTATAATCCTTGTATAGGCTAAAGTAATCTGCATACCTTTGGAACTAAAAGGTTAAAGAATTTATCACATCTATTAGATTCAAGCAAAGCACGGCAGACCCAGGAGTCTTTATTAATAACCGCGGGGTTATTATAGCCTTATATGTGGATGATATCTTAGTCTTTAGTAAAGATCCAAATAATCTAGATGCTACTAAGAAGAAATTAAAGGAGTTTCATCCCATAAAAGACTCTGGTCTGGTACAAAAGATATTAGGGATTTGGATAACCTGGGGAAAGGACTTTATCTAGCTTGACCAGGAGTTCTATGCATACTCTATTTTGGAGGAATTTGGAATGCTAGATTTAAGAGATTAAGATCTTCTATTAAGTCCCAGCATTGATCTAAATAATAAAAATTCCCGCAAACTAACCCGGGATCTGCATAAAAATATAGAAAAATTATTGGACGCTTGACATACTTGGCTGGTGGAACCAGAGCTGACATTTAATTCCATGTCAACCGATTAAGCCAATATCTTGCAGAACCTAAAAAATATTTATCTTCGAGCATCGAAACATATTCTCCGATATGTGAAGAAGACTATAAGTTATAGTATTAAATATAGCTTAAAGGGGAGTAAAGGAACAATGGGATTAATTGGATACTTTGATTTATTATATGGAAATGCAACAAAATATCGCTTAACTAGTGTGTACATATTTTACATGGCCGGAGGACTAATTAGCTGGTGCAGTAGAAAGCAGCCCATAACTGCTACGTCTACTACTAAAGCTGAATATATTGCTGCTGCAGAAGCTGCTAAGCATGCAATCTGGATTAGACACTTTCTTATAGCTATTCGCAAGCCATGCGGAGCAGTTAGATTAGGTGTTAATAACCAGGGAGCTTTGGTACTCGCAAACAACCCGGTTAATCACCTACGGAGCAAGCATATTCGCATCTAATACCATGCAATCAGGGATTTCATCGAACATAGTGACATTAAGGCAATTTATATTCCTATATCTGAAATGCTTGCGGATGGACTCACGAAGGCAGTACGGGTTAAAGGATTAAAGCAAATGGTTAAGAAGTTGCAACTAAATGGGTTGGAGAACTAAGATCCTATGGATGCAACATCTAGGACCTTCAGATTGATTATTAGAGGCGTTCAACACCCCTCCGCAATTGTTTTGTTTATTTCCTGTTTCGGAAGTCTGTATGGCTTCATTTCATTCATTTATGGAAAGGCTACGGGGTATTGAACGAAGGGGAGTGTTACGGAAATACTATAATCCGCCCGACTTGGCGGTGTGGAGTATCTGACAATCGATTTAACCCCTGAATCCTTTAGATAGGGGAGCACCCAAGATCTAGAGGTGAGCACCTAGATAGGAATGCAAGAGACTCAGTTGGTTGAGATACTGTGATTCCTGGTGTTTCCACTGAATGACATCTACTTCCTAATTAGGCTAGTTGGCCTGTAGTTGATGGAATAGCTCCCTACGCCCCATTTCCCCTGAGTTCCACAACACATTGGAAACAAGTGAGGATCGCATGTTTGTGGCCTCTGACATTAATCACGGCTATCATCGGATGATGCTATACTCGGTTGCTTAGTGTTACGGAAACACTATAATCCGCCCGACTTGGCGGTGCGGAAATATCTACCGATCCATTCTACCCCTCAATCCTTTAGAGAGAAGAACACCTCAATGAGAATATAGGGAACCGCTTAGTAGGCTCAGTTGGTTGAGATACTACGATTCCTGGTGTTTCCACTGAATGACATCCACTTCCTAATTAGGCTAGTTGGCCTGTAGTTGATGGAATAGCTCCCTACGCCCCATTTCCCCCTGAGTTCCACAACACTTAGATAAGGTGAGCAGCACAAGGAGGCAAAGTGTGGGCTTCCTGCATTCAGATTATGACATGCAAAAGGGACTGATTATATTTCCAGCGCCATTTGTTTCTCCACCCCTCAGGCTAGGGGCAAGGTAAAGCCTCGCTATTAGTATTATGAGGTATATTTTATATGTACAGTATAATAGAAGGACTAGGACATTATCGGATATTTCTTACAAAATTTCGATGCAGAAGAGAGTAAGGATATGTTTAATTGCTGTAGGTCGTCAATCCTTTTAATTTATGTATATAATAAAGTGAACTTATTGATCAACTAATCGTCAGCTTCTGCTAAGTGGACCTGGGTACAATATGAAGCAGCAACTACTGAAGATTAACTAACCAGGAAGGGATGACTACAACGCAGAGACCGTTGGGTACCGTTACCTGGCTCGGTTAGTTGCATAATTTTAAATGGCCTAATATTTAGTAGCGCTAAGTGAGCAGTCAGTTATGAACATGATCAATATCGGAGAAAATTCGAGTGCTATCTTTTGGTGAAAAGTGTTTATACAATTTCTGCCGCATTTTCTGAGGAATCTTTTAGATGCTCACCTTAGGAAATTGCAGCCAGGCTTTCGGAAGCTTAATCACTGTGGCAAACCCAGTCTCGGAATTTCTAAATAGCCTGGGTTGTTATCGAAGTAAAATATTATATTCGGATCCATGGTGTTGTTCAATCTTTTGCCTATCATAAAAAAAAAAAAAAAAAAAAGAGGGGAGGAGAAAAAAATAGCCGAATCTTCTATTTTAATGTGCTAAAAAAGAATACTCCCTCAGCTTCGCTAGACGATTAATTCCTTTGATAAATAGGCTTTTTAAGAATACGCGTTCACCCTCATTTCTTCTTCACATAATGCATTTTGCCTTACAGTTATCAAGAATAAACCCAGACAGAGATGTTCGAGCTGACTCATTACGTAGAGGTTAGTACATAACCCTTGAATTCTATAGTATCGATCGTTAATTTTGCCCAGGACACATGTGAAAATCAAGACAGATTAAATTATGTGGTCTTGACAGAGAAAGAATGTTGCAATGTAAATACAAGGCCTCATCTTTGGTAGGCAATACTGACTATAGTAGCTGGCTGAATCGATCAGTGTGATTCTGGAGGCGGCAAAATCACTGAATGGTCCACAAATTCAAAGCGTTTTTGCTAAAGCTCGTGGTGTCAAATTTAATCGCGTCTATGTGGGCAGCGATGAGCAAGGACTTGTTGGAAGTCCGAATCCATCAGGTAGAAGCTCGCCATTTTACCTCCGAATACGTCTTTATGCAAGATCATCTTACCAGAATAGAAAATCATAGGGTCCCATTTAAAGCGTGCAGGCCTAAGGCGCACGCTAATACATCGAATGGCCCATTACCTGTCGCCCATTCTGCTGATTTCGGTGTGACAAAGGAATCATTAGAAGGGTTTCATTCCGTGAGAGTCTGCTCTTCGCCCTGTCGCGTTGGGCTGTATTCCCGACCATCGCATGGCCACTATGCCGAATGTGATATACCTCGGAGTAACGAAAGGTCACGTCACAAGAAAAACATTCATGCAATGAATGCGTCTGATACGCCTGGTAGTCTTCCTTTAATTAACCAAATTTTAAGCCAGGTCAATTACCATGCTTCCTGCTTGGCGAAAGATGCCAACCGGCATCAGTTTCTAAGTCATTCTGAACCAGCCTATTGTACAGCATCTGAATTTGATGATGACAATGCCACATGTTGCTCTGTGTCTTCGACAGAATGTTCCTGCGTTTCCTGTGTTGAAGCAAATGAAGAAGCTCCTTCGTCAGTATCTAGCCACGTTAAGCCAAGCAGCAGAAAGTCTCCAGAAGACCGCAAACGAAGGCGAATAGAGAGAGAGCCGCCACGTATAGGCTCCCATAAGTTGGGTGTGATGCTCCTGAAAGCATGCAGATTTGGTAAAAGCGCTGTATCACTTAGTGATCACCAGGTCCAAGTGGTTCTTCATGCGGCAACATATTTCGTCCCTCAATATTGTCGTCCAAGGTTCAAGAGCAACTTAGCTCAGTGGAGGTACAATAAGTTCCAAGGTTTGCATGTACTTGGACTGCCTCCTATTTGGAAAGGCGCAGAGGCAGCCGCAAAATATATAAATTTACTTGCTTCCCATCAAATTACAGACGCAGTCAGCAGGTTTTGTGCACGATTGTTACTTTTCATGAATTATCATGAACTTTGCGGAGATTCGAGGAAGAATCAATCTCTGATGCTTGACGCCATCGCGAATGCATACTATGGGATCTCCAGCCAAGGTACAGTTAAACAGCGTCGCGACTTTGTAACCGGCCATATGCGACTGGGCAGATGGTGTTGGAGACTTGCGGGTACGGTTGGAGTTGGCGTGTCGCTGACATTTGGCGATAAGCTGATGACCCTAATGTATGAAATATATTCGCCTTTCTAAATAATTACCCTACCCTAGCGCCTACTAACTCAAATTGCCTTTTCGTTAACCCTTTTGTCTCCTGAGTGGGCGGCTAACAAATACTTGCAGGGTGAATCACAAATTTACTAATGCCCAAATCGATGCTCTTGTTACCTATGTGTCTAATACTCACCCGGGGACCGTCCGCTTACTTCATCGGTTGGAGTCGATTGCGAAGCCACTCATACTTGGCGAATTGCCAATGGATCTCATTGAGGAGATCCAGAACAATAGATCCAGCATTCTAGGGGAATGTGAATTGTCTCATGCGATCACGGACGATGAAACAGCTTTGGTTAGTCAGTTACGTGAGCGGCCTTGGACTGTCATCGATTCCAACTTCCTTGCTATTAAAAAAATAGCCGAGTTTCTCCGCGGACTTTAACAATGATATCGTTAACAGCCTTTTTAAATATCTGGAGAGGGTATACAGAATGCGTGTGGATTTTGCTCCAGATGAGATAGAAAGCTTTCTGTTGATAAGCATGCATTAATATTGATATATTGTATTGTTTGTTATGGAATTGTATATCTAAATATGGTTATCATTCTACTTCTACAGTTATTACAGGTGGATTACCGGCCTGACAGCAATTTCAGCCGTACACCTTTGTTTTGGGCACAGGCCATTGTGCATCGTTGAATTATTGGTCTCACAAAATGCTCTGCTTGACACTCGCCCAACCTAGATTGGGAAAGAGAGAATGTATGCAAGGTTATTAGCGCAGAGCACAAAATCATCTGGATGATGCTTCATACATGGGAGATGTCTAATCACATAGGGACTGAGTGGCTGTGGGAGCAATCTCCGAGCAAGCCCCTCTGGAACAGAGCCCACTTACGCCAGCTGTGAAAATAGGACAGGGCGAAACAGTGAAGCTTTCGTTTCAGGCCAGAGTACATGTTGACTCAATAGTCATACGGGATACACACCCTTAATTCTTGCTACAGAGATAGGGCACGCTGGGGTTGCCTCACTTCTAGAGAACGCTGGTGCTGCTCCACATATCAAGAAAATACGTCAAGAGCTGAGGAAATAGCCAGGATTTGCGGGAATTTTCAGACACCTGACACGCTGGGCAGTAATTATACTAGAAAGGGACCAGGTGGGTTGGAATCCACTACCAGAAATAAGCCGCGTGCACTCACATAATACAATGAAGTTTCGCTAAGAGTGTCTATTATAAGATGGAGATACGGACGGTCAGCACTGCTCTAGGGTCGCAAGGATACTTTAGCAATTTTTGAGTTGGTATAGGTTCCAGCCAGGGAAATCGTGGTGGGTTTAAGAACTATCCATTTCTGAATCGTTTATATATTTAGGTTTCGATATAAGATAAAAATCACTCCCTATCGATTGCTATACCATAGCCAGATCGAACATAATTATAGGAGCCATTCGTAGGGTGCTTAGTCTTAAGAAGAATGTAAGCGTTTCTGATGGAAATCAATATTTTTACTGTCAATCCATCCCTGTTGATATGCGTTAGAGTCTCGAGCTGCCACTGAGCGCCTCTTGGAGTGTCGCAGCTTGATATCATGCTCCTTGAGAAAATCGTCCGCAACCTGCTCCGAAGTTGCACGAAACCGAGTCAGCTGCATCTCAGATGCCCACAGTGAGCTTAATGCAGTGCTCTCGCTCTTAACAGGTGCTAGAGGTTTGATGATGGTTCAGGCTTCACAAAGGGAGGGATGCCGACGAGGTCAGTACTCTGTGAGTCTTTCTTGATAAATTTCTCAATACTTTCCTCAATATCGCCCGTGAGATCGATTACGCTCTCATCTGCCTCGTTGAAATCGGCTTTTCCTTCACTGCCATTTTCTGGTTTAATATCCGTTGGTCCGAAAAAGTCAGACATACTGTCGCTGCAATAACTGTCCGCATCGGAAGAGTCGTCCGGCGAAGGTAGGCTGGTGAGTCTATCCAGCACCCGTTGGCGCTCCATCGCCTCTTCTCTTTCCCTAGCAGCTACCATATCCAGCTCCTTGCGCCGGACCTCCTCAAGCTCTCTCTTCTTCTCGCGTCTGGCCATGGCGACAAGCCCATCGGCCACACCAATCCGATAGCTGTACGTGGGGCTGCCACCCTTGTAAGCGCACGCCCAGTCCAGGATCTTATTATGCGCCATCTCGAATCCGAATGCCGCGGGACGGTGTTTTCGGCGATGCCGAAAAAGGTCCAGGATATGGAGGTTCGGCGATCCGTGGAGAAACATTTGCAGTCAAAGAAGGTGCACATCGCATGGGCCAATTTGCGGACAAAGGTCTCATTCATGACTCGCTTGGAGCTGTCCTTGGTGTTGGTAATAGTCACCTCGCTTCTTCCTCCGTACTGTGCTTTGCTTTCGCTGTCAGTACCAGCAATCAGATCCGCCTGGGTGACATTATATCGGCTCATCAGTTTATGGGCGATAAAAAGGGCGGTTTTTGCTTCTGACTCGTTTCTGGCTGTGTGGTTGGCTGTCGTTAGGCATTTCTGGATTTTATCCAGAACCTCTATCAACTGTCTCGGTGGTATCCCTGATGCTCTCTGTAGCTTCCACCATTGCTTTCTGAAGTGGCTCCCTTTTCTGCCTCGTTCCCCTTTGGGTAAGGCCATGATGAAACCTTTGCGCCGTAGTTATTGACATGGCGGAGGGGTTGGACTGCCAAATTTCCCGTGATGTGCAAGAGTAGTGTAAGAATACTTGGTGTAGTAGGACATGCCGCCCTTTTAAACTTTTTCACTGGTTCTCATCACAGTAACCCCCGTTCGGAGCCATGAGCACCGCCCTTTTACTTAGTGGCCGAAGCCAGCATCCATTTGCACCACCTTCTGAACGCAGGCCAATAATCTCTTTACTAAACACTGTGGCATATGTTTCCCAGGGCGTTACTTTTATCGACTAGGACATCACATGATTTATTTCTACCACAAAAGTCAATGAACACATTTACGACGAAGGTCAACGCTAGCTTTCGCTGGATGTATTTGTGCGATGTCTACGCATAGCACAAGTCCATTCGCTTCAGCCTTGCTGATTGCTCTTTGGTTATAGATCAGTTTGCGCCATGTTAGGCACTCTCATGTTCCGTATTTAGTAGGCTTTTTGTCTGCTCATTACCTATGACATGCCTCGTGACGGCAGTGGCACTACAGTAGTGTGTTTATCAATTTATGTGGAGGCTTGACTCTAACGACTACAGCACTACGCACTAGGGGTGCTCGAGACAAATTTCCCTTTGTAACCTGTTCAAAAAAAAAAAAAAAAAAAAAAAAAAAAAAAAAAAAAAAAAAAAAAAAAAATTAAGTAGTGACTGACTCAATGGCTTTCAACTGTTCTACTAATGTATTCCACTTGGCGAGGAGGAGCCTTGTAGACATGAAAGATTCCAGGTCTATTGTTGTCCTTTTGCAAAGAAAGTGGTCAATCCATATACAGTACTTTGAACAAGTGAACGGCCCGCTTACTGTAGAATCAATCATTGGTTTGCATTAGCAAATAAGGCAATTTACATAAGTTCCCTCGCAATCTCGGAATACAGTGTTCAGTTACTGAATATGGACCGGGCAAAAGGGCATAGAATTCAGTAATGGTTTTCGAGGATACAAACCAGGAAACCCAACTCCTAAAGCTGATGAGAAAATCCCTTTTTGATGGCGTATAATCTGATTTAAATTTCGTTCTCCATATTTAAAAATTTACTGTAAGTAAATCTGTACGAGTCTAGACGCAAAATTATTCCCATATATTTAACATCCACTGCGGCAGTTTCTTCACTCCTTTAAAGTGAGCATTATAGAGCATCTTCATTTATACCACAGCTTAACTTTCTATTTGCCCTTTTTCTGTACCGTTTATATACTATTAATGGCTGCGACAGCTGACGACTTCAAGCTAGCTGGTGTCGCTGCTGGCTTTACTTTGGGGTTTGGATTTCTGACTGTCTGGAACGCTATAAAACAGACACGAGCTCATCCATCGCCTTATCGCAGTCCATACTTTGTCATGGTATGGGGTGAGATATTCGCCAATCTAGCCATTGCTATAGTTGGATGGCTCTTCCTAGAGGAAGTTATTCCCACAGGGTAAAGAATATCTCCATACAACACCGGCCATCTAATAAATTCTCGGTTGCGTATATTGACTCAGCTATCTATCGCAGGATTCTGGTTTTGTTTACCATTCTATTCTTGTGGGCCTTGGAGATCCATTTCCTTATGCAGATTCTTGTAAATCGAGCTATGATTGTGGCAGACAGGACAAGAAATGTAGTTGCTGTTAGATGGTGCACAGCTGCTGTTATTGACGAAGTGGAGGTGGAGACTCATGCCGTAGGACTGAACTTCAAGGTTGGCTCGGGTGCTGATTTTGCATTTCGTGAAGCAGGGGCTAACCATCCCGGATAGGACATACTCACAGCAATTGGCATCATTAAATCGTCGACTCTAAGATTTGGGTATGAAGCAAGCGGCGTCGTTCGGCGGGTGGGCAAGAACGTGACGAATCTAAGTGTTGGCGATCGGATTATGTTGATGAGCACGGCTACCTTCAGCACATTCCTTGTTGTCCCGAGTATCCTCTGCGTGAAGATCCCGGATCACTTAACCTTCGTGGACGCGGCGTCGTTGCCAGTCGCTTACGCGACAGCGATTCACGCCCTCAGGGACGTTGGCCATGTTGACAAGGGCCAGGTACAATTTACCACGAATATGCTGCGAATGGCAGGCTCACATTTACTGACTGTTCTAATGAGTTTAGTCCGTGCTTATTCACAGCGGCTCTGGTGGCATTGGGATGGCGGCCATCCAAGTTGCTCGGCTCCTCGGTGCCGAGATCTTCGTAACCGTGGGTAGTATGGAGAAGGTGCAGTACCTCACCGAGCAACTAGCCGTTCCGCGCCACCGTATATTCAGCTCCCGCGACGGGTCGTTCGTGGACGGGATCATGATCGAAACACAGGGGCGAGGCGTGGACGTGGCCCTGAATTCGCTCTCGGGCAAGCTGCTCCACGACACTTGGCGTTGTGTTGCTGAATTCGGGACCATGGTCGAGATCGGGAAGCGTGACCTGCTCGAAGCCGGAAAACTTGATATGGGCATATTCTTGCCAAACCGGGGCTATTGCGCGGTAGACATGGACCATATCCGCGAAAAGAGACCGTTGGTTATCAACCGGTGGGATTCCCCCCCCCACTCTTCCCTACTAATATGGACCGGCTTTTATTTGCTTCAGTCATCTCATTTTGCTGATCCCTCACAGACTACTAAATTCAATCCAGCAGTTTACGAGTCATGGACACATCAAACCTGCGACTCCCTTGCATGTCTTCGAAGCCAATCGAACAGAGGAAGCATTCCGCTTCATGCAACCCGGTCACCATATTGGGAAGATCGTGGTTGCGATGCATAGTGCCTCTGGATACAGCCCTCCCGATATTACTAAGGGACAACGAGAAGTTGAATTCGACGAGGATGCGTCCTATCTTCTTGTCGGGGGCCTAGGGGGGCTGGGGAGAATGATCGCGATCTGGATGGTGGAGCGCGGGGCCCGTCATCTGCTCTTCCTGTCACCTAGTGCGACACTCAACAACCATGCTGGCTTTGTTCGGGAGCTGGTTAGCATGGGATGTCAAGTACATATGTGTCAGGGAAACGTAGCGGAGCCGACAGACGTGAAATGCGCCATCATGTCCACGCCAAAGCCACTGAAGGGGGTTGTGCAAATGGCTATGGTCCTTTGCGATCGGGCTTTTCCGCAGATGACCCTGAACGAATGGATCGCTGTAACCGAACCTAAGGTACAGGGGACGTGGAACCTCCACCGGCAACTCTTATCGGCCGGGGCAGATCTCGACTTCTTTGTCCTCTTCAGCTCTCTATCGGGCATTGTCGGTCAGCCCGGGCAGGCCAACTATGCGGCTGCGAACGCGTTCCTGGATGCTTTTGTTAGCTACCGTCGGAGCATCGGGCTTCCTGCATCAGCGTTGGACATTGGCGCCGTCACGGATGCAGGCTACCTCTCAGAGAACTATGCAGCGATGCAAAAGGTGAAGGCAACAGGGATGTTTGGCCTGTGCGAACAGAGCGTACTCGATGCGTTCGCGTTAGCCGTCACCAGCACTTCAGATGAGGAGCAGAAGCCTGCTGGTGGAGGTGGTATTCGCGGTGATAAGATCATGATTGGGTTGCGTTCGATTATGCCGCTGTCGAACCCCGGCAACAGGTGCCCATGGAAGAAGGATCGGCGGATGGCTGTATACCATAACACCGCTGGTTCCAAGAGCGAGCAACCTGGGACAAATAATACTCTGGGAATCTTCCTCGCTTCGGCCAAGAGTGATCCTTCAAGCTTGTCCGGAGCTGAGGCAAGTAAAACTTTAGCCACCGAAATCGGGCGGAAGTTATTCACGCTACTTCTGAAGCCACTCGACCGACTCGATCTGCAGCTACCGCTGTCAGAGCTCGGCATGGACTCATTGGTTGCTGTAGAGATGCGTATTTGGTGGAGGCAGTCATTCAGGTTTGACATCAGTGTTCTAGAAATGCTGAGCATGGGGTCATTGGAAGTCCTGGGTAGGCACGCGGCCAACAAGGTGGCGCAGTCCTTGCGTGGCGGATCGGAATGAATATATCCATGGGAGAGATATCCGCCTCGATATCTTCATAGATGTGACCTGGTACTTCATAGGTAGGTATACAGTATTAAATGATGGCAGTAATTTCTCTATAGATGTTTTAGAAACTGATCAGCAGCTTTCCTAATCAGCAACTTGAGACCTAACGCCATTCAAATCCCTATTTATCATCGAAGTTGCTCTTAATATAGACTATTGTTCACATCGTACCAAGGCCGCGATGCACTTTAGTGGGGTCTCTCCTTCATTGACTAACCCAAAGCTGTAGTTGGACAGCGTATTGAGGACTGTTCAATTCCCCATAGGGACTTATTGAACAGGATATCATAGGGCAATATATTTTCAGCTACCCCATAGGACAGCCAAAGCACCTTGGCAACAGTGGGGTGGAAACAGCAGACCCTTAGAGAGGGTAAGGGGAACGTAACACCTGCATCAGAAAACGGCCGAAGTGAACTAGCATGGGCAACTGGTACTGTCGTTGATACTTAGAATCACCGCCTATTATCACTTTAAGGATACACATTAGACAGGGGCTACAAGTACCATGTGGCAGCTTGCATTAAAGCTCATCAGTGTATTGTAACTAGCTAAACTTGTGTATCACTTCCATGTGGGACGGATATTTTTCTGGACTATATGGTTTGTTGATAAGTAGGAGTTTCAGAGATTTTTGTGGCTTCTTGCGGAAGAATACTATTTACCGGCTCGTTTAACTTTAGGGCCGAGTAAACAAGAACCTTCTATTCTCGCGCAGTTGATATGTTCACGACACTGTTAATGCGAGGTATCCCATCCAAAAAAATGGTGAGCCAAACTAGCTTATCCTGATATCCAGGTAACTGTTGGATACAGTTATTGCCTTGTTTGATATAAAGTGTCGGTCCAACCTAATCCCAATATATTTAACAACACCACGTCATCTTTGTCTTTAAATAAGGCCTATATTCACGCCCCCTGTTCACGGTGGCGCCAATTCTACTATCTGATTTGTAGGTCCGATCAACACAATCTAATTTCTAAGAGAAAGCTACGGTATTTGTGCTTTCCATGTACAGACGACACTTAATCGGTCGGATCAGGTCCATTAGTCACTGGTTTCAGGGCCATCCGATCTATTGCCCTGTACGGTACTCTTTCTCTTTCTACCCCTGTCTTTTCTTAACTTTACAAATAGAAAATGGGAAGACAGGTAAACCACTATACCAAGGAGAAATGGCCTCATTATATATGACATATATTTAGTAGTTTAGGGGTTTGGTGTGTGGTCGCAGACCTAACAATGTGCCTTTTTTGCCCGTTGATGTAATTTTAGAAATCAAGCAGTGATGGCCACATCCAGCCCTGAAGAAAAGAGAGAAGATGAGGTTGAATAGTAAACAAGACAGCAAAGTGGTGAAGATAACGCCGTAGAGATAGATAAAATAGATTAGGACAAGTCATAAACTACACAGTTATTGTATGTCTTTGATATACAGAGGACCCAGAGCAGACGCTAATTCATGCTATTTTAATTCTTTCGGAATGGGCAACTAGCATATTCTGATTGTAGATTTAATTATTGTTACGGAAACACTAACGTTGCCGCCCATCTGCCGCCCGTTCCCGCCTGCCGCCCGATTGCTCTTACTCACCGACTTTTAGACTTCATGTTTTCAACTCCTCATATATCAACGAATATGGATCCAATTGAAGCGGCAATAGAAGCAATCAATTCGTTGGGACCTGGAGAAACGATCAAATAATTGCGAAAGATTTGATATTGACCGACATAAACTGCGAAGACATCATCAAGGAAAACAGCAGTTGTTGTGAACTCAGGGGAAGTGATGCACAGGGAGCTATTCTATCAACTACAGGCCAACTAGCCTAATTAGGAAGTAGATGTCATTCAGTGGAAACACCAGGAATCGTAGTATCTCAACCAACTGAGCCTACTAAGCGGTTCCCTATGTTCTCATTGAGGCGTTCAATTATCTAAAGGATTCAGGGGTTGAATCGATCGTCAGATACTCCGCACCGCCAAGTCGGGCGGATTATAGTGTTTCCGTAACACTGGTCTGATGCCAGATAAAGACTGCGTGAGGATTGTACTCCGATCTGTACTCACTGTAGTTTCGGTCGGGGGACCAGTCGGAGGTGAGGCTCGTCCCCCGAGTTCGGATTCGGACTCGTCAGATAGTTATGTCAAATAATATGGCCGTTGGTGGACCGGAATCATGTGACTGGATCGGGGTAAAACCCCCGCGGAGCACACAACAAGATAATCAATCAAGAATGTTGTGGAACTGCAGTAGGTCAGAGGAATTGGCATTGAATAGAGTGAACTAAGCCATTGAATTGGATGAGCGAACTTACTTAGTATACAGGAATTTTGTCTGTGGGAAGACATATATAAGCGAGGACTTCGCCGATCGTTCGGGTAATCCTTCGGGCCGATCCCATATTCATAACAAAGAATAACCAAGAAGAATAATCAAGAAGACACCAACCAGCTCAATTCATTCAAATAAGACCTTTTTACCAATCGTACTCTATTTCCTCTTCGGGACTAGCCGTATATCTAACAAGTTATCATTATCACATCATGACCAATCGCTTGGCATCTATAACCTGCAAACGAAAGCAAAGGATCATGCAAACACGTCGTCTGTTTTCCGCAAGAGAAATCTCTTTGTTATGACTCGAGTTGGATTACTAATGTTATCCCAATGCTCTTTTATGTTCTATCTATCGAATTACATGCCTCAGGTTGCAACACCACCACGCTATAATGCAATCTCCCCTTGAGTGTTTTTCTCTTTTTCCCCTCATAGGATTAATTTAGCCCTAAACCACCCGCCATCAATACCAACAACATATTAACTAAGAATACAAACATGACCACCACTATCCAGAAAGTTGCCATCTTCGGGGTATGTCCAATGTCTACTACCCCTCTGTGATTAAAAAATCCCCCTCCCTTGAAACTGACCCCCGCACGGGCATCGGGCAACTTTGGCACTCCCATCACCGCCACCCTCCAATGCGCCGGCTTTAACATCACCATCATCACCCGTACCGAGTCCTCCTCGACTTTCCCCGCCGGCCTGCCCGTCATCCGCACCAGCTACACCCTCGAGAACCTGACCACTGCCCTCGCAGGCCAGGATGCCGCCATCTGCGTGGTCGGCCCCGGCGGCATCGGTGCGCAGGTCACCATGATCGAGGCCGCCGAAGCCGCCGGCGTCAAGCGATTTATCGTCGACGATTTTGGCTGGGGCCCGGATTTCCGCAACCTACCGGAATTCCGCGCCATTCACGCTCATCGTCGCGCCGGTTGGGAACTGGCTAGAGCGAAGGCCAAGGCGAATCCCAACTTTACGTTCACTGGTATCACCTCGGGGAATCCTATTGATTGGGTAAGGCTTGCCTATTTTTTTCTTTCTTTTTTGTGTGTATGAGAGGAGGGGAATTTTTGTCGTGCTGACTCGTGGTTCATTTTTCTTTCCTGTTTGGTGTAGGCAATGAAGCGATTCCCTCTGATGGGCTTCGACATCGCCCGGTGTTCGGCCCTCATCTACGACTCTGGCACGGAGAAATTCACCGCCACCACCCTCGCAGGCATCGGGCAGTCGGTCGTCGGCGTCCTGCAGCATCCCGACGAGACGGCGAATCGGTTCGTGAAGGTCCTGTCGATCATCACCAACCAAACCGAGCTGCTGGAGGCTTTCCAGCGCGTCACGGGCCGACAATGGCCAGTGCAGCGCACCTCAGCGCAGACCCTGATCGAGAGCGGACAGCGTAAGTTTCAGGCGGGCATGGGCGGCTGGATTTTGGAATTGGTGGTCGCGCAGATGTACGATGAAGGACAGGCCCGATGTGCCATGGCTCCTTCGTGGGAGGCGTCGGATTCCCCCCTGCTGGGGGTGAAGAATGAGAGTGCAGATGAGGTGGTGGCCAAGGTTTTGCAGTTGTGAACATTTTGTTGTATGTAGTAAATTTAAGCATTGAGGCCCCAACCTTGGTAATAGGATGGACTTGTTTTTTTTCTTCTTTTTTTTCTTGGCACATTTGCGCTTATCGTTTGACGGGGTTCTTGGGCCTACATTCGGCGTCGTCGACAGGGTGGAACACCACGCGCATGGGATCTTCGGGGGTGTTGTAGCGGAAGCCCTTGTTCCAGTCGTAGCTCGCGGCGTAGGCGAAGATACTGCCGTCATGGTTGAAGCCCGTCGAGGTGATAGGGTCAGCCAGTCGACAGAGCAGTGCAACAAACGCTGCCAGGTAAAAATGCGACGGAGTTGACTTGGCAGATTTGCAAACCTGGCGGATTTGTCTTCCAAGACTCACGTCCAGGCGTTGTTGTACTCGGTAGTGACCATATTGTAACAGAGTTTTACGGTCGGTTACAGTCGTGAGAGGTAATATCGGAAATTCCGGTGGTATATCAGGAAATTTTCTTTTCCAGAAGGTGAGGTCTTTATTCCACGACCCATCGTCTCGCTCCTGACATTGCTTGGCAGCAAAATCGGGGTACTGAAGAACTTACATACTAAGAGACTGTCTTTGGTAAACCTTCTGCAAATCGGATAGAATCACCTCAAGACTAACACCATCCATATTGATATGATGGTAGCCAATTATCAGGTAGTGCACTTGAGGTGTAGCGGACGCCGTTGTAGGGCACAACAAGAGAATCCTCATCATCTGCCCATGCTCAATGTTATAAATGCGATTACTAATTTCCCTAGTACCATCTTCAACATTAGTCATAATGCGATAACTCTTCCTTTCCAGTCCCAACGTTGATTGCACGAGGATGGTTTGCACGGGTGATTCTCCATTCTCGACGGATAAGCACGTCCTGAGGGCTTCATGTCGTTCGCCTACCACTCGAACTGCTCGTTCGAGGGCATCAGCAGACAAAGGGCCTTCGAGCCGCATTGAACAGGTGATATTAAATGTAGTTAGATCCTCGAGGTATAGACGGAGGAACCAGAAACGGGATTATGCAAATGATAGTGGTTCCTTGCGTCACCCTGAGCCAATAATGTTTCCCGACTGTTCGGGAATATTTACTTGCTCGGGTTATCTTGATGCAGCAAGCTACTCTCATCTTCACTGACTTGAGGTGTGTTGATAATGCCGAAGCTCCCAGCCGGGGTATCATCGCCTCGAGATATGTCAACCGCACTAGAAGCAGCGCTTATTCGCGTAGGTGATTCTTTGCCAACTGATAAAGACTTGGTATTAAATAGAGAGAACTAAGCCATTAAATTGGATGAGCGAACTTAGTATACAGGAATTTGTCTGTGGGAAGACATATATAAGCGAGGACTTCGACGATCCTTCTGGTAATCCTTCGGGCCGATCCCATATTCGTAGCAGATAGAAAGAAGAAAAAGACCTACCAGTACGTAGTAGATATACATCTTTATAATACACTTTATCTTTATGCAGCTAGATTTATGTTGAATTATTGGGGGGTTCTGAAGTGATTGTATTCAGAAGGATGTTCCGCCCTACCAACCCTTCTGTGAGGAGTATTGGGTATATATATTCACATGATGTCCCAATATGGACTAGCTTTATTCTTACAATTTAGTAGGAAGGCGGTTAAAGGTGCGGTAAGAGAACTTAACAAGAAATTTGATTGTTGCGGAGTGGACGTAATGGCTTGACGTAAGCGTGATTTCAGATGGTAAAGAATTTCCTTCCGTACATGACGCACCGCATCCGAGATTCCACCAACAACTAGAAACTCCGTCATGGGATCGAAGACGTCAGCACTGGACGACCCCAAGGGATCGCGAAGGAACTGAACAGTTTGGTCCATCGCTTGGGATACGATAGCAGATGCAGGGAATGGAAGTGCATCCACATCTGATGTAACAATATCAACGCCAGAAAAGCCGGTCTTGAGCAGCAGCCGATCCCATTCCTCGTTGGTAACGCAAGGAGAGAGTAATCGGCCATCGTCAGCACCAAGCCACCATCCAGGGAAAGATCCAAAATGTATCCTAAACGAGACTGCTCGAGATTTATAGCCTCGAGCATGACCAGATATACACCGGGTTTCACCAGCCGTCTAATGTTGCTCAGAGTGTGTTCCAATTTCGACGTCGCATGGAGTACAAATGATGCAATAATGAGATGGTATGAATGCTCTGAAAATCCTTGCGAGACAATGTCCTTCTCAGCATCAAGGACCTTGAAGAGCATATAATCCTCATAACTGGAGAAGAGCTCCCTGGCATTGTCAAAGAACCCGCTCGATATATCTGTGAAAGTATAGCTAGCAAATCTACGCCCAATAGTGCTGATGACTTTCTTCGTTGCACTGCCAGTTCCAGCACCTAAATGGAGTAGATTCATTCAGTCAAGTTCTCTGTGAGCCTCATAAATAGATAAATGTACCAATCTCAAGGATACTCATATGAGGATGACGATACACAATTTGAGATACCACCCGAGCCAAATATTCAGAGTAGTAGGCAATTCCCAAAGCTTGCTCATAGTATTTAATAGGTTGTCCTTCGTGAGATACTCCAAAATGTTGGATGGGCCATCGATGACTTTCGCCATGTGCTCTCCAATAATGTGCATCATAGCAAGGTCGACATTCTCAGGAAATCTAAAATTGCTTAGCGAGCCAAAATACAATTTAGGGGAAAATATAGCTAACTTTGTCTTTCAACCGCCCATATCGCAACTCCTACCAGGGTTGGCCAAAAGGGACTACTCTAAGCCCAAGGCCTACAGAGTTATTTCCCTGCTTAACTGCCTAGGCAAAGTGGTAGAAAAGATTATTGCAACTAGATTATCTTATCTAGCCGAACTCCCGCAATCAATCCTTTACCATGACCAAATGGGGAAGAAAAAGAATATCTGCAATTGATACAGCACTATCTCTAGTCCATGACATAGAGCTCGCAAAACATAATAAAGAGGTCACCACAGCCCTTTTTATTGATGTAAAAGGGGCGTTTGACCATGTCTCGCTTAATCAGCTACTTCGTGTTTGCCTTAAACTAGGCCTTCCACAGAGCCTGATTAGGTGGATCAAGTCATTTATGTTAGATAGAAGAGTATTCCTCGCGTTTGACGGGGAAACCAGCAAGGAGACACCAGTCCAAGTAGGGATCCCCAAGGATCACCTATATCACCTATTCTGTTCCTTATATATATTAAAGAGCTTTTCCAGCTTGAAATGTATGAGGAACTAGGTGGTGATGCAAGGGAAGCATTTAAAAATATTTAAAAGCCTAGCTATATGGATGATATATGCCTAACTATCAGCTCTAAAAGCCTAGAAATAACTGCAGGCAAATCGAGCTGGTAGCCAACGCAATATTTCAAAAAGGAGCCAAAGACCATATCTAATTCACAGGATAAAATAGAGCTTATTATTTAGCTCTAAACAACCGGATCAAGAAAAGGAAGACACCCAAGTTAGACTAGATAACAATATCAAAGTCAAACCAAGCCCAATGGTAAAATGGCTAGGAATCTACTTAGATTCTAAACTCCTTTTCAAGGAACATGTCCAATTTAGAGTTGCATCTGCAACCTGAATATTTCACCAAATAGCGAGGCTTTCAAATACAGAAAGGGGCTAAGTTTTCAAGCCATGAGACAACTTTATATTGCTTGTGTTTCCTCCATTGCAGATTATGGAGTCCCTTTATGGTGGAAAGGCCAACAGTATTTGGTAGACCACTACCAAAAACTGCAAAACACAGCTCTAAGAAAGATTCTAGGGACTTTTAAAACATCGCCTGTACTGGCCATGGAAATAGAAGCATCCCTGCCTCCACCATTAATTAGATTTAATAAAATCTGCAGAAACTACGTACTTAGAACTGCTTATTTTATAAAATCCCATGCAATTTAAAGCAGACTCCCCACCACATTTATGCTAAAACCGGGGGAATTCTCCATTAACCAATCAAGGTTTTGGATTGGAACGAGAAACCTAGATTACTAGATGCAGAAGACCCTGAATACCATCCTAGAGAGAGAAAGAGAAAATACCCTAGCCAGTTAATCCGACTGCTAGCACTATTCTCCTTTAAGACGTGGAAAGGCACCTTTCAGACGCTAGATCAAACCCTACCGCCCTGGTCCCAACCGTTAAACCAAGTAGTAGATATATCTATATCTAGCAAACCAAAAGAGCAAGCAGCCCAGGAACACAAGACGCTAATATCTCAATGGCTTGCTAATAGGGATAACCACAAAATTATCTTCTATTCAGATGGATCCCAGCTGCAGAGTGGTCAAAACGGAGCAGGAATTTTCCTCCTAGAGAATAATCCTTAAAATCAAAAGGTTTGGGCGTGGAATCTAGGTCATGAATACAAGGTCTACGATGTGGAGTTATTTGCTATCCAAAAGTATTAAAACAAGCATTTAAGGCTATTTAAATTCCAACTTTAGATATCTACATCTTTTCGGACAGTCAAGCAGCCCTAAAAAGGCTTTAATTAGCAGACACCAGCTATGAACCATACCAAAGAATCTTTAAATAGGTAACTAGAATTAAGGAAAAGAATATCAATATTCATATCCAATGGGTTCCAGGCCATCAGGGAATTTTTGGTAATGCCAAAGCTGACGAAGCAGCGAAATACGGCGCAGAATGGACAAGTAAATATTATAAATATCCTATTTCAGTTAGCCATCTTAAACGAGAGCTCAAAGCGAAATGCCTTGAGGATTGGGATAAGCATGGGAAAATGCTAGGAAAAGTATCAATATAGGGGCTTTAATTCCATAGCTTTATAGAAACCAAGCCCCCTAAAGCTTCCCAAGCAGACCTGGTCAACCATTATCCAGCTAAAGCTAGGGCATGGGTATTTTAGATCCTATCTAGTTCGAACACCTAACTACGATAGCGATATATGCACATCGTGCTGCAGCGACAAGTGCTAAACTCCGCACCACCTACTTTTTCAGTGCCAGGCATTTAGGGATATTAGAAAAGGGTCTATAGAGACCCTAGACAAAAAAGACCGAAATCTGCCTTATCTGTTTACAAAGAAAGCAGGGCAAGAGCAACTGGTTAAATTCTTAAAGGAAACCGGGATCGCCACTAGAAAGTGGCTCCTGGATCCTTAAAACAAAAATAGTCAAAAACAAATAGTAGAAAAAGGAAAACAGAGCAAAAACAGTTAAAAGAGTTGGAATTCCACATGGTTTAACCCCTTTTATAAGGTCCTCCCCACTCCTAGAATGTCATACTGCTTATTCATGTTTGATTTTACCCACTATGTACGTATCTGTTTGTTAGTTCAAATCCTACCACCCAGGGGTGGTAGGTAGAGCATGCATAGTCTCTGACTGAAAAATGCTCTATAATATGGAAGAATAATAATAATAATAATCCTACCAGGGTTGCAATATGGGCGGTTAGATAAGGCTTTTTTCCCTTTTTCTTCTTTCTCCCTCTAAATCGGCTGTTTTCGGGCTTATATTTTTTAATAGGGATATTATTATTCCAAATGGTAAGATAGAGAAAGATCGTGGATTAAATTGTTAGTTTTGTTCTATGTTCTGGGTGAATATAAAGAAGAGAAATAAATATTAGTTAATATATATACTGCGGCACAACCACCCCCACTGTTAATAGATCAGGCAGACAACAAATATAAGAAGGCCAAAGAATCTTTAGCTTTCAGTTTTATCTCCGAAATCTTTATCCATCACTCTCGAATATTATTTGAAAGTAAATAATTTCCATTTAGAAAATCTTTTCAAGATGCTTTTTGGTGCTACCCTACTTTCTGCTATAGCACTCCTTGCCGCAAACCAGGTTGTTGGAGCTGCTGTAGAGGTTCCACGCAGTGTAGGCTCTGTTCAAATTGCTACCTCTCTATGTTGGTTCTTGATAAAGTAATGATCTGCATATTATATGGTTGCCTAACTTGCGAGTACTTTAACCCTCTTCATGTATTCTAGGTGCCAGAGTCAACCATCCAAGGAAATATAGTGGTTATCGTTGTCTAGGACATTAATAATATATCGTTCCCTATATTAGGCAACTGGTTGCGTGCAGCTGTTCGATGAGCTTACTGCCTTCTTCCCCCCCTAAGTCACATCAACAACAAAGTCGGTATGAAGACGGTGAACATGACTTCGAAAGCCGCTATGCGGCGGAAGATTATTTAGTCGCTCGTGGCTAGATGGGATACAAAGACATCCACCCAGCACCAGCGGTGCTAGAATCTCGATGCTGCATATATCGAAAGCCTGGGAGGTGAACTGCAGGCCTCGGTTATGTGCATATTCGCCATAAGAAGTGGCGAACATATCTATCCATGTGTAAACCGAGTCATGCCTGATGGCAACATCTTGCGGCTTTCCAGTGCTCCCTGAGGTGAAGGTGTCCGATTACGTTAGAGGATGAGTCGTCTTGTTCAATTGCTACTAGGGTCATTCTCAGCAATGCCTTTGCCTCCGACTTCTGAGCCAGAGTAAACTAAGAGTTACATGTATAGATTTCCTATATAGTACATATCTGTACTATCACGCCCACACCGGATGGTTTAGTTGACTGCGCGTCGCCACCATAATATCCACCATAGCCAATGTTGCACCCCCCATCACCTCCAACACCGTCACATCCGCCGCAAACTGGCTGCCTATCCAATTGCAGAGCTCCACGGCTAAGAGCGAGTCGACCCGGTACGTGTACAGGGGCGCATCCACATCCACTTCTGTATCTTCAGGGACAACTCGCCACGACCACTTGAGTTTGTTGATCAGTGCTCGGGTTACAACTTCCCGTGCTGCTTGCAGGGAGCTGGCCTCGACGAACAGCTTTTTGAAATCTCGTTGATCTTCTCCGCCCTCTGTCGACACGTCGCTAGAGGCATTCTCCAAAGTTAGTCGACGGAAGAGTGGCTTCTCAACCATCGTGCTCCCCAAGTAGCGGTCAGCGCGGCTAGCAATCCCGAAGATCATCTGCGCCTCATCTGGGATCAATAGCGGTTGCTCCGGGTTACAGTAGTAGTCCAGGATGCTGAAAAATTGCGAGCGGCTCACTGGGTCCAGGGAGCCATACTCAAGCACCTTTTCTGCCAACCCGGCGGTTTCAACAAGTATGCCGTCATCGACCATAACTCCTAGATCAACAGAAATGGCTTTTTGTCCTTTCGCAACCCGACAGCGCGCAAAGCCGTCCATGAAAGAATTCCCTGCCGCGTAGTTAGACTGGCTAGGCAGTCCAACAATCGCACTGACGGAGGAAAGCAGAACCAAGAAATCAAGATCCCTAGGAAGATTCGCTTCGAGGTTAGTAGAGCCCAGAGTCTTGCACTCAGTTGCGGCACGCCATTCCTCGTAAGCCATCTCGTGGAACATCCGGTCGCGGAGAACCATCGACCCCTGCACGCAACCCTTGATCGGGGGCATTGTCTGCGTGATCTCGTACATGACCCGTCTAACAGACTTCGAGTCAGTGACATCGCATGGAGGAGCTTTAACCGCGACACCTTGCCCCTCGAGCTCTTCGATCAGCTCGAAAGCGGCTTTGGCCTTTGCACCGGATCGTCCAAGGAGGACTAGATGTCTCGCGCCCCGCGTAGCCATCCATCGGGCCATCGTGCGGCCAAGGCCTCCTAGGCCCCCAGCGATAACGTATGTAGCGTTTGGATTGAGACTGAACGGGACCTTCGTGCTAAGCGTGGTAGGCACTTGAGCCTGGGGTGTTAATTCCACCACGGCCTTGCCGACTGTGGTGCCACCCTCCATTTGACGGAAAGACTCTTCGATGTCGCTGACGCTCCAGACCTGCAGTGGCTTCTGCACATGGAGCTTTTGATCTTCGAACAAGCGGATCACTGTTTCGATGGCCTTCTTTGCCGCATGTGGTCTGTCCCGCACCCAGCGAGCACTGTCAAAATGTGTATATGAGGCTTGTCGACCTGACAGTGCGACGGGAAGGCTGAAACTGGATGAAGTTTCCTTAATATGAGTATCCACTAACCGGCCGTACGGTGCAATACATTCTATCGACGCAAGTAGAATTTCCCCACCCAAATTATTCATGACCATGTGCACGCCATGGCCGTTTGTCTTTCGCATTAGGCCTTTAGCAAAAGTAGGATCTCGGCTGTAGAAAATATGGTCCGCGGGGATATTGTATTCCATCATCAGAATCTCTTTCTTTTCCTGCGAACTTGTTGTGGCGTAAACCTCAGCACCGATATGCTGTGAAATCTGAATAGCTGCTTGACCAGACCCACCGGCTCCAGCATGAATGAGAATGCTTTCACCTGTTCGAAGACGGCCTATCTCGACGATGGCTTGCCAAGCCGCTCCAAACTGAGCTGGAATGCTAGCCGCTTCTGTAAAGGGCATGCTGTCTGGTATCTTGCACATGGAGTCACTTTTGCATCTTGCTGTGGTCTTGAATTTACCTGGCCCGAAAGCCGCCACTCGATCGCCCGGCCGGAATCCAGAGGCCTCGCCTGCATGTACCACCACTCCTGCACACTCTTGACCAAAAGTTGTCTCAGGGTCTTTGCCTAACGCAATCTGGCAGTCTCTGAAGTTGAGGCCTACGGCTTTCACCTCCATCTCTACCTCATCCAGAAGCAGTGGCAGCCCATTCTCCTCATCGTCGGTCCACTGCAGTGTGTTGTGCAAGCCGGGGGCCGTATAGACGAGTTTAACAGGCCCAGCCTCCTCTAGAAGCTTGTTGCCTGATTGCTGAGGGAGCGATGCCCTGTGCAGATCATTACTTAAGGAGGCATTGGGCTGGATCCGCACCACGTGGAGGATTCCGTCAATCTCGACAAATTCAGGCTCGTATGTCTCCTGTTCAACATCTAGAACCCCATCCATAAGAACGCGTACAATATACGACACCTGGGTTTTGCTGACATGGCCTTCAATATCTAATGCAAGTGTAGATAGTCGCCGATTAGATCTTTCACTGCGCAGAGTCCGAGCCCAACCATCAACGATCGAAAATTCGGGTCTCTTGGGAGATTGGCCGCCACCTGCTGTTACCCAGAGAATGGAGTTGCAGTAGTTAACCAGATGCTGAAGCTTCGTAAATGTGTCACGACTCATGTCGCTCAGTAGTGGCGTTTCTGTTTCTTGGACGAAGACGAGATTCACACTTGCGAGAGATGGCAATGCGGCACACAGGTCCAGGTCACCACTCGCAACGGTCAACTGGGGATCCTGGACTTGAAGCAAAATTCGGGCCTCCTCGTAAATCTTTCTCTGCACAGCAGAGCTTGCATCGATAACAAAGTAGATAGTTTGTGGCACCGGACGAGGTACTGCTGATCTGGATGCTGTGGTAACCAAGATGGAGGCTTCTTGACATTCCAGATCAAGGAAGTCGGGAAACTCGATGTCCACACCCGAGAAGCCAGTCTTTCTCAGTACTGCGTCCCACTGATCACTTGTCAACACTGGACTCCAGGCTCTATCTTCCTCTTCTCCTGCCCACCAGCCTTCCATCAGCCCAGTCAAGAAAGAAGACCGTATAATTTCCGGTCGAGTGACCTCGTAAAGCATCAATTTCCCACCGGGCTTTAAGAGGGCGCGCACATTATGCATTGTCTTGAGGATACTAGGTGTGGCATGCAAAACATTGGCCGCCACGATTAAATCATATGAACCAAGCTCAAAGCCTTGTAAGGAGGGATTGTCCTCTATGTTCAAGGTCTTAAAATTAATGCGAGGGAATTTTTTGTAGCGCTCCGCTGCCTTTTCAAAAAATGCTGCAGAGATATCAGTGAAGTCGTATGTTATATAGAGGGGGCTGTTCTCAGAGACCCCGCTGCCGAGGGTTAGAGCATGCAATATATGGTTCGTAGTTCCACCAGTACCGGCTCCGATTTCAAGTATCCTCATCGTTGGATTCCCTTGTGCCAGAGTTCGGAGGTAAAAGCCCCAGGTATCAAAACAGAGTGGTCGATTGTTGACTTCTTGATAAAACTTGACCATCGTGTCGCCTGAGAACAAGAACTGCAATGGATCCTGTTCACCACGCAAAATAGGAACCAGATTGCGCCCAGTACGGATGAGGACTTCGCCCTGGTTATTCTCGGCAGCGACACGGTTACAAGCTGTGTCAAAGTACTCTGGATCCTGTAAAAGCTCTGTCCACTCTGGTCGGCTGAGTGGGAGTCGTCCCATTTCGTATTTGGACCGCTGTAGTCTCGCCCATTGGGTATACCGGGAGATGTGTGCCGGTACGGCCTCCACATTAGTGTCGCCAAGTTCTTTAAGAGCTTGATCGAGGAACTTGTATAGGACAAAGTTCAAATCCCTAAAAAAATGAAGCGGTTCTACATCTCGGGGTCTTGCTTGCTCACAATACCTAGCGAGTTGATCTGTGGTAAGCATACCTAGGTCTGGAACTCGTGTAACATGGTAGCTGGTCGGCGTCGTTTCGTTTTGGTTCCCAATCTCTCTGGTGCGGTCGGCGACAACGGTTGACTGAATGCCATCTACCTGAGCAAGTATCCGATCTCGTTTTTCATTCAGGGCGCAGATGGAAAACTCGTGCCCACGACGGTGTAGCGCTGTCTTCCATGCACAAGCATGCACTGCCTCAGTAGTAGGATGGCTTAAGCCTTCCTTACTAACCCAGAGGTTGCGAATGCCCGTGGGGATGGCAGTGGGAAGTTTGATTTGGCCTCCTTCAGACAGAGCCGCGGCAGTCAGATGAAAGATGCCATCTAAGGTGGTAGGGTGAACAACGTGCGGCTGGGGGTACTGCTCTGCAGTCCACGGAAAGACCTTGATTAATGACCTAGCCTGATGTAAGCTGTTACATTTGCCACCAATAATTGTTCGGAAGGCAGGCCCAAATTCGAAACCACTCGAGTTCAGACATTCATATAATTGCTTGGGATTGAAGTTCGTCACACAAGCTTGGGAAATCGCGTCATCTTGTTGAAGGCAATCCTCCAATTCATGGCTTCCCCCTTGAAGTTTGTTGCTCGTCACATAATAGTCCACCTTGATGAAGCCATGACAATTTTCATGCCATTCGCTACTCTCAAATGAACAAAGTCTGAACTCTAACCAGGGTACATTCGAATTGTTGCTATCCTTCAAAGTGCGGAGAAGCAGATTGGTCTCCACACCATCTGCGGTCTTGGGAACGGTCAAGGCACGCTTGAATTTAACATCTTTGAGCTGAAATCCCATAACGTTCCGACCTGAATCGGCAGTCTGATTTGCAGCTTCAATAGCCATAACAAGCATACCAGCGGCCGGATAGATGAGAGCGCCATTGATTACATGGTCTTCCACCCACGGCAATTCTGAACAGCGTATATGATGGCGCCATCTAGCTTCCAAAGGATTCCAATCCACTACTGGCTTTCCAAGGAGATCTAGTCTCCCTTGCTTGGCAATGCGGCTTTCCTTACTTATACGGCTTTCGCGCCAGTAGGACGTGGAGTGATTGAATGGGTATTGTGGGAGGTCGACGAGCACCCGTTGGCGCTTTCCAACCACACCTGAAAGCTTGTTGACACTTTCCAGGTTCACTGGGCATCCCAGACAATGAAGTTGGCCGATCGCGTCGAGGAAAGTTTTGGCCGCGCTCTCTCCTCGTCGAATGGCTGGGACGTAGTTAATATCTTGTCCCCACGAAAGGGTCTCGGCCAGGTCTCGAATAGGGCCCTGTAAAGTGGCATGTGGCCCAATCTCTAACAAAATATTAACACCTATTTGCGACCTATGACTGAGGTCCAGTTTCTTTCGAATCTTACGACCTGATTCGGTGCAGATCTTCAGCAAAGATTGTGCGAATTGGACAGGGGACACGAGGTTGTTAATCCAGTATTCCGAAGAGCGTAACTGTGCAGAATCCACTATTTGTCCGGTTACAGAAGAGACCATAACTCCACGACAGGATCGACTCTCGTCAGGTCTAAGATCTTTCATGTGCTCTCGGTAAGCGGGTGAGACATGCTTCATATGGAATGAATGGTAGGCAACTGGAACCTTCAGCTTCCTTGCAAAGATTTTATTGTCGTCAAGGAGGCCTATGAGTGTTTCCACATGGCTTGTGTCTCCAGAGATTGTAACGCTCTTCGGACTGTTAATGCAAGCCACATTAATTCGCTGACAGCCGTGAATCCTGGACACCTCATCAATATAGATACGGGAATTCCTTTCTGACAGTTTAACAGCGACCATTGCACCAGCTGGCTCACGTTTTCGTGCTAGCTCCGCTGCACATACGCCTCTAAAATACGCGATCTCCATCGACTCCACAATAGAGAGAGCGCCTAGGGTATATGCTGCTGCAATTTCCCCCGAAGAATGTCCAATGACAGCTGCAGGGCTAATCCCAACACTGTCAAGAAGATCTACCAGTGCGATCTGCAATGCTGTGTTGGCTGGCTGGGCCAACTCAGGCTCATGGATTCGGGAAGTGCCATCATCATTCAAGATTTCATCTACCATCGTTTAGCAACGTGCTAGATTTCATGTTAAGGATTACCCACCTTGTAGGGACCACATGCACCCAAAACTACGCAAAGCAATCTCGCACTCACAGATGCTGTTCCTAAAAGCGGGATACTTGAACAGTTCGCGTCCCATTCCCGCCCACTGTGCACCCTGGCCCGTGAATACGAAGCCCAGTACGGGCTTCTCGAGCGCCTGGTAGGTTGAAGACGCCTTCTCTTCCACATGCCGAAGATCTTCCAGGCTTGATGCTAACCAGAAGCACTTGTAGGGCAAAGCGCTTCTACGTGTGTTCAACGTATGTGCCAAGTCCGCTATGTATGAGCCAATACGGCTTGGGGGCAATGCCAAGGCATTAAAATAGGACCTATAAGCAGTGACAACATCCTTAATGCTTGCTCTACTGGATGAAGACAGCACCAAAAGGCTGAGAGGGGATTCTAAATTAGTAGGCTGCCTGATCTCGTTGCAGAATTGGCTCTCCACGCATCCTTGCCGCTGTTCACGTTCTTGTTCTAGCAAAGTTGGGGGGAACTCAGCTGTTACATGGTTGCCCACAAGGCCACGATCCCGAAGGTAGTGGAATGCATCATCCAACACAACGTGGGCGTTGGACCCTCCAAAACCAAATGAGTTGACGGATGCGCGACGCAGACCATGCGTCGGCCAGGGCGTCGGTGCTAGTGGGAGCTTTGTCACAAAGGGAGTCAGCACGTTCCCCCCTTCTTCATTTACAGCAGACTGTCTCGCTCACCTTGAGATTCAGCAACTCCAGGTCGATCTTCGGGTTTAACTTCTCGAAGTTCGTATTCGGTGGGATCATGCCACTCTCCAAGATGAGAATTGTCTTAATCACGGCGGCAATTCCACTGGCCCCTTCGAGGTGACCGATATTTGATTTCACCGCGCCTCTGGTAGATGATATACACTGTTAACCGCAAATACATATTTCGGGGTAGCAAGGTGTGTGTGCAGTCCATACACTATCAGAGGATCATCCGTGGAACGGACACTGTGGAAAACCTCTCCTAGAGCATTGCACTCAATTGGATCCCCCACCGGCGTTCCCGTGCCATGTGCCTCGAAGAACCGGGTGGGCTTCATGCTCAAACCAGCCTTCCGGTACGTAGCGCGGATCAGATTGGCCTGGGCAGTGCCGTTTGGCTGCATGATTCCCGAGGAGGTAAGTCCATCTTGGTTGGAGCCAGCTGAGCGGATGACTGCGCGGATTGTGTCGCCATCCCGAATTGCGTCAGCAAGACGCTTGATCACCAAGGTGCCAGTGCCTTCGCCACGACCATAGCCGTTGGCTCGATGATCGAAAGCATAGCTCCGCGAGTCCGGGGAGAGCATGTTTACATTAGAAAGGACTTGCATCATGTCAGCTGACAAGATCAGATTTGTGCCAGCCACGATACCCTCCATACTTGTTAGCACTACCACTTATAATAAAAGGACCCGATCTTACCATGTCTGTGTCTCCACATAGTAGGCCCTGGCATGCCATATCTAGAGCTACCAGGCTACTCGAACATGCGGTATCGACATTCATGCTGGTACCACGGAAGTCGAAGAACCAGCTGAGCCTGTTTGCATTCATACTCATCTTGATTCCGACGGCGTGATAATCTGCACTCAACTCCACATCTTTACAGGTCATAAGCTCGTGGTCATTGTTAAAGCAGCCGACATGGACGGACGTCCGTGATCCAACGGCCTTCTCCATTGGTATACCCGCTAGCGTTAAGCGTCAGCCTTACCAGTGTCGGTGCATATATTCTCATATGCCTCCGGCGTTGCTTACCATTCTCCAGAGCTCTGTATGTGACCTCTAACAGATGTCGTTGTTGTGGGTCTAGCGCTGCCGCCTCGTCCGCGGAGAGGGAAAAGAAAGGTGCGTCAAATAGAGATACATCTTCTTTTAGGTAGTGTGCACCACGGGCGGTAAACTTAGAAAGCCTTAGCCAAAAAATGCCAACCTGACTCGTTGAGGGCCACATACTTGTCCTCGTCGGCGACGGTCTGGATGACACCAGCCGGACACGCTTATCCTATCTTCCGGCGACTCTGACACGGCACATCTCTTCTCCATCATCATTTTCCAGAGTCCTTTGGAGTCTGTAGCGTCGCCAGGAAACAGAAAGGCATAACCCACTATGGCAATGGGTTCCAACCTATCATCATCGCCATAGTCTGTGAAATCGTCAGATCTAGGTAATTCCGCATGGTCGTTCGGAAAGCCATTGTGCAATGTGTCCGGGGAGAAGCTAGAGTCTAAGCTACGGATGGTCATTGTTGAAACAGAAATATAATGCACCGGTAAATTTAAGAAGAAAAATGATGAGCTGAAAAGTGTCCCCCCAACATTGGATCTAGAAATACTTCCATAAAGAGGCTAAATCATATGGCACGTACAACCACCCGGTCGACATTATTCAGACATGTAACGCCATTGTTTCAGCATTACCACCGTTGTTTACCATAAACTCCGCTCTCATTCCTTTGAAACCTATGGAGCCGAGTCAGCCACCAAGGCACTAACTAGTATCGCAGTATATGTCTTATCTTTGTTGGCAGTAAGTGTTTGGGGGTCATGCAGATTGGTGGCTTGGTTGAAAGAGGAACTAAAAAAATAAATAAATGATAGTAATGTATGGATAATCGAATACCATCAGAAGGCGGTTGAGAAAAAGCAAAATTTCACGCTAAGCAAAATCCTGGGTTGTGGAAATTGGTGTTTCGATTTCTATCCAGCTCTAGGTACAGGGAGGGGGTTGAGCTGCACGAAGCGAAGATTATAGTACATAGTCTTCAGGCCGCTCCAATGGCCAACCATTGGACCGTTTCCTTTTGCAATTCCAACCATATGCTCCATTTATTCTAGTAGATCACTCTAGCGCTGCAGTTGTCGGCAAGATATCCCACATGCCCCAAGTCTATGGCTGAAGACGTCATAGCCCCGAACAAAATGCAGTTTCCGATGTCCATTTCTTCTCATATAGCTCCTGCAAGGTTGATATTGGGCAGGTACGACCCCGTTCATACCCCAACTGTTGGTTATTGACGTACTTATGATAGGGCCGTTGAATTGCAGTAGTAGTAGTGGTACGAACTCTAACAGTAATCCAACTGTAATTCATTTATCGAACCCAACTTCGCCCAGACGAAATATGCGCCCGGTGCAACGGAAGTTACTGTTTTCCAAATGGGTCAGGAAAGTGGAAACTATAGATGTTGGTTGAGGCAGTCATGGATTTGTGGAATAAATCCATATCAAGCCAACCTGGCTCTGCGCTAGCATTGAATCGTCCCCTCCTGTTGTGTCAGTGGTATACGCATCCAGTATAGTCTAGTAACTATGTGGGTCCTCGTAAAAGCAATACTATGGATCGAGTTAAGTCCATCTTGGCAGACCAGACTCCCGTTACAGAGAGCCCGGCTACGGACAAGGATAGTCTGAATGGCACTGCATTCCTTCATTCCTGCAAACATGTTCTAGTTCTTATGTGATAGTTTAACTTGCCATTACCGCTCTACCCACCGTCCTGCGGATGAGCCTCACGCTTTCCAGCAATGCCTCCTTTGCCCGTGCCCCTGGAATGGCATGTCCTTCATCGTGCAGAACCATGCCCCGCCCTTTGGGGTCGCAAACGGCGTAGAGCATCTCGCTTCGGTGCTTCCATAGATCGTCGTTCCGCCCCCAAATATGCGCCGTAGGCAACCCCAGCAAGAATTGATGGCGGTGGGTATCGGGATCCAACAATCTCACCTCACCACGCTCTAAAGCTAGGGGGTCGATTGGAGCCGCTGCGGAGAAAAATATGGCGCATGTGAATGGAGACGGTTTCTCTGGGTAGCGCAGCGCTTGCTGGATGAGGTGCGTGGCTGCCAGGCCTGCGCCAATTGAAAACCCAATGACACCATCGAAAGGACCCTCCACCTCGAGAAATTTGGCAAGGCTGTCCAGAGCCGCGATTATACTGTCCGCCGACTCTGCAGAGAAGTAGTCATAGTACGTCTGGTTGCTCGGGAAGAAGTCCCGTAGCTCTAGGTAAGGCGAACCGTTTAGCCCATGAACGGATGAGGAGGGAAGGGGTCGGATCACACCTAGAGCTAATGGTGAAGGGATCGTGCCTTCAACAAAATCATAGGTGTGTATACTGTCCAGCTCATGGCGAAGGGCAGCTATCGAAGTAGTAGTCAGTCACGGTGCGCGTGTCCCACATTGATTTTTTGGCGTACCGATCTGGGATTCCATGATCTGTATTTCTAAGCATGAGCTACATTGCCTCAAGATGAAGGCATAGAACAAATACATACTTGGCTGTTTGTGCCTCGCCCGTGGAGGCAAAGAAATCGCATAGTGATAAAAATTTTTGGAAGTCCGCCTTACTGGTTGTTTCGTTAATACTTTTACTATTGTATTTTCAGCTAATATATAGTTGACTATAGCCCTAGGTGTCTTTATGAGGCATCTAAACTATAAGTTCGCTTATCTTAGCGGCATGTTCCCGAACGCCCAGGCCTTGTTAATCGGCCCCCAGACAGGCTTGTCTAGATATCCCGAGTACTAAATTTTCTAAAATAGTCTTATTGCCCCCAGGTTGTATTTAAATTCCCATTCCTTAAAGATGTAATATAATGTGTCTATGGAAAGTAATTTATTAAATACTGTTAAAACAATAAGATACAGTGGACACCAAACGTTATTGAAAATAGCTACTATGGAATAATCGAATGGCGTTCTGCTCTGAGTGAGACATTCGCTGAGCTAACTGCGCTAAACAGTACATCGTTATATTACCTCCTCACTTTAGAAAATAGCCCCCAGCTCGCTTGCAACAAGCCTCACAAATTCTTCTTGGGTGTTGCAGATGCTATCTTTTGGGCTTTCACCTCATTTGTTCTTTGACACTGTCTTGAGAGGCACGTTAGGGGCGAAATAGACTCCCCAAGCGACAGAATGCCGCTAGTACAATGGATGACGTCCCACGAGGGCGTTGTCCGAGGGGGAAAGAAAAGTTGCTGATGCGCAATCTGATTGGCATCTTTATTTTCATTAACAACCTGTACTTTTGTGTGACCGACTCCCCCTCTTCTCCCCGGTGAACGTGTGATCTGCCGCAGAACCATGGCCAGCCATAAGGAGTACTCGGAGGAGTTCCTCCAAGAGTCAAAACAGGCTATGGTTTACACCATCACTGCGGTGTTCATGTCTCTTGAGACGCTTGCGGTTGCACTGCGCTATACCTCCAAAGCAGTTGGCCGCCTGAAATTTGGTTGGGATGACGGTCTCATCGGTCTTGCGTATGTGCTCTGCATGGCCACGGCGGCCTGTGTAATGGGTATGGTTAGCATGAAAACATTCTACGAACGCACAATAGACATAACAGCTAATTATCACAAGCGGACGTGACTTATGGCGGCGTCGGCCTCCACGAAGCGCGCGTCCTCCAGATTGATCCAGAGATGATTGTGGTTTGGGGAAAGTTCATCATTATCATCCCGCTCCTATACACGGGTACCGTCGTCCCTCAGAAGCTTTCTATCTTATACTTATACCTCAGCATTTTCACTCAGAAGGCGTTTCGCATCATCTGCTACGTCACTGGAGCCATAATCCTCGCAAATTGGATCGCGACCTTCGTGGCCGGCTGCCTTTCTTGCCAGCCCCTCAGCTATTTCTGGACCAAACAGGGCCGTTGTTTCGATATCAACAGTTTTTTCCGCTGGGCTGGGTTCGCCAATATCCTTACAGATGTCATCATGTTGATCCTCCCGATTCCAGTTGTCTGGCAGCTTCATGCCTCAGTTCGACTCAAACTGGGAATCCTGTTCACATTGCTGCTGGGAAGTGTGTATGTACTCGTTTATCGCGCACCTTGTTATAGCACCGCCCCGCTCTGACTCCATCGCAGAGGCCTTATCTCCTCCATCCTCCGATTCTACACCTTCTACGTGACCGACGCTGCGACAGACGGAACCTGGTCAGCCGTCGAACTCGTCATCTGGACCGTTGTTGAGGGTGGTACCTATCTCATTGCGGCATGCCTGCCGACATACCGTCCCCTGATGAAGCTTGTCTGGCGGAAATTGAACCTCACGACCAGAAATGACTCTCGGGAAACGAACCCACAACAAAGCGGTGGAAGTGGAATTCGGCCCGTCTTCGACCGCAAGGGCCATACCAAGTTCAAGCGCATGACGGACTCGATGCATGATGAAGAGGATGCCATTGGGCTCGTCGAGCTGGGCCAGCATTGTTCTCACATGCCTAAAGATCAGATCGTGGTGGATCGGAGATTTAGCGTGCACGGATCAAATTGATTGGGCGCGTGTCCCTGAGTCTGTATGCCAATTTCATGGAGGATGTTCGTGTTTTGTTCTGATTTTCCCTCTCTTTTTTCTCTTGTTTTTTCTTTTGTTTCTGTTTTCCTGGTCTGTCCATAAATCAATACCTCCTGTATCAACACTGCCCGGTTCTGTCTGTTATTGTACATATATCGTCCTATTTAGAAGAAAGTTAATTAGCATTCTTTGATCTTGAAAAATAGGTACTTTTGAGACCGAAAAAAAAAAAAATACGCACCATAGGCCGTTACGTTGTACATCCATACTGGATAGATACATGCTTAGGTAAGGACGTATTCGTTGGTCTCGGGTATTTTTCCATATTGACACTAGGTAAGTTCCTTTTGATCTGCAAAAATGCCATTTGGTCACAAACTCAGCATTGATTTAGTATTATCATATGCACTTTTATAATGACACTTCCAATCTCCTTGCACAAACGTATTCGCAACAATGGACATGGATACATAGACCTATCAACATAGAGGTTGTAGCACAAACTAATACTGCTTATCAGGAGTGCACAGCACAGAGCACCGTAAGGCATGGCTGGACATAAGCAATGGGCTGGGATATACTGCATGCAATATAACAAGCATATCGCTTAGCCATAGTAGGAAGTAGATAGCTGTGTGCATTACACTTATCTGGAAGACAAGGATCGGCCGAGAATAGGAAGATCAACTCTTGGCGCGTCATAGGATCCAACTAATAGCTGCAGTTTCTTAGTGCTTACTCTGCAGGCTGACGCCAATTTGGGGGCCCAATGGCTTTTTTTTTCTATTGGTTTTTTTTTGTGCGTGAGCTGCGCCCCAAATAAGAGCGCTTACCACCAATGCGTGTATACTCCAGAGCTCTGATACTTTGGTACTGTACCTTTTCTCCACAGTCGTGGTTTTCCCATTAGTGTCATACGAATTGCAGCCAACCCCTACTCATGGGGCTGTGTTGGTATTGTTTCCGGGATTTTACTTCCATTGGTGTGTGGTATGATGTTGTCTCAAAAAAAAGAGAGGAAAAGAAATGAAAAATTAACATAGCATAAACCGTAGGATCACTTGCATGAAACTCACAGGCCAGGAGATATGCAATGGGCTGTCTTCTAGTACAAGCTGACAGGCAAATCAGCCTTTTCCATAACCCATTCTAGCCCTTGTTCTCTTTCTTTGTTTCCCTGCTAGTCTTTGTATTATCATTAGGTATAAAGAATAACGTACATTCCCCTCCTCCTCCACTTCATATCCTCCTGTCAGCTGAATCTCTTTCCTCCCTTCTACCGTTTGTCAGCAGAGGCTTCCTCCGGTTCACACAATGGATGTCACTCAAGACTCCGAGTTCGATCCCCGAACCCAGCTAATTCCCCACCTCATTGATCACTACGCCCGAACAAAGCCGGATGCCATCTACGCCGAGTATCCCACCCATCCCATGAGCTATGACCATGGATACCGCCCCATAACGTACCGTGCCTTTGCGAATGCTATCAATGGTCTGGCATGGTGGCTCACCGAGAAGCTGGGGCCTGGTAACGGTGAGATATTGGCTTACGTCGGTGCCAACGACGTGAGATACCCTGCCCTGGCCTTGGGGGCAGTAAAGGCAGGATATTGTGTAAGGAAGATAGATCACACTCCCCTTCGGGATAGCCCACCCTCCGAGCCATTCCACTCACTATGCCATCCCAGATGTTCTTCACGTCGCCCCGCAACAGCGTAGCCGCGCACAATAGTCTCTTCCAGCGTCTGAACTGCACGAAGATGGTGGTCCCCACTCCCCGACCGCCCCCAGTGACAACCATCTTAGAGGCCCACAAATTGGACGTTCTCGAGGTTCCCGGGGTAGACGATTTGTTGAGCAAGGAATATCCTTATTTCAAGTATTCCAAGTCCTTTCCCGAGGCTGCAAGTGATAAGCTAGCGGCGATGTAAGCTCCCATCTATGGATTCACGTTTCTTATTATCTTTCTGATCTTGCCCTAACGCGAGAATAGTCATACATCAGGGTCTACTGGAATTCCCAAGCCAATCTTCTTCACTCATGATTCGGCTCGAAAGCACATGCGTATGGCCTCTTTGGAGCCACCCGAGGGCTTCGTCAGCCAAGACAGCTGGGGCGTAGGGAAGAGAGCCTTCCTGTCCCTGCCGCCGTTTCATGTGAGTTTGTTCTGAGCCGGGAAGACGGCAATTCCTCCAAAACTAAAGACTGATCCGCTCTTAAGGCAGCTGGTATAGCCTACACGCTGTTTATCGCACCTCCAATCGGGATGACGATTGTCTGTGCCACTTCGGGCGGTCTCCCCACAGGGGCAGGCATTGCAGAAGCTGTGAAGAAGACTCCGTTCGATGCGGCCATAGTTGTCCCTTCCATCCTGCAAGAGCTGGCCCAGAACCCAGAGCTGTTGGACTTCATTTCCAAGAATTTGGGTTATCTTCTGTATGCTGGAGGCGATCTACCCCAGCCACTTGGTGACACGGTTGCGTCGAAGATTAAACTGGTGAATCAGTTCGGAGCCTCGGAGGTAGGCATGATGGCTCTTATCCACTCCAAGACCAACCGAGACCCATTGAAAGACTGGAGGTATCTCCATTTTCATCCAGAGATGGGAGTTGAGCTGCGCCGCGTGACGGATGATGAGTATGAGCTGTTCATGATTCGTACCCCTGAGAGGGAAGGCCAACAGGTGCCATTTACAATGTTCCCCGACCTCCACGAGTATAGCACCAAGGACCTCTTTGTCCGGCATCCCGACCCAAACAAGCCTGACCTCTGGCGGTGGAGCGCCCGCGCAGACGATGTGATAGTCTTCTTAAACGGTGAGAAGACAAATCCGGTCTCCTTGGAACAGCACATTACTGCTGCCAACTCCGAAGTGTCTGCAGCGCTGGTAGCAGGGGCCCGGCGTTTCCAAGCTTCTCTCCTTGTCGAACTCGCCAACACCGAGAAAGAGCTGAGCCCCAGCGAACGGGCCGCAGTCATTGAGAAAATTTGGCCGAGCATCGAGGAAGCGAATGCTGTCTGTCCGGCGCACGCTCGCATTGCAAAAACACATATCTTGTTTACCAAGCCCGGGAAACCGATGCCGCGCGCTAGCAAGGGCACTGTCCAGAGAGCGGGAGCTTTAGCTGCGTATGCGCCGGAGTTAGATGCGTTGTACGCCGATGCAGATCAGCTGGCGGAGGCGGACGAAGATCTACCTGGTCCTGGTCGTGTACAAGATGCCCCGGTAATCGCTGGTTTTATTCGGAAGACCCTTTCTTCTATCACCGGGTGGAGCAAGGAACAGCTCAGCGATGAAGCTAATTTCTTTGACCTGGGCTTTGACTCGCTACAAGCCATCACAGCAACTCGGCGGTTGAAGCGCGGCCTGGATTTCCCTGGTTTAACCCCAAACATGATATATCTATATTCGTCGGTGTCAGGACTGACACAGGCAGTTCTCCAAGCCCAGCACAATCAAGAAACCACCAAGGAGGAGGAAAGAGAGGCCCAGCTGCGGGAAAGAAACAGTCTCTTGCAAGAAGTCCAGGGTCAGATTAACATCATTCAGGCCCACACCGTTGTCCTTACCGGCTCTACCGGCCGACTAGGCACGTATCTCCTGGATGCCCTGCTGAGAAATCCCTCTGTGACGCATGTCCATTGCCTGAATCGAAAGGCCGATAGTCTTGCGGTCCAGCGCCAAAAGTTCGACGCCTTCGGCCTCGAGCACCAACAACTGGACCCTTTCCGCGTCAGCTTCTGGTCTGCCGACTTGACGCAAAAAGACCTGGGAGTGTCACCGGATGTACTTCAGAAACTGCAGAACACTGCCACTCTAGTGATCCACAACGCATGGGCAGTCAACTTTAATCTCTCACTCCCTTCCTTTAAGCCGCATCTGTCGGGTGTAGCAAACCTCATCAACTTCTGCTCTTCCGCGACTAAATCCCCACTTCTATTCTTCATCTCTTCGATAAGTTCCATGCTAGGCCACCGGACGCCATCCGGCCTTACCCCAGAAACCGTAATCCAGACCGCGACCCCAGCACCAAATGGCTACGCCAACAGCAAGTATCTCGCAGAGCAGCTCTTGGAGCACGCCGCACGGAAGCGCACCGTGCGTGCCTCCATCGCACGAGTCGGTCAAGTAGCCGGTGCAGTGCGCACACCAGGTCAATGGAACAAGGCCGAATGGTTCCCTAGCTTGGTGCTAAGTTCATTACACGTGGGCGCTGTACCCGACAACATTGGACCGCAGTCGGATCGGATTGACTGGATGCCAGTGGACCTTCTAGCGGAGGTACTAACGGAGCTGGCACTGGGAGACAACGGCTCGAGCGGGCCCGTCTCCGTATCTCACCCTGTTAACCTGCACGCTTCAACCTGGGGGGATATTCTCCCTGTGGTGGTGGATTTGCTGTCCAAATCGTCTGGGAAACCATTGGAGACGATCCCGTCGCGGGACTGGCTACAACGGATACGGCAAGATCTCGAGTCTTCCGCGGGAGGCACGTCCGCTGGAGATGGAGAGCTGCAGACGTTGCTGGAGAAGAATCCGGCGGCTAAACTGCTTTACTTCTATGAGGATATAATGTCGGAACAGACCGAGGCAGAGAATGTGTTGGACACGCAGCTAACAGCCCAGCGAAGCGAGAAGCTGCGGAGCGTCGAGGGGGTCAAGAGGGAGTGGGTTGAGAAGTGGGTTGGGGAGTGGATTCAGTGATGTGATCTATCTTGCGTAGATATATATACAACCTTTAGCTGGTGGCTACGCAGAGAGGGTGTGCTTTTATATCGACTCTTCGAAAATAGAAGAATATTCAAAAAAGTAATTATTATAAGGCTTGAGCGGCAGGCGGGGTATTTGTCACTAATCTGTATAAATTCAAGTATTTATATAACAGACGTGATCTAGTATAAGCGAATCCATACTTAAAGTTGGTAGTAGAAAATATAGAGGGTTTGTGTTATAGGGGGTGATAAATGGAAAGGAAAAAGGAGCATATAGGTTGACTGGAGGGAGATAGGAAGGTGGAAAGGTATTAACGATGAGAAAAGAAGGTGTGTTGTTGCTTAAAGAGACACGTCGGGCTTATTATATGCGTGGGAGTGGACATCAAGGCAGCAGGGGAAATAGCTGGCCTATTCAAAAATTGGGGCAGTTTCGCGCAAGTTAGGAGCAACTCCTCCCCAGCCCGTACAAACGGGAAATATCACATTTCCACGTCGAAAAATGTTCATTTTGACGCGGTTTTGAAGCCAACGTAGTTTCCTAAAGCGGTAATGTAAGCTATATAAATGTTGGATCGCCGGATCAGCTTACTGAGCGTGCAACAATGCAGAAATTAATCCTGAACCCGTCACTGACCCTACCACAGATTTTTCCTCTGGCGAGCGAGCAGCTGTTGCACACACTCGCGGCCTTCCTCCAGATTAAATAGCTTTAATATTTCGACCTCTTCTTCTTGGTTGGAGGGCTGCAGAGATTACTCCCCCAATGTGGTAGTGTTAAAAAGCCAGGATCCCGCACCCTAGGTCGCTCACAGAAGTTAGATATTCTGCAGATATCTAGTGAGGAAATACGTGGAGTATCTGCAGTGTAGTAACCCCAACAGCCGGTTATCCTGTACAGGTATTAAACCAGGTTATTTTAACAGCGACGACTTTTTTAAATGGCTTTAGGATCGCCTGATCCCTGCACTGTGTGAGAAACACTGGCCAATGGTTGTAGTACTTGATAATGTGTCCACACACGTCCATATACATGTGGACACATTATCGAGCGTGTAACTAACTAAGGCGGCAGGTTGTTTAATACAGTTCCTACCTCCCTATTTACTAGATTATAGCCCAGTAAGCTGACATTCCCGGTGTTAGAGGCCTGGATGGACTTAAACTAGGTATTTCTACAGCAAGCCTGTGGATCGTTCGGAGAGTTCCTGGAAGTTGCAACTCGGGAGAGTCGTTGTAAATGCTTCACGAGGCAGCATTTCAGGCATTATGGTGGCTGGGGTCTATATAAAGGAGGAATTTATTTAATTTACACGCTGTATAGAGCTGTTGGAGTCGTGAAAGGCCCTAGAGGCATCTCACACAGGTGCATTTAATTAGAAATAGTACTTATTTCTCGCACGGTATGAGTAGTGGCTCGACGCGAGGAATGCGAGTACGGCGAAGATCGTTCATCATAGAGCGAGTTGTCAGCCTTTGCCAGCCCCTTGCCAGTACTGGAACGTTTACGAAGCATTTTGAATGTTAAGTAGCCTCAATTCTGGCGAATTTGGCAATTAAAACGCGTATTTCACGATCAAAAGGTATGGATTTCGAATATCTAAGCTAAGGAGGGAGTTGTTCCCGACTTGCGCGAAATTGTTGGCGCTAACTCAACTGCCACAATTTTTGAATACGCCAGAGGCAAAAAGTAGCAAGGTAGGGAACCTAATATTCTCATTCTGGATATAATCGACTCCCCTAAATCGGAAGAAATCATGATACGCTAAGAGGCTGTCTTATTGTTTCTCTCTCGCACGCTAAGATATTCCTGGATTAACCCCCGATAATCCCCAGGGTGGTACGGGGCGAATTGCTCCGCGAGGGGATTCGATTTGCGTTTAGTTTTTAATCCCAGGTCGCCCATCAGTGTGTCAATGTACTACTCAGTATTAATATATGTCCAAACTATCTGGAGCATAAGAAAGAAAGGAAAGAAAGAGGAGGAAACTCACCGACATAAAATCATAAAGAATATAGGCATGTTTCTTTCCTTGTTCTAAGTACCGTTTACGCGTCCACGCATTAAACACCGCTGCCTCGAACTCCATCTCTTTCTGGCTAGGGAGGTCCAGATAGCCCAGCATAAATGCAGCTCCCCAGAGCGCCTGAACCTCGGCCGTCAACGGGGTGAAGACAGAATGGATCTGACCGGGGAAGAGAATGGAGCGGTCCCCATTTGCCGCCAAGCCGGGCACGATTAATCGCCGATAGTGTCGACTGGGGCCATGTGAGGGCTTGGATTCAGAATGACAGGGAGGTGAAGGGGGGTTCTTTAAGAACGGTAGTTTCTCGTCCACCAGGGCTGCTGCCCGTGTGTCCATGTTCCTCCAGCGAGAAGATGGATCGTCATCATTCATGCTGTAGTTAAGTCCGCACTCTTCACGTAGCTGCGGCGTCATGGCCATATACCCCTTGTCATAGCCAGTGCATAAGATGACGAAGTCCGTTTGGAAAGAATCGCCATCCTGAAGATTGACTACGTTGCCGCGCGACAGGGTCTTGATCTCCACTCCCTTGCGGATCGTTATGTCGCCCGAGTGCAACACCTTCCAGAACTCTGGGGCGCTGGCAACACCGATCCCTCCGCTACCCCAGAACATCCCAGCTCCAGGCGGATGCGGACGCAGCTTCCCCAGCTGCTCGTTTGCGCTGTAGCCCGCGTGCTGTTCGGCGAGAAATGTAGGGACCCGCCAGTATAGCCGGGTGATGGCACGGCCAATGTATGTCCGCTGGAGAAAGTGGTACCAGAAGCCGGACGTGTTCATGATACTGGGGCTGAAATTGGCCGCCATGCGAGTGGCGACGTGGTCAACGTTGCTCCAGAGTCCGAGAACTGTGGGTGCGGCCATGGCCGCCACACCCGACGGACTATCGCGAACCAACCAGTCTACATGCTGTCCAGCCTTGACAAGCATGTACACCGTATCGAATGCAGATTTCGCCCCTCCCACCACCGTGACTCGACGGCAGTTCTTCTCGATCCACTGGAGATGCTCCCCGATGACTTGGGAATGCACAACGGGGGAAGTGAACCCGTCGCTCGGGAACCGGGGAACGATGGGATTGGACGTCGGGCCCGTTGCGTAGATCAGTTTCTCACAAAGAAGATTGGCCCCGTTATTGACTGTGATGGACCATCGCCGGCGGTCAGCGATGCGGTCGATCTCGAGCACTCGGGTATTAAGTCTTGTGCGCTGAACCAGTTTAAATTCCTCCGCAAAACTGTTCAGATATTCGTGGATCGTGTCCGCAGGGATATATCCATCCTTGGTGACGCCTTCGGGTTTCATCGGCCACATGGAGTACTCAAATTTCGGGGGATTGATCTGCGCATACAGGTTGGGATAGATCTTTTCCCGATTCCAGCATCCTCCAATCGTCCCTCCGTCATCAACGATCAGGAGTTTGCTGTCGGGTGCTAGTTGTAGATAAGTGTATGCAGAGATAAGGCCAGTCCATCCTGTAATAATCAGACACTGTATTTATATGGATACCATATAGCATATAGGACATCTCCATACCTGCACCAATTACCACTACATCATACGTCTCAGGACCAGCTGACGACATGATAATCAAGTTATTAAGGACAAGGCACAGGAAGCCCGCTGGGATCAAAGACTTAGTTTTAGACCAGCGAAGAGGAGGGTGGTTTTTATATATTAAGCTAAGAATTATACTAACGAGTTAGATATTAACAGACAGGACTAAGGCTTACATCAAACAAATTCGTCCACATTATCGTCAAATCCATAGCTTCGTAACCCCCCAGTGGAGGCAGTTCAGGCCCCGCCCGGTGGACCTCTGTGCAAGTGTTCGTCTTTTGGCCCAAGTAGTGCATATCCACAGGAATCCGGTAGCGCATTTTCGGAACACGAATTGGGTTCAGAATATCGTTTGCAGACAAGAACTGTACCTACGCCCTACCTTATTTTGGCATAGTAGAAGTGTTGCTAGTCGTGCTGCGCCCTGTAAGAACCAACGATGGAGTGTTCTTGTCAAATCAGGCCATCGGACGGGCTGTTGGCGTGAGGTATGGTGTTAACATTTGTACGTACTAGCAATGCAGGCTATCAGACAAATGTTCCCGTTGGCTGGTTGGCGTAATAAATACCAAGGCGAGGGAACGAACTTGGCATTGATCAGCCTCTCGGGGCCAACCCTGCTAATTACAACCTCTTCTCTGCAGGTTTGTAAATTTCGATGGATTTTCCAGTATATTCTAAGTATCAAACAACAGTCCACTATAATTGTTATTATTTTTGATAAAGTAACGATCTGCATCTTAGGTGGTTGCCTAACATGCGGGGTTCACTCCTCCGAGTACTTAACCCCTTTTCCTGTATCCTAGCGAAGAGAGCAAGCAAGCGCGTGAAGAACCATCCAAGGAAGACGTATGGTAGTTATCGTGGTCTAGGATATCAATGATATATCGTTCCCTATATTAACGTACTCGATCACCGAGCTGCGCGCCTCTGTATTGCATATAAAATAGCACTTTTTATAAGCCTAATATCTTAACAGCAACATGTCGAGAGGGCCTAAAATCTATAATATATAATAATACAATAGCACACACACAGACGCCAAGCCTAGACCCTTGTAGGATTCCTAGTCTATTATACTTCAAGAAACACACTCAAACATAGTGGTATTCAAAACAACCATGCATTATAAGCCAGCAAAAACCCTAAAAATCCTAATCAAACCATATAGGCATTCTGAATCATTCATACACTAAGGAATACTTCTATATTTATCATAACTCTATGTTATTGTTAAAATATTAAGGTCGTAAAAAGTGCTATTTTATATGCACTACGGAGGCGCGCAGCTCGGTGATCCGCGCTGGTTACATACAGATGCTAAAAACAACTTCCGCGCAGAATCAATTCTTGAAATCACGTCCCCAAACTACGCTCAAAAGCCCTCAAATTTAGGTAAGTTTCTCTTTGCGCCAGCGGCTATCGTCTGATACCAATTTCTTTGGTATCGCGATGTTGTCTTCGCGAGCAGGTAGAAGTGGCCGGCCCTCGGCCGGTCGCGAGAACGCACCACGTCAACACCACGAAAGCGCTCTGTCTCTACACCACGACGGCTTGCGACTTTTGGAATATATAAAAGAGCAGAATGTGAGAGTCCCGAGTCCTATTATCGACTACATCCAGTTTGCTGTCTCGGTGGGCAATGACATACTGCAACAACCCAAGGATGACTGGCGCAGGGCCACGGAGACCCTGCAGGAAAGTGTCCTTGCCATGCAAAAGACCTCCACGCCGTGCGCACGGGACGCAATCATTTCATGCCAAATACGCAGTCTGCTGCACGTGTCTGGGACCATATTGCCGCCAGGGCACCGCCGCCGACGCGTATCCAGTTGACCCACAGTTCGACAAGCAGTCCGGCGGCCAGGGCAGCAAGGGGGGAGGAGTAAAAGGCAATGGTTCCTGAACCAGCGCCTTAAGCTGCGTGAGGATGCAAGAGTTGCGGTTAATAAACTAAAAAGTTGCGTTTTCGAGCGCACCATTGCTGGTTTTCCATAACGGGTATTACTAAGCCGGTCAATCCATAACTAGTTACTATGGTATGGATAAATTTAAAACAGGTTCGATTGTTCATTGGGTGTGAAGCTGATAATGCAAAAATCTGTAACACCCTCACCTTCTTTATCGAGCAGCGGACGTGACAAATGAGCTCCTAAACGTGATGTTGCAGCATGCTAGCATCGACACCTTTGTTAAACACTATAGTGTGGGTATCCACGTTGATGCTCAGGCGATCGTTCGGAGACTGCCGGCCCAAAAGCAGCTGATGCGGTTCGCAGCTTCCATAAGCCGGTCAATCGACCCCCGACAACCGTACAAGCTAGATGACACCAGCCATGTCAACGAGATTCCGCGGGTGCGTGCTTTCAGGGGCACGTTAATGAAAGAAAAAAACTCCGTGACAAGATGAAGCGGGCCTTCCAGACAGCGGAAAGGGAATTTGAACAAAATTTCGGTACTGACCCCCGACGAAAGAAAGTGACAAAAGGACTGTCGCACCACGCCCGTCGGGCACTGAAAGGCGTAAAAAAATACGAGAAAGAATACACCCGCGCGAACCAGAGATATCAACGGGCACAATGTGAGTTCCGGAATGAGTGGCAACGGCAGCGTAACCGCCTAGTGCGTGAGAACCTGGAACGATATAAGAACGAGCAGCCAGTGATTGACAGTGAACGGCAACTGTCTGGGAAGCTGGTGGATGAAGAGGTGTTGGGTGCTCTGGAGCGTACTGGGTATATCACTCCACAGCATATAATTTTGATTGACACTGTTCTGACCATGCCGGGCTCAACTGTAAAAAAGGAATATCAGCGCCGGATTGCTGCAGTCAATGCGGCGCTTGCTTTCTGTGATGTGGAAGAGGGGTCACCAAGCAGACGGCCAATCTTACCCAGAAAAGGAAATGCAGTGCCATAGATGATTACCGTCTGTTCCCCCGACGAAAAGGCAAGAATATCCTTCAACGAACGAACACAGTACCGCTCTTTGTCAAGCAGTTGCGTCTGTCTGCATTACAACTCCAAATGAAAGGCCGAAGATCTGCTTCCTATGCCTTGGAAATCCCCGACTTCCGGAACATGAACGATTAAAGAAATATAGTACCCCTAGATCTCTCAGCCGCCACTTTGTTGACTGGCACATCAAACCATGTCCGAAAGAAATGCGTGCTAAATGCGATATCTGCAATAAAGAGTTAGAGCACAAAGCGCATCTGATGAATCATGCAGAGACGGCGCATGGATTTGTCTCACGTCTGCCGTTGTCCGCCCTTGGCCCAATTTAGACTTTACAATCCCAATAATAGTTGTGGGAAATATTTGGTATTGTTCCGGTCTTGCTACTCAACTACGGAGTTCAGTTCGACGTGTTCGCCAGTATTCCCGTCACAACGGTCTGTTACAATATTTTCGAATCTTGCATCCGGATGACCGTCACAGCAACTACTACAATGAACCACGAAACGCGTTCGCGGAGGCATGTCGAGAGAAAGCACTACTTAGGCACTTGATTTCTTAGATATCGTTGGGAATTCTAATTTGCTCATAGTCATTCATAATATTGGTGGATACTATTATCTTTACTCTTTTAAGGGGACACCTGATAAGGATAGAGACAATATATCTTATGAAACTGCTTAGGGAGAGTTACCTTACAGAGCAAGCATCTTAATATTAAGTCATATGAATAGAGCTTGATAGAGCCGGTTTCGCCAGGAAACACTGCCAAAAATAGGACTACCTCGTCGATGCCGCAAACCCGTTAAAGCAGTTCACTGCGGTGGCTGTGGTACCCACATTCAGCAGCGAGAGCCTCCATTTCTGAGTGACAAGCGTAATGAACTAATGAAAACCCATATGTGACTGCAGTCACTTGCGACTGCGGCGCTAAGGTGGTAAGCCTGAGGCGCTTAACCAAATCAAGCTCGACGATAGATTTGTGGTCAAGAATATAGTCGCTGCCAAGACTATAATGAGAATGGCCGCACCCATCACATAACCAATGAAATCAGTGCTTATGAACATAGCATAATCATTGTCCGAAGCACGGCAGGTCATTCATTGCACTACTCTCTTTTCTTTCCCCAGTTTCTTGAATTGGATAGGGCATGGTACCCTTCGCTGCACTCATTCGACTCCTCTCGAGACCTGCTTGCAACGGTCTTGTGGTAAAAGAAATTCCGAATAGGTTATAGTAAGAGGTGTAAGCCTTTTTTTATTTTTTTTTTAAAAAAAAAAAAAAAAATTAAACTACTAGGTCAAAACTCTGAACATGTTTCGAAAAGTTGTGGTGTAGCCGCTGGGCTCGTAGTATGACTGACTTACAAGCCAATATGAACGGGGCTTTGCTCTCCATGCACTATTCCTCTGGTCCACCTGGCCTGATAGCAGCCGCCATTGGTTCAGAGTATATAATGAACACTAAACAGCTAGCTACTACAGAGGGTTTTAGTATTCAGGAAGACCTAGAACCATTCTAGCGTGAGAATGAAGTCCATAAAGTTCAAGATACTGCACCTACAGATCCAGTACTATCTACAGTTAGGCCGCGCGTACGAGCGCCACCGCGCTGCAGTGATTACCATATTGTAGGATATAAGCAATTACAATGTCCTAATCAATTTATTAATTAGTTTTTAAATGGAAATGCAATTGATTTGTTGATAAAGGCCTTGAAATTTCGTCTGGTGGTGAAATTTGGTGCGGTGTTCCGCTGCTCGCTTACTGTGTACATCCGCCACTCGCTTACGGGATACGTTAACTATTTGAACCGTGGAACGTGATCATAATATGACTCGATTAGGAAAGTAAGGTCTGATATTTCTAACTACATAAATCAACGTATTTTATATGTGTGGGTCGGCTCGCTTATGCGGCCAGAGATAGGTTGAATTATCTCATCTCTATTCCGCGTACGTTTAGCGGTCATTTCTACTAACATGATTTAAGAGGGAGACACTAAGCGCTCGCCAAGGCGCTAGGGCGTAATTGGATACTAAATCCCGATATTTCTTATCGCTCCCCTTCGTCAATACCCCGAATCAAAACAAAACAAATGAAGCCAAAGTAATTACCAAAATAGGAAATAAACAAAAGAATGCAGAGTGGTGTTGAACGACTCTATATAACACAACCTGGGACTCCTAGATATTTAATCAAAGGATATTCCTCCAACTGTAGCTTCTTCACCATTTGACTTAATCCATCCCCTTAATCGCTTTGATGAGGCCATCTGCAATCATTTTGGTAGGAATGTAAACTGCCTAGCCTGGGAGCCAGCCATTCCTCTTGCATTCATTTTTAGCGCTCTCGTCGTTTTCCATGCAGTATATAAACTTCCCATTCCAGCCCCTGCAAGACAGCCGAGGACGGACACAGTTAGCCTCGTCTTTTTGTCTCAGCTTTTCCTTCTCCTCTTCGATCTCGTCCGGAGTCTTGGCCCGCCCCATAAATGGGGTCCCGCCGTTCGACCTGCACACAGCCTTAGATGACTCGTCCTCGCCCATACAGTACTTGAACTTCCAATCACTGGTTCCCACACGGCTCGCCACAGTGCCGCTCACATCGAAGCTCTGGCAAGACCACTGGGGACGGACACAGCTAGCCTCTTCTCGTCCTATCTGCTCTTCCCTCTCCTGCGGCGTTATTTGGTTTTTCTTGATTTCCATGTCACATATTCGTTCTTGTTCTTTTCCATTATCCGTAGCGGCATCATAGGCATAGGATGTATCGCATTGTTTTTCGTCATGCCAAATTTTACATCGTTTTACATCCTGAGACCAATACCACTCACTCTTGTCTTTAAAGGGTACACATTTTTGTGTGCGCCTATAAAACTCACTATAGTACCCCCCCGGGGCAAATTCGAAAGGAGATGGTTGTCCCGGTTTTCCAGATATCGGGTTAGTTCGTATCCATTGGCCTGCCTTGGTTGAAGGGTCAAATAAGCCCTTTTCTCCAATGTTGGCATTGATAAAATCATAAAGAATTATCGCTCCTGCTGGAATAGCACCTGGCCATCCACCCAGGGCGACCCCGTTCTTAGTGGGGGGGCTTTTAAGGGCGGTGTACATGCCAGTTAATGTGCCAGGTGCATCTCTTGACAACGACATAATATGGTTCTTAATTTTGTCAATGTCACCTTCTGAATCGGCAATAATTTGATTCAAAACAGCCAAACCGGATTTCACGTCTGCTTGGTTGCCGCTGTCTTTCGGCCCACAGATAATCTACACAGTCGTGACGTATATCAGCACCCTGCCAACAGCTGCAAGCAAACTTTTTACCACGGATTGAACTTACCACCCAGTCACCAAGTTCATGAGGACCTGCGGCTCCCCTAAATCCTCTGCCAACTTTGTTACAAAATGCTATACTAGCTTGTATAGTTCCTTTAGCACCTTTAGAATCTTTGTTGACACATGTCCCTGTAAGCCCTTTATCGGTTTGCGTCATAACACCCGTTTCAAACCCTTCTATGCCGCAGTATTCTTCAAGAGCTTCTGCTTCTAGGTCCCGCTTGTCAACTTTACTGGGAATCCCCGCAGCCAATCCCGCCAGCAAGGCAACAAGTCGAATTGAAAACTTCATGGTCGTCAAATAATATTCGAATAAGCGATGTTGAACAGCTGCGACAGCCGGAGACTGGAAGGCGGTCGACCAATGAGGCCGGGTTCAGCAAGTATACCGTATAGTCGTTTTCTTGATGATGTCAACTGTCGAGTAAGAATAAGAATGCTTGAATAATTGAATAATATTGTTAATAAGATTCTATGTCTTCAGTATCTACTCTGGCTTTATATACCCGTGCCTGTGTATTAACATGTGCACCTGGAATATTTAATTATTAGTTAATTATCTTGAAAGTGGAGAATAAGGGCGTTGGGAAATATTGTTTCACTGTTTTAAGGTGGGTCACAAATAACTCTCTTGAAAGTGGATAATACGAGCGTCGGAAATGTTGTTCCACTGTTTAAAGGTGATTTACTAGTAAGAAAAAAAGAAATATCGGGATAACTTATGGGATCTAATTACTTCCTAGCGTCTTGGAGAGTGCTCAGTGTCTGGGGTCAATCCAAGACCTTTAGTGCCAAAATAGCCTTGTTAGATAACGGTATACCGTGATGCACAGGATACTTGTAACTGTAAAGGGCTGGAGCCTGTTTTAACTTCTCTGGCCTATCAGCCCTTAATAATTACAGCAAGTGACTTTCCTTTTATACTTATTTACTTGTATTCTGCCCCTTTCCTTTCTTCCTTAATGATTTCTTTTTGTACATAGCCTATCCTATAGGTTCTACGGGTTCAGCTCCTAATAGTAATCTTGTAAATGTATTAAAATAGCCTCCTTTAAAGCGCCGATAATAGTTTTAGACTTATCTGAGCTGGTTTGAGTGAGTTTCTCTCTTTCTTACTGTTTTAAGTTAATTTAATCTGGCAACTGGGACACAGTTACCAAGGCCAACTGTGTTTTATCACCCTACCAAGCCGTGCGGAAATTCTCCGCTCACTTTTGTATATGCCAAGAACGGGCGCTCATGAAATAACTTCTATATCGGGTTATATCACTTCTTGGAATTCTGAAGAACTTGGCATTGGGTAGTATCCGCATTTACTACTGAGCCATAGAGATATATACGCGGTGCCGCCCACGCACAGTATACTACCTGAAAGTGGAGTACTAAGACCTCTCTTTTCCATGACTCCGAAAGTCTCACCCATGTAGCTGTGACGACTGTCTCTCAGTGAGTAATTAAAATAAGACTGGGCACGGTTAGATATCATTGGTACGTATTAGGAATTATTTCACTTATCTAGGATCTACTAACTGGGCTTTAGCATAGGGGAAAATGTGAAGACAGGACAGGTTGAGGCGGCTGGAATTATCACGCATGAGGGAGCTAAGGGCAACATGTTTGTGGCAAAGCAATGGTTCAAAATTAGCGAGTAACATATGTCGACAAAAAGAGAGAAAGAGAGGGAGATTTACATTATACCTTATTTTAGCTTCTCAGAGGGCTTTTCCAGGGTCGTCAATAGCCAAAGTGCCCGGCAGTCAGTACATATATAGGATTTATATTAATATGTTTTCCTTTGCCCTTCTCCTTGCACCCATCCATACTGATCACCTCTGATCCCTTAGCACCCTTTAACAGTTGCATAAGTGATTGTATTCAGAAGGATTATCTGCACAATCTATGAGAGATATTGGGTATGTTAGGGACCTACCATATTCGGTATGGTCACGTGGCCTCACTTAGTCACCCGTCAGTCAGATAGTTAAGTTAAAAAATTAGAGTTATTGTCAGATATATGGCTAGTCCCGAAGAGGAAATAGTGTACGATTGGTAAAAAGGTCTTATTTGAATGAATTGAGCTGGTTGGGCTCTTCTTGATTACTGTACGTCACTACCTGCCGCCCGACACCGCCTGCCGCCCAATTTCAACACACCACCGCAATGTCGAAAATGAAGCTTTTGAGCCATATACAATTTAAATTATACCGAGATCTTTTTAGGTACTGAAACTAAGGTCCTAAAGAAGCTATGTACAAATTTTAATCGCTCCGAAAGCGATGTGGTAGCCGGATCTGCCTTCCTCGGCGATTTACCGTGGTAGAGGCCTCTCCAACAACTTCAGGTGCTGGGACAATAATATCTTCCTGATTCTTTGCCTTTGGAGTTGCTGGAGGATTCTTCTTGCATTTTCTGGACTGTTTAAAGTCATTTTAAAGCTGTATATTGGCCTCTTTAGCCAACCGATCCTCTTCCTTCTGGCGTTTCTTTTCCTCCGCTGCTTGGGCACGTATCTCTTAATTAGATGCCCTGATTCTTTTCCTTTTTTAATTAATTGTTGTTTCTTTTCCTTTTCTAGCTGACGGCGTAGCTTCTCTTCCTTTTTTAAAGCCTTTGAAAGCTGTATTTGCTTCTCTTTTTCTGCTTGAAAATCCCGAGCTTGCTGGATTTTATTAGGAGAATAGAATACTGCATTACCATCCTCAGGAGCCCGTAATTCAAACTGTAAAGGCTTTGCACGTTGGCGTCTCTTTTTCTTATTCTAGAGAGCCGTCTGGAGGCCCCTATTCTGTAGCTTAAGCAGGATATTCTCTGTAGAAAGATAATGCATCGTTCGGCTCAACATTTTAGTCGTTTTTAGTCCCGGAAGTCTGCAAAAAGTTCTCTAAGAAGCTGTTTAATCTTTCTCCAATCCTCTGCTTGTATAACAGACCTAGAGCAACTGCTAGAAGAAGGTCTTTTATTCTCTAACTTGCTAAACCGTGCCAATGCCACTTTAGGATTAAAAGGCTATAACCTAACAGTTCTCCACGCACTTTCAATATTTCCTGCAGATAAGGCCTTCGTCCAGCTTGGCCAGAATAGCCTGAAGAAATCCCACTTGGTAATACGGCTTAGGCCTTGAGATTCATGTAAAAATGCTTCCAATTGACCTCCGTAGGCTGCTGAAAGCGGTCCAAAGATACTGACATCAAGCAGCTGCAAGGAATGCGTAGAATAAGGTGGATAGGTCGCTATAAAGATCTTATTAGCCTCACAGTAGTTTAAAAACTTTATGGTAACATGGGATCCATAACTATCAAGAATTAAAAGCCTCCAACGCCTCCTAGCTTTGGCCTTTGTTTCCCGGTTAAATATTTGCTAAAGCCATGCAAATCCTAGCTCATCATTAGTCCAGCCAGAAGGTAAGATGCAAAGAAACATTTTGTTTTAGTATTAAAATCTTGAAGCCAGGAGTCTTGTAGTTTACCAGATACCGCTTGGTATATCAAACCAGGAGAAAGAAAAGTCTGGTCTGCACAAATACAGCAATTGTAGTAATCCACTCCGATTACCATCCTGTAGGCGTTGCTTGAGGCCTCCTTGCTATATAATTGCCTAGAAAAGATTCTCTTGCCCTTAGGAAGCATCCAATAAAAATCCTTTCTATCATATTGTACATATCCTCTTGCTGTATATTTATTCCTTGATTTTCCGGCCCAGATACTCAAAGTATAAAGCATATTTAAATGCAGATCAGCCCGCTTGCGTGCAGAATAATACAGTTGTATAGCAAGATATAAGGTCCTTTTTATCCTTTCTAAGAAGCGGCCGGCCAGTTCTTTCCTGGCTTTGTTCCAGCAATTTCCTTTGCAAAATTCCGTAGCATCTCATGCGTATAATAAAGGCCTCGCTCAGATTGCTTATTTATAAAGGACACAAGCTCTTTGGCCTGCTGGTTGTTGAGGAATCGCTGGTCTTTATATTCTCCTCCCTCGGCTGCTAACTCCGCGGTGTCGCCTTAATAGCGTTGATCGATTAACACCAAACCGTTTTGCAATTTGAGTATAGTTAATCTGTTCTCCTGGTTCCAAAGAATTGATTGCAGCTAACGCGGCTTCCATTAAAGCCATATTAAATAAGATATGGTAAATTAAACATCTACGTTTGTAAAGTCGGTGAGTAAAGATTTTGGGCGGCAGGCGGTATCGGGCGGCAGTTGGTGATCTACAGTATTCTTCTTGGTTATTCTTGATTGGTTATTTTGTTGTGTGCTCCGCGGGGGTTTTACGCCGATCTAGTCACATGATTCTGGCCCACCAACGGCCATATTATTTGACAGATCCCAAATTCCGATATTTCTCTACGAAGCCGAATCAACTTATATATGAAGACAAATAGTACTATTCGTCTACCAAAAATCCAAGATCCTTGAAATGCCGTAATAGTGTATCATAATGGACATTGAAAGTTAAAGGGTCAAGAAAGGGACCGCTCCTGGGAGTCAATCCGCCCTGCACAAGGTTTCCATAATATATATTCCTGTTGCTGTCACATTGAGCATAGTATCTCCATATGGCTGACATGGAAAACCCAGTCCATGGTTATGAGCCATTGTTATTTAGTTTTGGGTGATATATAATTCATTCTTCCCTACTTGCGTTTAGAGATATAGCCCCTGTCGGAAAATGTGGCTATGGTGCCATAAGAGATTCATGCGTCATGCAAGGCAAATCACGGGATCAGCGCAGCTGGCAATAAAACTTCCCTTCGCTATACTCAAACTCAGACTAGCTGTCCGTTTTCTAAATAAGCCAGCCTTCCCAAAAGCAAAAATGACCACCAACCCAGTAGTTCAAAAAGCAGTAGATCTGCAGCGATGGCCACATGCCAAACTTCTGGTTCACACCTGCAACCAGTTCCTTCAGGAAATCCGAGATCTGTAGGTGGAAAAATTTCCCCACTCGAATTTCGAGCGCCCATTCCGCTTTAGCTATTAATCTAGGTCGACCTCTAGTACTCCAGGCCCTGAGCTCGAAGCTCGCCTGAACCGTGAATATGGTCCTGGGCATCCATACTATGAAGATATGTGTAAACTTGTCAAATTAGGCTTGGAAGAAGGCTGGGTTGCCAGTGAGCCACTGGATGGCCCCAAATATCGCCGAAGCCGCGTCGCCACTCCAGGCCCCGAGAACAATTATATGAGCATCACCACTGTCTTCTTCGATACCAATGATGTATATTCCGGGCAGCCGCATTCCCATCCATACGGAGAAATAAACTGTGTCATTCCTCTTAATCCTGGGGCCGAACTGGAGGGATTTCAAGGCTGGCAGGGTGCCGGTTGGACCAGTCCCTCTGCTGGTGAGTGCCCCTTTTCACCGAACTCGGCTTCATTCCCGGTTTCCATTGAAGTTGATGGATTAATGCCTAGGAACATGTCACTATCCCCGCGCGAGAGGCGGCGCTGTAGTGGCCTTGTTTTTTTTGCCTGCAGGGAGGATTTCTTATAACGTGGATTTATGATTTTATTGGGTCTGTAATATAGCCGAAAGGAATTTAACGACTCATAACTATTTTAGGTATTGATAAATGCCTTATAATTAGTATGTCTGCTGCAGGATGGTGGGGAGAGAAATGAGTTGCCATGGAAAAGTACGGATGGACCATCAATCTAAGAGTTCAGGGATATGCGTTCCATTTAGAAAAGAGGAGACCTCGACTATGGGAGAATGAGCGCAGAAATGAATGAGGACCAGATGTAGTGCCCTAGAAATTGCTATTCATCCAACATGATACTCGATTCTTAATACTTCTATACCTCTCTCAAGCAAAATTGACTGCTTACATTGCGTAGATTAAGGGTTCTATATATCTTCAAGATATAGCATCAGCATAGAGGCTGGTCGGTCCAGACTCGGATCAGGCGAGATAGATCCGACCCTCAAACGGTTGCAAGATACCCTCGTCGGACTGGAAGTAGTTACTGACTAGCAAAGTCATAGTTTTTGCGTCGTCCTTCTGCGTGAAGACCTGGGGGATCGCGGTGAAGTTCAACACTACCAAGGCCTTTTTCGTCCCTCGGGACTTGACAAAGGTGAATGCATTGGGATTCTCATAGTCCACAATGTCGAATGCCCCGTGGATGAACAATTCCCGATGCTCCTTTCTCAACTGCAAGACCTGCTTGTAGAATGAGAGTACGCTGGTGGGATCATCTTCTTGCTTCCTGACATTCAGCTCCCGGTACCCGTCGTGCGCACGCATCCAAGGCTGCCCGGAGGTAAACCCTCCGTGCGCGCTATCGTCCCACTGCATGGGAAGCCGAGAATGGTCGCGAGCCAGGACACGCAGCCCGTTCATGATCCGGGCCTGACGCGTGGGATCGACCCCGGAGGCCACCTGCTTCTCAGCTTCACGATAATACCCGAGGCACTCGATGTCTTTGTACTCCTCAATGGGCCATTCTCGCGGGGCATTGACCATCCCAATCTCCTGGCCTTGGTAGATGAACAGCGTGCCCGTCATCGCGGCCATCATCAATGCCAGCATCTTGGCCGATCGTTCTCGATGCTCCGGAGCATCGGACGCGAAGCGCGACACGGAGCGACCATTGTCGTGGTTTTCGAGGAAAAAGGTCGTCCATCCGTCGGTTCCCTCAATGAAGGATTGCCACTTGGCCACTATGGACTTCATCTCGGTCAGCGGCCAGGGATGGAAGATGTACTTGTCCTCTAAACTATTCCCCATTCCGATGTGGCCAATGTCCAGATGGAACACCATGCTCAGCTGGTTCTCTGAGGCCCCTACGTACTTGAGGACACGGCTGGGATCGGGAGTGTTGGCAAGCTCACCGATCGTAACTATATCGCCATAGGGAGCCATCACGTCAAAGACTTCCCCGATGTACTCGTGTATATGTGGGCCGTTGCACCACTTGGCGATGGCAGGCTGGATGTAGCTCTTGGGATCGGTGATGGGCGCATCCTGGAAGTCTGTGTGTTTCGAGTACTTATTAACCGTGTCCACCCGAAAGCCATCGACTCCGCGGTCGAGCCAAAAGCGGATGGCGCTGTCGTAGATGGCTCTGCGTGTCGCTGGGTTGTCCCAGTTGAGGTCCGGTTGCTCCTTGGAGTACAGGTGGAGGTAGTATTCCTGCGTGTGCTCATCCCAGGTCCCTGTATGCGTCAGCGTCATTCATGGCTCTTATGAACTCCCGATGGAAGATATCATACATGTAGAGCCAGCAAAGTAGCCGCGGTAGTTGGTTGGGGGAAGTCGATTGCCTTGGTTGTCGTATCTGGGAGGTCGCCAGAAATACCAGTCCCGTTTCTCGTTTTCTCTGCTGCTGCGGGATTCGAGAAACCATTGATGTTGGTCGGATGTGTGGTTGATCACCAGGTCCATGATGAGCTTCATTCCATGCTCATGGCAGGCGTCAATCAGCTTCTCCAGATCCTCAACCGTGCCGAATGCCGGCAGAAGCTTCTCATAGTCGGCGACATCGTAGCCCATATCGTGCATTGGGGAGTCGTAGCAGGGAGAGACCCAGACCACATCGACGCCCAGCGAGTGTAGATACGGGACTTTCTCGATCACACCACAAATATCCCCCCATCCGTCGCCGTTGGAATCCTTGAACGAGGCGGGGTAGACCTGACCAACATTAGGGCTCTCATCCGGAAAACAAGGATCCGCAAAACAAGAAACAACGGACCTGGTAGATGGTTGCTTCCTTCCACCAGTTGTTCGTCCCTGTGGGAACGGAATTGACAGCCGTGGGAGACATTTTCTGTGGGTTGTCTCCAGGAATTTTCGTGGCAGTGGCTTTGTTTTTATATCACACGATGCACTCTCTCCTCCGGACTACGGCCGTCTTGCCTCCGACTAAGGACCGAGCCACCCAACCAGACCGGAAGAAAACATCCGGCAATTCAGACGAAGAGAGATTTCCCCACAGAGCCAGTGTGGAGGCAGGAAATTTCCCCAGAATGACCACGCGATCTCGTCTGGAGACAGTAGTTATCGCGGCGATTGCAGACACATCTCGGTTATAAATATCAGGTCGATGCTGCTCTTCCCTCGCGGTGTCTCATTGAGCATGCATTTGACCTCATCCTGACATTACCACGCACATTCTATCCTACCAACTATGCCTCCACAGGATTCAGAGAGAACCCCCATTCCAGAAACTCGGGGCCTCTCCGTCCTCAGTCATGGCAAACATGCCGCTGAGAAGGAACAGTCCATGACTCTCTGGACTGCTCTTCGGACGTATCCCAAGGCCATCGGATGGTCCGTCTTGCTGAGTTCAACCCTCATCATGGAAGGATACGATCTGGCCCTGCTCAGTTCCATGTATGCTTCTCCTGTCTTTAACAAAAAGTATGGCGAGCAGACCGCTGAGGGGCGCTGGAATGTGCCGGCATCCTGGCAGTCGGGCCTGAGCAACGGTGCTCGCGCCGGAGAGGTCATCGGCCTGCTACTGCTCGGGTTCATTCAGGAGCCTCTAGGATATCGCTGGACAATGGTGTCGGCCTTGATCGCCATGAATGCCATCATCTTCATCTTCTTCTTTGCCGTCAACGTCAAGATGTTGCTCGCCGCCGAGATCCTCGCGGGGATTCCCTGGGGCATTTTCCAGACGCTCCCCGCGCAGTACGCGAGCGAGGTATGCCCAGTCGTGCTGCGGCCCTACCTGACGACGTTCATCAACATGTGCTGGGTCATTGGGCAGTTCGTCGCCGTCGGGGTCAATCGGGGAAGCATCCAGCGCGACGATCAATGGGCCTATCGCATCCCATTTGCCGTCCAATGGGTCTGGCCGCTGCCCATCCTGTTGGGCATCCTCTTTGCCCCCGAGTCGCCCTGGTGGCACGTCCGGCGAGGGAATATCGACGCCGCGAAACGTTCTCTCCAACGACTGACGTCGCCCAGCGATCCTACTTTCGACCCGGACGCGACTATCGCCATGATCCAGCATACCAATGAGCTGGAAAAGTCCCTGGCCGAGGGGACTCGATACTCCGATTGTTTTAAAGGCGTCAACCTGCGACGTACGGAGACGGTCGTTGGCATCTGGCTTGTGCAGACTCTCTGCGGACAGAACCTCATGGGGTATTATTCCTACTTCATGGTACAGGCGGGACTCCCGACCGTCCAGTCCTTTAACATGTCCTTGGTGCAGTATGCGTTGGGAATCGTGGGGACCATCAGTTCATGGTTCCTAATGTCCATGGCAGGTCGACGCACTTTGCATGTAAGCGGACTGACCTGTCTTTTTACTCTTCTCATCATCGTAGGCAGTCTGTCTTTCGCCCCCGAGTCCAACAGTGCGGCCAAGTGGGCGATTGGCGTTATGCTTATCATCTTCACTTTCTTCTACGATTCGACCATTGGACCGGTGACGTATTCCCTGGTGTCGGAACTGTCGTCGACTCGGTTGAAGGCCAAGACCATTGTCCTCGCGCGCATGGCCTATAATATCAGCAACATCGTGGTCAACGTGCTGACCAACTACCAGCTCAACTCGAGCTCGTGGAATTGGGGTGCACGTTCGGCATATTTCTGGGCTGGGACGTGCCTGGTATGTCTGATTTGGGCTTTCATCCGAGTCCCAGAGCCGAAGGGCCGGACATACGAAGAGTTGGATATGCTGTTTGAACAGCACGTATCGGCTCGGAAGTTTGCGCAGACTACGGTGGACCCGTATGAGAAGGGGGCTGAGGGAGCAAAATCCGAATAGCCATGAAGTATTCGGCTGGCATTTGAACACATATATTGTGTGCAATAATCAGACTCGTATAGATATTTTACATGGATCTCTTCCTAGAAACAAAACAATAATAGAATAAATATAACAAATAAGATAGGATAAAGATATCTGTATAAATCAATAATTAGATCGCATAAAATCTAATACACTAATAGGGAGTTGCCTAAGTGCAGCCTGAGGCACCCAACCTCGGCCCGTCTTTATCCGCTCTCTCTTCCTTTCTTCCTTTCTCTGTCTCCCAGAAATCCTGGAAAAACCATGCAGAAGATGTTTAAAAGCTCAATATATTCTACTGATGCCCGACCATCAACAACTAGCCTGTGATGCCTGCCGCCGTCGCAAGGTAAAATGTACTCCCAATCGCCCCTGCCTTCGATGCCAGTCTGCTGGAATCTCCTGCCGCACCTCCGGCGTCAGGAAGAAAAAAGGGCGGCAGGGTCTATCTGCCAACGTCTTAAGAGAGCTTCGAATGAAATCTCCGATTCAAGAGACTTCTCCTCCAAGTGAAGCCGTGCGGAATGGATTTGAAAGAACCGAGGGACTCGTGGATCCGAGTCTCGTGCAGGGCTGTGCGGAATACTTCTTTGCTCGGATGGCGGGTACAGTGCCCATTTTGTCACTCGGTGGCTTCCAGCGACAGGTAGAGTCCATGAACCAGTGTCTACATGCATACTGTCTGGTCACGGCCTTTTGTGCCTTTGTCGTGACTCAGACTGGGTACCCCTCTCACCATCAGGCCGAACCTTCGGTTGGATTGGCGCTATTGGAGGAGGCGACTGTGGCACGAAGACAGCTGGATCCATTTTCCGAGTCTGTTCGACGCTCTATCACCATTGCATTTTTGCTATATGGGTGTCATATTGGTCAAGGGCACCAACGGCGAGCCTACTACTATCTCAGGGAGGCCACCACATTATATACGGCCGGAATGCTAGATGAGGAACACGATCAGGATTGGTCGGCTTCCCATGACCAGCTGTTCTGGCTGCTCCTAATCTCTGAACGGTAGATCCCTATCTTTTCTATATACGCTGTGGCATGACACGCCCCTGACTTTGGCTCTGTAGTGCCCACGCCATTAGGCGCCGGCGTCCCATCACATTGCAGATTGGTCCCAGCAGTCCACCGCTAGCGGACTCTTTGGACCCCTTTACCATTGGATTTAACTGTTTGGTCAAGCTTTACCGTCTGTTTGATAAATCGTTTCTCGACCTCTGGAATGGGACTCAGACGACTTGGTCTAGAGAGGCTCTCATTCATTTAGAGGAGCATGTCCAGCGTGCGGTGCCCGTTGACATTCAGCTCCCAGATATCCTCCTCGCGGATCTTCTTGTCTCCCAGCAGTGGCTCCGAACCATTATCTGGCAGCTGGCCACTCGCGCTGGATTTCTCTCGACCACCCCCATCCATCCCTGCCTCGAATTTAGATACCCCCTGCAGATTGCTCGGGATCTCGCAATGGCTACCTGGAAGCTGTCGATGGGCAGCATGGAAACCCATGGAGTAGGACTGGTATGTCTTTGCTGATTCCACCCGTGTTTATCCGTTACGGCAATGGAACGATAACTGACCAACTCCATCATAGATCGAAAAGATCTTCGAAGTCGCATGCACCCTCACTGATGTCATGGTCTGTGTCTCAACAACGGGGCTTCAATCCTCTGCCTTTGAGCTGGGCCCGCAGGATTATTTAAAGCACTTTTGCTTCCTGATTGCCACGCTTCCTGGGGGAAGATCGAGGTTTTTGCCCCTGCTTTTGACAAAAATCGAGCAGACCACACCTGCTATGTTAGAGCCTGTTCAGATGCATTTGAATCTCTCGGAAGAAAATCCCAGTGATTTACCAGGCGAGGCGAAGAGTCATGAGATACACCTGCAATGTAGGGAAGAAGTCTGACGAAAACTGACGTATTTTCAAGATCGAAGTTTTCCTGATCGATACCCAGGTTGTTTAGCAGTTTCCCTGGCCGCTCTTCGGGTTGCTTTTACTCACAGATTGTTTTCAGTCTCCCCATTTATTCACCACCCAAGCGCATCAGGCAGGGTTTTGCTGTGCAAAGTCGGTGTGTTCACGCTGACCGGACCGCGAGTGATACAACTCGGAAGACCGCTACACTGAGAAGAAGCGTCTTATGCTCTGGTATACTTGTTCGTATAGAGAAAGCTCCAGGTTTCTTATAGAACTCTTCAGGCTTATTCTCAGCAACAAGAAAAAATACCTTTCGGCCACCAAAATTTTAAGTTAAGTATGTAAGCTCTACCTTGGTTTTCTTACGCTTAATTTTTATTGACGTGATCTTCAGAGAACCACCTGCGCATTGCCGGGCACTGAGTTTGGCATATAAAATTTATTCATGGGACATTTCTAAGCAAAATGAAGGCGAAGTGATGGTAGTATTGCTAATTGTTGACGGTGTTTCATGACAATCAAGCTCGGTCGACTATATACTTGGAGACCGTTTCGTCCATATGAGCAACTTGAAATCAATGCTGAAGCTATCTGGTAAAAGTCATGCTGTATGTACATACCAGGGCGTCCCCCTGGTTCAAAGAGAAAGTAGTCGCACAGCGCTTAGAGTCCGATTTCTTTGACTCCCATCGGGTCTGAGAAGCTAGACCCCAACTGCATGGCATCGTAAAGATTTGGTGTTTTCTACTTGATTTGTAAAGTAGCGAGATATTGAAGAATTTGCTCAATGCTAGTACACGCCTATCAAGGCTTTCATCGATTGTTAGGGTAATCGATCGCTTCGCCTGCTGGAAGCATCGTGCAAGAATAAAATCCAGTTCTTCTGCAAAGAAGTGAAGCGCAGACAATCAAATGACATGGTTTACTGGCGTATTATAGTGATCCAGAAACGGCAACATGTTTTTGAGAATGATTCCGTCGTACCATCCAACCTGTCTACACAAGTTCAACATTCTCTGGAAATCTCCATCCCGACGACTCGCGAGATATGATGTGGTTGTTGCTTTTCACGGAGGATGTAACCCAGAACCCCAGTTCCACATCCAAGGTCAAGCACACTGCCTGATAGGGTGTCTGCAATTTTCAATATAATGGAGCTGTTAATGCCATCGTTACCGTACCACGGAGCTACCTGGTCATGAAATTCTGCCAATTGCCGTCGCTACGGCTCACATATAAGACATGTTGCTTTTTACGGTCGAATGGCATTATTCATGCTTGAGAAATATGAAGAGCTCTTGCGAGAGACGTAGACGCCCAGAAACGGCGCTTCACGCATCGACAAGGTGTGGATCCAAAAATATTGAAATTGCGTCCGAGATATTCGGCGGTTGGATATGAAAAACTGAGAATTACTGTTCTCACTGCTCCCTTGGCCCCGAAGGCCTTCTTACATCAACCATAGACGGTGAGCTTGGAGGAAGGTTCTAGTGTATAGTAAGATAGGATTAAAGTGTACTGTTACTTGTATTTTCTAGGCTAGCCTGATATATCTGCTCACGCAGGAAAAGACTTCTTTGAACTTTTGATCGCTTTGGCTCCTCTACCACGAAGATGTTGGATGGAATTGATACCCTTTCACATAACCTCAGTTTATTCACTTGAAATCCAGACATAATAAGTACTATCTGCTAGTATGTGGCCTTCGAATCATACAAGTCAACGTCACCCAATCGCCAGAATTTCCTCCCCTACCTGTAAATCTACTGGCATCAAATTGTATAACGTTATTGTCGTGTTCGCTGCATGCGTCCTGAAATCCTTTTCGCTGGTATACCGGATACCCCTTCTTCGAGGACTCGACGTAACATTCGATTCCAAGTTGATCTGCGACATCACAGCCCCATTGTGTCAGGGCAGAGGCCGCCCCACGGCGTTCAAACTGAGGGTCCGTGGCAAGCAGTGCTAATACTAAGTGAAGAAAAATCAGCACACTTAACATAAGGAATGTTCTGTATGCTACTGCCAGCACGGGAAAGCCTACAGCAATGTTCTCTTCCATCCTGCCCGAACACCATCTTTCGCCTCTCAAATAAATGGCTCTGGCAAAACTGGTACCCTTCTTTATTTGCTCCAAATGGGATCCTCATTTCCTTGTCTGTTCTAACAGATTCACGCCACTCCTCCAGTCCTTCATCGCCGTGGTATACATGCCACTGGGCAAAAGCGATCATTTCATCAGAATCAGTATCGACGGCCTTGAGAAAGCGGACTGTGGGGTCTTTATTCCAGTCGTTTAGGATCCGTGTGATTTTGTTTATCCGGCAGGGTGGCTCTGTTATTCCAGTTGTAAACCCATCGGTATTTGGCACATCCCCTATGCTGCGGAAGAAGGCACTAGCTTGCATCGCTACCTGCTGAATGTCTACCATGCGTGGGACGTCCGCCTGGGTAATTGGCTCGACGTGAACCGGCATTATGTTTGTTGGCTATGCTGCAATGTCGTCCTTCGTTACTGCCTTGGTCCTATAATTCCTCAAAGTAGAGCTATACTTATAAGCAGGATTTGGAAAATCGTTACTGGCCCTGGAACATTGAGGTAGTTCGGGTAATTTATCTTTCAGGTCCTTCGCTTCTAACCAATGCATACGAATATACGAGTTCGTTCGTATCTCGGGGCTCCTAGCCAATGAAGCTGCTCTACAGGTGACTCATGGTGGGACTATTCATCAATCACGGCGCCTTGACCTCCACATTGGGTCCAATATTTACTTACTCTATCACCCTCTAACACTGTCAAGTATAAATAAGACTCGGTAAGAGTTAGGTTCGAACTGGTAACGTCTTGTTTTTATTAAGAACTAGATTCCTGTTATTAATACTGCACGTCCACTGAAATTAACGTACAACTGTCAGTTTAAGAAATTAATTTTGTCCATCATTGGAAAAAGAATATTTGTTCAATTAAATCAAATCTAAGCGTTCTATTCGTCTATAGATGCAGCATTCCAACACCCAATGCCGATTACCATGGCAAGTACCGGAAGCCAGCCGAACGGACGGACATCGTGTCAGGCAGTAACCTTTAGTTCAGCAATCTCAGGACCTCCTCGGTGATATCAACCAAGGGGAACTTAGAACGGTTTCCACCCAGGGTACCAGGCACCTTCTCAGAATCCATGAAATACTCGATGACCGAGTACAAGCTTTCTCCGATCTGGACGTTATCCACGGAAGATCCACTTTCGGAGAGGTACTTATTGGGAACGGATCCCAGCCGCTCGGCGCTGGCCCATCCATCGCGCGAACGCAAAACAACTGTTCCCTCGCTGTTGTCCGACACCAGCAGCACCTTTCCGTCGAATCGTGGCGGCAGAATAATGCCGTCAACGTCGTTTCCAATTTTAGTGCTATTGGCCTTGTTGCCGGTCAACGGGACAAGGACCTTCTTCCCAGCCTGATCCTTCATGTTAAACCGATACAGCTGTCCATCGGAGCCATCCGTAGAGAGCAGAGTATCGCCGTTGACAGCAAATCCGGTGAGTCCGTGAATGGTGTGGTCGGGGTTAGGCTGCAGGTACCAGGGAGTGGCCGTCGTGCCATCTTCGTTGACCTTGATGATACTGGAAGGGTAGGTTCCGAGTGCAAAAGTATTCCCCTCGTCATCATGAGCTGCATCCTGGTAGCCGCCATAGAGGCCATTGGGATCGGTCAGGTTTCTGCGCCAGAGTACCTCGCGGCTCTTTGGGTCGACCTTCAGAAGGAAGTTCTCGCCACTGATGTTCTGACCCTGGGTGTCGAAGGCAGCGCCGGCGTCGACGATCACAGACAGAAGGCCCTTGGGGTCGACAACCACACCACTGACATGGAGTGCTGGGTTGAAAGACAGACCGGGGAATTCTAAAGTGTCAACAACCGCCTTCTTGGCCGGGTCGTAAACGGCAACGGTGGAGTTGTAAAGAACACTGCAGACGTCAATGATGTTAGCTGAAGCTCACTTCTAAATTTGATCGACCTTATATTGTCCGTACCTCAGGTAGGCTAGGCAGGTATCGGGATTGTAGTCCGCGTGTTCCGGATACAGCTGGAAAGCATCAATGGTGATGTCACCCGAGATGGGCGCACATTTTGACTGAGAAGAACCTTGGATGAAAGTTAGCTTTTTTACTCTAGATCTACGCCGCGTCTGGGTAGATATAGGATCTGTACAAAGGGGTGCTTTCAGAACTCACCGGCATTGCCCTTGGGACCATCATGTTTCTTCGGGTCATACCTCCATGGGTTCCAAGATGCGTTCTCACGAGGGCCATCATGTTTTTCTGGGTTGTATTTCCAGCCATTGTCGCGAGCGCGCAGTCCCCTCCTGAGGGCATTAGTTGGCTTTGCCTGAGCAGGCCCGACGTTGGCTGCCAGCAGGAGTGCCGGGTAGAGGAATGTTTTCGAAAACTCTCTCATGTTGGGTGGCCCGGTTTATTGAAAAACCAGGTATTGACTTGTGTGCTTGGTGAATTGGATGCAGGAATTGAGAGGTGACAAGGGGGATTGCGTCGGGCACTTATATACTGGTCTTGCCGGAGGTAGCGTATGAAGTGATTCCGTTCTCATGAAATCATCATTAATAATAGTACAGGTTGAAACATTCTCAGCCGCGGAAGGTGCATCATTCCAGGCGTTCACTAGGCCCACATAACCACGCTCCGGTTTGGCAAGGCCAGAATGGATAAACTTCAGACACCCACACAACCTTAATCGGTTCCCTCATAGCTTTCACTGGCTCATGGTGTCATGTGCTGGAAAACCATAACACTGGGGTTACCAGTCATCGACGGAGAATGCACTCTATCTTGGGTAAAGCCAAGTCAGGTAAAATCTCAAGGTACTCAGGCCAAATGATCGGATTCTACACCAGAACACTAAGAGTAGGAGTCCCAGCAGCTCCCTGCTAGAGCATTAAACACCTTTGATTCTTGTGCAGGGGACCCAGGGTCCAAAGGAGGACCATGTGGCCCGTAGCGCATATCGTGTTGAGTAGAGTGCCGATGGTTCAAGAGCTCGTCATTCCAAATGTGGTATTCTTGACGCCCACTGCAGGACCCGTCGGACAGGAAGCTGTGCATGAAACGGCGTCGCTTTGGAAGCCGTCTAGAAAAGCCAAGTCTTGCGTCAAGTGGCGCAGCACCCGACATTGGGCTAGATCCGGTCGATTGTTTGGATGGGAGCCCTAGTTTCCAATCGCTGGTTCCGTGAATTACTGAGCACTGCGGAACGAAGCCGCTCTCTGCCTGCCAAGCCCCTGCTTCATTTCCTTTTTCTGCTCGCCCACCCTCAGTTCCCCCATGCAGGTTGTGCCTTGCCACGTCCTCAAACACACCAAAGACAAGGTGGTTCGGCATGGGTGGTATGATCACAAATCGTCTTGTATTGTCATCAATTCCGGATTGAGCTTCTCTGCTTGTCCGTCGACTTCCGGGAATTGGTTCCGGAAAGATCCGTTGCGGCCGGTCGAAGAAATTCGGCAACCTACAGAGTAGCTCAACCACGAATGGCACTGAATTTTGTCTAGCTGTCCCCACAAACGGGCGGCATAAAACCGTGGTCCTGAACTCCCACCAGGAAAGGTGACAGCTGCTAAAGGGTAAAAAAGGCTGACGATGATAAATATGAAGACGAAGAACAAAAAGGAAAGAAAGAAAGAAAGACGAAGGTAGAGAAAAGAAAAAAAATTAGGGGACATGTCCGACCGAACAAATACAGCTTCACGTCGACGGCCCCTTCCTGACATCCGATAGGCAGGCATTAATGAAACTGCTAGATGCATAAATAGGTCTAACTCGAGGCTTCTAACTTCTAGATCCTGGTACTAGGCAGATGCATAATGAGTAAACGAACCCAGCCTATTTTGCCGGAATTCATGAAAATGTTTACTATTGATCTTAGTAGACCACAATGTGACATCGTACGCAGACCCTTTTATGCTTGCTTCCATTATCACTCCAAAGTAATCCAAGAGGTAAAGCTGGGAGTAGTTCTAGAGTTCTATCTACTCAGCCCTATACAAAGATCGACGGGCACCAATTAAGGTTCGGAGTGATCTTCTAATCTGGCGTGCGTAAGCTTCAGCTTTCTAAGCGTCATCCAACGTCACAGCCGGCGCAATCTGGGCGGATATCAGCTCTATAACACATAGCGTAGTTGGAATTAAATAGAAGGCAGATCACTGCCTTCTGGAATTGCATGCCTTGTGTGCTGTATGCTTCCACTGACGCCAAAACGGGCATGGCCAAAGAATGGAGTCGTGTTACATTTAAGATATATTAAATATATATATATATATTCTAGTTTAATAATGAGATAATATCTAGTGATATAGTGGACTAAAGGCTATAATATATATTAGGACTAGGTACTTCAACCTGCAACCATCAGGATGTTACTACTGTAGGAGCTGGAAAATCCGTTCCGTGCGTTGCCACCGTTCAGGCTTCATCGCAGAATCAAGTAATATTATTTTTGCCTATAACGCGCGATGGAAGACATCTCACGCTCTCCAGCAGCTTCCCACCAAACTCCGTTATCTTGACGTGGCCACCTCCTGCTTTCTAATTGCATTCGATCTGGGATCGCCGAGAGTGGCATTGAATGGAACAACAGGGCTATGCAAATTGATGGAATGCACCTGGACTGAATCGTACCGGAGATATGGAAATTACTGTCTGAGAAACCATTATACCCTCTTGAAAATTTGACAAATCGATACCCCGAAGCGACCTCCGACTGTGATAGGGTACGTGTAGCCAATTCGAGTTAGAATATAATCACCGGTGACCCAGAAATCCCGGTAGCTGTACACCTGAGCATGCCCATTGAGGAAAAGCAAGCAAATGTAAAATTCTAGTTAATATACTCCAGCATACCCTGTGGTGGGATGAGTTGAAGCGCCTCATATTCGTCTGAAAAGCTGGTGAGAACCCAAGCGGCCCAGGGTAGCAATGTAGAGTGGTATCAACGTCACCTTGTAAGATACCATGCTAATATTACCCTTCCATTACATATTCTCCCTACACAAAATTCATAACCATATTTTGTATTCGGCGTGACTCTCCGTACTATAAGTAAGAAATGTAAGGGCGTATGAGTCCGAGGCGAGTAAAAAAGGGGGGGGGCAGTATTACCCTATGTAATTAGTCGCCAACTCCACTAAAGACAGTATAAAAAACCTGTTAGTACTGTTAGGCTGCTCTGCAGGTATACATAAGAAGAGGTGTGTCTAACACATTTTAAAGAGGTAGATTGATGCATGCGTTTGCTCCCTTACACCGAGCAGGATAGGCTGCCTCTGTTCTCACGTCGCCAAGTATATAAAGAAAAAGATTAGTTAAAGATGATAAAAATGCTATGCACGATGATTAGTATAAATTTAAGTTTCATATATTGGTGTCATACATTGTCGTAGCAAGTCAACGACATGTTCATAAACTTGATGACTCCAGGTAGGATCCCATTAAAAACACCTCTATAAACCAGGGTCCTTTTTTTTGTCTTCATACACAGCAATTTTGTCTATGCTGCCATCTGCCCTCCTATATTACATTTCATTTCCATTACTATATCCCTCCCTGCCTTTCAATATGTCTGACATCTATATACCTCCGAGAAACATATCATTTCGACTTTTGGGCCTTGGAAGCCAGTGTGTTCTGTTCTCACGTACGAGTCGAGATCCTGGATTTGGATATCATACAAAAAATGATGTTTTGAGGATCGTGGGTGGCATCTCGTACCAGGACAGGGGAAACTCGCAGGGTACTACCGATTTCAAAGTAAAAACACCGGAAAGAACATTTACACGAAGGGCTGCACGGCAAGAACACGATAACCTAGACCAGGTGTATTATGATCAGTGGTTCAAGCCCGACTCAGTACATCCGGATGGCTGCTTCCGTCTCCGAAATTACGACAATGGCACCGTGCTGGTCTCTGGTACGGCTCCTCCCTAGACGTCACCTACCACCATTGAGGCGGTAAAAATTATGATGCAAATACTTCACTTCCTGTTCAATAACATGGAGGTAGTAAAGATTGAGTACGACATTAACAAGGGAGGCTGCACGACGGTGGCGTGGAAGCCATTAGCGAACAGGAATAGAAAATAACACTTCCATTAACAGTCGTCAACCTTCGCGTTCATGAACTTCACCATCTTATCCACATTTGAGTGCTCGCATGGGTTTACCATTACAGTGGGTACGAGCTTTAAGTCCAGGATCCCTTTCGTCTCCGAAATTCGTGTCGAGTCTTCCACCACCCATGAGATGAAATGGGTGAGACAAACAGCGTGTCGAACGACTATGGAGAATTCCAGTGACCGCCCCCTTTCGTAGGCAAGTCACTCACACTGGCAAGGTTCGCCGTTTCATGCCCGATGTTACTGGCCTTGAGACGAGGTCCGTTGAACAGTATGGCGGCATTATATACTGGAATCTCTACTGCCAATTCAATCTGAAGCTATTACTATAAAACCGGATTGGTGGTAAGTCAACATTTGGGATTATAAGTCGGGCAGCCTCCTCAGTATTAAATATAGCGCTAAAATCGGGATCCTTGCACTGGGGAGTGATGATTTGCTCTACATTAGTTGTATTAAGCCCAGGAAGGTAAACCCAAAAAAAATTTAATTCTGGCTACACTTTTAGTCTTCATTGGGGTTTATTTCATGTTTAAGAGGTGTGCAAGTGTCTTCCACTGTCTTCTTATGCGTTAAACGTCGTACTCCTTATAATTTAATGCCTGCCAAGCGTGGAGTTCCTGAAGACCTTTTTAATCCGAGATTAAGACTACATGGATAATCAACTATCTCCGTATAGTATTCCAGCAGCTTTAACCTTTCAGAAAGATCACCCAGGAGCTAGACCCGATCAATCCGTACCGCAAAACACCCCGGTCCGGCATAGTAGGCATGGAGATAACCCACATCCTTGTTCTGAAAGAGTCCCTCTGCTTTCTCCGCCAGCTCACTCCCCTGAGTCACGACAAAGTCCATCAACATATGATCCTTGCTATAGCCACGAACCGCAAGCAAGCGACGTCGCTGCTGGTCCGCCACGGTGCCATTGCATTCATAACGCTCGCAGTCTCGGTGGACGTAGATGGGGCCGGGTCCCGTATATGGGGACACGCCGAGGAAGGGGTCGTAAGAGACAAGCAAAATTTCTTCACCAATTTTGCCATCCCGGAGGCATCGTCTGCAGGGGAAGCCATTGGCGGCGTCAACTGTCTTGGTAACTGTCTTGGCTGGGTCGACTGCAAGTGGTGCGGGTAGGGGTGTGAATTTTATCATGATGACCGATTTACCAACGCAAGAAATATATTTATAGAATAGCTGACAATGAAGATGCAAGTTTTAGAAATGAGGTTGTTGGAACTTATTCTACTCAGTTATTTGAACGATATTTATGCGTGATGCAGATAAATATTGCATGAAATTGTCCAGTAGTAATTCTGTACATATTGCTCTTGATATGACCAACCCGACAGTGAGATTGTATATTCGATCGGCGGCTTGAGCCATCCGGAATCGGGTGGAGAGCTCCAATCAAAGAGAAACCAATTACGAAGTGCCAATATTCTGAAGGATTGCACCGGCGAAACGAGGTCGATCATACCTTTTTAGCGCGATAAAATTTTCCCTATTGGGTACTTATTAAGAGAATAAATGATGCCAATCTCTTCTGCATATCTTTTCTTCCAAAGTTTCCCGGCAATATCCGCTGGTCGTGAAGTCTCCAAATCACAAGGTACTGTTATTATATAAAGTATTGAGTATTTACTATAGTACAGGGTCTTTAATTGCAGCTTCGTAGCCACAATGTTTAAATTGCTCAATGCTATTAAAAAAATTAAAAAGAGACATGCATGCTACAGAGGTAATGGAGTGCGAGAGATCAGCATGAAATTTGTCCCTGGCGTCGGAGAACAATTCCATCCCTGCTCGTAAAAACTTGCATCGTAAAGACGACCGGAAAAGCAAACAACTCGGCAAAGGCTGGATTTCTTGCATCTCATCGGCCATCTGCTGTCAGACCAACCGAGTCTCACCAATCTCACGATGCCCAACCAGGCTGGGATCTCCACTCCGCCAAGCGACGGCCCTTTCCCTACTCCTCGTATTCGACACACCCACCACTCTGCCTGGCCAGTGGCTGCAGATAGTCTCCTCGTCAATGCCACACGATCGTCCGTCTGGAGTCAGAGGCGGCTTGAGTGCCCATATGGGGCGAGGGGTGGGTACAAAAGGGGCAAACCGAGCAGCTAACCTCTCCTCGCGGTGGAATCAATTTTCTACCCATCGGAGACCACACTATCTTAACCAGCATTGAAGAAAAACGATGCAGTTGTCGGGGTTTCTTCTCGCCTGCGGTCTTTTGCAAGGCGTGTGCGCCTTGGACCCTTGGTACTTCACATGGACCGACCCCTCCAAGGAAACACACTCCGAGAGCGGTTCGAAACCAGAAATCTGCAAGGAGATTGACAATCCCATAGGGAGACATTTTGAATGGGGCGCGGGGGATGGCTGGTGTATCTATTTCTGGGAGAATCGCAACTGCACCGGTTATGCGAGCGCCGGACACACCTGCAAACCCTGGCCGTGGAAGGCCGATGCACAGCACAGTCATCTTCGATCCTTCAAGGTGGCTGTTAACGGCACCGCCGTACCGACCTCTCCCAGTGATTTAACGAGCGCTTCGCTCAGCACGTCCACCACTACTTCATCCACCAGTTCATCCACCAGTTCGCCAATCAGCAGCCCAACCAACATCCCAACCAGCACCCCGACTGCCGACGCGCTATCTGTAGAGAACACTGACAGCAGCGGCTCGCTATCCGGAGGCGCAATCGCAGGCGTGGTAATCGGCGTGCTGGCCGGTGTAGCTCTACTTGCAGCTGCAGTCTGGTTCGTGTTCTTCCGACGACAGAAGAAACCGGCGACAACGCCGGAATCGTCCTCGGCGCCTGACCCTCCTGCCACTGATAACGACGCCGACAAAGAGGAGCTCGTGCCCCGTGAACCACCCCCGGCCTTTGAGCCAACTGCCGAGTTGCCCTATACCCCGAAGGAGAAGCCCCCCATCGAGCTTCGAGGGGACAATGCGATGGTGGAAATGAGTGACTCACACCGGGTTGTGGAGTTGGATGCGACGGAAACAGTCCAGCGGCGGTATTGAAGGACTTGCTCTTCATGCCGGATCTCGGTTTTGGACCCAAAATCATATAGAGAGAGGCAGTCAGTGCCAGAATGAGGTTATGAGTATATTCGTCTATGTATTTGATAAAGTTAATTCTCGAACCTTTCTCCAATCGTTTTTGCCGTCCATAATTATTGTGGACTCTGCTAGACTGATGAAGCTTCCAAACACAACTGTGGTTTCGCCTCTGGAAACCACCAAACGAAATGGAGTAGAAAATGGGAGCTTCCTTACCAAAAGCGCTTGGGAGGGTTCTTGATTTTGCTCCTCGAAGATGCCAAATGGCATGTAGATAATGCCATGATGATTCAGGATGATTCATGGACAGACGTTACGAAATTCCTCCTGGCGCTGCCCGATTGAATAAGTCGCACGGAGTTCGGAGATGTTTGGACAGCCCTAATTGGACTGTATAAAGATGCTATTAAGAGAGTAGGAGGTTACAGTTGTTTCTTGGTATCATCCAGGCGGAATTTATCTTCTACTATCTACACCTCTCAAACCAGACCTCTTCCCTTCCGTGAAACGGGACTCAACGTAATCATCGTTGGCGCTGGCCCAGCAGGCCTAAGCACAGCACGGATGCTGTATGAACATCATAGTGTAACCATCTACGAGCGTGTTGACGAACACCATGACTGATGGCCAGGGAATCACCATGTTCTCCAACGCCTTCAAGGTGCTCGAGGAGTTGGGATTCGATACGCACCGCGCTGCATCAGTGCCCGCAACGGGTTGGCGCCTGTACGAGAGCCGTGATGTCGTCAAGGACATTGAAATGGATTTCTCCGCCGGGCACAGTGGCCAGCCACGCATGCAAATGCGATCCGACTTCCGGGAGGAGCTCCTGTGTTTGACCATGGCGCCATCCGCCGACCTGGGCCTCGACGGACAGCCGGCGAAGGTGGTGATCGAGAAGGCCGTCGTGGATGTCGGTCCGGATGAGGGCACCGTTTCCTTTGCGGATGGCTCTAAGGAATCGGCGGACCTGATAATCAGTGAGTATTTGCTCCTTTCATTTGTACGTAACTAGATGATGCTGACCACCGTAGTATCGGACCGCGTACACTCTCGTCTGTGCAGCCATATCCTGAACAATGACAGTTACCAGGCCAATAAGATAGATCTGACTTTCTACCGCGTGGCTCTCTCCGCTGACAAGGCTCGCGAGGCATTCAGAAGTTGTTTACCGCACTTCTGGGACCGTGAGACTGGCAAGGCCGACTTGTCTGATCAAGGCTGACGATGGTACTGGTCGATTTGCAGCAGCGTATCCCCTCCGTGGATACGAGTACATAAACCTGTCAGTCGTGTTCCCTTCACGGGACCTGGGGAATTCGAATGCCGAATCCTGGCGCTCAGACGGAGACCACGACGAGATGGTCTCCCTGTTTAGTGATTTCTTGAGGAACTTAGCTATTTGCTTCGGTAGTGATTCCCCGCCGAGCTCTGGATCCGATGATCATCCTGACAATCCAAACATAGAGTGGCCGACAAGGTCAAGATGTGGCATCTACGGGATATGGACCCCCTTCCACGGTGGAACCAAGGCCGAGCGATTCTCATCGGGGATGTGGCGTATCCCATGACACCGCTGCAGGGCCAGGGCGCTAATATGGTCATCGAGGCCGAGGTCTTTTGTCTCACTGATCCGACGACGTCGCGCGACGAGATACCAGAATTGCTACAGAAGATTGACAGTGTGCGCCTACCACACGAGGCGGCGGTGTTAAATGGCACGCGGACCCTGGGAAAGGATATATTCAGCTGAATGATATTCATCAACGGATGGATTGCAACTACAATTATTATGGATTAAAATGCTCTGCGTCGCAGCAGTGAATAACGTTACGAGGTTAATTTCAAGGTGCATCGTGGAGATACCATTTCATAAGGCATCATAAAATAAGAATAGCACTGGGAATGAATATACTGAATTAAGATGGACAATTTGAAGCCACGCTTTATTTTTATTGCATCACAATATTTAAACAACTTTATTCTATCTGGTATAAAGCGATCACTCAATGTACAGAGTATCATGCTGGACCAACCCGCCGGATGCAATCGAACAACGGATACACAATGATGCCGATAAATATGATGCAGGTTAAGCCTAACTTACTTCTTCTGTACATAGAGCCTCTGTAAGAAAGACATCACGGTAAGAACAACAATTCCTTGCCCGCTAAATGTCATGCAAATATCATAACCAGCAAAATCTGAGATTGATACAAAGCCAAGCCATCACTCTGGACCACTACATAGCCTGCTTGCCCATTGTCTCAATAGGCAAGAAACACATCGCTACGAAAGCAGCCAGTAGGAGACCTCCCGACGCATAGATCGGCGCAATGGGATTCGTACTGGCATAGACACCAATGATCGGCGCCATCAGGCCCGCAATCCGATTAAGGCAACTAGCGATACCAGTGCCCGTGCCGCGGTTGGGCGCCGGGAAAACCTCGGGCGTGTAGGCATAGAGAACACCGTACATGGCCATCTGGAAGAAAGACTCCAGCGACGAGCACACCAGCTGCACGTTGGGGTCCTTGGACGCGGTGAAACAAAACAGCAAAATCGCCGTCACCAGGGTGCAGAAGGCCATCGTCCCCTTCCGTCCAATGTACTTGATATCAACCGTGTACCAGGCCACCAGCGGCCCGGGAATTCCACAAACGGCCGTGATGGCGTAGTTACGGTAGGTTTCGTACGTGGTTGAGTTGGCGCTGAGGTACTGGGGCAAGAAGGCGTTGAACAGGGTATACCCCATTCCAATGGTGGTCCAGCAGAACCAGATCAGGATCGCTGTTTCGGTTAGCGTCGGGATACCAAAAATGAAGAGAGAAAGAGAGACACATACTCGAAATGCTGAGTCGTGTGCTACTAAACAAGGGCATAATCTGCTGGTAGGAGAACCTCTCGAACGACCGCTTAAGGATCTCCCCAGTGGTCAGACCCTGCTTGGAGTCCTGCTCAGAATAGCCACCGATCTCGTTGAGAATCTCCTCTGTAAGCCAAGTCCTGGTTTTGTTCTTGCGCGCAATGCCATGAACCGCTGCAACAGCCTCATCCTGACGCCCTCGGGAGACCAGGAACTTGGGGGATTCGAAAAGCGTGAAGAGCACGAACCGGCAGAGAAACATGACAAAGGTCACAGCGCCGAGAGTGAGAACAAGGTACCGCCAGCCCCAGTTGTTTTCACGTGTGCAGGTTTCGATGCTTTCACAAGAATAGTTGGGGATGTAAGCCCAGGCAAGCATACTGTATCATAGTCAGCGTCGTCCAACCAGGAGATAAGAGAGCATGTCACGGACCTGGCAATCAGAGTTCCCACGGACCACCACGTCGCCAACCCGCTCAAAAGGTTCGCCGAATTGGGAGGCAAGCACTCCAGGAAGACCGCCGCATCAACGGGGAGATTTCCGCCGACTCCCAGACCCAAGCAGGAATAGAGCGCGCAGGTCCTATATTCCACGTTAACGGACAAGTCCCCCGAAAGCTCAATGGGCAGCCATACCCAACCCAGCTTGACCCACCGCCAGCAGCGAGGCCAAACGAGCCACAGAGGAAAAGAGTGGTGTTAAAGGCAGGTCGACGGCCAATAGCATCGGAGGCAATACCCCAGAAGGAGGCTCCCACGATAAGTCCTACGAATAAGGCACACGTTGCGAAACGAGAATTCGTCTCGGACACGCCAAATTCCCGGGACAGTGGGGTCAGCGTCAGTGCCACTCCCTATACGCGATCAGTGGACTGCTCGAGACTCGAGCGAACGACCTAGGTCTTACCTGCAACCAGAGGCTAAACGGGAAATTCCAGTCAGCACCAGTGTCCACATACAGATTCAGAGACAATCAAGCGCTGCTTACTTATCGGCAATCCAACCAAACCCGCAGAGAACAAACAGCTCCCATTGGTAACGACCCATACCAATATCTTGAATGGCCCGGTTGATGACCTTGGCTTTCCCTGTGAGAGGTCAGAAAATCCCAAGCTCGAGGGCAGACAGAGTCCTGCCAGGGTGGCGGGAAGGGGAGGAGGTCGATCTGCAGTTGAGAGCGAACAGCCCAAAGTGAGTAGTAGCAGAGTAGACATCAGGAACGTACGGTCATAGGCAGTGTTGTGACCCGAAGCACCGACGGCGTTTTCGACTTCTTCCCGAAGAGCTTCGAGGGTCAGCGCGCTACATGGGGCATCCGTGACGGTGCCTCTCTCGTGACTGGAGGCCGATTCAGCATCGGAGATGGGCTTCTTTTCCGCATGGGGTTCCGGCATTGGTTTTTCAGTCGCATGGGCTTGGGCGAGGGGCATCACCACTTCGGGGTATTGTCGCCGGTCTCGGTTGGCGAGTATATCTCTCCAGGTTAGGTTACCCATTGTGCACGGCTTTTCAAGGTCGCAACGGGATAGATAGTAGGTAGTTCGACTAGAGTCGCGTGGTGGACTTGCCGGTATAGGTAAACGGGAAACGGGCTATATATGTGGGTGTTGTTGCTGGCGGGATGGGTCGAATACAGCTCTTGGGTAAGGGCTCGGCCTACCGTGTCTTTGTGCTTCGAAATAGCCGTTCAAGGAGTGGGAGCTTTCATCCAAAACCGGTCGATAGAAGAATGGGTAGCAGGGGCAATTGCTGTTGGGAAATTGGGGTGGGAGATTAACTCAGGGAAGACTGCGCGATAGGAGAGCGGAAATATAGATGGCGCGACGGGTCTGAAACTGCCACTATTTGCTGCTACTTCCGTGCGAAATCTCGACGTTTTTTTGTCACGCTGTTCAGTCTGTATCAAGTTTCTTTTTTTGACTTTTGAGTCTATCTAACAGGGGATGTCAGTAGCAATCTGGCGTTGGCGCGAGTTTCGACACAATCGAACACGATGTTGAATTGAACAGGGCGTTGAAGGTAGCGAGACAATGGATAGTTGATTTAGAAGAGCAAACCGCGAGAGATGCCTCTGCAGTCCAAAATGAGTGTGTGACGTGCAGTCTTCGAGAAGGCCTGACTGACTGACACTGGATGAGGGGAAGGGGAGCACGGTTGGGGAAAAAGTGGAAGAGAGGAACGACCACACAGAGGAAAAAGGAAAAGAAAAAAATGGGGAAATGTTGAGTCCTTTGTATCATCCATCGTGGTGCCGAATTTTTTTTTTTTTTTTTCCTGAGAATTAGATAATATGAAGTCAAGGTGATGGGGAACGGCCGTGGAATTGACCAACCATGTACCGGTAGACTTTATATACCGGATTGGGTAATTATTTGAGAGACCATGAGAGCCCGGCCGTCCACCCGTCTGCATTGCTAGCTCGGAATCTCACCCATTCCTGAACCACAAGAATCGCACACTGTGATAAATCCTTCTCTCTGCCATTCGCTTCTCTGGCAATCCTTCCGTCTGGTGGTTCTTGTTTGCTTTTTTTCGGCTCGTTTGCCACCATCCATCTTCGATCGTGTGTCCCCTATACTCGGTGACTTCGAAGTTACTGCAATGTTCGTGATGATCCACAGGCGGTGGACACCATCGCGCCCCCACCCAACCACTGGCTTGGATTTCTGCCCATGTCCTCACCGTCGTCAATACGAAGTGGACGGTTGGCTGCGATTCAGAGCTAGTGGCCGTCCAAGTGGGGCTTGGCTATAATGCAAACCGGGACATTGTCCTTTCACACGACTCCTTCGTGTCAGTGCTGTTGGTGAAGACGCAAGCAATACGAACAGGACAAGGCAGGGGAAAACAACCCCATTTCGATCCAGTCCTCGATTAGGCAAGTGTGCGCACCCTCTCAGTGCTACGGACAGGGGCAAAAGGTAAACGAAAAGAGAAGAGAAAAAGAAAAACAGTACCAAGAGTGGAGAGACTTGGCGTTAAGCCATCTGTCCACTCAGATTCCGCCCACACGATATCCGATGCCTTGGTGGGTTGACGGGCTTCATTCTTCCGCACTTTCGGAGTGTAAAAATTCTCACCCAAGAGAAGCATCGTCTGATAAAGGTACCACATTCCGGTTACCTACCGCATTCTCCTTAGCGTGTCATCGGTGCACCCTTGCCCTCCTTGGTTACTGTATCCTGATCAAGCCCTCCATCCTCTGGTGCAGTAATGTACGTAATTAATTTTGGGTCATGACATACTTACGTAATGTGTTCATAACTTTGTGGGGTTTGGAGATGACTAAGCCACCCGTAATGCCCAATTAATTGCTAAAGAAAAGACCAAATCCAATCATGTAGTGTCCCAGACAAGTAGTTCATCCATTCATAGACTCGAATTGTAGCCAGCATGGCTGTACCCATGAAATGTGCCTCTAGGCTCGAAATAGCCGTGGCAACTGCTGGAAGCTCGTGATAACTTGGTCGTCGAGGGATAGTACGGGAACCTGTATTTTAGGGTTAATCTCTGTGAAGCTTTCCCGAAAGTGAGCATCAAATCCGCCCCCAAGTTTCACCCTGATTGGTTCGTAGTCTGCTTCTATTTCATGAAATCAAATGTGTGGGCCGAGGGAACATGCATCAGGGACGAAGAATAGTTATATTTTAGGTATATAACTTGTTTTGAGCACACTTCTTGGTTGATAGGGTAGGGATCGTCCAACTGAGAGCACAAGGACTGCTTGCGGGTGCCTTGGACAAATATAAGTTCACAGAGAGGAATACGAGATAGAACTATTAAGCTGGATTTGATTTATAATCTAGCTTCTGGTGGATTCAACATCGGCTAATTAACAAGGCAGTATTGTATATCTAATACGAGATCTTAAATTTTGCCGCATATTTAATATACATAGCAACACCTGATGCTATAATCAACCAATGAATTAATTAGCCAAGTAATCAAAACAAATATAATAAAAATATTGCTTTAGTGTCGCAGGCAACGCCTGTATATCGCTCGCCTTCACTTATTGTTGGTCGGGTTATTGCAATCACATGACCCCTCGTAGTATGAGAACCCACTCTTCTTCCCTCTTCGCTTTATATTTTCTTCCTCATAGCGATTCCTCTTTGTGTATATCTAGTCATTAGATAGCAAGGCATTTCACCCCTTTACATTTAGAATGCCTTCTTTGGCAACTTAATCCAACATAAAATTAGGGGACCAAGCCGAACCAGAGGGCCGAGAAGGGATAAAATTTTACGCTCAAGAGGGGTTACCTACCTATGCCTAGCCTGGCATCGACATTGGATGCTATGATATTCTGCGGCACTATTGTCCAGCCATAACCTGGCCCTCTTCAACATGCTGGGGCTGTTTCTAGGCATGGCTTTATACGTACGTCACATCTTGGTCTATTAACAGGTAATCTGTACGAGATGAATGACAAAATGGAGATGGAAATGAATGTTTATATTCACGGGAATGATATACAAATACCCTCTTTGGTTCTTCTTATTTTATATATTGTAAAGGTTTGACTTTTTATGCGCTAGTATAGTTGAAAGTTCAACCAAAAAGTACGAAGACGACTGATCGAAAGATCAGTCGCATGTAGCGCCCTATATAGTAGCGAAAGTCTTAGTCTGAGCAATACACTTGATTAACCCATGACATATATTTTTAATTTAAAAGACTAGTATTGAAAGTAGTAGCTCCCTCTACACGCCCGAGTAAGAATCCTATAAGAGAACTTCGGGTCTCTAATGTAAGCTAGCAACACACTTAGCAGTACGTTGAGCCTTTAAGAAATTGCAAAGCATCTATTAATATTTGCTGTGACTCTTTGTTACGTACCCATATGTACTGTATTTTCTAGACAGCTCGAGGGGTAACGGCACGGGGAAGGGCACGCAGCACCCATACTAACGGCAGCTGTCGGTTCTCTCTTGCTGAAACCACGCGGATTGGTATCTCCAAGTTTGTGGCGTGAACGCGAGAGCTGGCGGAATGCATCGTCGGATAGTAAGCAAAAATTTACGTGGGTTTGCTAAGGCCTGTAACGTAATCGGATACCGAGTGTCAGATTTTTTTGCCGCAGCATCACTAACAATTGCAAATTCCTCCACACCATCTATATTATCAAATGGAGGATAATTCTTAGATAAGAGAATTCTCCTGGCACTTAATACGCTTGTAAAAGGTCAGTTTTATCTACCCCAAAGGCAGCAGCAGTATTTAATATTAATAAACAAACACTCCAAAGATGTTTTAAAGGTATCTCTGCACGCGCAGATACAGGAGTAAACTGCAAAAACCATCAGAAACTAAAGATCAGCATGGATTCTTGATATGTACCAACATTGCTTGTATCCAGAGCCTAAGATTATTAAATATTTAGCAGGATTACTATTCTCTGTTCGGCTATTCTTTTCCTCTGAGCCATCTCCAGGCCCCCTTGGTTGCAAATAGGTAAACCGGTTTGTTAAGCGTTATCTAAAGCTGCCTTAAATATAATCAGAAATATAACTATTAACATATAGCGACCCAGAGCTTATTTGGAACTGGTTCTTTAATACGATCCGACAGAAGTATGGGATTCTAGACAAAGAAATCTACAAAATAGATAAAACAGGCTTCCAGATAAGCATGATATCAACTGCAAAGATTGTCTGTAGCTCAGAAGCAAGAGAAAGCCGAGCATAGGAAATACAACCTGGGAATAGTGAATAGGTCAGTCAATTGTCTATGTTAATTCTACTGGATGTGCTTTGCCTACACAGATTATCCTAAAAGGACACAAATACTAAGCTCAGTGGTATTCCTCAATTCAACAAGATAATCGGATTAGTCTAAGTGAGAATGGACGGACAACAAATAAGCTTGATTTTAAATAGCTCTAAGAGGTTTTTAAAAAGCATACAGCTTTAAAAGTTAAGGGATAATACTGCTTGTAATTCTGTACAAAAAAAAAATTCCTTTGTATATATCTCCACATTCTTCACATCTTTTATAACCACTTAATATGAGCTGCTGTTCTATATTAAAAAGATATATTGCCAGAGTATTGCAGAAATAATACAACGAGGGGTTTATTTAATCTGCAAGAATAACTTTCTATGTTTTTATACCTAATAGGAGCGCTCTTTATAAGACTCTTAACAGAGAAGGTCAATCAAGTAATTATTACATTAGTTTAAGCCTTTAGAACAACAAACAGAGCCAGGGGAGTTCGAAGTAAGGGCCCATGAATAACAGTCAACATATATATCTATTAGTTGTCGTTTCAGTCTGAGCCAACATTACTTTCAGCCTCGTCCCCCCACCTCCACACAATTCCATACCATTCCCCTCATCTTTAAACCCCTGCTAGTCAGAACTAGAACCAGGACCCAAGGATGTCTCTATTCCAGAGCAAACTTATCCTAGAGACCGTTGACATGGACTAATAGGAAACCACTTGTTGAAGACATTTCCAGGGTCGTAGACTTTCTTTATCTCTGCCAAGCGCTCGAAATTGCTTCCAAATATTTGTCTCGGGTCTTCATCGCCAGTTGCGTAGTTAGAGCTGGGAAAGGAAGCGCATTGTGAGCATTGACTTTCTCAGAATCTCCGACATGATAGCTCGAGAACAGAGGCTACTTACTAAATCTTCACTCCCCGTTCTCTTCCAGGCCCTCCGTTGTCCCAGCCCTTGATGATCTGCACAATTCTCTTTGCATATTTCAGGGCCACATCGTCCAGGTCTCTGCTTCCAAATTTCACCTCAACCATGGCGAGACGGTGATTACCACGATTAGCAAAAGCCGTTGCATCATGCGGAACGGAGGCAATTTTCTCAGGATGATCGAACTGGAAAATGACTGCCGACCCTGCTGTCTCTGGATAAGCCTCCAGCATTCCACGGAATTCGTGGATGACTTGATCCAATTGGGCTAGGACGAACGGTGGCTCCCAAACGGTGCCCGCTTGAAACTTTCGACCGCCATGCTTTGCTCCGTCAAGCAGGAGAGAGTTTACTTTTGAATATGCCAGCATTGACGTCCCGTCGGCGATAGGGCCAATGGCTATGAGCTTTGAAAATCGATCACGGGCCGCGTGTTCAGGACCGTCATAGAACGGGACGACAGCAATTGCTGGCTGTAACTGAGTCAGCTTGGTAATTTCTGTTCTCCGTAAACCATCTTGATTCGATATTTCGCTCACCTGGTTTTGTGGTGGTGGTGCTACGACAGCGAGCAAAACACATTCGTTACGCTGCTGATTGCTGCTCCAACCATTCAGGAACTTGGCAATCTCTGGGACTTTATCCAGAGTATAGACCAGCATTCCACTAATACCAATAGTCAGCGACCTATTCGGTTAGATGGCCATATCTTAGTGCTATACTAACGCAAACACGTTATCTGGCTTTTCATATGCCTGAAAGACAAATTCCACCTAAGAACCAAGGAACCTTTAGCCTACCATGCTTCTCTGATACTCAGGGAGAGGCTTACAGCGACACCAAAGTTACCACCGCCTCCCCGAATGGCCCAGAACAGATCTTGGTGCGATGTAGCCGACGCAGTAACGATGCTGCCTTCTGCGAGAACAACTTTTGCGCTGAGCAGGTTGTCGATGGCTAACCCATATTGCCCGGAGAGCCAGCCGTAACCTCCACCGAGGGTCAACCCACCCACACCTAGACAAGGCATGAGGTCTCTGAGAGATGATTGTATGTGGTCAAAGATGGGGACCCGAACCTGTGTGATTCACCGTACTGGGTAGCGAGTTAGAGTCTGGTGTCGTAAACGAGGAGAAAATGGATGAAAGGAGCCGAAGCAACATACCCTCCGACCGCAGCCAGCCCTTTTTGACCGAGTGTTTCATCTACGTCAGACCAGAGAGCTCCACCCTGCACCGTAACGACATTCGTAGCCTCGTTGATAGTAACGTTATTCATATTGCGCAGGTCTATGACAATACCACCATCCGTAGAGGAAGCAGCAAAATGGGAGTGGCCGCCACCCCGGACTGCGACATCAAGCTGTATGTCAACGGCTAGTTTCATCGCCACGGATATATCCTCTGCGGAAGTTGCCAATATAATGCCCCCCTGGTAGGCCAGAGATGTCAGCATCAGAGTAGACGGTACATTCGGAGTTCTGTAGCTTACAGCACGTCTTTCTCCGACGTCATTCCATCGCTTGATAGCTTCTGCATACTCTGCGTCTTGTGGAGTGATGAAGAAGCTCTCAGTGAGGCGGTCTCTAAAAAGTTGAATTTGGGAATCTGTAAGCATCCTATCTGATACGGTGGACTGGAGTAAGAAGTTTGTTTTATGCTTTACTGGCTACCTAGGTAGAAGGATTGTGAGGTCCCTTAAATAATTTATTCTTCTTCGGCAATAACCATTAAAAAAAAAAAAAACTATATTCACTATATTCGCCTTACAAATATAGGATGGAAATGGTGGCAGTGTGTTGGTTGGTAGTACTTGGTGATGACATGCCGGCTGTCACTGGTGACATACCAGTAGGGAGCTAGGCCATATTAGGCCAAAGTTTAATTAATAGGTCTATAAATTTAAGTTACTCTGGATGATTACTAATGTCATAGAAGATGTAGGCCAATAGCTGAATCAAATGATTACAGGTGGACCAGGTGGAGGCAAGCCTGGAGATGGATCATGATGACAAATTGATGGAAGGGCCGATCTACGCCGGTCGGCATTAAGCATCTCGTATTCCTTCTCAACACTCGTCATAAAGTATAGGAAAGCCAAATCACCTTGTACTGTTGTACATCCTAATGACCACGCGTAATGTCATCGACTGAGCCTGACAAGAAATCAAAGGCAGGCATTATTCCGTTCCATGAATATGGATATGACTAATCCCAAGGTACATAGAGCTACCAGTTGGAACGGACACGCAACAACCAACGCCGTAGCCGTGCCCGGAAGCGCGAGTATGTCGCGGCACTGGAAGCTAGGATCCGGGAGTATGAAGAAACCCGAGCACAGCAAGCTTCGCATGCTACCGAAGCAGACACGGTAGAGAAGCTTCAGCAAGAGAATGCTCGCCTTAGCCGGTTACTTGAGGCATTGGGTATCAATACGGAGTTTCAGGATGCCTATTTAGGAGCTAGTGGCAGTATTCCAAGTTCAGGAGGACCGTCTTTACCGGCCCAGGCGCTTGGGCAGGAAACCATCAATCCTCTACAAGGAGGAACGCCCACAAGTACACTGGCTGTAACACTACCTAGGACCCTCGCCAGTTGCAGCAAAGGTTAACTGACCATGACGCGTGTAGGTCGGGAATCAACAGGAATCAATGAGCTGCCCGCGGTTTCCTCCTCTTGTTACTTCGAATGAACTTAGCTGCCAAGGCACATCGTTATCTGCGGTGTCAGAGCCTGCACTTTCTTTGGACGAGTGGATGCAGAATCCCTTGGTTAATGCGTCCATATTCCCCGCTTCTACACCATTGATACCGGATATGGTCCAGTCGCATGGATTCCATAGCGTCGCACCGAACCCGAACCCCATATCACTGGTCACACAACTCCAGACTGCATCGCCGGACGGTTTGACCCCGTGTTCATTAGCTTATTCTCTCGTCTATCGCTACAACCGGAAGGGTCACAACACCGCGTATCTCAATTTTAGACTTTATGTGGGGTATCGGGAATGTACTGTTATCAGTGATGAATGTGCGGTGGAGAATAAAGTATTGTTTGGAGTTTTGGCGGATATTTCTTAACTATGTTGATTTAGAGAAGTTTGAAGAGACTGTACTGTAAGGGAGGAAAAGTAACGTCTTAATCTCTGAATTGGGTTCCATCATGTCAGGTCAGATACCTACCTTAGTCCGATCATGATGTGTGACTCTGATTTGAATACTTCCTAATACAGTTCTTGAATGTGCTGGCGGTGCTTTTCGCGCAATTTCGGCCCTCACTTGTATCTTTACCCTGCTCCACTAAAGCATGCCCTACCGGTCTGTCATCAGTGGCAGCTAGCATATCATCGCCAAGCACTTGCCAACGATTTGTGTTTAATTGTAAATAAATCACTACCCTCTCTCTATGAGAGGTATTACTTCTACCAATTACAATGTAGAGGCATTAATATTTCCCCACCCAGATTATTATTCATCCGGTGTCGCACCCAGATGTGTCCTCGCCGTTGACTCTGGGCAGTATGTCACCAGCAGCTTAGTATACCGGGCCTAGATGGATAGGATGTATTACCAAGCAAGAAGAGCTATGGTAGGTCCTCGTTAGTAGTACATAAGAACCAATAATTGTACAAGAGACATATACATCATGCTTGAGCTCTACTTTATACGTAAAGAACGGCTATTACACCACGAGTTTACATAACCCTCGACTATAGAACAGACATAGGATGGCGGACATCATTCGCGATGCCCCCATCGGGCAGATAATCCGCTACATCTCTAATAACCGCCTCCTCCAGTACCACGAGGAAAAGACGGATTTCAAACTCCCCAGCCCATGGGCTGAACTCATCAGCAATCCGGACCCCGTCGTTCCTGGCACAGTCATATCCGCTGTACCTATCAATGACGAAACCAATGCCAGGAGCGTCCCACAACAGGTCATACAGGAGGAGAAAAATGGGGATCAGAAGGGTCTGGAAGAGGGGCAGCAACACTTCCACAGCACAACAGACAACGCGGGTGGGAACGGCAGCGCTGCCGAGCTTCGCAACATGAAAAATATCAAGTCTATCCCCACCGTCCCTGAACGCACGAAGGACGGTGCCATCCTCGTCAACTGGTACTACTCTGATGACTCCGACGATCCGCACAACTGGTCGAGCAGCAAGCGTTTCGCCGTCTCGCTCATCATCTGCATTTATACCTTTGTGGTCTACACCTCTTCCGCCATCTACACCACTTCCATCGAGGGCGTCAGGGAGGCCTTTGGCGTTAGCAGGCTCCAAGCCATGCTGGGTTTGTCGCTGTACGTCCTCGGGTATGGTGTGGGACCCCTGTTGTTTTCGCCCTTGGGCGAGATCCCAAGTATTGGGAGGAGCCCTGTCTATGCCGTGACAATGGTCCTGTTCGTCATCATTTCGATTCCTACGGCTTTTGCGGGCAATTACCCAGGGCTTATGGTGCTGCGCTTTCTACAGGGCTTCTTTGGCTCGCCGTGCTTGGCGTCTGGAGGTGCTTCGCTTGGAGATATGTACAGCATCACAGCGATTCCCTATGCGATGACGGCTTGGGTTTCTGCAGCGTACTGCGGACGTGAGTCCTCTTTTTCCCACCTCCTCACTTCTGCATACGTATCCGCTGACTCTTCATGCATAGCCGCGCTAGGGCCGCTTCTCAGTGGCTTCTCCGTCCCTGTCTTCTCGTGGCGCTGGTCCCTCTACGAGTCTATCTGGGTATCCGCCCCTGTCCTCCTCGTCATGCTCCTCTTTCTGCCTGAAACCAGCGGCCCCAACATTATGCTGCGCCGTGCCCAGCGCCTCCGGAAGCTCACAGGCAACCAGCGCTTTGTGTCTCAGAGCGAGATTGACCAGCGTGACATGAAACTCTCGGCCGTCTTTCTCGATGCCCTCATCAAGCCCCTCGAGATTACCATCAAGGATCCCGCAGTGCTCTTTGTGCAGATATACATGGCCATTATTTACGGCATCTACTACTCGTGTAAGACGAGAACATCAAAAAACACCACAATCCTTATCATATATGTATCCTGACTCCACCTCTTCTCCAGTCTTCGAGGCATTCCCCCTCGTCTACCCAATCCACTACCACATGAACCTGGGCCAAGTCGGCCTCATCTTCCTCTGCATCCTCATTGCCTGCCTGATAGCCGTCGCCATCTACACCATGTACCTCTACACCTACATAACCCCCCGCATCCTCAAATCTGGCACCGGCCCTCACGAGAACCGACTCATCCCCGCCCTCGCCGCCTCTCCCGGCCCCACACTCGGCCTTTTCCTCTTCGCCTTCACCTCCCGCGCAAGCATCCACTGGATCGTTCCTACAGTCGGCATAACAATCTACAGTGCCACCTGCTTCATCATCATGCAGTGTCTCTTCGTGTACATCCCGCTCAGCTACCCGCGCTACGCTGCGAGTCTTTTCGCGGCGAATGATTTCTTTCGTAGTGCGTTTGCTTGCGGGAGTGTTCTTTTTGCGGATCCGCTGTTTCGGAGGTTGGGTGTTGCGAGGGGAGTTAGTCTTTTGGGCGGGATGAGTGGGATTGGTATTGTGGGGATTTGGGTGTTGTATTTTTATGGAGCCAAGCTGCGGGGGAGGAGTAGATTTGCGCTGAGCGACTGAAATGAGTACTTAAGGGTTTAAATGGTAAGTTACAGATTGCACCAGTCGACAAAGAATGGCATTTTCAACGCCTTTTTTTGACCCACTCATTGCATCCCGTTTTGCGCACCCGTTCCAACTCGTGCCTGTCTATTATACTAAGCAATTCTGTCTGCCGTGCACCCTCAGACGGGACCACCCAACATGGAGTCCTTGAAATCATCTTACTTGAAGAATCCTCAATTTGCATTTTCTGAACCCTTGAATATGGGGTTATCTCATGATTCTCTGGAGCAACTTCTGGGTCGCAGTAACATCCATTTACCAACAGTCAAAGTTTAGGAGCGCGCTTTACAGCAACATGTATGCGTGGGGTCGGTAACGAGCTAAGCCTTGGAGAGCTCAGGTCAGAAGATGCGAATATATGTTCGAAGCTAGGCTGACCGTTGGGAGGGATTCGGGATCCCGAAAGGGTTCAGGTCCGGTCCCATATTCCCAATGGGAATTAAATTTTGATTCCCTTCCCATGCCAAGCTATTTGGGAAGGGATTCCCATTATATGGGATTCGGGAGGGGATATTCCCATTCCCTCTTATCTTAAAAATCACGTCCCGTTTCCCGTCCCATTTCTTAACCTAAGATCCCGAATCCCGTCCCACTTCCTAATAGGGTATAGTCTAAAAATTTTTATAGCATAAAAGTATAGAATATTACTATGTAAAGTAATATCAAGTAGTTAATTATCACGTGATTAAAATAAGGGAAATTCCCATGGGATTTTCCCAGGAATCGGGATATTCCCACTCCCTTCCCATCTATAAGCTCGTTCCCGTTTCCCGTCCCGTTCCCGTCCCGGTCCCATTCGGGAGGGAAATCCCAAGGGAAAATCCCCTCCCAACGGCCAGCCTATTCGAAGCTGATCAAGCATCTTAGCTAAGGATCTGGCTATCGTGCTTCCTAGCGTTCCTAACACTATCTCCCCCTCCAAGAGGCTTCGCCCTCGAAGCCTTTATGACTGTAGTATGAATACATGTGTTATGTTGGGTAATGTGTTATAGATCTAAATCCTATAAGTCCTCGTAATTATTGGTGCGGTTGGTCGCTGTGTTGGTATAATACCTCATGGGGTTCTGAATAGCTTTATGTTTGCAGGTCCAGGTAGGTGTGCGCAATATTGGGTCTTGGAGCTTGGGCAAGTGTGGGTGTGGTTGCGCAGGGGGTTGCTTTATAGCAACAGTTACCACTTTATTCACTGCAGTCTTGCACCCGTTTGAGCTTAGTTCTGTTATTAAGCGCTCAACTTTTATTTCCTCTCCTTCTCCCCTTCTCTTTATAAGTTATCAAAACCTCTTAAAGTACGTGCGCACTATTCTGTCATAGCTAATTAGAATAACAGCCCCTCCAGCGCTTTTCACATGTTTTGAGCTTGCTAATATGGGTGTTTTCGTAGATGGTCTGTCGCCGTGCCTCTTCGCCTCCTTCGGGAGAATCTCGACTGCGACGCCGCCGCCTCCGCGGAGTTCGTTCCCGGTTGCCGTCCTCTTCGGAGGATAAGGCTATCCTCGCGCCTGTGCCCCGCCCGGCTTCGCCGGAGTAGGGGTTTCCATCCTCTCTTACTCCCGCTCCTGCTTCGGCGGAGCCGGTCGGGGCCGAATCGTCCTCCTCGGAGGCGTTCGGTAAGCCTGGTACATTTGTGTGAAGGAATATCGCTAATTTGTGCGAAGTTTCGCCGCTCTCTTTTTCTTTTTGCTAGCGGCCTCCGTTGGGCAGGTGCAGACCACCCCTGTGCCGGTCCGCGTCAATGTGGATGGCTTGCCCTTGGCCCATGGGGGTAGTCCCTGGTGCCACCACTGTCTTGTTTGTTTGGAGCGAGATGCTGCATCTGCGTGCGTTTTCTTGCCGAGCCGTTTGAACTGCGTTTACTGCGCAAGCCAACGCCATCTTTGTGTTGCTCCAGAGACTGCCGCTGGCCCCTTGGCAGTTTCTGTGGTCACTGCGCACCACGCGTTTGTTGGACTTCCCCAGTCCAGTCGCCCTGCCGCGCAAGAAAGGGCGGCTGGGCTGGTGAGGGACTATAGGCGCGCAGTTCGGAAGCCTCGGGTACGGCGCATGGGTGGGTGGCATCGAGAGTTCAGGTCAGAAGAGGCGAATAGTTATATATTCGCACCTAACTAGGCATCTTAGCTAAGGATCTGGTTATCGCGCTTCCGAGCGCTCCTAACAAGCGTCACCAAGCGTTTCCCTAAGGCTGAATTCTTAAGACTTGGTGGTGCTCTGTCTCAAGCAAACAAGTACAGTCGATTATCTTAATCAGTGCCTCACCAGTAAAGCTTGTGGTCACTATCGAAATTAATCGAAGAATCCCCGAAGTTACTATTTATCGCTGGGAGCTATGTATGTACCCAAGAGTATTCCCTCTCTACAAGATCCCTCTGACGCTTAGCCCGTCGCACGGCAACACTTAAACTATCTTGCACAAATAACACGACACTTGTTACTGGAGAATCCTATGAAGATGATAATGTTAAGACGACTACACAGCTGGATTTACCCTTCCAAAATTTGGTTGGCCGTGTCAGGGGTTGAACCGCTAGAACCTATAAGATACGTTATGTACAAAAAGGAATCGTTGAAGAAGGGAAGAAAGGAAGAGGAAAATGTTGGAGGCATGAAGGAGTTTGGGATTCGGGGGCACATGTGAACTAGGCTAAATACATACAGATGTTCTAAGACTGTGCGCACCGACACCCGGAGCGGAAGGGACGAGTACACAGGTCATGAAGGGGTAACCCGATGTTCTAACATCGTCTTCGAGGGCCAACGGGGAGTATGAGATAGCGGGGATAATAGGGACAACAGGGACCATAGGCCCGAGAAGCTAAACGAGCCCCAGCCTTTTACAGAGGACATATAATGAATTATTTTAGAGCTTGTGCTATCAAGTGGCTAGGGCACTTACATCCTAAAACAATTTCCTTATCAGAGTAGTGTAGGTCGTAGGAAAGTATAGACATACTAGGGATAAATATATATTTCTTATAAATTCCTAGAATGTGTGATGGAAAGATATTATTTTAATCTATTCTGTAGATGACTGCTAATAACGGCACGCTGTTTTTGGTCGTCCATTTGCCAACCCTTCCGCCACTCACCAGGCACTTGCATCCACGCACCACCAACTCGGGTGAATCCAGTGGTCCGCAGCGACCTTAGCGACTATCTCAGTCCCCCACCTATGCTCGCAATGTTCGCACTTGGTCCACTGTGTTGTGGATCAGAGGGAGCTGAAAATAACTCCCTCTCGAGATTCACAGAATAAATAGTGGCCTTCCATCCAGGTGGCCTAATAATTGTCTTCCCAACACTGCTACCCTGCTTCATTGTACATACCACGACCACCATATCTCCAACGACGCGGCTCGGTCGTGATCAGACAAGACAGAAATCCGCACCATTCATTAATAAATTAGATAAAGCAGTCCAACTATTAACTACAGTAAGTAGTTCAAGTCGACCATTCAGATCGCCTCCAAAGAATCGCCGGTCGATTCTAGCCCAATATACTATGTCAAATTCCCTATAACACACCCAAAAATCTCCACTTTTCCAGCTGTGTTTCATATGACTCGCGAGATTTTCAACCGGGATACCCCAAATGGCTGCACTTTCTTCGCGTTTCTCAATTTCCTGTAAGAATACCTCCAGCCGCATCTCATACTCGAGAGCCCAATCATCTAGTTCTTTCTCCCAGTAGCAGGACGCTCAAGAAGAAGCCAGAATGGTGGACTATAAGTAAACTCTAGCGGGGTAGCATACGAAAACTCTCAGCCTATCGCCGCTACGGCTCTATACTGAGCATTTACCAGAACATTTGCGGGACGGAGATTGTCACATATAGACTTGAACGGGTCATAATCATAGCGACAAATTCTGTTTTTCGCGCAAGTTTTCGAAATTGACACCGGGCAATGTATTTCCTTTCAGAGTCTTCTGTGGAGTCGATAGCATCGTTGTGTTTTATAGACAGGTATAGACAGGTGAGTCATGATGTTCCACCTGTAGCTTATTTAAAAGAGTCTGTCTTGATAACAGTATCTCTTTCCAGGCTAAACTGCATAAAAACTGGTGCAGTGGTAAATATAGTCTTTAACTGTTGGAAAGCTTTTTCGCATAATTCAGTCATTCAAAGTTATACCCTTTTTGCGTCAGCTAGTCTAACGGTGCGGAGATGGATGGATTTGTGCAAAGAAGCTTGCGGAGAAGGAGGAGCGGACGGATTTTGAATGAGTGGTGAATTGGAAGTAGTGATGATTTAACCCACACATGCAGTACTCTACCAAGGAGAACCAGAAATTCTTTTAATTTATTAAAAATAATATTTGGTCTCGAGCCTTGGTATTACAGACGAGGAAGAGCACGAAAGAGAAAGATGATTAAGAGGTACTGGTGACTCGAAAAGACATGATGTTATTTATATAGACATGGATTCTCTCTTCAGTTTTGCCTTGATGCATGCTACTTTATCAAGCGTTACTATTAATGTCTATTTGATTATGCGCCCAATATTCGAGTATTCATTTTTATGATCTTGATGCCTTATGAGCCGCTATTTAGTTTATTCCTAAGTGTATACATATTGTAAGCTAGAAACTGCACTTCATACTCGATACTCCTACCATTGCGCCTCTCAGTCACCAGTATTGAAGCAAAAATAAGTATTTGTCAAGTATCTTATGCATGCAGCACCCCCATTTTCAACAGCCACTAGCACTAGCCGCAGTCTGCTGGTCGCTGCACTGTGCACTGATGCGAGCCCTGCACAGTAAAGAATAGCAAGCGCTTGAACGATTCCAGCTACATGTACACGGAATTCATTCCTCTCTTGTGTAGATTTGTGTGTGGCGACAATGGATTACCCGTCCCCAAAGCTGGCGATAAGAATATTAAATGAATAGAGACGGGTGTCCGAGCTGTGGAGAGATACAGGAAGAAGAAAATTATATGAGAAGCAGCAACACTCCGAGGCCATTGATACAGGGAAGCTTCGATAGGCTCGGCAATTTTACCACGAGGTGAGGATTGTGTGAAGCCTAGCAGGGATCCCAGTTACAGTACAGTGCATGGACCATCCTTTCATGTGAAGATGTGTCAAATAATATGGCTGTAGGTATGTACCAGGATCATATGACAAAAGAGGGGTAAAACAAGGCCCCATACACACAACCAACATAAGCAAGACAATAATCATCAATATAATCAAGAGGAGCTCAATAAGCTCGAGTACTGATGATAGATAGCGTTCTATGTATTGTATTCTATTCCTATTCGGGACTTACCGAATATCTGACAAGATACTGCCCGCTATTATTGGCGGAAGCAGGTTTGCTTAAGGCAGTGACTCTTCTGTAGTGATTCAAGTCAATTCCCCTCTAATCCCCGTTCATAGTAAGGCAGTAATATAAATTTGGCCTGACTACTTCGGTTCCGTCTCTCGAGACGAAGCAAAGCGAAGCGTCATATAAGACAGCAGCCATACAACAAGCCTTTTGTAAGGAGCTTCAACTCGCCAAAAAAAAGTACCATCATTTACGATTTATGTATAGTTATGGCTGGAATCAACAATTTATCGAAGGGAATATCCTGGCGGAGCCCATATTTGCATTTTGGCTGGAAGAGTAAAGACAATACCAGAAACATGTTTTTAGTCACCAACCATTAATCTCTTATCTCTTAACTTTAAGATACTGCCTTTGTTCTCTGTACTATTATTCGCACTACAAAGCAGTTTTTATTACCGGCCTAGTTTATAATACACTATATTCTGCAACCGATATTTAAGAATGATTTCTTTGTTCTATGTGACGCATTCCCCGCTCTGTTATCTACACCAAGAATTCTTGACGCTGCACCAACTATCCAGTTAGACATAAGTAATTGGACTTACGAGGGTAGTTAGGTCGCAGTTAAGAACAAGAACGTATTAAATATTGCAAGTAGCAGTTAACTTAGCTTTGTGGATTTGGAATTTAACACCCAAAAATTGCTTAAATACACTATCCCCTTCGTCCCCGCCACTGGACCAGGCTTACTCAGCAGCCATTGACGGGCAGAATGCCGCAATCTGATTGGTCGATATATAGGTCTATAGATCATATTTGAACGCGTCTTTCATCAAAACATTGTAAAATGAAGCTATTTCTATGTTTTATAGATATATTTTTGACTCAATTGCTTTATATTTTGCTCTATGGCTAGATCAAAACCTCAGGATGTTCAGAAACCCAAAAATGCAGCTCAAAAAGCCCCAAAAATCCCTACAAAACCAGCCGTTTCTGAGCTTCTTGTTCGAATTAATGGACATGAGAAGGTCAAGTTTAAACCCTTAAATATGAAGCCACATCGACGTCCTTAAGCCGTGGTTCCAGTTGATTGTAACCCTGAGAATGAATTGGATTTATTTTTCCTATTTTTTCCGAAGGATTTCTTCGATATTATTGCTACAAACACCAATCTGTACGCAAGAGAGAAAGGCGCATTAAATTTTCAAGAAACAACTGCACAAGAAATTATGGTCCTTATTGGAATTGCCATATATATGGGCATGCATAAAAGCCCTAGGCTTAATAACTATTAGTGTACTAATCCTACAAAAGGTAAACCGCTGCACCAACTTCCTGGCCTTATGTCGAAGCATAGATATAAGGATCTACATCAATATCTACATGTGTCTACTCCAGGCCAGCCAAATTTGCATAGAAATAAGGCAGATTCTGCAGATCCAAAAGCATATTCAAGTACCCCGTCTTCAGAATGGTGGTATAAAGTTGAACCGATAGCCAGCTGTTTCGTGACTCATGTCAGAAGTATTTGAATCCTGGATCAATAATGGCGGTTGATGAGCTAATAATAAGCTTATTTGGACGCTCACCGCATACTGTTAAAATGCCCAATAAGCCAATTAAGCAAGGCTATAAGCTATATGCAATAGCAGCCTCAGGATATATCTACTACTTTATATGGTCCAGCAAGAAACACGGCCAAGTTGAAATCACTCATAAAAAAGGCCTCACAAACACCGGATCAATGGTTGCTCAGCTAGTTCGACGCCTTGAAGCTATAGAGCCAGGGCTCTATACCATCTACTTGGACAACTATTTCACTAGCATTCCGCTGTTTAAGAAGCTTCGTGATAAAGGATATGGGGCCTGCGGAACAACCCGTCCACATTTATCAGGCAAGAAGTGGCCCAAGATGATTACCGAGCTAAAGGATCAAGCATCAAAACTTCCCTGGGGGACAATATATGGCGAAGAAGTTGATGGAGTCCTCTGTATTGGCTAGCAAGATAATAATATTGTCACTATACTATCAACTGTTCATACAATTCATCAGCCAACCGATATGGTCACTCGGAAGCGAAAAAGGCCTGCAGAAACAAGTACAAATAGCTCTATAGTTAGGAAGGTATTTGGTAATGAGCTAGTCAAGGAGCTTCAAATTCCGCGTATTATTGACGACTACAATCACTGTATGGGAGCTGTTGATATTGCCAATCAGTACAGAGCTACATATTATACACAGCGGCGAGCTGTTCGCAATTGGAAGCCTTTATTATTCTGGATTGTTGATACAGCAATAGTTAATGCATATCTTCTGCAGTGTTTCTAGAAGGAGGAGCGGAAGATCAAAATAATAGAAGCCTCTGAGTTCCGTACAGAGGTCTATAAGAAGCTCTGGAAAGCAGGAACAGCATTTAAACCTACTCAGCATCTGCATCAGCATCATACAGCTATAAAGCTAGATAAACGTGCAGTCTGTGCTTGGTGTTAATATATACGAAGGAATAGAGCTTCAAAGGTGTTAGGACAGCTGCCTGATAGTTAATTAAATAAGAAACAGGCAGGAAAAACTCGGTATGGCTGTCAAGAGTGTCAAAAACCTCTATGCTACAAAGGGGAAAGAGGTGCAGTTGAAGGCGCTGTTTGCTGGGTGGAATTTCATTCAAATTTATTTAGATTTGACTGATCAGCATGTAGTATTTAGAGATCATTTCGGGCCTTATTTTGGATCAAAAATAGTTGATTTCTTCGAGAAATAACCTCAATATTAATATATAAATCAAAATATATATATGCGGAAGTTGCAGCGGTGAGCCGTTGGACCAATCAGTATATGTGTGGGTGCTGAGTAAGCCTGGTCCAGTGGCGGGGACGAAGGGGATACGGAACCTACCATTGGAGGATAACTGTTATGGCTGCAATACAAGCCTAGAAGAAGCGGTAAAAGACAAGCTGAGGAACTTTTCAAGCTTTAATGAATGTGTTCTTACTTTAATAGGATACTAATTTAACTTAGTTGCCTTTTCGGCGATAGCAAATACCGCCTCAAGTTGCGAGGAGACAGTGTTTCTAATAGACTTTGGCTGCTATAATAATATATATGCCGGAGCATTTATAGCGTGCACAAAAATACAAGGCAAAGTTTTTTAGCAGCAGTATAATAATATATGTTGAGAATCTCGCGGAAGAAGCTATGTCGTGAGGTGCTAGGATAGCGGTGACTGGATAGTATATTGAAACTATCGATGCGATCTAGTATCGCATGGTGAGTATATTCTTCTATCTAGGAGAGAGAACGTAGACAAACGCTTCCTTATGTCTACATGTCCCTTAGCCCCTGAATGTGATGTATCAGATGGCCGCAGGACTAGGATACCCGAAGGTGCCTTAGGCATCCTGATTTTCAACATTTCCTAATTTTTACACAGGTATTCTGTTCATCATTTCACAGAACATAGAAAGTTTGACAACGCGACAAAAAAAAAGGGGGTAGAAAGTTTTAATATTACTACCTAATATTTTAGGAGCCGATGTTAGGGGTGGAGTTGCGGTAGCATGACTAGATAAAAATATAAAAGTGCGGTGGTATACTTGTCTTCTTGGGGAAAATAAATAGGTAGAAGCCTTTAATTAATCCTGCAACAAGAGTATAAATTATCTAAGGGGAAAGTGCACTTGACACTATATATTAATTTAAAGTTTCTTGTATATTAAAAAAAAAGCAAAAACAGTGAGAATAGAAGCCTTAACAGCTTAATTACCTCTAAGCTTTGCAAAGTCCTGGAAGTGCTTGCTTAGTTTTAGCTGCTGCTGGGTGTCACAGGCTGAACCTGTAACATACTATATAGGGCGCTAGATGCGACTGATCTTCGATCAGTCGTCTTGTACCTTTTTATATGGTCAAGTGGTTTTATCTCTACTAGCGCAGAGACAACCAAACCATCACACTGGGTAGTACTACACCACTATTTTTTATTACTTTTATAGTGAACGACCCCTATATATTTTTTTTTCGGTCGTTTATCTACCTATTTTCTTATATCTATGCTTGCTTTTTCTACCCTTTGGCTTTTCTTTTCTGCTATAAATCTGTATTTAACCTTCTGCTTTCTCCTCTTCGGGTTATTCGACTCTCTGCCGTATATCAGTGGCTTACAAGGGGCTTTCTATATCGGATCTCAACATCTAGTGCAGAAACTCCTATTTATAAGCCAAGGGGTGATGTATATAGCTATAATATTGCCACTTAATACAGCAATAGTGAAAGAAAGCATTAAGACTGTAATCTCCTTAGTCCGAAAAGGGTAAGACTAGGTTACAGGGTACACCCAATTGCCACGCCACTGCAAAAAGGTCAACTAGACTTGGTAATACCAAGTCTGGCTCCCAATTCACTTATCTACCGTCTCCGCGGTCACACTAAACTAGCTGTGATTACAAAGACAATTATTTCCGAGCCGAGTAGTTAAGGATAGCTGTGCGGTAGTATCAGCCCACTGAGAGCTTTTACAATACCATGTAGCCACTAGTTTTTACAAGATCCAAACTAAAACGGCACTATTTTGGGACAAATACAAATCCCTATTCTTATAGCTAGCATTTTAATTTTTAAGAGTGTGCTTTACGCGCACTTAATCTTGATCGACTTGACCGCAGCGGGGATGTCTTGGGAGAGCAACCTCCAACCGTATATAACGTAGTGTCAATATAAACCACGACCTGATGTACCAGTATTATGGCTCTCCTGGAGCCCATGGGTTTTTAGGTGCCTGAATGGTATTTTTAGAATTGACACGTAGTGTTTCACGTGTTCCACTTGTTCCACTATCACGTGTTCCACCGTTGCAAGGATCAATGACACGAGTGTGGGGAAAATAAAAAGTCGGAGCCAAAACAAGTCCCGACATAAGGCTAGAACTGATTCTCTTTCTCGTATTGCTTCCTTACCTGTTTTATCAGTCTCCACTCCGGACGCTAACTACCAGAGAAGGTAAATGGGTAAAAGGTGGTTAACGACTTTGCCGGCAGGATTCATAGCATCCAGGCAGCTGAGTTTCTCTAGATAGCCTATTGCCTGATTTATTGGAGTTTCGACAAGCTTGCCTTTTGCGCATTTTGATTTACGAATCGTTTAGCTTCTTATTGCACCGTTAGTACTCCGCAAAAGGCTCCAAGTTGCTAGCGCACAGGGACCTTGAGGACGCAGCCGATTCAGTGCTAGATTTCAGTAGATTTGAGCGGTATTATCATTCTTGCTTTTCTTGCCACTTGGTCGGTATCCCAGGAAATCAACAAAATCGATTCCTCCCGTTCATGTACAACTTGTAACAGAGAATGAGGCTTGCATATGGAACTAGCCAGCCGACTGTCCCTTTGGCGATGAAGCCCAGTGAGGGCCTGTCTGGGTGGAGCCATCTTGACATCTAGTGAGACACGATCTGAAGTCTACCAATCTCTAAAAGCGGAGGGGGGCTTGTGGTGCAACAAAGGCTTCCCGCTAGACCGTGCTAAGCAGCATCTGGTGGGGATCCCAAGGCTTAGCCCTACTGTACCAACTGCAGATTCTGACTATATTACTACGTTCGTCCTTCCCAATAGGGACTAATGCCCATGCACAACGCTGGAGAATCATCCTCCATGTGTCACAGACGGCTAGTTCTGGATAATAATGGCGCTTCTGAGGAAAGTTTAGTCAGTCGAGCAATTGAGACTCACGCTGGACTATCTTTGAGTAATGCCGAATTACCCGTGGGGAAAGGTATAAGAAGCAGGCAAGTGTACTCTTTCATTGCAGTCGACAGCATTCAGTGGTCTCAAACTCGAATTGCACCTTCAACATGAACTCTCTTATTTCCCTTTCTAAGGCCGGAATCTTTGCCACATTGGTGGCCGCGGCTGCCTCTAAGTCATGCAATACAGAGTCAGGTTTTGAGGTGACATTCTACGGGTATGCAGATAACGACCCTCCTGGTGCTGATATTGCATATGATTGCGGTCGTGGCTACAAGGCAGGCGGTAGGTCTCTCTTGTTGGTTATACATCCCAAAGTAACAGAACCACTGACAAGCTCCAAAGGCACCGGCACTTACAATGACCCCCTGACCTTCGCCACCGCTCCTGGTGAATTCGCCAAGTGCGACATCATCTACCTGCCATATTTGCAGAAGTACCTTCGCTTTGAGGATGAATGCGAGCAGTGCAGTACGTTCATGGCTGAGCTTTGTCACCCATAAAATAAACGTGCTAAAAAATGAGGTAGCCAGCGATTACAAGGATGGAAAATTACATATCGATATCTGGACTGGCCCAACAAACTCAAACGGTGGTAGCAAGCTGCTCAAGTGCGAAGACTCATTGACTCCTAGCGCATCTCAGATTGTGGTCACCAACCCACCAAACAGTCTGACAGTGAACTGTAGGCCCCTCTTTTCTTCATCTTATAGCCTATTCTTATCTCCTACAATCTCTAACAAAGAATCTCTAGCTGGCGCTCTCTTCTCTTCTGGAACTTGCCATACCTCAAACACTTATCCCTCCGCCTCCGGTTCCAAATCGGACTACTGCAGCGGTTCGTCCTCGGGTGGAGGTGATGGTCCTGACCCAACCACATGCGCCTGGCCTGGGCATTGTAAGGGTACGAATACCCAGCCATCCCCCTTTTCTTCGCTTTACTCCGCCAGTTCATTATGTACTTTCAAACTGACCCTTTGACAAATAGGTACTTCCTGCTCTTCCGATAACGATTGCTCCGATCCCTGGTCCTGCAAGAGCGGCGTTTGCGCTTAAAGTCGCCCTTCCATTTGTCGGTCAGGGTGGTGTCGACCTGATCGGGGAACTGTACTTGAAAGGGAAACAAAGCATAGCCATCTAGGGCTGAGAAGAGTTGCACTGGGCGACTTTGTTTGTACACCGCTCCATGTTCTATGTATCTAAGAGGCAAATAATGCCCTTCGACAGTAGTAATATTGATAATATCTGAATATATATGGAATTATTGGAGATTTATATGGTTGATTGAAGGACATCAGGTCAATCTTCTGAGTCTTGATCCCCTCTCTGTGAAATGTGATGAGTACTACGCATAAGGTATATTGTTTCCCCTGGATGGAATTTATTTCTCAAGGCCCTGTTATAGTTTTCCCCCGGTCAACCGGGTTTTCCCATGTCCTTGAGCAAATGCAGGGGCCTTACAACTCCTTCGATTATAAAGTTACGCTAATTAGTCAAATTTAATACCCGTAATATACATTTCTTATCCCACTTTATTTCTATATCTGTGCCCTTCGGCCCACCCTCGCTTTTTGAGAGGGGGAGGGAAGGAGCGGGGGGAGAGATTTTGTGTAATGGAAGAAGAATAAACTGAGCTGTACAACTGTATCTTCGATTCAGAACTCAGTTAAGTCTCAAATTCTGTTAACGATGAAAATTGATAGCGATTCTCATGCGTTCTTCTGCTGCCTATGTAACGCAACTTTGCTGAATGAGCTAAGTATATATGGAAGTTCAAGTTGCAGATTTCTTTCACGCTTTACAACCCTATACAGGACGGAGGAACCGTGTAATTTTACAAATTTGTGAATAAAGGACGCAAGCTGCAGGAAATGGAATTGACTACAATATCACTTAGTTCTAGCATACAGTGGCCCAGGAATGCTACATATACAATGGCTTGTATAGCCGGCCTTGTTATGTACATATTATACCGTTTTCAGTAGTAGGATATCCAATAGGATCTAAGACCACTCTCTAAGATCCTTGATTAATATCATCTAAAGTAAAAGACTTCAGCGAGGATTGACGATGGGAGTAGTAGGAGGCAAATGCCCTCCATACTAGAGTACTTTATAATGTATAGTGACAAGGTGTGCCAGACATGACGCCACAGAATAGTAAACCATTAACCTCTAACAATGTTTGTACATCGTGATTTCCCAGGCAAATCACATATCTCATATACGCCTGCTGCAAGATCCGTAACGGTATAGCTCCTTATATCGACTTCTCACATGGCCCAAGCCATCCATAAAATAGAAAGTCAGTTATGATGAGCAAAGGACTATAGCTACATGGCTATAGCTTTCATTCCAACGAATTAACAAGCGCATTAACTTTATACCATGTCCTTGAACATAGCAAACACTACCGATATTGTTATCTTCGGCTCTCCAAAGAGTCGGAGAGTACTGTTGTCATATTTTTAATTGAAATTTTGACATTCGACCTCGAGACGAGCAGGAGGAAAGGACTGCGAAAGCATAGTAACGGCTGGAGGTAAATAAGCCCTTATAGATTATTGTTGAACACCGCTCGACCACAAAAAGAAGCCATGACGACTAATTGCAGCCTGATGATATTGCAAGCCCGCCACGAATGCCTTAGTGGGATTGTTCAGTTGTGATGCACGTATACTGATTAGGTGCAAGTCTGGCGACAGGTTACAGGTCGGGTGGCATCGTTCTACGAGTGAGACGCCGCGCTATCACGACCTATTTTACAGCGTCCTACAAATACACCATAAAGTTCTAATTACACGGCAGCTAACCTATACAAAGCCATAGCCATAGTAGTGTAGAACCTAACTACTTTATAATTAATTTATTCCCTCTGTTCCATGAGTTCTATCTCATTTTCTTCATTTTAGAGCTGCTTTGCCTGATTTGAATCTGATTTTCTCGTACCTCTTCGTCTTTTTCATTTAATCGAAGCGCAATCTCTCGGAGTTCTAGTTCTTGTTGTTGTTGCTCAATATTTAATACATTTTGTGAGAAGATCTGCCGAAGACTTCGTGAGGACGATTATATAGAACTGATTAGGAACTAGTTACTAACTGGTTGAAAACTAATTAGCAAGTACTTAAGAACGAGTTAGATTTCTTACCTCTCCAGTGCAGTCAATATTTGAAGATGTGTCTTCAACCTCACCAAAATTTAACGAAAAACCTGCTACATCCATATTAATTCCGTTGGTATAAGCAGTTGAGAACTGCTTAACAAGTAGTTAAGAGTTGGTCAGAAACTTGGACCGTAAGAAATATTTATAGGGGTGAATTGAATTTGAATTTCATGGTCTGTGATACAGTATTTAAAAGGTGAGGTGCCGCGCCGCTAGTGCCAAGACCAGTGGGGCCGGCTGGTGGCTTCTCGGAAGTGACCTGTGTACTCACTCGGCGATATACAATAACCGACCCCTCCGCTTAGCTCCCGGGTCGGTTAGTTAGTTAGTTACCTGGCATAAAGTCTGAGTAATCAGACCTAGTTCCCGCGCGCACGGAGTATGTTGGAAGCGATTGCTTGTTCCATTGAATGGGTGGCCGGGTGACCGCTACTAGTTACTAAAAGCTAGCTTACATAAATGATGACTAAGCGAGGACGAAACCGGGGGCAGGCGCCTATGCTTGGCGATATGCTCCAACAACTTATGTCATGTGTGTTCATCGCGATTATAGAATGTCTTATTCTAATAACCTTACCTTTGACTTGCAAGTGCACAATGATAATTAGTGCTTAAGCTTGCACCCAAATTTCCGTATTCCAGTACTCTGTATTATGCTAGAAGGTATAATTGGACACACATGCTCGCTGATTTTTATTGTGCTGGGAGCACCTCATAATAGAGCCAATATAAACTTGTCATTTATATTTGCAGAGACCTATTCACACAATTTATTTGTCATAAGCTCTAACCATTCTTATGTCTGAAGCTTTGCTGTCCTTAAGGTTGCATTAGAATAGCAAACTACTGTTCAACTCTTTTCTTTTCTTTATTATTATTATTATTTTTGGGAAAAGAAAGGTTCTTCCACGTGCTCCGTGAATGCGGTTTATATTGTATAACAGACTAATGTAACTATGTAGGTTCAGATGAGAATATTAAAATTTACCATGAGCCATTGGCCATGGCTTACTTGCCGTAATTTCGGTAGACTAAATGCTTGCAGTTTTCTACCTAGTCTATAAATACTAATTCTAGTTAAATATACTAGAACAATCGACATATCTTCTCCACTGGACTGTAGCGGATCCGAAGTATCTTGCAGCTGTTGATGGCCCATTAGGTGAGGGTGTAATGCACTGTCGATGCTATTCGGGAGCAAGCTGACAAGGCAATGGGTGCAGAGCTGAGCGTTGATCCATAGGGAGTCGACCAGTGTGTTGAACATCTGCTATCAGCACCGATATATCCATGGATCAAATGCTATCATTTGGTTGCAACACTGAGATGTGCAAGACTTCGCTCTAAGAAGGACCGATCCATGTGGTTCTGCCATGTCACCCCAATAACTTCATAAGCTTGGTTCCGACACAGTTCCCTGGCCACTAAGGGGGCTTGGATGGATAAATCACGTAGTCCAGGACGTCAAGGCGGACCTCATGTTATGGAGGTATGGTTCCTTACCATTAAATTACCGTGGAATAGCTCACTGCGCAAAATTAGCCCTATATTTTCCCCCTTACGCGTTTCCTTCCGAAGAAAGAAAGGACAAAGGCACCGACGGTCGAGTGTGAAGGTCTTGGGGGAAAAAGCGCTGACAAACTCGAGAGCATTAACCTCCTTCGACAGCTGCAGGTCGGGCGAATGGGAGTCAATATAGTTACAGATATCCCCATCGGCATGATATTTCTAGGACTGCGGCCGATTCTCGCCACACTACATGTTAGGGACGGTGACTCCATGGGATGTACTGCAATGCTTTGGCCCGTCGCAGCTTGTAGTTGCGGCGACAGTTCCAGGATTTATGATGGACGTGAAGCCTTCGTATGCCGGGCGTCATCTTGTCTGGCTCGACCGTAGACCTTCAAAGGCCGAGGAATAGACAGCGGACACAGGTACCAGTTGGCAGACAGACAACATGGTGCGAATCCACCCTCCCCTGCACTCACCCGACGCTAATCAATAGCTTCATCCTTCCCACGCCAGTTCCCCGTTCAGTCGTCCAGCCTGGATGGGGGCCATCTGTATGATGAAAAATAAGCGATCGATTTGCGTTCTAGCACTATTCCTCATGTCGTATTCCGGCCAGATACTGGTGCTCGGAAGCTCCATGAGGGCATGCTCCGGGGTATACTCTGCAACTCCTACTCCTCCTGCCATACTTAAACAAACGATATGCGAGATCAGATCAATAATTGCACTCCACAGTTCCTCTAACCATTTGCCCCATACAGCGCCTCTTCCAAGACAACCGATGAAGCCAGTTCTGAATTATCCCCGAGTCATCTCTGGCGTTCCCGGAATTGAGGTCTACTTTCGCCTCAGTATCTTGCCTCCGAGTCGAATACCAGACGACACCATTTGCTCCAGGCCAGGAGAACCCATCTCATATCATCATTATCAATTTCCATGCGGTCTTTGTTGTTGACTTCGACTGGGCCATAAATTACAGAAGGAACTGAAAGCCATATAAACCCTTTTCCATTCTAAGGGAACATAGCTTCATCCGGGTGCATTGTATATAATCCATTCTCTAGCAGGTGATCCACGGACCTGAGCGTTCTATCCTCGAATTTCCAAACTCATTCCATTACGACCGACGAATACACGAAGCTTGTCTCTCTGACCAAGACTTGGCATCTCCATTTCATTTCCCCAACTTGGCCGACAAGCTGCTGACTAGCGTAAATTCGGCCCCGGTCGCACAGGGCGCAGCAGCCAAAATTCTATATGAGACGGTGGATGTCCTGGACCGAGACGAAGGGAACGTGGCGCTCCAGTCGATAGACGACCATGTCGGCAAGACGATATTTTTGGGCAGCCATGGTTGACGTGACCTGGGAGAAGAGTCTGTATACCGTCAGCAAGGGGGTGGCGGTGAAACTGCTGAATGGTTTTGCGGCTGAGAGCCCCCTTGCATTGGTCGGGCCGGCACAGTCGTGAATGGCCACCAGCAGAAGGCTTCTGACTCGGGCGTTCTCTTCTCCTTTTCTTGCTGACGTGAATAGCGAACATCCTAGGCTGATTTTTCGTTTGGTTAGCCTCGACATCCGATTCCTTGAGAGCAAGTCCATCTGGGCGAGTTGGGACGCGCAGAGGATATCAAGGGTTTGATGCTGCTGAGTTGCAAGTTAGTCAGTTGTTAGATGACTGACGAAGCTGTTCTATATCGCTCTAGGATTTCTCATACACTTCACGGTAGGATTGTGACGTCTATTAGTATTCTGTCTTGTGTATCTATCCAGTTTACAAGTTGAATGTGTAGATAATAGGGACTCCTATATATGGGGAAATATATTCCATAGCACTACCATAATGTTCATTCCTAATTAAATGCAAAGACATACAGAACATTTATGCTCTGAATGAAGGAATGGGGTTTCCTTCGTTTAGGATTTTCCAATTCCGGAAGATAATACAGAAACAACGCTTTGTTCGTTTTTAGTTTAATTTCTACATGAAAAATGAAACATATGTAGGAAAAACTTGTTTAACGATCTGTCGATCATCTAGTCTTACTTTCTAAAATTAACCGTGGTGTCATGGTGGTGGGAGGTATTAAGCTTTGCTGTATTTAACTTCACCCAACAGCCTACATCATCTTCTTTACACATCCATGTTGGTCAAGTCGCAGATACCCAAGGGCTCCCATGAACAGAGTTTTTCATTGTTGGTGTCTCCAAAGGAGCGCCCGATCCCGCCGATCTTCCGTAGGCCCCCACATTCCGACTGAGGATCGCCTTGCTTGTAGTAGAGAGGGAGGGGCATAAATCCTGATCCAGATGCAGTCACCCAGTGGCAACTGATCCACTAAGTACACGCATAATCCACTGGCCACTGTGACTCCAATGATGCTGGGTAGACGGCGTTGGTCCGGGCTCCCGGGTAAACTCTGGTGCTATATCTCCTAATAGGTGAGAAATTGTAGGATATCGGTAGCGAAGGAAAGTGGAGCATGAGAGTTAAATTGAGAAAAATTGGCGTGCTTCTATTTATATAGGATATTATATAGGATATTTATATAGAACCATGGTCGACACGTCCATAACTGTCTGTTCCTGGTGGGGCGATACGACTGAGCAAAGACCTAATATAGAGTCCCCGTATTTGACGTATGGAATTGCGCATCGGTAATGGCCCCTGCACTCTTGCTGATGTCATTAATGGTATATATTCATGCAGTCTGTATGCTATAGAGGCTATTATAGTCAAGGTCTGAGACTTTGATTGTTTCAATATAAGCTTACATGATCCTCGACCTAACTACCAAGGAAGAGCCATACGCAGATGACTGTCGGCGGGAATCATTCCCGACTTCATCGCACTGAAGGGCGGGGATGGCTGGAGAGGCGAGGCCATTTTAGGACGGTGTGTAGTGCAGCTACAGAGAAGGGATCAATGGACTGAATTTTGGGAAGTTGGTACTCCGTAGCTACCTCGTGGAATATTGTAGACTGGATGGGTTCGCTGTTCGCTGTCCCCTCACTATCAAAGGAAGCGAACCCTGCCAGGTGCCATGTGGTCGATCGATGACGCGATAGACTACGAGAGTTTTCACCATGCACATATTCCTTCGGACGGCTTGATGGTGTCTCAGATGAATTTTGTCACGACCGACGATTGGATAGAAGGGAAATTGAACAATGCAACCTCCGACGAGAAATGGCGCAAAACACGAGAACGTCCAGGCACCAAGGCTAGTACTAAGGCACGTGGGGCACGTGGGGATCGTCTCCATTCAATCGATCGTCGCCTTCCATCGACAAAAAAACAATCATCACCACCAACAACTTGTCCATCCACATCCCCATCATCACGTCCTTACTGCATCACTGGACCCACTTGTCTGCACTCCATCCATCGTTCATCTGGTTAACTTTCACCATGGACCTTGGATAAACCAATCCCCTATCACACCGGCTGCATCCCCTAGCTTTAAACCAAACAGGAATTTGTACCCTCACCGTGGACTCGTTCGTATCCATTCCTGCCCTACTCCTGCATTATTATTTCAGCATTCCTTCGTATTCCCACCATCCCCTCTCAGGACCATGCCGATTCCCTTCAGCCTAGACCTCAGGCGAGTTACTGGGTCGGCACCGAGGCCCTCCGGTTACTCACCACGAAGGGCTGATTTTAGGCCGTCGATCTGACGAGTTCGAAGCTGCATCGAAGAACACGAGTGGCTGTGTGTTCTGCTCTAGTGGCACCAAACCACTCGCCTCAAGGCCCCACCACTACTTTGCATCATCCCTGTCACAAACACAGTAAGATTCTCTTCACTACGAACACTCCTTCCTCGCCTTGGCGCTGGGGGCCGGAACGGCCGGCGACTCAAAGACAGATAAATGAACGTCGCAAGAGGCACCAGTCCTATCATAGATATGTGTGGAGTCCTCAACATTCCCCTTCCCATTTTATTAGCAAGGCCTCCGAGGTAGTGCCGCGCCGCCGAGCCGCTCAGAACATAAAAACTCCACAGCCGGCTGTGCTACGCCCTCCCGGAGCTTGTTCATCGTTGTGGTATGAGGCCAAGCATCGAAGGAGTGAACCCCATTGAGAAATTCCCATGAAATTTACCAGCACACTGATGGGTGAGTAGCATGGCTCTTCGTCGATAGAGGGATCAGCAATGCTAACGACTTCCTTGTAGATCCTGCCTCCACATCATCGGCAACGTCGACGCCCACCTCCGCTGCCACCTCACCTGTCTCCTCCAGTCTACGCCGGAGTTGCATATTCTGTCGCGCCCGCAAGATTCGCTGTTCCGGCGGTCACATCTGCAGTGCCTGTCGAGAGCGCAATATTAACTGCGTCTATGGCCCCGAGGCGCGTAAAGGCCGACCGCGGCGGAAGCAGCCTAGCGCAGATCGCCCGCTTCGAGTTCCGCCGCCAAGGACAAGCGATGTCGACTCGTCTCCGGCGCCTCTCCGGCGGAATCAGAGTCCCCACGAACGAGGAGGATCCCCAGGATCCCAACACACCTTGGGCCAGGATTTGGAGCAGATGTTCAATGAATACTTCATCCACCGCTCTGGATCGCGCTCGAACCTTTTCCAGAACTCCATTGCGTCGTTCCAGCGGGAGATGGACCGGCCGTCTTCTACCCGTGCTTCCGCGGAATGCCCTCGACGGTTGACATACGATGGGCTCCTCTCCTTCCTAGCCCACGACATGGTTGAAATGCTGCTCCGCTTCAGCAACCTAGGCTGTGAACAGCCACAGGGGACAAATCGACACTTCTATATCACCAGCCTAGCTGCCGACACCACCCAGACCATGTTTGACCCACCCCAGCCCATGAAGAAACCCTTGTCGACGCTGGGGAAGTACCGCTTGCTCCAGATGGTGGATCTGTGGTTCTCTATGCACCCGCTCTCGCCCCTGATCTCCAAGACTCTACTCATTAGTGAGATCAAGGATGAGACGGTGGATCCGGCACTCCTCGCAATCATGCTGGCAGATGCCTGCCAGGTGCACCACGGCGGAGCGAATGGCCAGGCTGCAATGGATCAAGAAGATCCCCAGATTCTAGCCCAGTTCGCCGCAAACCAATTACGGCAGCGGGTCCTATCGCTGACAGACCCAGACCCCTTGTCCACAGCACAGGCGTTGATCTTCATGGGGTGGAGGGAGCTGTGCCAGGGCAACGCTCGGCGAGGAACCTGCTATGTGGGCTATACGTGTCGCATTGTGTCCCGGCTGCATAAAATGTGGGCGGAAGGGAACCAGATGGAGGTGGATGGGATCAAATTGAATGGCATTAATATCACCAAGGTGAAAAAAGAGATCCTGCAGAACATCTACTGGCTGTGCCTGTCGACCACTACGTGGTCCTTTATGCAGATCCAACAGCCCTTTTCGCTTTTGTTGCCAGATGAGATCCCTGACTTTCCCAGTATGGACGAATCTTCGTCGCCCATCCTCCGTCTCGATCAGGCATCTGATAATATCTCCACTCTGCAGGCGCAGATTCGGACAATGCAATGGCTGTGGCCCCTCAGTCACATTACCAGCACGGTTGCGCACGTGTATACTCTGTTCCTCAATGCCACGAGGGATGATGAGACCCCTCGCTGCGAGATCGCTCCCTGGCAGACCCAGCACATCCACGAGCTGCAACAGCTGCCGCAGGCGTGCTTTGACCCATCAGTGCTCTCCCGACATATCAGGCGCATTCTTCTACAGGCGATTCAGGCCGTGGAGCGAGAGGTCACAAACGTAGCCTCGCAGTCATTCCTCCTCGCCGCTTATCACACAATTGTTATCCATATGCTCTTTTCCCAACCCAAGAGGTCTACGGACACAGTCTTGCTCACTTCGTCCACAATTCGTACCTTTGCCCAATCAGCGTCGGCGCTGCTGACCATCGCACGGCGCTCCCCTCCCCAACCCACGAGCCCGGTGCCGCTACCAAGGGTGATGGGGCATGGCAGCACGGATGGGGTGCGCACACTCGCCCTTGGTCTGGATACTTGCAGCCGTGCACTGGTGCAAATCCACTCGCAGTCCGACCGGTGGCGGAGAGACAGCGATGAGCCCACGGCGATGCTTCACGCGCAGCTGGCGGAATATGTCCAGGCGATGCACCAAGTGTGCAAAGCCGATTCCCTTATGCAGCGTGGGTCGGTCATCCGACCAGTGAAAAAGCGCTTAAAGCAGCTCAAACACTCCTTTTCTTCACAGTGGTCTGCGACTCCTGTGGTGTCCACTCATTCTTCACCAACGGATCAGACCAGCGTTCATCATCCTTCTAGCTCACCCCGTGAGCCTTCTCGTCACCCGGTGCATCTTGATGCAGCAGCAGGCCTGCCGTTTTCGCACCTTGCGCCCAGCCCGTCACCGGCTCTATCCGACCGCGCGCCCGAATCCCTAGATTCCTATTTTTATCTCGGGGAGCCGGATCTCGGCTCGCTGCTCGCATTGAGCGGATTCGCCAAGCCCAGTTCGGGGGCGCGTCCGAGCGTCCCCCCGAGCCGCTCCAGCACGTCTGAATGCAGCCTTCCCTCCCATCCCTCATCGCTTCCCCCCTCACACCATCAAGGCGCAGATAGCCTTCTCCTTGCAGCCCAGCTGTCCGTCCACGACAGGCACAATGTGGGTGTAGACGCTTTGCCAGAACCGTATGACGCAACCTTCGCTCCTCGAAGCCATCCGATCCAGCCGCGTCGCAGTCAAGGCTCACCCGATCCGCCCGTGTCTACGACGTCCGAGGCTGACGTGGCCACGTTGCGGTATGGGGGCGCTGTGGGAATTGCTTCCCCATGGGCGGTGCCACCATCGTGGCTGGATCCATTCGGGAGTGCGGCTGGAGGTGAGACGGAGGGTTTGTTTCGGACATGATCGCCACCGGGGGCCTGAGCACTGTCCATGGGCCTTGTTTGTTTCAGGTTGCACACATGATTCTGTAGTATCCCTATATCTAGTTCTGTTCTCTTGTATTTTTGAGTTCTGGGATGACTTACTGTTACACTGGACAGTCGATTAGACGCTATATGATAGGCTGTGACTTATATCCCTAATTTCCCTTGCTTCATCCTCTTGTGTCGGTGTGTACAGGTACCTAATGCAGTAACCCTTGTGACGAGCCTCGACGTAGAAAATATAGCAATATGCATTGGGTGTGTCGAAACTGGTCTGTTGTACAAACTGCCTATTTAGCAATAAAAATTTGTTGGAGATTATTTTGTGTGACCTAGAAAACCTTCTGCCAAGGTTGTTGGGCCTATGATATCTAATTATTTATTCGTGGAACATATTTATTTATGCAACGTGTTACTGTATAGATACCTGAACTGTTCTTACTTGTTCAATATATACTTAATTAGTATATTGTGTACTGTAAACATAAACTTGTTTTTATATCCTTAAAAATTTGGTATTATATGGAATATAAAACAATACACAGATTTCTCTTAGCAAAGGCATGGCTTAAGCGATAAACCAATCATAACATAGGTAGTTCTTAGGATACGTACTGAACCGACCCCTTCATTGCTCCTAGCCAGAGTTTAGAGCAGAATGACAGCAACGACATCAATCTATTCATGTCTCTTCGGCATATTCCCATGGCTCAATATCTTGCAGATGGAGGGTGCATTCAAAAGCTTGAAAATATCTAGAAATCGCTCCTATAGTATGAGGAGCAGTCAATACATAATAGATGGGATAGATAAGAGTACAGTTATATATGGAACCCCAACATCTATGCATCAATATAGAACATCATCATCGACCAAAGGAAGATCCAGATCCTTTCCCAACCCATCCCGCCTCAATCATTCTTCTTCCCACCTACCTCTGCTCTCCGTCGTGCCTCCAACTATATTGATGTTAAACGGGCGTTCATGCGGTCCACAGTAAGACATACCTTCTTCGACACCGGCTGGTGCCCATACAGCCACTGCAAATACCACATCCAAGCACTACTCGGCATCCACTGGTAGATAATCGACCGAACAAGTTTCCCCATCCCCAGCGGCAACTTTGCCGTGTGAATCTGTGCGTACCGTGCCGAGAAGGAGGCGACTTCCTGAGCACGGCTCTCGCGTGCGCGAGCGTAGGACTCCAGTGCGTTGGGAGTGCCCTCGAGAAAGTCGACGATTGAGTCGGCAAGAACTGTGGCGTCCTCAATCGCTTGACAGGCTCCCTGGATAATTCTTAGGATCATACAGGAGGAGATAAGAGGATTAGGAGGGGGGGATATACTTGGCCGAAGAAGGAGGTCATAGAATGCGCCGCTTGGAATCTCGTCAGAAAGCATCGAGAAAGATGAGGCTGTGGTAAACTCACCATCACCTAGTAACGCAATTCGTCCTTTGGCCATATGGGGGAAATCGACTTCCTCGAAGACATTACTGGCGATCACTCGCTCGGCTTGATCCACGACTACCAGGATTAGACAGAGCGATGAAGGATGTGAATGACAGGGAAATACTTGATTTGACTGTTTTATCTTGACCGAATGGATGGAATTTTGCGCCATACTCTCCATTGACGGTGTCAGGGGTGGCTGTCTTCCAGACAGATCGGTCAGGTACCTCTCCCGGGGCGAGGTTGGCAAGCTTGACTCCGATGAACCACTGTCGATTCTCCTGACATGGCCAGGTCGTCAGACTGGAGTCGTTATACAGCATCCAGTGACCGATACCAAGGTCCTGCGTGGTCAGATGTTCTAGGGATTTGGTGTATCCTGACATATGGACACGGCCAGTGAAGCGGATGGTATTTTGCGCCTTCAGGCCATTGGCACTGGCGAGCTGTACTTGGTCAGTATAAGATCTTATAGTTTGATCTGGAGCTGTCTTACAATGCGACGAGTGGCGCTGCGAATCCCATCAGCACCCACGACCAGGTCGGCTGTGATCACTCGTCCATCGTCACTCTCCACGCGAACCGGAGTCTGCCTATCAGCTTTATCGACAATATTGACTACGTTCCACCTTAGTCGCACACTCTCTGCGCCCCCGGCAGCCTCGTATAGATAGCGGTGGAATTCATGCCGCTCGATAGAATGGACGTTATATCCGAACCACCGTTTAGCCAGGCCAAAGTTGATGGTCCCCCAACAGTTCTGTTCACGGTACACTCGAATCCCCAGCAGTTCCTGGGAATGAGCTTGGATGGCCTGGTATAGTCCCAGCTGGTCCAACACGCGTAGACAATTGGGGGCCAGAGAGATACCGGCACCCTGGGGCGTCACAACTGGAGCGCGCTCCAGGACAACGAAGGCGATGTCGAGATCATGCAGTAATGCCCCTAGGGTGAGGCCTCCGATTCCAGCGCCGATGATCACCACGGGGAAGTGCTCGATGGCCTTCGACGGTAGGCCTGTTGTGTTTGTGGTGGTCATGGTGACTGTACAACCGGTGTGGGTTTCTAGAACTCAGCACAGTGAGGTTCATTAATATTTATTGCTATTTCCAGTGCATAGTCTGGATGATGAGCTGAAGAAAAGGGCCGTTTGTGCGCGGAGGTCGATGCCGCGGGCATTTCTCGGACGGAGTTTGGATACGAGATATTCATGGTATTGCTTACTCCGTCTATACACAGTGAAATAAAATGCAAATCTATCAAAACATCTGACACAATCCATCATCCCACGCGATCTAAAATACGTTTCAAAATCCCCGTCAGCTCATCGGCAAACTCCTGATCGAAACAGCCGTCATGCATCGCACGAAACGGCACGGTCGACAGGCTCTTGAACCGTCCTTCCGGCCATCCATTGCGTCCGTCGCGGTGGATTTTCTTCGCGAATGTTCGACGACTCTCACGAAGCAAGGGGGAGATGGTCCCCAGCGTTTCACATTTGATTAGAGTGACGTCCGTCTCTGGCAACGATGGACGCTGACTCAACGGCACTGTCGATCGATACGTCCCCAGCATTCGCAGTCCTTGATGGATGTGTTGTCGCAAGCGCTCGTAGAACCGGTCCATGATATCGTCCTCATCTTCGTCACTATCGATTTCCCCGTCGGAGTTTTCTCGACTGGTGCTGTTGCTGCTACTGCTGCTACTGATGTCTTCGTCGAGCAGCGAGACGCTAGTTAGATCTTCGGGAGCGTTCATGCGCCGTGCGATGGCATTGTATGTAAGCGTAGCCAGAAGGTTATGTTCGCGCGCATCGTAAAATGGGGGATACAGTTCTGGATTCAACGAGTCGATCATCACGACATGCGATACTGCCTCCCCTTCGGCGGACAGGATCCTGGCCATCTCGATGGCAATCATGCCGCCCATTGACCATCCTCCGAGCAGGTAAGGACCCTTGGGTTGAATATCGCGACGAACAATAGAAACGTAGAGAGCAGCCACCGCGGCCAGACTGCTGGGCATGGGAGACTTCGATCCATGCTCGTAGACGGGGGCAGAAATGCCGTAGACGGGGCGTCCTCCCAGCGGGCCGAGGGCGAAATAGGGCAGTGCCAGGCCCGACACGGCATGCACGAGGATCAACGGCGTGCGCGGCGAGTCCGGGCTGCCTTGAATATGCAGGACGGTATCCATTCTGCTGTCCGTTATCTGAACTGCTGTCTTGCGTGAACAATCCATCTGGCGGTCTTTTATTTTATGGGTTTTAGAGACGCACCGCTGGGAAACGTCCTCCGCGCTCCGACGGGCATTTGAATGGCTGGTCCGTTGTTTCACGGCATGACGTGGGCTCGTATTTCGGGCCATAGTTATATATATATATATCAACAGGAATGTAGCCAGTCATCATCACCAAATTCAGTTTTTCTCTCCTCCTGATGAAGCTCTTCGTTGTCCTCGGGCTACTCAGCAGCGCCTTTGCTGCCCCGGCTCCATCGGGCAGCCATGGAAATCCAGCCTTTGACATGCCTTTGACATGGACACCGTTTGGCTTCACCACCGACAGCATCACCGTCGGCACGCCTCCCCAGCGGGTGGACTCGTTTGTCGACTGGACCTGGATTGGACAGTATGTGTTCACGCCACGCTGTCACGGCAGTCTGTCCAAGACATCCGACTGCCTGCAGCCATCACAGACACTGTTCAACCAGACCCAATCTCGCACCTATGTCAATCAATCGCGCCTTTTCCGCGACCGAGTCTGGAATCCAAACCATTTCTTCTTCTATGACGATCTCTCTATCGGTTTCGGCTCAGACATCGAACGCGTTGGCAACCACAGCGCGCGCATCACCCTACAGATGGCGGACATGCACTTCTCCCTCGACTTCGCGTATCCATTTGCCGGTGTCTACGGCCTATCGCCTGTTTTCGCGGATAAGGATAACGCCTCAACGCAGTCACCTTTTTACCAGATGTGGCAACGCGGCGCCTATCGCTCGTCCATCGTCTCCTTCCAGTTCTGCTATAACAGCACCTTCGGCAACCCTACGCCCGATCGCGCGCGCTGTCACGGGCACGACGCTCTGCAGACACTCGGTGGTCTGTCCCCCGCCCTGACGAAGCTGGGAACCAAGGAAGCGAGCAAGTCGATCCTGTGGTACGATAATATCGACTACCCTATCGTCAACGACATCGACTTCGAGTATGATCCTCCGATATACAACTACTGGGCTGCGCGACTCACCAAACACCTCATCGGGGACGAGGAACAAGCTTTGAATACTACTTACGGTGGCAACCCCGGTGCGATCTTCGACCACGCCAGTTACGGCCACGGCGTGCCCATGTCTGGGAACAGCTATCGACGGCTAATCCAGCTGACGGATGGAAAGCCCCTCTCGCTGGACAAGGACGATCGTCCAAACAACGGCAATCAGTCCTTCGTGTCGGTCGACTGTGACCGGGTGTCCTCGTTCCCTGCGTTGAAGTATCAGTTTGAGGGCCACGATCGTCTGTGGGAGGTGATTCCGCAGAATTACGTCGAGAGGCTCTCCTTGGGTAATGCCACGGAGACGTGTGTGCTGAATGTGCGCACACTCGGGGAGGGAGACTTTGTCATCGGGAACTTTGGGGATACATTCGCGAAGGATAAGATTGTCTTGTTTGATTTTGAGAAAATGAAGGTTGGGTTGGCAGATATGCCTTCGTGATTGTATAGATGGGGTCGATTAGTATTAGATGTATATGATCTAGATGTTGAATTTATTGTTTATTCGTTCATGTCCAAATATATACGCGGGTTGACGATGTACTCATATAATGTTTAATAAAGACAATAGGAATGAGAAATCGAATAGAATAGTCTCAAATAAAATCGAGTTGCATGTAATAGACAGAAACCAACGGATCAAAAAGAAAAAGAAACGAAAGAAAAAACACAACAACTATTTATACAAGTGCCTTGACTTAATGCCATCTATCAGACTCGATTCTACCTGAATACAATAATCAAAACATATAAGAAATAGTCTACCAACATCAACCTTCATCTAAATGCAGGTCAAATCCTCCGAATATTCACTTGCACGTCCCCCTTCAACCACGGACTGCCCACTTTCGAAAAGTCCAACGTAGCCGTGTCCTGCGACTCGCCTCCCTCCCCCCAGTGCAGCTCGCATTGCTGCACCACCGTCGACACCACCAACTTGGAGATCATAACCGCCATCTTCTCTCCAGGACATCGGTGACTGCCACCTCCGAACGGGATGTATCGCAATTGAGTCCCGTCATTCATCTTTCGGGCCAGGTCCGGCTGCTCCATCCATCTCTCCGGCGTGTAGCTCTCTGGATTCGTCCACACCTCGGGATCATGGTGCGTCAGGTACGGCGAGATCGAGACCACCGTGCCTGCCGGGATGGTTACGGCGTCTGACACATTGCGAAGGGTTTTACTCTGGCGCGCCCACCGGACGTCGCTGTTTCCTGAATAGTGCCGACCGGTCTCTTTGACAAGAGCGTCTAGAAACGCGGATTGCTCGACCCTCGGGTTGACTGCGAGCTCTTGTCGCAGCGTGCGCAGTCGATCCGGTGACTTGAGAAGCTGTGGTAGATTGTTAGTTTAACGGTTCAAGACGGAAGGGTCCACGAAGAACCAACCTCCAGAATCGTCCAGGAGATACTCGCTACGGTACTGGTATGTGCCGCGAACATCAGTAGCGTGTGGTGAGCACCGTAGAACCTGCTGAGATGCGCTGTCGAGGGGTCTCGGAGGGTATACGAGATATAATCCAGCGAGTTCTGCCACTCTTCTGGATTTTTCTCGCGCTCGCGCAGACGCAGCTCAAAAATCTCGCGGATGCGATCGCGAGCCGCCCACAGTCGACGTGCTGGCGTATGGGGCACCCAGCCCGGGAGGATGGTGTGCAGAATGCTGCCGACATTGGCCTCCATCGAATGCAGCAGGTCAAATAGCTCGGTGACGTGGTGGTCGTAAAAGTCGGGCCCCATCAGACAGCGCACGATGATCTTATGCACGAGAAACGACACCTCTTCGAACAGAGGCATGGGCTCGCCACGCTGGGCAATCTGTGACCAGTCGCCGATAGATTTGACCGCCTCTTCCTCTGCAACCTGACCATAATGGTCGAGGGTAACTTGTCGTGAAATGCCTCGACTGAGCGACCCTACGAAGGCGCGCAGATGGTCAAAGTAGCCAGGCACCACGATCTTGTTCAGGAAAAAGCCCATCCCGTCGCCAAACGACCACACATCCTATATCAACGGTCAGCACCAGAAAATACATGTATCTCAGGGATGAGGACCTCTCGCGTTTCCAAATACTCCTTGTTCAGCTGCGGACTCCTCAGCCAGACGGTGCGGCCCAGCAGCATGGGCACCGTGAAGCATTGTCCATACTGCCGGGTAGCCGAGGCGATGAACTCTACCGGGTCTTTACTATACTGAATGAGATTGCCCAGGACGGGAATTCCGACCGTCACCGATGGCACCTTGCTAAACGACAGCAGTGATCGGATGAGAAACCAGGCCAACAGGGTCGCCACGCCTAGGGGAACGACGGCTGGCGTGAGATGGACGGGTTCCAGGACTGGGGCAAACATGGTGCATGGGAAACAAAATCCTCATCTTGGATCATATTTGGCTTCCAACCATCGGTTTTATGTATTTCTAAGCCGCATTCAGCGCTGATGTGATGCTGGCTGTGAGGGCGGAGTCTGACGGATTCCCTCCGTCAGACGACGGAGGTTTTTTATGCTCCAGTCCATTAAAGTCCGCCGGTCACCACAACCGATCTTCCTCTAGATTTGACCTCTCTTGAAAGAAACATTTGACGAGAAAATTGTGTAATTGACTTGACAAATTCTCAAAGAATCAATTTCTATCGTGATGGACCCATACCAAGTAATGTCAGCAAGGGAGAAGGAAAATACCTCGGAGGAAGCGCTGGTGGCGCCAGCAGATCCTGGTCCCCCTGATGGCGGGCTTCGTGCCTGGCTGGTTGTGGTGGGAGGCTTCCTGACGTATTTTGTGACATTTGGTAGCCATATCCTGGTCCCAAGGCGAAAAGTGTGTTGCTAACGAGACGGTGCAGGGTTGCTCAACTCCTTCGGCACCTTCCAGGCATACTACGGGGAACACATTCTTCGGGATCGCAGTGAAAGTGAGATCTCCTGGATCGGATCCATTCAGCTCTTCCTGCTCTTCATCGGTGGCCTCTTCTTTGGCCCCGTCTTCGATACCAAGGGCGCCAAGGTTCTCTTTGTCCCCGGCACGATCTTCTTCGCGCTCTCCTTGATGTTTGTCAGTCTCTGCCGTGAGTACTACCAGTTCATTCTAGCTCAGAGCCTCCTCTTTGGCATTGGTGACGCCATGCTCTTCTACCCGACCATCTCGGCTATCTCGCACTGGTTTAATCGGCGCCGTGGGCTGGCTCTGGGAATTGTGGTTGCCGGTTCGTCCCTCGGAGGAATTGCCTGGCCACTCATCTTGAACCGCCTCTTCGACGCGGTGGGATTCCCATGGGCGCTACGCATCATCGGATTCATGTCTCTGGGTCTGTTGGCCCCGCATGTTTGCTGGTTGTGCCTCGACTCCCACCGACGAAAGCCAGTGAGGTGCCCCGGTCGGAGCTGGTGGCCATCTTCAAGGACGCGCGCTTTATAATCTTTGTCGTCGGCATGCTCTTTGTCATATGGGGGATGTTCATCCCGTTCTACTATGTCCCCCTGTATGCGATGCAGCATGGCATAGATGCCGCTTTTGCAAACGACCTCATCGCCATCCTTAATGCGGGCTCGCTGGTCGGGCGCATCGCGTCCGGGGCGCTTGCGGATAAAATTGGAAGGTATGAAATGACATCCCGACCTGGAATGGGCTGAAGGATAGTAGCTAACCGGACAATAGGTTCAACGTGGCAATCCTCTGTTCACTGCTGTCTGGCGTCGTGCTGCTCTGTCTGCATGTCATGCGCACCAAGGCCGCCATTGTGGCCTTCGCAGTTCTGTACGGACTGTTTTCGGGCGGCCTGATTTCCCTGCAGTCGGCATGCGTGGCACAGATCACAGAAAACTTGCAGATCATCGGCATCAAGATCGGCGTCATGATGGCCGTCTGCTCGGCTGGTGCCCTGACTGGCAGTCCTATTGGGGGTGCCCTTGTATCTGCAGACGGCGGAAAATACTCTGGCCTGATTGACTTCGCCGGCGTCATTCTCCTCGCTGGAACAGCACTCCTCACAATATCCCGGGGGACCATCAATCGGAAGCTTCTGCAGGTAGTCTGAATAAACTCCGATTACGCGCGGAGGCTGTGCGTAGTGCGATCTAGCTAGCAGCTTAGTATGAGGCGCTATATCAAGTTTGTTTTAGGCGTTTCAGAATACGAGAACGCGGAGACAGCACCCGACAAAGATAGAAGTCCTAAAACACGAAAAGAATTCCTCCGGGGGGGGGGGGGCCTCGGGCAATAATCTTCTGTTCAGCGCGGTTTTGGCTCCGCGGGAAAATGGAATGCATGCAGGTGGTTGGCTTTCTGTTTTTGATAATTCCAAATAGATGTATCATATAACCCCTGAATAGCGCCCGACGTTGGGGAATGGCAACTCAGCCTTCATTTCTTTCCTCCACATTTTGCTTCTCGCAATCATGCGTCTTCTCGTGCTATTCCTGGCCATTGCCAGCATTTGCTTTGGCCAGAGCCTGACTGCTCGTACCAGCCAGAACGATGAACTCTACAACTGCGTCGCCAATGTCTTCTCAACCACGGCATCTCAACGCATCGTGCGACCTGAGGACGACACTTACCTCGACGCACGCTTGGGGGAAACTATTCAATTTACTGAGCTCCCTGTTCTGATCGCGTATGCGGAAAAGGCCGACGAGGTTGGCCGTCTGGTGAAGTGTGCGCAAGTGGCTGGAGTGAAGGCAGTCCCTCGCAGCGGTGGCCACAGCTTCACAGCCTATTCCGCGTTGAATGGGACGCTCGTCATCGATATTGCCCACATCAACAATGTTGAAGTCTCTCACGACCGCCATACGGCTACCGTCGGCGCCGGTATCCGACTGGGCGCCCTCTACACAGCTTTGGATGCATACAACACTTCCTTCATAGGCGGCATTTGTCCCACCGTCGGCCTCGCCGGATTTATAGGGTCCGGCGGGTTCAACATGCAACAGAGGTCGCAGGGGTTGGGTGTGGACCATGTCCTTGCGGCGAAAGTTGTAACCGCTGACGGACTGACGGTCGTGGCCTCGCCGGACTCACACCCAGATCTCTTCTGGGCCATCCGCGGCGGCGGTGGCGGTACATACGGTATCGTCGTTGAATTCACTCTGTCTTTGACAAAGGTGCCACGATCGGCTATGCTTCTCCTGAGCTGGAATGAGACCGAGTCCCGCTTCCCCGTCGCTCGGCGGTTTCTCGATTGGGGCCCGAAGCAGGAGCCCGCCTTCATGTCGCAGATCAACGTCTACCACGACAAGGTGCAGGTGGTGGCAATGCATTACGGTCGATCGGCGCTGGCGCTTCGCAGCCTGGTGAACAGCTCCGGGCTGTTGAGCATTGGTCACCCGGAGGTCATAATTGCGGGTGGCTGCAACATCGACAACGCCCGAATCTTTGGATACACTACAATGGAATGCCTTCCGGACGACAAGGTGGACGCGTCCATCCTGAATGTCATTCCAGATCCTTTCAGCAAGGTCGGCGACCACCCCCAGTTCCAGTACAACGAAAAGCGCAAGTCCGACAGCGTAGGGGCTGCGCAACCTTGGGAGCGCTTCTATCGTCTAAGCAAATCCTTCTTCGTCGAGAAGAAACGGCCGCTCCGGGATGATATTCTGCGAGGAATCCTGGATCGCATCAGCAAGCTGGACGAGGCCAGCCAGATCTGGGGCGAATGGCACTCATGGAATATCCCCCAGAAAGCCCCTCGCACCAAGAGTTCTTTTCCCTGGAGGGATGAGGCGTACGCACATCTGGAGTTCCAGATCCATGGCTCGCAAAATGAAACACAGCAGCATATCTACGAGGACTGGTTTGCAGACCTGGAATCGTTCTTGCGGCCAGCGGTTGGACCAGCGAGCTATTCCGGGTACATGGACGAGGATATTTCGACCAACCCGCTTACGTCCTACTATGGGGACAGCGTCTGTCGGCTGATTGGGGTGAAGCAAAAGTATGATCCCGACGAATTCTTCAGGAACCCGTTTTCTATTCCAGCATCGCCGCCCGAGGGTATTAATTGTTAGGGATATCCATATTTCGGATTCCCACAGTAATAAAACGGTATATATACTCGAATGTGTCTGTTCGCCTGTTCATACATAGTGGCCGTATATAGTTTCACTTTGATCTTCTTGTCGTTTGCCATTAATTATTCCGCATTCCAGTCTACCGTTTCTAAGCCCATAAGTCCTAGTCTCACCTAAGACTAACTCGTAGTGCCATAAGCTTTGCTACCAGCACATTCAATCCTCTCAAAAGGCTGAAGACCAGCAAGGGAGTTGCGGGCAGCCCTAACTAATGCAACATATTTGGGGATTTGTAGTCTCAATCCCTGTGGTGGCGTTTCACCACGTGTAGTCCAAGACAACGTTGTCCCTTGCCGTTCACTTGGAAAACGCAGCAGCCTTTCCGAGATCCTGCGAAGTCGCACAGGGCTGGCCATGTGGGCTGACATGGTTGGTATCCCTGCGGCGGGCTTATGCTTACTACTGCAGCGAAGTTTATAAATATAGATCAAACTCAAACTCCGATCGGCGCTCCGTTTCCAAACGGAGCGGAAAAGAGAAGAGCGCCTTGCCACATGGTGCTGACTGCATGATTTGGTCTCGTATTTTCAACTCACCTGCCTACCTCCTCGTGGCCGAAATGCAACGCAGAATAATGGATCTCAGACGGAGGTAGGACGAAAACCTCCGAAAAGCCACAGTTTTGGGGAATATGAGCCCAGAGACCGTGGATTTGCGGCGACTTTGCCGCCATGATTACACATATACGCAATCCCAAAACCACTGTAGAAAAAATATGAAAGCCAGGAGTGCCCTTCGAATCCCTAGGAGCTTCAGCGCAATTGTCATCCAGCATTTGGTCATTGTCGGGGTTGGAGATATTGTTCATCTCGTCCAACAGTACGGCTTGCAGGCTTATTCAAGTGTATAACAATAGAAATCTCTGGTAACCCCTCCCCTTCCTCCTCTTCACTCACTTTTAGCAGTCATGTCGATGCACTTTGAATACCCTCGAGCCTCTTCAAACCTCAACAACCAACCAAACACGTCATCTGCCATGGGGACGCAGACTACTGTCGTTGACGACCACCCATGCGTCATTGGAATGGCATGCAGGGTACCCGGCGCATCTTCCCCTTCAAAATTGTGGGACAATATGATCAACAAGGTCGATCTCCAGCGCAAGATGCCAGCGGACCGATTCAATGTCGACGCCTTTTATCACCCTGATGGGACACACAAGGGCTCAGTTTGTCTCCCACGACGAATCTCGTCGCCCTCTTCATAAAACGTACCACTGATTCCAGTCCTAGACAAATGCAAAATATGGCTACTTCCTTGACCAAGACATCGGGCTCTTCGATGCTAGCTTCTTCAGTATCTCCGGCAAGGAAGCCACAGCCATGGATCCTCAGCAGCGTCTACTGCTTGAGGTTGTCTATGAGGCACTTGAAAACGGTAGGATAGCGCACCGCGTTCTATTTTCAAGGTCTTACCGCTAATCGAACCAGCGGGAATCACTCTGGATGAGATTCAGGGCTCGCAGACATCCGTGTACTGCGGTTGCTTCACTAACGACTACAACGCCATGACCACCAAAGACCTCGAATACTATCCCAAGTACACTGTCACCGGTACAGGAAACTCAATCCTGGCAAACAGGATCTCATATTTTTACGATCTCCACGGTCCCAGCGCGACCATCGATACCGCCTGTTCCTCGTCCTTGGTCTGCTTCCACATGGGTGCTCAGTCTCTCCGTGCTGGAGAGGCCGACATCGCCATTGTGGTTGGTTCGGCGCTGCATTTCGATCCCAACATTTTCATCACGATGACTGACCTGGGTATGCTTTCCACCGACGGTCGCTGCCGCCACGGCGACGCGTCGGGTAGTGGTTATGTCCGAGGCGAGGGAATCACCGCCATGATTCTTAAACGCCAAAGACAAGCAGAGGCCAGCGGTGATTCCATCCGCGCAGTGGTTCGTGGCACGGGGGTAAACCATGACGGGCGCAAGCAAGGTATTACGCTGCCATCAGCCCAGGCCCAGGCGGCACTGATCCGCAGCACTTATCAGAGCGCCGGGCTGGATCCCGCTGATACCACATATGTCGAGTGCCATGGTACAGGCACCAAAGCTGGGGACCCTCGAGAACTGAGGGCCATCAGCGAGGTGTTTTCTGTTGGACGCAGTGGGCCTTTGTACGTTGGTTCAATCAAAACCAATATTGGCCATTTGGAGGGTGCCTCAGGGGTGGCAGGTCTGATCAAGTCCACTCTGGCTCTGGAACGAAAAATCATCCCTCCAAACATGCATTTCCACACCCCAAACGCTGAAGTAGATTTCAAGGGCTGGAAGATCGATATCCCGTCTAAGTCCGTTGAGTGGAAGGTGAAAGATAGTACCACCCCTCGAAGGGTATCGATCAATTCATTCGGATATGGCGGCACTAATGCCCATGTTATCTTGGAAGAATACACATCAAGCAGGACACAGCCACCGGCTCCAACAATACCACAGCATTTGGCTGACATGACACGGAAGAGGCCGTACCTCGTTCCGTTGACTTCTCATACCGAGAGATCGGGTAAACTCATGGCGAACAAGCTCTCCGATTATATGCAGAGAAACCAGGAGGTTAATATCTCCACATTTGCCATGACTCTCTCCCGACGTCGAACAATGCATAGGTTCCGTTCCTTCGCCATTGGCTCCAATGCGGAGTCGTTGCTTAGCAGCCTAGAAGAGCCCCTGCCAGTGGCCCAATGGAAAGGAAAATTGGACCGTCTCCCTCGTATTGGGCTTGTCTTTACTGGCCAGGGCGCGCAATGGTTTGGAATGGGGCGAGCTCTAATTGAACAGTGTCCACTGTATCTACAAACATTGGAGAAATGCGACCAAATACTACAATCACTGAGCCAGAACCGACCGACTTGGTCAATCGTGGAAGAGCTTCTCCGCAATAAAGACGACACAAAGCTGGGCCAGACTGAGTTTTCGCAGCCTATCTGTACCGCTATCCAGCTGGCGATGGTGGACCTGCTGGCTCAGTGGGGCATCAAGCCTTCCAGCGTCGTTGGTCACAGCAGCGGCGAACTTGCAGCCACTTATGCGGCCGGCATTCTGTCGTTCGAAAACGCTTTGGTGGCTGCATACTACCGCGGCGTGCACATGGGTGGAGGCGCGGCTGACCCAGACAGCGTTCCTGGAGCCATGATGGCAGTGGGAATGACAGAGGCGGAAGTGGTCGCTAACCTGGAGCCCTACACTGGTCGCATTGCCATTGCCGCCATGAATAGCCCTTCCAGCTTCACCTTGTCCGGCGATAGCGATGCCATAGAGGAGCTGCAAGGTAAACTCAGCGAGAGGAAGGTATTTGCCAGACGTTTACAGGTCGCTCAAGCGTATGGTTATCTCCTTATTATTCATCCCGTGTCTTGATATTGACAATCTCTTAGGTTTCATAGCCATCATATGTTCCCTCTTGCTCCAGGGTATGAAAAGGCTCTGGAGGAGTACCCCGGATTCAAGGCAAACAAGACTCCAGTCGCATCCATGGTGTCTAGTGTGACCGGTAGAAAGGCGGATCCCAGCACGATGGGTCCTGCATACTTCGCTGCCAACATGACAGGGATGGTTAAGTTCTCTGATGCCCTGACGGAGATTGTACTGGATGAGGAAGACCAGCAGAATGTAGATGTGCTTGTGGAAGTGGGCCCTCATCCAGCACTCAAAGGGCCATCAAATCAGACGCTTGATCAGCTCAAGCTCAAGATCCCTTACATTGCTACGCTAGATCGGAAGCAAGATGCATATGAAAGCCTTCTCGCCACTGCAGGGCAGCTGTTTGCCCTTGGCTACCCGGTGAACCTCGCAGAGGTCAACCGGGATCACTTCATCGACAGGACATCCGGAATACTTGTCAGCTCTGGTACACCGGCTACGAAGTTGGAACTGCCCACTTATGCTTGGGATCATGAAAGATACTGGGGTGAAACTCGCGTGATCAAGGAGCATCGGCTGCGTCCATTCCGACACAGCATCCTGGGTGCACCGGTGCCAGGATCGCTGGCAAGTCGTCCTCGGTGGCGAAACTACTTGCGAGTTTCAGAGATTCCTTGGCTGGTCGATCATTCCATTGATGGCAAGGTCATCTTTCCCGGTGCGGGTTACATCAATATGGCCATGGAAGCCGCCGCGCGGTTAAGCCGAAACTCTGTCGGAAGTCTTAAATCCATTACACTAGCCGACGTCTCCGGTAAGGCCCTTTTCTGATTCCCAAGAATATCCATATGTGTATTAACCTGCATATCAGTGAAATCCGCACTCGTGGTGAGCGAGAATGACATGGGAACGGAGGTCATTGTAGAGCTTTCCCCTGTTGTGGAATCCGCTAAGACTACGTCGAGCGTATGGCATCACTTCGTCATCTTCTCCATTGATGAAGCCGGCAACCAGCGTGAACACTGTACAGGAATGGTTAAAGCCGAGCTCGGCAGCCCCGAGGCCATCGACTTGAAGAACGAGACACATACACATACCCACACCATCCGAAGTGTGGGCCGCGAACAATACTATCACCGGCTGCATTCCATGGGGCTACAGTATGGAAAGACATTCCAGCTTCTAACAGGAAACATTGAAAGTGGGCTCAGCAATGCGACGGCGCCCATATCTTGGCAGCCGAGCTTATTCTCCCAAGAGGAAAGCGAGCTTTGTATTGTGCATCCTGCATTCCTAGATGCGGCATTCCACCCAGTCTTTGCCTCGATTGAAGGACACCTGGGTAAGACACTTAAAGAGCCTTATGTCCCTACGTTCCTGCGTTCCATGAAGGTGTCTGGTCTTCTGGATGCGTGGAAGGCCTCCCCATCCGGATTTCAAGGCCAGGTCTCGGTAAAGACAAATGCGGCTGGACCACGGACTGCGATAAACGAGGTTCAGATCAAAAGTCCTAATGGTCAACTGCTCATTGAAATTCAAGGCCTCGAATTGACCAATCTCGGAGCAAACTCGGCAGACGACACACGCCGATCCCTTTTCTTTGGAGTGGAGTGGCAGCCGATGTTAAGTTCCCTCCCATTTGCAGGCCACAACCTCACCAAGATCGGCGGCATTCCGGGAATCGTCAAGTTATACGCGCATCAATTTCCGAACAAGAAGATTTTGCATTGCACCCCATCTGAGTCCTCAACGGCTGAGATCTTAAGGGGTCTGCGAGGTGTGGACGGGGACCGTCGGAATTTCCGGCAATTGGTCATCTCCCCTGTTGCCTCTGCAGCTGCTGACACCTTTCACGACACTTTCCAGCACTGGGGCGGGTTGGTGCATGTTGCTACTCCAGAAGATCTCGAAGGAGACAAGTTCGACCTGGTTGTGATATCAACTACTCCAGATGTTCACATGTTCGATCAGGTGTCCGATGAGGGATACCTGCTAGTAACTGGCGACTGTGAGAATATCCCGGATGGATTCAATCTTGTTCTGCAGACCCCTGGGTTACATCTGTGGCAGAAGAATTCCTATACCAATGGAGCCCATGAACGAACTCTCTCCGTTATCATGCCCAGTCAATGTTCGCCGGAAGCTGAGGCATACGTATCTGCCCTTGAAGCGCAGGGTTCGCATCGCATCGAGCGTCGAGAATTTCTCTCCTTGGCCAACACGCGTCCCAGTCTTGGTGACGATGTAATCGTTCTCGCCAGCCTTGACACTCAGCTGTACTTCGATGCAAAGGCCAGTGGCCGAGCAGAGTTTTACGCCGCGCAAGAACTTTTTACAAATGGTGCACGCAATATTGTCTGGGTAACACGAGGAGGTCTTATGGATGTTTCGTCTCCGGAACAGGCTCTGATCCTCGGTCTGGCTCGCACGGCACGTAGCGAAAATCCTGACCTGCGCCTGGTGGTGTTTGATATGGCGCCAGAATGCGGTGCAGCCCGTTCCGCAGCGCTGGCAACACACCTTCTAGATCCATCTATCAGCGAGAATGAGGTCGCAGAGCGCGATGGAATCCTATACATCCCACGCATAGTGGCCAATGACCAGTTGAATTCGAAACTGCCCAATGGGGTAGGCGCCGAACCAACTATTCAGCCACTGTACCAGCCAAATAGGCCACTTGCTCTACGGATTGGTCGGCCAGGATTGTTGGAAACTCTGACATTTGCGGATGATGCAGAAATTTCAAATGAGCCTTTGGGAGCAGATGATCTGGAGATCGAGGTCAAGGCGTCTGCCATTAATTTCCGCGACATTGCTGCCAGCATGGGCATAATTGACGATTTCAAACTCGGCGACGAATGTGCCGGAGTGATTCTGCGCAAAGGAGCCAACGTCTCCGATGCCTTCGCTGTGGGTGACCGTATTGTCGCGTGGCGTCCAGGACAGGGAGCTCACCGCACAGTGGTGCGAAACCCAGCCTCGCTCTGCTACCGATTAGGGGAAATGTCTTTCAGCGTTGCCGCTGCTATTCCCTTAATTCTTACTACTGCGCATTACTCGCTCATAGATACCGCACGTCTCCAGCCGGGTGAGACTGTCCTCATCCACTCGGCGGCTGGAGGAGTTGGCCAGATGGCAATTCAGATTGCCCAAAACATTGGGGCAAACATAATTGCGACTGTGAGCTCGCCTTCCAAGCGCGCGCTTCTAACCTCAAGATACGGCCTACACGACTATCAGATTCTGTCCTCGCGAGACGACTCCTTCGTGCACGGTGTCCAGCAGCTAACAAACGGCAGAGGAGTGGACGTGGCACTCAACTCCCTAGCCGGCCCTTTGTTGCATGCGACCTGGCAGTCACTCGCTCCCTTCGGAAGATTCGTCGAAATTGGGAAGCGCGATATCCATCAGAATAGCAGAATCCCCATGGATCCTTTCCGGCGCAACGTCTCTTTTGCTAGTGTCGACATGATTACTGTATTCGAGAAAAATAAGCCCCTGGGGGCCCGAGTGTTCCAGGAATGCTGTGCCCTCGTCCATGACGGCAAGATTCAACCACCTGAGCCGATCACAGAGCTGTCTTATGCCGAGGCACAGAAGGGATTCCGGATGTTGCAGATGGGAAACATGATTGGAAAGATTGTGTTGGTTCCTGGTCCAGATGACCATGTTCTCGTAGAACCGACCAAATTCAGTCGCCGCAAGCTTTTCCGGTCAGATAAAACGTATCTCCTCGTTGGCGGCCTCGGAGGTCTCGGACGTCGTCTCAGTGAATGGCTCTTCCAGCGAGGAGCACGACATCTAGCCTTCCTGTCTCGTTCCGGTGCCGACAAAAGCGATGCTCGAGAGACAGTGGAATGGCTCCAAGCACGAGAGGTAGAGGTAACAGTATTCCGGGGCGATGTCACTGACGCCGCCTTTGTCCATCAAGCCGTGCAACACATCGGCGCTACAAACCTGGCTGGTATCTTTCAGGCGGCCATGGTCTTGCAAGACGCGCCATTCGATAAGATGGGCTACAATCAATGGCAACGCTGTCTAGGTCCAAAAGTTCAAGGGACATTCAACCTCCATTCAGCAACAGCAGACATGGCCTTGGATTTCTTTGTCTGCTTCTCATCCGTCTCGGCAATACTCGGATCCAAGGGCCAAGCGAACTACTCCGCAGCCAATACATATATGGATGCTCTCTGCCGCTACCGTCGTAACATCGGGTTGGCCGGCACAACCATGGATGTAGGTATGATCACCGGCATTGGCGCAGTGTCTGAAGACGCGAAGCTCCAGACCATCATGGAGCGGATTGGATATGATGCAGTGAACGAAGAAGAGTTATTTGCCCAAATTGAAGTCGCTGTGTCAGGAGAACAGCAAGCGATCGCTGACTCCCAGGGTCGGGAAACACATCAGACTATCACAGGTGTCAATCTCAGACGCCCAGACTACTACTGGACGACAGAGCCTCGGTTCAGAAATCTCTACGCCAATCATGATTTTGCCGGTTCAGGGTCTGGCACTGGAGCGCAGAAGAACTTGATGGCTCAACTACAGGAGGCGTCGGATGAGACTGCACGCATTGAGATACTAACTACGCGATTCCTGGAGAAGATTGCGGCCGTGCTTTCAGTTGACCAGTCGACACTGCAGCCCAACCGGAGTCTCGCCGACTATGGCCTGGACAGCATTGTTGCCATAGAAATCCGCCAGTGGTTCTTCCAAACGGTTGCGGTCGAGCTCGCCATGTTTGATGTTTTGAACAGCGGAAGTATCCAGGCATTAGTCAACAAGGTCGCTGGGATGATTGTCCTGAACGCGTCGGAGGCTAAAACTACAACCAAGCAAGGGGAGGCTGCATCCCCTCAAAGTTCCCAGTCCACCCAGGTAACCCTACCAAAGGTGGACGGTGCATACTTGGATAACGTGCTAGGAGTGGAGGATGTGCCCATGTCGACATTTCAGCGTCGTTTGTGGTTTATACATAACATGGCAGAGGACGCCTCCTTCCTCAACCTGCCTACAGTCTTCCATCTCAAGGGTAACCCGCAAGCTGACATTGTACGATGTGCTCTCCAAGAGATGAAACGTCGGAACGACATCCTCCGGACAGCTTACTTTGAGGGTGATCAGATCTCGCAGCAGCAGGTGATGGAGGATTGCACTGTCGACCTCCCTATGTTGGACGTCTCATCGGCAGCAAGCCCTCCCGATTCCCTCCGGGAACATGTCTCCGGCCTGACACGTCGGCCGCTGGACATTGAGTCCGGTGAGGTTATGAAGGCTTCGCTGGTGAAGCTAGCCGACACCGAGCATGCGCTTGTTCTCATCTTCCATCACATTTGTATCGACCGTGGTAGTAGCCAGTCATTCCTTGAGCAGTTCACCGGCCTATACGACAGTCTGAAACGCGGTACCAACCTTGACGCCGTGCCACATCCCTCCGTCAGTTACGGTGATTTCAGCCGTTGGCATAATGCCCGTTTGGCATCTGCGGAGATGCAATCAACCCTGGACTTCTGGAAGAATGAGTATCGGAAGCATCCAGCACCGATGAAATTGCTCCCATTTGCGAAAACATCTCGACCAGAGTACAACGACTATCAGCGTCAGATCCACCGTGCGACGCTGAAGACAACGTTGCAAAATCGCATGAAGCGGATCTGCGCACGTCTCGGGGTCACCCCGGCGCAGTTCCTGATGGCCGCCTTCCGGACCTTCCTCTATCGGTACGGTCAGGAGGAGGACCTGACGCTGCATATGGTGGATGGTAATCGACCTCATCCGGCTGTTAACGACACATTGGGATTTTTCGTCAACGTGGTGCCTGTTCACTGTGCGGCAGACCTCACTGGCACTTTTGAAAACGTCCTGCAACAGGTAAAGGAACAAATCATGGCGGCACTCGCACACTCCCAGCTGCCCTTCGACGCTATCGTGGATGCGGTAGGTGTTGAACGCAATCCCGCTCATTTTCCCCTGGGCCAGGTTATTGTCAATTATCAAATCCATGGAACCATGCCAATCTACCCAGCCAGTGACTTTGACATCACCGATGTCAAGGGCGAGGACATTCCCACTGCATGCGAACTCGCCCTTGAAGCCCTGGAGGACCCGTCTAAGGGTCTGCAGCTGCGTCTGGAGTCTTCGAGCACACTCTACGGTGAGGCGGACATGGACCGCTTCCTCGACAATTTCGTCGCGTTCATGAGCAGCGCCATCCGTGACCCGCGTCAACCCGTGGTTGAGATGGGCCTGGTAGGACCGAAAGAGATGAACTACTTGAAGGAGAGCTTTTATAATTTGAAACGCACTGAGAATCACTGGAACCACCAGTCGGTGGCAGGCCGCATCATGGAAATTGCTCGCGAACAACCCACTGCAGTGGCCATCGAGTCGTCCGAGAATGTTCGACTAACATATGAAGAATTACTAGCCACTGCTAGTGATATCGCGGCGGCAATCCATTGTGCCAGTGTCTCTCCTGGAACAAAAGTCGGGATATTCAGCCGCCCAGGACCGGCCACCATCTGCGCCATGGTTGGCATCCTACTCGCTGGGTGCGGTTTCGTGGCGCTCGATCCCGAGTTTGCCTCGGAGCGTCTGGCGTTTATGATATCCGACTCAGGCACTCCCCTTGTCCTCGCGGGACCCGGACTCGAAGAGAATGCTCAGCGTCTCGGGATCAAGGCTGCTGTGACGGTGTTGGAACTCGCGTCTATCCCGGCAGCTGGCAGGATACCTCAACTCCCGCCCCCGTTGAAAAAATCCCCATTCTATGTTATCTACACTTCAGTAAGAGTCTCTAAAACTTCAGGTAGGAGCTACAAACCATTACTGACGCAGAGAACAGGGTAGCACCGGCGCCCCGAAAGGGGTCGTTTTGACCCAGTCAAATACGCAGCAAATGCTGAGCACTTTGCATCATGATTTCCAGTTTACACCCCAAGACCATTTCCTCCATCACTCCTCCATTTCATTTGACCTGTCGATCGTTCAAATCTTCTCCGCCCTGACTTCCGGAGCCCGCGTGTGTGTAGCATCCAGCACCATTCGCAAAGACCCCATTGCTTTGGCTACGTACATGGAGGCATCCCAGATCTCGGTCACTTATTTCACGCCAACCCAATTTGCCCTGTTGATGGAGCATGCAACGGAAAAGCTCCAACGCCTGCAGAACTACCGGATCGCCTACTTTGCGGGAGAGCGGCTACCGGTGCGCGTCGTCAAGGCCTTCTATGATCTAGGAACACCTGCGGTGGTCTACAACACTTGGAGCCCCAGCGAGCTTGTCGTGCAGACAACCATCCAGCGTGTCAATAAGCCTACCGACGACAGCAGCAGTATCCCCATCGGTTTCCCTATGGCCAACACGCGCCACTACATCTTGGGAGACCGAGGTAGGCCACTCCCCGCAGGCCTCGTCGGTGAGATTGTCGTCGGCGGCGCCCAGGTAGGTCTTGAGTACATTAATCGGCCCGATGCCAATGAGAAGGCCTTTCATCCGGACCCATTCTGTTCAGAAGAGGACAAGCAACAGCATGGGTGGACGCGGATGTTCAGGACAGGGGACCGCGGCCGGTACCTGCCTGGTGGCAACCTCGAATTCCATGGGCGAATTGCAGGGGATAAGCAAATCAAACTCCGTGGCTACCGGATTGATCTCGGGGAAGTGGAACACCGCCTATTTGTTGAGGCCAACAAAGACCCCACGGGGCCCGGCATTGTTGACTTGGCTGTGATTGCTCGTCGAGTGGTAGTGGACAGCGAGAGCCATGGTGACGATCGCCAACTCATTGCTTTTGTCGTGCCCAAAAAGCACCTAGACAAGCATGGAATGTCAGCCTTTGCAGTGCGCTTGAATCAATACGGAAGCCGGTATCTGAATCCGTACATGCTGCCCAGTGCATATCAGTTTCTCCAGGCTCTGCCGGTCACGATCGGCGGCAAAATCGACCGGCAACAACTGCTTCATGGAGATCTGCGCCTGACGTACCCCATTGAGGAAGCTCAGATCCAACGAGCTCAACTGAACAACGGGCATGCCAATGAAGTATGTGCAGAGTCGGTTGTGGCTACCGTCATGGACGGCTTCCGCGACGTGCTCAAGCTTCCTCGGGACCGGCCCATCGCTCCCAGCGACAGCTTCTTCGCCCTTGGGGGCAATAGTATCATGCTGGTCCGGCTGCAGGCTCGCCTCAAGCGTGCCTTAAAGAAACCACTCGCCCTAAACCCCATGTTTAAAGCGCCAACACCTCAAGGCATTGCACAGATTCTCGGGGGAGGGTCCATCACCACCACGTCCGCAACGACGAAGCTTGAGATTGACTGGGATGAAGAGACGAGTCTCAACTTCCAACTGCAGTCCCCCAGCGTGCCGAAGATCGCGGCATCTGACATCAGCTCCATCCTTCTCACCGGTGCGGACAGCTTCATCGGCGTTCACATGCTGGCCACCATTCTGCAAGACCCCGGTATTGCTACCGTCTATATCCTGGGCTCGCAGAAACAGCTCCAGTACTCCGATGTGGAAGCGGCCTTCGACCACTATCGCCTGTGGCCCTTGTTTCCCAACCCGGAACTTGTTGCCCCCCGTATTATTTGCGTGGCAGGGTCACTTGGTTCTCCGCGGTTCGGGCTCTCGTTACCGCAATTCCGCCGTCTCGCAGGTCGCGTGCAAGCCATCTACCACCTCGGCGGTTACGTTTCCCTGTTACAACCATACGACGCCCTCCGCTCGTTGAATGTCGAGTCTGTTCGCGACGTGATCGATGTCGCCCGTCTGGGGGCAGTGCAAACGCACATCCACCACCTCTCAACCTGGTCCGTCCCTCATCTGCAGACCTGGTCGACCTCCCAGCGGACTACTCCCCAGAAAACCATCGCAGGCGAAGGCAGTGCTAGCCATTTCACACCAGAGGCCAGCAACCGCTTTGGCTATTTCAAGTCCCGGTGGGTGGCGGAACGATTGATGGAACAGGCAGCCGAGCGTGGTTTTCCCGTCACGATATACCGGGCTTCAGCCGCGACGGGAAGTAGCGTGACCAGCGTCCCCGAGCCCAAAGACGACTTCATTCGCACCATGATCTTAAGCATGGTACAGGCGGGCGCGGTTCCCGATTTGACGCAGGCCGACCTGGCCTTCGTGGCCGACTTTGTTCCGGTGGATTATCTGACGGAGGGCTTCCATGCACTGGCGACATCAGGCCTGCAGCCTCCAATAGATGGGAAAGAAGCAACATTCCATCATTTATGCAATCCATCGCCCCTGCCGATTTCCCGTCTTCCTAGTCTTGTAGGAGAGATTCTCGCGGAACCCGGCCGTGCAGGCAAAACGCTGCCCGTGGCCGAATGGTTGGAAACAGTGTCTCGCATGGATGATTCCCCGGATGCACGCGTTCGCTGGGAAGTACTATCGGAGTATTTTGATCTTGGACATAATATGTTCGCGCTGGAGTCGAGCAAGACGCGCGAGAAGTTGAGAAGACTGGGCGTGGTGGAGTGTCCGCCGATCGGGGCAGAATATCTGCGGACGATGCTGGAGAGCTCGAGGTAGAGCTGTGTGGATTGGGACTGCATAGATTTGGACGGAGTTAGCATGGTTTTTTTTTTTTTTTTTTTTTTTTTTTTTCTTCATTTTCTTTAATATTCTTTTTTATTTGTTCTCTTTTTGTATAGGCTGTGATTGTATCGACACTGTCGACTGATCACTCGTCCTGGCGGGGATTGAGTGATGGTTCCATGTGTGTAGGGCAATTTATGCTGTTTCTTCCTTTTTTTTATGCTGAGAATACTATCATGTAGAATGTCACCTTTCCAATGCCTTTGAGTATTGTAGTTACTTGTTTTCGAAAGAGAAGGCAATAAATAGCGTTTCAACATAGTGACGCGTGGTCGCGTCGACTTAGTTGCATGACAACGTGAAGAGATCCACACGTTACATCTAGAGGGGAAGGACCTCAAGAACTCCACCACCACACATAAATACAATCTATAACTTCAGATGGAAGATAAGACCCTTGAAGCTATATTGTTGATGCAAACACTGACGATTGATTGAAATACAACTGGCAGCGACATCCATATGCAGTACGATGTGGGAGGAAATAGAAAATCGCCCTGAACAGGAACCACGTGTAGTGTTGCCTCAGAAAGCAGGCCACAAATACTCGCATGGTGCCTTGTCTCTAAGGCGACAGTGCCACCAATCAATCGACAGAGGGAATGGGTGTATCTTGGAACAGGAGACTTCTCCTCGACGAAAAAGACGCTATAACTAATACTTCTCATACTGTATCTACAGTGGATGGAATTTAAATACTAGGATGCAATGTTTGCTATGGTCACTCGACGGCGGGACAAACCAGCTCAGGAAGACCCTTCTCAATCAACATTGGATAATGCATCCTGAAATCTCCGACACAACTCCACGAGTGTATGACCGGCCCATTCAAAGTCACTCATCTCCAGGTAGATCTGGCCACTGAGACGCACCCACCACTCGTCCTGGAAGGGAAACACTGGCAGGAAGGTGTGATAGTCTTCGATCAGTGTCTTCTGCATCCAATCTGTCGGGGTGGCTGGCTCTCCCTTCCAGGTAAGGCGGACACTGTACCCAGCTTGGATCGGCAGCCGCACGTTGACCAGGCAGCAGTCCGTGTGGGTGTGGGTGGCATTGTCCAACACCGTGGTCCCCAGGATTTCCGCCACGCGTCGCCCCCCCTCGCGTGCCAGGTTGGTGCAGTATGCGCGGATCCTGGACTCTCCCCCACAGACATGATGACGCCAGGCAATAGCGGCGGGAACGGTAAGGAAGGGAATATTGTCGAAAGTGCCGACAAAGGCAAAGTTACGCACGAAATCTGTCGGGTCGTCGCTGGTCGGGTCACGCGCCGATCGGGGGACGAATCCATTGCTAGTCGGTAGGGTGCTGCGCATCATCGCCTGATTGCGGTGCGGCACATAGAAGACGGCGCATCCACGCGGCGTAAATAGCCACTTGTGGCAGTTGCTCACCAGGAAGTCCGGGTCCAAGGCCGCGAGGTCCAGAGCGACATGGCCGACGCCATGGGCAGCGTCGATCAGACTCAGCACTCCCTCGGCGCGACAGAGGGCCGTTAACGCCTCAAAGGGTAGACGGATCCCCGGGTTCGAACAGACGGTGTCAAAGATGGCGATGCGCGGAGTGCGACCGGCGCGACGCGAGGCGTGGATGGCGTCGCGAAAGGCGGATACAAGGTGGTCGTCCTCAACGGGATAGTGGACACAGACTTCTCTAGTGCGCACGTGGTCGTTGTTGGACTCGCAAACATATTCGGTGGATTTGCCACAGGCACCGTAGATGACGTCTAGCTGGATGATCTCGTCGGAGTCGCACCAGTCAAGATTGCGCAGTACTGTGTTGACGCCCGTGGTGGCATTCATCACGAAGACGATGGTGGACACGGGCACGTTCAGGAAGGCAGCCATGGCGGCGCGCGATTCCTCGAGCAACACATCGTACTGGTATTTGAGAAACGCACAGGGACGCTCCTCGCATTGGGTGCGCAGCTCGTCGGCCTTCTGGCGTATGGCCATGGGGAAAGTGCCGAAGGATCCTGCATTGTTAGAGTAATATCCATAAAGAATAGTATAAAAGGACATACCATGGTTGAGATTCCGATATCCCGGGGCAAACGAGAAGTATTTTCTCATCTCATGCCCCAACGGGGTGGCACTTTCCTCGAGGGAGAACATAGTGAGAGGTTGAGAGGTAAAAGGAATGTTGGATGCGATGATCGAAGACAACCGTGAGATCCTTTGTACCACGGTCTGCCAATCATTGATCTGCCCGCATTACTTGAAGCCGTTCCCCTCCCTTGGCAGCTTATATGTAGACAGTCTATATCATACTGGGTAGTTATATATGCCCTCCAGAAGAGATGCAGTCTAATAAAGAGTTCACCATGTCCGAATTAAAACCCCAACCCCTCCAGCAGAACAACGTGGGCACACTGCAGCGTCGACTCAAGTCGCGCCATGTGCAGTTCCTGGCATTATCTGGTGCTATTGGCACCGGACTGTTTGTCGGAATGGGCCAGGTTCTTTCGCTGGCTGGTCCCCTGTCCGCTGTGCTGGCGTATGCCATCACCGGCGTCAACCTCTACGCTGTCATCAACAGCATGGGCGAGATGGCTACCTGGCTGCCCCTGCCCGGTGCCGTTCCCGTCTACGCAGCGCGGTTTGTCGACGAGGCGCTGGGGTTTACTCTGGGCTGGAATTATTGGTATCAGTTCGCCATTGGCGTGCCCATTGAGATCAGTGCCGCTGCCTTGGTGCTCGACTACTGGCCCAACGGCGTCTCGTCTGCCGTGTGGATCACTATCCTGTATATGACCATCTTCCTGTTCAACTGTCTGCCTGTGCGTGTCTACGGCGAGCTGGAATTTTTTCTGGGCTCTATTAAGCTGCTGACCATCGTGGGGCTGATGATCTTGATGTTTATTATTACCCTGGGCGGGGGCCCAAACCACGACCGTATTGGCTTCCGATACTGGAAGAACCCCGGTCCCATGCTAGAATACCTGGAAACAGGGGCCTTAGGACGCTTCCTGGCCTTTTGGAAGGTGTTTATCCAGGCGACCTTCAGCTACGGGGGGAGCGAAATGGTCGTCGTGGCCGCCGGCGAGACGGAGAACCCGCGACGCAACATCCCCAAGGCAGTGCGGCGTATCTTCTGGCGCATCGCCGTCTTCTATGTGGGCAGTGTCTTCCTCGTCGGTTTGTGCGTCTCTCCGCATGATCCTCGCCTACTGAACGCAATCAAGCACGGCGCCCAGGGGGCGGCGGCCAGTCCCTTCGTCATAGCCATCGCCCACAGCGGCATCCGCGTGCTGCCCTCCATCATCAACGCCGTGATCTTCTCCTCGGCGCTCTCAGCGGGCAACTCGTTCTTCTACGCCTCGACGCGCATCTTGTACGCCACCTCACTCGACGGCAAGGCGCCACGTGTGCTGCAGTTCGAGCGGTTCGGTGTGCCGTACGCCTGTGTTGGGGTGACAGCGGCGCTGAGTCTGCTGGTCTATCTTAACGTGTCCGCCAGCGCTGCCGAAGTTTTCTTCTGGATTAGCAATCTTAGCTCCGTCAGCACATTAATCGTCTGGGCCTCTGTCGCTCTGACCTACACACGGTTCCATCGTGGGCTACGCTATCACGGCATCCCCCGAACGGGCCTGCCCTTCCGCAGCCCTTTCCAGCCGTATATGGCGTACTTTGCCATCGTCTTCTCATGTACCGTCGCCCTGTTTAACGGGTTCGACGCTTTCTTCCCCGGCCGATTTAGTGCCAAGTCGTTCGTGCCGCCCTATGTCGACATTCCCATCTTCGCTGCCTTGTTCCTGGGATATAAGCTGGTGAAGCGCACGCGGTTCGTGCGCCTGCATGAAATGGATCTGTGGTCTGGCAAGGACGAGGCTGACCGCCTGGAGTCGCTGTGGGAGGAACCAAAACCGCGTAATCTCCTAGGTATATGCCATACTATGCTGGGATGGGATGCAGCTAACGAGATACAGAGAGGATATGGTTCTGGATTGCTTAATGGAATTCAACGGGATGGGAGTGAACTTATGGACATATTGATTCTATTCTGCATTTCTATAGTCCAATCGACACGTTAATCTACGAGGTCGATGTCGACTGAAAACGTAGTAATTAAATCCATAACTGGCGAACACAACGAGTCTGAGAGTACACCAAACTCCTGAGGAACAAAAATCGCCGCAGAGTGGACAAGATTAACGAGATATACTATACTTAGTATGGCGAGAAGGTATACAACCCTTGCATAGGGTCTGTAAGTAAGTACTCCTATATAACCCCCCTCTATGTTCCAATAGATGTTGTTTAATGCAGAGGTAATAACTTTCATTCTAGCATGCTTGTCTAGAGGTAGTTTCAACAAGTATATCCATAGTGTTTTCAGACTAAAGCTCGTCTTTTCCAAACCACGTGGAATGTATAAATGTCACATTCAGATCCTTCAGAATTCTTGCGTCATATCTTATGCTACCTCAACCTCCTTCACATCGGGAACCTTTACCCCATCCGAGGTCGATTCATGCACCACGTCATCTCCATTAGCGGAAATATGAACAACCACGACATCCTAAAGAGAGCTGCGATCACCTCCACGGGAATCCCTTGGTTTCTCGGGCGAACAAATAAACCACAACCGTAGACACGAGGGGCAAGTCTATGAACGAATAGAAGATATTATTTTTTCTATACCAGACACCCGGTGGGACATCACCTATTACTAGAGACAGAAAATAAACATGTTCCTAATCGCCAGCGCCATGGGCATGGTGTACATGATAGTGGCCATGAAGTGCCTGAAGGTCACAATTCCCTTACCCCGTGAGCGGAATCTCCGCGGCCCAGACAAACTGAGTGGCGTCGTTCACAATCCCTAGCATATACTCGGCAGGATTTTCTTGGTCGTCGCATTTTCGGGCACCATGTAACTCAAGTAATCTAGCAAGGTGCGTGAATTCTGCCCGATAGGGCCAAAGTATACTGTCTTTCCGCCACGAGCAAGAAACAATAGCTGATCAAATTGTTGAAATAGCTTGTCAACATATATCCTTCCATCCTCATAGTTAACTTCACGTAGGGGGGTGTCACGCTTCGCAAGCAGGATCAATTGGTATTGTAGCGCGGCTTCATAGGCTTGATTCAACTCTAGGTGGACTATTCTGGAGTCCCTCTAGATGAGAAAGTAGTGCTCTTTGGACAATTCTTCTAAGCCATTTTGCAGATCGTTGCCTCCAGTGTCGGGAAATTTGTAGTAGCTTCGAGACTCGAAGAGGAACAGGACAATCACATATTTTGGCTCGTACGTACCATAAACGGAGAATCTCCATAGCTTTGCAGTGAAGGGATATCTCCGCCTTAACTTTCCATGGCGCCTTGGAGGTATGCTCCTCAATTCCGGCAGCAAATAGCACATCCTTTTCCACACCTGCCATCCGATCAGGCGTCCCTGGCGGACGCGGCTGGAGATCTAACATATCATCCGGAGAAAATCCAGAACTTGCTGCCTCCTCGGGCTCCACAGTGTTTGTATGAGGTATATCAGTTTGTGCTTGGACCGAATTCTAGGAGACAGCAAGGGTTTCTTGTCCCGACTGGTTGAATTCTGTCGTACTCTTTGTGGACTGCACCCCCACGAACATACTGTACAATGGTTCCTCGCTAAAAAAAGGGAAGAAGATTACTCTTGAAACGGCGGAGGAAGTGGGATACTCAGAGGGCGTTTGATCTGCGCTGTAGACTTTGTTAACAAAGAGACTTGCACGGTCATGGAGGTGCTTATTTTGCCAGGGAGAATTGAACCCCCCTGGCGGGCCTTTATATCGAGATGACTAGGAGTAAGTACTGGACAACCAACCGAATCAGCTTTGACAGGAGAGTGCTGACGAATGCCGGCCTTAAAATTCCGTGCAACTGTTTGTATTCTCCCATTATCAACGCGATAGAACTCCTCTTCGCAAATGGCTCTGATTATCTTCTTAGTAGTTGACTTGCTATTCTTTATACCCAGAAACTCTATGCTCCGTTTACAAGAAAACTGTAGCCGATTTGCCAACGCAGCCATTCCGCTCAGGGAGGAGAAATCCTTTTGACCATGTATAATGGCTGCTGATTCTTTTCCTTTGTCTTTCCGGGGCCGGGTGAAATGTCTTAGGGCATATAACCAAAGTTGGGATTGTGAGCAGATTATGCTACAGCCCTGAAGTCTGCCCTTCTTCAACTTTCATTTCAGGATCTAATGTCTTGTATTTCACATTCCAATGTCTTACCTTAACGTGAGATATTGTGCACACCCTATCATTCCGCTGATCCAGACTAGCCTGGACGGCCGTTATAATTAGATGATCATTATTATGGATAGGTTGTATTGTATCCATGCTTCGTTTCGTTTTAGTCTGTTTACGGATGGCTAGAAGTTAAAATAGCCGTTCTGATAAATATGCTTTGGCTTCGTATGCATAGCTGGCTACATAGACACTTGTATCGTTGTTGATCCACACATATACAGGAGTGAGTGGGGCATATCAAACTTATCCCATGCTTTATGGTTAGTTTTTGGCTTCTTGGCAGCAGGGTGGACGTGCCAGCGGGGTACTTTTAATTGAAAATATGACAAGGAACCAAAGAAAGAAACCAAAAATAGGACTGCTACATAACAGACTGGGGCGTGCCACGCGTCTCGCTTGTCTCGGAGCTTTACAACTCGAACCTAAAAAGTGGTAAAGGCCATCACACTGAGACAAACAATGTAGATCTAGACTACGCGAGGCTGTAGTACTCTAAGTCTCGCATGGAAAGTCAAGGGCCAAGAACACATGGCAAGGGAGAAGAATTCCATTTGTTCTTCACTACCGGCAGGCGGCTTAGACTTGAGAACGTAGGTTTATCCCAGTCCCCAACAAGTATTTCACTATGTATAACTTACGAACCATTGCATCTAGTTGTGGACTTTGAAGAGTTGTGGGTTTTATTAATAGTTAGTCCTGGTTTCCCTTGGTTGTAGCTGGTTGTCAGTGGTTGTGAGAAGTTGTGGGGGATTAAACTGGTATGCAGTGGTTGGGAATGCATTCTTAGCTTATAATTGGACATGTTGTATCTTTTGTGGCAACCATTCCACAACCCTTTTAAATGGGATTATATAATTACATACCTTTCTCCACAGTCGCCAACCCTTCGACACCGTCGCACCAAAAAAAGGGTGGGCACGTAAGTACACCTTTCCCAGCTCGAAGCCTGCACGTCGTGATATATGAGAATATATGAGAGTTCCAGCAGTCTTTAATGTGTCCTAAATGAACGGGTACACCCATTTTGTGCGGCACCGTTCTGAAAGATCTCTGGACAAGAAAATTAGCCTTTGTCCATTAGTTCGTGCCATCAACTGTCGATCCTACTTCAGTGCAGTAAGAGAAGCTGGTGCGGTTTGCGAGTGTTCAATAACTTAAACACTATGATCCGCCATAATATCTAGCTCTAACAGCCTGATATTTGAACTGAAAGGGTTGGCTAAGATACTTTCCTCTGACGTTTAGTAATGCTTTTTTTTCATATCTCGTTCATTATACCGTATATCGAAGAAAGTAGCGTTATCCCCCTTCTTTCTCTCTACTAATTCCTCAGTCTCTGTATACTACGGTGGCAGCCTATACTCTTAGTCCCTCTCACATTCTCCCTCCGGAGCTAATCAGTCAAAGTTGTGCACAGGATCGTACTTATCGTCAATATCCCAGTCAACGTCCTGTGTCCCACCGCGTAATGTGGCTTATCCTGAGTGGTAGAACTCCACCTAAGTTCCCGCATCCAACGTGCATCGTGACCCCAGCGTAGCGTTGGGCTTGAGAGAGTCGCCGATATTATTGCCATTTCAGGTTACACTTTGCGGCACATTAGGGCATTTTCCGGACGCAGCGAAGAAGGTTCTTGTGTATTTGAGGCAGTTGGATGAGGATATAAGCACTATGAAGCTGATTATATAGCTTCTTCTGGTCTGAACTGATACATCCACCTTGCTAGCTGCCATACGCGGTGTTTACGGCTATAATAAACAATGCATCTAGGGCGGCCACAACGACAAATTAACGACGGCAAAATACATATACATCGCTTCGTCGGCGCCCTTATTTTGGCCGCTCCATCGAATAAGGCGGCGGCGCCTCATCCACCCCACTAACTCCTAACCCCTGTTGCTGTAGCTGTAACTGTTGCTGCTGCTGTTGCCATTCCCCTTGCCTGGCTTCACTATCCAACCCCTCCATCCGAACGCCGGCCGAAAGCCCTCGTGCCCCCTCTGCTTCATCCCCGCGCGCCTTTCTTCTAGCAAAACAAAGCCAAGTCCCGATCATCATGGAGAAGCCCATTATAATGGGGAGCAAGATAATAATAGCGGTTGGAACGTGAGGTCCTGTATCTCGGTCTGGAACTGATGCGGCGAATGTTGGGAATGATATATCCGGTGATGACCAGGTCAGGATTGAAAGGGGCGTTGTAGAGGCGACATGCGTTTGATCGGTCCCGGACGATGGATTTGAATCGCCCCTAACATGGGAGAATCTGTTGCTTGTACAGAATGCGGGCTCGTATGAGTAATGTAGTTTTCTGTATAGTTGGATGAGGCTTGAGGGGCAGTCGGATATGGTACTCGAGTCGATGTTCAATTCCTTGGCGGTGAAGATGTCTTCAAAGTTGATACTGCATTATTTGTTAACATATCTTCGTCATTTCTGTAAATAGGATGGGTTGGTATTAACGCTTCAAGTTCACCGGAGAGGTTTATAATTCCAGCATCCTGGAGACCCGAATATATCTCCACTGGCGACGATGCTCGAACGGTGATCGTGGCATTTGTCTGTTGTAAGCCGTTAAGATTGATCCTACGGACGGAAGACACGATGTCAGTAGGCATGCTCCAAGCCCGCTATGGGGAATCAGGTTTGCGGTACCCCGTGATATGCCCATCCAGCAAAAGCTCGCCATATAATTTGTCGAGCGAACTCAGGTACACCCCGGATAAGTCCGTGTAGTTGGCTTGCACTTCCATTCCCCCCGGATCTGGGCCCCCTGGTGAGCCTAGCACTTCAAGGTTGGGAGTTGAGAGACTGACACGATCGTTAGCACACGAAGGCATTAGGGGCTTGGGACCGAACAAACCTGCTTAGATACCCCCTGAAACTAGCCCAATGTGCATCCCTGAGCGAGGGAAGGTAGATCTCAAGCGGGTTGGGTCTATCGCTGATACTCCACGATGGATCCGTAACTATTGTCAAACTGCGAGTCACACTCTACAACGAGGGGAAGGATATATTACAAATCCTTAGCGCAAACCCCCAAAAATATAAAAAAAAGCGATGAAAATGGCTTACTTCGTCCAATACCCAGCCACAGAAATTATGTCTGCAATTTTCAAGCCCTCCATGTCAAACCACCCCTCCTCAACCCCCTGAATAAAGTACAGCTGCTCCATGCGCTCAACCCGCGGTAACCGCAGTTTCTTTAGCCCCCAGGTCTGGGGAAGATAAATGCCTTCGATATATAGCAGATCAAGCATCTCGATGCCGTTCATGCGGTGCGACTCCTCGTAGACCGCCATCGAAATAGACCCGGTGATATTGGTGACGCCATTTAGGACGAAGGATCCCGAGAATGTGCTCTTGATGAAGATGTCGCCGATTATTGTTGTGCAGTCGCTCAATACGCTTAGGTCCTCGGGTGTGGATAATGTGAGGCGGGCGTTGTCGGAGTTGGAGTTGGGGTGTGTGTGGCATTCAGGGGCAAATGTGCCTTTGAAGAAGGGATTAGCAATGAGAGGCTTTAAAGGTTATGACATGTCAATATACATACTGGTAGGGAGAGTCCCGACCACCAGGTACAGCGCGAGAGTCTTAAGTGAGATCATCTTTATTACACAGAATCATGCATCGCATTCTTGCAAAGCGTGTCATTCGAGTTCTTGCATTTGGATAGTCAGGCAATTTACGTATCTGATGGGGACTGACAGGTTTTATATATGGACGAGTAATGGCATGTCTCTCTACCCTCATTAATTGAATTAATTCAGGAGAAATTCGTTGGTCACGCTCCCCGTCGGGCACCATGGACGGGGCAGGGCAAAGGATAGTTATTTTGGCCAAGCGCTGTCCGGCAAGCCCTCTTTGGTTGAAGAAGAATCTTTGCACAGAACTGGGCCTATAAGACTAACAGAAGCCTTCTTTGGCTGTTTCTTGGTATTGTGCGACTAACTACATTGGGTGCGGCTGTGTCAGGAAGATGGCGCCGACAGCGGGCCTTTCCACGAGTAGTGCTACTCTGTTGATATCATGCCTGAGACTGTTGAATATTAACATCTATGTGTGGGCGCAGCTCGCAGGTTCTCTCTATTTTGCTAGTTCACGTGAAAAACCGGGATCGTAGCAGGAGATACAGGAACAGCACCAGTTCTCTTCCTGGCATGGAGTACCGAGTGCCAACCCATTTTGCTGAACGTTCTCCCAACATATCTCTAGATCCGCCCATAAATCCTTTTAGGAAAGCTAAACATCAATACAGACATAGCAATTCACCCACAAACTTGTACAAGATGCATCAATCTCAATATTCCACTCCCGGAACTGAGCAAGCGTGATCCCCGCCGCATTGTCGATCGTGTAGCAACAATCACGCGACTTGACCTTGTAGAACTTGCTACAGTTGCTCACTGTACCGGACATCTGCGGCTGCCCCTGGGTGTCGGCTCGGCTGTTGAGGTCGTTGTCGCTGCGCCGGGGTCGTGTACGCAAACATCGTAGTCTAGCCAGAGGTGGAGCATCCTATCATGACAGATGGGTTGGCACTTAGAAATAGTTATGCCGGATGTTTTAGTGGATGCATGGAGACATACTTTCGTCGATAGTGGGGCTCCAGGCCTTTAATTGCGCGTCTGCGATGCCGTACTAGGGTCCAATGGTATCGCACTGGTCGCCGGAGGCAACGAAGTGGAACTTGTCGCAGTTCGACTGTAAGCCAGGCTGAGTTGGCCGGGTTCAGGCGAGGAGGTGGTAGTCGTGGACTTCGACGTAGTGGAAGCCGTCGTGCTCGAAGGCTGCGGGTCGTCCGTGACGGTGCCGATCACGCAATAGCTCTGTCCAGCCGTGAGGTTAGGACAGGAAGTACCAGGATTCAACACCTTAAGTCTGTCAATGGTCTGTCCCCAGGTTGAAGCGAAGGACTCGCAGGTGTCTCTGCTGGAGGCTGCCACAGAAAAGTTGCAGACAACGCTGGCGGACAGCAACCGCGGGAGCAATCCTAGGATAACAGCGGTCTTGTAACCTATGTCTTTTATTGATTATTTGACTTCTTTTTTTATTTCTTTTCTTTTGAGAAGGTAGCGGAGACAAAAGCGAAGTTGTACTATTGATCTGGTTGTACCTGCAGTCGCTGGCCCGCTCTTATATCCATACCAGTGCCAGTATGTCCTCTGGCGGGGTTTACCGTCCACGTAACCGGTAAATCGAACTACCGACTACTCGAGCATTTCTTACTACACGGCCCTGAGGGGGCTTGAAGCTAGCTGGAACAGTAATGTACACCACCCTGCTTGACTCGCAGGACGCTAGCAACTGCTATCTCAGGCATGCCGATGCCGGAAATCCGTGTCGGACTACTTACTACGGCCTAAGGCCCTAGAAAGTATATTAAATCACATTGCATCATGAGCTTAAAAGCCAATATCAAAGTTTGTAGCTATTAGGGTAATCGAGTTTATAACTACTTACTAGCAACATATATAGTACCTACTATGTCCGTATGTCTTGATAATATCTATCATAGATGAGCTCTCAGAATCTTGACAGTCTATATATTGAAGCTGTCTACGTATAATGACTAACAGGAAAAGTCTCTGATTGCTCCCTTTTTTTGCTTTTTTTTAATAACATAAGTGCACATAACGTAAATAAGCTTTGCAGTCGACTTTATTCCTTCAGGTTCTGAACATAGCAAGGGGCCGCAATAGAACAAACATCGTAGAATGTACACAAGTATTGCTAGATAGGGCTCTCCAGCTAGAAAAATTACTAAATAATCTCTTAAGGTAGCCATGGGTAAAAGTAGCTAAGTATTATGAGGGGCTCTGTCCACGACACTCTGCAGCCATGAGTGTATCCTTGAAGCACACACACGTACAACATCGATACGAAAGCGCATGCCAGACAGAAAACTGGTGGGTCTGGTCAGATCCGATGTGACCCACACGTGCAAGCCCGAAGGGTCCGTTTCGGCCATGGACCCACCCCGACATACATTCCAGGTCCACCTCGCTCTCAGCATTGCGTCCACAGATGCAAGCAGACCTCGCTATGTCACTGTCAGATAAAGCAGATATACCATTATTATGTGCAAATTGTAACAGCGCTTTTTGTGGTCTAGTGGCGCATTGCATAAGCTATGGGTTCCGTGCAGCCATTGTAGCGAACAGGGAAGAGAGGGGGCGAAGCTATACCAGCTACACGGAAGTAGTCTACGAAGGAACAGAATGCGGGCATGACACTCTATTGTCAATCTTACTGTATCTCTATCGTATGCAGGATGTGTATAATGCCTAAAGTATTCAGAGGGTGTGGTCCACGAAGCCTGTGTGGGATTCCAAGGCGCTAGATAATTAAGCTAAGTGGTCACCTATCCTCTTTGCAGTCATTTTGTAAGTTCTCTAAAGCTTCGACTTTGTTTCCAGCGCTCAGATCACTACTATTTCGCAAACATGTCTGTCGTTGTATCCGCGACTGCCAATTTCGTCCAAGGACTTCATTATAATCATAGCCCTTTCATGCTGTGCGCCGTTTTGGCTTTTATCTATGGGCAACTTACTAATTTATCGGCAACAATGTGTGTAGATGACTCAGCGGTTCTTTAGGAACTAGTTATGCCTGCCTTGTCCGAGGATTTGCACCACAATGTTCTATTTGTATCGATGTTGTAATTAGTGCCGTTCAAATGTATTTAATTTAGACGGCGTATATTTCCACTCCTTAGTGGCAATGGCTTAAGAAACTAGTATCTGGACTATATGCATGGATGATTGTCAAAATATATTCCAGTCGTTATTAATACACCCCGAATCAGCATCTATAGCCCAGCTTGCAAGCTCGGAATTGAGATTAGCAAAACCATCAATGTTCATACAATCAACCCCGAAAAAATTTGTGGCAGCTAAATTAGGACTTGTGCTTAAATCTCTAGAAATGTCTGCAGGTACTGTGGTCACAGGAGGTGCAGGTCCTTCTAGAATATAGTCAAGCTTGCGTGAAAAGACTGTTGCGGCTTCTCTGCAGAACTTGTAGTTGATGTCACTGGGACTGCACACAGTCTCGAGTTGAGATATAAAAACAGCTAGGCGCCGTATCAGGAGCGGCCTATTTGAACCTGACGGTAAGCTTTGAGTCGGGTCGGAAGAAACAGCTTGTAATAATTCTGTGAGTACCGCAGCGCAGCACAACCCATATGACAGAAACTGAGGGCCCAAGATTAGCAATGGAGATAATTTGCAGGAAATAAAGGCGACATACAATACCGGGAAGATCACGTGGGGTGAACCCAGCGCTGTTGCGCATGCTTGCCATGTGTAAAACAGTCTCAAGCATCGTCCATGATACTTGGAAGATCTCTGGAGGATTTGACCGGATATTTTTGTCGATTATGCGGTAGATTTGGAAATCAATGTAAAGGTAGGTCAGGTATACTTTTGCAAGCATAAGACACACCGCTGAAGAGCCGTTCGGTGGCAAATTGTCCTGGCTATATCTGAGGTGGGACGGTAAGGAATTCCAAGTTGTATGACAAAGATCAGAAAGGTTCCTAATAATTGTTACTGCCGTATTACTATCAAAAATTCTTTTATAGCCATACCTTAATTCGGCCTCAGTAGTAGTCTGGCGTGATCGAGGTTGGTATTCTTCGACTTTTTCCCGGAACTCTCCAAGCATGTAGCGTATACGAGCCCAAGATGTGCTTCTATAGCCCTTAAGATTCCAGCCATCCTCTGTCAATTTTCGTTGCTCTTGCGCGAGGATAGCCGGCGCAAAAAGAGCTTCGTCCGAAATATCGAGGGGTGGCTTGCAGTCAATATGCCGCCTAGATATCCGAGGCGGTCGGTCAAAGACAGTTGAGAAGACCTTATCTATATGGTAAGCAGTTGCAAATATCCTCCTTCGGCATTCTATCAGAAAGAATGGTGTTGTTTCACTAGAATATGTTGCTTCACGATGGAGCCCCAAGGCGAATATGTCTGTTGCCAGTTCGCCCATTCTTCGCCAGACATCCAAGCCTGAAAATGATCATAGTTAGGACGAGGGATGTTTGTATGTGAAATTTAAGCTAGACACTTACTTGCTTCCCCTTCAATAAGCGTCATAAGCTGCAAATTGTCATAACCAAGCCAAATGATGACATCATTTGGCTGTGTTGCGAGGTCTCGAGCTAGTCGCAAGCTTAAATTGCTGCAGCGAACAAGTTTCTGAATGAAGTCATCCTTTACTTGTGTACCGCGGGCGAGCCGATATAGGGCGGAACGCGCTGAAAGGCTGCATAGAAAACCAACAGCTTCAACACACAATTTATCACCGGAGAATAAGGTGCAGAATCCCTCGACATCTAAGTTTGGTGCTATGGTAACGTCAGACGCAGATGACTTTAGTACAGCCTCATAAAACCCCAGGTCGCTACTGCGATTTGCAAATGTCGAGCTGTTTCGAATTGCTGTAATGAGGCCAAGGATGAGTTGCTCTGGCACAAGCGCGGTTTGGCTGAAAGAAAAGTACTCGTCTATCAGGTGTTCAATATCAACGAGGGATTCCAACAAGGAGAGGATCTCTCCTGCAGTTGTTATATGTTCGAAAAACGCAGGCCTATCATCAGTCTTTATCATGGAAGCCTGCGACGTGCTTTTACGGTCGCCCATGATAAATGGCCATGTTTGGAACCTGGGCGCTGTTTTTGCTTGTATACAAGCTGTGGTATTGCGGCTTTCCAGAATAGAATCGTCGTCGCTAGTCGCAAGACGTGTGCTCGGACTAGTACGTGACAGTGAGACCTGACAACCCCGGGGCTTTGTGAGAGGCGCAGGATGGTACCAGCACCACGTCTCGAGTCCTCGGCGTTGGCAAGAACCGCAGGTGGGCTTTTGATGGTCGCACCGTGTCTTGCTCTTGCGACACGGCTCACAAGAGGCTTGGGAGCCATTACGTCTTCGGCTAGCAGTCGACATGCTCAAATTCAGCAGAATTGCTGAAAGAGAAAATAAACATGGTTCTGCTGTATCCCTTCGCTGTTCCAGAGTAAGTGCAGCTTGGGCCGGCCGGCCTAATAAGCCTGACAGTGCCCACCTTAGGCCGAGCCGAGGTAGTTCTCGGCATGCGGCGTCGGACTAGTCGGACTAGTCGGACTAATGCACTTGACAGCATTTTCTCGAATAATATGGCTGTATGTGGTGTTGGAACATCGGGTTAGCCCTCCGCTCCGGGTGCCGGTCTGCACTGTCATAGTCAGCACCTGTTATGTATTTAGCCTAGTTCGTGGGTGCCTCCGTACCCCCTGAACCCCAGACTCCTTCATGCTTCCAACAGAGGGGGTAAAAGCCTACACGCAACCTATCACTAGTGACTCCCTATCACCAGTGGCTAGCTGCCATTAGTGACTAGCTATCGCTAGCAAAGCTGAGGACGGTGAGCGGGAAGAAGGTAAGATTAAGATGCCAGCTGAAAAGTAATATCTGGAAGAAAATATATCGTATTGTGCCCGGGCTGATTGTACGATGTAGTTTGTCTAGGTCCTGCATATCCCCCTTTCTTAATTCACTTGAAAGTTGGTCGCCGCATGAAGTATGACAGGGCCGTAGGACGGCGTAGGGAGTGTGGTGTAGGAATACAACTAAGAGTAATAGTTCATCCTTAAAAAAGGCCACGACCTCTTAGCTTCTTGTTGGTCTTAGCGGTCTTTCCTTCTATGTTTTAGTACCATCTCTGCCTGCAGTTTGGTTTCATCTGCCCTAAAGCGGCAATAGCTTTCCTCTTATCTGTATTATACTTGCGTGGTCCTCCTTTAAAAGTATGATCCATGTCTAGAATCCATTCTTGCCTTTGTTAAAGGCCAAGATCGAGATTAAATAAAGTAATATTCTTAAGTTTAATAGCTCCGTGGTCTTCCAAGGAAGACAAGGTGTCTCTTCAGCGTTAAGCCAGCGAGCTTTCTTTAATCTGACCTTTTACTTCTCAAATACTTTCACGCAACTCTTAAATTCTTCTCCAATGCTTCAGATCACTTTCCAGGGCTTGTATGTCTGGAGCCGGGGAGATAGATCAAGATCTAGGTAAGAGAGTAGCTCGTGAAGGTTCCATTAATGTTGTGGAGTTCAGGGGAAGTGATGCGCAGGGAGCTATTCCATCAGCTACAGGCCAACTAGCCTAACTAGGATGTAGATGTCCTTCGGTCGAAACGCGAGGAATCGCAGTATCTCAACCAACTGAGCCTACTAAGTGGTTCCCTATATTCTCATTGAGGTGTTCAACTGTCTAAAGGATTCAGGGGTTGAATCGATCGTTACCAAGTCGGGCGGATTAGAGTGTTTCCGTAACATTTAAGGAATCGGAATGGTTCTGGCGAGACATAGTAATATCTTAGGTAGCTGAAAAGCAAGGATTAGAATGTGATAATTCTACTTGGCCGGGTATATTAACCAGTCAGCTAGGTAAAGTAGTAGAAGAATATCACTATATCTTATATCAAGATATATTCAAAACTAATTCTTGATCTCTTCTCCTTCGAATAGATTAAGATTATATAGTATGCCTATAGATAAGATGATACAGTCAATGAGACTATGACAATACATCAACTCGTCATTAAGATACTACCATAGCTTTGCGTCGCTGTATACTCAGATTATCTATAAGGGTTCAGGACCCGAGCTTAGCCGATTCTTGACCTATCCTTCACAGCCAGTTTGATCTCTTGGGCCAATGTCCCTATTGTCCCTGTTGTCCCTGTGGTTCCTACTAGACTGCGGCAAAACCATGGACAACCGCGGATAGCCAAAACCGCAACCGCAAACCACACTGTGGGCGGTTGTGGTTTTCACTTTGGAAAACCGCGGATTTTGCGGTTATCCATGGATATGTAAACATTGCAAACATAATAAAACTCGTGATTTTTGTGTGAATGCATAAATTATGCACTTTTCGTAGTATTTTTGGAGTATCTAGTATGTAATAAGTTTCCTGTATCTTTTAATTTAAAACCTTTAGAATACACTTTTAGACCAAATTCGATTTCTTTTTTAAGTCTCTAATATCACAGCTTATCAATCTCAAATCCCTTAGGTGGCTTAGGCCTCTTCCGAACCCTCCCTGACCGCGCCTGCGTCTTCTCAATAGGTATATCTAGAAATGAGAGACTATTATCAGCATTATTTATAGCTTTAAACGATCTTACTTCGGCACCGCTTCCGTCGTACCTGCTTAGTTTAAGCTGCAGGATGCGTGGTAGATAACTCTTTTTCTGCCTTATTATTAGATTCTGGTCTACATATAGTAATTTAGGAGCTCGATATTCTAATATCATTATATCAGTGCCGTGAGGTTCTGGTCTGATCCTAGCCCCACCAAAGTTAAAAAGTAATATTGCTTCCTTGGAACGCATGGGTCGTGAGAGATAGTCTATTTGGATAAGACCTGCTTGCGGGGTACGGGGGATGTGCATTCCTTGTCTTTAAGTTTTTATAATAGCTTATTATCGTACACTCCGAGGAGCATATCGCCTGGGTGCACGTCTATAAAGCGTTAGAGGAGCTATAACCAATAGGGGCAATATGAACAGCAGGGATAATAAGGACAATTAGCCTGAGAGGTTAAAGGGCTCACTGTTTTAACCAGAATAGGTGTATCTTCATATTAAAAACAAGAGTATGTAACGCCGCATAAGTGTCATCTAATATGCTAGAATTGGTTAAAAAAGCAAGAGTTATGCTAGTGCGGTTTCCTTGCGGTTGTGGTTTTGACTATGATACCCAAAACCGCGGTTTTGCCGCAGTCTGGTGCGAGTTGTATGAACAAGAAAAAAAATCAACCTAAGGATAAACACTAAGGATGGGCTGAACTATGGTCTGAATTTCAAGGAACCAAGAACCTTTACTAATGATTTGATAACCAGTACTCTGTCAATTTAAATGAAACCAAAATGAAAGACCATCACAAGCTCGTTACGTTATTTCTTCACTCCCCCCTTAACACCCCCATCGGCATCTACGTGAACCCCCCTTAACACATATCCATCCTCCTGCGCCTGTGCCCATGCCTTCTGGATCACCTCCGACCTCTCACGGGTTCTCTCCAGAATCCGAATCGAGTACTGCTTCGGTACTCGAATCGCCCCCTCCATGAAGCCCTCGTCGCTAATATCCAATGGCTCCTCCTTCCCGTCTTCCCCTATAGGAGGCCGAAACTCGTACGCCCAGATAATATTCGACACAGCCAGGAACAGCCCGTTCTCAGCAAGATGAATCCCCGGACAAATACGGCGCCCCGCACCAAAGGTGAAATGATCGCGTGCCATGATGTCTGCGCCTGCTGCATATACAGCAGACCGGTGCGGGTGGTTCAAATACCGTTCTGGTTTGAATTTAAAGGGTTCGTCGAATCGTGCCGGATCCCAGTGTAGATGGTTGATATTTGCTAAGAGGATTGTGCCCTTGGGAATTGTATGATCCTGGTATTTAATGTCTGCACCTGCCATGCGGCGGAGACCAGTCGTCGCCACAGGACACAGGCGCAGCGTCTCTTTGATCAGCGCGCGGATGTAAGGCATGTTGGGCTCGTCATCAAGAGTCGCCATGCGGTTGTTCCCTAAGACGCGAGTTACTTCATCATGTGCGGCTGCCTGGGCTTCGGGGAATGTGGCCAGGTAGCGGATCATGCCGTTCAGGGCGCTGGCGGTTGTTTCAGCGCCAGCTTCAGGCACAGCTGTTGACATTAGATTGTATATTCTGGAGTATGGGGCGGGAAAGCCTACCACTGGCCAACCAGCTCATCGTCTCCTCCTCGAGACCATAATCGCGATAATTGGACTCCATGAGATCCTTAGCAAAGCATTCTGGGGCATTACCCTGCGCTATACGTTCTTTAAGATTATTCCAATGCCTCATCTTAGCACTGTGCATTTTCTCAGCCATCCACTTGGCCTTAGGCCATGAGGGGAACAAGAATCGAGGCAGCCAGTTTAGTGGCGGAAACACATCAATCCAAAATACTCCTGGTCGAAGAATAATAGATAACATACGCATGTTCCCATACACATCACGGACCTCCTGGCAGTCCCATTTGGGAATGCGAAGCCCGTATGCCGATGTCATAACAATAGAGAAAGTCATTCTGCGAATGTGCATGTAGAAGTCAGTGCTACTATTCTTGCCTGCTTCGCGGGACAGGTCAGAGAGTAGCTGCTTAATTTCAAATTCCTGGCTGGGAATGAATGCCGTTGATGCCCGAGGGCTTAACAGCTGCTTGAGGTAGGCATGTAGACGCTTCCATTTTTGACTGTACGTCATGGCAAGCACGCCGTCGCCGCGAAGACAGAACTCTTGCGCAATTGGCAGTGGCACCTTGTCTGAGGTGACAGCTGCCTGGAATTTATTACTTTGTTGGTTCTACACAGATATATACGTGATTGATGCACGTACCTGTCTATCGAAAACCTCTTTCACAGCGCGGGGGCTGTTGAAAAACACCCAGTCATACCAGCCAATTCGGGCCTTGAATATATCTCCGTACTGTGCAGTCCACTTGTTCAACATCTCCCGTGGTCGGGCGGGCAAGTCCAGTCCGATCCCAATCAAAGGCCAGCCCGACGGTCCAGGGATACCTGTCATGCTAGTCCTGGGATACCGAGCAGCGAACAGTAGCAGCTGAGAGATAAAAAAGGCACAGACAAAGCCAACAAGGGTGGAAGGCTTCCACATGGCAGCTACCACTGAAGGAGGAAGCTGCAAGTCGAGGGTTTTCAGATTGTACATGTTGAACAGCAACATACTGAATATCTCATGTAACTGGGGCTAGGGATAACTTTAGAAATCTCAACCTTTAGAAAGTGGGAATGAATGAGAAACACATGAAGTATTAGAGCAAGACGTCCAGTCGCTTTATTTAAATTATCCACGACACAGCCTGAGAGGTGGTCTAGTACCAACTTCCGAGGCCCATGGATGCCCATGAATCTAAAATGTCTTGTGATACTCGTCTGGCCTCAGAGAATGACCCATAGGTCAACCAATGCCACGGCCGTGATTCGCACACCGTGATGCGGGTTATCCATCGGCAGACCTGGTATTCACTCCATCTCTACCACCTACTAGATTAAGACTCATCTCCGAGACTAGCCTGTCTTGTCACCAACCTGGACCCTAAAATGTGACATCAGATGGTTGATATTTTGATCTACTAGCATGTAACAAGATTTATTCTGGCAAATATGAGAGTTACATTATGACATTCTCCTGGTTATCGGAACTAAAGCAGAGACAGGCTTACCTATTGAAGTTACCGACATACACAAGACCTTGTCGAGGGAAGTACAGAGTGCATATACATAGTTGTCGTTGCGTAAATAGTGATGATTGGACATCTTGGTTGCTTGCAGAGGAAGGGTGACCTAAGGATATGGCTCTGTGGGGATACGAAGGTGGCATGCACTGGTTGCTGTAGACTGGATCTATGCAGCAGGATCGCAAGCTACCTGGTGATACTCCTGTTGGCTGCCGGTGCATTTGGATAGGAGGTGTAGAAATATGTAGGCGTATATAATAGATGTGGATGTATAGATTGTAACAGACGGTAAATCTACCCTGTATGGTACGGTATGCGTTTTAATACGACAGACTCTTACCGTAAAGAACCATATTCTAATTACCTAATTAAGTAACTACTTAATTAGGAAACAGAAATCTTGGCGGCATGTTCCGAACTTCCGAAACTATATGGCACGGACCCAAATACAACTTGATTACGCCAACGTCGGCACTAAAGCCGTCCGATGCCGGTTAAGTAGCCAGGAAAAAGCAATTGCTTTGTTCCGACTGGATGCTACGGTCTTTCCTAGACAAAGATCAACCTATCGAGATTCGTCGTTTGGGTTCGATCATACTTCCAACTACTTCCAACCGCCATAACCGGCACAAGGAATAGCGGAGTTCCCACAACCACGATAGCGCAGCTAAACGCCCCTCCGCCATCTCATTATCATTCCTGCTAGTGGCCCTCCAATAAGCCGAGGCCTAGATCTACCCCCCCTTTTGCCCTCCCCTTTGTAAACATTCAACTTATCGAGATTCTTCCTTGCGGCTGCGATCATACTTCCACACCGCCACGAGCGGCACAAGGAGGAACAGCGCCCCCACAGCCATGATGGCGCCGCTGAACCCCTGCAATCCCAGATACCCATTTCCTCCGCCGTGTCCCTCTATTACCCCTGCCAGTGGCGCCCCAATTAGCACACCTAGACTCGTAGCAAACCACTGCATCCCCATTCGTGTGCCTATCATAGCAGGAGTAGGCGAGACCACGGGGTGAGCGATAACCAGTGGGTTCGCCGAGATAAGCACCCCGGAGAAGGTGCCGAATAGGACACAGAATACCACAAAGGATGCCAGCGAGTTCACGCCTATCCACCCGAAAAGGAGGACCGCCGATGCGATAACGCTGGTGAAAAGGATCCAACTAGCACCCAGTCGCTGTGTCAACAGGGCGGATCCAATACGACCAGCAGCAGAGCCTGCATTAAGTACCGAAACGAGGTAGAAGCTCATGTCTTTTGAGGTCTGCAGGGCTTGAGAGGCGAAGACCGGCACGTAGAATAGCGGAATAAAATATGCCATAAATATAAGGAAATTGGCCACTGCATAGGCATTAAAACTCCACTCTCTTAACGCATGCCAATGGATCAGCTGGCGAGGTGATGCGCGTTTCGGTTTCGTGGTGGCCATAAGCAGTGGTACTGCAACACACGAGCAAGCTAGCTGGATAAATCCCATAACTCGAACAGTCCATGGGAAGCCAATACGTGGTTGGAGGCGGATAAAGATAATAGGGAAGAGAACACCACCTGTTCTTGTTAGCTTGTACAATTAAATAAGTTCTGGTTAGAGGAGTACCGATGCTTGCGCCACACGTTACCATACCAACAGCAATTCCTCTGCGTGTTGTAAAACTTGTAGACACCAGAGACAGCGCAGGCACGTAGATTAGGCCACTGCCGATTCCACAGCAGAAGCCCTGAGAGAGCAGGACCTGGTAGTACTTGTGGGAAAGGCTTAGCATCATCAGCCCCAGTGTGGTCAGGAAACACCCGGCAGTCATTAAATGTATCAAGAATCCCCGATCGAATAGGGGGCCAGCAATAACCCCCGTTGAGATAAGAAAGAAGGCATTGACAGTACCGATCCATGAGAGCCGTGACGCAGAACTGCTGCTCAGTAGATCGATCTGGTAGTAATGCTGGAAGGCGCCATAGGCGGTGGAAAAGCCCCAAGTGGTGATGAACAGCAGAAATCCAGCAAAGACGCCTATCCAGGCTGCGAAGCCCCCGTTAGGGGGAAGTGGGGGTGTGGCAGGAGTCGCTGGAGGAGCTCTGGCATCGACGGAGTCGTGGGAAGTAAAAGAGCGAAGATTCTGAGTAATAGTCATGGTCAATAACGGCGTTGTGCTTAATTAATCGATCAATGCCAGGATTACGAGGGATTCTCGGGGAAGGAAGAGGGGTCCGGACGACTGACAAGATATAAAAGGGGGCAGGCCTCCAAATAATAGGAGCAAGAATTCCAGCGGCGTCTCCGAGGTATTGGATTTGTCAGACTGGTTAGGGTTGTATTGCTTTTGCCATGACGCAGGTGTTCCCGCAGTTTGAGCCTTTAGGGCTTCGCACTTGGCTTTGCTCGCCGGAAAAGCCACATCCCGGACAGCTGGTAGTGATCTGCACCTGGTTGGGGGCCTCCCCCAAACATATTGCTAAATATGTCGATCTCCACCGCTCCATTGCTCCCCATGCCCGAATTCTTTTAATTGAGTCCGAAGTGGCCATTCTGGTCAGCAGTTATGCTTACCAGCGACGAGCCATTCAGCCAGCCGCCAGGGCTATTTGCAACTCGCTGGCCGAGAGTTCCAGCAATCATCCGCCCAAGATCCTGCTGCATACCTTTTCAAACGGCGGTACCAACACGGCCACGCAACTTCTTATTACTCTTCGTGAAACTCTCCACGAACCTTTACCGCTCATTGGGTTGGTGCTGGACAGCACGCCCGCTAAGGGGACATACTGGAAGTCTTACGATGCAATGGTCTTCTCCTTGCCCCCCTCGGGTCGCATCTTCGGCTCCGCAGTGATACATGCTCTTCTAGTTGTTCTTTACGCCTGGATCGCCTGTGGGAATGAGAACCCAGCTAGTTTGATGCGGCGCACGCTGTTGGATGACAAAACCATCTGCCCAGGCGACAAGGTACGCGATGCCGGCGTCAACGGTAATATCTGTTACCTCTATTCCAAAACAGACAGGATGACGGACTGGCACGATGTGAGAGACCATGCAGATGACGCTCGACAAAAAGGGTGGAATGTGCAGGAAGTTCTTTTCGATGGCAGTGGGCACTGTGCGCATATGGCCCAGGATTCACAGAAGTATTCCAAGGCCGTTAAACGGGTGTGGGATATGACGATAGGGAGGCCAGTGTCAAAGCTCTAATTTACTCCATAGGGGCTCAGCGCTTGGGTGTTTTCAATAGCCGCAGTGCAAGAATCATTGAAGAGGTAATCAAAGAATGAAGTGAAGGAGGTTCCTTTTTCCATGACATATTTATTTGTACCGGCCCAAACCACTCAATACATCCGTGACACTCTAACATGGATTTTCGTCATGCTAAATACACCTTATGGAATACTATAAATTTCGAATATACTGTTGACAGCATGATGTGAAATAGAACCTCGATATTTGAAGCTCTCTGTAATATGGAACCGATCGATCTGCGGCTTTGGCCTACCTCTGAGCGCACAACGTTCTCTGGGTAATTTTATACACATAGATAATATGGAATCTTCCTTGGATCGATCGACCTCCAAATAAAAGGCATTCCCTGTGACAATCCCTCATCATCAAACTCCATCGCCCGAATATCATCACTAATAGCTAACATACGCTCTCGGAACCGTGTCTCAGCACTCTGTACCGCCTCCTCTATCCGCGAGAGAAAGCGGACACCTGAAAACATCTGGGGAAGGTTGCCACCCTGCTCACTCAGGAGAGGGCGGTTAAAGCGTACAAGGAGAGAGGCTTGCTTTATAGCTTCGGTTTCATTGTGCAAATATGGTAGAAGAGATGTAATGCTACCTTTGCTTTCCGGGAGAGGATGGTTAAAAGATGATGGGTGTAAAGGTAAAGTTCCCGATGCTTCCCCGACAGTGGCGCCATTTAAAGCATGGTGGGCAATTCCAGACAGGAAGGCCATATGCGACAGGATGGAAGTAAGTGATTCACGGTTAAGAAGAGGTGGCTGGAAGAAATCAATTACTTTAGCTTCTTCGTTGGCTTCAATAATCCACGCTTGTAACTCGTCGTCCTGGCTTATAATGTCTTCGGACTTATAGTAGGATTTCACGAAGTCTTGCACAAATTCCTCTATGGCGTCCACCATCGGCGCCACAGTTGAATAAAAGGGAAAAGAGCTCAATGCCGGTCCGTACTTGCAGTCGACCAAACCTCGGTCAGCGAGGTCGCGGTAAAATCCAGTGGCTTGGAAGTGACCTGCGTGGCCCCAGTATGCCTCTGTGGCGAATTTTTTGCCAGAGAAATTGGGCATGGCAAAAGAGCTATCGTAAAATCCTCCCTCATTAAAGAGGAACTCTTCTCCGATAGGACGCACCGCATATGCCTGATACATTACTGTGAATAAAGATTAGCTGACTCAGTCTAGATACTTTATCAACAGAACTTACAGCGATCCAGGAATCCACGCACAGGATGTCGAGAGCTCATCGTCCGAAGAGCTGCCTGATGCACAGGCTCTGCAACATCGTGGGTGTTTGCGAGGTGATACAGCTGTGAATGAAAGAGATCATTCATGCTAAAGGCCATTTTGGCAAAGAGCCAGTCATTCTCATCATCCAGCGGAGTATAGGTTAGATCACGGCCCATGTTCGTCTTGATCGCCAGCGGTTTGAATTCACCTGAGTAGGGGTGAATAAAGAAATACCCTGTACATGCTGCAGTCCAGCGTCCTGGTGTCTTCGGATATCTTGCTTGATATGAGTGGTCACCGATAAACAACCGCCCTTCGTCATGCAGATCAGCAAGCGTCCTTCCCGAGGCCAGATGTCGCACAACTCGATCTTCCACGGGAAAGGGAAGTGCATCGTGATGTGGATGGAGACGGCGGACCACATATGGGTTGGTAGATAGCCGTTCCATTGAGAATAGTAGGTCTTGTGTCCAGTTGGTCAACATGCCTGGTGCCACACCATCCGGGACAGTGAAGCGCCATTGCCCCTCGTAGAGGACCTTGTAGTCAGATAGGTCCTGCAAACCCCCTGCCTGTGGTAAATACTTAGCATTCTGTTGCACCTATATACTACCATTAATATACTCACCATTGCTAAAGCTGTAGCCGCCTTTTCTATCTCTGGATAGACATTATTCGTCACATATTCCACATCCTTAAACCACTGGGCTCGGTCACGAGCCACCATGGCATCTCCCAACACTCCAGTCGGGAAGGCAGAGGTATTCCCCAACAGGGGTGGTCCATAAACATAGCCCTCACGCGCACGGCGGATCTCTTCCACTCGTTCCCATGGTTTCGGGTCTAACATGGGCAGAGTATATGGATCGATTCCATCTCCAGGCAATAGAGCATAGCTCATTAAGACTGTCTGAGAAATAATAGGTAATGCAATGATAGAAAGGCAAAGAAAAAACCACAGAACAGAGAACACTATGTAGATGTAAGATAGTTGCATGCTGGGCAGCGTTGGATCTCCTCGTTTGATCTTGTTTGGTTTGTAGCAGTTTATGTGAGAGGTAGCCGGGCCAGTATATCTGTCATATACTCCATTGCTAATTTTATGCCTTCGGCTATACACTCGTCTTCCTACAGGGTAAGGGTAAGAATCCAGCAACACCTAGACATACAATCATACGTTACATTCTTGATTTCCGTCAGCTTTTTGAAGGGCCCAGGGGTATGTATGTGTCTGAAGTGCCCAATAGCCAATCCAATCAGTATAGACAGGATTTGCCAGCCACATACATCAGACCTTAAAAGATATACTAATAGATGGCAAATACCATACATACCACGCATACGGTACATCCCGTGCATGCATGTATGTATGGTATTTGCGTATGTATGGTTGTATTATGTATATATGTATGTGTCAGATATACCACTAGACCACAAAAAGTAGCGCTGTTACAATTTGCATGTAATAATGGTATATCTGCCTATTCTGACAGTATGTATGTTGTAGTCATGTCCCTACATGGAAGTTGCGCGAACCGCCGACTGCGCCCTGCAGTCCTCTTGTTAATGGAGGGCGTGCACGAGATACTGGATTAGGTGTTTCCTAATTAGAGGAATTGGCCAGAACCTTGATGTCAAATTAAATCCACGAGTATGTCACCCAGTTCCGTTGACTATATTAGACTAACCGCATTATTCTCAGTATTGTTGCTAACGTCCGTCCATAATTACTCACCTCTAAACAAAATGAATCTTGTTGTATACCTGGGAATACTACTGCCTATCTCCATTCAATCTAGCGCTCAGATTGACTGGGGTTTCGCTGCCCCTTTTCACCAGAAAGTCCTCCAACCTGACAGTCCAAATTTTGGCGTGAATGAGCCTTTTATTCCTACTCCTTCGCACATTTTGCCAGAAAAAAAAGCCTTCCATATCGACGAGAAGGTTAACTACTACCAGCGATTCTACAATGGGTCTCGCAATGGAGAATATCGGCGTTCGTCCTGTCCCGCCATCAATGCCCTGGCGAACAGGGGGTACATTAATCGCAGTGGACGGAACATCACCTATTCTGAGCTTGCTCATGCTGTTCGTGATGTGTGGAACTTTGGAGATGACAATGTATGCATCGTATTTTTATCTTTAGAAACACTAACTAATAGCATTAGAGTATGCTCGTCCTCGCGCCAACATTCGCCATGAATGGGTGGCCGGAAACGATTGATCTTGATAATTTTAACGTAACTGACTTCCATAGTCCTGTTGATGGTGACATGCTGACATCCATACTATAGGACGATCTGGTGCAGTATGTGATTAACTGCCCAGCAGCACCGACTCGAAATGATCGCGCCATTGGTGATAATATTAATATTAATATGACTCTGTTTGAGTCACTTCTATCCTTTTCCAAGGACGGAGAGACTTTATCATTGGAAGATCTTGCCGAACATCACCATTTAAGGCATAATCAGAGTAAGGCGGAAAATCCAAACTTTGTATTTGGCAACCAGGGGGCAATCTGTTCCCTGTAAGATCGGTCCTTATTTTGTTCTCTATTGGCTTGTTCTGACAAAAGAAGTGCCCAGTATACAAATATGGTGGGCGTACTAGGGAAATTCGGCAAACATGGTCGGACAACGCTCTTCGTGGATGATGTGAAGACATTCTATCTAGACGAGGATATTCCGAAGAATTATGAGCGACGGGAAATTGCTGTGAGATAATATCTATTATTAATATACACAATAGTTGATGCTGACGACGACAGCACTATTCCCCCGAGTCAAATGCCATGATCGATCGCATGTCACATCATATTGGCTACACAATCCAGCGTCCGTTTCCAGAAGGGGATCAAGAACCTGGGCGTGATATTTGTCCAATGAGGGCCCGGTTCCAGAGGAAGGAATGTGATTGAATTGGAGTGTTTGTTGTATTAGCCTGCTGGATGGGTCTTTGGGCGAATTTAACCATTCTATACTATAAGGAGACACTTCCCAATTGGAGAAGCTGAGCACTGCTAGTTTAACAGAGATTCATTAACGACACCGCCTATGATATTTCGACAACCCCTAACTTCCTAAGTAGTATGACGCCCGGTTATATGTGTTAAAATCTAGTCTTTTTATGTTTCTTAGTACTATTGCCTCTATAAGCTACTCTATACTATGTGACAATACAGAGTAGATACTATAACTACTTTGGGGGTAGGAAAGGAACTGCAGTTGGAAGAGCGTGTTCTTGTGTATTACAACCAGCTATTGGGAGGCGCGGGGTGGAAGGCTCGTTATGTATATCTAAATAGTGTTACTTTGTGGTCCCAACACTGCACTCTAGAGCCAATTTTGGTGAGTCAAAATGCTAAAAATAGCTTAATTAGGAGGATTTGGAGTGTCGCTGTCATCACCCTTATTAAAGCTCAATTGGGAAGTGTTTCCATATAGTACGGACCATGACCTTTTCTGGCGAATAGCTGAGAAATCCAAATATGACTAGTTACATCAGTCAATAAATCAATCAACAGGAATTTCCATTTAGGGACTAGTGAGATTGTCTTGCAGATTTGAGACGTAGATATTCTGTAGCGTGTTTCTTATCCTGATCTGTCATTGCATTCCCCAGTCCTGTTGGCCCGTAACCCAAACACATTTGGTCGAATACGGGGGTGATATAGAAATATGCTTAAACAAGTATAAAAAAGCCAATATAAATTCACAGCTTGTCCCTAGATTTGCCCGCTCCATTGCGACGTGGATATCTGTAATGATATCTTTATGTGTTACATCTGTCTGTATGGAACAATTGGCTTCTGCATATCCCAGCAGATTAGCAACCACAATGGGCTCTATCGGGGTTTGGATGACTTAGTGGGGACTGTATACGGAGGATTGTAAATGCTTTAGCTCTGTGGGCCCTTATAGATTTATTATAATATATGAATCCAGAATCTTACTAGTGTTGGAGATATAGTAATTACGCCCTCATTCTTAAGTTTTGGTTGGTCTGATGAGCGAAACAAAACCCTCCGAGATGAGTTGTACAATCGACCCCGGCATAATGCAGATGTCACAGTGCTTGGCCAAAGTTTGGTATCTGCTCCCAATCGGAACAAAGCGCTGCCTGGATAGTCGCGCATTAGTAAATGCTGTCAGGGACAGAAGTAACTGGTTGTTGCTTGACGGGTAAGGCTTCATAGACCCACAGCGGCTGAGTTCCCCACCGGATGCTCCCGCGGCGCCTTTTATCTCCTCTTCGTCCTCCTTGTAAACTTTTAGCGTATTTAGCACCTCAGCTCTAGGCCAATCATATCTCACCGCCCTATTATTCTTCTCTTCATAATCAAAATTCCCATCGGAGGTGGTGTGGGGTTGAATCCGTCAAGGCGCTAAATACGCTAACTAAAAGCTTACAAGGACAGGGGATACGGTTGGCGCCTGATCAGCAGCGGAAATCGGCATGGTATCATATCTGAAACCAATACAGTATGCCCGGTACATGGTAATTATAAAATTGGTAATCGTAATGTACGGTATTATAATACTAATATAGTAGATGTATCATGCATTCAGTCTGAACTCTGACAGGCTTGGCAATGATTAATCGGAACTTTATCATTACCATTACAGTGAATCTGAATAACCTTTGTATCCTAACCTCAATCTGGGAATAAATAAAGCCAAAACTTGGCAGTTGATAAATAACTATAAGAATTATATACAGTTAAATTCATATTAAAAAAAATAAAGAATTGGCTGAATAATAAGAGATCGATTTTTGGTAATTTTATCATGATAAATACAGGGTGGGGCGGGTCCATGTATTTATCATGATGAAATTACCAATAATTAATCTCTTATTATTCAGCCAATTCTCAGTATTGTTTAATCAAAATTTAAATGTATATAATTATAATAGTTACTTATCAACTGTCAAGTTTTTGCTTTATTTAAGCCCAGATTGAGGTTAGGATACAAAGGTTATCCAGATTCACTGTAATGGTAATGATAAAGTTCCGATTAATCATTGCCAAGCCTGGTCTGACTTTAGGATCACGAACTAACAGGCAGAGAATCGGTGAATACGAATCCACCAGCCTTTCAGAAGCCTCATGTAGACTTAGAGAAAAATTGTCCTGTTGCCCAATATCGATTCAGCCTATGAAACCCTTCATTCCACTTTCTACTCTGGGTGATACCTCCGAACCCCTCAATATCTTGTATTGCATGTTTTTCTGATACTCCTCCGGGTCAGCCGTGATTCAGCTCCGGCTACGATGACAGGCCATGGACAGATCAATCAGAAACAAGACCAATACGTGTCCGCTTCCAAGGTGGTCAAGAAACGGAGCCAGCTCAGTTCTGGGCGTTGATAAAGCCTGCGTGATTTGTTATACGGCCAGGAGGGAAAGGATCCTATCATTGGATCTACACCGTAAAAGTGTACCTAATACCTCGAAGAGTGCAACCTCATACTCTTGGACTAAGCAACGTTGGCAACACGATATTAGGCGTTTTCCTGTCTGGGAGTTCAATCTTTTTTTAGAAAGTTTTGCGTCTCCGCTTCGGTTCTAGCATTTAAATATCTCATGATGTACAGATAACCGTGCTCGCTCAGTATCCTCCCGCGCTCTTTCAACAAACCGAGACTAAAGTAAATCTTCATAGATTATGGCAACAGAATCTCTGCGTCTAGGCGTCTCGTCCTTACTGAGGCCATCGACCCGTTCGGAGGAAAAGACAAGGTACTCTAATCCCACAGAGCCAGTCAAACCGCTAGTATACCATGTGTCCCAGATCCCAACATGGATGCAATTGGATCCATTCATTGTTCATTGGTATAGACCACAGCTTGGCACTTTCGAAGACTGCTTCTGGTCGTTATTCTACCCCCATAACGAGCTTATCAATACTTGGTCCCATCTTCTCCCTGGAATGTATTTTGCGGCTTTGATATTGGTGGTCGAATACTGGGCCTCTCCTCTTCTGTTTGATGCTCCCTTTTTCGATATTATGGCTATTCAAATGTATGTTGTGGGAACGGCTGGGTGTCTACTCTTCTCTGTAAGTAGCGGCTGTGTTCATTTTTTGACCTGAATCCAATTAACATTCTACAGGCAGCATTCCATGCTGCCAATGCTCACTCAGAGAAGATTGCAGCGGCCTTCCTAAAACTGGATTATCTTGGGATCATCATGGCAATATCTACAACCTGCATCTCTATTACCTATTTTGGACTGTACGGCTCCCCATTCCTCCAGGTCACGTACATATCCATGACCATGTTTTGTGCGGCCCTGGTATTTCGGGTTGCACTTGATCCCCATATGGACGGAGCCCATTCCGGACCTTGGAGGTATTGAATCTTTAATGAAGCCGCTATTTGAGATTTATCTAACTTATTCCCTTTACAGGGCATTGGTCTTCTTTCTTTTGGCAGCGAGTGGTCTTGCTCCGATCTTCCACGTCGCTGTATTTGAAGGTACTGCAGGTCTAGAAAAATTCCCTTTGAAAAGCCTGTCAGTAACTTGTTCATCGTATGCAGTCGGCACTACTGCCTATGTCTCTCGATTTCCTGAAAGGTTCTGGCCACGGAGGTTTGATTTGTTGGTATGTTTGGTTTCCTCTTATCTAGTTCGATCGTTCCTAATTACCGAATCTTAAACACAGGGAGCCAGTCACCAAATATTCCACATCCTGGTGGCTTTCGGCCAGATTGTTCACCTGTATGGTCTACGTGACATCCTCCTTCAGTGCTCTCTGAATGGGGTGCTGCGCAATAGTGTCCCTACAGGGTAGCCAAAACAATGGACGCACGATTACAGTAATACGATAATAAGAGACGCCTACCGCCAGAATGAATTCTTTTGCAAGTTTGTGGTATAGGTTTATTGTGCTTCCTGATGTGAAAATATAGATCTGTTAGTTGCAGAGAGATCTGGTAAAGCCACCTTAGGTCAAACTCGCTCTGTATTGGTGCACTAAATGTGCATTGACTTCCTTCTTCGACATCACCAACCTCGGACACTGTGCAGTCATATGGTAGAGCGTCATTGTAGTTAATGTGTCCCTGGTTATAGTTTCACTCCTATGAATCGTAGGTATGTTCGCCATATTGATTGATAGTATATACATGAATGACAACAGGTCACTACTGACTAGGGCGTCTATACTCTTATCTGCTAGATGAAAAACCGTAGAAGGTCGGACATTGGAGAAAATACAGGATCGATATGATGTCTCTCCCTATTCTAAATGTGAGCGACTACAAGTGACCGTGTTAAGAACGTCAATGAATCCGTCTTCGTGAAACAGTATGGCGAAATAGGAGTCTCGACATCTTTCTTAAACTAGCATCTCATTCTATTCGATCATACGGGCACTGTTTCAAAGAGGATGTGATTGAGTTTGTCATTCTTATCCAGAGAGTAGGGTATTTATTTGATTTGCTAGAATGAGAGTTCCTGTGAATGGAGTTCCAAAGTGCGTGATCATTCCTACTAGGCTGTATATATAAGACTGAGCAGCGACCCGATGAAGTAGTTAGAAGAAGGCTGATATTGATCCAATAAGCCAAGACAATTTCTGTGCAGGTACTGAAACTGTACGTAGATGACTCTCAATGGGTCATCTAAAGACAGATCTTAGAAGCATTCTTCCCCTCTGCATAGTTTGACGTCTATTTTAAAAATACTGCTTAAAATATACTGGGGGACACTTCATCAAGTCTTGATAAAGATCTGCATATGCAGTTACAGCTTCTCCGCCGATTGTCTCTTTCCATCTCGACGGGCATAGCTATAATGCCAGCCCTCTTGAGTCAAGTCCGCCCGTATGGAGTAGTTCGCCTCGGCATCCTCTAAAACCGCCATATCCAAGTCTGCTACTGCCATGCCTTCCGTAGATGTCCCCAGACGAACCAACGGCCCCGCGTATGGGATGGTAATCTGCGACAGACCGCAGTAGTTTCTCCCGGGAGGTCCTCCAGCATTGGCAAATACTACAGCACAGGTATTCTCATATGTGCGTGCTGTGAGAATACTGTCTAGAAATAGGGACTCGGCAGAAGGATTCCATCGATGACCTGCATCAGACGCCCCGCTTCGCGTCCATAATGTCGGCACAATGATGATTTTGGCACCCTGGCAGACAAGCTCGCGCCAGGCTTCAGGGAAGGCCAGATCCCAACAGACCAACAAGCCCACGGGACCTAGCGGGGTTTGGATAACCTGGTGAGGTGTATTGCCCGAAGATCGAAGGTGCTTGCGCTCGGTGGGGCCCCAGAGGTTCTTTTTCGTATACGAACCCAGGATCTCGCCGGTGTTAGAGATAAAGTAGGTAACATTCTCCAGTAACAGTTTGTCTGGCGATTGCGGTGTGGTGTCTGTGATAGTTTGAACGATTGAGCCGGGCACTATACAGATGTTACATTCCTTGGCGAGTGCTTGATATTTCTGCAAATATGTTTCCCATTCAGAACAAAGGGGTACAAATCTGGGGTCGTCTGGGATCCAATTTGTCAGGTGGAATTCCGGTAATACAGCGAGATGACACCCTTGTGCTGCAGCATCACGGATAAATTTAACAGCTTTGGCAAAGTTCTCTGCAGGGCGGAGGGGCTGTAGGTGTTCGAAGTTAAATGGAAGTTTCCTGACCGCTGACTCATTGACCCGGGTAAACAACCGGCTGGATACGAGGCTTACCTTGACGTAGAGTTGAATCGCGGCAATCTTGAAAATGGGAGTCATGGTCCACGAACTTTTGCTTGTATAACATTAAGGATATAGATCGTTGTATGCTTTCTTGTTTAGAGGATTGCTGTAATTCATCCACCGCAAGACAGGATAAGTACTTGATCAACCAGGATAAGCTGAGGTTCAGACGTGGATAAGTCCGCAATAGCCACAAGCACATGCTTGCCTTTTGTCGGCTCATATTGTGTCTCAGTTTATTCGTCAGCTTTCATGTAATTAGTCAGACTGCGCCTAACTCGGCGTGGGCAGAAATTCGGAACGGAAAAAATTTCGGCATCCACACCGCCTGACGATCTAGTTCTCGATCGAAATCCACCACAGAAACAAAGCCACAACACCACGTACAAATGAAATCATACTTAGTTTTTTTAGTGTATTAAAGGTGAGGTCCTAGTAAAGCTATATACAAATTTAAGCATCCCGGAAGTGGTGTGGGAGGTGTACCAACGTCCCACTACAGCTTGTTACTGTAGAGGCCTTTTTAACGACTGTCGCAGCCAGCCTCACCACTAGTATCTTCCTGGGTTTAAGGATTTAAAGCGGTATTTCGCTTTTTCCGACCCTTCTTAACCTTTTTAATATTATTTTAAAGCTGCTGCTCTGCCTTCTTAGCTAGGTAAGCCTTTTTTTTCTTATACTTTTTCTGCTCCTCCTTTTCCAGGCGCTGTTGCCTCTTGTCGACAATTATGGTAATATTGATTATTCAGCACCTTTCTCAGTCAAACGTTGTTGATGATCCAACATCATCGGATCGCGTATATTTCCTACATTAGTTAGTTTGCATTCTTCATTTGTTTACCTCGCCTTTATAAATGCGAGACGTTTTGGTAGTTTAGCTGAATCAGAGACCTAATTCAATGAAGGATCGATACTTGCGAATACGCGTAATTTTATGGTTGACATGTTCGAAGCATGGACAAACGAAGTAGGGTGACCGCTGAGAGCCACTTATGCAGTTCTGACCAGTATAAGCGTGAACACTAAGGCTTTTACATATAGCAGTTAATATTCTGTTAATTCCAGTAATAAGTAATAAACTAGAGCAAGTTTTTTCAGGGCCATATTGTATAGTCTTATAGGAAAAAGCACAGCTATTAGCTAACAATATTAAAAGAATAGAATGCTTAATGTGATGATCCTATACACCTTTGTAAATGGATGGATTCTATCTAAGGTGGGGATCTAACGAAACATCAAACGTAGAGAAGGAAGGAAGAAAGAAAGAATTCTATCGTACAGGAAATGTGGGAAATCTCTACATTGTGGGATCAACAGTGAATAAAGCAGACTTGGTGCCTCAGGCAGGGTTCGACCTAGGCCCTGACACTTAAAACATTGGCAAAGGAGTGGTATTTTAGAAAGTCTTAAGGAATAGTTAATTTAATAGTTTATGTAAAGGCTATTTTCTTTATATGCAATAATGCCAAGCATTTATTGTAATTTATCCGAAATTATCAGATAATCCATTGTAAACTACGATGGATAAGGATTATCCATCCGAGCCGCAATGATTAATCCTTCCCAAGCCTGATCCCACGATTGTTGGTCAAGCTGGACAAGGAACTCCATCTCCGAGAAAGGGTCTTCTAATGGTTCTGGGTCGTAAGTACCACGACTCTAAATCACTACAAATAATCATGGTTCTCCATGTCATTCCTTTGGTCTATTTCAGAGAGGTAATAGGCCTAACGGGTCATGAATCCACCATGATTGATGCTTTGGTGAAATTTATTATTCTAGGAAGACCGCCGTAGTGGTAAAATGCGTGAAAAACAAAATATATGGCTTGCACAAACGTATAAGATAGGACTTGAAGAACAGAGGTTCCACGAGACAGAATGATGAGGTAGAATACGAAGCTGGGATAGGGATGATTGGGTTTCGGCCAACTCCTTGCCTCGAGGCTGAAGTTGTCTTCTATGCTGAAGACAATGCAGAAGTGTACGAAGTTGCACAGTGGAAAGACTAAGTATGTACATGTACTTGACCATCACAGGTTAGCAAGGTTAGCAAGATTTGTAAAACAGGCCTGATTGACAGCCCTAGCGTCGATACTATGAAAACACTGATTGACATAGTATTTACGGCAGTTATATAATTAATAGTTTCTTAAGTAGATGCCAGGGCACTCAGGCAGAGAATACTTGGTAGGCATTCAACTATGTCAGGCCACTCCGCGTGCGACCGAATCCTAAATTGACAATCACGAGTGCACTATTGCCAGATTATTGACAGCACAAACACAAGTACGAGGGCAGGATTTATTAATAAGCACTGATCAGCAACACCCACGTCATCTAATTCTCATATTCCTTTTGAATACGAGAGGATGGTCCTCAACACCGCTCCCATAAAATTTGGTCTTGTGCAACGCTTAAAAATATATATGCACAGATCGGGAAACTCATAGAGACAAGGTGACAGCTTAGGATATATTATGGTAAAGGCAGTTTAATCATAAGATCGTTTTATGACAGCCATGACCATCTTTCATGTGATACGGTTATCCCGATTCAACTACCGAGCTTGGGCGATTTGCAACGTGATGAAAACCAACAATGGTGCAGATACACCCAATAAGAGGCCAAGATGTCAAGGGGCTTATGCGCCCCAATTTCACTAGAGTGGATGATCCACTTGGCATTCTCCAATTGTTATTAAGCCTCCACGACACTATATACGTAGTCGGAGCTACTAGTGCCTACTGGTGAAAAGGAGACTGCGGGGAAGAGACAAAAGAGTTCTTCCGCAGTCAATCCTCCACCGACAAGCTTTCTTATAGCCGTAGAAGGAGACCGATCATGAAACTGAATGGGTGCTAGAGCAGAAAAGTTCTCAAGTTCTCCTCCCCGGGTTCTGCAGAGGATGATAATGCATCAGGACAAACCAATTCTGGTATACCGATGAAAAGTCACAAAGACAGCCGAGAGACATGCTACCATTTCGAATCATCGTGCTGATGGTTACACTTTGTGCCAGAGCGACTCTAGGTGATCATGCGACTGCTGCTGCGGCGCTACCATCCTGTGCGGTACGTACTCACTGTGATCTGACTTGATCCGCTATTCTAAACTAACTAAATATTAAATAGACAGAATGCTTGACTTCAACTTTGATGAGGTCTGACTGTTCGGCGAATAACCAGACGTGTATATGCAACGATTCCACGATACGCAGTCGCATGGAAGCCTGTGTGGTACGTCAGTGTAACGTCCGCGAGTCCCTGAGTAAGAAGATCGAGTCATGGTTGTGTCATAGCATACTAACTGCCAGCAGAGACCAAAAATGTCACCTCAGTCGCCTGCCATGAGCCAATCCGAGATAGAAGAAAATCAGTCTCGGTTTCCGGCGTCAGTGGGGGTGCTGTTACCCTTGTAGTGTTTCTATTCCGAGTTGCTGCAAGGATGCCTTACTTTGGAGGCACATTTGGCATGGACGACTGGGTTATGGTGGCGACAATGGTTTGTGTGATCCAACTTATCTTCGGAGGTATTAATATAGAGACTGACTGAGGCTCTAGTTCCTGGTGATTCCTCTTTCCGCTTTATCTGTATCTTGTAGGTGTCTGGATCCTTGTTGATTGGGTTCACCGAACTGATACGATGAGTGTGCCTAGTGGCTGATGCAGGACTTGGTCTGGATATCTGGCGAATTCCTTTGCCCAACATTACGCGCATCTTCTTGGTACAGTACCTATCTGTCTACGCTCCCTTGGCCATTTACACCAGAGTCCTGACACGAGACCGTCAGATCTATTACGTAGATGAGGCACTATACCTCAGCATTCTCCCCTTAACGAAGATATCCATTCTCTGCTTCTATCTGCGCGTGTTTCCCACTCGCTACGTTCGAATTTCCGCCATAGTTATGATTATGCTGAATATCGGCTATTTCCTTGGATTTGTTCTCGCATCGTTATTCCAGTGCCGACCAATCAACGGAGCATGGCTGCACTGGGACGGAGCCCACAATTCTGTATGCACCAATGTCAACGCTCAGGGGTGGGCCAGTGCGGTTGTGAACATCATCTTCGATCTGGCTACAATGGCGCTGCCGCTTCGCGAGATCCATCAGCTATCGCTATCGCGGAGGAGGAAGATCTACCTGCTGGCGGTGTTCTGTCTCGGCATCTTGTAAGTCTGTACCAATACTAGGGAAAACTCTTGGATCCTCCATATATTTTGCTAAACAGGAAATAGTGGAACCATCGTCAGTGGCCTCCGACTGCGATCGCTCCTTCAGTTTGCCAATACGCAGAATCCCACATGTGAGTCTTAACTGGATTAGCCAACATATGCAATGCTAGTGAGAGTGATCTGACCGAGTCGGATTAGGGGACTACGTGGATGTTGGGTATTGGAGTACCATTGAAGTTCACGTGGGAGTTATCTGTGCCTGTCTGCCACCCACGCGACCGTTATTGCGTCGCCTCCTTCCAAGTGTATTTGGCACCACCCAGCAAGACATGAGCTATGCCACTGCTTCTCAGCCGATTCGAAGCAAATCCCACTCCGATACCACGTCACCAACTAGTCCAAAAAGTCCAAGAACGGATGTTACAGAATTTATCCCGCTAGTGGAGATTGAATCGTGGCCCAGGACTCGCCACGCCCTATAGTCGTTCCAAGTCGTGCATATTCCCAATAGATAAGGTCATTGAGTAAACTTCAGACAGCCCATCTGCCTGGATTACTTAATAACATAGACTTACTTTCTTCACGGTACTTTATGTGCTATATATATGTAGGTATATGCTTCGTAGCTACTTTTGATTTATCGTAACTAGATTAGTACCTTACATAATTCAAAATTTCTTTCCTCGTTTGCGCTGGCTTTAAGATGGAGAATACACTCGGATAACTCTATCATGATATAAGTGCTCGGTATCTTTCCATGTGGGTCACCATAATAGACGAAGGCACAAACCGCAAATCGTCCATCTTTATCCATAAGTTGTATACCCTGTTGCATCCAACGGAGACCCATAAGAGAGTGATATAAATGGAGGCGCAGCCAGTCTCATTGAACTGACCGGATGCAGTCATCAAAATATGACCTTCCTATTTATGCTCTGCCAGATCCCCTCAGATACAGCGATGTAACCTCCATGGAAATCCACACTGTTTCCAAATCCAACAAACCCAGCATGCCATCTTCACCTTCTCTCCATCCCTCCCTACCATCTCCCCCTCCCCCATCCGAGTGAAGCCCATCCTCCTGAGTCTAACGTCAACGAGCCTCGTCCACGCACACGGGGCCCACCTCCTCCGCTGGTGGGACACGTATCCCGTCCCTGCGACCTTACCCGCACCATACCAGGATACATCCGAATGGGGGACTGTGCCGGCATGGCGATATGCCACTGTCCTCGAGAGTACCATCTCCTTAGTGCCACTCGGGACAGCCCTCTGGGGATCTGGCCCACCTCTGGCTATCCTGTTGATTTTGACTCTGACTCCAACCGAGCCACCAGGCCATTGGATCTAGATCACCCCGAGCCGTCAGGCCTTGATGACCGTGTACAATCGGTATGTTGTCTGCGAAGCTCCCGCCGCAGCCGATACAGACCGCATGGCAAGGACCGCAATCTTCTACCCCTTTGGCTGGCCGCGTATCTCCTCAGCGAACACATCGCCGACACTCATCGTCTAATCCCCCACCCGCTCGGTAATGCCGCCGTAGTGGCATGGGGACCGAGGATGCGGACCTTTCCTCCGCCCTGGTAGTGGTCTTAGCTGCCAGTATGAAGACCGCACGCACTTTCGTAGACAATCTCACGGAAATTGTATCCACCACTGGGGTGGGTACAGGTGACTGCGTCGGAGACGGCGGGGCTATCGGCATGCATTGTTTCTGGTGTGGACGGTATCGCACACGGAGGTCGACTCATCAGTCAAGAAGATCGTCCCTCTGAAGCCAGAAAAACCGATGATTGTGGATTCGGCCCCAGGGATAATGCGTAAGATGGGCTATTTGCAAGGCGGAGTCCAGTCTGCGCGGTCGTAAGTGGTTATTATTCAAGTTAGACATCAGCAGAAGGTATGTATTTACCTATATGGTATCCGGAAAAAGGGAGTGGTAAGAATTCTAATGGGGCAGGCCTACATGAGCGATGAGATAGAGGCTTCCTGGAAGGAGATGGTCTCCAAAGGAAATATCCCCTATAGCACCCTTGGAGTACTGGATACATTGCTAGAGAGATGTAGGGCGGAATACTACGTGGATGTCTTGCGGCGGTGGAACCTATGGCTCGATGCTCGTGCTCGGATAGTGCCTGATTTTTGTCTGGTCCGAGGACAGGGAGCGAAGAATTTGTATACCGGATGGAAGAGGCTGTCTCGAGGCTGTCTAAAGAGGAAGTAGCAGCCGATGATTGTCTTGTGTATGAGATGTGATTTCTTGTCAGACATGATTATATAAAATATATTATGGATTTGTCGACACATCCATCTCTCTTATATTCTCTGATATATGAATTCTAGGCAAGTTTATTTTTTTTTGCCATTTATTTGCGTATAATAGAGTTAGATTAATATGAATCTTTTTGTGTTGCAAGATAGTTATATAGATTTTTGTATGAATACGTAAGACCCAGGAATCTACTAAGCTTCCGCCACTGACTATGGCCAAGGCACCTGGATTGTTGACCAGGATAGCCTTATATACGCTATTTTAGATCCCCTGTAGAGGCAACGCAGATCGAGATGATGCTCAGGTTGAAATTACAATAACAAGAGTCCACAAATGCTTATATCCTGTTGGACAGACCCAAGTAACAACAAGGATTGTGAAGAAGAGGAACAGTGTATTCAAATAAATGGAGATTGCGGATGGTTTGGCACCCTCCAGATTCTATGGATGGTGTTATGTTTCAGGTTTCTTTCTTCGGCTTGCTAGCTCTCTCATCTCAGCGGCCGACTCGTAACATGGATCAATGTGGAATTGCGGTGCTGCCATGGAACTTGTGGCTAGAAGCCACAACGGAACCTCTGGATATAACAGACGCCAGATTATCTTTCGCCATTAGATGTTATCCTCATGCCGCATGCGCTGGCAGTTCAATTAACTGGCTCACCTCTTGTCGCTGACAATAGATGAATGTACCGATCGGTGGGTACATTGTGAAGGCCAATGTAGCAACGAACCGGACGGGGTCGTAGACCATAGCAAGTATAGCTTCCATACTCTCGGATTCTATAGCTATGATGGATTTAAATTCGAAGAAATTCTACCCAAGGACTGGTTTCGTACTTGTGTCTTGGCTGAGATGCTAGAGCTAGATTCGATCAAGTGTTTAAACCGGAGAGAGTAATTGTTCTTAGCTGGTAATAGGAGTGAAGTAGACACTATCTAACTTCATATATTTCGGGAGGAAAAACTATCGCATAACTCAGAGTGAAAACACAGGAAGCACATCACATACAATCGACAACGGAAACAAACACAAAAATAGTAACCCCCAGCAACCCCTCACGCATCGAGAGCTCATCGGGTTTAAGGGCTAGTCTTGCTAGACTTGCTAGACTTGCTCTGTCCACACGCACAAGCATCATCTTCTTTGTTACAAGCACCAGCACATCCAAATGAGTAGGCACTGTTGTACGCCGGGGCCACAATCGGGGCCGCTCCCGAGTGTTTTCCGTAGTAGCACATCTTCGTCCGGCTGGACCAGTCGATACTGAGACACTTGGGAAGCTTCGCACAACCATCCAGACAGTCGCGGTAGGTCAGTGTTTTCTCCTCCTTGAAGGGCACTGTTCCGTGTCTTTTACCACATTCCATGTGGAAGAGCTGCATGGAAACTTGGAGTTAGATATCTTATGTTAACTGGGGAATATCAAGGGGGTTAGATGATCACCTCTCCATAATCGGAAACATATTTCTGACCATGGGCGGCAGGACAATCGGTGGAACACATATGGGTGATGTTGTCTGGTGCTGGCCGTGCAGGAGGATTAATGAAATACAGCCAGTCTTTCAAATCACCGCCCGCGTCTTCGGTGGAGAAATCGCCCAGCGTGAAAAAAGTACACGTCTTCTTGCTATTATCGTACTCGACACTGATCGCCATCGGAGTAAGCAAGATAATTAATCCAAAATAACCTGGGACCAACATGAACGGGTACTGTAGGATTGCTTTACCTATCACAGGTTGGATATGTCGTGCTGAGACATTTATTTACACAGTCCTTTTTGGACTGGACATGCGTGAGCCTCCCGACCTGGTTGGCACCTGGACGCTTCTTCGTGCAGCATTGAAGCATGAAGTGTGTGCCATCATGTCCTATGACAGCTTTACCTTGGTCTGCAAGGGTTAATTTATGTTAGAGACGGAACAATAAAATTGGTCGTCGAGAAACTGACCACGAGGACAAGCTGGGTTGTCAACGATATCGGGCTGACCGGGGGTCGCAGTTAGACGTGCTGGACAGACGGCATTGACGAGGTGAAAGGCCAGAGGGAGAAGCAGCAGTTTCGACAGCGTAAAAGAATTGGAAACCATGATTGTTGAATTGAGAGAGGATAGACAGGAATGAGTACTTGGGGGATAACTGAGGACACTAATAGAACTGATTATTGGGAAGAGGTGTTGGGGATATTCCTGACTATACGTACAAACACTGTCGATCAGTCCCGGACTCAATTATGCAACCTGAAGAACGTGCAATTTGGTGGTGTAGCTGAAAAAAACAAAAACAACCCGAGGTAAGGTGAAAGAATCATCCCGGCTGCATTTCAACAACTCGAGTATCCTGTCTCTCCACCGTAAGTTACACTTGATGCATAGTGACGATTGCAGTACCTTGGTCCCCGTCGTGGTGACCATCACGATCTTTGCCTTTTTATGAATCGGTTTCGGTTGTCCTGTCGTTTCCCAGTTATTACGCTTTTCCTTTTTTCTTTTTTCAGAGTAACGAAGACCAGTTCGGGCTTGAAGTGTGGCCGAATACCGGATTCGGCGATAATGGGTCCACCGAGTGATCTCCGGGGAGAAAGGAACTGCGGGGATGGAAACTTAGATTTAGTCTCAGATTAGGTCTCAGAGTTGGAATTCCCAATTTCATCCTTCGAGGGCGATCGTGATCGCCTGCTCCTCGGTAAAGACATGTGTATTTCGGGTGAGTACGGAGTAACAGCTTGTTAGGGGTCGCCGGTGGGTCGAGTTGCCTCGAGAGGCCGCTTAATGATAGTTGAGATCTATAGTAGAACAATCATTCGAATACGTAATTAGGTGACATGCCAACTAGGCCTTGACCTGAAGCCAAGTCTACCCCACCTGGTGGAGACCTCGAACCCCATCTAATTGAGCGTTGTCGGCTGTGACTCCACCGGTACAGTATAGTACAGGAACCACCAGTATTGGCCGTCTGCAATACTGACCAGTGGTTTCAACGCCGATGGGGTGCAAAGGAAAAAGCCCAGGCTAGCTAATGCAAGTGAGTTATTGTTAGAATAGGCAGATATACTAGTACTGCATCTAAATTGAAACAGCGCTACTTTTTGTGGTGTAGTGGCATATTTGACAGTTAAGCTAGGCGAAACTAGGCCTAAAGACAAATCGACCGACTCTATGTCGGGTGATCAGCCAGCTACTCGAACCGTCGGACAGGGGTTTGTGTTACGCGGAAAAGTGACGATCATTAAAGACTGCACGATTCCAGCTCCGGCATTCCGCCGTACTTAGAGTTGTAACTGTGTAACAATACTCACATCAAGGGTATGACACCCGCCGCTGGTTGATCATGGTAATGTCTCGTGCGGGGGTGCCGTCATGGACGGACCACAATATCCACTCCGCATGGGCATTTCCAGACCGACTTGGTCCTTCTCAAAGTGCGGCTGGGGGCTGAATACGATGCATCATGCATACTACATAATGGGAGTGTAATTCAGGCGGCAACGGTACCGTACCAACGGACTCCCTCACAGTAGAACACCCTCGTCAACAGAACCCCTTCACCAAGAACGCTCAGACTGTGGTATGTAGTCGGTTTACCCTAGCGTAGAATGTTCCCCATGGGCCCGAGCATCTAGAGATTGAGATTGTCCATCGATCCAGATGCGAAGAAGTTGACCAGTAATCGGACAGTAAACTACTGAGTGAGCTACTCTGTTCGACTGGATGAGGACATGGAAATCCTTGGAGTAAAAATTTTGATGAAAGAGGTATTGTGATTGAACTGTCACCCTAGAACGAATTTCGATACAGACATTGAAGCATAACAGAATAACTGTTGGCTCAAAAGCAGGAAATGCGAAAGAAACACGCAAAGAAAAAAAAAAAAAAAAAAAAAAGAGAGAGATGCCCACTCAAGTAAGCCTATGCAATGTCAAAACATTTTCTAGGGTGCCGGTGCCATTCCAGGTGATGACGGATGTCGGCCGAAGTTTACATGCTCCGTGACTTTTCCATCAGTTTGAGTTTCAATCGTATCCCAGTGCCCTGGGAAGCCCGTGCACTCGCCAGACGCAAAGTTGAAGGATCCCCATACACATCTTGGTGAATCATCCTGGCACTTCTTCATACACTCTTCCACAGAAGTTGCAGCAGCATCCAGGATATAACTGTTTCCATGCTTAGTGTTATACATGTACGTGGAACATCGAGTCAGCCACGGCTGGCCATCGACTGCCCAGTTGCCCATATGATACCCACCAGGGCCAGGGCAGTGCTTCTCATCGGCCGGTGGGGGTGGTTTAGGGTATTTCTTGCAGGCTCCGGAACAACCCATAGACCATGCACTAGCGTACCCGGGAGCGTCAATCAAGGGCTCACCACCGTGGTCACCGAAGGTACAGCTTCCCGTTCGATGATGGTAGTCAACACTCTTGCACTGTCCGACCAGACCACAGGTGTCAATACACTGTTCGTAGGAGTCCACAAATTGTGACACGCCTGGGGTACCATGTCTCTTGCCACAGATCATAAGGAAGGTCTATTCATCCATTAACGGGAGTGGGCTAATTTCAAGACAAACATAGAGGGACTTACCTCGCCGTACTGTGAAGTGAACACTTGGTTGTGTGCACCAGGGCATTGAGTCGAGCAAAGCTCAATATCATCGTCAGGCTGATCCACATAAGGAGCCTCGACGAAGTAAGCGTGATGGCCCTCATCGAAACTTTCATCCGGTGAGAATCCTCCATGCGCCCAAAGAGCACAATTTATAGAGTTCGCACGACCTGTTGGACCCGAAGTAAATGTAACACTACTCACTGTCAACATCTTCACTGTATGGTTGCGTGGAATGGGGGAATGACCTTCGACACTGGCCGGTTTTATCCTTCATGCAAAGATCCATACATTCGCCGAAGTCGGCTACAGTGTCCGCGCCAAGAAGGAGTCCATTATTCCTATCCGTGCAGCACTGAATGTACATATAGTCTCCACTGGAGGTTTTATAGAGCTTTCCATCATCTAGTGTTGTTAGCAAGTGTATAGGCTACCAATATAAGATAAGAGGTAAGAAAATCAACCTGTAGGGCAACCGAACGTGGTCGTGGTAACTGGATTCCCGTTTGGCGTTCCTTTCCATGGAGATGGACATATAGAGCCTGAACCAGAGCCTGAGCCTGAACCAGAACCAGGCGGTGGTCCAAAGGGGCTTGAGCCAGAGCCAGAGCCAGAGCCAGAGTCAGAACCAGAACCAGGCGGTGGTCCAAAGGGGCTTGAGCCAGAGCCTGAACCAGACCCAGAGCCAGAACCGGGTGGTGGTCCAAATGGGGAGTTGTTATTGCCATTGACACCGACCAGCATTGCTGACAGCATTAAGAAACCTGGGGCAAAGACGCCCCACGTGAAGGGCTTCCCAGCTTTCATGCTTGAAGAGAATAATGTAAAAGAGGCAGTCTGGGGTGAGTGAAGTAGGGCCAGACTTAGAGGTAGGAGGCAAGAGAAAGGCCAGTGTGCGATATATAACGGCGCGTAAGTGAGCCCAAGGGACAAATGCTAACAACACAAGTCTCAGAAGTGGAGGTTTGGCTAGTGGAATTTCCTCTCGTTCGGCGAGGAGAGCCCGGCTGCTGAAGGCTCTATCACGATTTTAGACTCGAGGTAAAAGAAAGGAAGGAAATGAAAAGTAGATCGGAGGAGAGCAGTAGGGCGTTTTGCCTTTGCATACACATCCAGCTGGAAGTGGGAATTCCGAAAATGCAAGGTGACACTGCAATTGCCTGCAGGTTTCGCCGATCTCTCTCCCTCTTTATGGAACTATTTACAGGTGATCCATCAAACGGATCCCCGAGGTTCTACGAAAGACCTCATCTCGGTTCGAGGGGTTACATCGAACCAGTGGAGTCCCTGATGGTTGGCGAGCTGAACCCCATTCTCCGTGTTCTTTCTTTTTCATGTGGATAAAGAGATATTTTGCATGTGGGTTGCTTGGGTAGACACAAAGCAACCAGGATCCTGCATGAATCCATTTCATGTCTTGATTGATACAGAATCAATACAGACTATTTCGTAAGCATCAAAGGGTCATGCACTTCCTCAGTACCTCAAGTGATCCTGGGTTTGATATATAACCAGAGATGCTTATGACAATCGTCTTCCCATTCTAACACTTAATACCCTCCGTGTTCTCCTGCTTTATACACAATCGGCCCAATAATTCAATCAAATATCTCCAAGTGTATGCTATTTTGGTCGTCTCCAAACACTGATTTTTCTTGCTAACCGTCTAGTCATCTCAACTGCGCACAGCCGTTTCTTTGATCAGAATGCGTTTGTTACCTGTTTTCCTCGCCCTATTCGCATTCATTCGGGGCTCGCATGCCTTCCTCTTCTGGTGGTGGCTCCCGCTTCCTATCTTTGTAGTCAATGGCAGGGGTGGCGGCGGTAGCTGCAATTCCTGCTGCGACCCATGCGCTTTGACTGTTGCCGACGAAAATTCACAGCGGCAAAACTGCATAAACAATGGTCAGTTATGGACACAGGGATGTCAATAGCTTGGTGCAATTAAATGATAGTTTGGGAGGGGGTAAACGAGTCTGGACATGGAGAGCCGAAGGATATAGCTTGGGTAGGGGTCCTTTTTCGCAAGGAAAGATTGATGGCGGTGAATTTATTATTGAGTTTTGTTTTTATTTTTTTCTGCTCGCTTTTCTGGACTCTTTTTGTTAGCTTTGTTATTTTCCATCTCATAGTATCGATGCCAAATCCATGATTTTTCCTCGAATAAATATCCATACAAAATCGTAATTCCGGGCAGTTGTAGAACAACAGCGCGAGCCCATTTCTACCATTTCTTCCAATTTGGTCCCTAATGTCCAGGGTAGAATCTTCACGTCACGCCTAGAGTTTGAGATTCTAGGGGTAAAATAAGAAAATAAAATAAAAAATAAATAAATGGAAGGAAATAATAACCAACCATAATAGAAAATAAAAAGGTAAGCAAGACGTACTGTAAGTTACGTATAGTAACAGTACACCTGGTAACAGTACCAGTATCTGGATGATGATGCCAAAAGTACGTATCCGATAGTCTCCTTACATGTGATGCATCATTAACTGCGGAATGCGTATAGGACCTCTGCCCGCTAATACTGCTTGGTATGCATTGAACATCCTACCGTATGATTGGAGTGAGTGGCTTTTCTCAACAAAGCAACGATACATATATCCTAAACTCAATCATAATCCTCTATCCAATAGCTACTGTCACGAGGGAACGCAAGATCTATGCTCGGACTACCGATACTCCAGCTAGGTGGAGCAAGAAGGGTGTCTTGAACCCCTCAAGGATTGTCGGGGACCTGCCACGGGCATTATCTGTCTCATCCAGGATGGTTTCACCCCGGGTGGACAGGACAGAAACACGGTCGATTTGGTGGCGTACTGATATCAGCTGAGAATGCGCAACGTGACGTACCCATCACAGACCTGGGAGTTCCGATCAAGACATACTCGGTAAGCGAGAGGGTTTTGTCCTTGATGTGAAAGTAAGACTGAATCTGCATTTTCTTGAGCTAGATCGTATAAAATCGCGAACCAATCCCTTCCCACCATTTTGTCCTACAAAAACAATGCACAGCCCCTCTCCTTAGCCTTCCTTGATCCATTCCACTGCACACTGTACAATCTGTTTACTGCTTTCTTTCACAATTTCCACCTCACAATGAAAGCTCAAGTTCTTCTCGCTGTTCTACCCTTTGGTTATATAGCCCTGGCCGACCAAACCCAAAACTGGCAGGAAGTCTGCGAGGCCACCCCACCCAAAACACAAGAAACAATTCAGGGTGTAACGTTCAAATACACCTGCAAAGTGGCTTGCAACAATTTCCAGCAAATTCCGGGGCAATATGATCATCCAGATGACTGTGCGGAACAAATCTTGGCTTCCTCCGAACAGGCCATCATTTGGCGACGTGACTCGGCAGAGTGCTGGAGATGCACAGCGCCTGGAACGACAGCGAACTCTTACGATACTCTCGTGATGGAAAAGGTGAACGGTAACAGTCCTTTTGAACCCAGTTGCGCTCAGCAGCTGGCTCAATGCCAGACCCAGTTGAATACATGCCAATCTCAAGCGGGTTCAGGTGGTGGTTCAGGTGGTGGTTCAGGTGGTGGCTCAGGTGGTGGCTCAGGTGGTAATTCAGGTGGTTCAAGTACCACACCATCATGTACACCTCTATTCCTATAACCGGAGTAGATAATTTACTGACATAGCCAAGGTGGCGCGACACATACACAAGGTGGTTATAACTGGGGAGTCACTTGCGGAAAGAGTAAGAGATACCCCAAATGCCACAGAGTTTGCTTGAGTACAACTAACAACACGCGCTGTAGTCCTTTCTGGTCCGAACCGGCGACAGGAAGACGGGAGCAGCCTTCAGGACTGTATCGATAAGTGCGCTGCCACACCGAGCACATGCGAGAGAGTTGCCTACAGGAGCCACCTCCGCTTCAACCAGTGTCTGATGTCCTCAGGGAGTCCCGTGAAAACAGTTTCCAACTCGAATTGTAAGTCGGCTGAGAGGCAGTAGTTGAGCTCGATTTCGGGCACATACATGGAATGCGACTAGGCCTTCAGCTTAGGTTTTCCTGGATGACAGTCAACGGGGATATTTTTAGTTCCTTCGTCAAATATATATCATTCAATCTAACTGTGCTTTTGGAGAGTGAACAATCCTTGCATAAATTCCGTATCTTAAACCATATGCATCTTTATATTTACATTCTTCACAAGAACTAGAGAAAGGGAGAATACCTCGCACATTAAATACATCGTTTTTGTCAAACAAAGTCCGACGGAGTCGCACAAAAATGCAAGTTTGGGAAATGCATTACTGCGAGGATCAGGTTGGATACTCAATAAATATCGTACGTGCACCAGGTATCCTGGCGTGACCGGTGGCACTGTGATTACTGCAGAAGGATCGTCGATGGGGTATAAGACAAATCATCATTATGTGTTTTTACTGGTACTGGACTGATGTTGATGGTGATTACTGCGTTGACATTGGGATTCAACAATTTCAAAGCAATACTTAACAACCTTAAACATGCATTTTCTAAACATCAGTTCAGCAATTTGCCCCGCAATCTTAGCATCTGCCTTTTCTTGTTCCTATAGCTGTGTATTCACATCCCTAGCTTTCAGTAAGGAGGGATCTGCGGACAGAAGAATGCATAGCCTCCCTTATAAGCTACATAATGATTAACAAGGCTTTTTACAGCCTCTTATATATATGTATATTTGTCGGTGGCATGCTTCTTTGTGGTACGAATGTAGGGTTCGAACAGACATACATGACTGGGTTTCCGTCAGATAATTCTGAGCTGTGGACTGAGTTTTCGGCAGTGGGTGCACCACACCGATAGACCAATTCACACCGATAGACCAATTTTCCATCCTCCCATTTTCTTGAGGCTATTCCTATCCACACAATATGCCTAGATTAACCGGAGAACTTGAAAAACGCGTATTGGAGGCCTGTAAAGCCGCCAGTAAGGAAAAAAAAACCAAATTTAGCAAAGATCACCCGGGAATATAGCGTGTTATACAACACACTGCGTGGTCATGTCTACCAGGGAAAACAGGCTCGCAACGCCCACACACCCCAGAATAAGGCCCTTGATAAGTATCAGGAGAAAGCTCTGGTCCAGTGGATTGCTTCTATGCGTGATCTGTATCTTCCTGTAATCCCTAAGTTACTTAGAGAGTGGGCAAACCAAGCACTAGCTCGAAGCGGTTCAGCGCAGCGTGTTAGTAAGATATGGGGTTATTAGTTTATAAAAAAACCGCCGGCGCATCTAAAACTAGGCCCCGTGACTTAAAAACCAAAAGATAAAAAGTAACTAAATACAAAGGATGTTGGATATCCACAGCATTAGTATAATTAGCTTGGGAATGTAATCAAAGACCTCTTTTTTTACCTGGTATACAACTTTGATAAGTGTGGCTTCCAACCTGGTAAAGGAAAAGCTTGGAAGGTTATTGGCACAAGGGGATTTTACCCTAATCTGGCTAAGTTTAATTATGCTGAAAGTATCACCACGATTAAGTGTGTTACTGCTAATGGGTGGATAATAAAGCCACTGTTTATTTTTAAGGGTGAGAGGTTTATAGAAAGCTGGTATAATTATTCTAATCTACCTTAGTTTTGGACAGCAGTATCCCTAAAAGGATATATTAATAATAAGCTCGCTGTTTAATGGCTTTAAAAATTCCATAAGGCCACAATTAATCGTGTAAATCAACGGAAGGGGGAAAATTAGGTGTTGCTATTTAATAGCCACAAGTCCTATAAAACTCTTAAATTTCTCCAACTCTGCAATACCTATAATATTATTCCCTTTTATTTTAAGGCTTATACGACTTATATATACCAGCCTCTTAATGGCAAGCCTTTTCTTTTATATAAGCAGTAATTCCGCAAGTAAAATAACCTTATTGCTTAGTAGGGTAGGCTTTCCGCAGGGAAAGTGGATTTCCTCCAGGATATTGTTAAGGTGTGAAAGGCTACTTTTAACTAATAAATAATCTGCAATGCTTTTAAAAAACATGGAATCTACCCTGCAGATAGCTTTTAAATTATTTAAAAACTTTAAGATATATTACCTCCAGTGCCAGAGCTTTAAGCACTAGATCTTCGCGTGTATGGAGAGACAACTCTGCCTCCTAATCTTTTCTTTTCCAGCATTAAAAATACCCCTCCGAAGAGTGCACAAGAGCTTGAAAAGAACTAAAAAAAAAAGCTCTCTAAGATCTTTACAATAAAGGAGCTTACTCCGAAGCTACAAAGAGGGCTCCAGCGAGCGCTATGGCATTAGAAAATACAGAATAAAAACCTTGTAATAATAACTAATACAGTTAAGCGAATAAGGCAGATTCAAGAGCCCCGGAGGTGCTAAATTACTAAGAGAGAGATTCCAAAGCTCGGTGACTCTGGAATACTTAGTACAAAAGATGCCAATCGATCAATCAAGGCCAGGAAGGAAAAAGAGGCTCTATAGGAGAAAAAAAGATTAAAAAGGCAGTAGAAAAAGGTATATAGCTAACCACCACCTACAATGCCTACGGGGATAGAAACCACATTGCCGGAATCAGCGATGGCAGCGCAGCAGGAAAATCAATTTTTTTTATAAATAGTAAAGGGGAAAGGCCATAGATAGTGGGAATAACTTCAAAATTGGTCTATCGGTGCCACTGCCGAAAGGCGGTGGGGGGCACTGGAAGGCACGGATATCTGGGCAGTAACTGCGGAAGAAGGCCCTCGGGGCATAGGCATAAACCAATACTTTATTAGCTACCTACACTCACTGTGAGCAAAGAACATGGTAAACCCTGCTCAAAGCCATCGAGGTTACAACTAGCATGCGAGGACCTGTGAAATCGACGAGAGAAAAAGTACTAGCCAGCTCTACTTCATCTCGCCAGTCTCTGGCAGGTTCCTGTTGTTGCCAATGCGGTTCAACATTCTTGTACAAAGGATCATCCGCAGCCCTAATCAACCCTGATATACCGGCGGACTCAGCACAAAACTAAACTCTTTCAAATGCGGCGAAGGCTTCCATCTTGCAAAAAGCTGCCCATTCTCCACCAAGATGTGCCGTAGCATCTTTCGTCTCTCCTCTGCGTCAGGCCACACTCCCTCCCATATCCTCACGTATGGTTCCATAACCCCCAAGGCCTCCCTTAGCCACAATCCGACCCTGTCCTCCTTAATTCGACCACTCTGCACCATCCCCGTCTCCAGCTCCCGAAGAAGATCTTCCCTTTCCTGCCCTGTTTTCACTGCAGCCCGCATCACCCCGAGTAGTATATGTGACCGCACTGCAAGGTCCAACTTATCTAGCTGCTCCTCCACACCCACTGTTTCCTCTACTGCAACGGCAGCCAAAAACTCGATCTCCTCCTCACTGCCAAGCTCCCCATCCCATCCCCTCCACCACGCATACGCCGAGATCCCGCCATCCGGTTGTCCACAGTATATTATCTCGCTTTTCCTCACGCCATCCTCCACATCCGGCTCAACAACTCCCTTCTGCTCCCAGCTTGCCTCCCACCGCTTCACCGAGTACTTCCTATCCCACTCATACATATCATGATAACCCTGCGCCGCAAGTATCCCGAAGCAGTTTTTCTTCCACCATGTTGGGCACGGCGCCTCGGTTCTGGTGCGTGCGTCGAGGTGTGGGGCCAACATATACTCCAGCCAGAAGCGCGCCTGCGTTTCTGAGTAGGGCCGCACACTAGGGTGCGTCTTACGCTGGCGGTTAATTGTTGTCTCGAGCGTGCGGAGGGCTATATCGGTGAGAGTTGCGAGCGGAAGCAAATGTTGTCTAAGGAATGTACGTGCGACATTATAGGCCCAGCGCGGGAGTTTCGTGACATGTGGACCACCGCCGACGTGAGGTTGCTCGCGAACCGGCAGGTCCAGCGGGTTGTTTGAGCCCGGTAGATCTTGGAGGTCAGGGAGGCAGTAGAAGCGGGCTGTGGTATTCTGTTTCAAGAATGACTCCGAGTAATATTCGCGCCAGACGGAGGGGTGCAGGAGTGCGTGGTGCTCAGCGTAGAACGTATTAAACCCGTCCAGGGTGTCGAAGATGCCGTCAATTTGCTCGGAGGAGCTGTGGACGGTGATGTAGAGGGCTGCAGCGATCTGGGCTAGGTAGAACATATCCAGGGTGCTGTGTTTGTCAAGGTTAGTATAGTATTTTTAAGTGGATAGCAGTTAACTAACCGATTGAACCTCAACTCGCCCTCACCGAATGACCACCCGTGCGTGTGCAGCTTCTCGATAACATCAAATACACCCCGACCATTCCATAGCGGCTCATCCAGATAGATCCATGCAATCCGTAACAATTGATCGTGGCTGTTGACAGGCACCACGCCGTTTTCGACGTCGCTGAGGAATTCCCGGGCGCCCATGGCAAGCCTCCAAAAAGGGCAGAATGGAATGTGGAATGTAGAAGTTGAGTTGAAAAAACAATTCAGGTCCCAGGGGTCCGAAGGGACTCTTATAGACTCTTTCCGCTGCACCCCCACATGACCAAAAACCCTTAGTCACCGGTCCCGGCTACCCGGCGCTAACTTAACTAGTGGCCCACCACCACTACCACTACTAGATAGCGTATATTTAGGTGTATAAAAGGCCTCATATCTAACCGACACTGGCCAGTAGCTCAATATTAATAATACGCTCGGTATGGCTTCATCAATTCCCTTAGTTCTCAAGACGATGATCATGGTGATTGGCAGCTGGTATTAATAACCCGGCTATCGACCGACTAGCAGTCTAACTTATTGGAACAACTACGCACCCCCCAACCCAACCCCCACATTTGGGGGTCTTTGGGATCAATTTATACATCATTTTATAACCCTTCCCGAGCTTAATAATTCCGCTACTTTTCTTGATACAACAGTCGGGGAATTCCCCATTGACCAATCAAGGTTTTTGGATTGGAACGAGAAACTTAGATTACTTGATGCAGAAGACCCGGAATACCATCCTAGAGAGAGAAAGAGAAAATACCCTAGCCAGTTAATCCAACTGCTAGCACTATTCTCCTTTAAGACGTGGAAAGGCACATTTCAGACACTAGATCAAACCCTACCGCCCTGGTCCCAACCGTTAAACCAAATAATAGACATATCTATATCTAGCAAACCGAAAGAGCAAGCAGCCCAGGAACACAAGACACTAATATCCCAATGGCTCGCTAATAGAGATAACCACAAAATTATCTTCTATTCAGATGGATCCCAGCTGCAGAGTGGTCAAAACGGAGCAGGAATCTTCCTCCTAGAGAATAATCCTCAAAATCAAAAGGCTTGGGCATGGAATCTAGGTCATGAATACAAGGTCTACGATGCGGAGTTATTTGCTATTCAAAAAGCATTAAAACAAGCATTTAAGACTATTCAAATTCTAAATTTAGATATCTACATCTTTTCGGACAGCCAAGCAGCCCTAAAAAGGCTTCAATCAGCAGACACCATCTATGAACCATACCAAAGAATCTTTAAATGGGCAACTAGAATTAAGGAAAAGAATATCGTATTCATATTCAATGGGTTCCAGGCCATCAAGGAATCTTTGGCAATACCAAAGCTGACGAGGCAGCTAAGTATGGGGCAGAATGGACAGATAAATACTATAAATGCCCCATCTCAGTTAGTCATCTCAAACGAGAGCTCAAAGCGAAATGCCTTGAGGATTGGGATAAAGCATGGGAAAATGCTAGGAAAAGTGATCAATATAGGGGCTTTAATTCCATAGCTTCATGGAAACCAAGCCCCCTAAAGCTTCCCAAGCAGACCTGGTCAACCATTATCCAGCTAAAGCTAGGGCATGGGTATTTTAGATCCTATCTAGTTCGAACACCTAACTACGATAGCGATATATGCACATCGTGCTGCAGCGACAAGCGCCAAACTCCGCACCACCTACTTTTTCAGTGCCAGGCATTTAGGGATATTAGAAAAGGGTCTATAGAGACCCTAGACAAAAAAGACCGAAATTTGCCTTATCTGTTTACGAAGAAAGCAGGGCAAGAGCAACTGGTTAAATTCTTAAAGGAAACCGGGATCGCCACTAGAAAGTGGCTCCTGGATCCTTAAAGAAAACAAAAAAAAAAAAAAAAAAAAAAAAAGCAAAAAGAATTGGAATTTCACATGGTTTAACCCCTTTTATAAGGTCCCCCCCACTCCTAGAATGTCATACTGCTTATTCATGTTTGATTTTACCCACTATGTACGTATCTGTTTGTTAGTTCAAATCCTACCACCCAGGGGTGGTAGGTAGAGCATGCATAGTCTCTGACTGAAAAATGCTCTATAATATGGAAGAATAATAATAATAATAATAATAATAATAATAATAATTAGTAGCTTTCTCTAGTGATTGCTTGTTATATATATTTATTAGCTACAGATCTTAAATTTCTGCACCTAAAATATTAATTACCAGCAGATTACTGTTAGTGCTAATATTGTTTTTTAGTAGTAATTAAACCTAGATAGCTTTCTATGGTAGATTACTACTCTAGGTCTAACCTTGGTTTATTCCGGAAGAATGGGAGTATATGCTGGGTAGGATATTGTCATCCCGGATGACTAAGATGTATAGTGCCTGACGAATATGGCTCCAACACGTAGGTACTCCGAAGACACGATCGCACATCATACGATCCCAGATCGTATGATATGGGATCCCACGGCAGTGCACTGGAAGACCTCGGTAGATATTAGGTTAAATAGCGGTCTGCTACCGTAAGTAGCAGACCAGAGAAGAGGACTTTAAGGATAGCTTAGGCAATACATTTATTCAGAAGACTCAATAGACTTCCCTCAGCTCTCCCCAGGGCCGCCATCACGGCGGCCCCTGGGGCCCCCGTCCCCTATTCGACTGTCCCTACAGCTCATAGTGTTCTACTACCTCGTCCAGTCTCCTACATAACCGGCCGTGTGATGAGCGATATTGCATTCCTGTACTTCTGGAGCTTGGGCTCCTGGGATTAACTAATAGTGCAGTCCCTGTTTCTGCCCCCTACTATTACTACCTCCTGCCACAGCCTTTAACAACGCCAACCACTACTATATATTTAAATAGTCCCTGTAAAATACCCTATCTAGGGAAGGAAAGCTTTATAAATTTGCACTTATAACTACTCCTATATTTACTAGGGGGTTTAAAAAAATTTTAAATAAGCCCTTTACTGTTACATGTGGTTAAAATCTTAATACCCCTGTAATACTTCTAGGCTACTACTAATTATTCCCTAGGCCTTTATAACACTATTACTGTCCTGGAGAGGGATAAGAGGTGGGGACCTAGCTGCCCTGTACACCACAGTAGTTATTCTAGCTTGGTATTTTATAAAAATAATAAAAACCTTGCCCTTAGTTTACCACTTCTTTTTAAAAAATAGTAAGATTTTTTCCTGTGTTTTATTTTACTAAAAACAGGAAGCTTGGACCGCCTAGTAAACCTATCTAGTAGAAAGCCTAAGTTCACCTAAAAAACAAGACTGTAAGCTGTATCTCTAGTATTATAATTACCTTAAAATACTGTTCTGGAGCTATTTAGCCTAGATAGGTATAGGAAAACTAGTACTAGAGTAAAGTGTAAAGGGCTAGAGCCCGTTTGACCTCTCGGGCCAATGTCCCTACTGTCCCCGTTGTCCCTATTGTGACATTGTCCCTATTGTCCCTATTGTCCCTACTGTCCCTACTGTCCCTACTGTCCCTACTGTCCCTACTGTCCCTACTGTCCCTACTGTCCCTACTGTCCCTACTGTCCCTACTGACCCTTTTGGCCCATTGGCCCTCGATCGATGTCACGTGACTCCCCACCTTGTTTGTTTACCGCTTGTTTCCTCTTCCTTTCTTTCTTCCTTTCTTCCCTTCTTCAACGATTCCTTCTTGTACATAACCTATCTTGTAGGTTCTATGGGTTCAGCCCTTGACATAAAGATGCAATATCGCTCATCACACGGCCGGTTAGGTAGGGGACTGGACGAGGTAGTAGAACACTATGAGCTGTAGGGACAGTCGAATAGGGGACGGGGGCCCCAGGGGGCCGCCGTGATGGCGGCCCTGGGGAGAGCTGAGGGAAGTCTATTGAGTCTTCTGAATGAATGTATTGCCTAAGCTATCCTTAAAGTCCTCTTCTCTGGTCTGCTACTTACAGTAGCAGACCGCTATTTAACCTAATGTCTACCGAGGTCTTCCAGTGCACTGCCGTGGGATCCCATATTATATGATCTGGGATCGTATGATGTGGGATCGTGTCTTCGGAGTACCTACGTGTTGGAGCCATATTCGTCAGGCACTATACATCTTAGTCATCCGGGATGACATTATAATAGTATAGTTATGTATTTTTATATAAATTATAGATAAATCTAGTATAATTTTTATATATATAATTTTTTTCTTACTATTTTTCTTATATTATTTCTTGTAGGTACCAATAGTACTGTGTTGTATTATAAGCTAAAAACTGAGTATAAAATTACATAAGTGGTATATAAAATACAAAGTAATTTTTCTGCTTTTTTTATATATTTTTATAAAATTTTAGCGCTTATATTGCATATAATATAGTAATTTTAATTTCGACCGTCATATGTTGCGAGATATATATATTTTACCTGCATGGGTAAAACCCATGGTTGGGTTGCGCGGCTACTGGATTATTCAGACTTTCGGGCGGAACTGTATCGAGAGGGGAGAGACCACACAGTAGTTTGAGATCTTCTGTCACGGCGTGAGCATGGCGGAACAACGGAGACAGTATGGACAACAGGGATAATAGGGACATTGGCCCGAGAGGTCAAACGGGCTCTAGCCCTTTACACCGACCTTCAAATTGTACTTGGGAATATTAAATATTTGTAACAAATCACTTCTACTTTTATACCTCTTCAGATACTACTTGCAGCCGACTACATGTTTGTTAAAGTAAGATTAAATATTTCTTTCTCATTTAATAGGAGATGGGAACTTTGGATAACTAAAGATTTAGGAACAGTTAAAGCCACTGTATAAAATAGAGCTTGTGATGTTAACTTAGAAGAATTAATCTTAACACTGTGAGTACCAAGAAAGAGATTAAAGCTTGATGCTGCACGGATTAAACTTGAACCTGCAGAGCTGTTGGAGATAGACAGCATGTCCTCAGGTAATGCTTTATTATCATATCCATCGTTTAGCGCAAGGTAGTTTTAACACTTTCCTTAGTCTCCAGTAGATAGCTAGTATCCAAAGCTCCGTAGCAAGTAAGTTAAGCAGCTGAACAGCAGAAATCCCTCCAAAAGATAGGATAGAGGTCCTCCGGCCTGGACCTCGTGAAGAGAGAATGTTGATTGTTTGGTTTCCATCCCAGATTATACAATCTACACAGGCAGTTGGACTTACCCATAACATATAACTTTTACCCATTTTAGGAAATAACTTGACGTTACATACGGCAGATTAATCGAACAACCGGGAAAATAGGAAAGATTTTGGCCTGTTATAACCTGTTGTGATTGAGAGGAAGATTAACTATTATTGCTATTCACATAATTACCTCTGTATGCTAAATGCAGTAGGATGACAGATATCTTATTCCCCCCTTAAGTAAGGCAGCCAATAACTAGTTTTCATGTAAATGTGACTATGAATAGGCTAAAATGACTGCTGTTTGTCAAATATTTCGAAGCTGCAAGCCAAGAGGGCTATAAAATATAGAACCGGGAACATTGGTGAGCACAGACATTTATGAAGCTTTAAACACTTTAGTATGTAGTAGAGCACTGATAATATATATATATTTACATATTTACATATTTAGAAATAGCTAGAGTAGTGCGTATATACCTGACGGTGAGGGGTCAGTGTATAAACACAATACACACACAAAATGCCGTATCCTGGGCCCTGGTGGGTGTCTTGTCATCAATTTGCACACTCAAGCTCAGTTCAACTGCTCGCCAGTACCTAACCAGCAAATACTACTCAAAAGCGTTGTGAATTGAGGCTCGATAAAATAGTAGCTCCATACACGGAATAAATTCCGTGTTGGAAATCAATCTGATGTTCATCTATATAAACCAAGTTTTCAGATGAGAACAATAATAGAGGAACATATGGATAAAACAATGACAAAAACTCTAGCAATGTAACTAAAAGGCGGATAAGCCCCGAACTCTAAGCGCCAGTCCAGTCGATAATTCTCTAATTTCTTGACAACGAACGTATTATGCATCCCTCTGGATTCTTCAGAGTAGCCGTAACCAAGCTCTCCAAAACACCAGATAGCCCGGCATTTCTCGCTGCATCTAGCCAAGAATCAACATCCACTGTTCGTAGTGAAAGCCCATTCTGGTCCTCCAGATATTTCTGTATCCCACCAACCGGAATCTTTTCATCTCCGCAGTGGTGAAATATCTGTGGCTGCTTGGGCGTGGCGCCGTCGGTTGATTTCTTCGATTCGTCCAGGCTACAGAAGACCTCTTGACAGATTTTGGCAGCAACATCTTCGACAGCAACAAAATCAAAGTATCCGGTCCAATTTTCAGTGGTCGGAACGGCTCGTATTTTCACTGAAATTTGGAAAATAGTTTGTATCAGGTCAGTCGACGGCACACCATCACCGACAATGTTAGACGGTCGGTGGATTGTACACGGCAAATGAAACCGTGCCGCACACTCTTCAAGATAGGCTTCGCTAGCCCACTTCGAGGCGACGTAACCGTTAGAGCCATCCACAGGGGGGCGGAAATTGGCTACAGAACGGGGTGGTAATGACTCCACACGGGCAAGCTGTGAAACGCCTCCGGTGGAGACAAAGTGCAGAGGAATTTGCCGACGAAAGGCTATGCAAGCGAGCTCTCGGGTTGATTGCACGTTGGCCTTCTGGAGAGACTGGTATGATTTCAGGAAGGAAACATCAGCACCGTTGTGGATAATCACGTCAACCTTAGCTGCCAACGTCTTCCATGATTCCAAGTCGACTCCGAGACGTGGAGCTCTAAGGTCACCCGCATATTGAACAATCTTGTCGGACATGATGGCGAGGGTTCGAGATGTGCAAGAGTTGTTCGAGTGGCGGATAGCGATGCAATGGATACGGGACACGCGAGAATCAGCCACAAAGTGCCGTAGAAGAGCTGAACCCAAGAACCCAGTCGATCCAGTCAGACAGACCTCGATGCCGTGGTCTGCCTTGGAGGGGGGACATGGAAATGGAGCAGGAATTGCAAACTGCAGCTCCTCCATCTCTCCAGGCATTGTTTCTACATGCCAATCGATCTGCGAGACGGGATAATTACCATCATCTAGAGTGAGGAGGGCCGCCATACGCTCCACAGTGCTCGATTGGAAGAGATCCGGCAGGGGAATCTGACGACCAGACGCCTCGCGCAGCATTGCTTGCACTCGGATTATCAGCAAGGAGTTGCCACCTAACTGGAAGAAATCGGTCGAGGGGCTCCAGGAAGAGGGCAAGGAGGATTCGTCGAGACAACACTTCCACACTCGAACCACTGTCTGCTGTGCCTCAGAGAGATCCTGCGGGCTGACATCCTCTGGGGCGGAGGAAAGCGGTAGTTGATCCAGCACACCTCGATCGAGTTTGCCATTGGGGTTTCGGGGGAGATTTTCCACGGGAAGGATCAAACGGGGTATCATGTATGGAGGAAGAGGGAGACGGTAAAGGAGCCTCTTGAGGAAAGCATGCAAGTCATTGCCAGTATTGCTAGTCATCGAAGGAATAGTGAATGCAACAAGGAAGCGTCGATCTCCATCTTCATCATGAGTACCTCGCACGGATACAGCAGCGTCTGCAAGACGACCGTCAGCGACTCGTAAAATCGTGTTCGCAATGTCATCCAGTTCGACCCGGAATCCACGAAGCTTGATCTGGCTGTCACCATCCATACGCCCCAGGTAGATCAACTCTCCGTTCGGCAGCAAACGTCCCTTATCGCCAGTGCGATACATGGAAGTGAACCCGCGCTCAATATCATCAGGACCTGCAAAAGTGTCAAGAAGAAACCGTTGTCGGGTCAGCGCGTCCTTTCCGAGATAGCCGCGAGCAACACCACTGCCCCCAACGACAATCTCGCCAACAAATCCAACTGGGACAGGGGATCCGTTTGCGCTGAGAATGTATGTCGAATAGTTAGGTAAAGTATATCCGACACTAACCGTCGAGATATCGACGGTGGCAGGATCGTACGTGTCAATGGACAGACAGCAGCTTGACACTGTGATTTCAGTCGGCCCATAACGGTTGATGAGGCGTAATCCAGGTCGCTTCAAGGCGTGGAATGATCTGATCAAGTGGGTGGGCAGAGCTTCTCCTCCGACGAAAGCAATCCGCCAGGACTCAGACTGCCCCAGGAAGCCGGCGCCATACCGAAGTAACGCGGCATATTCGGATGGAGTGGCATAGGTATACGTGACATTTTCGGCTAGCATCAACCGGGCTAATTCGACAGCATCACCTCGAAGGTGCCTGGGGACCGCAATGAGGGTTCCGCCAGCAATAAGCGGCTGCAGCATCTGGTCAAGAGAGACATCGAAGCCGAGTGAGCTTTGCTGGAGAGAGATTTCTCTTTTAATCCCGAAATGGCGTTTGATGCTCATGATCTGGTTCACCAAGTTGGCGTGTGTCAACACAATTCCCTTGGGTACCCCGGTGGATCCGCTGGTGTAGAGCGCACAAGCGGGCGATAGTGAGCTAGACCTGTTGGGGATGGACGGAATGGAAGTGAAGGGAAAGTCACAGAAAGTGACAGGTTTGCTGGAAAGGAGATCAATCTGGTGCATGGCCTGTTCCGTCGGTGCATGGTAGATAATTGCAGCCGGGTGGCAGTCATCAAGGATCAACTGCAGCCGCTGAACGGGATTCTGGGGATCAAGAGGAACGTAGACGGCGTTTAAACGCCACACAGCCAGCAAATAACAGACAGAGTTCATTGTTGGCTCGCAATAAACAGCAACGAAGTCACTTGGACGAACACCGTTGGCTTCGAGGGTAGCAGCAATGAGCTGGACACGCTGAAGCATCTGTCGGTAGGTGAGAGAATTGCCCTCGTGATCCTTAACAGCAATTTGGTTGGGGTACCTGTCAGCAATCAGGTCAATTCGGTGAGTAAGTGTGACGGCAATGTTGTGGTCAAATCTTGGGCCTTTTCCTAGAGCCAACGTCGCTCTCGCATCCTCGTCTGAATATAGACGGTGTTTATCGAGAGGGAGGTTTGGGTTTGAACTGCATGACTCAAGAAGACAAGTGTAGCAATCTAGAATGAGACGCAGATCGTCCTTACTATAAAGATAGGACTGAGACTTGAGACTGACGAGTGTTGTCCCCTCGGACTGCTCCTCAATATCAAAGATCAGATCGTACGGATTGCGGGCATCCTCAAATTGCAATAGCTCCGCGTCTATGCCATTCACATGCACACTGCTTGCGGAGCCCATCTTGTAATTCATTAATATCTGGAAAAGTGGACTTTCAGTGGTAGATCTGGGAACGTCCAAGGCGCCAAGCAGCACATCGAACGGCACACGCGAGCGTTGCAGTGCCTGGTAAGCCACGTCACGGGTATTGTGCAGCAGTTCTTCCAGGGAGTCATAGACACCAATATGGAAACGAAGCGGCAGCAGATTGACGAAGAACCCAATGGTCTCGAGGAAATCGCGATCTGTCCGGTTGGCGTCGGTAATGCCAATGCAGACTTCGGAGACATCCAGGAGGCGAGAAAGAAGAATCTGCAAAACGGCCAGATGTCCGTGGAAGGCAGTAGTACTGAATCCACGTACCGTTGACTTGAAGGAGGTCACAGTAGCCGAGGGGATTGATCGCCGGGCGCTATGCAGGGTATAGGCTGTTAATGCTTTGCGAGTCTTGACCTGGCAAAAGTCGAATAGAGGCAAGGGAGCAGGCAACGTAGAAAAAGTTGTCTTCCAAAAGGCAATGTCGTCAGCCATGTCGGATTGCATGAGTGCACGTTGCCGATAAGCAAAGTCGACATAGTGATGCTTCAGAGGAGGAAGGTAGTCCCCAGACAATGCGGAAGTGAGGTCCTTGATTAGTACCTGTGCACTAAATCCGTCAAAAACGATATGGTGGAATCCAAGGACTAACGTATGAGTGTCTGGGGAATGAGAAAACAAGGTAGCTGCCATGGTTTCACCATGCTCGAGACGGTAGCTATGATAACATAGTCGCTGAAATTCCTGGTTGATCTCATCCTTTCCCTCAGTTGACATCCTCTGGCACAAAGTGAAGTTGGCTGTACGCAGGAGTTTCTGGGATGGAACGGCCGTACTTTGGTCAACAAAGAACGCAGAACGAAGAGAGTGATGTCTGGCCACTACGACATTGAATGCATTGCTCAAGTCAATGGCGCTAGGTCCCCTCAATCGGTACATCATTGTGACATTGTACGTCGATGGGTCTTGCAGAAAAGCTCTTAGAAACCACAGCCGCTCCTGGGCGAACGACAATCGATCAACCTGCTGCTTATCAAGAGGCATATCTTCTGGAACCTTTTCTGACTCCTCATCCTTGAAGCCCTCCAAAACTGGCCCTGTTGCCGAAGTTGCGGAGCTGACAACCTGGCTTCCGTCGAGTACCTGACCTGCACTGAGTTCAGAATGGGCCGGGGAGCTTGCGCAAGACAGCATGGGAGTTTTAGCATCAATAAATCTCTGGGCAGCATCATTACAGAGCTCCTCCGGGGAGGCCCCGCCGAGAACGCGCAGAACGGGCATATCCATGTCAATCTCCTTAAGGAACCAGGATCGCACCTCGACGGCCATAAGCGAGTCGACACCAAGGTTAATTAGAGGCTGAACGGGGTTGATTTGGGATATTTCTACTTGTAGGACACGCCCCAGTTTGGCTAGGAAGGCATCGAGGACAATCTGAGAAGCTTCTGTCGAGTCACAAATATCGGCCAACTGTCGTTTGAGCGAGACCAGAGTTGTGGAGACCTGCTCCTTGCCAGCATCCTCCTGGATGGTGTAGTGGGAGAGCCGTGGATTGCCCGACCAGAATGCATTCTCACCACTATCGCCCAACTCAGAGATGCGATGGAGCCCGGTGATTATCTCTGCTTGAGTGCCATTGTCCGGCCGGCCTGCTACGATGGCCTCAGTAAACATAGTGTGGAATTTCGGCTCCGAGATAGGCATATAGTGGAATTTGCGTAGGGTGGATTCGTAGATGCCCGTCTGGGAGACATAGCCGATACCCAGAACCATACCAATGTCCAGAACGGACCCCGCAAGACCTTGCCGCTTGCGTCGGGCAGCGAGACTTGCCATGAACAGGTTGGCAGCACCATAGTTGGACTGGCCCCGATTGCCCACAATGCTGGCCAGAGAGGAGAACAGTATGAAGAAGTCAAGTGCAGGAGTCGAAAAGATCTCATCCAGATAGGCTGTGCCTGCCACCTTGGGCTGCAGGACGGTTTGCAAATGCTCGACTGTCATGTCACTAAATAGTCGGTCTGAGAGAACCATTGCTGCATTGGCAACACCAGCAATAGGAGGCAATTGGTCTTGCACTTCTTCATACATAACATCCAAGGCGGGCTTGTTGGATACATCCAGTTCATATAGACGGACACACGCACCCATGCACTTCAGTTCTTCGAGCCAGACCCGGTCAACACGCTTCAAATTGCGGCTGGTAAGGATGAGATATCTGGCACCATTCTGCACCATCCAGCGAGTGAGAGACTGGCCTAGTCCGCCGGTGCAGCCAACAAGAAGATAGGATCGATCTGACCGGAACAGACCTTGGGCGTTGATGGGCTGCACTCGAGTCTGGACCATCTGAGATCTGGTGAAGTCGACGACCAACGAGTAGTCAGGAGGGATGGACGGCGGCCCTCCTAGTTCTGACGCCGAGACAAGGGTTGCATCATTTCCCGGCTTGATATGAGCTTGGGATACCTCGCAAGCTTCCAATAGCTCTTCATGTGAGGGCATCGGTGGACCATTCGATATTGAATCGTGTCTTGTTGATGGCAGTTGGAACAAGTCGGCCAAGTGGATTGTGCGTCGCCCATCGAGGAATGCCTTGAGCGGATGATTCTCATTCTTGCAACAGTTGAATGTGACGTCAATGGTCGATGGGAGCCGTGTCGCCAGGTGACGTTTGGAGAGATATTGGGGAACATAGACGGTACCCTTCTGCCCCGGTTTGAAAGATACCACAGTCACTGACAAGTCCATCAACAGAGCACGATCTTCGATAAGACGCTGCGTCTTGATATCGGGATCCACGACGAGAATATGACCCTGTGGAGCGACTTGCTTAAGAACAGTGTTCATTAATAGAGACAATGCTGTACACAATAGCATATCTGGAGTCGCCGAGGAGCTGTCAACCCTTACAACCTGAGCAGATGGGACGGAGATCGCCGAGCTGTTGTGGTGACATAAGGCCAGGACCGTAGTCCCAGCTGGATGAGTGTTGCTGGAGTCAGGCTTTTCAATCTTGCCAATCGACAGGTACGTTGTAGTGCATTCGTATAAATGAAGCCCATGCAGAAGAGAATAATGCACATGGATGGATATATTATCCGCATTGCGAGAATGCACTGTTGTGTCCATTTTATAAAGACATATGTCCCGACCCGCCGCTGAGATTTCCACTGTCATATCCGCAAGGCAGGTGTTCTCCATAATCTTTCTTCTGGAGCTGTTAAGCCGGTTATTCATGTTGTAGTTTGGCAGAATGCGAGGAATCATTAGTCGATGCTCCTGAAAAGCTAGTTCTGGTTCAACACTCCATAATACCCGCTCTGAAGGAAGGTCCAACTTGTCTGCGACAATCAGGCGTGCCAATGCAGTTGCGACTCGCGAAGCCTGGCCATCGACACCACAGGCGAGATCCAGGAATTGCATGCGGATATGAGGATGTTCGTACATCAAGGATCGTCCCAATCCTATAGTCATGTTGGCGTACGGATTCTGATCTCGACAGCCAGACGTCACCCAGAGGATTTGGCGACATTCATCCAAGGCTCGCTGAACTCCGACAAGTTTGTCTGGGTTCAAGTTACAGAGCAGTGGTTCTTCCAGGTCGGCAAGAGACACGATCGAAGTGATGGGGACGGCATCTCGCTCGACAAACTCCTCAAACCGAGTGAAAAAAAGGGGATGATATGTGCTCCATCTTGATAGCATGGAAGTTGTCTGCTCTGCCAAAGCTCGTACGGCTGGTGTTTGCCCTCCGATGATAGCTACCCGATCGACTGGAAGAGGAGGATGGGTGTTTGCGAGAGGATCCTTCAACAGTGCAATGTCACCATTGACGGCCTGTGACAACATCACCGAAGTCATATGCTTGGATAAATCTTGGAAATCGGTAACCCTTTGATCCACTCCAGAGAACCCGGTCTTTATCAACAATTCATTCCATTGAGAGGCAGTAATTGTGGGGGCAAAACGACGGCCATCAGTGTCTCCCAACCACCAACCTTGAAGACCTGACATCATCAATTTGACCCGAAGGATCTCACTCGTCACTTCGAGAAGCAATAGATAACCACCAGGCTTCAGCAGTTTGCGCACGTTCCGCATCGTGTGATCCAAATTCTTGGTAGCATGGAGCACGTTTGACGCAATGACCAGGTCGAATGAGCCATTTTCGAAACCTTGTGTCGCCAGATCTTCTTCGATGTTGAGTGCTTTGAAAGCCATCTTAGATCCCCATCTCTGGAACTGTTCCTGAGCCTTCTCGAAGAAGCCGGTGGAGATGTCGGTAAAAACGTAATTACTGAAAGTATCGTCCAAATGCTCCAGTAACCCCTGGGTCGCACCGCCTGTACCTGCGCCAATTTCAAGGATATTCATTCGGGGATAGCGATGAGCAATCTGTCGGGCCAGACGGCTTATGGCTCCATTGGCACGCTGGAAGCCGAGGCCGTATTTGTAGAATCTGTTCAAGGTATCATTCTCAATCATGTGCTCCAGCATTGTTGTTTCACCACGCACGACCTTGACGAGATTTTCGCCCACCGCCGAAATCAGCTGTAGATCGACCTGATCCTGGTACCTCTGAGCTTGAGAGAGAAGCCACTCGTGCGAATCATCAATCCATTTCTTGCAGATGGTGGGGTGTTGGCCTCTCTCAATAAGTGGAAAGAGATAGTCAATGAATTCGAAGATGCGCCGGTGATACCAGACAAACGAGCTCAACTCATCTCTATCAATCGTGTCATTGAGCCGTCGGAGATATGAATAGGACAGTCGCTCACAGAGATCCACAAGTAGCAAGTCCATCGAGCTATCTGCGACCAGTTGGGATGGATCTGGTCCAGCCTCGGCGTCAGCTTCCCAGACAGTCTCGGCAAAAAGCTCACAGTCATCGGCCGCTGACGCCTGATTGAGCACAGTACAGGTCAGTCCCTCCAGCTGGATGCGAGGTTGGTGTGGGGTGAAGATGTCGACATCCGCCGTGACGGTTAGATCGAGGGCTTCGGTAATACTGCAGTCGATTATCATCTCCTCACATGCAGCACTGGTATTTATTGGCACGATTCGGAGTGACATCAAATGCGTTGGGACGTACGGGGCACAAAGGCTGCCATCTCCTGGCCAGCAGAAGGCAGCAAATATAGTCTGGAACGAGGCATCCAGCATAGCAGGATGGATCATGGCCGGCGTTTCAGTATCAGAGGCGATGTCTTTAGTAAAGCCCGTAGCACGACGAGCTCGTCGAACAACACGGTCAAGCCGTTGAAATAATCCAGTGTACTCAAGACCAATCTCAGTCAAGGATGAGTAGAAAGTCTCCATATTGACTGGCACCAGCGACATGGCGTCTTCTTGTCGGGGCGGGAGTTGAGCTGGCCCATCATTGAGGAGGCGAACCTGCACCCGTCCAGAGACATTCTGCTGCCATCGAATGTCCCGTTCGTCGACGGTGGCCGAGTAACAGGAAAACTCCGCTAGGTGAGGAGTTTCTGACTCCCTCATTGGCTTCATATGGAACATGATCTCCACTCCATTGTCCTCCGACAGAGCGATAGCTCGAGAGATATGCACATCCTGCAGTTCGACCATACCAATTGGACTATCCTTGGCTAGCTCCTTGGCGGCCTCCATGGCCATGACAAGATACCCAGCAGCTGGAAATATAATCTGGCCTTGGACCTTATGTCCCGATAGCCATGGCACTTCAGAGACGCGTAGGGTGTTCCTCCAGCGCATGTGGTGGTCATGATCATCGGGGCAACGCACTCCCAAGAGATCATGGCGAATGTGAGGTCGCTGTCGATAGTTTCTCGATAAATAAGACTCTTTCCAGAATCGCTGGTTATGGTCCCATGCATAGCTCGGCAATGACCTCACCGGGCCCTTGGTGCATTTTAGGCCAAAAGCAGCGTCACTGTACGAACTCAGATCGACAGAATCCGCGCCGAGCTCCTTCCAGAGGAAGCCCAGTGCGTCCGAAATCGCCTCGGTATCGTTGCTAAAACGAGACAATGTGCCACAATACGGCATTATTATGCCGTTTTCTTGCTTCGTAGTCTGGGTGACGGGCCCTTTTAGAGCCGGATGAGGCCCAACTTCCACGCCAATGACAAATGGGCCATTGCACCGAGTGGCAGTCTGGAGTGCCTGAGAGAAGAGAACGGTATTTGCCATGTTGTCGGCCCAGTATGTCTCTTTGAGCGAGTCGCTCTCCTCTCCCGTTGTCATGGATCGTCCATGAACACTGGAAATCCAGTTGCATCCGTTGACGGGTGTCAAGGGAGTAATGTGGCATGCTTGCAATGCTGCGCAGTATAATTCCAGGCAGGGCCGCATATGATGGGAATGGTAAGCTGTGTCAACTTTGAGAAGACGGCAAAACGTCTGCTGCGCGTCAAAGATACCCTTGGCCTCTGTAATTGCATCCTCATCGCCAGCAAGAGTCACGGACTGGGGGGCATTGCTAGCGGCGACTGCAATTCGGCCTTCAAAGCGCCTGCTGATGATAAAGTCCTGTGCTTCATCAAAGGAGACACTCACTGCCATCATGGCTCCTTTGATACCATCCCCGCCACAGGCCATTTTCGCACTGACACCTCGATAATATGCGATCCGAATGGCATCCTCAGCGGAGATCAGACCCGCAGCGTATGCAGCACCGATCTCACCAGATGAGTGTCCAACCACTGTATGGAATGAAACGTTAGCTGCTCGTAGGAGATCAACAAGAATCACTTGTACGGCGGTGCATAACGGCTGTGAGAGTGCCGCTTCTTGGATCTGTGATAATTCTTCAGCGTTGGTCAGTTTGTCTTTAATGGACCATATCGGGCCATCAGGGAGATTGTCAAGAGATGTCTGCATGTTCCGTATAGTTTCTTGCGCCATGGGGGATGCCAGAATGACCTCCCTTCCCATCCCCGGCCATTGCGCACCTTGACCAGTGAAGACTCCCAGTATCCGCGTGGACGTTGACGAGGGTTGCTTCTGTTCACCGATGGAGGGTACATGCAACGCAGACTCCATATTCTGAAGAAGCTTCTCTTTACTTGCTCCCGAGAAGGTGACTCGAGCAGAATGTTGGGAGCGCCGAGAGGCCAAGGTTACGGCTAGATCATGCAACTGAGAGATATCGTTTGACTGCAACAATGTGACATAGTTTTGAACTAGCGAGAGCAGTGAGCTTTGACTGGCAGCTGAGAAGGTTAAAGGAACGGGTAGGATGGTAGACAGCGAAGAGGTAACGGATGGTTGGTCATAACTCTCAATGATAACATGTGCATTCGTTCCTCCGAATCCAAATGAATTCACACTGGCTCGCCGAGGAGCCTTCTCGTCAGGCCAGGGCAACACCTTGGTAGGAACCTGCAACTTCTGGGAAAGGGGTAAAATATCTGGATTTATGCGGTTGAAATGCATGTTGGGAGGAATCTGGGCTCGTCGGACCGCTTCGGCTGCTTTCAGTAGACCAGCCAGTCCAGCACATCCTTCCAGGTGGCCAATTACTGTCTTTACAGATCCAACATAAAATGGCTTGCCCTCTGCAGGGTCTGGGAAGAATGCGTCGCGAATAGCGCGTGCCTCAATAGGATCCCCTCGTGGTGTACCAGTTCCATGAGCCTCGAAGAATTGACACCGGTCCTCAGGGCGGGTGCAATCAAGGCCGGCTTTGCAATAAGTTTGCTGGATAAGAGCCGTCTGTGACGATGCGCTGGGCATTGTGATGCCTTGAGTCCGTCCATCCTGGTTCACTCCCGTCTCTCGGATAATGTACTCAACGTGATCCCCGTCTGCTAATGCCTGAGACAAAGTCTTGAGCACGACAGCTGCAAAGCCCTCTCCACGGGCGTATCCATCTGCCTCTGCATCCCACATGCGGGATCTCCCAGTCGGGGACAACATGTGCAGCTTCGATTCGGCAATCATCATTTCAGGGCCGAGGATAAGATTTGCTCCAGCGGCGACAGCAGTCTTACATTCTCCGGCCCGGAGAGATTGTACCGCATGATGGAGTGCGACAAGACTAGATGAGCATGCTGTATCGATTGTCATTGATGGCCCTTTCCAATCAAAGAAGTATGAAACTCGATTTGACACAATGCTTCGGGCAGTGCCTGTGGCCATATACATCGGCATTTTCTCGGGATCGCGGATCTGCAGCTCATGATAATCGCCCGTCATGAGACCAACATACACTGCTGTATCAGATCCTTTCATGCCAGTGATGGTCAAGCCCCCGTCCTCCATCGCCTCGTATACGGTTTCCAGAAGCAGTCGCTGCTGGGGATCGATTGCTTCGGCTTCACGGGGGTGGATACCGAAGAATGAGGCATCAAAGCCGCTAACATCCTCGGTGAGGAGATACGCGTGCTCAACGTTTGTGCTACCATGTCGTTCTCCATTAGAATGATAGAAACCTTTGGTGTTGAATCGAGACAAAGGAATCTGAGTGAGAAGATCTTTTTTCGAACAAACAGCTTCCCACAGCTTGGATGGGCTGTTGATGCCGCCGGGGAAGCGACAGCCTGTGCCGACTGTGACAATGGGCTCTGAAGAGTAAGTGGATCGCATTGTATATGCAGTACTCCAATGGACTATGGAAGATTTCGAAATTGAAACGTATGGGTCAATGACGGCATATAGAACGAGAGTTGGGATCAGCGCCCAAGGCTGCAACTATAGGTATGGATATATTAAACATCCCAGATCAAAAATAGATCAACGACACCCACGTGGTGTTCATCGGCATTCATATTGCGGTGACGTAAACCCACCGAGGCTCTAGTTAATATACGGAGGATATTAAGATGATATCCTCAGCCATTAGGGTACAGTTCCATCTGCGTCTATAGCACTTCAACATGGGCTGGTTTTTCAAGTCGGAATTCTTTGACTTCGAGTTCCTACGTGTAATTGGCACTGCTCCCGTTCAAGGTGCTGAAATAGGAGAGTGCCTTGACGCGGTATCTCGCATAAAAGATGGAGACATCGACAGCTGGTACGATACCTGGTTCGATTTGGCGAGGCAGGCAGAGAGTCTAGGCCAAGACGCTCTCCAAGCCAACGACCGAGAAGCTGCAAGATGGGCCTTTTTCCGGGCCTCCAACTATTGGCGGGCCAGCGAATTTTTCCTCCATTGCAATCCCACAGATCCTCGGATTGTCAGCACTTTTGAGAAGAGCGTGACGAATTTTCAGAATGCAGTTAAACTGCTCGATGAAGATGTTCTTCTCCTACAAATCCCTTACGAGGATATCCAACTCCCGGGCTATCTCTTCCTCCCGGCCCCCCACAAACGGCTGCCCGGAGGCACTCCGTTGCTCATCCACACCGGCGGGTTTGACTCAATCGGCGAGGAGCTCTATTTCTACGTTGCATCCGGAGCTACGGCTCGAGGGTATGCGGTGCTGATCTTTGATGGCCCCGGACAAGGCGCAGTATTGCGACGTGAGAAGAAGCATTTCCGAACGGATTGGGAGGTTGTGATCGGCAAAGTCTTAGACTACGTGATAGAGAGTGTTCTCCCAGGGCCAGCAGTTAGCCACAACATTCAAAAGGACTCCATTGCTATCTTCGGTGCTTCCATGGGTGGATATCTCGCCCTACGAGGAGCGGCCGATCCTCGGATCAAGGCCTGTGTCTCCTGCGACGGGTTCTACGACCTGTTCGATATCACCCGTACACGCATGCCCTCGTGGTTTATCAACGGCTGGGTTAACGGCTATCTGGGGGACTCCATCTTCAACTGCGTGGTGGGCCTTTTGTCCCATCAGAGTTTCCAGCTGGCGTGGGAGTTTGGCCACAGCATGTGGGTCTACGGCGTGACGACGCCGGCGGATGTCATGCGGAAAATGCAAAGTTTTACCCTCCGACTGCCTGACGGCACAGAATTCCTCCGGAAGATCGAAGGGGCCGTTCTGATTACGGGAGCCACGGGCACCATGTACTTTGCGCCGGGGCCGAATGCTGAGCGCCTCTTTGCCAAGTTGGACCATCTTCCACCGAATCGGAAGAGCCTTTGGGTGGCTGAAGGAGTGAGCCTAGGTGGTTTACAGGCCAAGATCGGTGCAATTGGTATCAAACAGCAGCGAATTTTTGCGTGGCTGGACGGGCAATTGGGAATTCGCAGATGACAGGAAAGACTTACAACCTACCGCGCTGGAAACCCGCCGAGAGAGAGCAATAAAAGAAGCGTTGGGAGACAGTCGGTAGAATTGTACTTACTCTATGTTTCTTTTGTCAATCCCGTGTTTCAGTCTTTATACTGGAAGTAGCGTAACTCAATTCATTCAGTTCACTTCATAGACACAATGGCCTTTGGCAAGCTATATACCTATTCTCCGAACGCACGAATCCTCAAGGTACTCCCCTGTGCTTTTCTATCTAACTCTGTACAAGAACACTCTTCATACTGACCATACTGAGAGATCCAAGCCGCAGCTCAAATCAATGGCCTGAACATAGAACTAGCGTCGGGCTTCCAAATGGGCATCAGCAACAGAACTTCCCACTTTCGCGCTAAATTCCCTTTGGGCAAAGTTCCAGCATTTGAAGGCCCAAACCAAACGGTGCTTTTTGAATCAGATGCCATTGCTCAGTTTGTCGCCGAGAGTGGTCCCAATGCCCAACAGCTGCTAGGTGATCATGCCATCGAACGCGCCTCCATCCGACAGTGGGTCTGCTTTGCTGACCACGAGATCATGGAGCCGGTGACCAAGTTGGTGATGTGGAGGGTGGGGTTAGCTCCCTTCGACGCGGCTGTCGAAGCGCAGTCCATGACGACACTTCGTCGGGCATTGCAGTGTCTTGAAAGGTGCTTGAAGGACCGGCAGTGGATCGCTACAGACGGTCAACCAAGCCTGGCGGACCTCTCGCTGGCGGGTGCTCTGTACTGGGCTTTTATGCAGGTCATTGACACTGAGATGCGAGAGGAATTCCCAATGGTGACTGATTGGTTTCGAAATGTCGTTGCCCAGAAGGAGATTCGCTCCGTTTTTCAAGATGTGACATTTGTTGATAAGAGACAAGAACACTCGTAGTTCAAGAATTGTAGCATTGTTGAAGTTCAGAGGAACATTAGTTGTTACCATTCTGACCAGAGTACTTGACGATTTATAGAGTCGGATTGATTAGATACAGAGTATAGAGGACAAATTTAACCCAAACCTGCCTGATTCTATACAAAATTTATTCCAAGTTCGAAGATCGCTCTCTTGACCAATCCTGCATTCATAAGAAGTATGAACAAGAGGAGAGAGCATTGGCTCATCATTATGACATGCACGATTTAGCTACGTTCGCGAATCTTCACAAAGTGTTTTCCCGCCTGTAACTGCAATGCCACGCGAAAGACTGTTGATTCATCCTGACCGGGAATATAATCTAGGGTATAAACCCTCAACAGCGAGACTATAGTCAAGTACACTTCCTGCAGAGCAAAGTGTTTGCCAATGCAGACGCGACTGCCTGCGGAAAAGGGGTAGAAAATCTTCTCGGTAGTTTTCATATCGGCAGCCGGTTCTAACCACCGCTCGGGGATAAACATTTCCGCCTGCTGCCAGAGTTTGGGGTCCAAATGCAGTGTGGTTGTGGTTGGAAAGACTGTCGTCCCCTTAGGGACGTGATATCCCAGAATGGTGGTGTCCTCTGTGGTTTCTCGCGGACTTCCACTTGCCATGGCGGCGCGTAATCGCATGGTCTCGTTTACGCAAGCCTGCAGATACGGCATTTGCGGCGCCATGTCCGCGGTCGTCTCCTCTGTCGAATTGGGGTAGAAATGGTCAATCTCCTCGTGCAGTTTGGCCAGCTTGTCCTGATGCTTGGCCAGGAACATCAGAAGAAAAATCTCTGCATTGGCTGTCGTTTCACTCCCGGCTGTCAACAGCACGACGACTTCATCTTGCAGATCCGACGTCTGGAAAGGTGATGCTGGCCGGTCATCTACTGCTTCCACTAGCTTCTGCAAGAGATCCTGCTTGGGCTCGGTTGCCATGGTTTCTCGGCGCTGATCCACGATGCCCCGAGTGAACTTATCAATGTATGGATCGCGCGTTGGGAACCATGGGAGCCCTTTTAACCAGGGAAGGAACTGGAAAATGCCCGAGAGCAGGAGGCTGTGCTCAATCTTCTGCGGCAAAGGATGACTACCGTGTTCAACAACATTGAAGGTCTGTCCAAATGTGGTAGCCCCAATGATATCGACTGCTAATGCACGGATAAGGCGATGAATATCAATCACCGCTTCTCCGTTATGTTCCGTGCATGCTGTCTGCAGCTTCTTGAGAGCCACCGCCACACAGTCCCTCATGATCGGTTCCATTCCACGAATATAACGAATGCCAAACATTGATGAGACAAGCCGTTTGCGCTGCGAATACGCTTTCTTGTCTGTAAAGGCTAGAAGGGTTGGACGATCGGGGTTCTGGCGGAAATTGGAGTAGATGGCCTGGGATTTGGGCCAGTCTTCAGTGACAAGGATGCGCCGGATAGCATCTCTATCAGAGACAGCAATCATTCGGGGTGCGAGAACCACGATGGGCCCATATTGCTTATGCAGGTCCCACATTGCATTGTGGCTTTTGCCTCTAGTGATAGCAACGACAAACGGCCATTCGGACAGTTTGTTAACCCATGGACCGGGGATTCTATTCAAGACAGAGACGGAGGCCTGAAGGATCTATCATTCTGTATTAGATCCATGCATAGCCAGTAAGGATAGAGATATGTATAGTACAAGTAGGTACTTACGTTCCGTAGCCGGGGAATCAGAAAGCAGAGAATCAATCCCGCATAAATGCTACGGAAAAGAAATCCTGAATTGTACAGTTCTGATATATTTGCAAGAGCCATGATAAATGACAGCGGTTGGGTTGACAATGAGAAGGACCTGCCGGAGAGCAGAGGATGATTCCTGTATGATCATGGTTTTATCACTGCCTACATATTCTTCCGGCAGGGAAAATCCGCCGAATCTCGTCAATCCGCCGGTTCCCAGTTTTAATAATTACCTCCCCCTACTTGCAACTCCGGTTATTCTACAAACGTTGTCGCCATGGAAGCTCAGAATCCACAGAGAGGATGGCGCTTCGTCGTCATTTTCTGCGCCCTGTGCATGACAGCTTTTCTGTCCGCCCTCGACACGTCCATCATCTCTACCGCGCTGCCCACCATTGCCGCCGATCTCAACTCCGAAACTCTCTATGTCTGGACGATTAATTCCTACTTGCTCTCCTCCACGGCGGTCCAGCCACTCTTCGGACAGGCGGCTAATATCTTCGGTCGGCGCAGTCTGACCCTGCTGTCGGTGGTGTTGTTCGCCCTGGGCAGTGGCATTGCTGGAGGTGCCCACAACACCGCCATGATGATTGGGGGGAGGACAGTCCAAGGCATAGGAGGTGGGGGGATAAACACCATGGTGGAGATTGTTGTATGTGATCTAGTGTCTCTGCGGGAACGAGGTAAATATGTCGGTCTGATAGGGTCAATGTGGGCGATTGGATCCGTTCTGGGCCCCATCCTGGGAGGTGTCCTTGCCCAGCATGTTTCCTGGCGATGGATCTTTTATATTAATCTGCCTTTATCGGGGGCGGCGTTGGCATTACTTATTCCTTTCCTCCGTCTTCGCTATCGTCGCGAGGGTAATCTCGTCGACCGCCTGAAGTGTGTCGATTATGTGGGCAACACAATCTTGATCCTGGCCGTAGTAGCCATTCTGCTAGCCTTGACCTGGGGTGGGACGGTCCATGCCTGGTCTTCCTGGCGCACCATCGTTCCTCTCGTGCTGGGCTTTGTCGGATTGATCGGATTTCTCCTGTACGAAGCCAGCCCGGCCGTTCAGGAGCCCACGATGCCCATGAGGCTGTTCACCAACCGGACCTCGAGCACGACGTTTGTGCTCAGCTTCTTGCACGGCATCCTCCTTTACTGGGCATGTTACTTCCTCCCTGTCTACTTTCAAGCGGTTCTCCACGCCTCACCCACCCGATCGGGCATCATGCTGTTTCCCATTGCCACTACCACCGCTCCCTTTGGCGTCCTGGCCGGTATTCTCATCACCATTACCGGACACTATAGCATCTTCCTCCTTTCCGGCTTTGGCTTTGTGACCGTCGCCTGTGGGCTCTTCAGCCTGCTGGATGACCAGTCCACCACCGGGGAGTGGGTGGGCTTCCAGATCCTCTTTGGCGTGGGCGCGGGCATCATCTTTACTAGCTGTCTCCCTGCTATTCTTGCTGCTCTTCCCGAGTCAGAAGTGGCCACCGCGACGGCGACGTGGACATTCCTTCGCAGCTTTGGTTCCATCTGGGGCACTGCCATTCCGGCGGCGGTGTTTAACTCACGCGTGAACTCGTTACTTGGGACAGTTCCCGACGACGCGGCTCAAGCGTGGCTGGTCAATGGAGGTGCTTACGAGCATGCCACGGCTGCATTTCTCCGGGCATATGAGAACTCGCCTCTTCAGCACAATATTTTGAACGTTTACCTTGACAGTCTGAGGACCATTTGGTACGTGTCAATCGCATTTTCCGGAATCGGGGTCCCGCTAGCCTTGCTGGTAAAGGAATTACCTCTCCGGGAGGAGCTCAACACCGAGTTTGGCCTCGAGGAGAAGAATAAGCCGGACTCGAAGGCACCGAACGTGTCAGCTTAAGAGTGATTGATCCCTTTTCATATGCTAGATGTACTTGTCGATATTTCTCACTCGTTGCCTACCCCCTTTTTTTTTTTTTTTTTTTGAAATGAGAATCCGGTCTTTTACCTACTGTAACCATCACCCCCGACTGTCGGTCCAACTACGAGTGTAGAATGAGGGGATAGGGCCACAACTGAAACATAAAATAGTTAGATTTTTTGGCAAGTTAGAACGCTAGATATAAGAAGCTAGTATATAGCTCATTTTCGCTGTCACAAAATTAGTGCGAAGCTGTATTTGCCTTCCCCAGCTATTTTCAGTATTAGGTGCCTCTTCCGCTTCATTTCCCATAAATATAGTAGGCTTCGTAGCTTTCTTCTTCCGTTCATTCACCTGGCTCATATCATTTTGAAGCTCGAGGGCATGTTCTACAGCTGTCTCACCTTTTTCTGGTAGCCTCACTTTTGCTTCCTGTATCTGTATGCTCTTATTGCAAGCCCATTCTCTTTCATTCGCCTTTCTGCTTCCCTCTCCTGCTGTCGATGTACATATCTTTCTTTGATAGCTTTAGCAACTCTATAGGTCCTTTCTTCTCATACTAGCATCAAAGGATACTATTGCCCTTTAGTCATACCCTGATGAGAAAACCTTCCCATTTATATTTTCCATTTCTCTAGATTCAATAGCGTGTTCTTCAATATTTCTAGCCGTAAGTTCAAAGCACTGTGGATATATATATGCAGAATCAGCCAGTTGTACGTAAAGGAAAATTTTTATTGTTATTCAGATCTGAAAAATATGGTTCATATACAACATGAACATAAGGTGATTTCCATTCCGTATATCCTCTATTGTTTACTTGATCGAGCCTCGATTCACACAGGTTACCGGTGAGCCGCCCTCGTTCAAGCGGTCGGGCGCCCCGCTAGTCAATCACATGACCTATTTTACTGTTTCGTCTGTATATAATACACAAGATTAATTACCCAGCAGACGACCTTTTGAACCTTCTAACCATGAAATTTAATACCTTAATTATAAGTACTTTCTAACTGATTCTTAGCCACTTATTTAGTACTTATGTCAAATATTCTGCCTCCAGTAATTAGTTGTTAACTAAGAAAATATAAGAAAAAGCTGTAAGAATGTCTCTTAAATACATTTAAAAATTATCTTAGCTTTATTAGTTAAAGAAAGTTATTTTGTTCCCAAGTGGTTATAAATCAGTTAAGAAGTACTTGAACGGTAGATAATTGAAATCAAATTTCACGGTATATAGTACAGTATTTAAAAGCTGAGGTGCCTCGCCCCTACTGCCAAGACCTGTGGGGCGGGCGCGTGGCTTCTCGCAAGGGGCACCTGACCTGTGTACTCCGATTCACAACAGTAAGCCGTGTTCAGTAAGATTATCAATCCATTTAATAAGCTGTTTTGACTGTCGGTTGTATGACAGTTTACTGATTTCCATACACATATTTACCAGAGCTCTATACACCACAGTGTCTTGACAACATTAACGGGTAAACCTGTGTTTTTTGGCGAGTCTTGTATAATTGATTTTTTCTTTTTTCCCCTGGTGCCACATGTAGATCAGGATAGGACTTAGGTGAGAGATGGACTGAGGTGGACTGACCCCGTTTCCTCCACGTTCGATATTCTAAAGTATGAGTCGCCTAAGGACTGCCACCACCCTTTGTTGGCCTCACATTGATTCGCCTCTCTTGATTGTTATTATAGCAATAGTTGTGTTTATATGCAATGGCCATATACGCTGATCGTTCAAAAAAAAAAAAAAAAAAAAAAAATCAGGGACTATTGAAAGACACTAATATCAACAGCATAGGTAATAATAGTATTGATCTAGGAACCTGGAGAGAGAAGGAAGAAGGAAGCAGGTGGGTCAAATGGAGGTCCGAGCACCTATAAGTTAGGCCTGCGTTAACAATAACCCACCGTTCCAAATTGGCAGGTCTGGAATATATGTAAATTCGGCGGATTGGACTCGGCGGGTTTCCATCCACTCTTTTAACGTCCTTTCTCATTCCATCGATCCGCACAGTGTCCATCTCCCAGGCCTTGCCTTCCAACTGTTGACTACCTTCCTACCTCCGATCATATACTGGCATACGGCCCCGCTTCGATAAAACCAATCAATCAGAAATGGCGTCCGGCTTGTTCTTCGATCCGATCGCACTCCTCCGCGTCGCGCCACTGGTCACTACCACCTCGTCTCTCATGTACGCCTGGGACGAGCACTGGTTCCTGTCCGGCTTTCTGCGCCCCGAGCATCAGCAGCACAGCGAGGCGATGCTCCCCAGTTACTTCCGTCGTTTCTTCGAGCAAGGGGTCCTGATCATTGCCGGCCTTAACACCCTTACCGTCAGCACCTCCATCGCCAACCTGGTCACTGATCGGCGAGTGCTGGACCGTCTCCACGCCAGCAGGTGGTACTGGGCCGGACTGGGCTTCACGGTCTGTCATTTCCTGTTTGTTCCGTTGATCGCCTATCCCATCCGGGACATCGTGGAGGATCGGTCAAAGGGGCACTGCACTAAGGATTTGCAACGGTGGATCGGGATTCATCGGATTCGTGTTTTGGTTGCAGATTTGCCCTCATGGGCGTGTTTCTTGACAGCAGTTTTGTCGACGTTTCATCTGTGAATCGAGGAAGAGCGTGGATCGTAGAGAACATATGATGTGGTGGTGTTTGAATCCTGTAGAGCGGACATAATATATCTAAAGTCACTATAGCCGTCAGATCGGTGAGAAGAAGAACACCGAGTAGAAGAATCCTCCGAACAAGGACATGCTACTTTTTTGCTTACATAAATAAACTGAAGGTCACGCTCCCTCGGTGCGGACTGGCCTCAAAACCGGGTTGATTACTCTGATCAACCGTCAGTCTCACCACAGCTGTGGCTCGTCTTCCTAACCGTGACAGCCAAGGGCCGATGGCAGTTCCCCCCCCGATTTGGCATTCGAACCCGATGGCCAACCATCCCGAGATCCTGGACAATGATGTCCCCATGCGTGGCCAAGGTTTCTACAATGCGCACTCGGCCCTTCAAACAGCCGCCATGCATCGAGCATTGCCCCTGTTTGACAATGTTTTTCGTGCGACCGGATCCGAGGTCTTTACCATCGTGGAGTATGGTTGTGCGCAAGGCGTCAATTCGTGAGTGTGTAGTGACAGTCCCGACAGTCCCAGCAGTCCTCCAATTCCAGAGGCTAATTGAGATGCCAGCATTCCACCTATCCAGCACATCCTGCAGTCTCGCTACAGCCATGCCAATTTGGACATCGACGGGCGCAACGAGAATAGTGAAGCCCATTTGATTTTCACGGACCGGGTGGGAAATGACTTTACCACGTTGGCTCAGACCGGGCACAACGTCCAGTGGATTCCGGAGACGAAGAACACCGGCCTCACAATCTTCACATCGATGGCGGCCAAGAGCTTCTATGAACGCGTCGTCCCCAACAGATCGGTCGATGTCGGATTTTCTCTGGCAACACTGCATCATTTGGAGCGTTCCCCACTCGCCTCGGCCGGGGGAAATGGAAGGGAAACCTCCGACGAACGGGGATATCTCCGACAGCAGGCACATCATGATCTCCACCGCTTCCTCACTCTGCGTGCGCGGGAGCTCAAGTCTCGTGCATCCTTGGTCCTGTCGTTCGTCGGCAAATCTTCCCGCGGCATCCCCAACTACCCGGGCCTCGTAAATGCATGCAGACAAGCGATGATCCAGATGGTCCGGGACGGGCAGATTTCCCCTTCCGTGGCCAGTGCATTCCATGTCCCGACGTATGATCGAACAATGGACGACGTCCGACAGTCGCTGGCAGAGGTCCAGAATCTCTGGGAGGTGCAGGACCTATTTGAGTCAGAAATCGTCCATCCGGCCTACGAGGCGCTGCAAAGGGCAGGTTTCTCTCACAAGTCTGGAGAGGCTAGCGAGATGTATGCCGATACCGTCGTAGACTGGGTGATGGCGGTCATCTCGGGATACTTTGACAAAGCCTTGCAGGTTGCCGCGGGGATGACAGACCTCAGCGCGCGGGAGGGATGCCTGAAAGAGTGGAGAGGCCGGACAAAGGCGATCTTTCTGCAGCAGTATCGGGATGAGAAAGTGAGCTGTTGGTTTATCTTTGTTAGACTCATCCGTATCTAGGTAGAAGTAGAGTTTTGATGTCGGATTGTCTTCAGTATATCTATCTATTTTTGCACACACGGATATACAGTATGTTCTTCTGGTGCCTTTGCTAAATACCACCCGGTCTCCCACCAATACACCCAGAGACTATACCAACAGCTCTTCTCTCAAAGGGGCCAGTCCCACTTGAAGTGTTGCAAAATCAAGCACAACATACAATCGTTCCAAAAAGGTTTGTCCAAAGAGTGCCATCGGGCCATTCTTGTTGAAGTCCCAGGCTTTGATATCGAGATCGTAACAGCCGTCATCACGATATGTGACATAGGTCGACGGGAGAATGGTGTAATTCTGCTTGTCCTGCAATTCGTACGTGAGAGTAGGCAGATCGTCGAGATTCATTCCGCAAGGAATCGAATACTTCGTACCAGCCGAGGTGTTAACCATGGTGGCGTTCGTCACCTGCAAGAGACTGGCAAGTGCGCTGTGAGGTACTGGCGCTCCGTATCCCTCGGACCCTTCATCGAAAACAGCCCGTGGTACATTGTCGTCACACCCTATAGCGCACTCTCCACCTTGCAGCGAGACCATTTCCGTGCCAATCCACATTCCGGTCCATCGAACTGCCCAGAAATTATCCCGGCCGGGCTTCACATTCAAGGGGGCACTGCGAGAAAGACACTCTTCCACCTCGATATCAAAGAAAACCAAGTCCGACGGATCGAAAATATCACCGCCTGTGACGCAGCCAAAGACGGTCAGCATGTCATCTCCGTTGCAAGTCTCTTTGGAGCTCAACGCGGCGCAGGAATGGATGCCCACTTGCGGACCAAACTTGCCGCCCAGATAAGCTTGATAAGATGCTGGGTAGAAGGTCTCATTCAGAGGCGGCAGAACGGGCGCAAGACCAAAGATCCCGCCAAATGGAACGACTTCGGTGACGACAGTGCTGAAATTCGAGAGCTGAATCACGGTCCCATCAGAGCAGATATCCCCGATGCACACAGTATCTTTACCGTACGTCACGGCGAACTTGACACCAGGAAGAAAACTGGTATTCTCCCACCCAGTGGCGGCAAATGAGGTATTCTGAAAAGTAGTCGATCTGCGCTCGTTGAACCATTGCTGGCCGGATGGGATGCACTCGGTGGCACTGTAGCTTCCACCGCAGTGTGCCGAACGGGTGAAAAGAGACATCCATGTCCAGTCGCTTAGGACAGTCATGGGCTGCGGAGGGGTCCCGACTGAAAGATTGAACAGCGGACCAAGAGGTGAAGATCGCATGGGAATAGACACGGATATGGTAGATGCTGCTGCATCGCTGCAGTTGCTCGCTGCGGCGGCACTGGCCGCGAGGAGAGCTGTAATGAAGCCAAGCAACGAGTGCCGCGAAGGACGCAATGTATTCATCATGTAGTATATGAGATTTTCGATCAACTACCCTGATGCACACGAGGCTGCTATTTATGGGAATGTATGGGCCAGATTTTGACCGTCACCCACATGGGTGCCAATGAACTCGTGGGGCTCCACTGGCATTACCATCCAATTGTCATTCTCGTGTACTACCGTACACACAACCTCTGCGTGCATGTAGTGCGGAAACTGGACCATTCTGGCGAGGTATGCTTTGGGATGATGCGGCAGTCCACCGAACCCGCCGAAACTCGCCGATTAGGTCGCCGCAACTGTTATGCTTGATCCTCTCTCTTCCTCAGTTCTAAACGGAATCCACTTTCTAATATCCACATAGGCACTATGTCCGATAAATTTGAGTTATCGTTCGATTCGTTCTTTAATACTGTGGACGGTGAGCAGCGAGGCTCACCTATACTCCATCAAGGGATTAATCCTACCACCGGAAAACCATTATGGGATGTTCCCGTAGCCACCGCGGAGGATATCAACGATGCCGTGGTCGCAGCCCAAAAGGCATTCGCGAAATGGTCCGCTATGGGGTACTGTAACCGGGCCCAACTGCTCGACCAATTCGCCAATGCTTTCCTGAAGTTGGCCCCCCAATTCACAACGCTGCTACAAGCAGAGACTGGTCGGACTGTGAGTATCTATCTGACGTGCATCAACTTCCAAATTGGCATTGTCATAATCGTTCTACCGGCAATATGTGGCTGAGTATCCCGTTAGAAAGATATCGCCCAGATCGAAGTACACTGGTCGGTCCTCTGGCTTCGCCACCCAGGTACGCAACCGCATGAAAATCTGTTAACCAAGTTGATTAAAAGAATCGTGTACTAACGCAGACAGGCTCCCTGGCCCTCCCTCATCAAGTCTTGGAAGACGAGGATAAATATGTTACGATCGAGTACAAGCCGCGAGGTGTCGTGGTAGCTATCTGTCCCTGGAATTGTAAGATATTGTCTTAGCTGCCTTGAGTAAATCCGCTAACGCGCTAGTTGCGACCATGTAGATCCAATCATGCTGGGTGAGATGGGTGATATTGCAGACGACAAGAAAGAAGCTGACCATAGGTAGCATTCGGCAAGATTGCCCCCGCTGTGGCTGTTGGTAACTGTGTGATTGTCAAGCCCTCGTAAGGATGGCGGACTCCGATGCATGGATGCTCTCCCTGACTAAAATTTCAGACCCTTTACCCCGTACACTACTTTGAAGTTCGTTGAGCTGGCACAGTCCATTTTTCCACCAGGCGTTTTGCAAGTGCTGGCCGACGACGGACAGTTAGGGCCCTTACTTGTTGATCATCCAGGGATCGCCCAGATTTCTTTCACGGGATCCACTGCAACTGGGAAGAAAATCATGCAAGCGGCAGCAAAGACCATGAAGAAAGTGACGTTGGAATTGTCAGTACCGATCATCTCCCGGAAAATGATTGTCTGCTAAGCCCGGACTAGGGGAGGCAATGACGCCGCCATCATTCTATCGGACGTTGACGTCGACAAAGTTGCACCGCAGGTTGCCATGGGTGCATGGTGGAACTCGGGGCAGTCTTGTATCGCCGTTAAACGCGTCTATATCCATGAATCCATCTACGACCGCTTCATGCGTGCTCTTGTCCACTTCAGCAAGATGATCTCCGTGGGATGCTCCTCTACCAGCGGTGGCCCTGTCCTCGGCCCGATCCAAAACAAAATACAGTTCCAGAAGCTGAAAGAGCTCGTGGCAGAATGCCGACAAAGGGGGTACAAATTTGCGTTGGATGAGCCTCCCACGGCAAAGGCCAGCCTCTCACAGCAGTCGCTCGAAGCGGGTTTCTTCCTCTGGCCGATGGTTGTAGACAATCCTCCGCCCGATTGTCCCCTTGTCGTTGACGAACAGTTTGGTTAGTCCTGTTTATTCCAGGTGATACAGTAGGGATTTTCAAGAGCTAACAATTCCGGTGTAAGGACCGATCATCCCATGCGTTCCATTCTCTGATGTGAATGCGGCCATTGCAGCCACCAATGCGACGCCGACCGGACTGAGTGCTAGTCTGTGGTGCAGTAATGAGGAGGCTGCCAAGGGCCTTGCGGATCAACTCGATGTGGGCACCGTCTTTATTAATGGTCCAGCCCGCCCAGATCCACAGGTGCCATTCTCAGGCCACAAGGAGAGCGGAATGGGTACTGAGTATGGCTTGGCGGGTTTGCTTGAATACTGTCAGATCAAGTCAATTGTGCGGTACAAGGAGTGTTTGTGATAGAGACTAGGGCTGTAGAGTTATAGAGACATCGGTCTCCATATTAATGTGCGCGGATTAGGGAATTATCAATGAGGTGTAGGGCTGGACACGAATACGGGGGTTGCTTATTTGTATTCGACATTATTCTGAATTATCTCTAGTCGTATTTGTACATGTTTATAGCAGGCTTAATGTTTCTGAATATCAGGCAAGATTCGGTTGAGGGTTGAGGTTGCCAATCGACTGCATAGAGCGGGGAGCACCTGCACCAGTACGTCCCCCAAAAATATATTCAGCAGAATAGAGCAAAATAGAGCAAATTTCATTCGAACGAATATCAGTATTGTATCAATTTCTTATATAAGTCATCAAGTTTCCAGAACAGAATAACGGCAATCAATGTTCCTCTGAATCAAAATATCAGTAAGCAATTTATGCTTGCTAACGGGCTAATTATGCATGGTTGAGAAGTTCGTGGAAATTCACTATCGTGACCATAAATCAAACATTTTCTGCACATGCTGCGGATCATCACCAACTGCATGCAACATGTTACGTAAACCATACCGTGAACCACAAACGCTCATCACTAACAGCGTTGCCAAGCACATAAGTATGCGGTGCTGTAACTCTGGATAAGAGAGGTCGATTCGTGTAAGACGCTCTACTGTTAGGCGGATTTCGTTTACCGTATCCCAAAGCATATCACGCACTGAACGATTCTGTGCCTCTGCCTGTGCTGTTACATAATTCCACTCGTCCCCTGACTGCTCTTTCCAGTAGCTGCACACGTCATTTACTGCACACATATAGAACACAACATCGTGCTCTACATAGGACGCCTCAGGAATATATCCCAGATCATTTTCGCTGACAAAAAATACATGGGTCCATGTTTCAGCAGCAGCGTCACGGCGTCGATGATTCCAAGGAAACTTAGTCGCACCGACAGGTGTTTTTGAGCCAATCGATACTAGATGCTCTCCAACAACAACTGACTGAATATAGTCAATTGTACCACGATAGAAACTTGCTTTCACGTAAGGACCGTAGACTTCAGCCATTGTTCTGGAAAATTCCACGAAGGAGAATAGCATGTGCACTTCAGGTGTCTCGTCACCCGGATGATTTGTGCCATCTCCAAAGAGGGAAAGGAATCGACGCATATGTCGTCGTTTAGAGCTATCCGCCACAGAATCGTCAATGAATAAAAGGTAAACCCCGTGAATGCCTAATGCCACACGTTGGCTATGTCGTAAAGGGAAGAAAAATGCGCGGACCCAATCCACACAATGACGGACAAACTTTTCAAGCACTGGTTGATAGATTCCCACCCATGGCTGTCCTTCAAAGTGTTGAATGATCTCATGACGGATTTCATCGCAGCTCTCGTTTATCGATGCTGACACGGTGTCCCAGATAGATTCAGGAAGCAGCCCAGACACACTGACAATTAACGACTGAATGATAGAAAGATATTCTTCTTTAGACACACAAGTCATGATCCGGGAGGTAAAACAGGAGCAGCATTAACAAGAACAGTGCAAGATCCGTACCAACGGTGAAATTACACGGAAGCAAGTCGACGAAGAAAATGGACGGGGTATTTGTATTGTATGCGCCCTTCCGAAGCGTATAGCTCCTGCAATCGGAGAACACCTTGAACAGTGCGTCATACCCTCCTCGCACTCATTCAAGTCACGTTCCCCTATCTAGTGTGAGCCTGTGATTAGACATTTGGGTGGTTTCTAACAGCCCTTGGACTATTAGTAGTAAGGCAAGCACAACAAGTTATGTGTCTAAATTCTAAATTCCCAGGATTGAACTTTGCCACTGCTCTTTAGTAATTTCTACGTCACCCTAGCATCAGATTTCTAGGGTCAGCTTGCGTGTGCAACAGATATGCTCCATGACCATCTAGCGCCATGGAACCTATCACTGCAATGATCTGGAAACTTGATACTTACTGCTAGTCCTAATTAGTACCTAGAATGGAAATTTGATGACGCGCGTTATCGCACGCAGCGGCACTGATTAGAATATTATTTGTCTTGGTGTACTATTTCGACATTGGTGACACGTGCCATCGCACGCTGAGGCCCTGAAACTAAAGCCGAAACGAGAAATTGGAAATGTATGAGAAGATGAAGGGGTCAGAGTTTATATATGGGTGTAGTAGAGCAAAAAAAAAGGTTGGTTTAAATTGCATCTGATGGATTATAACGGTAAATAGACATGAAGTTTTAGATACGGTACGCAGCATACAAGAGACAGAAGGCAGGAGCACACTTGCAAATATCAGGTTAGTTAGAGATTAGCTGAGAATATCCAATCAAAAAGCGTTGAAGATCAGAAAGTGTCAGAGACAGGCAGCCAGGAAATAAGATTGAAGGTGATGAGTAAATGAAGGAACGTGACAGTAGGCAAAGAAGATCCACTTTGAAAATAATGGCTAAAGACGGAAACAGATAGCCCCAGAGCCAATGAGGAGCGTTTCCGAGAAGAACCTGGTATATGAGAAAGCACAACGGGGTTTTGATGGAGGACTCGTGGGAGAAGTAACCAGTTTGCTCCAGGTCTTTCGCTTCTTATTCGACTAATAAGCAGGGGTAGGCAACATGGTTACTTATCCGTACTATCCGACTAAATGATGATGCGGTGCACAATATGTAAATTAGGTTTTGCAGTATTGCCGCATTGCCTCATGACTTGAATTTAAAGTTTGTGCTTTGGGTTTCGCGAGATATCTCTAGCCAATATAACTTGTAAGCAGAGTCATCCTGAGCTCTTGCCTCAGTATACGGGTGTACACCAGCATCAGGAGTCTATGAGTGTTCTGGGAGTATGAGTAAGCCGTCCGATTACATTAACCAAGCATTCAGTTGTTGATGTTGTCAATGCGGCATACAGGGGACACAGTTAGGCCTGTCAAGTAGTAACAAGTTTCAATATACTTCGTGCCGTCTTTTTAGGCCTGCAGGTGCGCTTCCTGATGAAAGCACTGCCGCGTCATAACGACCAGGCGTCATGCATCCCATGACCACAGCAGCCGTAGGGTAAGTTTAAAAGAGCTACCACTGCAACACGTTTTATGTTGCTCGCCTGACCCTACGCAACAACGGCCACATCCTCGAACATTTCATGGCTAGAATACAGATTCCAACAAAGAGTGCCACGGAGTCGAGTAACCAGTAACAAGTAACATTCTTCTCCCGTTCCACTCTCGTGGGAAAAACACGGATATATTTTCTTGGATTAGAAGGGAGCAATAGAGGGTCTTAAATTACGTAGTGCTTCCTGTTGTAGTTTAGAAGAGGATTGATTTTTATTATTCTCATCTGAGAACTTGAGAGTTCCTATACAGTTTTTTCATCGGAAACCTTAGAATTGGCACGTAACCTGGCACATTTTGGTATAAGCCCTACTTGTCCCATATTTATTCTCTCTTTTCGACGCCACTCAGCGCCCAAACCGTCAGCATCATGTCTGCCTCATTGCTCGGTAGCTTGACGGTTGGCTTTATAGCCATATATATTGCCATGGTCTTCTTGTCTCAGAAAAAGACACTCGTGCCTCTACCTCCTGGTCCTCGACCCAAGCCCATCGTTGGTAACTTGGGTGACCTGCCAAAATCAAGCGAGCCGGGGTGGCTGCATTTTGCCAAATACAAAGACCTTTACGGTATGACAACTTTCAGATCCTGTTCTGATTTGGCCCACAGCAAGGCCATGAGATTAACGTGACTAGGACCCATTAGCTCTCTCACTGCCTTTGGGCAAACGCTGATTATCCTTAATGAGCCTCGACTGGCATTCGAACTGTTGGAAAAGCGCTCAGCAAAATACTCATCCAGACCGCATCTCGTCTATGCCTCGGAGCTGTAAGTGTCTTTAATTTCAGCGAATAACCAAGTCTGACAGCTGTTTATAGGGTTGGCTGGAAATGCTTTTTAGTACTAACGCCGTATAATGATCGCTTCCGCGCTTACCGTAAAGCTATTCATCGAGGAATTGGCTCCAAAGTAGCTGTTTCACAATTCAACCACGTCCAAGAGGTGGAAGCCAGGCGGTTCTTGCTTCGAGTGCTTCAAAATCCAGATGGTCTTTTTCACCACGTCCGGAAGTAAGTTAAAACCTACCCGCAAGCAAATCGAACTGTAAGTTCTAAATAATAGCAATAGGGAAACTGGTGCCATAATACTGAAGATAGCATATGGCTATACAGTTGAGCCGCATAAAAATGACCCACTGGTGGACCTTGCAGATACTGCGCTGGAGCAGCTTTGCCTCGCTACTCTTCCGGGTGCTTGGTTAGTGGATGTTATACCGATATGTAAGAAATCCAGACAATATTTTTTATTTAACCCCTGATAAGGATACCAACCCAGTGAAATATCTGCCTGCCTGGTTTCCTGGTGCTGGGTTCAAGCAAACAGCAAAAGCTTGGAGGGATACATTAGCCGCCTTTGGAGGTAAACCTTATGAGTTCGTAAAAAAGCAAATGCATTATGGCGACTATGAACCTTCTTATCTCTCTAATTTACTAAAGTTTGGATATGCCAAACCTGGGTCAGAAGAGGAGATTATCGCCAAGTGGTCCGCCGCGGCAATTTACGCTGGTGGAGCCGATACGGTAAGATTGGCAGAAGAAATTAGACATAAAAATTGCGCTATAACAGCCTCACAGACAGTGTCTTCCATGTCGTGCTTTTTCCTCGCCATGATCCTATACCCCGAAGTTCAACGCAACGCTCAGGAAGAAATCGACCGTGTGGTTGGAACGCATCGACTACCTCGGTTTGAAGACCAAGAAAGTCTCCCTTATATTAATGCATTGGTCAAGGAGGTCCTTCGCTGGCATCCCGTCGGAGCGATGGGCTTTGTCCACCTGGCCACAGAGGAAGATATCTGCGAAGGCTACCGTATTCCAAAAGGAGCACAAGTAATCCCAATTATCTGGTATATCTGAATGTTCTCCAATATAGCAACGTTCCTTAGTCTCTAACTTTCCAAGGGCCTTCCTGCATGATCCTGATATATATCATGACCCAATGACCTTCAAACCAGAACGTTTTCTACCCCGCGACGGCTATACCCCCGAACGAGATCCGCATGAGTTCGCCTTCGGCTTTGGACGCCGCAGCTGTCCAGGTCGCATCTTGGCTGACGCAAACCTTTATATCAGTATTGCTCAGTCCGTGGCCGTGTTTAATATTAGTAACCCGATTCAAAATGGCCAACGGGTGGATATTCGGCCAGAATTCCGTCCTGGCATTATCCTCCACCCTGCCCCATTTGACTTCAACATCAGCCCGCGTAGTACAGCACGTGAAGAGCTTATTCGGTCAGTTGAGAGAGAGCATCCGTGGGAAACGAGTCACGCAAAGGACCTATAGCCTGCTCCTAATACGAATTCAGTTCTTATGTAGGGCGAAGAAAAGGCGTGGGAAACAGTTAGCAAATGTACGTAGAAACCAGGTAGGGGCTACAGCACAGACAAGTTGATGCGGTCGGGCCTTCACACCATTTAACAACTCCAGTGATTCAAGTAAATGTTACAGAACGGGAAATATTATCTCCTCTGGCAGACCCTAACGCCCGTTCGTGGCATTGAGGTATCTATCTATTAAAGATATTAGATATAGTCTTTATAAATAGGAGGAGAAAAAGAAGAAGAAACACAAAGCTCTAGAAGAGTCACCACTGCTGGAGGCAATTCAGAGTAATGAGCTAGTCTTGATTAGGAAAGCTTGACAATTCGCAATACCATCAGCGATCTGACGATAATTATCGCCAGTATCGTCAGGATTGCGACATCGTGAACAGCCCAAGTGGCTCTATTTTACAAATAGAGATGCTATGAGTCTCTAGGGCCCCGGATAGAGCCGCCATAGGAGTAAAGATGTTAGGGGTCGACCCCAGATTGTAACATTTGACGCCGGAGACTCTCACCTTCCTTATCCGTACAAATGTGATGTATCATATTCATTCCGAGCCCGCAGGCTCAGGATGGAACCCCCTTTTCATCTGATCAGATTTCCTTTTCTTCTTTCTTTCTTCAGCTTATCGTTTACAGTCTTTCTCGAATCTGTCTGACTTACAATCACACTTATTATTTGTAGGCCGCAACACCAAGAGCTTAATGTGAATATATTATTGAGCCAACCACATTTTAGTGAGTGTGGCCGTAATTTTCTATCGTATAAGACGTGAAATATACGATGTGTACTCCGTATATTTACTTAAATGCCCTATTAATCTCTATATGAGCGATATATATTATTACAAGATGTTGAACAAATTGCTCCACACAACTTGTGCGATGATCTACATTCTTAGAGGCGACAGATTGACAGAAGTCAATCTTTTCCATCTTGGTCATCGTGGCCTCTCAAGGGAAGTCCCTCGCTGTTAGCCAGCCAGAAGATTCTGACCCAGGTTGTTCGCATACCTTAAGCTAGCACAGGGACGCATATAATGAGAGAATAAGCTGGAGTTTCTCAAAGAGACTAGGCGGTAAGATGAAGATTAGAAATCTACTACGCCTCTAGGCCCTTCTTTTGAAAGTGATTAGAAATATACGTCATATAGTGGCAGCTTTATTCCGTACGGATCACAGAATACCATGTCAGGGCTCAGTCTTTCAAGGTAACTGTCACCTTACCTTGACATCTGCGCCTCTCTCTAACAGCAGCTGCACGATCTCCTGGAGGGTATTACCACAGACCCCACCTTGTGCATTGACATCAGCACCCGTCTCTAACAGCAGCTGCACAATTTCCTTGTTGCCTTGAAAAGAAGCAGCCCGGAGAGCATTACCATATAACCCACCCTGTGCATTGACATCAGCGCCTGTCTCTAACAGTAGCTGCACAATCTCCTTATTACCTCCAGCAGAAGCAACCTGAAGAGCATTATAATAGGGCCCACCCCGTGCATTGACATCAGCACCTGCCTCTAGCAGCAGCTGCACAGTTTCCTTATTGCCTCCCGCAGAAGCAGCCTGGAGAGCATTACAATAGGGCCCACCCTGTGCATTGACATTAGCACCTGTCTCTAGCAGCAGCTGCACAACTTCCTTGTTGCCTTTAACAGAAGCAGCCTGGAGAGCATTGCCATATTCCCCACCCTGTGCATTAACATCGGCGCCTATCTCTAACAGCAGCTGTACAATCTCCTTGTTGCCTCCAGCAGAAGCAGCTTGGAGAGTATTACCATAGAACCCGCCCTGTGCAGTGACATCAGCGCCTGTCTCTAACAGCCGCTGTACAATTTCCTTGTTGCCTCCAGCAGAAGCAGCCTGGAGAGCATTACCATAGTGCCCGTCCTGTGTATTGACATCAGCATTAGCGCCTGCCTCTAACAGCAGCTGTACAATCTCCTCGTTGCCTCTAGCAGAAGCAGCCCAGAGAGCATTGCTATATTCCCCGCCCTGTGGAATAGTGTCGGCGCCTGCCTCTAACAGCAGCTGCACAATCTCCTTATTGCCTCCAGTAGAAGCAGCCCAGAGAGCATCGCCATAGGACCCACCCTGTGCAATAACATCGGTGCCTGTCTCTAACAGCAGCTCCACAATTTCCTTGTAGCTGTGAAAAGAAGCAGCCCGGAGAGCATTACCATATAGCCCACCCCGTGCATTGACATCAGCGCCTGTCTCTAACAGCAGCTGTACAATCTCCTTGTTGCCTCCAGCAGAAGCAGCTTGGAGAGTATTACCATAGAACCCACCCTGTGCATTAACATCGGCGCCTATCTCTAACAGCAGCTGTACAATCTCCTTGTTACCTCCCGCAGAAGCAGCCTGGAGAGCATTACCATAGTGCCCGCCCGGTGCATTAACATCAGCTCCTGCCTTTAACAGCAGCTGCACAATTTCCTTGTTGCCTTTAACAGAAGCAGCCTGGAGAGCATTACCATATTGCCCGCCCTGTGCATTGACATCAGCGCCTTCCTTCAGCAGCAGTTCTACCGTATGTAGGAGACCTGCTAAGGATGTGTAGTATATAGGGGTTGCCATCATTCCATATTGGCGCATTTCTTCATCCCAAGGCCGATCTGGGTCAAAAAGCTTACGCCATACTGCGTACGCTTGTGTCGGTTGCAGTAAGAAATCCAAGATGCTTTCTTGAACGTCCTTCTCAACCTCGACAGGCCCGGCATGGTACATCCAATACCGTGCAGAGTACTGCGCGAGCGGAAACTCTGCTCTGATTTCCCTGGCTGGACGCTGCTCATCCAGTTGTGACAAGTATGCAAGGCAAACCTTAGTAATGGATCCTCTTGCGCTGAATTCGTTGATGCCCTTTTGAAACATCATACCAACTTCGGTCATTTTCTCTGGGAAAGCTTCTTTAATTCTTTCAGACTTCAGATATTGCTGAACCGAAAAATGTGCTAATTGAAGCTCCATCAACGTCTCTCCTGTATTGCCATCAACCTGTCGCGTTACGAGAGAGACCAGACTGGAACAAATTTTCGTAATTTCTCGAGGTTCCGGCATCCGTAGTTTGGGATCAAAAGAGGAACTTCCGTTGGGTTCGACTACTATAACATCGACAGCTTCTTGGATTGTCAATGGTCGTTCTGAATAAGTAAGAAATTGCAAGAGCCTTATTGCATACTGCCGATAATTTTCGCCAATACTTGCCAGGATTCGAGCGTATGTTTCCTCTAATGTCCTGGGTAAAGTTCTAAGTGATTTCCGAAGCATTCGAAGATCCAGACAATCTTGCAGAATATCAAGCTGACATGCAGCCCACCTGAACCTGTAGACATTGTCAGCGCTGGACGGCTATAAAACCATGGAACCCGTGAATATAGTAACGTATCTTACATTCCATCAGCATTTTCCATAAGTTCAGCCTCGATTTCATCTTGCACAGATGGTTCTGGATGCCACCTTTCAAACCCACGATCATTTCGAAGCCGCCGGTGGACATATAGGCGAATATCACGGTTCACAGTATCTTGCTGAATGGGTATAATATTCCCGTGATGCAGCCACTGTGTTATTTCTAATTCGATATCTTCTTCTTTCCGACTAGTGGCGAGGAGGTGGAACCCTGTATGTCCGGAACGTGCGAGATTTTCCATCCACGAGAGTAAATCTCTCCTTGTTTTGCATTCGTCCAGAGCATCTATGACAATTTGGATCTTTTGGACATATTTCGCCATCTGCATGAACGTAGTGGAGAGGGATTCATATGTTGGTTGCCGGCGACCATCCTCACAGGATGAAAAAAGCTTGTTAAGCTCATTTCGAGAATTCTCACATCTCGAATACAATTGTGCAACGAGTGAGCGGACAAGCTTGTCAAGTGACTGTTTATCAGCATCGGTGAAATCAAAGAAGAAATCAAGGACCGCATTAGATGAATCAAGTTGCTGGTTGAGATGCTCGATAATTGTTGCGCTGAGAACAGTCTTCCCACACCCTGGAATCCCGTGTAGCCAGAGGTGTTGACATTTTCCAGACTTCCATTGTTTGAATGGTTCACTCTGAAGGAACCAGGAACCTGTTCCCTCGTGGCGCTTCTTTTGTGCTTCGTTTAGATTAGTTGAGGAATCGGGAGGGCACAGCCACTTTTTGATCTTGTCAGATTGATTGTCTAGGCTTAAGCTTTCAACAACTGTCCTCGTGCCTGTTGTAATGGAATGGATATCGGCCACTTTTTCTGAGACTTTAATAACAGTTATTTAAAACGCTCTTTGACAAGGGTTTAGGAGAGAGACTAACTGTCCTCCAGAATATCAATAGCTTTTTGTGTCTTCTGGAGGTCTTGACTAGGAACAAAAGCAAGAAGATCCTTTGCATATGCAGCCGCCGTTGCAGCAGCATATCGTTGCCATCGGTCACTCTTGTGTGAGTCCGCGTAATCACATATTCCTCTGATCACAATACACGGGAAATTGTTCATCAGGCCTGCAGCTTCCATTTCAAAGCAAATACATTCATCCCCAATAACCTCCAAGATTTTGTCTCTGTAAGTAGCATCCTTGAAAAGTGTATTACCAGAAGCGATGATGCCGTAGTGGATTTCGGGGTCTGTCGAGTCACGGGGCTCCCGTTGTATTTCTTCGGTAGAGTCTGAGGTCTTAAATAGCCGATCATTTTCAACACCCTGGTGCACATAACCCTGTTTGGCTAATCTGGGATAGCGAGTCATCATTTCTTCGAGATACTCAAGCACTTTCGGTGGCTCGAGTATATGCTGCGCCTGCAAGTTCCCTAATGCACGAAGAAGAACCTCCGGAGGACTGTTAAGGAAAGCTACATTCTTCTGCTGATTTCCAGACTTCGCCTTGAATAGATCGTACTGGATGACGCCACCACTGTTTCCATGAGGTTGGCTGACGGCAACATCACCGAGGCGGATGTCGCGGCCTTTCTCAAGTCTGGCAATGCCGGCTCCGATTCCCACAAGAAGGCCAATTCTAATCTGCGGGAAGGAGGCAAGCATAGGTAATGCAGTAGCTGCCGCGGAAGTCATGCCGTATTTCCCTGCTGCAAGCGATGCGATAACCACGTTGTGTTCACCAATACAGCCCCAAGAATATGAATTTGTGTCGTTATGAGGCTGGACAAAATCAAGTGGTTTTTCATGTTTCTCATCGAGTATTGCCATTGCTGCGGCACGCTCCAGCGGAAGTGCGGCGATCCATCCAACATTATATAGGTTACGAGTCTCCAAGGCCTTGAGCGAAGGCATGACTGATAAGTAAATGCGAGTTAATCGTCCAATCGAATTCCTAGTATCTATTGCTACAGGTTAGCTTCTTGCATTCCAGGTCACTTTTCCCACCTACCTGAGCAGTAGACAGAACGGGTGCCTGCTACAGCGTCAAGGTGTAACTGACCTCCCAACAGTACACCATTGTAAAGTGAAGATACGTTGGAAAGAGCCGTAAAACGCAGAAATAGGAAGATTAAAGAGTTGTCGTTCGATTAGTCAGGATACGATGAATATGAATACGGTAATTGATGAAGATGGTAATAATGAATCGAATCACCTCAAGGTGGTTTGATGGGGACGGGAATCCAGTCAACCCCGCTTTGCTCTCGTGAGAAGGTGGGTGATTTATCACAGCCAAATTAGCCAATGGGGCTTTTCAAGAACGTATTCCAAAGCTATTTGTTGGGCGGCTGGAAGCACCTATCACTTCCACAGCCAGGCAGAAATGATTTTCCGAACTTGATCGCCCTCAATAGGATCCAAATTGGCTTGGCTCGCTGGCCTGTCTTCTTCAGTTTCCACTCCCGTTAGGGACACCAGGTTCAGCCACTGCCGAGTACTACAGGATGGAAACAGTTCGTACTTCTGCTAATCTCCCGCCTCGTGACGTATATCAGCAGAACCCGTAGAACCTATAGGATAGGTTATGTACAAAAAGGAATCGTTAAAGAGAAGAAAGAGAGTGGAAAATGAGCGGTGAACAAACAAGGTTGTTCGTGAGGCACAATTCTCTTTAATTCAGGGGGCTCGGGCAAGCTGACTATCTAGATGGGTGATTAAGTGATGCCGAATATGGTAGGTCCCTAAAAAAGGTGAACAGTCACGTGACATGTATTGAGGGCCAATGGGGCCAATTGGGCCAAAAGGGCCTGTAGGGACAATAGGGACAATAGGGATATTGGCCCGAGAGGTCAAACGGGCTCAAGCCCTTTACGTCGCACGAGTTGTTCGAAGAAATCTGTTAAGCATCTTGTCATATGGCCTATGGGCCCATACAGAGACTAGTGAGACGTTTAAATATACAATAAGTACAATACCTTATATATTTCATGTTTTGTATGTCAGGAAAATTATGGCCGCCCTCATTTAAATTTTGTTGGGTCAATAATATATTCACATACTAAGTTCATGGCGGTGGGCCGACAAATAATCAATGTGTGTTTGGAGGTCAGAATGATTTCGAGAATGACTGTATTTGCCCATTTAATTGGATCAATTACGTTTTCCCACGACATAAGAAATGCGAATATGAATATATGAATTCCCTACTCGCATGAATAATCGCACTGTTTGTATTACCGTACTGTCTATTATAGTGCAGGCTCAACAGGGGGTCAGCATGTTTACCACTATCTGTGCCATCCCGTGACCCAGTAGATATAATCTCAAACAAGAAAATTAAAGAGCGTCTATATCGATTTAGTTGTTTGTTATGAATAGTTCTATAAAATATTGTATAAGCTGGACATATTTCTGTGACTATGGGCAAGATTTTCCCTATTATAAAATAATAGTTATACACTTCACTGTATTTATATATGTCTATCAGCTTATAGGCAGTGCTATCTAGCTAATCCCACTGTACTTATATTGCTGGTCATACTATCCCCTAGCCTGTCTGTAAAGGCACATTTCAGTACATTTTATTCCCCAAGGCCTATTAGCTCATTTACTACACCGTGCTTACCTATTTCCTGTAACTAGTGAAGCTAATAATAATAGTAAAACTCTATGTATGGCTATTATACAGGCGGCAGATAAATTCGCTTAAATGTCCTTTTATACAGGTTAGGCATACCTTTTACTTTCTTCTTTTTCTTTTTCTCTTTTTGAAGTTCTTGTGGGAATGACGAGGTCTAGAGGTGAGACAGTGTGATTCGGTACGGATGGGTCATTTGGTGCTCGGCGGATTTTCTGCTCTCTTCACCATGCCGAGCCCAGCGATGAAAAAGAGGACCAACAAATCGGTGTGCGTCACGGAGGTTTCCAGTGGGTAAACCATGAGGAATTGCCTCAAATCAACTCCGATTAGGCTAGAAGTGTGGGGCGGCGTGACGTTGGTGATTCACGATTACTAGTAATTCCTTATTCATGTAGTCGAGTTACAGACTACAATCCATATTATATGCGTTTTAGTACAGCAGTGAGGAATACTGGTCAATGGCCGAAAGGCTGAACAGGCCAAGCTGCCAGAAATGTAGATTTAAACGTCGTGCCTAATCACGATCATCCCGACGGGCTTGCTGTTAACGTAATCCACAATTGAGCATCCACAGTTCGCGTTTTCACCTGCAGGTGAAATACTGAAGTAATTCACGCATTATGTCTCCAAAATTACATAAAAGTTCAAGAGATTTAATTAAGCAGAAGGGGAGTGTATGTTACTTGTGATGTCCACTTTATAGATTAACGAGTATACAACACTCTTGAAGAATCGCGTGTTTATAATATTCCAATCCAGGGGAAGATTGTTGTAATTCTAATCGGCAAACTTGGTTTATAAATAGCGGGTAACCATCAGATTGATTTCCAATTATCGGATTATATACAGAATTTATTCGCATATAGAGCCCTTCTACTAGTCAGAGCCTCAATCTACAGCAGTGCAACACAGTAGTGGCGATTAAACGGAACTGGTTTTCACGCTGAAAGAAATGTTAATTCATGAATTTTACTGAAGCTAAAGAAATGCTTGTATGGATATTATTTTGGCCTGGAGCAGCTGCCCAGTTATCTCCTGTCTAAGATGTAGCTGTTTGTTAGTTCAAATCCTACCACCCAGGGGTGGTAGGTAGAGCATGCGTAGACTCTGACTGAAAAATGCTCTATAATATGGAATAATAATAATAATAATAATAATAATAATAATGTAGCCAGCACTCCTTCTATCCCTGCGGACTTTACCAACATTAAACCTGTTGGCAAGAACTGGGCTTGCAACTTTTTGGGATGATAAATAAAGACGACTTATTTTCGATGATGTAATTTGTCAATGTCCTGAATATGAGGATCCCAAGCTTATTGCCAGGTTATCCAGCCGTGGAACCAGGAATGGGCGACCTTTACTGTTCATATTAGCTCTGCAGGATGGGTTTGACTACCATGTAAGTCCATATATATGGCTGGTATCAAGGTCGTAAGCCGCCATGCAGCTAGAAGATTGAAGTCAGTAATAATGCATAATTGATTAAATTGGACTGCACCGATTGTATAAGGTTTTTATCCCTGCTCCTAGTCGTCATGTAACCGGAAAATATCTGCTGCTCGGTTAGATAGCATAGCAGCCATCTGGCTTCAGGATTTGACATGATATGCTAATATTATTCCTACCTACGTGCCAGCTCATTTATCAACTACTTGCAGCCTCTTGATATAGGCTGCTTTTCGCCTTTTAAAGGAGCATACTGGAACTTGGTTCAAGTTAAGATACAGCCGGGCTTCAACTACATTGACAAGCCTGATATTCTTGAGTCATACCACGAGGCTCGCAAGCAGGCATTTACCCTAGAGAGTACCAACAGTGGTTTTAAAGCTACAGGTTTAGTTCCGTTTGATCTAGAGGAGGGGCTTGTGCGCCTTCGTATGATGCTTAAGAATGCCTAGATATTTTGCACACCAATGAAACCGCAGCTGTTTGCATCTGAATTATGTTACAAGAGGTCAAACCTAATGCAGTCCTTAACTATATCTCATTAAGCAACGCCACTGTATAGCCTCATTATATGCGGTACCCGTACCGTTAACAGGACCTAAGCTTATAGGACGGCGTTAATTCATAGTAAATACATATTAGTTTGTGTTAAAGTACCTTAGGCACGTGCTGGATCCTTATCAGACTGAAAGCCCTAGGTCATCTACAAAGGTTAGATCTACTCAGTAGAGATCAAGGTAAGCTCTGCGGGTAGAAGGCCAGAAATTCCATTGTTGAAGGATGGAATGAATAGTTGCCTGTATCTTCGTACGTATACCTTATTTGGGCCTGCTTAATTCACGTTGGAGCTGGTGGAGCCGCCTGCGAACTGCCTGCTGGGCAGACTTGGCTTCCACTACAGCGGCCTTGGCGACAGTCGCAAAGGCTGGGGAATGGCTGAACTCGTCGGGCATCCCCCAGCTCATCCCGTTGGATGTAAAACACTCAGATGCGGTGGGTGGTTGGTCCATGCTGTCAGAGCTGAACCCTTGCGTATTCAGGCTTGAAGCCACACGTGAAATGGCCATCTCAACATTTTCTAACAAATGGGAGGTCAGGTGCAAAAGTAACTGCAGGGATGAAGTGGGAGAGGCCGAAAAGCAGCCAATCTGGAACTGTAGTGGTGTCCGTGATCCCATGCCTTGGCATGGGGCTGATTGAACTGAGGCAGGAGTTGGTGAACAGTCATGTAATTGGGGCAGTACTGTATTGTAAAGATGCAGTAGCCTCAAATAACATGCGAGGATTAAGAGGGCAGTTGGGCAGTCGAGAGTGGGAGCCAGCTGGTCGTTCCCTCCGGTTGCGGAATTCGCACTGGTCCCATCACTTCCACCATCACCTTGCGAGAGTGAGCTCACTGGCGGACACCCACCGTGAGGTCCATGGCCTGCTGCACTGTATGGTGTCATGGTTACAACTGGCCATTTACTGAGAGTCTCACTCATGGCCTGGGTCAAAGCCAGGACTCGATCGATCGGTAGTACGGAGTCCTGCTCTGCCGATCCTGCACCTGGTACCGAATCTGAATTCAGCTGATTCTGATGTCTTTGTTTGGAGTCGAAGGAGCGCGAATGTTGGTACAAAGATGTGCTAAGATTGGACAGTTCCTGAAACCAAACGTCCTCTGTATAGCTGCGCTGGTTTGAACACTCGCTGGTGAATTTGGGCTCCGATAATATATCGACGGATGAGCCAAAAGAGAACTCAGTAGGATCAAGATGAGATGGGTTGCTGAGCCTCAGCCATTTATCCTGCGCCCCAGTCGTGTATTCTTCAAATAATGGAATGGAATCCTTCAGCATCTCGACGTCCAATAGTGTGTTGCTGAGAGAGGAAGGCGAGTCACAATCTGAACAATGTAAGTATTAGACAACAACACTGCTCCATGTGAAGGCTCGGTGTCGGATCCTACTACACACCTGCGGAACTGCTAAATCCGTTTGTGGTTATAATGGCTGAACGATTTAATTCACGCAGTTCTGTGGCTTGGCGCCGCGCGACATGGACTTGTGCGTCTTCCGGGGTGCTCATAGAAGGAGCACCAAGTAGTGGCTCCGGCTGAAGGTCGGATACTCCCCTTTCATCAACATTCGCCAGAGAAGGTGTGGATGCGGTCGCGGCTGTAAGTGCTTCTTGGGGATGTGGCAGTGGTGAAATCTGCATCGTCAGATGTGTGATGCCCACGCGGACCTTTCAAGAACAACATGCCTGTACATGATTCCATCACTTTCTCGGAGTCTGTGTGCACTTACCATCGGACTGGGGCCACATGAGCTTGCACTTCTTTGCGATTTCTGGCTGGGCCTTCCAGGTCGGCGAGGGGGCTCAAAGATACATTCCGCTCCCGCATTCTCACAACGTTCACAGGGACCATTAATTGAAGCTCCGGGAGGACATCGTATTTTCTGATAGTGGCATCGATTGCAAGCCAACCGCCTGGATAGCCGACGAGATCCATCCATGATACGCTCTTATCCAAATATTTTTCTTTGTGTGGGTGGTGGTTCTCCGACTGAGGTTTTGGCTTCACAGGCTGCTATGTTTATTAAATATTCTTCGCATAACGAGCTGTACAGCGAATGTAAACTTAATTTTCCCTCTTTCTCAGACAAAATAACGTAACCGGTAAACATTCCCTTGAACCGGACAGTACTCTAACTGCATGAGGTAACCTATGCTGATAACAGCAGTAACGAACCTGTAAACGAGCGGGCCACGAATATGTTTACGTGTTATTATATCAACCTAAATCATAGGCGCTAAGCCATATCAATATGTTGTTGTTAAAATATTAAGATTGTAAAAAGTGCCATTCTATATGTAATATAGAGGGGGCCCGCTCGTTTACAGGTTACGTTATTGTTATTCTCAGCATAGCTTACCTCCTGCAGTTAGAGTACTCTCCGGCTGAAGGGAACGTGGCATTTTCCCCCCTTCAGTCGCCGTGGACCGTGGGCCGACTGGATATTCCATTTGAGCGTATAGCAATGTTTTAATTATCTCCCTCCTGAGTTAGCCCCTGAATGGATCTAGAAACTGAAAATTCGCCATTTAAGCTTGTTAACCAGTTGGTGCGATGGAGCGCGGATAATGAAATTTTCAGAAGTACAAGCCAGTGAGAATGTTAATGTCTCGGGGTGGGCCAATAGATACACGGACTACCAAGTTTAAAAAGCAGGCCCCATAATAATAATTCGCCGAAAGGAAGATAAGTAGTGAGACAATGAGACCGGTCCGGTCCCACTGCTGACATGGCCACCAGTCACTCAGACTGAGGTACACTGGGGAAAAATCTGCGCCTATTCCGATGTTGGTGGAACTTTTACAGACGAAGACCCGTAATGCTAGGCATTTGCGAGCTTGAGCCGGAGTATACCATGGTACAGAGGACCGCCACCTGTTTGGCTCCGCTTCCTTAGAACGGGTGCTAAATACAGTAGCAGTCCGTAGATACAGGCATGACTAATTATACCAGTATGTCACACGCTTCCGGCAATCTAAGCCTGATTGGAAGAATAGAGTTAGCGTCTACAGAGAGATGTGTTGGGCTAATGAGAAATATCTATTAACTTAAATGAAAGACATGACTAAGGGACACAAAGACTCCAACACTGTCAAGCAGGATGTGAACTAATATTTGGACAGAATATAAGTTGTTTGAAGAAGCGTCCTCAGTGCTGACCACTTGTAGCGCTTCTAGGCATGTACCGGGACCCAGGAGAGGGTGATTGGGCAGCCGTTAAAAGTAAAGAAACAATGGCCACTCTGCGTTTCTCAATCCCAGCGCCAGTGCGATCAGTCCCCACTGAGCTGGAAAGTAGGGATAGAGGGGGGATATTCGGTTGAGGCCTCGACAAAATATGCTATAGTGTAATGGGGTTCGACTCTACTGAAACCAAGTTAATGTTAATTTGCTGACTAAATTCAGACGCCCAGTAACGATTACGCTAAAACATACCTGATTATTTTCATTTAACCTAATTGCTTTACGCCCCTCTAAGCTGAAATAGACAACTCTAAATAGGCTATTAAAATAGCGTCTATACTACTTTCTAAGAAGCACTTTAACGTATTTTCCAGGTTTCGTTGCTTGCACCGCAAGGACGAACAACGAAATGGCCCCATCGCTGTCTCCACAGAGCATCATTCTCCCTCAGGAAGCTTATTTAGGTAGTTGTTGTGATAAAATGCGGACGAGACAGTTGAATGCAGGTCTCACCAGAGAGTAAGAAACAGATACCAACGAGAAATTTATAAGTATCATATAAATTTTTAATAAACACTATTTTAACAGTTCTAAAAAGTAGTAATAACAGGAGTCTCGGAGAGAAACGACACTGATAACGAAATTGTTGAAAATGAGTAGAACATACCTTTGCCTGCTATAGTATGTACTTCCAATTCTATAAATTATTTTGCCGGACTTATGCCGCTACCATGGGTAAAAAGTCCGCTGAATTTTCGAATGATGGGCGCTCCGAATCTCAAGCCTTTACAGTGTATCCTATCTACCCACGATTTTTTCCTATGACGAGCCTCCCCAGGTGGCCATATTCATTCCAGCCTAACTTCAAAGTTGTCCAAGATCCTGTTATCTGAACAGCCAAGAAGTGGGATATAATTGCAAACATGACTCAATGAATCAACCAAATTTGGGGGAAATTCTGGCATACCCAATCGAATGCCCAGTGGATTCCTCGCCGGAAAGATGAGTTCTCTATGACCAATAATCCACCCCTACCAACCACCGGCCCTCCTCTCTCTCTTTCTTTCTTTCTTGCTGTCTTACTATCTCTATTCGCACCAAGCCCTGTGTATCCTTGATGAAATCAGCAACTTCTTATCCCCGGCCGAACTCCCGTTTCGACCTTGTGGCCAAAAAGCTAGCGAGATAGGTTAGCGCGTGGCGTGAGCCCTAGTTAAACCCTGCAAGGCTCACCTAAGCAGCTGCATAAGCAATGCCGCTGATGGGCCCTCTGATGCTCAGAGCACCGGTCCGTGAAGTCCTGCTGCCCCATGCACGCCCACCGGAGAAAGGCGCTTGATGAGATCACTGTGCAATCTCGAAGGAGACTCTCTCCGGCGATGAGGACAAACGTCGCGACTTTCACCAGTGACTACTCTTTTTTCAAGAACAAAGCTGGGACAATAGCAAAGATGGTGAAGATGATATGGATAGTACGTTGGGAACCTTGCCAAAAGCGATCTTGGAGATATACAGACAATATAATACTCTACATATCGGCGAGAGAGAAATCTCTGGTGATGGTATAGAGTCGAGGCGCTAACCCCCCCCCCCCTTCTGTCGATGCGCGAATAGGTTAATTCTGTTAGCTTGGCTGATGTACTTCTCCTCTCTCGGTTAAATGGCTGTCACAGGCTACTACAATTTTGAATGAGGGGTGATACCTTACTTTCAAGTTCGAATGTTCAGGGTTGACGAAGAGTACCATGGTGGAGTCTTCGTTGAATCTATTTCAGCAGTGGTGCAGAGGGCAAGAAGCTTTGGCTCTGCCAAAAGTGAGTGTAGGCAATTGCCAGTTCCATGATGTATGCAGAATATAACCTCCCAGCACTTATCGCACTGGGAAGCATGTCCCCCTTTCCGGGGCACAAAAGCAATCACAACTGCACACTTTGATTTCTGCAAGGAGCCTACCAATAATTTCACATATGTGGAAAAATATCACGAATGTAAGAATAAAGACCGTGGGTTGACTGACAAGCAAAAATTTCCAGCAAAGATGCTGAAAATATCGAAAACTGTGGAGCTTTCCACCGCATGGAAATTGAATCGTGATAACGTTGTCAGAAACCGGCAGCTATCTCGCATGTATGGGCCGATGAAGCAGGAGTTGGAAAATAGGAAAGGGTTCGAGCAATTGTCTTTATTATTTTTTACGCCAGGTCACCGAGAAAGTTAACTGTGAAGGAATTTGATGGGACAAGATCAGTATTCTACAAGAACCGCAAGCGAAAGAGATCACAATAAACAATATGCATCGGAACTACTCTGATGCGATGATTGCCTTTGTGCATGATCTTTACCTTCGCGAGTATGCGGGAAGAGCAGCCTTAGCCATTCTCATGTCCTCGTGGTTCAGCATAGGCTGGACCGCGCGGGAGCTGGCAATATGTACAAAGCAAGTCAAATACTATTCAAATCGGACAGCGAGGGTCGCCTGGTGATCAAGGAGGTTGATGGAGACATCCTTGCGGAGCCTCGAAAACCAAGGCCATCTTGTTATCAGGCTACAGCCGCAATAATCCGCCGCTTGAGGAGAAATATTTCAGATGTAAACGGCCTATTAACTTCGCTTGGCTCCAAAAACATATCCTGGCAGAGAGATTGAGCTATTATTTCCGGTTTGTTCGCAGGAATCGAGATTTACAGCTATCCAGTAGTTCCTGGGAAGGTCATCCTCCAACAGATCTACCAGAAAGACTTTATTAGAGCCAGAACTCAAGATCTACAAAGGAAATAGGTTTCACCATTCAGCAAGTATGTCGGAAGGTTTAGATCGTGCCCTACGAGCCTTCTAGATGTGCCCCTGGCCCCAGCAACATGATGACCCATGGAGCTGCAAAGCAACGGGAATGCTGTTGGCTATTGGAAAGTGCTTGAAACTAAATATATGAATTTGGATTATATATGGCAAATTACAACGCAGATGCTGTAGTTGGCCCCTAGATATTGGGATAACCGCTTACTCCTGGTTGAATACCAGTCCAAGCCAATCATCAGGGCTTTCCTTACTAAGGTCATGAGAGATCCTGAGGACAAGGTGCCCTCCACGCTTCACTTCATTGCAAATTTATCGGGTTTGTTAACCTTTCAGTCCCCCTTTACTCGATGGACTGCCGCTATCGGACAAAGTCAAGTCATAACAGACGATACCGACGGTATGCAGGAGCTTCAAGAGGAACTTCCAGACGAGCCAGCATCAGATCATGGTGGCTGAGGAGCGTAGGAGGCGTGGTCCCAACGCACCTGGCAGGATCCAGGCACCAGCAGAAAATAGCGTCGAGCCAGGCTTCATCTCAGCTCCAGGATATCTGTCAATTTCTGTTACCTTACCATGGTATTGATCCAAAGGAAGCTAATAATAACCACGCTTTGTCTTCTCGACTTTGGGCAACAGAAAACGGAAATAGATAGATTATTGACATACTGCTCCTAATTGAAGGGGTTGACCTAAACTGGGCCACCACACATGACCAGGCCCCATGGGGATAGAAGCACAGGACGGACATACGGAGGTTGTGAAACTGCTACTCTCCAGGCGCCCTAATCGGACTCTATGAGACGATCCCCTGGGCCGTACACCCTTGTCGCGTGCTGTGGTAGGCGGACACGGAGGTATCATGGAGATGCTCCTACGGGCGCCCCAGATGTTCCAGATCACTCCAAGCACTTGCTTGTGACACCGCTCCATCTAGGCTGACCGTTGGGAGGGATCGGGATCCCGAAAGGGTTCAAGTCCCGTCCCATATTCCCAATGGGAATTAAATTTTGATTCCCTTCCCATGCCACGCTATTTGGGAAGGGATTCCCATTATATAGGATTCGGAAAGGGATATTCCCATTCCCTCTTATCTTAAAAATCACGTCCCGTTTCCCGTCCCATTTCTTAACCTAAGATCCCGAACCCCGTCCCACTTCCTAATATGGTATAGTCTAAAAATTTTTATAGCATAAAAATATAAAATATTACTATGTGTCAAATAATATGGCCTTTGGTGGACCAGAATCATGTGACTAGATAGGGTAAAACCTCCGCGGAGCACACAACGAAAACAACAGAATAATCAACATAATCAAGAAGAGCCCAACCAGCTCAATTCATTCAAATAAGACCTTTTTACCAATCGTACTCTATTTCCTCTTCGGGATTAGCCGTATATCTGACACTATGTAAAGTAATATAAAGTAGTTAATTATCACGTGATTGAGAATTTGAGATAAGGGAAATTCCCATGGGATTTTCCCAGGAATCGGGATATTCCCCACTCCCTTCTCATCTATAAGCTCGTTCCCGTTTCCCGTCCCATTCCCGAATGGGGTATTCCCTAAAATCCCTAATTCCCATAAATATCCTGAAATTGGTCCCGTTCCCGTCCCGGTCCCATTCGGGAGGGAAATCCCAAGGGAAAATCCCCTCCCAACGGCCAGCCTAGCTCCATCTTGTTGCGGAGACAGGGAATGCCAGGATAGTGGAAATCTTGTTGCTCCACGGAGCGTACCCTCATGTCCGCGATGAAAACAATCGCACTCAGTTGTACTGGGCGGTAGAGAAATGCATGAAGAGGCAGTACGCCTGTTACTGAACGCTGGTGTAGGCCGATTTGGCCCAACGAATTCCCACGGTAAAACGCCGCTAGACTTGGCACGGGAGAAAGGACATGTAGAGATTGTGGGGTTGATGTTTCCACAAAACCCAGCGAACCCACAAGGACCAGAGACCCGGAAAACCGGGAGATCCCTCAAGGGCCAGTATTCCGATATACTCTCCTGCTCCCTGGGATTGACTTCCAGAACCAACTCGCACGGCTCTTTGATGCCAAGAAGAAGAAGGTGAAGACTCACCTTGAAAAAATTGTGCGAACTTCATGGAAAACCAGAATTATAGCTTCGGGCTCTTCTTTGGATGGGGCCGAGAGATCATAAAGGCCAGGTTGACCAAGGAATTCCGCAGGTGCTGCAGCGAGATTGATGTGACAATAGGTACCCCTCGCTACTAGCTAGATTACCCGTTGGAAAAATCTCAAGACGACCCGACCGTGATGAATTGGAAGAAACGTTGGAGCAACTATATGCATGCTCCACTTCGCCTCAGCACTACTAATGAATAATGGATTTCATCGCAAATGTTCCTGCAAAAGGAACAGTCTTACCATGATCACTGTGGCGGACCGCCCGCGCCGCTAGGATGAACGAATGTTTGGCTCCCTATACAGTAAAGCTGACATTTTATTCTCACAAGGAGTATGGTGGTAGTGAATCATGAGTAAGTTAATCTAAGTGGGACATAAGACAGTATTATAATCCGCAAAAATCCTTATACTGCTCATGAACAGAGTAAGTCTAGATAACGTCCAACCTTGTATAGAAGGGCATACGGATAGAAGGCGCATGAAGAGACATGTTGATTGGCCCTTGTTGCTTCTCAAAACAACTCCCAGTAACCTCTGGACCGAGTCGATAACATAGTCCACATCTGTAAGAAAAGATGCAAGACTTAATTTAATATCCCTAATCCTATAAGTCGACAGTTTCTGCAGTGTCTCCAGAAGGAGATTGAACTACGACGGAAGTGGTATAACGAATTAAATATGTTACAATTCCATTACAAATTTGAAATTCGTCAGGAATAAGCGAGAGATATATGTATGAGATAGTTTATTTTCAGACTTTGTAAACCAGAGACAATCAGGTTTGTTTCTGTTTATTGATAGACAACCGTGTTATCTCAACGACCATTTCAGTATAGTAAAGTGTGCGTAGGGAAGGAATCGTCCAAAAGTGCGTGTAGACATCAGGTTTCTAGCAGACCTACTAAAGTCTTCTTTGTATGAGATAGGAGTTATGCTTTGAAGAGAAGTGGATCAGGGGCGCAATACCTACAACAGTAGTTAGACTCTAGTGGTCAGCCAACAGTTCAAGAGGGCCCTCCTTATAGAAGGCCGCGTTTTTGACCTGAACGTTGACAATAACCCGGGCAGTAGCTGCACGCACACTGAAGAAAAACCCTTGGAGCGCTGTTAAACCACCACCAAGATCCATCTTCTCAGCAGTAGCTAGTCGGAAGTGCTTGCTGGAGCCGACAGATAAGATACCGATGGCGGCCTCCGGAGTGTGGCCTATAACAATATTCAGGCCTTGGATAGTCTCGTCTTTGGAACTGAGCAACGCGCCGGCACCCGTGGATGTCAGATAGTTGACAAGCTCAGACGCACGAAGCGTGCCTGTTGATTGCATACAAACGCAGTAAGTTGGTGGCCAGTGGCATGTTCATCCTCGTAGTCACCACGATACAGAACCCTATAACCAGCATCATTGAGCTCAAGCTTAGTCGCGCTGATGAGGTTAGACTTGAAATCGGACGCGATCTCAAGCTTCTTGCCGGGAAAATGGTCGTCAAGCAGTAACTGGACAACCCTCTTCATCTTCTTTCCGGTAGGTACCTTGCTCCGCTCATCACCAGGTAAGATATTGACGCTGTATCGGTGCAACTGAACATCGTCCTTAAACGCCAGGGGGAAGGAATTTGCCCACAGCATTACCTTTCGTCCTTGGGTTCCGAATCCTGGTCGCTGAGGCATTAGAGCGTCGGTGGGAGCCTTCTTCTGTCCTGCTGAGGGCTTAATAAGAGTGTTCTCAACATCAGCAACAATTTCACCGAGGACAGGGACGTAATCGGGACTTGGAGGAAAGTTAGTATAGTTGACCTCACTACCATCACAGCCGAATAATATACTATGTGAAAGCACCCTTTACCTAAAAACTGGAGGGCCGTCAACGGGAGTAAAGCCGCCACCACAACCGCGGCCTCTACCGAAACCACCTCTCAGTCCTCCCCTTCCCCCCCTAAAATCTCCCCTAGGTCTGCCACGATCTCCTCCACTTCCTCGACCATCCTGAGGCGGGCCCTGACGGAATGGACTAGTGAAGTCTCCACGGCCACTACCTCGTCCGCCTCGATCGCCGCCTCGTCCACGTTGTTCAGACATAAACACAGGAATCAATTGTACTGACAAGCAATCTCATATAAAAACCTACTCTGTTGGAATCGGCCTCAGGAAAAGGTGGATGGACATGAAGCGAAAGTGATGCCGTAGTCTCGTAGTGGCCCGACCCCTCCACACGTAATTTCGTCACGTGTTTCGTCCGAGTTGCCATTGGCTGAATCATTTCAGAGTTAGTCGTGAATTACTCTCTCGCTGTTGTGGTGGACAAGATGTCGATATCGTCTTCGTAGAAGATAATATCGACACATTGAAGCCACCCACTGGGAATCGAACCCAGTCCCTCTAGAGGAGGGTAGTATTGTTTTACTACTAGACTACCAGCATACTATTTATATATATCGATAATTTCTTGGTGTTACAGTCAAAAACTTCGATTATAACAAAACTAGTATCTCTCCTCTGTGATCCCAAGCTTTTGCCAGTTCTTCAAGCATTCTTGTTATGTGTGGGGTCGGTAACGAGCTGAATGGTGCGCTACAGTGCGAGGGAGTGTCTATGTGGGAGGGAAGATGGAACCACGTATATTGCAGAACTAATCGCTGGCCTTCAGGAGTTCAGGCCCGCGGGTGCGAATATAAACACTTCGCACCTGACTAAGCATCTTAGCTAAGGATCTAGCTATCGCGCTTCTGAGCGCTCCTAACAATTCTATCCTCTCAATATTTTCAGCTGATAGTTAAGCCCTTTCCCATGAGACTGTACGACGGGCTCCTAAGAAAACTCGCTCTGGTTCATCGCTCATTGCGGGAATTGATAGGATATCAATCGCCATGTATGACAACCTTGGCCAACACTTTTATTATTGATCCTGACACCACCATGTTAGTGCACTTGTACGAATCTTATATAGCGACTGAGAATTATAATCTTCATATTCATCTTGGCTTGCCGGCCGAGCGAACCTGCGTAGGTCTTGAGCAATTTGATCTATTGAAGAAATGGTATTCGGACCGATTCTTCCCTAGCGCCTTGGCTACGCACAACGTTGTCAATCGCCGAATCCCTTATCCCAGTTAAAAAAACATAGAGTGTGGCACCTAGATGAGACGTTGAATATATCTAGTTGAATATACGCTCCTTAGTAGGCTACGTGCGTGTAGCTGATATAGCTTCTCCTGCCCTATCCCCCATTTCCCCTGAACGCAGTGAATCCCATCGAGGTTTTCACAACATGATCAAAATCATCAAGATCTTGAGGACTCCGTTCATATAATGGCATAACTATAATTAGGAGAATTTTCTCGATACGCCTCCCAAAGCTTTTTAACCTTTTAGAGTGCAGGCTTTTGCTAGCTCTTCCTCCAATTTGCCTGAATATACTTTATTCGACGAGCGGGATGAAGAATAAGGGCTGCAGTATAAAGAGGTGATTTATCCGATTTGCTGTAGTATTTATCGAAGGTATCCCATCCATTTTGAACCCGAGCACAGAATTCTCTATCCGATGCAAATTCAACCTGCTATAGATTAGAAAAACCTATTATATAACGCTTAACATAGTAATAGTAATACTTACTAGAGCTTTTTCAAAGTGCTTAATAATAATATCCATTATAAAAAGCAATTATCAATTGTTGCTTTATCCCCTTGCGTTTTCAGAGTTGCTTGATCAAAGAGACTTAGGAATTTGCTTGTTCTATGGAGTGTCTCCCAATCTATTGGGGGATAAATACTCCGTCTCAAGCACGGCAAAGTGCTTCTTTGTATAGGCATTAATAGCGCTATTAAACTGAAGAGCCACCGAGAGCATGTGATACTAGCTATTCTACCTTGTACGATTATCACTAACCTTCTGCAAGATCTTTGAACTCCTTGGCTCTGCCAGCTGAACCACGAATATGTGTTATAATATTATGGAGCTTTCCAAGTGGCCCTATTTTGTGAAAAGCGGCTTGTCTTTATATATTATCTTCTTTTTCTTTGTCTTCCATGGCCGTTATTTCATCCCATGAACTTAGCTGTTCAATTTCCAGCACATTTGGAACAGGAAAGCTTGCACTGCTAAGTTAATAACATGGCCAATCCAGATGCGACGGTATGTCGGATTCCATTTAATTCCTTCTTCTTCCCGAAGATAATTTGCTAGTATGCGACAAAGCTTATCATTTGCAGTGTGATTATCACAAACAATTGACCCAACCTTTTGCTGGATCCCATAGTCTTTTAAAACTGGAAGAAGAGTGGCAAACTGCTCATCACCACTATGGTTCCCCACAGTCCGAAGAGCAAGGAGACCCTTGCAAAGCCTTTCTTGACTTTGCTCAACAAAGTGAGCACAAATACCGAGAAATAATAGCCGATTTGGTGAGGTCCAGATATCAAGTGAAAGATGAATGATTGATAATGCTGATTGGAGTTTTTTCCGTACAATATCCCTTTGAGCTTGCCATGTGTTACGGAAACACTACATGCGCCTGACTTGGCGGTGCGGAGTATTTGACGATCGATTCAACCCCTGAATCCTTTAGTTAGTTGAACACCTCAATGAGAATATAGGGAACCGCTTAGTAGGCTCAGTTGGTTGAGATACTCCGATTCCTGCACTGAATGACATCTACTTCCTAATTAGGCTAGTTGGCCCGTAGCTGATAGAATAGCTCCCTGCGCCCCGTTTCCCCTGAGTTCCACAACAATTACCAAGAGCGTACGAACTGTGTTTGTCGTGGAACTCAGGGAAGTGATGCGCAGGGAGCTATTCTATCAGCTACAGGCCAACTAGCCTAATTAGGAAGTAGATGTCATTCAGTAGAAACACCAGGAATCGCAGTGTCTCAACCAACTGAGCCTGTTGCATTCCTATCTGGGTGCTCTACTATCTAAAGGATTCAGGGGTTGAATCGGTCGTCAGATACTCCGCACCGCCAAGTCGGGCTGATTATAGTGTTTCTGTAACGGTAATAATCTGATCAGCCTTGAAAATCAATTGTTGAAAATTTTAGCGCAAATAGATGTTGAATGAGAGGGAAATGGTAGAACTCCGGAGTAGGTCAAGGAGGCACTCTTAGACAGTTCAGAAGTTGTGGGCCCCGAGCCCACAAGTTCCCGGTAGGAGAGAAGACAACATTCCCTGTACGCAACTGCGTCCCGCGGTCTGTGAGAAGGTTGTTTATTGTCTATTACCTCTTTGGACGAGGACTTAAGATGATAGCTATCTGTCAAATAAGTTGGTGGTAATAGTGACATAAACAAGGTCATAAAAGAGGGGTTAAAACGAACTCCCCTACACCTAGCAGAAGAAGCAACCTAATGATCCATAATAATAAACACAAGAGTGATCATATGTTGATCAATATAATCAAAAACCATCCAAGACAATCATTTTAAGCACCTTTTCAAGAATAGTGTCTACCTTCCTATTCGGTATTAGCCGAATATCGGATACTATCTGTCCGATATTCGGCTAATACCGAATAGGAAAGTAGACACTATTCTTGAAAGGTGCTTAAAATGATTGTTTTAGATGGTTTCTTGATTATATTGATCAACATATGATCATTCTTGTGATTATTATTATGGATCATTAGGTTTCTTCTTCTGCTAGGTGTAGGGGAGTTCGTTTTTACCCCTCTTTTATGACCTTGTTTACGTCACTATTACCACCAACTTATCTGACACTATCCATAGAACTGTCACGTGCCAATCCCCCGAGATCCTCCACTACAATGTTGAATTCTTAAATTTGCAGTACTTAATTTCGCGGTTGAATGCGTGCATATGGTGGTTTATTTGGGAACAATTGTTTTCCAACGCACATACTGACATACTGACATGACAATCTACAGCATGGCTACTGAGGCCAACACGCTGGCTTCGTCTAGGGCGACGTACCACCAAATAGACCGTTGAACGCATCTTGTGTGCCAGATGTCAGCGTATCGAGACCACTCTGTTCAGCTGATGGCTGAATGTCGTTACCAGATCCTGTCATTTTGTCAGTCAAGGCTCGAGCCACAGCATGGCTGCTGAGGTCAACTCGCTAGCCTCGTCTAGGACGACGTACCACCAAATAGACCGTTGAACGCATCTTGTGTGCCAGATGTCAGCGTATCGAGACCACTCTGTTCAGCTGATGGCTGAATGTCGTTACCAGATCCTGTCATATTGTCAGTCAAGGCTCGAGCCACAGCATGGCTGCTGAGGTCAACTCGCTAGCCTCGTCTAGGACGACGTACCACCAAATAGACCGTTGAATGCATCTTGTGTGCCAGATGTCAGCGTATCGAGACCACTCTGTTCAGCTGATGGCTGAATGTCGTTACCAGATCCTGTCATATTGTCAGTCAAGGCTCGAGCCACAACATGGCTGCTGAGGTCAACTCGCTAGCCTCGTCTAGGACGACGTACCACCAAATAGACCGTTGAACGCATCTTGTGTGCCAGATGTCAGCGTATCGAGACCACTCTGTTCCTCAGCTGATGGCTGAGAGTCCTTGTTACCGGAATCTGCCTGATCCTGTTGCCAGAATTGCTGTTAGCGTATTCTTTGTTACTGAGTTGCTGAGGCTCATTACTTGCCTTCTGGAGACCTTCTAGTGTATCTTGTAGAGTGCTTCCAGGAGGCGGGTGGAAACCGAGATTCTCTCCCTACATCTCGTCAGTTCATACCCTGTACTGTACAGCAGCACCATTGGAAAGTGTAGTATCCTGGTGGACGATAACTGGCATACACACCTCTTGCGACATATCAGCACGGGAATCTTCCACAGAACTTTGGCTACTATCATCACCACCAAACATATTGCCACCTTTGCTGCCACCTGGGCTTCCACCACTGGAGCTTCCACCACTGGAGCTTCCATCACTGGAGCTTCCACCACTGGGGCTTCCATTACTAGGGCTTCCACCACTGGAGCTTCCGCCACTAGGGCTTCCACCGCTGGAGCTTCCACCACTAGGGCTTCCACCACTGGAGCTTCCGCCACTAGGGCTTCCACCGCTGGAGCTTCCACCACTGGAGCTTCCGCCACTAGGGCTTCCACCACTGGAGCTTCCGCCACTGGAGCTTCCGCCACTAGGGCTTCCACCACTGGGGCTTCCACCGCTGGAGCTTCCACCACTGGAGCTTCCGCCACTAGGGCTTCCACCACTGGGGCTTCCACCACTGGGGCTTCCACCACTGGAGCTTCCACCACTGGAGCTTCCACCACTGGAGCTTCCACCACTGGAGCTTCCACCACTGGAGCTTCCACCACCAGGGCTTCCACCACTGGAGCTTCCGCCACTGGGGCTTCCACCGCTGGAGCTTCCATCGCTGGAGCTTCCGCCACTAGGGCTTCCACCACTGGAGCTTCCGCCACTGGAGCTTCCGCCACCAGGGCTTCCACCACTGGAGCTTCCGCCACTGGAGCTTCCGCCACTAGGGCTTCCACCGCTGGAGCTTCCACCACTAGGGCTTCCACCACTGGAGCTTCCGCCACTAGGGCTTCCACCGCTGGAGCTTCCACCACTGGGGCTTCCACCGCTGGAGCTTCCATCGCTGGAGCTTCCGCCACTAGGGCTTCCACCACTGGAGCTTCCGCCACTGGAGCTTCCATTACTAGGGCTTCCACCACTGGAGCTTCCGCCACTAGGGCTTCCACCACTGGAGCTTCCACCACTAGGGCTTCCACCACTGGAGCTTCCACCACTAGGGCTTCCACCACTGGAGCTTCCGCCACTAGGGCTTCCACCGCTGGAGCTTCCACCACTGGAGCTTCCGCCACTAGGGCTTCCACCACTGGAGCTTCCGCCACTGGAGCTTCCGCCACTAGGGCTTCCACCACTGGGGCTTCCACCGCTGGAGCTTCCACCACTGGAGCTTCCACCACTGGAGCTTCCACCACTGGGGCTTCCACCACTGGAGCTTCCGCCACTAGGGCTTCCACCGCTGGAGCTTCCATCGCTGGAGCTTCCGCCACTAGGGCTTCCACCACTGGGGCTTCCACCGCTGGAGCTTCCACCACTGGAGCTTCCATCACTGGAGCTTCCACCACTAGGGCTTCCACCACAGCTGCTCCCAGGTGAACGTGCGACGCTGCTCATGATATTGGTGGTCATATTTTGTAGTTGTTGTAGTTGATTCGTGATATCACTGCCACTGCCCCCGGATGAACATGCAAAGCTGCTGCTCATGATCTTGGTGATCATACTTTGTAGTTGTTGTAGTTGTTTGGTGAGATCACCTCCACTGCCAGCCGACAATAGTTGACTGGTGGAGGCACGAGGGATGAGGGACCCCATCTCATCAAGAGTAGGTTTGGATCCGGTGAGGTGTGAGAGTTCCTGGCTTTCCATCACTCGGGTAGGTGCCCCCAGAGCGAACGCAAAAAGGCAAATGGTGATGATGCCCTTCATATTTGCTTTGTTCCGGTGTCTAGCTAAAAGAAGTAATAGAATAACTTTCAGGCTAAGCACAACTCTGTAGACAGTTGAGGAATCGTTCTGATGGAATGCAAACAAATTATACTGGGATGGTGGTAGCCAGTGATTGTGGATGAGAAAGAATGAATTTATATTGAAGCCATCTTGATCTAAAGCTTAGAGTTCGGATATACTTTTTCGTTCATTTTTTTTTTTTTTTTCCCTTGAAACAGTTCCACTGTTTCGGCAAGAAATATAAACGTGATAGGGCTTCCTTATTGATCGACAAACAGATATACAAAATGTATTCATTTGGGTGGGCTATGCAGGAACAGGAGGGTGGCTATAAGCCTAGGGACCAATCAGGCAGCAGAAAAATAGTAGCGGCCCGGGTTTCAAGGAGCTTATCCCAAAAGTATAATACGCAGTCCCTTTACTTTCCCTATCCCTTTGGATGAATTCCATGAGTGCCTTTACGAACCATAGTTTTTCAAGCAACAGCTTTTAATCCTGGTTGTAAAGTATGAAATTCACACAGGAATAGAAGCCAGAAGGCGGCTTATTCTGCAACCTACCAAGTAATAAAAATGCTACTAACATTTGCGAACTCCTGTAAGCACTAATATATACCGATTTGGAAACTATCGATGGTATGCAACATAGTGCATAAAATACCACTTGGGACAAGACATGGTTCGAACGGGGCTATGCATGGGTGTTCGTTACTTCTGGATTCAGATTTTTTTGATCTGCCCTTGCGCCAAGAGTTAACAAACTATGCTGAAACAAGTTTGCCAAGCCTGGAGAGACATCAGACTGTACTTTCCTTGGGTAGGAAGCTAGGGTGGCAAATTCTACCCTGGGACTGTTTAGTCTGTTATCTGTAACCTTGCCATGTTTTGGTTCTTTTTCTGGCCGTTCAGTGAAACTAGGCTGACCGTTGGGAAGTAGGGATGGTGTTGCACACTTATAGGTTGGAACTGCCTAAGTAGTTCTCGGCGGTCGCCCTACCTCGTTCGTCCGCTGCGAATGTTTGGCCTCGTCCACCTTCAATCTTCAACTTCACACTAATCAATGAAATACCATACGTTCTTCCTCTGAGCTTTCGTGTTTTACACAAGTGCCTTTAATCTTGGTGATTTTCCCTACGGCCATGCTTCATAGTGGGCATTCTTAAAACTCCGTTCCCCAATATTCTTGTCTGCAGATAGAACGTAGTCAATTTTATCCCTAGCTATGTGAGTATAACTATCTGATCTTGGAGATAGATACTTGGACGCAGCCAAAATTAGTTCTTGGCAAAGTGGCAATTGTGGTCGGCGGAATTAACGCCTCCTCCGCAAAGGCTAAACAATTCCAGAGCAGAGTTGTGGGTGAAAAGAAGCTTTAACTATCCCCTTGGCTGGCAGCGCTAGTCGTCGTTAGCGTCCTTTTTCTGCCGCAAATGACACGCCCGCTTCATCTAACACCACACACCGTAGAGTTGTATGAAATATAAATATTTAAGCTATCTATAAACAATTTACATCTTTCTCACCCAAAGGAGGTCGTGGTGTATGAAAATCAGCCCAACATGGCCTTATATCAGGCCTGCATAAGGGAATTCTGCAGGTCTTGCAGCAATATACTGTGTGGAATTGCTTCGGAATAGTATGGCCTCGAGCCTTTGCTCTTTGAACCCGTACAACACAGAAATGGCACCATTTGCGAGGGTGAATCCTCTCAACCTGATGATCACCCTTATCTAATGGTTGAACTGAGCTGTGTTTTCGCTTTCGTTGAAGCAATTCCTCTGATCCTTGCTTAAATAGCTCCCTATACAGACCTTTCCGAAATTCAAGATGAGTGATCTCCTTCATACCTTGCTGCCTGCGGGCTATATTTGCAATGCAATAAGCATTAATAATAGCTATGTCAAGTATCCAAAAGAATATAGGCCACTATGAGCGTAAACAGCTTTGATGAGTTTCATAGCTTGCACGTAGTTGATTTGCGCGATCCACCCCTCCCATATGATAGTTGTAATCATCAATAATCCGGGGAACTGGAAGTTCCTTAGTAGGCTGATCACCAAATGGCTGACGGGCAACTTTTGCACTGGTTGAGGTCTTAGCATGGCGTTTGCGCATTGAGGCTTTTTTGAATCCTTCAGCATATAAAGAGCCTTTGGAAATAGCTTCTCAGATGCATTTGGTCGGGTAGTTCCACAAGCACCAATCCCAAGCTGTCGAAGATGATTAAATAAAGGAATGGTAGAAAAGTAGTTATCCATTGTAGTGGAGGAATTCGGGAGATTGGCACGTGACATTTGTATGGATAGCTATTATCTTAAGTCCTCGTTCGAAGAGGTAATAGACAATCAACAACCTTCTCACAGACCGCAGGACGCAGTTGCGTAAGGGGAATGTTGCCTTCCCTCCTACCAGGAACTTGTGGGCTCGGGGCCCACAACTTCTGAACTGTCTAAGAGTGTTTCCTTGACCTACTCTTTCGGAGTTCTACCATTTTCCTCTCATTCAATAGGATACAGGCCTCTCTGTGACTGCTTATTTATATACTTTATAAGTATTTTAGACTGCGCGTTGTTAAGTAATTACTAGCTTTTATCCCTGACATTTCTTGGCACCTGTTTTCCTTGATGGCGCCTCGCAAGCGTGGATTAATCAACACCAAACTGTTTTATAATTTTAGTATATGAAAATAATTCTCCTGGCTCTAATAATAAAGCGATTGCTTCCAGCGCTTCATCAATCAGAGCCATATTGACTGAGATATGTGGTGTTGAACTTGCTGGGTTGAACAGTCAGTGAGCAAAATGCGGGACGTTGGTTGGTGGCAATTAGTTCAATCTAAAAATTTTAGATTTTCCAAAGTTCCAACTACGAGAATATTCCAGACCCAAACATAATTAATTAGTTATGTATGGAGCTTGTATAATTGTTGCCTACTGTCAGAATATGGGGAGATTGATTGTTCTCATAGACTTGGATAGAACGGGCCAAAACGGATGGTATATATTGTGTCTATGTAGCATTCTTTCTAATTTTGCGTAGGAGAGTGTCATTATAATCGATAAAGTATAGGATCCTCGTAATACGGCTAAGAAAGCTTTGAAACGGATAATGCAATGGGTATCTACAGAGTAGTATAAGGCATAATGACTGGTATTGATTTTCTCTTAAATGTCATGAAGCAACGAGAGAACTAGTTGTCCTGATATATTCTTCTAATTCCCTGTGGGTTCTGCCACAGCCAATACTGGTGAAGTTTTTCCTTTGGTTCCCTTACAAATGCAGGTAACATTTCAGGCCACTCTTTGGTATAAAGGTATGCACAAGCCTTTCCTTTCCAGCCCTGATAGAAGCATCCTACTTACCACACACTTTTTTGAATATTTATCCCCTTTCTAGTATTCTCGGAACTAAATTATGCCCAATCTGCCCTTTGTTATCAGTCTGCTTTAAGAAATGAGACAGGCAGAAGCTTCCACAACACTTTTAGGATGTCTAAGATAGCTATATAATATAATGCATATTGCACCATTCCAAAAGATCTCTGTATAATATTTAATATATGTGGTGATATGGCTTTGTTTTTGGGTGTGCCGCGCGTCACGTGGTACCGACTCTATAGGATTCAAGCATATCTGTGTAAAAAGTCCATCTAAGATGTTGAATATACAAATTCAATTGGCTAACAGGATACAGTTGTTGTAAAATGCAAAGTTAAATGAAATCAGAACGTCTCAATCCGGTGAGCTAAAGTGTAGATTGAGGATAGTGCGAGGGTATTAGAGAAAGAAAGACCAATAAACTGTATCCTTAGTTATTTAGCTTTCTTAGCGCCAACTTGGAACTGAGCTAAATTGAGCTACTCCGTACCCAATTTCCTTCATTATCAGCCAACTATATCTAATAGTTCTTGGCTTGAGCTAAAATAGATAACGGTGTCACACAGCCACCGAGCCGCGGAGAAGTCGATGTCCACAGCCTTCTCATAGCCTTACAGAAGCAATTGTGACTCATTTACTGGTCAATGACAAGAACAATAAATTGCTACCAAGTTGCCTCCCGGGGACCCGCATGTGGTGGAGTATGCATACCCCAACGAAACTCTAATCCAACCCGTTTGTATGCATATAATAAGTGCCAAGCTCACTTGTTACTCCACTCAGGCCGGCTGAGTCCTATATAAAAATTGCAGCCTAGCCCTCACAGACTAAAAAGGTTTTTAGTAATATTGAGTGTTCTAGACGTAAGACATTAAACTCCCTCTAATATATAGCTTATGTAATTGAAGCTTATTCCAAATCCATATCATTTTGCGCTGCAGGCACTAAATTAGATAGGGCTCACCAAAATCAAAAACAACATTCGCCGTAATTGTAACCTAGTATCAGCATAACAATGGATAACTACAAAGTATATCGATTTTCTCGTGACCTTGACTAGAACGCCTGGAAAGTCATGGTATATGTGCTCTGCTAAATCATCTTTAGCCAGGACACGGGAAAGACATACTGGCACATAAACAGCTCGGGCACATCGAAAGTCTTTTCGGCGCATCATCCACCAGAATAGCATGGCCTATACAATGCTTCAATTGTTTAATATCTTGGAACTAACTCCAACTCTCAAGGTGACCAGACCCGGACTTCGGTATATCGGTCCTCCCAATGATGTTATAAGAGGCCCATGCTGGGGTATTTTTTAGCATATCTTTTCTTCGGCCCCGCCGTCGGATACTGACGCTGTACCCGGAACTGTTGACAAATCTTATAGAATAGATTGGGGAATTCCAAATACTGTACTGCGCCTCGCTCTTGAGGGATGGAATTAACTTCTTGGCAGACTCGCTGATGCCAAGGTTGGACCCACTCCACATAATTGCGTCCCACTTCGCAGTACACTATGCTTTATGAATGACCTCGAACATTGGGCCTTCAAGACAATGTATCTTACCAAGCAAACAATGCGGTACTGGGCCCCGTTACTACCGGGTAAGGAGTTAGTATATGGCAGTTTCCAACCACAGCCACGAGGGCCATTGTGATGATAGGAAAAGTATAAAAAGCCCGGGAGTGTCCTACTCTATGCCTCTGTTACTGTGACTACAATTATACTATTAGCTTGCTGTTGACCGCACTTGTCTATCACCCTCACTTCTACATACATTGGTCCTGTCTTTCCACTATGACACGGTTCCTTGGAGGCATATTCTTGTCGGCTGTGCTGTTGTCCCTCCTTGCAGAAGGCTCGCAGTATCCAGATACTGGATGCGCCGCATCGGGGAAAGCGATATACTTTCTCTCTAACAATGCTGAGAATGCCGTCGTGGCGGTACCCATTAACCCCGACGGTACACTGCATGATGGGACCGTCACCATCACTGGAGGTACGGGATCGAATGCAATTGACCGTGGAACCAACGAGACAGCGACCCCTGATGCGCTTCTCAGCCAAGGCGCCTTGAGCATTGTCGGGCAGGTGAGCAGGCTAACCATGCTGATTGCTATGACTTCTTGACTGATCAACTCACGTTAACACAGCATCTCTTTGCCGTTAATGCTGGATCCAATACTCTCACGATGATGTCCATTTCCGATTCGGATCCTACCAAGCTTAGTCTGGTTGGCAAGTCTGTCGTGGTACCTGGAGAGTTCCCCAATACCGTAGCGGCTTCGGCCAAACACCAACTGGTGTGTGTTGGCACTACTGGCGCGAAGGCAGGCATATCTTGTTCCACTTACTCACCCACCAATGGCCTGGGCGAGATGGACGAGCTCCGGGCCTTTGACCTCGGACAGACGACGCCGCCCATGGGTCCTGTGAACACTGTTTCACATACCTTTTTTTCTGCCGACGAAACTCGTCTCCTCACGACAGTGAAGGGCGACCCATCGGTGAACAACACTGGATTCGTCTCAGTTTTTAAGGTCGATGCCGCTCGTGACGGTCCCTCCAGACTGGCGGCCAAAGACATCCGTAGTTCCCCCATGGGAACTGCCGTCCTCTTCGGAACCGAACAGATCCCCGGCACGTCATCGTTCTTTGCAACGGATGCGTCTTTCGGCGGAGCTATTCTTTCGCTCGATACGGAGACGGACAAGACATTCTTGATTGCGAACGAGACTGTTCCAGATCAACAAGCGACATGTTGGGTGACAATCTCACCGACCACTGGAACGGCTTTCGTCACGGACCCCCTCACAAACCATATTGTCGAGATGAACATCACTGACGCGGAGGTTATCACTGACCTCCACACCGACCCTTACAACGCTGCGACCGGATTCATCGATCTGGCAGCTGCTGGCAACTTTGTCTATGCCCTGTCCCCAGGAAATGGCACCTCGGAGGCAGCAGTCATGGTTCTGGATGTATCTGGAGGACCGGGTTCAGCTAAGGCGATCCAGAATTTCGGCCTAGGTGCCCTAGGAGTAGGAGGGAACGCACAGGGCATGAAAGTTGTTCAGCCCGAGTGTGCCGGCAGGCCCAATAGCCGATTCAAAAATACTACCAGTCAGGAGAACGGCGAGTCTCCCAAAGTCCCCAAATGTGGCAAGAGGAAAACGTAAGATGCCCGCCAAGGGGAATAGGGCGCTAGATGCGACTGATCGACAGATCAGTCGTCGTGCACATTTTTATAAGGTCAAGTGGTTATATCTCTACTAGCACAGATACAGTCGCGACCGTTATTGCCTTCCATGTCGGGGAACATAGTGAGGCTCTTTCAAACCCTAATCATATGTGACGCTAAACCCAATATAGTTAATCTCGTATTTGGAAATCTGTTCCGGCGTTGAATGGTATAATACTAAACCCGTAAAAAAGCTGATTCAGCTGTATGATTCGCGTATTGTTACAGCTCCAAAAATAAAACACGCTCGCCATTGACTCACCCATCCCAACTCAAGTGCCCTGACTCAAGTACCAACATCTCAAAATTTTATTAGGGTTAGTCTTACTCAAGTAACGTGCTAGAGAGCAAAATGCTGACTTGAGGGATTATTATCTGCATAATCTGTCATACTTCAGGTCGTACCACCTCGTATATGTTGAGGACTCTGGATGTGACAAACGCGTTGGGTTCAGACGGATCGAGGTATCTTTTATGTGTTCAGGCAATTTTTTATTACTCACTCTTCATAAGACTCCCCATCAGGCCCTTCGTCGGAGCATTCATCGGACCCTTCATCAGACCCTTCATCAGACCCTTCGCCCGTACCGCCAACTGGTAGCCCAATGTATTTCCTACACTCATCGCGTCTCCCGCCCGGAATATTCCACTCTTCAAGAATATCCCCCAAAATCGCGCCCCGCCAGTACTTCATTTCTAGCCCTGCTAAAGTGGTGACCGTTTGCCGCTGAATCTCATTCAGAGACTCAACTGGCCGTCCATCCTCATCCTCAGGCCTGGGACCAAAGGTCAGCTCCAACACAACTTCCGCAAGTTCGAAAGCTTCCACCCTTCCCGAACGCGGGAATGCGTCCAACAAAGTGGACATGACTCTGGGATATTCCTCCAGGTTCAACGTATTCAACACCTTGCCGCTGTACTGAAATAGGTCTCCCTCATGGAAGGGAAACGCAAGATCATTGGACTTCTGAGCATCACTTTTAGGGATGAACGAGCGATCGGCTAAAACGCAGGCTAGGACGGAGACGTCCTCTGGCCTGTAATGCAGTAGTCGAACGGAAGATACCGCAGCAGCGAACCGAACCAGTGAAGGACGCGTGCTAGCACTATACTCACGAAGACGGCAGATGAGATCGTCTATCCCCTCAGAAACAACCCCACCATCCTTCCAACATCCATTCAGCAGGCCTAACGCAATAATGGCACTGGCAAGAACCATAATATCTTCGCCTTCCCGGTCGAGTACCCGCTGCAGAGCAACAGCGCTACTCCTATTTCTTCCACCTGCTCCCTCCCCAGGAAACCAAGCCAACGCATAAGCTGCAAAAGCCCTAACCTCCACATCCTTCTCCTCCAAAAGCTTCTGAAAAAGTGGTACACCCATACAAACAGCATCATACGTCGCCAACTCATATTTGGCGTCTCTGCGCTGTCGCTCCAGCCCAACACGACGGACATACTCACACACTTTCTGCTGGTTTTCGTCCCTCGCCTGGCTCAGCAACTCATCCTGTTCAGCGTAATACTCTGTTTCATACCCGGGTGTATATATCTTCCCTGCCCGCTGACGCCATGCGACAATGTCCACACCCTGAGGTAGGAATGTTGACGGAATACCCAGAGCTAGATCAACCAGGTAGTTAATCACGGAGGCCCGGGCCGGTGTCGCCGGGCTCTCTAGAATTTTGAGTAGGTATGGAACAGCATATGCGGTTGCTTCGTAGCGGGTTGCTTGATGGAAAATGTTTGAGTAGAGGGCCTCGTATGCATCTGAGCGGTCTGATTTGTTTGGCGATAGCAAGGCGCGTAGGTTGTCGGGCACGTCGGTTGCTTCGCCATATGCGTGGTGGAGGGAGGTCCAGTTGACGGAGTCGAGGAAGCGTTGGGCTGCTGGGTCCATCTTGTTTCTTTATTCTGAGGGGGAAGGAGTATTGAGGGGTGAGATGTCTGCGGCGGGGTTGAAGTCTGTTACAATTCTTGGCTTGTCAAGAGTAAGATCCAAAACTGCGGCATGATGATCAGCATGGCGGAGATTATGAAAAGATGCCTTACTGTCGAGCCTTGCCTATCAACCTCAACCCGGATGGACTCCCCAGTGGAAGCACGACGCGCTCTGCAGTGGAGCAACTGCGAGATGGAGAATTGTTGACAGATTGCTAATTCAAGCGCTGCCTTTGTTTGCTGGATTTGCATGGAACCTCCTAGAGGCTCCAGTCTTCTATTCTAGGCCCTTAAATCTTTCATACTGGTATCATAAAGGATCTAGTATTATTACGTGGTATGTACAGAACCTGTTATTTACCTGATCACCGCATTTGGATTAGCGCATGATGTGATTAGGGTCTGATGGAGCGTCTATGTGTATTCGATATGGAAGGCAATAACGGGCACCACTATACAACAAAACTATAACACTAGGCCTTTCCAGCTCCTCCGGAGGGTTGCTGTAAAATAGAATTGTCTGGGTAGCATGCCAAACCTGCCTGTTACATATTGTGCTCACATTTGAAGAGAGTATTTCATTTCCGGTGGAAAGGAAAAGAGCTACTGAATTTTTTAATATTCAATTATATGGGATTCTGGTTAGGAGAACTGAGTTGATTGTATTCAGAAAGATGTTCTGCCCAACCCCTCTATGAGGGATACTGTTATATCTTCTCATGATGTCCCAATATGGACTAGCTTTATTCTAACGCAATATCTTCGAGCTGCCAAGTAAAATAAACTTTCGAAGTTCTTATCAACCTCTGGTGATTACTGGTGGCGTGACCGCCAAGCCCTAACTGGGACAATTTGAAAACGATAAGGTTTGCCCGACCATGTGGGCCTGTCTCATAATGTTTGGATAGTTGGGACATCTATTTGCCATATTTCAAAGTGGATCTCCTATGAATATTAGCTGGAACTGGCTAAGTTCCAAGACACCCATGCTAAGAATCCTCTCTCATTTTGTATACATTTTTTTCATTGATTTAATTACGAAATTCCACTTTTTGGACCGGTACCCACCGTACTATTACTGTTCACGCACTTGAAGTTAATTGTTTTACTAAATATTTTGGAGTGCCATACTCTTGAAGTGCATCAGAGATTAAGTTACGAAGTACCTGTTATGCGTGGGGGTTGGTAACGAGCTGAATGGGGCGCTACGGTGCGAAAGGGAGTGTCTATATAGGAGAGAAGATAGAGCCACGTATATTGCAGAACTAATCGCTGGCCTTCAAGAGTTCAGGCCCGCGGGTGCGAATATAAACACTTCGCACCTGACTAAGCATCTTAGCTAAGGATCTAGCTATCGCGCTTCCGAGCGCTCCTAACAGTACCAGAGAGGGAAATAGCAGATTAATGAAAATACTAAAGGTTGCAAATCCGGGCTTGATTATAAACAATACAGCTTTACATAGAAATATTTCGGTATAGTATGAGATTGATCTCCAATCAGTCTGATGTCCATCTTATGTATAAACCATCAATTTTCTAGATTAGAATATTAACAATGATTATATTCTAGAATATGTTACTCCTTCACTATCTATTGTAGTGGAGGAATTCGGGGAATTGGCACGTGACATTTGTATGGATAGTTATTATCTTAAGTCCTCGTTCGAAGAGGTAATAGACAATCAACGGCCTTCTCACAGACCACGGAACGCAGTTGCATAGAAGGAATGTTGTCTTCTCTCTGGTTGCCCGGAACTTGTGGGCTCGGGGCCCACAACTTCTGAACTGTCTAAAAGTGTCTCCGTGACCTACTCTTTCGGATTTCTACAATTTCCTTCTCATTCACTATGCGCCACCTGTACGAAGTGCTCTTGAAATCATAAATAGCCTTCTCTGCCCCGAACCAACAAGCTGCTTCTACTATTGCTTTGGTTCTGCAAGCATCAAGTGACATTGTATCGGTTCCGATTCATTCAGTCGGACCTCATTAGGCTGCATGTCTGCCAATTGGGCAGTGGCTGTATCATTGTCTGCTAAAATTCTACCCATAATTAGCATCGTCCTAAAAACTATGCCTTCGAAAAAGTATCATGAACTGTATTATCGCCAGATCGAATATCTGAATCCAGGTAATCCGGTACAGCGGGGCGGCAACTGCTAATTTTTTGAGGTTAAGGGACTATACAATGGAACCCAAGCTTCTTGCCTATTTTGCACTTCAGGTCGTATGCCAAATCAACTGGTTTAGAGATCTTGGTCATGGATAGCGCATTGAGGATTTTCCATACACCGTTGTAGTTAACGGCATACGCAGGTGCACATGCCCCGCCATTGGCGTGGAACATCAAACGAGATGAAGGCGGTAGTCCCGGTACTGAGGCCATGGTGGAAACCTAGAACTCAACCTTGTGACGGTCGGGCCTGGTAGTTGGGTCCGCGGGGAAAATATATGCTTTTGCTCTTCATTGGCGGACTGATAGCACAGTGGGCAAGCCAAAGCACATCGCATTTATATCCATATGGAGAAGCCGAAATGTGGTATTTTGTATTGAATATCACGGGCGCCATGGGCAAAGCCTGGCAACTGATTTTTTAAGAACACATCTCAATCGGTATCATCCTCGAGTTTCAACGCACTAGAGATAGGATTCGCTATAATGCTATTAAATCCCGTCAGCTTGGCCATGGTACTGTTTAGGGAGTTGTTACTGTACGCTTCCATGGCATTCATGTGAGCTTGCTAGCACCCCACCTCAGCTGGCGTATGATGTTCAATTCCCTAGCCAGATACTGTTAACGCAAGGCTAGGGTAGCCCATAGCGTATGCTAACCGGTAGACCTGTACGCATAGGTACGCTCTCAGGACGGACGGCCTCAGACACAGGGTGTCAAATCCGGTGACGAAGCCATAGTTACTGCATCGCGTATGTCGGTACGTTCGGGAAAGCCAATCGCGGATACTTTCTGGAAATGAGAGGATGGACTTAGCGCTGGCTAAAACCTGCTAGGCAAACCAAACCTATTCCAAGAGTCCTATTATGAACGTCTTCCCACGTGCTAGTTGGCTGCTGATGGATTGGCTGGCTGTTCCCACGAAGAGGACGTAGACCACCTAATTGTAGCCTGGTAAGTAGAATGACTGTAAATATGACAACCAACGCAACAATGTGGAATAAAAAGCGCACGTATCTCATTTTCCCTCCGCGCCTTTAAGCAGAAGAATCCATACGCAGAAAGTGTGTAAGTAGTAAGTAGTAAGTGACAGAGAATATAAATTTATATGATTTTCTTGAATTCTAGGCACTAAACGATTACTATGCTACTCAACCTTGAAAATAAGGACATACGAGCTGGATAAGTCAGGACAAACAATATCTTAGCATAAATATACTTCCCAAGATAGTACAAGTGGGGACAACAAAGACTTAGTATACATACAAGCTTGTACCTTGTTCACTGCCCTCTTGTGTTATACTAGCTTCTCAGGTTACATTTCTTATTGAGTCTAAATTTCAGTCTTTGTTATCTTCCACCAAAGCAGACCGCAGCATAATGTCCGAATTTACCGATTGTCGACTGACTTGTCGTCTCTGAAAATCCCAGGGAGCCGATGAGGACATCCACTGAATTTGCCAGGAAGAACTCTGATTTACTCATTTTGGATTAATCCAATATCGGGGGCAGATATCACACTCGTGTGCGTGTCTGGACAATCAATGTAAGCAGTCGCGCGGAAACCAATTTCCTACATCAAGCGGTCTGGTCTCAACACCCACACGCCAGTTATAATCGATGGACTATCCTGAGTCCCTGTTAATAGACTTCTTAGAGGCTGCGCAGTAGTCGCCTCCTGAATGTACTTATCTCAGGCTGTCCTCCTCTTTTCTACGCTCGTTTAAGCGCTTATCCCACCATTTCCACTTCCTGCTTCCTACACTCGTTCACGTACTTATCTTGTTATTTCCATCTCCTCCTTTCTACACTTGTTTAAGCGCTCATCTGAGTTGTTTTCACATCTTTCTTTCTACGCTTTTTTAAACACTTATTGTTTTCTCACCTCCTCCTTTTACACTTTTTTTTAAATACTTATTTTACTGTTTCTGTTAGGGTGACTGGTAGGCTAATAGGCACTAATCCCGAATATAGGCATATAAACAGACAATAGATGAGATATATGAGCAGAACAGACAAGCAGACAAGATACACAAGACGTAGCTCGAGGTTTCAGACTTGGATCAAACCTCGGTAGATACATACCTTACACGATCACTTTCACCACTAGCCCGATTTTCGTCAACACACCGACTTTTTACACACATGTCTGAAAGCAACAACACTATCAATATGGACTCGATTAAAAGGCGCGCACTCTTTGGCTTTATTATTAATCGTTCTGTTATGTTAATCTCTAGACACAGCGTACATCTGCCATACAGCTCGGTTGATAGTAGGGGTTGTACCCACGCTCATTTAATATACTGTCAGAAGTATATGGACGATTCTATCAGGGCTTGACTATTCTGTATTCTTTATGATATGTGTTGTGATTACCCCTCTTCTGGAGCCACGGCTTATATATCCATGTCACTTCATTACTCCACATGATGTCCCACTATGGACTAGCTTTATTCTGACATATATACACCTCACTTAGTGCTTGCTATGTTCAACAATGCATTCATACATATGTACAAAGCAGCAAACAACATGTCTATCAGTTCACCGGAGCTGTATATCCACCGCGATCCTGCAAACTGTCGATTCGACCGAGCAGGAATTCTAACTGCCGATACGCGGCGCCGGGGGTATATTGGGGGATTTCTATCTTTATTAGCACGACTTCTATACTATCCGCAGAGGGATACATACCATGACCGGCCAAGTACACCGTCGTAAAGGTTAGGCCACGTTCCGTATGCGCAGTACCGAGGATTCCAGCACCAGCATCCCAAATAAACGGCTGCTTGACATTCCCATTAGGCAGCTCGGCCAATCCCTTATGGTATGGCACGTAGAGCGGTTCGTCAGGCTGCCGCTGGAATCCCTGGGCTCCGTTCCAAGTCATGTTCTGGATGGTAGCGAGGGAGCCATTCATGAAGAGCAAGTAATCGAGCCATCCGTGGCCAATGATAGTGTTATTGGTGCGTTCAATAACCGAAGCCAGCGGCCCCAATGCGCTGGGCACGGACTGATCTCCGCCAGGGAAGATGTGACCACCGCATACAGCGTAGTTCGTTGGCGGAACGTGAATGGCTTTCTGCACGTCCGAGCGGTTGAAGTAGTTGTTAGGCGGGCCAGCCAGAGACGGGAATCCCATCTCGTCCCAGAGGTATGGACAGAAGTCCGTCAGATGGTACATGTTGAAGCAAGGGTTCACGTTAAATGCCGCCGCCAGGATCTCGTCCCACACAGCACAGCCATCGCGCGAGGGATCTGGCGCCGATGGGAAGTCCTTGGGCGGTGGGAAGGTCAGTGCCTCGTCCAAGAATTTATTGTAGCCGCAATTCTCGGCCTGTGTCTCGATGTGCGAGACGAAGCTGTCGTTCAAAGCGAAAACGCTCTTGTAGTGCGAGAGGTGTCGCACCGCGGGGGCTAGGCTAGTCAGTATCGGAGGATAAAAGATAGGAGAAATCGACATACCGTAGATCATGACCGAGTCATCATTGATAGACGGGTCATTGATCTGGATCCCCTTGACATTGAAGTACTTGGTGTCCTTCTCATCCAGCATCGCTGACGCGATATACGGGATGTACTGACCTGCGTAGCTCTCGCCGGTCAAATACACCTTGTGTCCATGCAGGCCAAAGGTGTCGGAGAATTGCTTGAACCAGCTGTTGAACTGCGCAGCAACGTCCTCCTCATTCCTGACGGTCGATGGGCCGGGTGAGAATCCCGTTCCTGCCGGCTGATCAACGTAGACGACGTTGGTCAATTTTGTCCACGAGTAGGGATTGGGCAGGGGCTTGTAGGTGCCCGACTGCCACAGAAAGGGACCGTTCTCTTGCAAGAGACCGTCCAGGGAACTGCATCCAGGGCCGCCGTTCAGCCAGATAGTAATCTCGTCGGTCGCTTTGGGGTTGGTGGAGGGGAAGAACCAGAAGAAGAGACTCGAGTTGCCGCTGGGCGTGTTGGGCAACAGGCCGGCGTACGACTCACCCACGTCAAAGTCAACCTCGGGGATGCCCTTGCCATCGACGAGGAATCCTACCGGGATTAGTTACGGCCGATGCGACCGCGGGGAGAGACTCACGCTCGGTCTTCTTGTTCAGGTACTGGTAGCCGCCGTCATCGCTACGTGGCACGGCTCTAGGGGCTCGGATCTGGTGCTTGCGAGCCAGATGAATGGCTTTACGATGGGGACTCTGCAGGCCCAATGTGGTGCCGGCCAGCAGAAAGGAGACAATGGCGGCAGGCAAATGCATTATGTGCACACAGTGGGTTGTGATGCCCCTACCGGATCGACAGGTACGCACTTTATATATAGTGCGGTATCGGAGGACCGTCGGGCCCCAGAAGCAATGAGGAGAAGCTTGTTCCGCCGACGGCCAGCGTCTGAAAAGCTTCGCAGATTTGCTGTGGAGAGCAGCGGCTTTGTCGATTGGCGGCTGGGTACATCGGGGTTGTCCGGCAGGCTAGTGCCGTCTATCATTGCCTGGCTGGGAGTTGAGGTTACATGTGAGGGTCCTCCTAATATTGAGTCCCGTCCAGTCAACCACGAGATGACAGGGGACAACTGGTTGCGACTACCACACCACCTATGGCGAGATGCCATTGGTTTGCAATTGGTCACGCTTATTGCCGGGTGTTTGTCCTTCAGTTTGCTGCTCTGCCGACAGCGACTGATATATCATATTCAGGGGCTACGGACACGTAGGTAAAAGGGAGACGAAAAAGCTTCTCACCTAGAAGATATAACTCACCATGCGATACTAGATCGCACGATAGCGCAATATACTAACTATCCAGTCATCGCAATCCTAGCACCGCACAACATACCTTCTCCCCTAGTGACTTCAACACTTACGATAACCTACATCGGATCCAGGTCGCAACACCCGATTCACTCATATATTTGTGCAACTCATGGAATAGGGCTATTAGCCGAGATACGTCCTAGCGGGAAATGTGGTCTTGGTTCACGGCTGATCCTGAGACTTATTATTCCACGACCACTTGTCCCAGAATTGATTGTTACAAGGATTGAGCTTCCTTGAGCCAAATTTACTTGGAGCATAACATGCATGAATTTGGATGTAAGCTAACTAAGTTGCCATTTGGAGGACGAAGAGCCATATTAGGCCAGTGTATTGAACTGTGCATCCCGTTTCATCTGGTGATTACTGCACTTTAATTCTAACGATAGGACTCTTCTATGAGTGAGGGGTTCTCCATGAAGTTCCTCGGTCGGTTTATTGACCTATCCCCTGAGCTTCCACCATGAATTGCTATTACGCACCGACTATGCACTGCGCTGGAACTAAATCCGCCATTTCTGGCACCCGATCCCGCTGCACGCCACTAATGTATATGTTGTAGAGAGCCGATCGTGTGGCGTCCTCAAAAAAGGTAGAACAACGTATATCAATGAACTGGGATCTACAAATGACCTACCACATTTAGTGGTCCTGGTGGCTGTAAATATAGACCTACATGAGGCTATTGTGGTAATGGATTTAGTCGCCCGTGAAGTGGCCGCCATAGGGTACAACAGAGAGCTCCTGCTAGCCAACATTCTTCTAAATTAAATGAAGCCTAATTATTTCGCCCATCTCTATTTAACTTTTCATTTATCATAATATATGTAATACCTCCAAGGCTTGCTATGGTGATGAGTAGTGGCTGGGCTGTATCTTGCATGACTTGACATATTGGCCACTTAATATACTGGTTGATGCGTCGGTCACTCAACCCACCGCTATCTCAGGATGAAGAGATTAGACAAACCTGGACAAGGATAATGTGCACCGCATGACCTCAAAGGTTTGCCGAGAAAACACGGTTTCTAGAAGAGCTATGGTCTGCGCATATGCTAAACGTTCACAGACTTAAAACGTGAGCCAAGGCTTTCAGCCTAACACATGCAAGTAAACAATTCTTTCTAAATATTCGGATAGCAGAGGGACAAAATTAATAGAACCAATCCCGCACAATTACTCATCTGTAGGAGAGCCCTTCTTAATGATGAACACCTTATCAGGAATGTGGGGAATAATCCGTAGACGAGATGGGCTCCTGGGAGAGGGGCACAGGGTTCCAGGAATCACCCATTAGGTTGGGAGAGCCGCGAAACTCGCGTGATCGTGTCCTCTTCTCCCGGTGAACCTTCGGGCTTAGTTTTCTCCACTGGGTCCAAGAAGATCCCACTTATTACCCACAAAATCTAGAAACACCGCAACGTTTCCATATTCTTCGGCTCTGGGCTCTGATATAAACTGAATGCCGTGACTGCAAAGCCTGTTGTAGGTCCCTTGAAAATCATCAACACGCCAAAATAGACCTACACGGCCTGCAAACTGTCGACCAACGGTAGCACTCTGTTCAGGACTATCGGCTCGAGCTAAGAGAATCCCTGTTTGGGGTAGGCTGCCTGGTGGACGGACAACAACCCAGCGTTTCGGGCGGCCGTCTGTAGTAAAGGACGGTTTATCCTCAACCAGTTCAAATCCAAGTTTGTTAACAAAGAAGGAAATAGCTGGATCATAGTCATGCACAATCAGGGCAACCAGTTGCAGTGAAGACATATCGCAGAAAGGTGGTTTAGTGTATAATCTTGGAGTGGTTCTTCCACCAAACTGGAAACTTAAGTGGCTCAAAATAAAGGCGATAATAGGCTCTATAGTATATTGCAAGAGAAGTGAGATGGCCTACACAAGTGTCAGCTATAATGCCGCCGGTGTGGATCCCGTTATCCAAACTTTTGACACTAACGATTGAGATCGTATGTGACGCTCAATATAATATGGAGCTGGATCCGAAAACTAGAGTCAAGAAGGTGCCAGGAGCTGACATGGCACTTACGAGATGCGGCCACGTGACACGGTCACGGAGCTTGTTAGCGGAGGATTTGACCCATAAAGGCTTCATGTAATTAAATAATTGCTTTCTTCTCTACAGTTGATATTTTCATCAAATAAGATCCTAATTTTGTGTATCTAATCTCGCGCATCACATAATATCAACTGTCATCTTTAAATTGCCAAATCTTTATTGAAGCGATCTCGACACGTTCACTATGATTCAGGGGAACGGGGCAGAAGAACAGTATACCAGCTGCACGCACCTGCTAAGGACCGTATTTAATAGTACCTATATTACCTCTGAACGCTCTCATGAATGCACAATCTCACTATCTATGAATAGGGGCAGCCCTCAGGAGAAATACCCCGCAAATGCCCAGGCGCTAGGCGCTCGGGCCCATATATTTACATATCATTTATTGTGAAGCAGCTTCGAGCAGTTAAACAGGTAGGACCCTGACCTCCAATTAGAGGCCGTACCTGGGCCAAAAGCTAATTTTCAGTCAAAGAATGGAGAGTGAGGGGGAAAAACATTATGTGACGGTATAAGGAGCTAGAATATCTAGATTACGCATCCCCCAATATCACATCTGCCGCCTTCTCGCTAATCATGTAGGTTGGCAAGGCAAGGTAAAATCCTGGGATCCTGGGAAAGACGCTGGCATCGACAACGCGAAGCCCATCAACTCCACGTACACGGAAGTCGCCATCCAACACCGCCATCGGATCCTCATCTGCTCCAATTGGAGCGGTACAGCAGGCATGGTGACCCCAGGCCTCACGCTTGATGTAATCTTTAATTTCTGCCTCGGTGGTAACATTGGGACCAGGCCAGGTCTCCTCAAACCCGCCGTCTAGGGGCACTAGGTTCTTGAAGATGGATCGGGAGAACTCAAATGCTTCGTAGACAGCCTGGAGATCCTTCTGATCTGCCTCATTGACAGTGACACCATTGTCAAAGGAGTGGAAATTGATGATTGGCGTGTCGAGGGGGTCAGCGGACCGCAGCTGGACAGTCCCTGCGTTATTGCGCGAGCGAGTCTTGAGAGTGACCCAGCCCCAGTGCCGGACATCGTTCCAGGAGCTGCTTGAGTAGCCAGAAAAGTACCCCTGGAAGTTGGCAGGAGCACCAGAGATCAATAGATCGGGTTCATCATTTTCAGCCACGGAGGACTTTCTGATAATAGCCATGGGGATGTTATTGGATACATAGGCTCCCTTGTCATGGAGTTCATATTTCCACTTGTCAAAGCATGGGTCAGGGAGGGCTTCTAGAAAGGTACATTGCGAGATAAGGGAGAAGTCTATGGGGGATTTGCCAATAACACTAGTCTCATAGCGGTCCTGCAGGTTTGTTCCGACACCGGGGAGGTCAACGAGGGTAGGGATGTCCCATTTATCAAGTTCAGCTTTGGGACCAATGCCACTGAGCTTGAGCAGTTGCGGTGTGTTGAAGGCGCCTCCTGAGACGATAACCTCCTTGGCCGCGTACACGCTTCCGGGCACCCCGGGAGATGCAGTGTCTGACCGTGGATCTGCACGATATAAACTCTTCCCCTTTATGTAGTCGACACCAGTGGCGCGGGGACGGGAGCCGGAGGTGTCAAAGACTAGGTTGGTGACAAATGTGGTGAGGTGGATGTCAAGATGGTAGCTACGCTTGCCCTTGTTGTCAGTCTGGGCCGCAGTCTCGATGAGAAAATCGCGTGGTCCGGAACGTTTGTAGTCTGGCACCTGCACTGCGATAGGGAGCTGGTACAGGTCTGGAGTCCTGTTACGCGTGCCGCTGTTGGCGTCGTGTACGAGTATCTGCGCCAGCTCTGTCACGGTGTCGATCGCCTTGCCCGCCAGGTTCTTGCCCGCAGCAGTACCAGCAGCAATAACAAGTGAGAGGATCTTTTTGTCGCTTAGAACGAGGTTCAGTGGTGCGAGTGCGGTCTGAAGCCAACCTCTATAGCCGTGGCTGATGGTGTCGTTTGGAGCGTAGCGGTTGAGCTCGAGGCGGCGGTAGTAGCCGCGCATCTTATCGGCTGCCCACGAGTCATTTCCAGTGAGGGCAGCGAGGTTGTCCCAGTCGCTCTCGTAGGGATAAACGGTGCTATTATCATCAGCGCTCTCGTTCTTCCTCTATCAAATTGCTGAAAAGATAGGGAAGGAGTCATACACCATGGCATTATGGGCAGTACATCCACCCAATGTACCTGCACGCGGATACAGAATACCCAGGGGCTCAGAGCCGACAGGAGGGTTAGGGCCTTTGTGTAATTCACCCGTTGGAGTGCGGTAAGTCATTTTAGAGTCCTCCTCTTGGCGGTTGAGGTCGGTGTAGTGCTGGATGTAGAAATTCCAGCTCTGGGGTTCATACTCAGTCGATTGTAGCTGAAGGGCCGGGACCATCTGCTGGAGAGTGTTACCCTGATCATCACCGGCGTCCAGGAGGAGGACCTTGTATCCTCCCCGAGCCAGGCGAGCAGCCAACGGGCCGCCACCCGCCCCAGAGCCGATGACGATATAGTCATACTCGGCTGTGGCATTCATGGAGGGGGATTGATAGCGCTGATCGCGAACATAGGTGTGCGGACTGCCCTAGTTAGACTTACCCCCACACGGAAGGACCGTGAAGAGTGGTATATGAGAGGAATAAAGGACTATCAGCGGGGAAACTTACGATCCTAGCACCGGAGCGAGGAGGGAAAAGAACCCAAGGCACTTGAGGAACAACATGGTGAAAAACAGGTGACGTGCCCTTGTGAGGCAGAAAAAGTGGAAACAAGAACAATGGTAGATAGTATCATAGGAAAGACCCCGCAGGGACTTGTCAAAATATAGAAGAAAACAGAACCCAGGAGTCCGGCAGGCGTGAAGGCAGCTGAATTGAGCACTTGGCGCACCGCCCGGTGTGATGAGACCGCATCTGTTAAGAGTTTGTGATGCAAAAGTCACAAGTGAAGAGTAAGATAATGATTATAGTACCTATGAGGAAGCTCGCAGCCACTACCGACTAAGCGTTGATGCATCCATGTACAGCTACGTTGGCCTGACAGTAAGCCCTTATGCGACAATCTCACTCGACGTACTTCTAAATGCATAAGAGCTCCTGTTCATATCATAGCAATTGGGACCGCATCCCTGCGGATGTAATGGCATTCTTGAGTGAGTATTATGTATTTGTACGACAGGCATCTCAATTGCGCCGGTGAGTTGCATGGATGTGTATCCCAAGTTGATGAATTTCCTGCAGCTGAAGAAACACAACTCAGCTAGCCCATGCTTTCCGAACCCCAAATTTCGAACCGAACAAGGTGCAAAATCCTGGCGGATCCTAGGCTGAGGTTTGCAAAAGGGTACTACTAAATCAGGAGACATACGACGGACGTAGCTTACTTAATTTTAATAATACATTCTTTGTTTTGTCCCCTCAAGTGCGCTAGTATGTTTAGTGATGAGTGCACGAAAACTACTCGCAGAGGCGTAGCCCAGCTCTTTTTCTGACTGAAAATGCTTCCAAATAGATTGATGTCTGTATGTCTGCAATAGTTTCAGCCTTGGTAGGGTAGATCACAACTACAGCTGACCCACTTGCCCTATACCACCTTCCTTTCTCTTACCGCATCTAGAGGAGTCCGCTTTCTTCTTGACCTGCCATTGCCATAGGATAAAGATCAAAACAAAAAGGATGTGCTGCGTGAAGACCTAAGTCGGGCTGCGTGCTGGTGCTGAGCTTTACCACTACACCACAACCAAAAAGGCGCAAATCGATGACCGGATGGACATCGAGATCAGCGTACTATAGAAAGGGCAGACCAGTGATATGCTGCATGTTAATGTCGATTATTGGCTGCAGTGGGGAACGAGGATGTCCGTCTGACCTATGTAACTACAATACGGGGTGTCGATCGATCTGTTGTTCGGAGGCATATCAACAGCATACAAAATAACCCGTGGAAGAGATGGGACAATGAGCTGCAAAATAGTGAAAAACACTTGAAAGAAAAGAATCCAATGAAACCATGGCTCGAAAGCCTCAGCCTTGGAGACCCCAGGACGGTGGGGGCACGAAGACAAAGGGAATGTGATTGTGCTCATGGCGTGATCAGTTGGGATCATAATCTGTAATCGTATTCACCCTGTTGCCTTGAGCTGAATTCAAATCCCTCTTTGTTATCCACTAGCGATCTACAAATGCCAATGGCAAATTGCGTCCTACACATGGAGGTGCTGGTATAAGACTTTAAAAGATTGTCAGGTGCTCATTTTGACGGCACTATTGAACTCTAAAAAAATTCTGACCCAATGTCAAAAGCACAGCAAGATATCAACAAGATGCCATATGCAATAGGTGATAGTATCCTGCTATGCACTACAGGGATTTATCCTCATCGACCTGTTATGCCCTCCAGTATGGTGTACTTGTTTGTCAACCGTGCAACACCCAGAAACCCTATTTCAAATCACGAAGACCATTACCAAGTTAACTTATCTTTCCTATTAAGGCGTACTCTCCCAGCGCTGTGCTTTTTCTTCCGAGATGGCTCAATTACATAAAGCATCGAGACATCCTGAAGCCCAGCAACCAGCAGTTCTTCCTCCTGTCGGTTCTGTAGCCATGGAACGTCATCACGAATCCAAACAAGTCGGTCGCAGACTGCTGCTCAATTATATTGATGCGGTGGCGGCTGAGAATCCCACGATGGTGGCCATCACCCAGGTCGTCTCCTTCGAGCCCAACCCTGTTCACTTCAATATCACATATCAGGACATGTCGAATCTTATAAATCGGCTCGCGTGGTGGCTGGATGAAACCTATCCCAAACGAAAAACCAAAGACATCACCATAGCGTACTTACTCCCCTCTTTTGCGCGTTGTTTTACGCTTCTCAGGAGAGACAGCTAATTAGGAAGGTAGTTATTTGGGCTCTAGTGATGCCAGACATCTTGTCTTGACTCTAGCAGCAGTAAAGGCCGGTTACAGGGTACGCGGATGATCCTCATTTCGTCAATGAAGCGTACTAATTAAGTTTTTACAGTTAATGCTACTCTCACCTCGAAATAGTGTCCAAATTCATGACCACCTCATCAAGGAGACCAAATGTCAGGCTATTATATTCGACTCTCTCTTCTCTTCCACTGTTACAGAATTGACCATCCTCCGTAGCATCAATGCTGTTCAAGCTCCAGAGCTTGTAAACCTTCTGTCCAACACAAGCCCGGCAAGAGAATACCCTTATTTAGATACCTTTCAGGACGCATCAGACAAGCCTCTTGTGGTACGTATCGTTCCTATTCTGTACTTCTCACCACACGCTTCTAATATTCTTATTCGCTCAGATATTTCATACCAGTGGTTCCACAGGCATGCCCAAGCCTGTAGCATTTGTTCACGCTGCTATGGCAGCTACTGATAGCTTAAGACTGTTTTACTCTGAGGAATCCTATCGCGTCAGTTGTCATCGACTCCTGGAGTCCGCGCACAGTGTCTACAATGGGTGTCCTTTGTTCCATCTTGCCGGATTCGTTGCTGGCTTCTTCTGGCTTTTCAGTGGCGGCATCATAGTTATCGGCCCTGCGAATCAGCCCTCCAGCCCTCAAATGCTGAAAGATATCTTGCACGTGGCTCATGTTGATGGTGCATTGTTACCCCCTCTCGTTGTCGATCAGATAGCGCAGGAACCCGCCCTAATTGAAAAAGTTTCGAAGCTTCGGTTCATTACATTTGGCGGTGGTAAGTATTCCTCTGCCGTGGGTCGAAGCCGGTCTCAGATTGCTAATAGATTATAGGTTCTGTGAGCCAAGAGGCAGGAAACTTGTTGTCCCAGAAGACTCGACTGATTAGTGTCTTGGGCAGCAGTGAATGTGGCCTGATTGGCGCATTCATGATTGAGCCGGAAAACTGGAACTGGTTTCACTTTGCCGAAAAGGAGATGGGGATCCGCTGGCACCCTATCGATGAAGGCACCAGGGAAGGCAAAGGTGACCCAGAATACTACGAACTGGTCATTCACCGCGATGACAATCTACCCCAGAAGCAGGCAGTCTTTGTTAACTTCCCTCATTTGGAGGAGTGGCACACAAAGGACATCTTTCAGCGTCATCCAAGCATCCCGTACTACTGGAGATATGAAAGCCGAATTGATGATGTCATCGTGTTCTCCACCGGTGAGAAGATGAACCCAATCACTTTTGAAAGAGAGCTCAATACTCTTCAAGGGGTCCATGCCAGTCTGGTCGTTGGCCATAAGCGTCCGTACCCAATCCTTTTAATCGAGTTGGAGCCGTCCGCGAACGTGGAAGATACGTTGCCTGCAATACATCAAGCACTGGAAGACCTCAACAAGCAGAGCATGAAGTACGCGCAAATTCACCGTAATGATATCCTTATCGCTACACCAGAGAAGCCGTTTGCCCGTATGGCGAAGGGGACGATCAGTCGCAGTCAGACGGCCAAGCTGTATGCAACAGAGATTGAAGCTGAATACACTTTAAAGGACGCGGAGCAAGATCTCCAGTTCCAGCTTGATCTTTCTACCGATGAGACGCTCATGGAAAGCATTGCTGAGATAGTCCGCAGCCTGACTTCAGTGAAAGATTTAAGCATCCATGACGACTTCTTCGCAAGGGGCTTAGATTCACGGCAAGTACAGATGCTGGCACAGTTACTGGCCCGAGTCCTGCCAGATCAGAAAGATGTCCTCTTCATCCGAAATGCAGTGTACATGAACCCGACTACTTATAGGCTGGTAGGTTATATCCAGCAGCACCATACTGTCGATGATGTGTCAGACACATTCCATTATATCTTGAACAAGTAGGATTACACTTTGAACAGTATCATTAATTATTCAAGTGACTAACTAGCATGCTAGATACTCAGTATTTCTGCCACAGCCAACGAAGGTGAAGCAGAAGCAAACAGATCAAAGCAAAGCGCATCACATCCTTCTAACTGGTAGCACGGGTTTCATTGGATCATTCATCCTTCGGTCCCTGATGCATCGCCAGGACGTAACAGAGATCACCTGCATCGATCGGAGAATCCCAGAGGTTGCCAGGGCTGGAGGGGCAGTTCCAGTTCATCGCTTTAAGGGCGATTTAGCCCAACCATATCTGGGTCTGAGTGAGGAAGACTACTCGCATCTGCTAGCAACTGTGACAGTAGTCATTCACTGCCAATGGCCAGTCACCTTCAACTTGCCCCTGGCGCTCTTTGAATCTCACATCGCCGGCGTTGCAAATTTGATCCGGCTAGCGTATGATTCTAATCAAGACACACGCCTCATATTCCTTTCATCTATTGCCACCATTCAAGGCTGGGATCAGTCAACCCCAGTCCCCGAGTCACCTCTTGATTCGCTGAAATATGCCCAAGGTGGGTACGGTCAAAGTAAGCTGCTGGCAAGCAAACTGCTCCAGCAAGCCGGACTCACCAGTGGTGTCACCTCCGCAATTTGCCGGGTTGCCCAGGTTGGGGGTCCTGTGTATGCCGAGGGCGTCTGGCCACCACGAGATTGGTTCCCGACCTTGCTGCGCGCCTCGGAGATTATGGGATGCCTGCCCGCCTCGCTCGGAAGTTTCAACGACGTTGACTGGCTGCCGGTGGACTGTCTCTCAGAGGCACTTGTAGAATTGGCCCTTGGAGCTGGGATGGTGGATTCAACAGGAGACAGGGCACTTACCGCATACTATCATTTCACGAACCCTTCCGTCTCTTCGTATACGGATCTCGTGCCAACAATCGCCCGTCGTCTAGGCCCCGATTGCAAGGTGGTATCTTCTTTGGAGGAATGGAATAAGAAACTGGCTAGTTGGAGCTTGCAAGAAGCCCCCAATGGAGATTCTTCGGTGGAATCTTCCATGGCCGCAGCTATGGCACTGTTAGAATTCTACGTGGGGCTAGAGGCCAAACCAGACCAACCATCAGTGAGGCTTGACACCACCTTGACAGTCGCACGGATTCCTAGCCTCCAAGCCGCCGGGGCCGTGAATGAATCATGGATAAAAACTTGGCTTGATCAATGGGGCTTTGGTACAAGGTTAGCGAACTGATTCCTTGCTCATTAACGAAGTAAATTCAACCTTTCCAGCAGCTCACACCTGGTTGCTTGTATGCATTTTCGCTAATTAAGAATTATAGTGCCAGTGTTGATACTATTCCGTAGGCATACGTCCGACATGTGCTTCTTTGTTTCCATTCAGTCTGTTATATGAAATTGAACAGTAGGCTAGTTCCGCGGAATATATCTCCATTATCCGTAAGATTCACCGTAGTCACTCTATGATCAGTACCTCTGCGAATAACCCCGACTCCTCCCTCAGTAATACTAGTTTATGTTCCAGGAGGCAACTGTTTTCGAAAGGACTTCGGTATTAGAACAGACTATTTATAAAGCCCCTTCTTGTGTAGGCCGGTGAGCGGTGCAAAAGGTATTATTCCTTTAAGGGACAGCGCGGATGATTTAAATGTCTTAGTATCCCTAATACCTCTTCTCGCACACTAAGATTAATCTTATCATGACCCGGCTGAAAAGATGAAGAGATTTTAAGTGGATGACTGTGCTCAAAACATTTCGTAAACAACTTCCAAACGGGGTAAAGTGTGTTAGTGTTAATGGAAACGTCCTCAACTCGGTTCTACGAAGCTTGGATTCCAGCATATGCACCCCTCAGGTAACGAAAATCGCAAGTTTTATCTGTGTAAGGTGGAATTCAGAGGGGCATCTTGCTGATCATTGGATAGGTCATCATAAAGTCAGTCGGGTTACGGGACCACAGCACTTTTTAGTTGCAATGCAGAACCTATCCGAGTTCTATGGTCTCATGCACATGGCACAGTCGCTACTGTCACTGCTGGTCCTTTTGAATGAAGGGGGCTTGCCATTTCTACCAGGCGACCTTGCTGAGGGCACTGTCTCGCCGTGTCTGCAAGTGTGGTAGAATGTATCCTAAACCGGCAAAAATCAGATTGCTCTTGTTGGGCAAATACAGTCAAGGGAAGAGACATCATATTCAATCATAGCCCTTGCAAATCTAAACTCACATACTACCATTATTAGTGACTTTAGCTGCGTTGAACTGGCCATCGCACGGAAAGCATGTCTTGCTGGAAGATTGGCAGCCAGCGATAACCCTAACAGAATATGGACGGAAAGTCTTATACGGATTTTCATATTTGAAGGAAGGACGCTTATGTGCTTGCTGCTTTGAACGTTAGGCGAGCGAACTTAGCTGGTAAGAGAGGGTTAAGTGACTCTAATAGATGCTGGGGTGGCTTAGGGACTTCACAGTCAGAGGAACGCTAAACTTCCCGCGAGCTTCTCAGTTCATGACCGTTATTACGAATCATGATGTTACATTGCAAAGGAAAGCCGAAATGCTTTTCCTAATCTGAAAGTGCATGGTCTATATACAAGTCAAATGTCAGGTGGATTGGAAATCGTAAGGTTTTATTCTAGGTCCAGAAAGCCTTTGTGGCCCATAAAGTAGCACGGAATATAAATTGTAGAAACTCCCTATATGACTCACAATTATGACTTCACGAGAAGCCATGGGTTTTAGTAGTAATCGAATGGTTTGTCTTGACAGGTTATACGCCCTAAAAGGACCTTGCTCTTCCCTTCGCCTGGCCCCTACATGCGCAGCAACATAGTCAAATCCATAAATCATACTTTAGTCACCTACGTTGAGAAGCTTTATGTTTATATAGCTCAGTTAGTTTCGACATCCCTACAAGCAATTACATGGAGTCTTAGCCCTGTATCTATAATAGCATATTGGCTGCGTATTTGTGGGTATCTCTGCTTGGGTGGTTTAGGTAGTATATACCATTCCTATAAAAAGCATGTACTTGCCTAGGTCTGTCCTGCCCTGTCCCGTTCCGCTCCGTCTCTAGTAATTTTCTTTTCTGGGTAAGGAACGTAGACTAGGCCAGTATTGAGGTATCGAGATAGCGGAAGGTGGCATTGCCAGCAGTGTTACCGTCGAATAAGAGCAACATAGTTAGTTGCTGGTATATGTCAGCGCCCCTGCCGCGGGAGTCGGTCGGTGGGTACAACTTCAGAAACATTCTATAGAAATGCAGATCTCTGTACAAACTTCAAGTTTAATTTCTCCTGGCCAATGCATTTCTTGTAAAGGGCTCGATTGTGGAATTCCTCGGAAATGTTATACTTATTGGATTGGAATCTCAGCCTCTTGGGCCTTCCACTTTCAACTCTCACTATGGCTGGAAATTGCACAATCGCTTCTGGTTCTTCCCCAAGGATGAAGGTCATCAGCAATTGCACGTAGTTTGCAAATACAATTTTTGTACCAGGCACCATAGTAAGACTATATTATTCTAAAGCAACTATGAGTAAATTAGATAGGCATACGGTAAGAAACACATATTCTAATATATACGCGATAGAGACGGCACACTTTATGGGGGAAATTGTCACCGAGGGCCGTGGAGATACCATCTTTGTCAATGTCAATAATAATACGGATTTTTGGGTCCTTCTGCGGTATATCAGGTTTGGCTGGTTGGATTTGGACTAAATGACGGCCGACGTCAAGTTCTTTTGCTCAACGGTCGCTGCTTTCGAGGTATAATCGAACCGATTCCTACGGATCTTCGTAGTCAGTATTTGCTTCTCGCAAGCTTAAAATCACTCGCTTCGCCAGATTGATCCTTGAACTGGGGTGAAAAGTATCTCCTATGTTTGGAGAGGACGGTCCCCTTAGTTCTTATGTCCTATGGGGCATGGTTCTTCGCTAGAAGGAAGATATGGTACCGTATATGTGCGGAATAAGGGGCGACGAGACAGCCACAACTCTGGGGCTCTTTTTCAGCAAAGCAGAAATATCACGTGAGAGCGAGTTTCGTTCGTGTCATTCAAAAGCGGGGCTCGCGTGACGCGTTGTCCTGTTGAGGTTACATTTCAGTGATCTCCGTTCTTTCCTTAATTGGACAGTGGCTTTCAACGAAGGTTCGACTTCCTCGTATTCTACTATTAACTGCTGACCAGAAAGCAAATTCAGCGTAACTCCTGCGGACAAAGATATGTCATATAAAATGGCTGTTCTGTCGTTCTTCTTGAACCAAGATTTCAGTCCCCGGCCAACCACGCTCTAGCGTACGTTTTCTACACATAGCCACCACGCATCTTATCTGAGACGGCCTGCGAAGTTAGCGGTGTATAAAACCGAGAAGGATGGAAATGACTGGACCGACCGATTTTGTGACAGTGAGGTCGTTGTTGCCAGCAATCCCTCTTCCTCCAAACCGGGAGCGGCCGGTATTGGTAACAAATCGCTTGCTCATCCGGGTCCTGCAACCAACAGACCTGGAAGCATTGCATGTCTTACGAACACAGGAAGAAGTAATGAAGTGGACCTCAACTGGTCACATCGACCGAAATATCGAGGAAACAAGAAAAAACCTCAACCTATTCCTACCGCCGAACGATGCAACGACGGTCAACTGCGCCATCTGCCTCAAGGATACGGGCGAGCTCATCGGGTTAGGTGGCTGTCACGTCTTTCCCGAGACACAGGGCTGGCCTGAGGTGGGATATATGCTCCGGACGGAATTTTGGGGCCGAGGTATAGCCACGGAGTTCTTGAACTCCTGGCTGCCGTTTTGGGGAGAGTTGCCTAGGACAGAGCGAGAGGTGAGGGTTGAGAGAGCAATGGTAGCCGGTGACGGTTCGGTGAAGGAACATCTCATTGCCATCACAGAGGCTAGTAATATTCCAAGTCAAAAAGTGCTGTTGAAATCAGGGTTCCAGCAATTTCGAGAGTTTACCGAAGTGGATTATGCAGATCCTAACAGGGAGGTGAAACTTCTGGCATTCCGCTACTTCCCTTCAAAATAGCCTAGCCACTTGTTCCGAGTGCCTTTCTCGCGACTCATATAGTGCATAGTGCATTATGCATGAGATGACTAACGCGTACGGCGTTTAATTTGCTATCTTGTCATTATAATTATCAAATTCGGATCGGCTAATAATCCAACCTGGTGTGTTGGACAACCTCAATAACGAGCACACTCGCAGGAGTTGGTCGTTTATCCCTTCCTCCTTCCATTCCTTAGGAATTAAGCAAAGTAGATAGCCACCCCTCTCCCTTTCTAAGGATTCAACATCAGCCAGTACCCTGTGGCCAACAGATACCAAAGTAATGCCATCCGGCATATTCATCGTCTTTCTAAAGAATAACCAAGCTGAGTCATAGTAATCCAGCTGCCGACTCTTGAGGATATGCCAAGTGGAATGCTCCCTTTGGCGGAGAGTTTCCAGAAAAGGGAAGACTGAGTTTACGGAGGGCATAGAGAAGGCTATGAGACAGTAAATGACGTGCCTGTGTGGGGGGGGTAGGAAAGGACTGACCATCGGGCCGTGTCATCACTTTTAGAATTATTAACTCCAGCTCTCCATCAGAAAGAGGGTGGAAAAGTGCATCTCTGATATCTTCCTCAGGGGCCCCAGTTGACCGAATAAGATGAGCTCGAAAATCCAGTTGCATTGCTCTAAGCGAGAGTTAGTCTCGATCCAATAGTTGTAACGAGTTGCCTACCGTTCAAATACTTGCTCCTCAACGCACGATTGCTCGTACTCTGATATGTCTTTTAATGATCTAGGCCGGCGAAAATTAATCAGGTAAGGTGGCACTGAGGAGAATGTGTATGAAACGGAGAAGTCATAAAGGACTGTATCGTGGAAGTCGCCTGGAAGCCTAAAATGATCATCTCTCACATCACCATGAGTTATAGCGAGGTTGTGTAATGCTGAAAGACGACGAATGCGGTCAATGAATAAAGAACAGTAGTACTCCACTTCGAAAGTACTAAGGCTCGGCACTATACTCTGGAGCCGCAGCATGAAATTCCAGTGACGCTCAGTTGCATCAGGTTCTCGTGTCGCCAGGATACGCCGAGAGGATAGCTCTGGCTTAATGAATTCGAGTACAACGGCCCGGCGGTTGAAATACCCGGAAAAAAACTTCGAATCGTCAAGATCAGTGATAACGCCGTGAAAACGAGGGAAATATATCCTTTGTGAGCTTTCGCAATAATTGTTTATGCGACGGAATACCCTGGCCTCATTTAGGAACGGGTCAAGTTCATCTCTAACATCCCTTGGGTCGCGTTTGAAGGGAATGCGTCGCAGCTGGGCACGCGCATCTCTTTCAGTATACTCGGGAAACTTGATTAATATTAGCGTCTATATTGGACTCCTACGTTCGAGTTACTCACCACCTTAGCGACATATTTGTACACATATCTTCCATTGCACTTGATAGCTAGCCGAAGCACTTGAATTCGATCTGGGCCAGCACGTCTATCTGTAGTTACTTGTTTCCACAGTATCCATTTTCGATCTGTATGAAAAGGCTCAAAACCCCCTTCATTCACATGGGCGATATTAATCCAGCTGGGGGGATGCTGGGAGAAGAATAGATTGACCCACTGTTCGGCGTCTCCAGCGCTCATTCTTGCTGAAAAGGGTTTATGAAGATAGAGCCCGAAAAATCTTACAGCAACGTGACTGATTCTTAATCTGGCCAAGTTGGAACATCGGATTATCCCTCTACTCCGGGTGCCTCTGTACCCCCCGGATCCCAGCTTCCAACAGGCCAAAACACTCACGTGATTGCTCCTTGCTTTGAACAAACAGGTCGGGGAGTTTTTGGATCAACTCTCTTTCGAAAAACGGCTCTTCAGTGTTATACCAGGCTTCTATATTATGGGCTGGTTCAGCCACACTCAGAGCGACCTTGTCCTTCGGTCCTTGTCCAAACCGGTAAGAAGGGCCGCACCACGCGTTCATTGTCGTAGAGTGAGTGGACCAAATAATGCAGAATCTCAGTCTGATCATAGCGGGGAACAAATCACTCTTGTACATCCTCCATTGAGAATTACACCCCTCACTTAGCGCGAATGACCAGATGTATTGATTAATTTCTTATACATACTAGTATTTGCTAGAATGAAGTGCAACAGTCAACCAGTCAGCCATATTCAAATTTTCCATCTGTCCGCTAACCCTCTTGAGCTTAAAGTCTTCTCCTTTCTCTGCCCTCTGTTTCTGCCAGGTCCGCTAATTTTATATGGGGCTAAGTTACCAAACAAGGTATTTTAAAAGCAATCTTTTTTGTTAGAATTTTTTGATTACTTGACAAATTAATTCGTGTGTTGATTATCCCATCAGGTATAGCTTTGTATATCGAAGATACATCGCCCGTCAACAAGTATAGATTTAACTTGCTGCAAAATCTGAGATCTCGTATCAGATACATATTACTGCCTCATTAATTAGCCAACTTTGAATCCACCAGAAGCTAGATTATAAATCAAATTCAGCTTAATAATTCTATCTCGTATTCCAGCTCCACGAACTCATATTTATCCAGGGCACCCGCAAGCAGTCCTTGTACCCTTAATTGCCATTGCACGATCGTTACTCTATCAAATAACAAGTACCCGTAAAACAAGTTATACTATGCCTCAAATAAAACTCTTCTATATCCCCGATGCATGCTCCCTCGCTCCACATATCCTCCTCCACGAAATAGGTGCAGACTACGAACCGATCAGAGCCAAACTTGGGGGCGGATTTGACGCTCACTTCCGGGAAGGCTTCACAGATATTAACCCTAAAATGCGGGTTCCCGTACTATCCCTCGACGACCAAGTTATCACCGAGCTTCCGGCAGTTGCAACGGCTATTTCGAGCCTCGCGCCAGAGGCTCATCTCATGGGTAAAACCACGCTTGATACAATTCGAGTCTATGAATGGATGAACTATTTGTCTGGGACACTACACGCCACTGGGTTTGGTCTTTTCTTTAGGCCCCATCGTTGGACGAAGTTGACCGATGAGGTGAGCTTTGCGGGAATCAAGGAGAGGGCTCTGGAAAAGATACTGGAGTGTTTTGGGTTTATAGAGGAGCGACTGGAGGGGGTTCATGCTGTTGGTGGTGCATTTACTGCTGTTGATACATTTTTGTATGCGTTGTATCGATCGGGGATGTATACTGGCGTGGACATGTTGGCGTATACAAAGTATACTGCTTTGGTGAAAGAGGTTGAACGTCGTCCTGCAGCGCTGGCGGCGTTGAAGATCGAACAGATTGATCCCAAGTTTTGATATACCGAAATGTTCACATAACTCCTGAGTATAAGTTGAGGTGATGGGTTGCATATTATACGCTAGTCTACCTTCAGAAGTCATGTTGACTCCCCGTCCTGGAACAACTATGTTCCGTGCCGGAGTGGGATCTTGGATGAAGCACCTCTAGTAGAGAGGTTCCGCATGAGTCTGCATAACTAACTAATAGCTAATTTATACAAAATTATATAAATATTCGACAAAAATAGTTTAGCGCTTCCGTATTTGGAAAGCGGTCCATTTTATTACTTAAGAATACACGCTAAAATAATATTCCAGTCTTGGCCAAATGACTTTAGAGGGCCTTCCACAGACAGGTCATATAATCATATATAAATATATATATTGCAATATGAACTCAACACCTTTTGCATGGTCAGAATCGCCTACTCCAACTCCTTATCTAGGCGTATTAAATACTACCGAGTGTGACGAACTCACCAAGTAGCCTGTTTGCATTGTTTATATCTAGCTTTGTTTATCTCCCCGCATAGTCCCCTCACCACATTTCTTCCTCTTCCCCACGCTTGAAATTTTCGTTAGATAGCACCAATTTCATCAAGTTGCTTGGCCGTCACACCGAGCAGCCATCTCCTGCAATCCCCGGTGTCACGGGCGAAATCAGATTCGTACGGCGATAGAATGGCGTGGCCATCGCTATTGGGGCCTTAAAGCGCTCAATCAGGCACCTGATTAATAATAAAGCTCAATATGCACGAAATCCGCCAAGAACCGCCGTATATCAACTAGATCCAATAAACATGGTAACGTGACCGATCACCGAGCTGCGCGGATCACCGAGCTGCGCACCCACACAAAGCAGCCCTATAAATTGACTAATATCTCAACGAAATAAAGCGATTTTATTATATAATTAAGACAGCATTATTTACTAGGGCACTTGAGTCTATTATGACCTTTAATTTGAAAATCTACGTGGTAAGCGCGCAGTTTGGTGGGGACCGCGCAGCTCGGTGATCCGCGCAGCTCGGTGATCGGTCATGTTTATAGGTGATTATTTGTCAGATCTCGCTTATTTTGCCTAATTCGATTCTGCCTAGCAGAAAATAAAATATAATTTTATATGATTATATTATGCAGAACCTCTCTATTATTCTACTAAGAATAGTTAAGTTTGATATATTTTGAATTGAACCGACGAGTGGTTGCCTTCTGGTCCTTACATGATACATCCATTCAGAACAGCAATCATGTTGATCACAATCTTGCGATCGACAATAATAAGACGAAATCTATTGCGATCCTTCAACACTGCCAAGCAAGGATGGCCCCAATAAGTCTCTTGGCAAGCATCATGTCTCGTGTAGCATGATAGCACACAGTTTCCGCTAGATCAGCATGCTGCCGTCATCTTTACGCTTCTCCACCTGATCGAGGGGTTAACTTGGGCTTTGGTTTCGGTTTTTCTCCCAAATTCCTTCCTTTCGTCCTTCCTTCCCTATAAGTACCACCAAAAGATGCCCTCCTCATCCCCGCATCCTACAATCGCGGCAGGATGGGCTCCAACGGGCGCGGGCTGTCATGCAAAAGAGGACTTCTGGATCTGGGACTACCATAGCGACAATGACATGCGCACCGTACTGGGAGGCCCCTCCCAGCTGGACGAATCTGCCACCTGCTATCCATCCTCCTGGGTTCCAACCTATGCGGCAACGAAATGTCCAAATGGTTATACGAGGGCATGTCCGCCTGCCTCGCCCACAGGTCCAGTAACATGCTGTCCGACGTATGACCTCGCCATTCTAGTGTCAGCAGGCACCGGAAGTCGCTGACATCTATCATCACCCAGGGTCTATTCATTTTCCTGTGTGGATAATGCAAATAGTCAGCCTCATGGAAGTTGGTTCCCATGCATGATGAATTTCGCTACCTCCAGGGATGTGACTGTTACTCGCACCGACTTTGTCAGCAACAAGATTACCTTTCAGAAGACCCCGCTGAAAACGGATCTTCATCTTTTTGCAGTTGGTCTTGTCTATGCGACTCCGGTGGGTATTCCGACTTTATTTTCTGATTCAGGACCTTCAATCGCTGACGTTGTAAATATATAGACTGCGACCAACGCGGACTCCACGGCGACAGCAACAGAAACTACATCGTCTACCTCTACATCTACTTCGGAACCGAGCCGAACAGATGAATCCAGTATAAGCGGAGGCGCGGCCGCTGGGATAGGAATCGGATCCGCGGCAGGGGTCGTTTTCATAGCCATATTGGCGTGGTTCATATACCGTCGACGACAGGCTTCCCGGATTATGGCTTCCCGGGGGAACGAGTACAGAGGTGCTCAGTATGATATGAAAAGCCTACCAGGGTCCGCACATCCCCGGGAATTGGATGCGCAACGGCCAACACAGCAGTTTCTGGGAGAACTGGCGGGTTGATAGGTCTTGTATTGAAGTAGCATGTATTATTATAATTATTATATAACGATGAGAATTTGGTTGGGAATAATGGTACTTATTATATGCCCGGCTGTGGCAGTTTGAATACATGATATCTGTCGATAATAGGTCTGCGGACCTGGGTCATCCCTGGAATATGTGGACTGAACAAAGGTCTGATTTTCATAGTAAAAACTAAGTTTATACTCTGATCTAAACGCTAAGCATCATATCATTATAACGTACCATACACAACTATGGGTTTATCAAATACAATGTATTATATTGTTAATCCCGTCCCTTGCATTTTACTCAGGTCTAACATCCCCCCCTGGCTCGTAAGATCCACCAACTTCATCCCCATTTCCTCTAGGGAACCCCGACCCCTTCCGAATCCCTTCTGAGATAACCCGCATGTCGTTGCCGTGGACAGCGTCACGCCCTCACCTCCATACAACGTATCCAGCTCGATGGTCTCCAAGTGCGGAAACTCCCCCAGTAGACTACTCAGCACCGCCAGCCATCCTGTCGACAGACCCGTTACACCCGATAGATCGAGCCGTCGCAGACTCAGTCGCGATGCGCAGAGAATACGCAGTAGATCATCCGCCTGAATTGTAGTAAATGCCAAGGTGAGTCTCTCAAGCATGCCTGGCAGTGTCTCGGATCTGGCAAGCTCGGCGAAGAATTCCATCGCCAGGTCTGACGGACCCAGACTGAGATAGAGTTTGCGAAGCGCAGGCCCATGGAGGATTAAATCAAGAAGAAAGGAGAAATTGTACGGCGTGAGTTCATGCTCCAAATGTAAGTTCTCCAACTGCATCCAGGATGCTCGGAACCCGGCATTGCCGATTAGATGTTTCGGTAGGCGTTTGATGTCCATTGTCTCCGACGTGTAGTTCATTCCTTTACCGTACCAGAAGAGTTTGATCGGTAGGGATGCATCGGCGATAATGTCCCAGAGGATATATGCGACGTCATCCGGGACGAGATGGTCATCCCGTGAGGGTTCTGTCTCGGAGGGTTCAGGTTCGGGGCTTGGGATCGGCGAGATAATGAACGATCGGCAGTTGACCAGTCGGTGGACAAGATCATCGCGAAAGCGTCGGATGGATGATATATCCCTTGGATTGCGCAAGTGGCCTGCCGCGGTCCGGTGCCACGGTCTGTCCCGACCGAGATATGGCTCCGGAGCCATGACGACGAGTCGCTGGACATATTGGCGCATGATATGGTTCTGAGAGATGGCATGCAGGTGGTTGAGACTGGTATCGGAAAAGTCAAGGTAGACTTCAACGTATCGTTGGGCGAAGCGATGAATGGTGCGGTGGTATGTGTGGCAGCAGGTGCCGACGAGGGCCGCTAGATCCGGGGTGGGGAGCTCGTCGCAGATCATCTCGAAAATCTCGAGGGGAAGAGAGGGCAACGAGGATTGAGCCATTGTATATTCGGAGAGTTGATTGAGCAAACTAAGGCATGGGATATTGAGCACATCGCGGGAACGGTGGTCATAAAGGACGTGCAACAGGGTCCCTACCATGTACCTTGGAGGCACGCCACCAGGGTGGATGGTGATCACTAAGATAGGGTCATTGCTGGCTGATAGTGTCTTTGTGATCCTCATTGATTATCTGAAAACATCAGGGTAATAATACAGAATATGTTGTTGTACAACTCTGGCCTTATCTGGATGAATTTCCGGATCGTGCCGAAGCCATCCAATATCTTCAATTGACTCATTTTGATTTATACGGTATCGAACGACAAAATATATGGATAATGGATTAAATATTCCAATATAAGTAATTAAAAACAGCTTAATAAAAATAAGACCAATTATAAAGAATTATAACTGGCCACATAGTGAGTCTGAAAGAGCTGAAAATGCAAGTCATGGCAAACAAACTGATAACTCCGAAGACTAAGGATCGCCTCGGACCTACGCAGTACGTTTCAACTATTACTAAAAGGACAGCTCCTCCAACTTTCAAATCAAGCTCAGTCATTTCAGGGACGGTCCGCGGCGGAGTCCGGAGTCTTGAGTAGCACGTCTACATTGGATTCTACGGTGACAGTGGAGGGTTCGACCGATCTTAGGCTAGGATTCAATCTACGTGGTGACTCACATCTTCAACTCAATCACTACTACAAACTCCCGAAACAAGACCAATCAACACTCACTCTTGCTGTCTTGATTGTTGGCTGAGGAATTAATCTACAGCACCGTCGGCCTGCGATACTCACCGGCAATTCCTTTTTGTGCCAAGAACCACTAGAGACGAGCTAAGACAGTGGAGCTGCTGAGACGGCAGAGTTTGCCAGAACCTGAGGGGATTGTTCAAAGTTATAGTGATCAAATATCTGTTCATATCTATGTCTCTTCGGCGATGTTGGGAAAAATATGTTTTTTTCCGAATGCAGGACTTTAAAAAGCAAGAAGATGCATTTGTTTACTCCACACAATCCCGAGACCTCATAACTAATGGAGGCAATTCACGAACAGAGTGGACTCGTCTAAAGACTAGTCTCATCTGGAGACCTTTCCAAGCACGGAACACTCCGTACTTACTCCGTATGTAGCAAGCAATCAAAACATGTAGCTCAATATTCTCGCTCATGCAGATCGGGCAACCAGTGGGTCTATCCAACGAACTATTGAGATTCAGAACCAGACCAGCCCGACTAGCGAATGTCCCGGTAATTTAATTTATTTATATTTATTTATATTTATTTATTTAACCCGCACGATCTCCCCAGCTCAATTACAGCCAGTTCAGCTCCCACGATGCGTGTCCTCGGTCTCGTCACCGTCGCGTTTGCGGCCCTGTCCGCCGCCCAGCAATGGGGACCAGTGCCTGCGGCCAACAGCACCATGGTGCAGAAGCATATGCTCGCACGGTCGAATATAATCACGGTGGAGAAAAGACAGCGACAGGGTATACCTCTTGAACTATACCTATTTATTTTCCATACAAAGTCAATGGCTGACTGAATAGATCATGCATTCCGACATAACATGTCGTCTGTCGCGCGCGAAGCGGACGCCATTGTACGTGCCATTCGACAGGAGGAAATCGACCACTACTGGCGTCACTACGCGGAGCCCGGACATGAGGAAGACGAGCGGTTCGCGGGGATGATGTTCCCACTGGCTAAGCCGTGGGTAGCGGGGACAAAGCTGTGGCAGATAGTCAAGCGTATGCCAAAGGGGGCATTACTGCATGCGCATCTGACATCCATGCTGCCGTACGACGTGCTACTGGAGACGATCTTGCACACGGAGGGCATGGTGGTGAGTTCGTCGCACAGTCTCGATACCGAGGATGGTCGCGAAAACGCCACCATTGCCTTTTCCCATGTCAATACCACCGTGCCGAAAGGCGCGTCCATCGCTTCAGCGAACTACAAGGCTAACACGAATGTGCTGGTGACTGACGCGGTGGCAGATTTCCCGGGCGGTCAGAATAAATTCTTTGACTTCGCCAAATCCAAGATGGTGGTCTTGCCGGAGGACTCGGTCCAGCATGAGCTCGGGGTGGACGAGATCTGGCGCAAGTTCCAGGCTTTGTTCGACCCGGCGGGCACGATGTTGACCTACGAGCCGATAGTGCGCACATTCTACCAGCGGCTGTTCGAGCGACTGGTGGACGACGGGCTCAACTGGGTGGAGATCCGCGCCGGGGGTTCCAGCGGTAAGCTGGTGCATGAGGGCGATGAGGATCCGGACCCGGACTTGGACATCTGGTGGAAGGTGATGGAGGAAGAGCTGCAGCGGTTCCAGGCCACCGAGAAAGGGCGACGATTCTGGGGGGCACGAGTTATCTGGTCCGACTGGCGCGGCAATAACCAGGAATCACTCGTCAGAAGCATGAAAATTGCGCTACAGCGCAAGCAAAAGTTCCCCGAGCTGTTCAGCGGATACGATCTAGTGGCACAGGAGGATCTGGGTCGCACGCTGATGGACATGGCGCCGGAGCTACTCTGGTTCCAGGAGCAGACACAGCTGCTGAACGTCTCTGTGCCCTTCTTCTTCCACGCGGGCGAGACGCTGGGCGATGGCAACTCGACAGATCTGAACCTGGTGGACGCACTGGTGTTTGGCACGCGTCGTATCGGTCACGGCTTTTCCCTGTACAAGCACCCACATCTAATCGAGGAGGTCATCCAGAACGGAGTCATGGTCGAGGTGTGCCCCATCTCTAACGAGGTGTTGCGTCTCGCCACAGATATTCTACATCATCCGCTGCCGGCTATGGTAGCCCATGGTGTGCCCACGGCGATCAGCAACGACGATCCGGCGATGCTGGGACAAGACTCGGCGGGAGTCAGCTACGACTTTTACCAGGTGATCCAGGGGTTCGACAACATCGGGCTAGGGGGACTAGGGGCTCTGGCAGAGAACAGCGTTCGGTGGTCGCATTTTGAGGACCAGTCGGATGATGCATGGATCGAGGATATCGATCTGGGGGAGAACGGTGATGGCATTAAGGGACAGCGATTGCGAGAGTGGAAGCAGCAGTGGGAGGAGTTTTGCGAGTGGGTGGTCAAGGAGTATGGATCGTAGATTTTATCATGATCATGTTTGACGACCTGATTCAATGCCTTGAGGAATTAAATGAACTGTCAAAATTATTACACGGATTAATCTAATTCATTAGCATTATACAATGCCGTCAATGTATCTATTGCCTTCTAATAATGTACAAGTTTCAAGCTATATATTTTATTTTTGACTAGAATAGTAGACGTATTCCGTACAAGAACTTATTAATTCTACCTGATCGATACATTCACTATTATAGAACTCTTCTGCTACTTCTACTATTTACTAATTCCCTACTACTGTTAGTAAAGAGATAGAATATAGCTAAAGCCGAATCTCTGTCGCTCATTGTATAGAAAAGAGATGAAGTGTGATAATTTTAATAGTTGTAGTAACTTAGCGGACTAGTTACATGCAATATACACAAAATGCAATTTTATCCAAGGATCTGTTGGATAAAAACAGACCCAGTGCCAATATCCTAATGAGTCTCCCAGTCAATATGTGGAATACCCTGTCACCAACAGATCCAAGAACAAACTAAAACAACACTAGAGAACGCTAACGTAGACTAAAGGGAATTAAAGGAAATAAAAGGAACCAACAAAACGAACTTATTCAGCTCGTTAGATTTCACAACCCCATTTCCTCTTAATATCCCACATCATTGAAAAAAATGGAAAAATCCGATTCAATCAAGGTAGACAATATCCTCAAGCCTGTATTCTTCCTGCTGGCCGCTCGTCGAGGCGTCCACAATGATGTCAATTTCGTCGATAGCGACTACGTGATGCGCTACCAGGGCAAGTCAGGCGTCGATGCAATCAACCGCACGCCTTTCTGGAGACGATTCGTCTGGGGAGTGGGCACCGTGCCGAACAAGTATTCCCTCCGATGCTGTATAAGTGAGATGGGGCTAATCTTAGTAGTTCTATATGGCCAGAGGTCTTTTTTGTTTTTATCTTTGTCACTCTTATTTGTCGCTACATCGACTACCGAAGCGGAGGCGTCGAATACTTCAACGCTCGTCTCTGGCAACAATTTTCCATTGCCGGACTGGCCTCTCTCGTCGTGATCGTCCTCTTTATCGCTGCTCGTCGCTACGCCAAATACAAAGCGGCTACTGTCACCCCGTCGGAGTTCAATCCCACATCGTACCAGTATCGATTAGTGAACGCCATGAAGCTACGCGGACTGCAATATCGCGAGATCGTCACCGCAACACCGACTGAGATCCATTGTCACTGGAAGGAGAACTACGCGCTATGCGAGCGGTTTCACAATGAGGGTCTGGTGGATCCCTATGATAGTCGCTCTGTATATGATATTTCGGTGCGGTTCTACAGCAACGGGGTGGTCTATCTGGAGTTTCCTACCGATGAAACTTCCAAACCGAGGCCGGGGGTGGTCACGTCTTTGAACCCCTAGCATGTATTTGCTTTATTATATCACTTCCAGAGATGGGACCATCATATTTCATACATAAGACGTTCATCTGCACTGTGACGGAGCCTCTCCCATCCTTGATATATATCCTTGGAGACCATATCCTCCTGGGCCGACTGTATTTCCTCGATCGTATAGATCTACCACATTAGCAACCACAACCACTTTAATTCATTCACTATGCATATCGATATTAATCAATAGACGTACGTTCTGCTGATTCCTCACCTGGATAGTCACCCTACGACAGTCGTACAGACCCGACTGTTCCACAGCTCTGCGCAGCTCATCGAGCGCATAATCCCTCGCACCGAAATTATAAGGGACGTGCTACGGTCAGCGCCCGCTCCAACCACACCTAATTTAGTTTAGTGTTCGCCTGATGGGGCACACTTTTAGGGCATATTGCATCATTTTTACCACCCTCCACTCCACAGATATTTCCACCTGAGTATACGACACCGTATTCACAGGGTACGACTCGCGTTGACCCCACCATCTTTGGGCTTTCGAGGGCTGTGGACTCTCGGAGGACTCATACATCTTTTTATGAGACATGCTTGTGGAATGGCATATAACTTTTACTCCATACAAACCTTAATACGACGGTATACTAACTATCATGAAAATGCCAGGGCGAATTGAATACAGCCATTTGAGACTTGGGCTTGTTTCTCTTCCTTTTTTTTCCATTTTTCGTGCATTCACCTAGTAGGGCCGCTTTTTACATGGCCTGCAAAACACCGAAGTGCCAGGGAAAAGTAAATAGAAAGCATCAGATACGTGAAATCTGAAGTTCTATTAATAGTAGCAGTCTTACGTAGGTATAATAGAGGAGTCAAGGCAGGGCTATCGGACTGCAGGTACTAAGCAATGGGACGTCGACATGATATTCTGCAAGCGTGACAGGCCTATCGGGCACGAAGCAGGTGGATGAGAGGCAGTAGAAGAACCTGGTATTAAAGGGAGCATCTATATATCTCCTATTAATTTACACAACAAAATCTCCAAAATATGACAGACTCGCCACTACCTTAAGGTGTATTCAGGGCAGCACGCATATTGGCGCCACGCCTCATATTCCCAGAGTATATGAACAGCGAAGTTAGGAGGGCGACGATCTGATACGTATGGTCCAAGTAATTCAAACACAGACCGTACAGGTTAGTGGTTAGGCATCAGGAAGCATATTAGGCACGAGAAGAAACAGCACATATCCTAATTGAAGCTTCTTGGCCGTGTAAACCAATAAAGTACACGTAACTTACGCAAACCGCCAAGGATATGATATAGTATCAGCTGCTAAGAGCGACTCCGAGAAACAACACATGGCGGAACTAAAAGTTAAACATGATCAAACAAGTCGAAAGACCAGACCAAAATCTACTTGAAGCCCAGGACAGTGTCCGATTAAACTGAATGTAGAAGCAAGTAGGTCGCATCTGGGCCGCATGAAATCGTGCCTGACTGAAGTGATGTTAAATATAAGCACACCGCTAGTTGGTATGCCTTGTACATCAATGCCTTCTTTCCCGAATTTGGTATAGATAATCATCATGTCATGTTTAATGCAGGCTGCCATTGAATTGCGCTCCTTAGCTAGCCACAGCATACCTTCTAATACCCCTTTGGTAATATTTTACCTTTTTTCGTGTTGTTGCCTTATAAATATGTTCTCACTGCCGCACTCTTCAGTCTAATTCCCATGGGTCTTCAAGTATCAACTGACCATGCGGCACGGTATTTTTTTCCTGTTGAACCTATTCGCTGGCCTTGCGGTAGCCAACTCTGATGGTGCATGTCCTGAATGCGCGGGGATATACAAGGGGCACTGCAAAGAGAAGAATACTGGTCCAATAAAGCTACTCATAGGCAATGGTGGAGCTGGTCAAAGTGGTCTTGTGGGAGGCAATTGATCCATCCATTCTTATAATCATAGTTATACTGCTAATTAGCCAATAGCGCTCGCCGATAGTTTTATCAACAGCAAAATCAAAGACTGCGATGATCCAAAAGTCTTCAGAGTCGGTTGGGTAAAAGGGGACACCACGCAAACAATCAACAATCTCAAAGAGCATAAGATAGATATCGGAATAACATACCACCAGGTGGCCGAGCAAAACGCCATTGGCGGGGGTTTTGCAAAAGGATGCAACTATGAAAGAGACGACAAAGAAGATCACAAGAAATGTTACCAAAAGCCTTGCTTCGATAGTTGCACAAATCCAGTGGAAAGGCCCTGTTCTACGTTTACTGACCACTTCTACCTGGTCGGACCTAAAGAGAATCCTGCAAAAATTGATCCCTCCAAGGACGATATCACGACCACGTTCAGGAAGATATATGAGGCAGGCGAGAGGGGCGAGGTTCGCTTCCTCACTCGATTTGATAAATCTGCGACCAACATCAAGGACTCAGAGATGTGGATTGGTATTGGGCAGGTATGTATCTCTTATTTTTCTACCCATGTCTGCCGGCTAATTGGAAAATCACGGTAGGTTCCTTGGGCACAGGTCTACTCAGACTGGTACCACCAATATATTGCTTTCCCGGTTGAAGCGTTGACGGAAGCCATTAAACAGGGGGAATATACCATCACTGATCGCGGAACTTTCCTCACACTAATGAGTTCGTCTAAGGATCTCACGGATAATACTACGATTTATCGCAAAGGGGAAAACTGCGGTGACCCGCTGCTCAACCCGGCCGACATAATAGTCTCAGGCCAACCTCTGGATTCCCACAAGCCATATATGGATGATTTTGTGAGATGGGTCCATGACAGTGACGGACAGGCAGTTATTCGAAACTACATTAAACCACCACAGAAATATTGCTTCTATAATGGGTTCGACCTTGATCTTAAGGGTAACTGCACGTGGGACTTGGATGCTCCTGACATTGTTGTAGGAGATGGCTTGTGAGGACGCAAAACGAAGTTTCAAAGCACGTACAGAGTAACTTAAAATTACATCAAAATTTCTATGATATAGTATGTAGTAGGGCTATTCTCTTTAGATATCTATATCTGTCGCATAACTATTTATGGCAATAGGCTTACCACAGATATTACCATTATACCGGTATTGATCCAAGTTAACCACCTTCTGTATTTTTAACAATTTTTTTTTAGCTCTTTCTATAAATCTTAGCCTACTTTGTATAACTATGATCGCTAATACCAACAATAGTCTGGAACGGACAAGGTACAGCCACACCGCGCTCGCTAATGCCACATTTTCCATCCATCTGCACTCTCCTACTTTGAATTAGTCTCTTCGAAAATAGCTTTAAGGCATCTGTCAAATCACGTGCGATTCGCTTATTGATATTTGGTAGGTGTTTCAGACTTCTAGGCAGATCTCTACTATTTCTATTAATAGGCTCTAACTATCGCCTGGCATTATCGCTGGCAAAGGTGCTGTAAGCCTGTTGCCTATGAAATACAATTTGAAGGTATACCTATTTGTTATGCGTGGGGTCGGCAACGAGCCGAATGGCGCGCTATGGTACGAATGGGAGTATCTATATGGGAGGGAAGATAGGACCATGTATATTGCAGAACTAATCGCTGACCTTCAAGAGTTCAGGCCCGAGGGTGCGAATATAAACACTTCGCACCTGAGTAAGCCCGTATCTATAGTTAGTTAGTTATCGTCCGTGCCTAACACTGTTGTTACAGAAACACTATGATCCGCCCGACCTGGCGGTGCGGAGTTATCTGACGATCCATTCTACCCCTCAATCCTTTAGTTGACGTGGACCATAAAAATACGCGTATTTGCAAGTATCGATCCTCCACAGAATTAAGCCTCTGATTTAACTAAACTACCAAAAGATCTCGCTTTATAAAGGCGAAGTAGACAAACGAAGAATGTAAACCAATTAATATAGGAAGTATAAGCGATCCGACGATGTTGTATCATCAACAACGTTTGACCGAGAAAGTGGCTGAATAATCAAGACTACCATAACTTATTGTGGACAGTTGAACACCTTAAGGTTGAGCACAGAGCACCTTAGAGAGGAATGTAAGAGACTCAGTTGGTTGAGATACTGTGATTCCTGGCGTTTCCACAGATAACATCGACTTCCTAGTTAGGGTAAAGGATGGCCTGTAGCTGATCCATAACTCCTTGCGTATCACTTACCTGAATTCCACAACACTTATCAAGTTAGTAGTTGAAGTAACTTGATCATGTGGGCATGTGATCGCGTGGTTCAGATAGCAACTGACACTAACACATCGCAGTATCATACCGAGGTTGATTTACTTTGCATACGCATGCCTTTGTGGCGAAGCCAGTGTATCCTGGCACTTCATACCTAGGATGTAACAAGTTCATAGAATTTTGACGAATGGATTAGCCATTGATCCGGACAATCTACAGATCACGGATCATGTTTCAGATAATCTCGTATCAGACCGTTGCATACTCCACAATGACATATTCCGAGCTCTCACTTGGCAGGGTTCATCGATCGTTTCAGAGGGGTAGTGGATACTGGGATCGGTATGGGGAGCCGTCGGAATTTCCGACCAGTGATAATTTGATTGATGCCAAGACTATCTACCGTAACTCATAGATGGACTATATTTAGTATACCAAACTGCTGACATCCGACGACACGAACAATCAGTAGTTCAGTCCTAGCACTGATGAAGTAAATGCGGGGTTACTCCGCCATTCCATGATCATGGATCAAGCAGGCAGCTACGATATACCAGAGGATGATTAGCCTGGTAGAATAAACTAGGCAGCGGACAAGAAACCAAGGCGAATTACAAGAACGGTAAGACGGCTAATGTTAAACCCGGCAGCTAGCCCCAATATGGACACCACGGTGATTGGGTCGGCAGCTATCTCAGGTCAATTTCATCATTTTGGGAAGTCACATCATGACTGCGGTCGATTGTATTGACGGAGAATATATTATATAACAATGGATATATTTAGTTATTGAATCAGTTCTCTAGGAGAGCGGCAGAATGTTAGGTAGGCTCTGCACCAGAGCAGAATAGTCTCTTTAACCGACGAACAATCCCAGTTGACCCCAGAACTATGCCTACTGCGAACAGCGTGATAAGCAGCCATCGGCGTTGCCATGCAAGCTCCTGCAGGCGATTCTGAACGAAGAACGTTTGTTCGGTCTGGTGTCGACGGACCGCGACGAGCTGTGAAAACGTTGACCAGAACGACCCCACAAATATCTCCGTTTGCACCATCGTAGCAGCCTCGATTATCGGCCAATATGCTGCTATCCGCCACTCTGTCTCTGTATGGGGATATGCGTCTTGGATAGCCGCCTTGCATGTTTGAGTCATCTCCATGAAATGGGCTCTCGGACCGAGTAGTCGGACTAGCTCCAATACTGTAGAATGCCGCCGGTCATCCGTAGCAATGATGACGGGCTGCTTATCGTTGTTCTGTACACGCATAATATTCTGGTACAAATATGATCCTGTCCAGGCACATTTGGAATAGATGTACTTCAGGACTGGGACCTCGTTTGTATGGCATGCATCGTCTTGACCAAATGATAGATCAGACGGCCACATGCGTAAATGCATGGCTATAGCATGTGGCACGACATCCGGGAGGATGCTGTCAACACACTTCTGGAGGGGACGGGCAAGCTGGAACTGACGGGCCGCGGAACGCCATGGACTCGAAGTGAATGGAAGAATGAAAGCTTCAAGGGTGAATCGGATGGCGCTCCATTTCCAGTAGGACTCAGTAGATGCAGAAGCCTGAATTACACAGTCCGGCGATTCAGTGATTTCTCTGTAGTACCGAACGCGTCGGGTGGAGTTCACGTTGTTTGTCACATCAGACCACCGTAGGGGATCGGTCTCGTAACCCAAAGCTTGCAAACCGACTTCGTCGAATATATCAGTGATTGGGATAATCTGTTCTTCCTGCACACCCCGCACAGCTGGACAGGTGACGCCTGGAGAAAGAAGCTTGCGAGATGGAAGTGGATTATGGACAGCAGACGCGAGGTGTAAAATGAATTGGTTGTTGAAATATGCAAACCCCGGTGTTTCCCACTGCTCGTCAGGAAGGGCAAAGGGGTCAGAAGGGTTGCTGTTTATGGCGGGACGGGACTGTTTAGAGGACTTACTGTGAAATATTTGGTGATGTGTATCTCTCCTGAGAGATGTAGTCTCGTTGCACTATATAATAGGAGGCTTTGGAAAATCAGAATGGCTCCCAGAAGAACCAAACGAGTCTTCCTTCTTGGAAATAAGGAGCTAACTCTTGATGCCATCATGAAAACTCTTGCTATCTGGCATGCACAACGAGTATGCCAGTAAATGAGTTCAGGTGCCGGTATGCTCCATATTCTGTGCAGTTAGAGGAGTTATTGGGGACGCGGGACACTTCTCCTTGACCTCTAGGGCAACACGGCCTTGACTACTACTCGCTAGATGCTCTAAACTAGTCCCACAGATAATGCTACGTTACCCGAGGAAACCCGTACATCCAGAAATTTTTGATAGGCAGTAATGCCTTTGCTTATGGAGCGTCACTAGCGCTCTAGCCAGGGTTTTGTCCCGTATCCGAAGTGGAGTGTGAGCTGAGAGATAGGTCCATCATGCCTGATGTTTGGGTCGGTGGGCCGGTACTTTACTCTAATTCAAATGTTATCCGATGGTGGATAGAATAGGCAGCCATGGACAAGTTGAAAAAAGACCTATGGGACTGTTTTCCTCGCAAGAAATAGTAGAGTGCTAATCTCAACCGGGTCGGTTGAAGTTCACAGCTCCATGACCCATATGCTCTATTTATTGGATACTTCAGCGCTCTAACCATCCCAGCTCAGCGTTACATTGGTTCAGGCATCAGGACAGCACACCTTATTAGCTTAGCGCTCCTATTCTTCAAAGAAAGGGGATACACATCGTTGGCCTCGCGTCCGACCAACACAGCTAGTATTAGCAGAGAGTCCATCTGCCATCGTAGTCCTTCCAGTATATCAGGAGATGGTAGCCATCCTCTTAAGGCAAATCCTCACGAAGATTCAACAATATCAGTAGTATTTCGCAGCATGGCAGATCCAGTAATATACAGCCGAGTCTGTAGCATATTCACGAGGAATCTTCTCAGCCGAACCCCAGTTGATTCATAAATATAGCGCTGCTCATTGGCCCTGGACAGGATGCTATTGTGACTAATAAATAGGTAGCAACCTAGGTTTTACGGGTTCCACAGGTACCGTACAGATATAGGGGAAGAAACAGTTTTATTTTTCCAGAAATGTTGCCGTAATACAGTTCAACCCCCCTCTGCTTTACTTGTGTTTCGCACCCTATACGCTATATTCCTTTTGACGAGCTCCTCAACTAAATCCTTTAATTATGAGGCCCTCTCAGTTTATTTATCCCTTTTTTTTCATATGGCTGACTTTGTTACTCGCATACTGTACTGTCTCGGCTATTCAGTTAGATGTGCACAATGACGGTAAGTGAGCTTGTTAACCGCCTTTTTTCGTTGCCGATTTTTGATCCAGACACCAAATAGAATCATTAAAAAATGCAGCCAGCACGGCGGCGTACGGGATGATGCAATATTACCATGGCAATGAGTCCGGACAAACCCCTGGAACCCTGGACGGAACGTGGTGGGAAGCGGGCGCAATGTTTATGACACTGGTTCAGTATTGGAGTGTCACTGGGGACACCTCGAATAATGCAGCTGTAACACAGGGGCTTCAATGGCAGAGAGGAGACGGAAATGACTACCTACCTTCCAATAGTAGTCTTTACCTGGTATGTACTACTATACAACCATGATATTCTTGCGCAGGGACATCCAATTGACCGAGCTTTATTTTGCGACAGGGAAACGATGACCAAATGTTCTGGGGACTCGCCGCCATGACAGGCGCAGAGACGAAATTTCCGGATGTCTCTAATGGACCGTCGTGGTTGTCTCTCGCCCAAGGAGTGTTCAATAATCAAGTCAGAAGATGGGACACCCAAACCTGTCACGGTGGAATGCATTGGCAGATCCACACATGGCAGAAAGGGTACCAACTGAAAAACTCCATTTCAAATGGAGGACTATTCCAGCTCGCAGCTCGGTTAGCTCGGTATACAGGGAATCAAACCTATGCAGATTGGGCCACTAAGATCTGGGACTGGGCGGCCACTACACCTCTGTTGAATATAGAAACATGGAATGTTGCCGATACAACGAATGCAGATCACGATTGTAAGGACCAAGGAAATGATCAGTGGACATATAATTATGGCACATTTCTTAGCGGGGCAGCATATATGTATAACTTTGTGAGTGGCTTCCTTGACATCGTAACACTACACGCGATCTCTCCCTACCGGTGGCAGAAAAGAGAGGCCTTGCTAAAGCCCATGTATAGACAAACGGGGATCAGAAATGGCTTACTGGTGTTAATGGCCTGCTCAACATGTCGCTCCGAAATTTCTTCCCGCAGCAATATAATGATGGCTTGATCATGTCAGAAGTTGCATGCGAGCCTATTGAGAGCTGTGATCGCAACCAGATGTGTTTCAAGGGCTTCCTATCTGTCTGGATGGCGTTTACTTCTAAACTGGTTCCATCTACTGCTTCCCGAATTCTCCCCAAGCTTCAAGGATCGGCAGAAGCTGCAGCAAAGCAGTGCTCTGGAGGGGCTGATAAAACTGTCTGCGGAGTGCGATGGTATCAAGATACTTGGGATGGAAAGGCGGGGCTGGAGGAGCAGATGAGTGCACTGAGTGTGTTTACAGCAAATATTATGCTTCAGTCAACCAAGGGCCCTGTAACCTCCAAGACTGGAGGTGTGAGCAAGAGTGATCCCAATGCAGGGACGGGACAAAGTTCAGAATCGGATGACCCGTTATCAGAATTACCACCAATAACCACCAAAGACCGAGTTGGAGCATGGATATTGACTATAATTATTGGGGTAACGTGGATTGCTATGGTGCTCTGGGTTGCTTGGGGCCATTGAAATTCGGTTGCCTGGAAGAACCTATTACGCGACGATCAATTTGTGTACATTTACCTGGTAATAAGAGAAGGACAAACGAGATGGGGAGGCTTCGGTCTTCGCCGATCCTTCATCGCAGGACGGATCATTAGTAGAGTCCTGGCTTGGGTATCGACGGCGACGTTGAATGGAAACTTTTTTTTTTCTGGCTTAGTTAGTTCTCAGTAATAAGGTTGAGACAATAGATTTGTTTGAACCCCAGGGCTCTCCACAATCCTCTCTTCTCCCTGGGCATTGAGGCACCCTATATCTTTCAGTATAATTTCCTGTCATGACATTGGTTCTGCTGCCCACTCTTTCCACAATCGAAAATAGAAGTTAGACCCTTCCGGTTCGCCCCACCTCGGTGTTCCGGGGCTTAATTTCCATCCGAGCCGGGACACCCGTTGACCAAGGAAAGGCTTGGCAAACTCTTGAGCTGGAGCCAAGAGGTCAACGTCAGACGCGAAGGAATGCCAACTAATTATGTTAATCGTTATCCACCAATTACTAGGTATAATTTTATGTGCATTATATCCCTCTCCTTGGCACGGAGCACGAAGTTATATAAAGTACAATCTGCCTATAATTTTGCATGATTCTTGTATTGATTGGCAGTACTTTACTGTCTTCGTGAACTCTATAGTACTGTTCCCTCATTTTACTTGTCTCTTTTGGTAGTCAAATTAGTTTTTTCTACAAGGACCCGAGAAGACAAAGTGTCACCAAATCACTGCTTTGTTTGTTGAATGAATGGTTTTTCTGATCAAGCACTCTCCGAAATATCTGGGGAGTAGTATACCAACCACACCCCTTGTTCTTCCGACACCCCAAACTTCCTAGTTGAGTAAAGCTGACGGCCTACACTACTCCGTACAGCCTAATCGATTCCTGATAGGGCAGCGTGATATCGCGTGGTCTATATAATTTGTTGGAGCGATTGCTTGTTCTATTGAATGGGTGGCCGGGTGGCCGCTACTAGTTAACTACTTGTCAAATAATATGGCCTTTGGTGGACCAGAATCATGTGACTAGATAGGGTAAAAACCTCCGCGGAGCACACAACGAAAACAACAAGAGGAATCAACATAATCAAGAAGAGCCCAACCAGCTCAATTCATTCAAATAAGACCTTTTTACCAATCGTACTCTATTTCCTCTTCGGGATTAGCCGTATATCTGACACTACTAAGAACTAGCTTACATAAATGATGACTAAGCGAGGTCGAACAGGGCGCCCCCATGTATGGCGGTACGCTCCGACATATCCAATGTCTCTCAGAGGGGTTGGGCAGAATATCCTTCTGAATACAATCAATTCAGACCCCCCAGAAAATCAAACAGTACTTTACAGCCTGCTGCTAAATCAGTCTATCACCTAAACACTCTTTGACTTTGTTTTAATAAAAGCTGATCTGCGCTAGTACCTATACGGCTAGGCCAGGAATAATTTTTGCTAATAAGTTTTTTGTAATGGTACTAAATGGTGAACAAATTAATACCGTATGTATTGAAATTACTGCACAAGGCAGGTTTTGTCTACACTCTTGTTGGCTCTCCATCCATATCAAATACCGATAACATTAATAAAAAAAATAAAATGGCACCAAGGCTCGAAGAACAAAAATTAAACTTATTTGTGATATGTTAAACAGCGGCCAAAAAATATCTGTTATTGCCAGCACAACTCATTGTAACCAGGAAGCAGTTTATTATATCCGATCAAAACTTGAGCACTTTGGAAGTGCCAGAGCCATTCCAATTCGTGCTGGACGACGGCCTCTTATTACACTTCATATGCTGGAGGTTCTTTATGATTACCTTCTGGAAAATTTTGCATTGCACTTAAATGAAATGGAAATCTCCTTATGGGATGAATTCAATTTTAACGTGTAGTATTAAGGTCCTTGTGATGATCCTGTACACCTTGGTAAAATGGATAGATTCTATCTAAGGTGGCGATCTAACAAAACATCAAACGTAGAGAAGGAAGGAAGGAAGGAAGAAAGAATTCTATCGTACAGGAAATGTGGGAATTCTCTACATTGTGGGATCAACAGTGAATAAAGCAGACTTGGTGCCTCAGGCAGGGTTCGACCTAGGTCCTGACAGTCCTCTCCTCAATTGGTTGGTTAAAAAGATACCTCCACAAATGCAAAAGAGTGTAACCGGGAATTGCGGGATCAGTACTTCCATGTATCCAAGTTCCATTCATATGAGCTAGCCTTCGTGGATGAGTCTGGATGTGATAAACGGGTCGGATTTAGATAAGTATGGTCTCCCCTGGACGGAACACCACTCCAGGTATTTCAAGTTTCATTGCGATTGGCATTACCAGATTTTGCCCGCATATGCCCAAGATGGCATGATTCTCTATCGTATCTTTCAGTGTTCCACTCATGCTACTATATTTGAAGATTCTATGGAGCCATCTCCTCCAGCACTTTGGACAGTACGCGGCTGAAAAGTTTGTTCTTGTTATGGACAACGCGCCCTTCATTGCTCCCATCTTCCATAATAAATTGGCTCTGGAAGGTGCCATCTGGTATGGTATGGTACTATGGTATTCTAGGGTATTTATTCCATTTGGGCACATTGATATCTATATGGCAACATTGATTACTAGTTTGCTGTCACGGACCTGACCTTGCTATATAGTACGCAGTACTTAGTGACTGTTCGGTCATCGATTTACGCCTTTTGGCTGTGGTGTAGTGGTAAAGCTCAGTACCACCACGCAGTCGGACTTAGGCCTCACATTTGCCTAGACAAGAGGTAAATAGATAGTATTATACCCAAATTCACTTCTACAATATTTGACTAACTATATATACAAACGAATAGCATAGTAATGTACTAATCGATTACAATGAAATAAAAATATATCCTTCATAGCCGATGAATGCTAAATTATCAGATCTAATGATATCTGCTGCTCTCTCTGCCACTATAGACACAGTCGACATAACGTTGGCTGCCAGAATGAGGGGAAGATGCTTGAATCGCAAATGCGCAAATTATTTACGCAATAGACACGCAGCTGAGCATCATCTACCCCTCCCTTCTCCGGGGATGCATCACTACTATATCACTAGAATGATAAATATTTTTTTGCCAATTCAAGGTTGGTAACGAATGAATCCAGATGGTCGTCATGCTACATATTTTAGCCAAATAACAACCTTGTATTTGCCAGCTATTCTTTATACTGGCCACGCCGCAGGTAATACACGCCAAAAAAAACTCCCCAAGGAGAAGAACAAGATGGCTGAAGCCTAAGAACGAAAACGGCTCTGTTCAGCTGCCAACGCACTCAACTGACGAAATGACAAATTCCCCATCAAATCGAAGACGGATACATTTGCCCCAACTTCCCTCTCAAACCAGTTTTTGAGATCCACAGCCACAAGAGAGTCAATACCATAGGCATGGATCGGCTTGCTCGGCTCGACATCAGACGATGACATGCCTAAAAACTTGGCTGCCTCGTCTGGCGACATAGCAACCTTGAGCGCAGTCGATCTATTAATAGCTGCAGTGTTCGTATTATCAACCACTGTTTGGGATCTATTAGGCCCTATCTGGAACAAGTGACTGAATATTGGCCGGCGGATAGAGTGGTGCAGGTCAATACCCTTTGCTACTACCGTGGACGACATCTCAATGCCAACAATGACCTGGGCATCGTCTGCCGAAAGTAATGGGAGAGACAGATTACAATAGTGGTCGAGTAGAGCGATGAGTTCGTTTTGTGCGACAACTCCTTCCGAGACCATCAATCCCAGGTCAATGGAGACAGCCTTTTGCCTATGCACCAGTCGATAATGGGCTAGAGCATCTTTGAAAGTATTCCCAGTGGCGTAGTTGGCCTGAGCCCTGTTACCAAATATTCCGTTGACAGACGCCAAAAGCACAAAGAAGTCCAAGCCGTGAGGGAGGGCTTCATGAAGGTTCCAGGATCCGGTAACTTTGGAGCTCGTACTGACTATCCAATTCTCGTGGGTCAAGTTCTCGAGAGATTGCCCTGCAGATGATATCATTAATCCATTCCTGCTTCTTATGTGTTGGTGATGGGAAGGTTACTAACCTGTAAAGCAACAGTGGCTTGGATGCAACCTCGCACTGGAGGCATCGTGCGGGAGAGACAATCGAGGACTCCTTGAGATTTGCGAGATCACTGATATCCACTTTTGGAGTGGCAACACATACACCCTGCCCTTTGAGCTCATAAACAAAGCTCTTGGCAGCAGATGTTTGCGCTCCCGAACGAGAGAGAAGAATCAGATTCCCCGCTCCTCTGCTCACCATCCACCGTGCAAAAGTGCGACACAACACACCAAGACCTCCTGCAATTACATATAACCCATTGGGGCAGAATTGGTATCTCGGTTTGGTTATACACTTTGCCTAGAGGATTTTAGTATGAGCGTCTGTGATGATAATGGAGTTTCCTTCTCTGGTACTCATACATTGATTGTCATGCCATTACCAAGTTCCACCACGCGCTTTCCAATCGGAATACAGCATTGACTTCTCCGGCTGCGAAGACATGTAGAGGTTCTGGTTGAATGTAAAACACCGCTTCATGGCCTCTTGGAATGTCCGATTAACCGTTGCTGACTTTTTTCCGCTCAACTCGGCTATATTGAGTGACGACCTAGAAATATTTCTAGTCCATTTCTTTGGGGCTAGGACAGTGGTATCGTCGGCCTCATTTAGACTGATATCGATAATTCGGCTGTAAACACCAAGGCAGTCGGAGTAGTCTGGAACGTTTCCATCTGTCATGGTACCAAGGACTACACAAGCCCGACCGACAGGGATATAGGAAGCATGCCATGTGACGTGGGGCGTGAAATACCTTCTTGGGCTGTCACAATTTCTGCGCCATTGGTGGATACCTGGACGCCGATATATGCAGCACACCTGGGGTTTGCCCCCGCAGGGTTCTGGAGAGGATGATCGGTAGTCTGAGAGCAGGGGGTGGTCGGGTTTTTCGCATGCGCAGGGAAGGGCTAAACACACATGGCACCCCGGCTTTGATGCAGCGGGCAAAACTGTTACCTCCCTCGCGTCTACAGTGCAGTTTCTGAACGTGGCACCGGTCACAGGCGCGGCGGAATTGGGCTGTGTCCATTGCCGACTGTGTAAGCCAATGACCTGGGCTGTCAATCAGATTACCAACAGCATTCTCTTAGAGCCAGTGGAGAAGCACGACAGTTGTCCGTCGCAAGTCCCGCACAGGTAATCCTTAAGTATCATATATCCTCTGTATTTCACCCCCTCTCTAGCCGCCCCTTGTTTGAAGCGTGCGGGAAGAACACGAGCTGACGATAATTAGCTAGAACAGAGAGCTCATCCAGACCACGAAAAGCACCGCACAGCCATGAGTGACGGAAATCACAGGGAAGAAGGATCCCTGCAACATGTGCCAGAGCGGAGGCCACGACACGAGCATTAAAGTGTGCCATGGCTACAGGGAGTAACCCTGCTGCATATTCTGCAGAAAGGGAGGAGAGAGAACCAATCGTATGGAAGTAAGATGGACCCTACTGCGAAGCGAAGCCTGAAAATTGCATGCGTATCTCCGATGATGTGATCTGAAGGAGTGCTAGACTGTCTATCAGATTAATCTAAGCCACTTGGTGTCGGAAAGGAGTGATATGCGCTGCGCTAATGTAAAGGGAAAGTGTATCCCAAGAGGAGAGGAATGTTTTCTCCAATCAGGAAAGATAACGGTCTTGCACAAAGTCTATTACATATTTTTCTCTGCGGTTTGTTTTTTTTTTTAAAAAAAAAAATAAAAAATTGTCATCCGTCATCTGCGAAAGATGTGTCTGGAAGCATCATAGTGGCCCAACACCAACACTAAAGCAGGGCCACACTAGCCACGGTGGGGGTAAACAAGTGATCTAGAGTAGGTAGAGCCCAGCTAAAGCCATTCTGTCTCCTCGTATAGGCCCACTTGATTTAGAGGTGGTTTAGATACACTATACCGCAATTTCCAGATGAGCAATAGTTGAGAAAACGACTGTTCTGCGCGTTTCAAATTAAGGAGGATGTAACCCAGTATTCTTTAATTTGACCTTGGTTGTTCAATCATGGCCAACAGCGTTACACTAAGTGGTTCTTGTTCTGTCCATGGAGTTATTAATGGAGCCGTTTGGTAGTAAAGTCTGCGAGGACATCGAAGCTCGGATAGGTGGGTTTGGCATCAGATCCCAAGTTAACGACCTGTCCATTCTGCACATATGCCTCTACCCAGCTGAGGTTGGCGACGATATTGTTCCCACTCACAAACGGGCTCTCCAGACTGCGCAAATAAAACTCCACCTGCACGTCGTGGTCGTCAATGGTCCACTTCCCCCAAAGATGGGTATTAAACTCTTGGCTCAGGGCCCGAACGCTTCGAGGGCGGGCGGTTCCGTCTCCAGCTAGCGCTTCCACTTACCATGCCATATCCCTCAATTCCATGTCTGGCGTGGATCTGGGCCGCCCTAGCACAGTGATTCTCCGTGGCCCAACGGTGGGACTCCGCCTCGGGGATGTTAGGGTGGCGGTAATGAGCTACCGCTATGCGGATTAGTCGATCTTTGATGGAGCCCAGTAGGCTGGGGTTCGGTACCAGTGGAAATTGAAACTATAGAAATGCAGAGAATGAACACAAGTAGGCTGTAGAATTGAAATTCTTTATCACTTGGATGACCGCTTGGCTTCCTATTGTAACTGGGATATATATACGCCGCATTTATGATGTCTTGTGTAACCATGGATCCCAGCGCCATCAGGCGAAGGGCCGAACGGCCGATGTTATTTCTCAAAAACCTAAGTGGACCTAGACTGAAGGCCGATACTACTTCTTCAGGGCGAACTAGGCGAATACCTAGTAGAGAGCGGCATCAAGAAAATGCCCGGTCCAACTCCCCTCCATCCTTCACGTACGCCGCATACGACGGTTTATACGTAGGCTTCCCATCCTCTGCGACATTCACTACTTTGCCATTCTCAATGAATGCCTCCACCCAGCCCAGACTCGCCACCATATGCAGTCGGCTGAGATATGGCTCCTCCAGATGGTGGAAGCTAGCAAATTCTGGATCCGTCGCAATGGCGCGCAAGGTGGCCAGGCCATGGACATACAATTCCACGGTCAGATCGTGCTGTTTGATGATCCAATTGGCGTGGAGCGCCTGACTGAAGGCCTCGAGGGATTCTGTCTGCTCTGAGATTGGGCCCATGGTTAAGGCATCCTCATGCAGAAGTACCAATTGAACCGGGCATAGATCTCAACCAGATCAAATGATGATAGTTCGCGAGAAAAAGACATTATAATATCTTCATGGCCACCATCGGGTCGAGGGAACAACAACCATCCACACCGTCTGCCTAGTGCATCCTCCGCCAACGCCGACAATTCGGTGGTCGGAGGTCGGGGTTCAGCGCTAACCCCTTTCAGCACCGAACCCTAATCACCATCAATGCTCTTCTGGCACGACGTCCGAAAGTTGGCCTTCACAGGGCCAAAATTACCAATCAGACGGTTAATCTAATTGTATTATTGCGTTTCTAAGCATTCTGTATCCATACCACCTCCGACTACATTAGAAATCAACTGGTCGGTGAAAGAGGGGTTGACCTGGAAGACAGCCAGTTTTCAACGATATTGCTTCTGACATCTGGTGAAATCTGCTGTTTTGACCTCTCCTTGACCCTTGATCACAGACAGGCAAGGTTGTCGTTGATTGAGTGACCATCAGAGCCTAAGCCACACAAAATGACAGCTGATACCACCAGCTCGACGGAGTCCAACCTGGATGTTCCTCATGAGAAGGTCACCGTGGATGATCCGGCGGCCTCTCCAGAAAGCAGCGATGAGGGGAAAGACGATGGAGAGAAGTTGACTAGTCTTCAGATATTCCTTCTGGTACTATCTCTCAGCGTATGTCCATTAATCTGAAGATAATTACGTGTTATAACATCGTGCTGATACAATTATTCAGATCTCGACCTTCATTGCGGCACTCGAGCAGGTATATAGAATTACCCTAACCACGGCTATTGAGTATCAATGCAAAAGCTAATATTTTAAAGACAATCGTGTCTACCGCCGCACCCTCCATTTCGAAAGCCTTCAACAGCAGCGAGTTAGAATTTACATGGATTGGAACTGCATATCTGCTCCCGGCTGCGGGTATGTCGCTCTCACGCTCCCCAAATGAATCCAATATTTACAATAAGTCTAGCTTCCACCCCGCCGTTTGGCAAGATCAGCGACATCTTCGGTCGCAAGGTATGTTGTGGCTTCCTAGGTTGTGTTCATTGCTAAGATATCCAGCCAATTCTACTCCTAGCTATCTTTATTTTCTGGATCGGATCGCTGATCGGAGCGTTGGCAGTCAATATAGACATGTTGATCGCTGGCCGTGTTATCCAGGGTACGGGTGGAGGAGGCATCTTGGGTCTATCTGCTATAGTGATCGGAGATGTCTTCAGTCCACGGTAGGATATCACGTTTTCAATTCGGATTTTTCACACTGACCATGATGCCAGCGATCGAAGCAAGTATTATGGCGTCCTGGGTGTAGTGTGGGGTTTGGCCTGTGGCCTGGGACCCATTATCGGCGGCGCATTTTCGGGCTTCGTGAGCTGGAAATGGTGCTTCTGGATCAATCGTAAGCCGCCTCTATCAACAACAGTCAAACTCGCACTAACATTTACTCAGTACCAATTGCTGGTTTGGCTGGGATATTTGTGTTCTTCTTCCTCCGGGTTGAGACGCCCAAGACGCCCATCGTGAAAGGCTTACTGGCCATGGACTGGCTCGGCACCATTGCTATTGTCGGGGCGACTGTCATGTTCTTGCTGGGCCTAGGATACGGAGGAATCGCTTACCCCTGGGGTTCGGCGACGGTGGTCTGCCTCATTGTATTCGGAATCGCCACAGTCTTCGTGTATGCGCTTATCGAGTGGAAGGTGGCCAAGTATCCCGTCACTCCATTGCGCCTGTTCAAGTCGACCTCGAACGTGGCCACCTTCGGTATCGCGTACATCCACGGCGCCGTCTACATCGCTAATCTCTACTATCTACCGCTATACTTCCAAACCGTTCTGGGCGCGAGTCCCATCCTTTCAGGAGTCTATCTCCTCCCAGTCGCCATCACACTCTGCGTGGTATCCAGTCTCACAGGTGTCTACATCAGTAAAACAGGCCGGTATCGGCCGCCTATCTACTTCGGACTAGTCTTCATGATCCTCGGTCTAGGTCTTTACATCAATCTCCAGTCCTACGCCTCATGGCCCCGCATCATCATCTTCCAGATCATCTCCGGAGTCGGTTTAGGACCCGTCTTCCAAGCCCCTATCATCGCGATCTTCAGTCTGACCAAACCAGCGGATATCGCCAGCGCCGCTGCAACAGTCTTCTTCGCGCGCGACATCGCCACAGCCATGTCTATTGTCTTTGGCGGGGTGATCTTCCAGAACCGTATCGCCGGACAAGAGGATCAGCTCCGCGCTGCGCTGCCGGAGGAGTTGGCGACAAAGTTTACCTCTGGTGGAGCGACTACCTCCGCGGAGTCGATTACATTGTTAAACACGGTGCAGAGGGATGTGGTGACGAGCGTCTATAATAAGAGTCTCCAGGCGGAGTGGATCTTTTATACGGCTCTGTCGGGTGTGGCGCTTCTGTTGAGCTTGTTGATAAGCAAGCAGGTGCTTTCGCGCGAACATAAGGTGAACAAGACCGGTTTGGATGTGCAGGAGGCGTCGAGGTTAGAGGAATTAAATAAAGAGAAGGAGAGGGGGGTAGATGATTCAGCTGCGTGAGTTCGGGTTGTGTGGGGTTTGGTGAGGTCGAGGTTGGGTTAATGATACAGTGAGGTAGGTTGATTCGATTGGTGTTTACAATGTGATTTACGCAGTTTTATAGGCTATGTTAAACAGCTGACTGTTTCTTTCTACTGATTATTGTTGGATTGGACGGAGTGTTCAATAGCTCTAGATTGTCATTTTATGATCAGGTTAATATAAAAGACGCAAAGGGCGGAGACTTTGACTTCAGGTATATAGATTAACCTTAAAAACTGTCGCTTGAGGCTTGGTAATACAGTACTAGCTATAATGTAAACCATAATAGCTTTAAGGATTTTAAATGGCTAGAAATATGTAACAGGGCTAACCTGATTTCTTTATTTACAGACAGACCGAACAATAAAAAGCATATGTCAAATGGAAGGACTATTAATCATACACGACGGCCAATATAACTGCTGAGTATTTCTTCGTTGTACTTGACTTGTTTCCCTTTTTCAATTCTCATAACCAATTACTGCAGAAAGCAGATTAGAACTGTTCAGCCGAAACCCAGGCCGTTAGTGGGCTGCCGAACCCCGATCCATATTGCCATCACCAAACGCACAGCTCTGATCGGCGTCGGGGAACACCTCAGCGATTACCTGCATATTGTGGAAAGAAATATTCAGCCGAATTGCATTTGCACTGTAGGAAAAACACAATTTCATAAGATGATACAGCCAGATATGTCTGAGGTTCTGTCTTCAACCTCCCTTTCCTTCCCCCATTCTAGCTGTCCAGCTCCGAAATCGCCAAAATGACTCAATTTTTCAAGTCACCTTTCTTCCAGTTCGCATGACGCCCTTTGAAGGAGGCGAGATTGCAGAGATCTTAGATGCTGCCAGCAAAATCAAAGACCAGGACCCCGACAGCTGGTACAACTCCTGGCCGGAGGTGGGCACAAAGGCCGAGCAAATCGCACAGGAAGCAGAAAGCACAGGCGATCGTGTAGCGGCTCGTAGAGGATATCAACGAGCCTCGAACTATTTGCGTGCCGCGCAGTTCATGCTTAATGAGGGTCCCATTGGTCATGATAAACATGTGTTACCCACGATGGAACGAGCCATCGACGATTTCCGCAGAGGAGTGAAATACCTCGACGGCGACGTTCATTTTCTCAACATCCCCTACGAGAACAAGATAAAACTACCCAGTTACCTCTACCTGCCTCCCGAGTGTAAGTGTCTGCCGAACGGTCCGAAAACGCCAACTCTGGTCAACACTGGCGAGGGAGATTCCACCCAGGAAGAGATCTACTTCATCAGTGCCTCTGTCGGACCCTATCTAGGCTACGCGGTACTCACATTTGACGGACCGGGTCAGGGAATCGTCCTACGCTGCGATAAACTCCCCATGCGACCTGACTGGGAAGTAGTGGTAGGCCGGGTATTAGACCACCTGTGGGATTTTGCACGCGCCCATCCGGGGGCTGATCTCGATCTGGACCACATCGCCATCACGGGTGCATCCATGGGCGGATACTATGCTCTTTGGGGGGCAGTAGACCCTCGCATCCAGGCGTGCATCAGTATTTATGGGTTCTATTCTATGGAGTGCTTTGCGCAGGCCGCATGCCAGGCTGGTTGTGGCGGCTTTTCAGCGCGGGATTGTTAAGCGAGGGAGTTTTTGACGCCCTCATCAGATCCATATCCGGATGGACTTTTCAAGCTCGCTGGGAATTTAACCATATGAAATGGGCCATGGGTCGCGAGAGTGACGTGAAGGTGATTCGACGCATGCTAGACTACACCATGAAATGCAAGGATGGCAGTGAGCTGCTTCACTCGGCGAAGTGCCCGGTGCTGGTGACCGACCCCGGCTCCACCTTCTATTTCGACCCAGAAACAACCACACGCAAGATCCTGCGACCCTTGTGCATCTGCCCGATGACCAAAAGGAGGAGTGGGTGGCAACGGACGTGGTGTTTGGAGGGTTGCAAGCTAAAATCGGGGCGTTTGGGTACTCGATGCAGCGGATAGTTTCGTATTTGGACGAGAAGTTTGGAGTGCAACACGATTGGTTGTCAATGGGCACAAGAGGGTATATTGAATTTTTTTGTGTGCTGTTTTAGCTATATCATCCAATAGATAGGGAACAACTGTTGTGGTCATTCCTGGTCTCCTTATTTGCCTTGCTATCCCCTAAGAGCAATGCTTTTCCTACACATGTTCTCAAATCATTTGGCTTCCGTATTTCTAATATATTAATTTATTCTGGTGCATACTAGACGGGGTTTGTTTTCTCGTTATAATGAGAAACATTTCCTGTGTTGACGATGACAGAAGAAATATTTTTGGTGCCCGGAATACGCTGAGCATTAGTTTCTCTGTTGAATTATCTATCTTTTCAAGTGTCAACGCTTTTGGGGCCAAGAAATAGTTTTCAATTTCGTTATTTTTTCTAAAAATCATAATATTAGCTTCTTGTTTTTGAATAAAATCCTCTATAGCTTAACTGTGTAAGGGTATGTCTTTTTTCACCGTGGGGAAGCGTGACATTTCAGGGGATTGCCATATTAAGCAGGTGGCGCCATCAAAGGTTCCACAGGTCGAAGATCAATCTAGCCTGATTTTGGCAGGTGGCAGGCATCTGGATTTGTCAGCCACCGACCCTTTTCCTCCAAAACAAGACAAACAGCCGGCCTTCTATTCGTCTCTGCCTGGCAGGTAACAAAACGACTAATTATTAACTATCCCCGACCGGAGGTATGTCCAGTAGCACAAAATGACCAAACGCACCCAGCGGCATGCGTGTGATCGCTGCCATGGCCAGAAGCTCCGTTGCGTCCATACCGACAGTGGCCCGTGTCTACGGTGCTCTAGAGCCAAAGCCACCTGCAGCTGGAGCCAGTCGTTGCGGTATCGCAAATCGCCGGTCGACTCGCCGCGGAGTAGTAATCAGCGGAGGAAGCTGATGGAATTGCAAGAGCCGAGCAGCATGGGCGATCCAGCAAACAGTTTGGCCCCGTTTCTTTACCTTTATAGTCCCTGTCCAAACGGTGTTGAATTGTCACTGATAACGAGCTACCTTGCAGACGAACGTCCCGTTCCATCGCCCACTAATCAGATTAGCGATAGCTCATTCAGTTTTCTACTAGATCAGTTGCATTCCTCCAACATGCCTGTCGATTTGGAATTGGGAATGCTTCAGGCCGAAACGGCGCCCGCTTCAAGCTGGATTCCGCCTGGTGCTCTGAATCGCTATCCTTCGCCTACGTCACAAGAATCAAGAGAGTATCACTATCATGCTCAGCCAAATAGCGGAGCGACTACGGATGGGGCCAACGGTTCTCCAAATTGGTTAGGGATGACCGCCGGCGGTTGCCCGACTAACGCAATAGAGCAAGCAAACTGGCAGCAGGTATTTAATAGAGAATGGGCTTTATTATCCTCCAACGACGCCGTAGCCCCGAGCAACTGGTCTCCGGCATCAACAGGGAGCCACTCTGCAGACGATGGTTCCGAGAATCGGTGTGCATTGGGCATGGTTCAACAGTTGTCGGAACTTAATGTTGAACTTTACGCCCACGAGATGACAGTGCCGAAACCGCCGATGTCCGTTTCGGAGCCTCTCAGCTGGAAGGACAAGGACTTTGCTATTGATCGTACTTTCCACCTTTCCCAACGATTTATTGAGGTTCTCAACCGACAGTATCCCCGCTACTTAGAGACGGCCCGCTTGAGCGGATCGGAGACTGCTACGTCGGATGTGGGACTCTCAGGTGCGTTTGGACTCGACCAGGGTTCGTGTCTTCTGACCCTCTCGTGCTATCTCCGACTCGTCAAGACATACGATAATATTTTCGGAAATATGCAAGCGTGCTTGGATCGCTCGTCGGTGACGCCCCGAGGGGATTATGTCAATCTGCCTGGCGTCCAGGTCGGCTCCTTCTCGCTTCCGCATTCCTCCGCCCTCCAGATCGTGCTCATTCTACAACTGGCCAGACACCTCCTGACCCGAATGGGCGAGGTTGTCAAAGCGGCGGGTCTCGATGGACAGAACCAGCGAAAGGCCGACAAAGATACAGAGAACATGGTGTTGACTGACGGAACGGGAGACTCTTTACTATCTGGTGCAGTCAACACCGTTCAGTCCCAAGAATGTTTTCTGATGAATCGAATAACCAAGTTACGGAATACCCTCATTGCACTTAATATCCTGTGAGGAACCTGGCTATGTATATTAATGGTGGCCTTTATCCTGTCTATTTTCCTACATACTGGATGTGTCTCCCCACTGAACCGTGTGCACCTGACCTCCCGTCTTTTTTCTGTACTTTGGATATGTTGAATGACACCCCCTGCCCACACTCTTGTTCACTCTGGTGTGGTCGAAGACACTGTTTTTTATCCACTTCTGGAATTCTTTTCCGGCCTTGGCATCTCTGGAAAGCCCTCGACTAGGCCTGACGAACCATAATTGCTCTGATTAATGCAGTCAGGAAGAAGAGCAGTGCGGGTATGTTGGCGGTCATGATCCTCCACCAATTCAGCCGGAGCCAAGGGTGCAGCGCTCCTAGATTCTTCTTTCCCGGCAGGGAGGCATCCCAAATGGTGCCAATGATCTGCATGGCGGTCTTGCCGTACACTAAGTGACCGGCGGCAAACAGGCCACCCGCGAGATAACACCATCGAGTCTGATCATCAAGTGCTGCGCCAGCGGGGCCGATTCCATTAAGGAGACCGAGAACGCCTCCAAGTAGGTGAATTATGCTGACCACCCAAATAAGTTTCTTGAAGATGGCCGGGAACAAGTGAGGAAGCGTTGTGGCTGTTGGATCTTGACGAAATCCTTTATCAACAAGACGAGGAGAAGGCAAACTGCTGGTCCCAAGCGCACATGAGGCCCGCGGTCGAGGAGACGAGGGGGGCGACACGAGGGAGTTTTAGTCCGATCAAAACGGCCATAGTGACGACAACGTTGGAGACGCTTAGGAGGTCAGAATGAACAGGGTGGCTGAAACCTGGGACGTTCTATTATATCCTCTATTCTTTGGAGCTTTTGTTTTGTGAATACTATACACCTATACTACGGTTCATTGTGACGGTGATCCTTTATACTTTGTGGACCTGGAATCCTATCAAACGCATGAGCGTATGACATCGGTTGAAAGGTGGGTACAGCGTTTTCTCATTTTTGATTTTTAATTATATTTTTTGTCCTTTACAGTTCGTATTTCGGGCTTGTCAAAGGCTCTCTTCCATTCCAGAGCGTTTTGGCAACATGCACCTTCGGTGTTGCGATGTGGGGACTGGGTCACAGTTTTCATGATCACCGAATGATAAGCAGGGAGCAGACGGGATGAAGGTGGGTCTGCCAAGCCTCTAGTAGGCTAAACCATTTTTAGAGGTCATGTGAGGACCCACCTATGCAACAAATATTTTTGGGTTAGTGGTGCTTTTCTTTCATTCCTCTTACCATCTTTCAAAACATTTTGAGTCTTGATAACCAGTTTTATACCAGTATTCAACTACTTATAAAATGACCGCTAAGCCAAAAATTTGTGGGTGTGTAGGCGGGTCGTCACCTGACTATCTGAAAGTGGTTTAGCTTCCCAGCGGCTAGGCGAGCCCACTTTCACCTCATCTGTAGTCTCGAATGATAAGGGAAGGCTGAACCAATCGCTAGTGACGGAGATGGTGAGGTGCATTCGGATGGAAGGTTTGGCTATTCTACTCTTGAGATAGTCGCGCGCTAGTGCGATGGTTGGCGTTCGGCATCATGGTGACAGCCGATAGAGTTTGAGGCACCAACGGTTCTTTCAGTGGGCCTGTATCGTCGAATAGCCGACTACAGAGTAATGTCACTCGCCTTCTCCGTAGCTGTCGGCCACGTGGAGAGAGGATCATGCAGCATGGAGGACTCTAGCCCAATTCGTGTGTGGCTAGCTTTGCTACATTGCGAATATGCGCACTGGGAGTTTGTCACTCTCGCCTCCGCCGACTACTCCACACCATTGTTTTGTTAGAGAAGATAGAAGATACAAATAAACGGACTCTTGGAGAGCCATGATTATGGTCCATATAGGCGTATTTTTTGTATTTACAACACCTTTCATCACATAAAAGCACTAGAGGTATGAGACTGCATGATTATCTCTATCAATCACAAAGCATGCTAGTCAGTTTATCGCGCGTGATACAATAACCCATTCCTATTTTCTAAGAGCCCCAATTTTACTGTACAAACTGGGCTGCGCTGAAATTTTCCAGTAAACTATAGTTCAATAAATACTGTAACTTACTGGTTGCTGCTGCTTGAAGAACTAAGATCTGCCCGAAGGAGATGGAAATGGTGGTCCGGGATGGTTGGACATGATCCCGACGCGTCCGTGAAAACTCGGACAAGCAGCGAACAACACCAACGACGAATAGCCAAGACGTTTGATTAACTACAACTGACTTGGACATTGATGCCGAGGAACCTCTCCAAACCATAGACGAGACCAACGCGAATACATTAATTGCTGAGTTTCGCTCGATCTGCATATCATGGAGTCGCGAAACTATCGCGTTTGCAAGACACATCTCTGCATTGCGGCAGGCATCAGTCTCCACTCAAGATTTGCCGTTTTAATAATAACCTTCAACCTCTCGATATCTGCACCACTGACGCGTGGGAAATCTCCGGCCTAAGATTTCTTCCTACACCCCTCTCAAGTATTGGGAATTATATATCGAAAGCCTCCCCATTTTCCTCAGTCGTAGATCAACCGCTGGTCACACAATTAACCACGTCTTTTACCAGGATGAATTTAACTTGCATGCTGGAGATAACATCCCGCGCTCTGTGCTGAGAAACTCGGATCTAATTCCAGCTTTGGCAGGCCGCCAATTCCAAGTCCGTTAAAGCCCTACAGGTGCCTCTCGTACCACTCTCGTCGCCGAGGATATTTCTCTTAATACAAAACAGCTAACGGTAAAGGCTATAGTGGGGGCAGGCTCGGTCAGTGATAGTGACGGCGACCCAAGCGGTTTCACCTTTTCTGGAAGCTTTATTAAGCCCTAGCGAATGTCTGCATTCTAACAATGACGAGTCATATTATGCCCATAGATCTGCAGAGTTCTTTCCCGAACAGTTCCAATGCCTATAGCATTCAACTCAGTGTTCACAGGCAGTGCGCGAGATAAAAGGCATATGTTAGTCGTGCCAGTGCCAACTGAAAGGATAACCTCCAAGCCACTCAGGGGCCCTCGTGTATTTCATCAGCAACGCTTCCTGGATTTTGGGCATCCAGCAATGTTGCAGTAGGAAGCACAGCAGGGCCCATTAGCTCTCCAAGTCATCTGCCGAAGACCGTGGTAGTTTCGATACACGCGGGAACCAGCCAGCTCGAGAACAGACCTCAGTTTATCCTCTATTCTACTGACTGGAGGCTCCTGCCGACTAGGGATGGCATAATCTTTGAAGAAACGTCGCCATCAAGACTCACGGTAAGCGGAATCGTGGTCATGCCTGCTCAGAACGAACCTGTCACTATACGTGCCACTACTGGTCTGAAACGCCCTTCCGAGTATCCAAATTCCAAACTCGGAAGAAGAATAAACTCCAAAATTTCACCGGAGGCCTGCGTAAGCCTAGGCTAGCGCTACGACAACGAGGCTTTTTAAACTAAGATTAAATACATGCAGTGTTGGAAATCAGGATGCCTAAGGCACCTTTGTATATCCTAGTCCCGCAGCGATGTGATATATCATATTCAGGGGCTAAGGGACACGTAGACATGAGGAAGCGTTTGTCTACGCTCTCTCTCCTAGATAGTCGAACATACTCACCATGCTATACTAGATCGCACCGATAGTTTCAATATACTATCCAGTCACCGCTATCCTAGCACCTCACGACATAGCTTCTTCCCCGAGATTCTCAACATGCAGGCTAATTTTTGGATATGCATATAGATTGTAAGAGATAGAGCTCCGGTACATACGACCACAGGGTGTGGAAAACAGGGCTTCCCGTCCGCTCAGCCGTACTTAAACCACACGCCGGTAGGTTAGTAGTTGGGTGGGTGACCACCAGCGAATCCCTACTGTTGTATGTTTGTTACTTTTTTTGTATCTATCCTAATAGATAGCTGTAAATGGCTGGAGCCCGTTTGACCTCTTGGGCAATTGAGCCTGTTAATCCTATTATCCCTACTGTTCCTACTATCCCTATTGTCCGTATTGTCACCTATATCCCTATATGTTCGACCGATTAGCGCTCGACAACATATAACACGTGGCTTTGCTCCCTTTTCCTCTTACTCTTTTTACCTGCCTTGCCGGAAGCTTGTATTACATTAAACCAATACCACATTATTGTGGCAGACAAAGTTATGCAACCTCTGAGTGGTACCTTTTCTATCTCGTTATTAGAAGTAGGATCTGTCTAGAAATATATTATACATATTATTTTTCCAGGAAATGCCCAGAGTATTCAAATAGCCTTATGTACCAGGGTCAATTAAGGCCCCAGTTTTAAGTAGGAGTTGTACAAGTAATATGCTACCTGTCAAGGGCTGAACCCATAGAACCTATGAGATAGGTTATGTACAAGAAGGAATCGTTGAAGAAGGGAAGAAAGGAAAGGGAAAATGAGCGGTAAACAAAGGTGGGAAGTCACGTGACATGGATCGAGGGCCGATGGGCCAAAGGTGCCAACAGGGCCAAAAGGGACAGTAGGGACAGTAGGGACAATAGGAACAACAGGGATAATAGGGACATTGGCCCGAGAGGTCAAATGGGCTCCAGCCCTTTACAGTTTGTACCATAATACCTATATGTTTGTACAGTGATCAAGCAATCCAGGTAGTGTTGGTGTAATGACAATACCGGCGAGCTCATTACGAAATCTTGAAATTTCAACTTTTTTATCGATTTCAATTACATTTCAAGGGGCTTATTTTGATTAGTCATTATATGCGGTGAGAGTATTGCAGCCAATAAGAGCCTATCCAGCCCAGATTCTGCCCAATTCTTTATCTTATCTAAAATGCCTAGTGTCACTGGTAGCAACCATTACCAATATATATATATTGACGGGGAGGATTTTAAACTAGTAATATTATCAACATCAGCATGGCTGAAGATTCTCCTGACAAGATCCATTACACCGAGATCGAGCTTCAGAAGTGCTTTGAAGTAGTAAGGGGCAGCACAAAGGTGACTGTACACCCACGTCCACACGTACGCTTTATTAATTTTGGCTAGGTCCCGCAAGTAAAATGCCTTGGGTGCTTCAAAGTTCGAGCGAAAAACACTACACGCCAGTGCGAGCACGTGAAGAAATGTAGCAGCGCGCAGGCTCTTATGGACCCCGAGAATACTCCTGGAAAGAGACAGAAACCATTAAGCTTCCCTACCTCTAAACCAAGTAGAAGTATTGATCGCTTACTAGCTCAGGTGTGTTTTACAGGAGGCAGGCCCTTTAGCCTTTTCGAGCAACAAGAGATGCAAGATCTTATTCATGCTCTAAATCCCGTATACCAAATCCCATCCCGCCATCGAATCGCTGATGACTTACTGGAGGAATCATATATCGAGATACAAGGGAAAGTTCGGAAGGAGCTACAGAGAAGTCAGTTTCTAAATATCTCTGTAGATGAGACAACAAATATACGTTCTCAACGGGTTATTGCTATGACTATTACAACACCCACAAAATCATGGTTTCTTCATCTACATGACATGGAAGATAAGACGCTTGATGCTGCTACAATTAGTGAATGGATTTTGGAAAGGCTCCATAATATTCTCTTGGAGCTTGATAAAGTTGTTGACTGGAAGAGGATTAATTCCATTTCAACGGATACCTGCTGTGTTATGAAGGCAGTATGGCAAATTTTGTCAGAGAAACCAGAGCTTAAGCATGCCTTTATGATTCCCTGTGACTCTCATGGTCTACAGCTGATTATGAAGGATATTCTTGATCCTAATGCTTCTAAGATCCCTAAAGTAAAAGGGGTTTTAAATCAGCTCTTGAAGTTGTGGTGTTCTTTCACCAATCTCCTCTTGAATATGCAAGGCTGCAAGCAAAGCAGATTGAGAAATGGGGCCATCGAAAGGCTTTAATTGCAGCAGTTATTACCCGATGGGGTACTCAATATGGCATGCTTACTTCTCTTTATGATTGCCAGGAAGCAGTTTGTGAGTGGGCTCTTATTACTCCTGCTGCTTCTACCATAAAAGGGAAAGAGGTGATTAGAACAACTAAATCTCATGCCTTTTGGTGGGAGCTAAAGGAGTTAATAAAAATCCTTAAGCCTCTGCATATTGCTCAGAAGGAATCTGAGGCCCAAAATTCATCAATCATGGAGGTAACGCAGCGGTGGTTAACCCTCCATGAGACTCTGCGGACGCTTGCTGCTCAGACATCCTTTAAAGATGATTTTTATTCTTATCTAGATGGCACTGGTTGGCAGACTCGAATGCTACGTCAACTAGAGCCACTTCACTGGGTAGCGTATCATCTTGATCCAGCAAGAGTTCCTGGCAAACTTGATGAGAGCGCACGACGCCATATTGAAGGTGCTTTACGACCACTTCAAAGCGAAGATGGAAGATCTACTGCATGGCATGAATTTCTGGCATTCCGGCAAAGAACAGGTGCTTTTATAATTCCTCTTGTTGGGAAGCAAGAACACCAGCTCTCTTTTGGCTTGAGGCAGTAAGTTAAAGCTATATGCTATTAAGCAAGATACTTACCTATATTAATTTAGGCAGAATTTGCTCCTACTCTTGCTCCTTTTGCTCGCCGTCTGTGTAATACTGTTGCTAATTCTGCTGCAGCTGAGAGAGCATTTTCACAGATGAATCTGCAGCATACAAAGATCCGGAATCGGCTTGAATCTCACCGAGTTGAGAAGCTGCTACTTTATATACAGATTAACAAACGACAATTTCGTGCAGACTCGCCACCTACCGTTACCCAAGAGATGCTTCTTGAGGAGGAAGATCAGGAGATAGAAAGAATACTGCAGCGTAAGCAGGTGCAGGACTATCTATTAGAGGTGCTTGATACTTCAGACTCTGAGGAGGATATTCCACCGGACCCTGTGCCGAACCCAGTACCAAATCCAGCACCAGAACCAGCGTCGAATCCAGCACTTATTGCAGTATTAAGTTCTGCATTAAATTCAGCTTCAACTGCAACAAACCCGGCACTTGTTTCTGCATTAAATTCAAGACTGAATTCCGTGTTAAATTCAGCCTCAAGTCCCCCCAGCTTTCGAATTCGCATACTGAGACAAAATCTGTACCAAATCCCCTTTTAACATGTCCCAGGCCTTCAGCTTCTATCAGAACGGGCGAAATCCATGGTATTGAAATAAGTAGTGGTACTGGTAGCGGAGTAAAGCGTCAGTCTGAATGGTCTCATGGGGTGGCGGACCATTATCAACAACCTACTCAACAGCAGAGGATCGGAGCTTCTGGTAACAAAGCACATGACCTTTAATATTGCCTATTTTGGATTAGCTTAATTTCAATTTCAATTTCACAGATTTTGATTTCATTTCAGGAGGCCAGATTTCATGAAATTTCAATTTTTGAAATTACATTTTGCCTTCCCTAAATCCAGGCATCTTTTCAAACAATTACTTAACCCTGTAATAACCTGGTACTGTCATAACGTAATCGGTAAGCGAGCGCCGCATGAAAGCGAGCGCCGCACTTCTGTACGCCATATAAAATGGCACTCTTTGAAACCTTAATATCTCAACCACCAGTAGATATAGAACATCTTTATAAGACAATAACATATATATGGATTCTAAAAGGTATTTTCATGTTTTTAAATAGCTTTCTTGGCTTTAAATACTAGGACAACTAAAAATATAAAAAATACAGTTGTAATTTATCTTATCTGGAGAAATATTCATTCCTAAAATTTCTCTGCTTAATATATATATATACGTTATTATATTATACTGTATATTAAATTTTATGCCCTCTAGGTGCTTTATTGTTGAGATATTAGACTCTCAAAAGTGTCATTTTATATGGAATAGAGAGGTGCAGCGCTCGCTTTCATGCGGCGCTCGCTTACCGATTACGTTAGCATTCCGGGCAACGTTATGTAAGTGATCATATTTCACTATGTCTGTTTGCCGCTATGTGAGAATTTTTACCCACCCCGTTCATCCAGATCTTCCTATGACGGGCCGAGTCGGGTTGTTGATGGAACAGGTTAGAGGTATCAGGGCCGCTCGTGAGGAGCTGTTTGGCAATTCAAAGTGTCTTGCTCTCTCCTTGAGTTTCGAGATCTGGGCTCAATAAACCACGGTCAATTTAAGGAGGTAGTAGTTCAAATTAAGAAAGCTGTTATGGATCTCCATAAGAAGTACCATAATTATGTAGCGGTGATTGCATTGTTGTTTTCTGGCAACGCGACAGATCCTCGTCTAAATTCTTTCTTTTTAGCTACTCGAAAAATGACCCATAGAACAGGTAGTATTTAGTACAAATATCTTCCTACCAATACTAGGCACTTGCCTACACCGGGTTAATCCGAGTCCACACCTACATGGCTTCTTCTGGAGTTGTGGCACGCACATTCCGAATCGTCCATCCAAAGCCTGATCGTGAGTGGCGAGATATCCACTGAGACTGCGACATGATGGAACAGCGAAAGGATTGCCTCATCTGACTTTCCCGACCCTTCGAACCCTGTCTGGTCAAATTCAGGGACAATATCCTGCCCTACTGCAGCGTATGCAGATCTTCATAAGAAATAAAGAACTTCTCGCCTATTCTCCAGTCACTACACTACCATCCCTCAATCTTGAAGGTAGGTACGTACTGCGAGCCCTCTCGACGAACGGGAGGATCTTATTAAACGACACAGTCACTTCAGCAAAGCAACTCACCTCGGACCACTCATGCAAATCTATCAATCGAGCAGCGAACTGTCCAAAGTCCTAATGAAACCAACGCGAGCGTCACCATCACCCGGGATAACGGCCCACTTCCGAGCGACATTAATAGCATTCACCACGGCTTCAGGCGGCATTACCAATACGGTACACCATAATAGCACAGGAACATCCCGATGACGACTCGCGTGTACTGGAGATCAGTGCGCTGGATGGCAGATATGGCGTCGAAGCTCCATTTCGCTATTGGAATGTACGGGATATGTCTTCCATTGTTCATACGTTATCAGGTCATGCACTTACAGGCGCGAAGGATATAGATGCTCTTCTTTAAACGGCTTGCCAAACTCGCAGATCACGAACCGATGTGTACTGCGCGACTTCGCCGTGAGGATGAGGTTCAGTTGTATCTGGCTGACGCGTTGGAGACTATGGATATTCTCGGATTCAAATGATGTGGGTCTTAATTAACGGTTTCAGGATTGTCGACTTCGGGTAATATGGTTATATCAGAAAGATTGGATCTACTTTGAATTCATTAATGAGGGTATATAACCAAAACATCAGGCATTTTATTGCTGAGTTTAAAAATCCCTTTTAGTCAGAGTGATATATGAATGTATCCTGACCACCTAATCAAGGGGTTATGATCGAGGTTCATAGATGGGGATTTTCTATTCAATTTGTAGCGAGAACATTGCCCCTAGTTCCTATTAACCAGCGAATCCCTTGATGTCCTGCAGATATTGTCAATCGCAAATTTTCCCAGTCCATCTTTGCAGACCACAAACAGGGGCCTCTATTGACAGTCGCATGAGTCTTCCAAGGACCATATGAAGCGATCTGCGAAAATGTACGTGTCATAAAAGTAACCACGTCTATAGTACATAATATTGTCCTGTCTAATCGGGATCTGCATACTGTTTGGCCTCTCCCTACACTCTTATAGTTTCTACTAGGTTAATTAGGCTAGTTCTTAAATCATGCAACAACACATTTCGATGGCAAATACTGGAAAATACCATGTCCTCCGAGCAACGCGCACAGGAGTCCAACGGATAGCAGTTCCGCTCTGTATGGTGTATTCCTTGAAGTCTCGTATTCTAGCCCAATCAGGCTACTTCTGCTAGCATAAATAAAATCTAGTGCGTTTTCTCTCATCAAATGGAACGTCGGCGTCGGATTGAAACTGCAGCAGTTGCGGGGTTCCGGCTTGTGTTCCATGAATATTCCGTTCCTTCCGTACACAGCTCCACGTAGTCGCTTTAATTCGGCGCATATATATGAGGTACTGGTCAAACCGCACAGAATCAACGACACACCATGATCTCGGGTATAATTTGCGGTGGGATTTCAGACAATGAGGCTATCCATCACATCATTAATACTCCAGTATGTTCTAGTGGATGGTCTCCCCAAGACCAACACAAATCCACTAGTCGATCTGGGATACTCCGTCTACAGAGGCATTCGTCTCAATGCTGGAGTTGACCAATACCTCGGCATACGATATGCAGCACAACCCTTGGGGGAACTAAGATTTCGAGCTCCGGCTGATCCAGTCCGGACCCATTCCATACAGGATGCTTCCAAGGTGCGGTGTAGCTCGTGGTTAGGTTCCTGAATTAACCCCGTCTAGGAAGGTCCCATCTGCATCGGAGTGGGCAAAACAAACAAACCTGGTGAGAATAGCGAGGACTGTTTGTTTCTGAATGTGTTTAGTCCTTCCAATGTAACGGAAACTTCGAACCTCCCAGTTTGGGTCTTCATCCAGGGAGGTGGGTATGCGCGGAATTCGGATGCAAATTATAACGGGACCAAAGTGATCCAGGAATCTGGCCATACGATTGTTTTTGTGGAGTTGAATTACAGAGTAGGTGCACTCGGATTTCTGGCTAGTGAGAGGCTCAGGAAGAATGGTGACCTCAACGTTGGCCTTCTCGATCAACGTATGGCGCTATGTTGGGTGCAGAAACATATCCGCAAGGTGTGTAAATCCAGATCCATGATCAAGGCCAGAATTGTGTATGTCTGACCCTCCATTCCACTCTCGCAGTTCGGAGGTAATCCTGAGCACGTAGTGATCCATGGCGACTCTGCTGGCGCCGGCTCGGTTTCGTATCACCTCGCAGCCTACGGAGGCCGAGACGAGCAATTATTTATTGGAGGCATTGTACAGTCTCCCTTCTGGCCTATTCTGAGAACAGTTGCCGAGTCTGAATGGCAATTTGATCGATTTATTCAAGACTCAGGCTGTGCAAATTCGTACGACGCTCTCGCATGCTTACGCGCCGTGGATATCGAAACACTTCAAACCGCCAACGCCATATCGCACTTCCCCGGCACCGGTGGCACCCCGCTTCCACGCTGGTACTTTTTACCTGTCATCGATGGTGACTTCGTTGTTGATCGTCTGTACAATCTCTTCGACGAAGGGCGATTCGTCAAAGTCCCTCTTATGGTTGGCGACGACACTGACGAAGGCTCCTATTTCGCAATCAACGCATCCACGAGTGCCGAGGTGTCTCAATTTTTCAGAAACAATTACCCAAACCTGGATTCTCGACAGCTGGAAACCATCAACCAAGCGTATCTCACATCGACCGTCCTTCCTAAACATGCTGCGTATTTTCCGGTCGCATCCGCCGCTTACGGAGACTGCACGTTCACCTGTCCGGGGAGCCACATTGCATCAGCCGTTGCAAAACACTTCTCCCCAGATCAAGTCTGGAATTATCGCGTCAATATTCAGGATCAAGAACTTATAGGAGAAGGACTCGGCGTTCCGCATACATTCGAGATCCCGGCCATCTTTGGCCCAGGATACGCTGACACTACTGGCCTATCATTCGAGACGTATAATGCGGGGATTGTGCCAATCACGATGCACTACTGGATTAGCTTCATTCGGTCTTTGGATCCAAACGTGTATCGGCATAAGACTGCACCGCAGTGGGATGCCTGGGGAGCAAACACTGGCATGCGTTTGAAACTGCAGACAAACGCGACAGTGATGGAACGGGTTCCAAGGTCATTGACGCGGAAGTGTCAGCTGTGGCATAGGTTGGCCCCGATAATGGGGGTTTGATAGATTTGAGAAGGCAGATGGTTTGGATTTGATTGCAATAATGGTATCCCTTGATGGGATGCTGTAAGGCGGGATTCCAAATTGGGAAGTTGGTTTAATACCTACTGCTGCTTTAGGAAATCACCCGCTCAAATGCATGTCAGAGAAATGTTCTCCGGAGAATATATTCCAGGAAGCTTGTAGGACTGGTTCCTTTCACCCGGGGAAAAGTGTTGGTATAAAGCCATATAATTGGACTTTCACCGGCCATGCTTCTCTCCTTCGAGTCTTTGGTATGGACGCGGTCTTGTAGAGGCTGGGGGTCGGACTGGTGTCGGGTTCCGTGACGTTTGCTGCAAGGGAAGGCTCTTTACAAGATGCATTATTTAAGAATGCGACTCCATATCAGATAACAGTTAGTTAAGTAAAGATGGGAGTTATACTAAGACATACTGAATGTAAACCATAACAAATGGGCACGTAAATACATGGTTTCGAACAAACCACATCTTTGCTATTAGCGGGAAGCACGACTAGACTATTATTCTCCGATTACTTATAGGCAAACCCTTTCAAGGCCACAACCCTAACACGCTATAAATTAGTAACAGTAGATGTAGCATGCATATCCTTAGAAATACACAGATATACTTTTAAGTTCGCAGATTAAAATATTTTATGAAAGGTCTAAGCTTTAGCTACAATATTTTAACTTAGGCCGGAATCTTTTTATATCATGAAGTTGCCTTATATATCCTAATAATATAAGTAGGCTAGTTAATTCGTATGTCTTTATTAGGCTTGATCTGTCACCAGTGGCAGGCACTTTGTGTTATAGCCGAGCTCAGCATCTTAACTATTCCACTGGACCAAAAGACCATTATAACTGATCCCAGTGGCATCAGATACTCCTGAGTACCTTATATAGTAGCGCACTATAATGTTGGATGACGCACCCCCACTTAACATATACTAACTATTAGATAAATACTTGTTTATAGGAATATTTTCGACTTACCTTTAACCGGCTTTCTGTATACACACTTTAACAGCCCAAAACAACCAACATCAAGCGGTTGAAGCAGGTGGGACGAGTGTGCTAGCATACAAATTAGAATAATCTTATTCTCACTGCATATTTGGTTAAATTAAGGAGTTAAATAACTTCCATGTCTATTAAGAATTAGCAGACAATTGTCCAATTGTACGGTCTATTGTAGCTGGAATAAAAAGTCTTTGCAGCCAGTGTAGCCTAATCTTATTTGTAGTCTATCCATTCTCACTACTTTAATCCTCCACTTAGCTGGTAGATTCTTATACTAACAATCTATATGGACTTTTTGTCAAGGGCTAAACCTCTATAACCTAATAACTAGGGTGGATACAAAAGGAATCGTCGAAGAGGAAAGAGAAGAGGAAACAGCGATGAGACGATTGCGAAGTAAGGGGGGGGAAGTCACATGATAGAGTGTACTAATCAATATACTAATCATGTGGCAGGCGAGGAGAAAGGAAACACGAGGGCTGAGGGCCCGAGTAGGCTGAGGGGCTCTAGCCCCTTACACTACTCCTTTACTATATAATTCTCCGAATATATTCGTACTTAGCTCAAAGACCCTACGAGTAACAGATGACTATCCAAAATAAATAGATATTGGAGCACTTTGTAAATGTCTTTCTCTCTTCTTTGCAGAGTGTCCAGATATATTTATAGATAATACAAAAAAGTATTCCAACGGTTCGCTGGACGTCTCTGTATCGACTGGAATAATTCGTTTCTTATCCACTTTGAAGCCATGATCGAAGCCATGGTGTAAAAGGCTGGAGCCCGTTTGACCTCTCGGGCCAATGTCCGTATTGTCCCTCCTGTCCGTACTATCCCTACTGTCCCTACTGTCTCTACTCTCCCTACTCTCCCTACAGGCCCTTTTGGCACCATTGGCCCTCGACCCACAACACGTGACTCTTATTTTCCACTTCCTTTCTTCCCTTCTTCAACGATTCCTTTTTTGTACATAGCCTATCTTATCGGTTCTACCGGTTCAGCCCTGACACTGTCACACAAGCGCTCTTTGTACCTTGTCATTGTTAGCTAGTAAATGATCAGACTTTGTTTCTTACCAGCCGAACGTTGTCCTATATATCCTGTTTAATAGAGTACAAAGCAAGAATTGACCTGTTTAAATACCAGGTAGAATTTCGTCGGATGATAGATGTCGGGAACTCCCGAATAGGAAATTGCACCGCTTGGTGCCTTAGGCAGCTCAACGTTGGAGGATACATTAATAGCCACATCTCTATGAATGGTCAGAAATAGTTACTGGACAGTTCCATACATCAAAGCGGTGCAGCTATTAAATGAGCATATTTTTTGGGGATATAAAATATCATGCATATATACACATTTCCTTAAGGTTATAGGCAAGTATATAATGTTACATTGGCTAACTGTATAAACAGGGCATACCGACCAAGAATTTTTTACTTATCGGTGAGAGAATAGCTTAGAAAAATTTTTCGTCTTACTATTTAGAATTCTATTAAACTCATAGAACAATAGCAATTTATTCTTACAGAACGAAGAGAGCAGGGACTTCATTGTCAAGGATCTTCACATCATGAATGTATATACAGTCCAGCCAATACTTTCCCTATTTGAGAATGGGACATCCAGAATATGGTGACATCATTGACTACCTTAAACCAGTGCGCGAATAACGACTATGTCGGATTATTGGGTACGACGTTATGAATTGACTAGAAATCCAGTGGTCCTATGTAGTTATCAAAGCGGCCCAGGCTTCCGAAGGGCATTGTATATCCATTGAGTTTTACCACGACCAGGGATTCTGTAGACTGATGGTACGAGAAAGCAAACTAAGAGTAGACACTATGTGAATATGGATAGTTGACCGACCATGGTTGTTTCAGTCGCATGATCGCACCCTTACCTAGAAGGTACAATAGCTCCAGGGTTCCGGCTACGCATAATTGATTGGCTCTGGATGAAAGACATGAAGGAAACGTTCGAGTTAGGTCTAGAATTGCTGCAGCGTTGGTGATCAGTGAATAGAAGGACTCAGAGCTGTCGGAGATATATTAGAGATATATTATGGACTGCCTATGAAGGAAATCAGAGTCATATCATCTTATCAGGTGAAATGAACCAGTTCTGCAATAACTGTAGCAGTACTCTAGATGCATATGCTTGTGCTTTGATAAACTGTTCTGGACTTGATAATCGCAAGACCAGGTGATTATACCCAGTGTAGATCTTAGTATGGATCATTGAAATATGTGGCCGAGACCTGGCATATCAGCATCTTCTGCCGACCACCACTACAGGGGAAGCGCTGGGATGGAAACATGTGAATCGTCGTCATGGAGATAATGGTATATTTTGGCCCAATATGAGCTCAACAATCTACTATAATATGTTGAGAAGATGTTGCGACAAAGCGAACCTAGGCAATAAATCCTCTGATGAATCCCCGACGATACATCTAACGGTTCAACGCGAACCAAATATCAGAATTCTGCTGAACCCACAATTGACAATCTATCTCGATCTACATTACATGAAGGACTTCATATTTGTGAGAGATCTATCGGGTCCGATAAAGTGTGGCAAGCTCACGACATATTAGGTTTCCTTTAAGGTTTGTTTCCCTTTGGGGTTGGGATTGCGAGCGATCCTGGAATAACTCTAATTGCCCCACATAAAAGTAACTAATAACCTGAAACCATTTTTGAGTCAGAATCGTGGGGCCTTCTTCGAGCTAGCATCCTATCCTGTCTGTGATCGTGCGAAGCGATTACCGGACGTTGGGCATCGGAACCGGACCCCAATATTAAGCCACGAATATCGAGATTGGCCAGATTGTTTCAACTTACTCCCGTCATGTCGACAGACAACCGAGAATGCGAATTTGACACCTAAGTGAATGATTTTGGGAGACAGGAGCGAAGGATACAGCTTGAGACAGATGACAACAACCGATCGCCAGGCGCAGGAGCAGGAAGGAGCAGAGCAAAGCGTTTCAGGCGATCATATTGCTGCCTCCATTGGCTGATCCTGCCAAAAACTGGCTTCGAAACTTGGTGTACCATGGTACTATGATGTGTCGTTCCACCGGGAATGAGCCGATGCGGACAAGTCTACTCCGTGGCCCCCACCTGCATGGCAGAACCTTCTTTCCTGCGGCGCATGCTGTAGCCGCTATGGGGCATATACCGAGTCGAACAATGAGCCTCAGAAAATGGAAGACTGTGGAATCGATAATACAACCGTGTCCATCTGGTAGAGCTCCCTAATTGTGTAGTCCGAAGCTTACGATGAAAGGATTTATTATCCTCCGTTGACCATCTGATTTCGCGCATTAAGACCCTTGATTGAGGGGCGACCCTATGTTGGGCTGGGCGTCGTTTATAATTAGCCATATTAAGTGGGATACAGTTTGGCCAAGGGACGTGGAGGGGCACTAGCGACTTCTAGGATCGCAAAAATGGATCCCAGAAGCGGCTGGCAGATTGTGTTTCTGATCCTTTTCCCAATGCAGCAATTACCATGACTCGAATGCGTCTTAGCTCGGTATGTGATGCTGTACTTGGAGATCGTCAGTCTCCCAAACACAATGTTCTTTGTAGGTACTATTATCCGCTGTGGATTCCACATCTCGTATTTAGTTTTCTGTGCGGCTCCACCCGGACCCAAGTTCTTGACTACTAGGACGGACGATCCAGGCCGCTACGATCATTGCTGCGGTCCATTTGTTTAGGGTCAAATCAGGCCTAGAACCAACATGGACCAGAGCTATGATGCTTTGGACCCAACTGCGTCCACTCCAAATATGAAGTTTCAGCCTTGGCTGACGTCCTCGAACGGAATCCGGTCATTGGTCCTGGCCCACTATCATCCACACAAGCTCGATGGAACATTATTCCCATTTGTCTCGGATTCCCGGTGATGGGAGTTCAGAAGCCATGGTTTGAGACGCCTTTATTAAGCTTTTTTAGCGGGCCGGGACCGGATCGTATCCTTTTTCCAACAGTATGGATGCGCTGCGGGCTCCCTCACGTTTAGGGTGAACAACACGGGCTAACTTAACTGACCTTCCCCTGGGTTCCTTTTGATCCCTCGGTCGTCCTCTGTGTTTTTTTGTCGTTCTTCTTCTCTGATGAGCCTCTTCAGTTCCATCCTGAACATCTCACCTCCTATTCCCCTGTTGTTTTAAGCGAGGAGTTCATACCCTCCCATGGCCGACCTAGGATTCTACCACGACAAGACATTCCTGCCAGAGCAATGGGCAGAATATGGCGTGAGCGTGGCGATTATCTTCCTGCGCCTGGGTGTGCGCATCCGAATGGTTGGGGTGCGAGGGTTTCAGGGCGATGATTTCTTTGCATTCCTCGTGAGCCTCGTAACGAGCTTGATTCTTCCTGCCTGCGTGCTAATCTCATCGCTAGGCTTTGGCCCTCCTAACTATGGACGCGGTGACAGTCCATTTCTCGTGTGAGTCTGGGGCATTCTATACTGATTGAGAGGACTGTGCATGCTAAGTGTTACGAAGATAAACTAGGGACAAATCTTGAAGTACCACCGGAAATGGAGAATCATCTCACACCGTCACAGTACTCTTCGGTCGTTGCAGGGTCAAAGTACGAGTTTGCTGCTTGGTATTCATACACGGGGTTGATTTGGGTCATGAAGGGGAAAATGCTGTTTCTTTAGTAGGATTCCCTGTTCTCGAGGATCACGGGTACACGACTAATGTTGTGCGATTAGTAAACGATTGACGATCGGACTATGGCAGGCTAAAGTCATCAATTGGCTGGCCATTTTGTGCGCGTTAACCTATGCGGCGGTGTTTTTGACAGTCACATTGGGATGTCAGCCGTAAGAGCCCTTGTGTCTACCGATTCTTGTTTTCAATGCTGATGGTAATAGGGTCTCGGATAACTGGAGGATCTATCCTCCTCCGTCAAGTAAGATGCCTCTTCTCCTAAATATTGGCATGTATTGACAGTATTAGAACAATGTGGTCTGAAAATCCAAAATGTCATTGTGACATGCGTTCTCAACGTCACGTACGTATATCCTCATTCCCAACTATCAGCCCATGCTAACCCGACTCACAGCACCGACTTTGCACTGTAGGGACACCTCCCCAACATTCAATGTCCCTCTCTAACATATCCAGGCTCTGCATTCCCATCCCACTACTATGGAAAGTCAAAACCTCCATTCAACGGTAACCAGGGCCTTATCAACATCCACACATCTGCAAAACCGCTGACGCATCCTTCGCCAGCAAAATCGTCATCGCCATGTTTCTCAGCTCCGGCATCTTCGTGATCACCGCCTCAATCATCCGAACAACTCTCACCCTCGGAGCCGCACCATCCAGCATTACTGTCAACCGATGGGGTATTCGCGAGACAGTAGTCGGCGTGGCGACGGTCAATCTCCCGATCCTGCGACCCATGTTCACCAAGAGCTTCTGGTTCCCCGGATACAAAGGCAGTTCCCGCGGCCACAATTACTACGGGTACTATGGTGGATCCGCGAACTATAATATGACTGCGAGGTCGAAGAAGGGACAACGGAGTGATAGTATGACAGCGGGGATTAATGAACCAAGTCATCAGAGTGAAGATGGCAAGGAGGACCCTGGTGGTGTGTTCGTCAGTACCAGTGTTAATGTCCGGGTCGAAAGTAGGGATACTGTTGATGCACCGCGCATGAATCCAAGTAGTGTGTGGGAGATCGATAAGAAGTCGATGGTTTAGATTTCCTTGGTCTAGTGTGGGAATATAACTGTATAATTGACTAGAACTGGAATTTGCATCTGTCTGGCTCTCTTCTCATTTCATTTTTGGGCGTTGTTTTCTCGGATACCACCCCAGGTTTTGCGGTCTACTGATGGCATTAGTTATATTGATAATACAGCATATGGTTCCTAGATGATGGACATGTCAGCCGTTACTAGTGCCTGTTCTGATGCCAGTTCATATGCCGTTTATCTCGAATTATATTAAGGTAGGACGGGAAAGAAAGAAGACAGCAAATAATCATGCTTGAATGGCTATTAAAACAAACGGTCAGACCTCTACACGAGGAATAGAGAGGCCTAATAACATGATGTAAGCTAGTTTGAAAGTAAGTGATAAAGTATTTATCTGATGAAGATATTAAGTATGATTGTTGAATTAGCTATCTCCCACTATAGAAGGCTTTCTGGAAATATAAGTACGGAATAAAAGCCCTGATCCCGTCCCCTGCTATAAAGGACGTCGGAGGCCTCAGAGCCACCTCTGTTGATGACCTCAATACTTGAGCGAACACGTTGCTCGTTGGATGTAATCGATTCGTCCATTGCGCATCTTAGATAGGAGACTATCTTATCCCATCGATGAAAGAAAGGTGTGCCTCTTGCTCCCACGAGGGTGCTTCTCGCCGATTGTTTTCGGACTGTATTACTGGCTTTGAGGACAGAACCCCACGATGTCTGCAAGGAGTTCGTTCATACTGTTGTTGGGACTATGCACGCTAAATGGAAGTCAACTTGCATGGTCATAAAACTGTGGAGCTGGTTTTTGCTCCCTGGAGATAGCCTTACTAAAGTCCCAGAATTCTGAGCATGCTTGAGAAATCGCCAGTTCGACATTGCAACGGGATCCATTAGAAGATGGGCCCGAAGCAGTTCTGTAAGCTCATCCGCAGTCTTTCGGAAGAAGGCTAGATGGGCTACTCTCAGATGTTGTAGCCTGGAACGTCGCGACCATTTATGATGGTATGGACTCTCTCGTGTCTGCATTCGTTTTCCTTGAGCCATGTACCCCAGAGCTTTCATGATTGTTCTATTCCGGAGGACGAAGAGAAGATGCTATTTCAGCTAAAACCGACGACACCCCTGTATGTTAGCACTGCCACTGTCCACGAACTCTAAATGACTTGCTGGAAAAGCGACCGCTCCATGGAAACGAACTGCCGCAGCGCCGCAGCCCCAACTGGCGACCTGGCAGTGCGGGTAGTGCGGCGGCGGGCATCGGACAGGGGACGAACAGCCGAACCAGGGGCCCAAACGCCTCTATTTTCGGGTTTACCGTCGGCCATATGAAATATAGAATTACAACTTGAAGTACACCGAAGGATTCTCTCATCGTGCCTGGGAACAAGGCAGCCGACCAGCTCGCCAAGCGGGTAGCGCAACAGGGACCCTTACCAGGACAGCAAATTGTCATGTTGCAGTCGGCGGCTGAACGAAGGATCATGACGGAGTCAAAGGCCAAATGGGCCAAGGCATGGCAACAGGCAAGGACGGGACGACCGACAAAGCGCCTAAATAAGGCGTCAGAGAGGGTGTCCGGCAGTACTTGGGAAGTCTCCGGAAGGCAACTAGCTCGGTGCTCATGCAAATGTGCGCGGGGAAGGATCGGACATAACAAACGTCTCAACCTTATCAACGTGCGCAAATCAGCGCGCTGCGGTTGCGATTTTAGTAGCCAACACCTAAATGTTTGTTTGGCTTGTCCAATTCTGACTGGTCGGCGAATGGATCTGCAACAGGAGCTTTGACGAAGAGGTTATGCCGGTGTCAGAATGAAGGCTACGAATCGCTGATACGGGAGACAAAGGCAAGAGTAGCGTGGCGGAGTTTATAGTAAAAACAGGCCTGCTTCGGTTTCTAAGCGGTAGATTCTGAGACAGCGACAAGGGTCACCAACCAAGCGCCAGAAAAGACACCTATCCCAGCCCACACAAGATAGCTAACCAGGACTTTGGGCTGTTTCCTGAAGCGAGTTTATGCCAGTGGACGCAGGACCAGGTCTCCTGCAGTCACCGAGCAAACCAGCTAACACGCATATAACGTTGAGGGGGGGGCTAGGCCGGGGGTAAAATTAGGGGATACCGGGTAGGAGTATAGAGTGGAAACAGGAACAATGCAGACGGTAAGGCACAGCTTCCGTCAGGGGTTGAATAGTGTTGGCGGCGCTGACAGCCTGACACCGCAGTGTCGGAACATCTCAGTTGACATTTATTAAGCTTTTCTTTTTGTCTTGTTGTCAGAATATTAACATATTCTAATTACCTAATTAGGAAGCTATCAAAATAATTAACCTATAATTTAATGCAGCGACAGAAATAATTTGAAATCTCGGCAGTTCGATCCGAACATCCGAAAAGAAACTCACATTATGGTAGTTACAGGCTCTAATCCCGAATAAATTCGGAAAGAAAATCCGAGGATTTAAAGATATAAAAGCAGCACAAATCTCTGCTCGAAAGAAGAAGTGAACAATCAATCTTTAATATTCTTGAACTATATACATTCCCAAATAGGGAAGCATAATTTATTTATTTTCTGTAATTATATTATATGTTATTGTATCTTACGCTGCTTTATAGCTTATCTTCTATACTATTTTAGATTATTAGTGTTCACAACCTACGGAGTATATTCTCTAAGCTACTTCTAAACGGGCATAGCTTTTATCTGTTCCTATTCTGGTTAGTCTAGTGGTTTATCATCTGTCAAATAATATGGCCGTTGGTGGACCAGAATCATGTGACTGGATCGGGGTAAAACCCCCGTGGAGCACACAACAAAATAATCAATCAAGAATAACCAAGAAGAATAATCAAGAAGAGCCCAACCAGCTCAATTCATTCAAATAAGACCTTTTCATCAATCGTACTCTATTTCCTCTTCGGGACTAGCCGTATATTCTTATCATCCTCCGACACTTGTTGGCTCAGCGCTATTATGTATTTCAGACCACTCACAAACGTGGTGGCCAGCTGCCGGGAGCGGCCTTCCTCAGCACGACGCTGCATGGCGACATTCATATGTAAGGACAGGTCAATGTATTGTACTACCACTAATATGTGCCTTATTTTTATAATTTTACTGGTACAGTTTTTTCTAGACATGAAAAGATAGACATGGATAGCACATCGTGGAGTGTTATAAAATTACATAAAACGCATACATAGATGTGTACAATAAAACTAGGCAGATCCGTCTACAATATTTCCTCCCCGATCTAGAAAGCTCGCAAAACAAAGGAAAAAAAGCGAACGGAAAAGCGAAAAATAAGCTAAAACTCAAGCGCGGCAGAATCATCAGCAGCCAGTTTAATAATAGTAGTAGCCAGTTTCTCCAAGTCATTGATGTCCTCTTGACAGAACGCCGGATCCAACACAGACATGGCAATAAGAAGGTTGTCCCCTTGGGGCCCAGTAACGACATGGAAGGGAGTAGAGTCGTTGTGTTGGAACATCTCCATGGGACACTCCACATTCTGGAATGGAATCGTCCTTTCCACACCCTCATTTTGATGAGTGAAAACACTGCAGAGCCTGGCCTCAGGAGACCAGTGGGCGGCCATCAGCCGTTTGATCTCGTAAAACTCCGCACTGGAGAAGGGTATAGCCCGCTTATATTGCTGCTGAACATGCCAAAGTAAGCTTTGCACTGTCCACGAGCGTTGGATGCTGACCCGGAGTGGCAAGACAGTGATACAAGGTCCGGGGACCTCTTCGGCGTTGGCAATGGGCAGCTCTCGTCCATTCAACACATTTCCAAAGACAACGTCATCTTGACCAGTAACCTGTGCAAGGACCAGTGCCCAAGCGGCCTTTGTCAACGTTGCCATCGTGACACCCCCTTTCATTATGGGAGTGGAATCTTTTTCAACAACGCTGTCGGACGTGCGGGCGTAGTAGGACTACACCTAGGTGAGGCATTGTCTCTGTGTCCTCTAAGGACCGTCATCTGCGAGTTGCGCAGGTAGCCTCGCCAAAATTCACTCATGTCCGAAGGACGATTTAGCAAGCGATATTGCAAGTACCGTGCAAAAGAGGGGACATGAGGACGAAGAAGGCTTTTACCGTCGTATGCCATCGAAATCTCCTTTAAAAATATGACTGCGGAGACAAAGTCGATTAAGGAATGCGATGCTCTCACAACTAGCCGTTTATGGGTCCCAGAAGAGTGAGAAAGAAGATAGAATCTCACCTGGGGCACCTCGGGGGGTATGGGTGTATTATAATCTTGAGTGCAGACAGATTGGACAAACTCCTCCATATCGCCTTCACATGTCAGCTGAGTAATCGGAAGATTGACCTGGCGGAGAATGATCTGGATATATTGGGCTCCATATGGTACCAAAATCGTACGTAGGCTCGGGTTGTGGTCAACCATGGCAAGACATGCCTTATTCAGGCGATCCATATCGATCCCATTTGGAAGAGACACAACGAAGTAAGTGGCGTTTTGATCGTCCATAAGTGAGCCCTGGAGCTGCGTAGTGGGCAGGACATCGGCGAGGTTTTCAGCAGCAAGTGTGGCAGGCAGTCCAGGAAAACGAGTCACAAAACTTTCCAAATCGGTGATACCTAGCAAGGATCCTGGGCGATAATCATCGACTGTGATGTCTTGCAGCGAGCGTTCAGTGGCACGGGCGAGCTCTGAGAGAGTGGGATGATTGAAATGTCCATCAGGGAAATTCGGCGGCCGAGCTGCCGAGCTAGATTGGACATCCTCATGGCCTTGACGGAGTCTCCTCCAAGCTCAAAGAAGTTGTCATCAGCCCTAATTTGCTCAGCTGATATTTGGAGGGCTTCGGCCCACAGGTCGCGCAGGAGGTGTTCCTGCTTCATGGTGAGCTCCCTCGGAGCAGTTCGCCTGGTTGTTTTTGAGAATTCATCGGGATTACGCATAGCAGCCGCCTGTTCGCGTAAGGACCAGCGGTCGATCTTGCCACTGCCTGATCGGGGCACATGAGATACACGCAGGAAGGTAGCTGGAACCATATACCGCGGCAGCTGTTTGCTGAGCTTCACTGTGGCAGTGTGGACCGCAGCGGCGAATTGGGAATCGTAGCCAACGAAGAGCTCCTCCAACGCCTCATTACTGTCCGTCGTCGTCACAATGAACACTACCAGAGTGGCATCACACTTATTTCCGCCTCGATAAACCACCTCAGCTACCACCTCCTTCACGCATGGGAAAGCTCGAGCTGTTTGATACTCCACTTCACCTAATTCAATGCGTTGCACACGCAACTTGACCTGGGTATCTCTGCGACCTAAGAATCGAATACCACCACCATGTGTATATTGAACCAAGTCCCCTGATCGATAGAGACGGCCGGTGTGCCATGAAGTGTCCTTATTCCGGAATTTTTTCAGCCAATCTGGTGCTGGTATGTACACCTCCGCAGTCTTGTCTGGATCATTCATGTAGCCGCGGGTCACCACGGGCCCTTCTATCAGCAGTTAGCCCACGGCACCAATTGGGGCCAGTCGCGAAGGATCCGAAGGCATCGTGATCCATCCAATGCCACCGGTCACCTTTCCAATTGTTCCTGGCAGCCATCCGTGGACGGGGACTAGTCTAGCCGCACAGATGGTAGTTTCGGCCAGGTCATACCCGTTGACCAGAGCCACTTTGTCTGCCCAGACATCCACCACGTCCTGGGTAAGCGCTTCACCCCCGACAACAACCGTTTGGAGGCCTGGAACAACCTGCTCCGGTTGAAGGAGGTTGTTGAGCACGGTTTGGGTAAAAATGGCCCAGTTCACATGCGATGCGTTGATGAAGCCAGCGAGGTTATTTGAGCGATCGGCTTCAGATGGAATGCAGACACACCCCCCATTGACAAGAACGGAGAAAATTTCATATATGCTAGCATCAAAGGCGTACGAGGCAAAGTGCAACCCTCGCGTCTCTCCGGCCTCGATATTTAGCGAGCTAGTGTGATCCTGAATGCTGGTGCAGAGGGAGGAATGGTTCATCAGGATACCCTTGGGCTTTCCAGTACTGCCAGACGTGAACACGATAAAAGCAAGATCCATTGGATCCCATTTGGAAGCTTTCCAGTCGACGGATGGGCTTTCCATTGCCGCCGGAACCGGGAGGATGGTCACCTGATGTTGGCAAACCGGTCTTGATGAACAGAAGACGTGAGCACGAGCTCCGCTTCCGTGCGTCGTAGGATGTCTTCCGTTCGTTCCGTAGGGTGACTTGGATCTAGCATGACACAAGCACCACCCGCGCGGAGGACAGCAATCATGCAGATGATTACCCACTTGGACCGGTCTAGACACAAGGGTATCATGGAGCCCCGCCGAACTCCCAGCCCCTGCAACCTTTTTGCTAGTCGCAAGGATAGGTCATCAAGCTCCAGATAGCTGACTACTCCATCCCAAGCATAGATCGCAGATGCGTGGGGGTGTTGTACCGCATGCGATAGGACGAGCTCATAGAGGCCAGAATCTTCATGTGCCTGAGGGAGAGCTTGGTGCCATTCGGATAACTGCATCATATCTTGCGGAGATACTATATCGAGTCTGTCCAGAGTGGTTTCTGGGCTCCCAATGGCCTGATTTAGGATGTGTTCAAATTGATAGATCATTCGTTTTGTCGCCGCCGAAGAAATGACCTTGGCGTCGTGGATGACATTCACCACGACGTTTCCCTTGTCTTTGTCGTTCAGGTGGAATACGAGGACTAGAGAATAATTGGCAAATGCAGAGTAGCTGTCATGGCAGCTTATTCCGCTTTTTACTAGCCTTGGACTTATAATAGACCCGGATGATGGAGGCTGGATACCGATATGGCATTGGAAGTTGCAGGCCGCTGCGGCGTCTGAACCCAATGCGCCGATTCTCTGAAGGCCGAAATGTTCGAAAGGTATCATTGCCGTCATGTGCCTGCGCAGTTCCAAGACAGAATCTTGGACAGTGCTTTGTGAGCTGAGCTGCACCCGGAATGGAACTGTCGCGATGGTTGTGCCTGTCGTGTTGTCAATTCCCGGAACAGCTGCATTGCGCCCATGTACAGTCAGACCAAACAGCACGTCATCAGAGTCAGTGTAAGATGATAGGATGATCGACCAAGCGAGCTGAATCATGGCTGATAGGGTGTGTTCGCTGCTGTGTGGTTGAAAGCGGGTGGAGATTTCGCGTTCGAATACCGAAGTTGGGGTGGGCACATATCGTGTGGAGGGGAGGCTAGGGAAGACTGGAGCGTGTATATTTGCAAACTGAGATGCCCAGAACTCCTCGGCCCCCACTGCGTTGTCCATAGTATGTCGAATGTAGCGACTGAAGGGAGTCGAGGACACGGGTTTTTGGTCGTAAGCGACTTGGACATGCTTCCAGAGAAGCTGGAGGGACCAACCGTCGTACACAGCATGATGTAGGAAAAATTGATAACTTTGCGAATCTTCTGATGACTTGATAATGGAGAGATCAACCAATGCATCTCCCAGCCCCATATTGTTGGCAGTTGCAACATGGACTTTGAACATGTTGACATCGTCAAAATGGTGCCATAGAGGTATGTCTCGCACCACGATCTGATACATTGTATTGTTTTGTATCTGCACGATTCTGATGCGGAGGATGGGATTTGCTCTAGCAGTCGCATCCCATGCGGATATGAACCGACCGAGGTCGATATTGGAGTGCAACTCATATCGAATCTGCTCAATATACTGACCGGACAGCTTCGTCGACAACGCCATTAGCCCTTCCTGTAATGCAGTGCATGGGTAGATGTCTTCGATGCTAGTTTCGTGTACATTGCACGCCTCAGAAGTTTGCTTGATCAGAGAATCGGTACTGTCTACCCCATTCAGGAGAGAATACGGGAGAACCCCTGGATCCTCCGGGTCATTTTCAGAGGTACTTGCTGCTGTCGCTGCCAGGTCATGGAGCTGTGAGTGATTAAATATATCAGCCATTGTGATGTAATAGCCTGCCTTTCTTGTTATCACCACAAGGGTCATCGCTAGGATAGAGTCTCCTCCCAGCTGGAAGAAGTTGTCCTGCATTCCGACCCTCCCCAGAGGTAGTTGCAAGACTTCAGCGATCAGTCTTTGAAGTTGCCTTTCATTTTCGGTAGGTGGCGGAATCCTGTCCTCCAGAGGAGCGGTATAGGCTTGCATCTCCTCCCATGAAAGTGACGAGGCATCTTATGATAATCTTTTGGACTTGGAGCAAAGGTATGAAGAACTCTGGCAGCATAAATACTGGCAGTGCCTGTTGGAGAGCAATATTCAGATCCTTGACACGACGATGAAACGAAGGAGATGTGGGAGCGAACAGGGTGGTATAGCAAGAGGTTGTTAGATCCGTACTTTCTGTATATGGAGTTTGTTCCATGTGAATTCGCCAGTCGTCGTGTGTTGGAGAAAATTGGGTTAGAAAGTTGAGGGGAGAGAGAGTTGAAGCTATTTCGTGGGGCAATCTTGATCTATATGGGAAGACCGATATAGAAAGGCAACCAATGCAGAGCGGGTATCTGTTTCTCTCTTCGGTTCGATGAGTCCCACCACGACTTCGTCAAAGTCCTGGCAGATCTGGCGCAGTTGCGACTCCAATTCTTCCAACTCCATGCGCTGGCCACGGACTTTGACCTGTGTGTCTTTCCGCCCCATGTGGACAAGTCGGCCATCCTCAAGATGGCGAACAAGATCTCCTGTCTTGTAAATTCGAAAAGAGGTACTTCTATTCCTATCGCGCAGCCATAAAGGAGGCTCAATGAACGCCAGCTTTGTCTTTTCTAGGTCATGCAAGTAACCGCGGCCGACCTGGGGGCCCTCGATCAATAGCTCACCAACAGCGCCTACGGGAAAGAGATTTTCATGATTGTCGGGGTCAGTAACCCATAATCTACAACCGACTGGTCTCCCTATGATGCCCGTGGGAGCCGGACCCCGAAGGACCTGGCTCGTTGCCGAGAGTGGGGTGCATTCGGCTGGGCCGTACAATACTTTTAGGGTTCTGCCGCACCATAAGCGCATTTCCTTCTCAAGCACGCGCTCCCCCGCGAGGAGTAGCGTCCTTAATGTTGGGAAATCATCTGGATTCAGGTTCCGGGCTATTGGTGGCGTAAATACAGCGCAATTGGCTCTCATTCGTGTCACGGCCTCTGCGAGGCTTTGTTGCCGTTCAATATCCGAGGGGATACACACGCAACCACCACACACCAAGACAGGGAGCTGCTCAGAGACGCAGGCGTCCCATGCGTAAGAGCTGAACTGTAAAAATCTGGATGCCGGAGTCAGCCCGTACGCCTCGATTTCGCCGTAGATCCGCGCTGCGTAATTTTGGTGCTCGATAACGACCTCTTTAGGGGTACCGGTAGAGCCCGAGGTGAAGACAGCATAAAGCGTATTCTCAGGCGATGCGGCTTGCACTGGTGCGGAGATTGTCGATCCATCAACGTTACTGATCCAGGGCTTCTCATTGTCCCCCAAGACCATCACATTGGGCCCAAGGCTCAAGGCCAGACCAGTGGTCGACTCAGATGCCATGATAACGTGCGCTCTGGACACTTTATAAATGTGGTGAAGACGCTTGGCCGGCTGAGATGGGTCCATCATAATAAAGGCACCACCTGACCTGATGACCCCTAGCATCGCAACAACGGCCCAACGAGACTTCTCGAAGCTTACAGCGACGAATACCTCTGGCCCTACTCCTTGTGCTGCTAGAGCCGCGGCAAGACGCATATTGAATGCGTCTAGCTCAGCGTAGGTAAAGCTACCGTCCCAGGCTCATACCGCAGGTGCTTCTGGTTGAGAAATACATATCTCGGAAATCAAGTCAGACATTGTCTTCGTTACTGGCGTGCGAGGGTCACGCAGGGCATTATTGTTCCATCGTCGGACCAAAGCCTCTGAGGCTCCGCCGAGAAGGGGCACTTTATCAGCTGTCAGATAAAAGTCAACGGTCAATTCTTTAACGGCCTGACAGAACGCGTCCATGACGTATCTGGCCTGAGAGTCGGACAATAATGATTTGCGGTACTGAAGTTCGAGCCCCACGTCTTGCTGTGAGATATTGATTCCGATCATTGAATCGTACTGATGAATGTTAGTGAGTGGCATAACAGTAGGCGTAGTCATTTCTTGGCTTACCTCGGTGGGAGCATCTGCCCTGCCCTCCGTAAGAATGAGTGACGCCGCTGGCGTACACTAGCTCTCGACCTCCTTTTGAATAGATAGGGCGGTGTTGAAAAGTGCAGAGCTGGAATGCAAATTGTGATTGTGTTGATGAGTAATATATGCTAGAGAGCAATATTGGAACTTGAGACTTTCCGCGAAGTCTTCCTGGCATCGCCTAAGCAAATCCAGAAGAGTATTATCCCGGCTAAATCTAACTCGACAAAGCATGATGTTAATAAATGGACCGACAGCGTCGTGAATATCATCAAGGGTTACATCTCGTCCAGCAGTGGGATATCCAAAGCAAACGTCATCGGACCTCGTGTAGGCCTTGAGCACCATCGCCCACGCTATCTGAAAAACAGTTGACATGGTTGCATCATGAAGCTGACAAAACACTTCAAGTGAAGTGACATCGGACAATGGACACTTGAAGCAACCACTTTCGCTTGTTTGGACAGCTTCGCGATCGTTTTCGCTGCGAAGAATTTGGAACAGCGTAGGCTCGAAACCGTCAAGGTACTGTTTCCAGTAGCACCTTGCTGAGTCCATATCTTGTAGCTTTATATAATTTACGTAGTCTCGGTATGCGTGATCCGTGGAAGACCAATATGTCATCGTACACCAATTGAAGATCTCTTAGAAGAACCTGATAGGACAGGCCATCTATGATGGTGTGACTGACCTCCAAGTGACCTGCTACCTCACCATTGTCCGATTGACATATTGTCAGTCGATGGGGAGGACATGATGCCGGAATTGGCAAAGGCTTGTAGCGTGCAAGTGCCTCTAGCGGGTCCGATATGCAAGATTGCATCACGTTAATATCACAATGATATTCTTGGAGGACCACTTGATCTATGGACCCATCGTCTCGGAAATTGTTTAGAAACACTGTCCGTAGCAAAGGATGTTTATCAATCACCTGCTGCCAGGCATGCATAAATCGAGGCATATCTACCGCTGACTGACCGTCGCGTGGTTGAATCCAAGGTATCAAGTTCATGTAGTCCCCGGAAAGTTTGGCCTGACTGATTAACACCCCCTCTTGAACAGGGCTGCATGGATATGCGTCTATTATCCGGAGCCCTTGATAGGTAATGTGCGTATCGACATGTCTCTGGAAATTCTTCAGCTGATTGTAATTCAGACCTAACAAAGGAAAATCTGACAGCGTGAACGCTGGTGACCGAGAGGGCAGGTGAAGCGCCATCTGCCATAGGGCTTCTTCGCATGCACCTGCCCATTTATCGGCGGTGCCAGCTGACTTCATGGGACGGTGGGAGAAAATGCCGATCTGCAATTGTGCATTGGTCACTTCAGCCGATATGCTAAATAGCGAAAAGTTAGTTGTCTTGGTGCCGAGATCAGTCATAGCCGAAGACTCGTTGTGCGACATCTTCTGGAACAGGCCATGAACGGATTTCTGTTGATGCACGAGCCCATCGAAGTTGAATAAGACCTCAATCCATTCATTAGGCCCGGCTGAGTGGCCTCCTACTATGGTATTTGGCCGTCCCTCTGCTTGCCGGCGACCATCCTTGGTTCGACTCACGTATTCGACCAATTCGTGATGATCGCCCTTCAAATTTACATGGGCTGGCCAAATATAACTGAACCAGCCCACTGTGCGAGTTGGGTCAAGGCCTGAGTCCCCTGGGTCACGTCCATGATCTTCGCTGTAGATGATAGGCAAATCTCGGTCTGGAAATACCCGAGCGAAAGAATATAAGAGGGCGGCATGAATCAGCTCCTCGGGCTTCCTACCGAACGCTTGATTCGCACTGCCCAGGAGTACTGTGGTTTTTTCTGCAGGTATGCTGAATATTGTTCCATTCACACCATCATCACCACCACCACCCCAACCACCGGCCTTTGCAGTTAGGCCCCAGTAATCGAAGGATTTAGAGACAGCGAGCTTGTCAATACCTGAATCCGGACACTGTAGGGTCTTACCTTGTTCTGAATGGGCTTGCAGCCAGACCGAGAAGGGGAGTGGAGAAGCAGTTTTGGAGGGCGTGATAGGAGAAGTTCTCCAAGATCTGTAACAATGATATCCCAGGGCGCATTATCAACCACAAGTCGATGGGCACTTAAACACAGAAACTGTTGTCCATCGCCCATTGTGAGGTAATCGACCACAAACATGGGACCTTCTCGAATCTTTATCCTCTTCTGACTGCACCGAAAGGCGGCGAAGGCGTCAGTCGGAAATGTAACTGTATCATGCTGCTGATAGTGAAAGCTACCGTCTACGTCGGTGGAGATGCACTGAACCCATTGCCCATTTTCGCCCTGCCCAAATCTTGCACGGAGCATGGAATGTCTCTGTACAAGTAATCGGATGGCATCCAGTAGCTTTGAAGAGTCAAATGGCTTTTTAAGGCGCAAGACGATACATTAAACGAACTTGTCATATTCATGAGTTGCCCGTTCTAAGAAGAGTCTCTGGCTAGGGGAAAGAGGAAAGGGAACATTGGTATTATCCCCGTTAACCGAATTTTGTGGACGACGGACAGCGGCAGACAGTTGAAGCCCACTGCTAAGGAGCTAAATACTCTTAAAGCGCATGATGCGCTCCACAGTAATCCTTAATCCGGCGTACATTTCGAAGCCATTTGCATCGCACTAATCGAATCACCCCCTAGACTAAAGAAGCTTTCCTCGACACCAAAGCTGTCTGGATCTTTCAACACATCCGCCCATATCTGGTGGAGAGTCCTTTCCACCGCCGTCAATGGCCGCCGAATCGGACTAGGGGCTAGCGAGCTGTAGGCCTTTATTTGCTCTAAGGTCAAAAACGAGGCTGCCTGGAGAAGTCGCTTACAGTCTACTTTGCCACCGGTAGTGAAGAGAAGATGAGGGAGCGGCAGAAAGACTGACGGAACCATGTATGCGGGCACCAGCCTCTCTATCTGCATTGCAGCGGCACGAGACCGAGCCCTGAAGCTCTCTGATGGCATACAAAATACCCCAGCAACCATGTTCGAGATGTGTTCCTCTTCCTCCTCTTCGATTATTGCTACCAACATAGTAGATTCTTCGTGTCCTGGCACTGGCATGACTTCCGCCACCACATTCAGATTCCTGAAAGACGTTTTCACCAGGTATTCCACCTCTGACAGCTCAATCCGCTGACCACGAAGCTTGACCTGGGTGTCCCGCCGGCCCATGAAACGGATCGACCCGTCTGCGGCGTATTGCGCCAGATCTCCAGTGCGATAGAGACGACCTGGACTGCCTTTGCGAAACTGCTTCAGCCATGCTGGAGGCTCAATAAACCCCCCAGTGAAATTGCCTAGATAGCCTCTAGTAACTACTGGACCTTCAATGATTAGCTCGCCTATGGCACCGATGGGGACCAACTGGGTGGGTTCTGAGGGAAGAGTAATCCAACCCACACCTCCAGTGATAGGGCCAATGTTGCCGACTTTCCAGCCGTCGTCAACACGGCCGGCGGCACAAATCGTCGCCTCTGCTGGACCGTAGCCGTTAATAAGGTTAAGGCGAGGTCCCCATTTTCTCGCGATATCCGGGTTCAATGCCTCTCCTCCAAGAACAACCGCCTGCAAAGTGGACACACGTTCTGGGTGCAACACTCGGAACGTTGATGGTGAGAATATCGCCCAATTGACGCCGTGTTTCTCAATAAATTTCTCGATCCCATTTAAACATTCTGCTTCGGAAGGGATACACACACACCCTCCATTACAGAGGACTGTGAATATTTCATAGATAGTAGCGTCAAATGCGTATGAGGCAAAGTGTAGACCACGGACGCCCTTGGAAGCCCCAAGAGGCTCGGAGTGATGTTTGATGCTAGTACTGAGATGGCGATGCTCCATCACAATGCCTTTGGGTTTACCCGTTGAGCCAGAGGTGAAAACAAGAAAAGCCGGGGCATCCGGCGCAACCAGAGGGTTCAGCGTTGAATCACCAGGAGAAAGCAGACCTCCGAAAGGCGCAGTGAGTACCGGGGCTGATTCGTTAACAAATAAGTGCTTAGTTCCTTCCGAGGCGAGAATAATTGTCGGGTTCACTTGGTCCATGATTTGCGAGATTCTCTCTCTAGGGTGCTTGAGATCAACGGCGGTGACCGCTGCGCCGGCACGAAGCACAGCCAGCATCGCCAGAACAGTCCATTTTGACTTCTTAAAGAAAACAGGTACAAGGCTACCAGCAGCAACCCCATTATTCTGAAGGAACAGAGCCAGTCGCGATGATAAGGATTCCAGCTCTTGGTAGTCCCACCCCCCATCCCATGCCGACACAGCAGCTGCGTTAGGTTGAGTTTTGCAGTATCTGAAGACCAGTTCATGCAAGCATCGATCGAATGATGAAGGCAGGTCTCCGTTCCACTGAACTAATTGCTGCAAATCCGATGGGTGTAGTGAGGGAACATCTGGATCTTGTGCTGGGGATGCCGTAGGAGGCGCTCCAAAAGGTAGCTAAACTGTGCGACTATCCTTTGTGCTTCATGCCGACTGACAAACTCGGGATCATAGGTGCTAGCGATCGTGACATGGTGTTCGTTAGCGGTGCGCCGTGGGTGGCAGACCACGACAAAAGCATAGCTCGAAAAGGCGCGGTAGTCCAGCTCATTTTCTCCTCTCAGGGTGCCAAAAGGACTCTCTGCGGGCTCCAGCTCCGGCTGAACGCCGAGCTGACATTGGAAGTCGCACGCCAATGCCGCTTCGTGACCCAATTTGCGAATTCTTTGCAACCCGGCATGCTCATAAGGGATGGCAGACGTAGTCTGGGATTGAAGTTGTGACAACATTGAGTTGACGGAGAGGTCTCTGTTAATTCTCACCCTCAATGGGTACGATGACAATGTTGGCCCAGAAACCTGGTCAATACCGGCAAAAGGGACTCTTCTACCATCGGCGATTGTGCCGAAAACGACGCCACTCGAATCGGTGTACTGCGAGAGGGCCAACGCCCACGCCAAGCGAATGTAAGTTGACCCTCTTAACAGGTCGTCCCATGAGAGCAGTGTTGCTTGCTCGCGCAAAAGACGGCGATTTAATTTTCCAGTCTCGGACAGAGGGAGAGAAACTAACGGAATGAAAATGGCGGGGATCATAAAATTAGGTAGACGGTCCTCTAGCCGAGAAATGGCGATGGCAGCCGCCGTGAGATCCGGTCGATTCAAGTAGCCTCGTCCGACGTTAGCACCTTCTATGACCAGCTCGCCCACGGTGTTAACTGGGAAGAGACGATCGTGGTTCTGAGGATCGACCACCCAGCACACGGCACCCCGCGAGGTTCCTATGTTATTCAACATGGGCGAGCGACGAACGTCCTGGAGGGTGGTCAGTATTGCACACTCTGCCGGCCCGTACAAGTTGAGCAATGCGACCCTGGAAGGCCACATTTCAACGTCGCCGGGCGTCATGGGCTCTCCAAGCAGGACCAGAGTCTTAAGCGATGGAACTTGGTCGGGCGTCAAAGTTCGAGCAACGGAGAGGGTGAGGCTAATCCAGTTGGCATTGAAATCCATAATGGCTTTATCGAGATTGAACCTCGTGTCTTCCCTGGATGGAATGCAAACGCAGCCTCCCACAAGCAAGGCCCAGAGATGGTCGGCGACATTCATATCAAATGCATGCGAAGCGAATTGTAATACCCTAGAGTGCTGGCCAAGACCAAACGCCAGGCCATTGGCTTGAAAATTTGTGTAAAATCATCGATGGGATAACACTGCGCCCTTTGGCTTCCCCGTGGAGCCCGAAGTGAAAACGGCATACAGAGCATTCTCTGGTGTGGGACTTGCGGTATGTGCCGTTGGACTGCCTCCAATCTGTTTCATTATCGCCAATCGCTAAAACCTTTGGTCCAAACCGACTATCCTGACACTTGGTAGCCGTTGAGGCAAGAACGATGAATGCTTGTGCATCCCGACAGATCTCTCGTAGGCGTTCAATCTGATGTGATGGATCCATCAGCAGCAAGGCACCGCCAGCTCTGAGGATACCCAGCATCACAACTGTAGTCCAATGGGTCCTCTCGAAATATACGGGAACGAAGACATCCGGGCCAACCTGGTAGCCAGCCAATTTTCTTGCAAGAACGGTAGAATAAGTATCAAGCTCGCAGTATAAGAAACTACCATCCCACGCAGAGACAGCTATGGAGTCAGGACGCGCCAAGCACTGTTCTTGGATTGCTTCGTGCACGCAGACCTCTAGAGCCTGTGGTAAACTCCCATTCCAGGTTTGTAACTGTAGCCTATCTTCCGGGCTGACCAAGTCAATGTTCTTCAAGCAATGGCTCGGATGACGCTCAACTTGTCGGAAAATGCGCCTAAGCTGGTGCAGCATTGTTTGTGCCTCAGCTTGCGGCAGAACTTTTGGATCAAAGTTCGCTTCTACTGATAATTCCCTCGATTGTAGTTGGATATCCAGGCCTAGCGCATGAGTCAAACATGTTGCATGAGTTAACACATGCCACTGTTCAAACATCTTGGTCACCTTTGTGCTCCCTTGTCGGATGCACAACATACTTTGGAACTGGCAAGCGTTCGCAGCATCTTGCCCAATGCATCCTATGTGCTGTAGACCAGCATACTCAAATGAGGCTCTTTCTCTGGCCAGACTTTGTATCTTCCCAATAGCGTCGGATACGGCGTCATCTGGACATAGCAGGAACCTTACAGGAAAGGAGGCTACCGTAGGCTCGGGTAGCTCTTCAATCCCCGGCACTGGAGTTGTCCGTCCTAACCGTGTAATGCCAAACACAACGTCCGCGTTATGGGTGTACAAGCTAAGTAGCATGGACCAGGATAATTATAATTTCGTCGAAACATCTTTTCGAGGCCCGACAAGAGTATCCAGTGGGATTGTGCATGTTATCCGAGCACACGGGTCAGGGAGGTATCCAGGAGATGGAAGTTTGGGAAATGAACCGCGTTCAGGTCTCTCAGGTTTGTTTTCCAGAAATAATCTATTTCGTCGTCGGCTTCGACACATAGTGAATGAAGTTTTTAAATGGCTGGTGAGGTAGGCGCGCTCCGCTATATGCAGCCTCCACTTGCCTCAGCAGTGGATGTAACGACCGGTCATCCATGAGGGCACGATGAACCATGATGGTGCAATGGAACCTCTCTGTGCTTAACATTGTTGGAGAACTAAGCGCTATGCGAATCAGAGGCTGTCCACCCTTCTTCCCCGAGTGCCAGTGCCTTGGGATTGGCTGTCCTGGCTCACGCAAATCCCACCGAATCCCCCCTCGAAGAACGATTTGATACATGCCTCCACTCTCCAGCTGCACGATGCGAGTTCGGAGAATGGGGTTTGCATCAACAGCTGCATTCCACGCCGCGTGGAACTTCTCCCTCTCAATGCCATGGGGTAGTACGAATTCATAGACGGATATGCAGCTTTTTATGTGCTCTGCGGACAGTGGCATGACTTCCTCCTGGTAAGGTGTGCAAAGTTAAATACCTTCTACCTGACCGGCCTCTACCTCACATTGTTGAGCTGCTTTCGAGATAAGCTCCTTTCGTTCAATTGGGGTCTCGCGTATCGCGAAAGGCTCCATCTCAACAGACAGTGGCTCGGTCTCATGCTGCATATCGGCTTCTGACGACGCTGAGCTTCCGACCTCGACTTGAATATCTCGTGATTCCATGTCGGCAGCTGTATTATTGATTTAGAATTGAATTATGCATCCCGATCTCTGGGTACGAATCCCTCTTTATTGTCCCTAATAGGATTGTGTGCGGTCGCTACATATAGGCCAAGTACAGACAATATCGCTGTGCGGATAAGGAATTTAAATTACTTGAGAGTAGATTACTTGACTACATCAGATCCGGCCTGACAAGCTAACGCACATTGATTTGTCACAACCACGGAAAAATAGCTCCATCGTTTGCAGTGAATAGCGCCTTCATCGCGTCCGTCTATACTTTTATTTTTGCCGTCGTGAAAAACCAACATACAGTTGCGCAGGATTCAGCTGTAGCTAAGGTCCGGCGGGAAGTTCGTGGAGCAGCTGAAGAAAGCGGATTCGAGCTGTCACCCTGCTTGCTCGCGGTCATCTGTACTACTGGCCCCATCAGCTTGCTGCTTGCATAAAATAGGTGTACAACACTTCTACCAAAGAACTCTAATGTATAACAAGCCCGTGTACAGCTATTTGGTCGATACAAGGCCACATGAAGAGAGTAAAAAAAGGGTTTCAGAATTGATAGTATGGCTTTGAATCAGAAAGATTGCGGATAACTCATACCTTGGTAGGAAATTCCAGTCTGACGATGGCCCAGTAGAATAGAACACAAATCCCATATCATGGGCCAAGTGCACTTGTTTCAAGTAAGCCTGCTCTATTGTACACGAAGAATAAGCTGAAAAAGGGAAGAAAGAAAAGAAGGTAATATGGTGAGAAAAAAGGGGATTCTGTTCTGAGCCTAGCAACTACGGCTCAGAATAAATGTAATACATATCTCGCCTGTACAAATAAGGTGAGGCCTCAGGGCCGAACACGGTCTAGGCCCGTCACACAATGGCTGCCGTGTATTTTTTGCATGTAAAAATACTTAAATATGTAGGAAATACAAACACCACTTGTTTCCTGAAGTATAAAGACATTGAGTTACTGCCATTAGTCGGTAATAATTACTTGTCAAACCTGCGTCTCAGCCAGTCACGAACAATGAGAAATGACCAAAAATAATGACCTAACCTAGATAAGGGAAAGCAGGTGCAAACCTACCTCTTCGAAAAATTGCGACTGAATTCTGTCCAATCGGTTTCTGATGTTCGAAGCCAAGTTGGACCGATGGCACTATTGAAATATTTGAAATACCATCTGTATGCAGGTTTGGAACATCTGTGCTGTCTAGCTCCCCACCAGTACCTACCAGTAGCGCCATACCGATGAAGCCATAGGCGACCATGTCACGACTTCTAGACGGGTTACATTCAGTGCAGGATGGAAAGAACAAGGACCATTATTGGGTGCCAATTGTCTCAGACAGTAGACCAATGACTGCCAATTTTTCCCGTCTACGTCGTGGGATAATACGTATATATATACCATATAATCCAATCCCCAGACGGCCATATTTGTACCTATCAAATATCAGGGATTCTCAGAGCATACCACGCTTGTATGAGCACCTTTTGAGTATCAAGAGGAAAAGACTTGTATCAGCATGGCTTCAAAAGCACCCTCTCCTCACACTCTCGATCCCTCTCCAGGCACTGCCCGTGTGCAGGTGAAGCAGTCTCCTCTTCTGAACCTCCAATCCAGCGCGGTGATTCACATCACGAACTCCAATGGCACAACTCGCACCCACCAGCCATCTACACTAGATTTGAAAAGCGAGATCCTTGCTGGACTAAGGTCTCCTTCTCCTTCTCTTCCGTCCCTCCTCCTCTGGGGGGACAACGGCATCCGTCACTTCAATAATCTCACTCTTCATCCAAACTATTACCCCAGTCGCACCGAACTGGCCATGATCACGCAGTATGCTGAAGCGTTCGCCTCCATGACGCCTGCTGGTGGCATTTTACTCGAATTGGGTTGCGGAAACCTCCACAAAACAAGCATTATTCTTTCAGCCTTTCACCATCTTCGCCGTCCAATTAATTACTATGCACTCGATGTCTCCGAGGCTGAACTCCACTCAAGCGTCAAGATGCTACGTCAAGATTTCGCCCACTCGCAGTTCATCTCCATCAATGGTCTGTACGGTACCTATGACGACTGCGGAGCGTGGCTGCTCTCCCTGTCAACATCTTCACCGCCTTACGGTCTTCCCAACCTAGTCGCAGGCCAGGTAATCTCCTTCCTGTGGATAGGCAACAGTATCGCCAACATGCATCCCTCGGAAGCCACAGAAATGCTTTGCAAGTTCCAGAACGCCTGTTCGGCATCTCAACTTCAATGCCAATTCCTCATTGGCAGCGACGCATGCGACGACCCCGCCGCAGTACTGAAAGCATATAACCCTAGCAACCAGGTATTCAACGATTTCATCCTTAGCGGGCTGGATTATGCGAACGACATCCTGGGAGGTAAGGTTTTCCGTAGAGAGGACTTCCAAGTCGAGAGCAAGTTCGACAGTACCAAACGTCTCTTAAGCACATACTATGTCACTAATAAGCGAGTTGAGCTTGATTGGGATAACCATGCTTGCCGCGACTCTGCCCGCCGATTTTTGGAAAAAGGAGAGAGAGTATGCATCATATTTAGCTATAAGTGGTCGGTCGAGGGCTTTTCGCGTATTTGCGAGAATGCCGGGATGCAGATCGCGCGAAGGTGGACCGACAAGACAATCGATTACAGTAATCCCTAACCTTTCGTTTTTTGGAAGAGGTTACCAGACTCATACTGACCATTGCACCCTGGGATTTAGATTTCTACGCTGTAACATCCCGGAAAAGTGTTACCGACCGGCTCAGGCATTTGTACATGCCATTCGATATCTATATTCTTGGGGGAGTGGTACTTTCCGTACTATCTATTTCTCTTATTGGAGAATTGCTGTTCCTCTAGAAGGAGATCAGTGTGTTGGTAATCAATATGTGTATGTGAATCCGATGCGTTATTGAAAATGGAGATCGCGGTCTGCCCGAAGCCATTCTACAGTGGCGTACTATCAAGTCCCAGGATTCATTCTAATCCCTATTGACAAATGTATGGGACTCTGATTATTTACATTCGGTTCATGGATAAACCAAATCGAGTTTTATTAAGAGCTAATGGGATTCATAGGGACAACCTGTCTGATTCCATTGAATTACCCCTTGTTTGTCACCGACTCGGTCAAATATAAACTCCTAATTAAAGACCAATCTAACGACAGAACGTGGCGGTTTGGCCTTAATTTACCCTTAGATGGAGCTTTATACTGAACTGTATGACGCTTGTACCTCAATATTGCATGGTGAATACAGTGGATACAACTACTAACATTACTAATCAGTAGCTAATTCACCTAGTGTGCTCTGGAAAGCTCATTGCTTCGAAGAATACTGGCAGTGTACGACCTTCTAGCTAGGCTCTTGTCATAAAATAACAAGCGATAGAACTAGAATAGCGCGAGAACCCTTGAATATGCGAATTATGGCTTATTTGTCACGCATTGGAGTGTCCGGTTCTACCTCAAAAGAACCTCGGTTCGAATGCAACCCGACATTGGTGGTACTTCATGTACCACTCGACCCGTATTAATAAATGTGGTGCGAAAGCTATTATTAGGAGACCAGCGGGGCGACATTGTGCTCCAACATTGCATATTGTGCTACTCTTTGCTTCCTTGGGTGCTATATTTAGACTATGAGATCTATTCCAATCTGGACTGATTGACCTACTAATAGGGACACTGTATCAAAATGGCAATTTTCCCTGGACGTCTGTGCGTGGAACATAGTGTCTCACTGCCGGTACCAGTCGATCAACTTGGAAAACCCGATATATAGCTCGAAAAGAGTGCAGTGGATTTCTACTCCCTTAAGAGAGTTATTTCTTATAACCTAGCCCGGGCTAGTGTATAGGTTTGAACGCAGATCATTCAGACTTTCTATCCGTCGCCCATTTCTGCAGTTCCACTCCCTTCGCATTGAGACCTTGCCAAATTGTATTGGCACTCTTACAATATCGGCCTATACCTTACTGCCACCATCAGAAACATCTCGAGGCCAGACCGTAGGCACGGAGAAATACTGCTTGCTCAGCAAGTACTTGTCTTTCCCAGATTATGACCAGCATGAGTGGTAGAACAAGTCAGGACCAATGTTGGCAGCATGCTTTCAGCGGCTGAATATGACATACACCAGCTGTATCAATACCTTTGTCTCTAAGCCCTTCACGTTATTCCGATGATGGACCCTTTCCTGTCAGGAGTCGAACTGGCCTCTACACGACTCCTTTTCCAGCACTAAGGGCTTTGGAATTCAGCACCAACTTCGTGCAGTCCAAGACGACAGCTTGGATCAATATAGAATCAATAAGCTACCGAGCCACGACAGGCCCTGACTATTTATTGCTGCCGGCTCATAATTGGCGAGATGTTAAATCGGTTAAAGCGACTGGGTATCACAATGGACTTGTCACTGTACTACCGGCTGATTGATCGTCTCGCTCTGACGGACCTGGAAAAAGAGAAACATTTGACTAGCTATAATATTGACCTCCAGCCAATTAAAACACAGATAATGGTGGGACTGGACCTAAATGGCGAGGATGTTAATGCAAAACTGTGTCTGATGCCTTTACTGAAGGCAGCGGCTACAGGAGTACCGGTTTCAAGATTGATCTTTGAGACACTCAAAGAAGTAGACTGAAGGGACATTGGAGTCTGCGTGTACTGGACGACATCGTTACGGCCATGCCACCAACTACCGTAGTTGGGTGGTCAACCATTGATCTTGTCAAACTAGCCCAAGCTCGATATAAGGTGTAGCTCTCGGATAACAAAGGCGATTTCCAACCTGCCACTGAGCTTTGGACTCTTAGCGGCAGGCTTAATGAGGGACACATGCGCCGGATGGAATTGCTCCGCGAGTTGTGGACGCACTTGAAATCCCTGAAAGAGTATGGCAGTCAACACTAGACGATATCAAACAAGGGGTTTCGTTACGTTCGTTAAACCTAGGTAAATTATGAACTCAGACCTGGTGAAGAATTTCCGAAACCAAAGATTTATATCCCTTTGGCAGGAATCAGCGAAATGGCTATTGCGAATACTGTTAGCAAGTTTATGGAGCGGCATATAAATGTCAAACAGGCAAACGCATATATTAACAACATCTCTTCCTTTTGTGTATGATTTCTCTTCATTCCCATTTACTCATGTTAGCCAAGTTACTAACTTTACTTTATAGCCCCGGATTGGATCTCCATCAAAGCAGGCTATTTCAGAACTAGTTTTCCTATTCATATAAGTTGAAGGACCTTACATGACCGTATATTATAATTGACTCCAAAAGCATGTGGGGTGTGTTTCCTTTCGAGGCCCAGTCCTTATATGTGAAGTGTCCACCGGCTTTCTAGTGGGACAGCGGCGTAAGCACTTCTGCATATAGTTCCGATGACTGTATTTGTCCATGTAGCTTGCTCACATAGCTTATTTCAATCTAACTAACTCATAAATTTAAAGTTAGTGTTCCCACCAATGGAGTATAATTACGGACAATTAAGAAAAACCATATATATACACCGATCACAGAATCGCAAATATAGTAAGAGAATCAAGTACCCCCATGGCATATATAAACATTCACTTAATCATCCCAGTCCAGAACCACCGAATCAGCCCTGGTATGTGTCTCTGGACCACGATTATTCGTCTACGAAGCTCTGGATGCACTCTCTTTGACTCTACTATTCAAATCTCAGTTTATAGGCTCTCCCTGCTCTGGTAGGAATACACGAAGCCACTGCATAGATCCTTGAACGGTACCTCTCCCTTCCCCCGCGAATGCAGCCGCAATGGCGTAGTTGAGTGCCGCACACGTTTTGATGCACTCCTGCGGAAACTGTCCAAGTTTGATAATCTGCGGATTATTGAATGACATACTATCCGAGATATTCTGGTAGCAGCGGATTTTGTAATTCAGGGTGCGATTATTGATGATGAACAGACTGGAATTGTCCGTGGGGTTATTAGGAGTGAAGTACTAATTATTCTTACCATTAAGAAGTTTAGAAAACCGTAGGGCTTCGTGCAGGTAGGATTTACGCTGGTGCTGGTGGCCGTGCCAGTTGACGAGGTGGAGATCTCAAACGGTGTTGGTAGGACTTGTGGTCTCAACGGGGATCGAAGACGGAGCAGAGCGGCTGGCTACACAAGCATCGCACGGAGACTTATTAGCAATCAAGAAAGCAATCATCTCTGGAAAGAAAAGATCGAGAAATAAATACTCCGCATATCGGTGTATATTTTCTAGCTCGCTAAACCACCAACACATCCCCCGATTCCCGCCGCAATAAGCAACGCCATGATCAACAGGAGAATCCAAAATATCTTTGGCGTTAGTCCACAGATCCTTTGTTTGCCTTCTTCCACGGCTCTATCCGCAGCTATCGCGTTGTGTGGCCAGCTGTCAGGCCGGTACACGATCTTCTGAGTGTTCCCCTTATTAGCAGCTTTAATGCCTCGCTAGGGAACTACCTCTGGAGCCGAGCTAGAGATGTCGACTTAATGCTCTATTAGAAGTCAAATCAGATTTTATTTGGCCGCCGGTGAAGCTTAGTATTACACACTCGTCCAACGTGAAAGTCAAAGGGGTAATTTTTCTTTAAACAGGCAAAAAAGAAAGGAAAAAAAAAAAAAGGAAAAAAAGACGTGAACCGGTTAGTTTACTGCTAACTAAGGATCTCCATAACTAAACAGGCTGAATCGGAGAATGGTGCAGAATGGAGGGAGTGGATTATTTAAACCCTTCGAGAGAGCAGCTATAACTTTCATTGATGCATTCCGAGGCAGACTGGGGAAGATCAGCCCCTGATTTTTTTGATGGAGACATAAAATTATCTAACACGAATAGGTGAGTTCCTATTAAAACTTATTCTTAAAGTGTTCCGCCGGTTCACGACCTTATGCAGGCTAATTATTAGAGGGCTAATCTCAACTCAAGTCGACTGTGATACCCAGTGCTGGTCATGTTGGCTTTGGTTGGCTTTCTAATGTATTAATCTCTACTTGGTTTAAGTGTTAATAAGACAGAGCCTGTCTTGATAAGCATCAGTAAGCGCCAGGGCTGTGATAGGGTTTAATAAGATGAAATCAATTATTTTCTGTTTAGCCCGGGATGTTAAAGCCAGTAAGCAAGTGTATTGTACCGGATATTCTGTATGCAGGGGGCTGTAGTTAGTGTGTACACTAGACCACCATAATTGTACCTATAATTTTATTCGATCATTCCTTATCCCATTGCTAGGATGACAAGGGTTGCTCTCGTTTCTGTCACTCTAGTGAGGGTAATGCGAAGATTTTGATTGTTAACTCCGCTACTAACTTGATGTATTGATTGATAATACAGGGTATTATTGTAAGATTTCCAGCCTGTGTCCGATATTATTCAGCGTCAGGACAATTAATGTGAAGTCTTGTTTACAGAATATAACTGTACTCTAACTGATTAGTTACCAACATTAGAATAGTGAGCTGCTGAGAATCAATATTCCCAGAGGCAAAGAAGAAAGGAGTCCGAATTAGCCTCAAACCCCAGTCCACCGAAGCCATACCAAAGGCGTTGATGGACCTCTATTAAGTATTAATAATATCTTCGTTCCCGATGCACATATAGTCTACCTTCTGGCCTCAGGAACTGGGTACTCGACTAGTTCCAGGATTACCCATTTCCGCGAGCAAAGTTCTAAATAAATAACGAGAATAGCTTTGCATTGTTAAGTGGTTCTTTTATCCTTTCTTTTCGAACTCTTTATTTATGAACATATGACAGAGGTGATGTACCTTAGATTAATTAACAAGATCGTTTATATTATTCCACCAGACAATACCTTAAGGAAAGTCGATTATGGGACAACTCCTGTCAGCTCAGCTATTATTTTCTGCATCCTTGGGCCGAAAATATTCTAAAGATGGTGCCTGCTTGGTTGAAATCGTTTCCTCTGGCATTTTAGGTTCACTACATACCTTTTAGCACAGCCAACGTCGAGTGAACGCAAAAGATCCATACGGGTGGGTAATGATTCTGAGGTCAAAAGTCGGCGCTTTGCGTGCTCATACATGTAGGTATTGCGGGTTTCATTGTTTAATAATATCAAAACAGTTGTTCCGTGGAGAGGCACGTAGAACAAAAAAGTCCACAACCTGCTCGACTCTAGCTAAATATCACGAAATGCCACCTCCATTTTAGCCACACGTATCCCGAAAGGCTTGCATTGTCGTGGACCTTAAGCTACTCCCAAATTTTGGCCCAAAGAAATATCTAGAACTTATAACATTCATTGAGGAAATACAGGCACGAGTTTCGTCAAATCATCTTTACAGCCTCTGATGCTTTCCACCACAGACATTGAACAATAACTCCATCTGGTCGTCACGTGCTTCCACTTGTTCTGAACCTTCTGGACGTCCATCATCGATATCCCCATACTTAAAAGCTGGAAAGACTTCGCTGCCTCATGAAAAGCCGGGTATGATTCACCAGACATCAGCAAGAATGGATGCTAGTGATCCTCAGGCAATTTGTTCTTAAACTGCTCCTCAAATATTCCATTTCAGAGTGAAGATTATGGACCATGCCTTGTGCAACGTATGCAAGTCCTGCATCTTTGAATTTCGGTGCCTAGAACATGAAGGTCAGTTCCCACTCACATTAAAATACATGGGCACTTGCACAACCAGAGTAGATCTAGTAGTGGTTATTTCCGACGGTCATGCTCGTGCTCTATCACATCAAATGTGGACAGGGGCAAACCGAAGCGATATTGCCAGGACTTGGGTTTGCGGTATCGGAACTTGGCCGAGTAGAGGACCTGGTAGAAGTCAGCACCGGCGATATATACTTCCCATGGATTGATGTGAATGATGGGCCCGTATGTTTGATGCCACTTTTTTATCTGGAAGACGAAATGCCCACCTCAGAAGACATCTAGATAGGTCTCGTACCACCCCGTTGCTGCGGCCAAATTGGATCCTGGAAATCGTGCGATGGGACTGAGAAACAGTCGGCACACTACCAGGATCGTCGAGTAATAGATCAGAGCCAGAACCGTTCCGGCTGGGGTTAACGCATCAATGGCTTTATTTATTGGCGTTGGTCCTTTTCCAATTGCGTCTGGCAAAACCGTCTCAGCAGTCATGGAATGAATGCACTCTCGTTTCTCTCCTTCTTTTCTACATTCTAGCGGTATCAATTCGTTTCGGCCTCGGAGACTAGCGTCGCCACCTTATTCTTTTAGTCGCGCCATGAACAGAGACTTTACAACATCCACCTCTGAACCAAACCAGGGTCATCATGGTCATGCGCGTTCTCCACGGCATGGGAGTCAAAGTGGACATATTCGCATACCAGACAAGTTTTCTATTCACCTTCCATTTTTCAGAAAAACGAGCATGAGCCGAACCTTACAAACTGCCATTTCTCAGCTGCCCTACTCCGTCTCTCTAGGTGCACTGTACTCAGAGCAAGCCGATTTCCCAAAGAGGGCGGCAGCAACCAATTTCCGCATATTCTAGAGAGATCTGCCATTGAATCTATTTCCTCTATAGAGACCATCAGGTCGTGTTCCCGGGCCCCTTTCTCCCCATCGTCACCGGACCTTGACGGACGTCAGGTGAATGCAAAACCTCCATATCCATTCTCTTGATATAAGACTCTTGGCTCTTAACCAGTGAAGTCCGCAACATAGTCCACCTCAAATACGGCAAGGCGCGCAGGACTTCATCCACGCAGTCAATCAGCCACCCCCCTAGTCCCTGCCCTTGATATTCAGGCAAAATATACAGATCGGTTAGGTATGCAAACGTGATGAAATCCGTCGCTAGACGAGCAAATCCAATTTGCTCGTACTTCTTTGGGGACGCATTGCTGTCATTGGGATTGATTTTCTTGGCTTGTTCGTCGTCGTTTGTTACTTTGTATAGTCCGAAGCAGAACGAGTTGTTGATGAGTTCTTGTAAGATGCTTTCGGGGAATGGCTGGGCCCAGTATACCATTTCCAGATCAAACGCGGAATTAATAGCCAATAATGAAAGAAGATTCTTGTCGGTAGATATTAAGAAGTCGTTCTTCGTCCATGTCTTTGGTTCCGTGGGGAGTGACATGATGGGGTTGAAAAGAGTGGATAGTGGGAGGTGAATTGTAGATTGGTATTCAATTCCCGCGGAAGAAATTATAGAGACCCTATTTATTGCTTCTGATTCATAAGTGAAAAAGTATTGTTTCTCAGCGGGAGATCCATTCGCGGGTTTCTGGACTATCTCGTATTTATAGGGATCTAAATTATATGAATGGAGTGAGTCATAAGTTAAGTTCTTGGCGCCTGCTGGCATTTCAGTTAGTATTATCGGGTACACTACAAGTTTATCCGACAGATTTGCTCCATACTCGACAAATAAATCGTCCATGTGTTTGTGTGCTGAGATAATATTTAATATACGAAAACACTACGAAAACGGGGTGTTAAGCCGAACTGATGACTCAATTTATTTGATTCCGTTATAAAAACACTGGTCTGCGCCCAAGAAATCGCATTTATATGATTGAATATGAGAGTACATTATAGGGAGCTGAATGTGACAGTATAATTCCCGGAGAGAAGGCTGGCATAGAAAATATACGTGCTGGGATATGAAACATATAAATGCACTTGAGGATTAAAGCCACCACAAAGAATGAGTCGCTACGGTAGGATTCGCTGTTCAAAATGTATGCCAGCAAATAGATTGTGCTAGGACTCAGACTTTGTCTAAAAGCTTGCAATTCTGTCGAAGACGAGCATACAAACTATCGCTGATTCGGCAAGTAGGGTAATGCAGAAAACATTAACAGTGAAAAGTAGCCTCACTTAACAAAATCGTTACTGATTGGAGCGCCGTCCAATCCACTAGTACAATATCTTTATCGCTCATTCTGGTGGAGATGAAAAATAGGATAGTAACCTACGGGATGGAGCAAGCCATGAGAAGTATACCAATTGCAGTACCTCATGTTTCGGAGTCGCAAGTTGAACGGTACATGGTGTCTGGAAGCTGAACATTGCCTGCGAGAAACCAGCTGTATCGTCTGCTGATAGGTTAGCGAAACGCTATTTACACCAGAAGTGAATCCATATGCTATGGAAAAAAATAATGATCCCCGTGGCACTGGTTCCCTTTGTCTAGTACATGGCTATGGGCAGACAAGCCTTCGCCCTGCTGTGACAGTGTGCAATTAACAGAGGTTCGTTCCAGTTGAATGGCCCCCGTTTTGAAGTACAGGCTTCAAAAGATGCGTCAGACTCGTCGTCTCGCTAAGTACCGTGAAGTACGACCTTTTTTGGCCGGCAAAGGTTGAATTGGGATTCAGCTAAAATCTACCATGCATAAGATCCCAGTAACGATACAAGGACCGCTACTTGCTTGGTTGAGCCTCAGGTCACATGCTAATCTTCCATATCTGTGATGGGTGAGACAAAAACATCAAAAGGGGAATAAGGTGCTGCAGCCTATTGTTGTCCGATAGATACCCAATAGGCAAGGTAACTGACAAAATGTGGCATGGGCGGCTCCGTGCCGATGTTACAACAGCTTCTCTAGTCGTTCTCGGAAGAGGTCTAATGATTTCTGTTGTTCCGGCAGGACGCAGAACAGTTTCTTTCATCGTGCCCAGACTCCTGACTTCAACTCCCTCGAGACCAATCAGGTAAACAGAGACAGCGAAAACCCCAGTTAGTCACACTTCATTCGCTCCGGTTCAATCGCTCAACAGAGCTCAATGGCTGCACCACAGCGTTGCAAGCTTGGCTCCCATGGTACGGTTCCTTTTAGTATATCCCATCAGCGCGTCGGTCCCTCAAGGTTATTTTACGTCATACCTTTCTTACCGTCCTCTTAATTAATTGTTTGCAGGCCCTGCGAGTCATAAGTGAGCCCGCCTGGATTAACTATCTTTAAACCACAGATCGCTGAGCAACTCGAGCGTATTTTTCCGATACTCTGGCTTGACCAGTATGGAGTGGCAAAGTAGCCTAGCTAATAGCAAAACATTATAACCGAGTTAACCGTGTGTAAGAATATCCAAGTATACTACAAACTTAGATATTGCAGCCTCTTAGTCAAGTGCAGGTTTAACAATATCTTTTATTATTTACCGGTGCTCCTCGTCGATTTGCTTAGTCGATAGTCCGAATGGTTTTAAGCAGAAAAGTGGTTCCCTACAGATAAGCTTAAATATCTAAACAAGGTTAGCATGTTGCTAAGTTTTGGATAATATAAATAAACACCTACTGTCAAGGGCTGAACCCGTAGAACCTACAGATAGGTTATGTACAAGAAGGAATCGTTGAAGGAGGGAAGAAAGGAAGAGGAAAATGAGCGGTAAACAAATGTCAGATATACGGCTAATCCCGAAGAGGAAATAGAGTACGATTGGTGAAAAGGTCTTATTTGAATGAATTGAGCTGGTTGGGCTCTTCTTGATTATTCTTCTTGGTTATTCTTGATTGATTATTTTGTTGTGTGCTCCACGGGGGTTTTACCCCGATCCAGTCACATGATTCTGGTCCACCAACGGCCATATTATTTGACAACAAACAAGATGGGGAGTCACGTGACAGGGATCGAGGGCCAATGGCCCAAAGGGCCAACAGGGCCAAAAGGGACAGCAGGGACAAAAGGGACAGTAGGGACAATAGGGACAGTAGGGACAGTAGGGACAGTAGGGACAGTAGGGACAATAGGGACAATAGGGACAATAGGGACAATAGGGACAACGGGGACAGTAGGGACAATAGGGACAACGGGGACAGTAGGGACATTGGCCCGAGAGGTCAAACGGGCTCTAGCCCTTTACACCTACTAGACAAGCCAGATTCCAAATTTCTGTTCTAACACCTAAAATATTAAATCTCCCAGAGATAAGTTCCGGAGCACGCAGTGCTTGAGGGACCCTAGGAAGTAGTAAAGATGCCTTGTCACGCTATACAGTATTTAGTTATAATCAGCTAGTTTTTTATACTATAATATCTGGGGCTCCATGCACCTTCAAGGTTAGTAATTGCTACCATAACTTTATGTCCGGGTTAACTATTAATTAATAAACAATTAATTATTAGCAAGGAAATATAAAAATATCTTAGGGTACACTAGTCGTGCTTAACTCTATTTTTTTAATTCACATTGTAAATAATAGTGGCAGGCTGGCTTAATACATTATTAATATTGGCAGCTGACACTGCAAAAACAATGTTTCCTAGTTAGAGATATAAACTAGTTAAAAAAAGGGATTTTCTAAAGGTATACTTACTATAGTGCTAATCTAGCACTTACTACTATAAAAAATACTGCAGCCATGGAGAAACTGTAGACCTTAAATAACTTATTTTAATAGAGCTTTAGACACGGGTAATAGGTAACACCTTTCTAAAAAAAGCTGTGCATGGGCTTGTGTATTACCTCCTATAACTAGAAATACAAGGCAAAGGTAAGTCCTATTTGGTCCTTTGTAATAAAATAAGTCAAGGATTTGCACGATATATTAGGCACCTGGATAACAAAGGGTATTTACTCGGATAGCCTCTAAAATACTTAGCTATTTGGGCCCTTCCAGGATGGAAGCTTCGGCCTTCAGGATCTTTACAGCGACATAAATAGAATTTCTAGGAATAATATTAATTTGTGGGTTCCTTAGGACATCTCCTAGGGTTCTTTCTTAAGATCCCTTGCAAGCTAAACAGTAGAAAATTAACTATAAGCAAGCTTCCGGATAACTTTATACTGGCTAAAAAAAAATATCTCTTAAAACAACTGGATAGTAACCTTTAGGTTAGTATTCCTTAACTGGTTTTACATTATTATAGATGCACTCGAATCGTCGTTAACAGGCCATAGTAAAAAAACAGATTCTCAGGATAGAAAGCATTGGACGTGAAGTTCTAAGTGGAAAATTTGTAATTAGTGCTGTTTCCAAAAGATCTTTACTTGCCAAGAAAAGCATGGTGGAGGCTACTCAGCTAATAAGTATTTATATTAACCCTCCCTGCCACATTCCAACCGACCTTGCCAGCTTGTACCTTCCACTCTTCTCGTCACACATATTCTGGCTGAAGACCAGCGACACAGTAACCCCCATATGTTTTAAATCGCTTTCTTCACTCTTGCTCCGTTACCTTACTAATTATTCCGCATCATAATGACCAAACTATCTCTTCTACAGCTGGAGCAGGTATAGCTAGTCGAGGGTTCGTCTACTCTAGTAAAACCTTTTTGCTGGGGCTTCACAATCCCTACCGGCAATCAGACGAGAGAGTGAAGAAGAGACAGCGAATAAGAGAAGGACTGAAGAGAAGGTAGCGAATGAAGAAGCAGAATTTGGCTAACAGTAACATCAAAGATAAGGTTTTTTATAAACAAGGGTAGACCTTGCGCGCGAAGGTAAACCCTTCCTCTTACTGCGTTCGTTTCAGGGCACGGATGAACCGAGTTCTCGCGTTGACGGGACCTGGGCGCGAGGGCCTAGATCCGGAGACGCTCGGATCAGTACGGCAGTATCTCGGCACTCCTTTGGCGTCCATATATCCCGGGCACAGGTTTACGCTGTATAGCTGGCTGATGCCCAGGGCCACCTTTCACATCTCAAGCATATGATTAGGCCCGCATATTGTAGGAAGTAATGGTGAAGTTCCTAAGCGCTTCTATTTGACCGCGTTGAGGATCCGCAAATCGTCCCTGAGGCAGCAGGGGACTTGAGTTTCCGATATGTAATAAACTGACTGTAGTCCAATAAGTTACTATATCCACCACTACACAATAAGCATACAATCTCCGAACATATCAAACTCATAACCTCCCTTCTCAGAAATTTCATCATAGCTCCTCATAACAAAATCCGTTCCCGCAAACGCAGCAGTAAGCACAATATGACTAGACCGCGGCCGATGCAAATTTGTCAGCAACACATCGACAGCGTTAAACTTGAACCCTGGATAGATATAGAGATCAGTCCATCCATACTGGGGCTTGATGATAGTTTGGCGTCCCATCTCACGTGTAATCGTCTCAAGGGTACGCATAACAGTCGTCCCAACGGCAACGACACGGCGGCCCTCGGCTCGCGCCTTATTCAGCTGCCCAGCGGTCCTCTGACTAACCTCATAGTACTCAGATCGCACCTTATGTTTTTCAATCTCCTCTTCGCTAATATGCCGAACGGCGAAGATCTCAGTTGCGCCAACGTGCAAAGTGATGTAGGCAATCTCAACACCCATGGCAGAGATCTGAGCCAGGAGTTCATGCGAGAAATGGAGTCCAGCGGAAGGGATCTCCAAAGATCCAGGCTTTTTAGCGTACAATGAGCGGTACGCCTCGGGGGTACTTTTCCAGTGTACGGGGTTGAGGTGGATTGTTTCATCCAGACGCGCTCCGTACTGGTCTAGAGTTGGAAGAAGTAGCTCGGAGGGATTAAACTGTGCCTTCCAGAGCTTGTCTGGCTGGTGTTCGAGGAGAGTGCAGGTAATTCTGGCATCGTCCAACGAGGTCAGAACTTGACCTGCCTCGCACTGATCTTCGGAAAGCTTGAGCTCCACGATGGTTGTGCCGTCGGGCTCGTGGCCGTAAACGGTTATCTGCAATGATTCACCGCCGTGCTGGAACCACAGCGTGTTTGAGAGCATATAGCTATCATTTAGCACAAGGAGATCCCCTGGGCGGAAGTAGTCGGCGATGCTAGAGAAGACTGCGTGTTCGATGTTTGAGGTGGAGCGGTTGAGGACGATCATCCTTCCGCTGTCCCGGGCTTTGCCGCGGAGCTCAATGGGGTCATGTGGCATGACCTTAGAGCTAAGATCGAATTCGAATTCGGCTGTTCTCATAGTGTACCTGCTTAGGCCCTTCTTGCTGAGCTATAGTTGTGGCTGGGAATACCTGGAATACTTGAAGATATGGACTGAGGATATCTGTTTGGCAAGATGGGTGATATGGGTATGGGAATGATTGTAGACTGAGGTTGTATATACTCAATCCTTGTGAGATAAACATGCAATAATGGGAGGAGAGTGGATCTGAGACGCCTTTTATATCTCGTCTCGGGCCATATATTAGATAGGCCTAGTGACCCCGAGAATGCAACATTACTCGCACATTCAATCCAAAGATTTTATGAACCGAAATGTAACTTTAGATTGTTTCTACCCAGCTAGTAGTAAATGTCATTGAACCTTGCAGCCCATGCTATTCAGTCTATTACGCCACATTCATATGCAACAGTCCTTTCTCATAGACTGGCCTCCGTCGGGGTCTGTATGGCTCCAGGCTTGCCATAGTGCGTGTCATAGATGTTCAATATTTGTTGTCTCTTGTCCCACATCAGAAGAGGGTGATACTGCTGTTGCTTCCCCTGCTTGCGCTCTTCTGGAAGTATAACGAAGATACCATCTCTATATGCATGTCCATGAATGTGGCTCCATATTTTGAGGTTATTATGCATCCCGAAGGTGGACTATATTTATCACCCACTAATTGCGTCTAGTAAGGGATTGGGCTTTATAGGATTGCAGAGATGTATTAACAGTGTCGCTACAAATCAGTACAGCTCTGTGACGATAAAGATTACAGCACCTTATCAGGATGCCGACTGAAAACAGCATAGGGATGAAATAAAGTCAGCTGCTCAATTTGTTCCATTCTTGAAGGAGTGTGCTTGTAGACATGTCTGTGTAACTTGACCCTACCTAGTACAGTGTGTCGTTGACGCGACCTATCATAGAGCAATTGGCCACGCCCTTTATCTCATGGCTCATTTATGGGCCCTGCCTCGTAGTGATTCAATTTAAGTATATACCCTTTAAGTTGTTCTAGATCTCTAGAGCTCATGTGACGTGGATAAACTTTGGACGTCAATAATGTAAAGGGTTGTGGGACCCGCACATCATCCGTAACCACCACCCATCATCGCTTCTGCTGTATCCGACACATACCCAGTTCAGGCGAGAATAGGCAGAGAGTCCTTATATGAATATAGTCTTTATCCCGCCTGATACGCGAGTGTGAATGGCAGCTAGAGTCTGCGAACTGTGCTGTCGCAAAACCACCATGAATAGTAACAGCGAATCTTTTATGCATGCAACCTTGAACAGGGTAAAACTTGTCCTCCCTTGACCTCTGAACGTCCGATCGACCAACCTCAGCCACTTAAGCTCATCTACGTTGGAGCCGGTATTTCAGGAATTATTGCTGCCATTCAGTTCCGAAAGGCTGTACCTCACCTGGAACTCGTTATATATGAGAAGAATCCGGAGCTTGGAGGGACATGGTATGAGAACAATTACCCAGGCTGCGCGTGTGGTGAGGCTGGCGCTTCCCTATTTCATCGAAATGGCAAAACCCTGCGTCACCGGTTTACGAACCGGCCAGAGACATACCTAGGGTTTTGCACGGACGGATTTCCAAACTTCTTTCGGTCATTAGGACCGAATTCTTTTCAAGGTGCGGGTAACCTACTAATCACGATTGAGCAGATACACAAGTACGTTGCGCAGGTATGATCTCGGATGGCCTATGGTAATACCGGGCTTGTAGAGCGGAGGCTGAGCCAGGTTTTGAACTTTACCAACTATGCAGCGAAGTATTTCGAGCGAACAGTATACAGTTCCGACTGCAACAGTTGGTATAACTCGCTCCACGTGGTGCAACACTGCAGCAGCGTAAGAGGGGTCCAATTACCGCTCTTTGGCCAGGGAGTAGCATCCACGCAATCAAGGCACTCGGTTATGTCCGGTGGGAGGGTTTTGAAATCACGCCATATGACGGCAATGAGTTTGGGTGGTTTGAAAACGGGTGGGCGGCCGCTGAGAATACACCAGATATCAATCCAGAGGCAATCCCCTGGTACCTGGATCGGACATCGTTTCTTGATATTGCGCAGTTGCAGGGCAAGGAATAATAACTTACCGCAAGATGTACAGTAGGATAAAACAGCAAAATGCATTATGCAGCAATTGAGCATAATAATTTCCAGCTAGATGGTGATATTCAAAAACACCACTAAAGGGGAAACCTCTTAGAGACTACAGATTAGTAGTAGTATGGCATTGAATAGATCTTGTATGATGAATTGTTAGTAGTTGGTGGGACCTTTCAGTACAGCCATTATGCGTGCATTTTCATGGCTATCCTTGTATGTAAGACTTTGAGTACTTGGAGAACCCATTAGCACTTGAAAAATTCAAGCAGCAGGTTTTAAAGTTCATAAATAATGAAGCACTTGAAAACCACTCGACAAGGACTTGGTGGACTCCTCCTTGAAGACGTCGTTCGCTAACAGCCGAACACATCAAGAAAAAGATATTGAAACAGAGCACCGTAGGTTTCAGTTCCTATGCCTCGAGGATATTAAGCATTTCGTCAACTCCATTCCCGGTCTCTAACCATAAATGAGGTTCGATGGCCTCGATCTCCATTAGAACAAACGGACGATCGTTTGTGATAAGCCCATCGATTCGCACATATCCCACACGCCCTTCACCAAATCGGCGTTGCAGGCTCATGAAAATTTCCTGTACCACCTGTAGGGTGTCTGCATTAATAGAGCGGATATCCAATAGCTTATTAAACCCTCCGTAAATGTCCTGCACACGATAATCCCCTTCTTTGGGTCTTTTCAACATGACATGGGTCAGGCTAGTGCACACAAAGATGAAGGAGTACTCCCCCGCTGATATGTTTGGTTCAAAAGCCTGGATAACTAAGAAACCATGTAGTTTACCTTGCGTGCAGAGCTTGAGGAAAGTTAGGTCATCTAGGGACATTGTTGATGTGTCGGTGACGCGATGTGTCATGATGGCTGAACCTGATATTGATGGTTTGAGAACAACGGAGCCTGACGGGAAGAAGTCTTGAACAAGCGCATGCAAGCCCGACACAGTGTACTTTTCAGGTTGAACTAGTCGAGTCTCCGGAATTGCAAACCCCTCTTGTTCCATCTCCAGGAGATACCTCTTGTTTGTATTCCACTGGATCAAGTTTATGTCGTTGATCATCTTAGGGGCGCATGAACTACTATAAGCTGTCTTCTGCAGTTCATCTAAAAAATTGAAGAACGCGTCTGAGTGTTTATAGTAGTCTTTACACCAGAGGAATGTCACTGTATCGAATTGGCTGATCGTAGTGAGGATGCCCTCTTCTCTCCAGGACTTTAGCGTGACTAAGGCCCCCCGTGCCTTCAAAATGTCTGGTAAATTGTAGTTTTGATAATGCGGCCACTCTGTCTTGATTGCATTGGGAGGTTCGGTTGTGAGCAGCAAGACTTTCCGTCTATTACCACTGCTACCGCGCATTTGGACGAATTCAGAATTCTGGAGAATGAGCATAATATTTGAATTTCCAAATTTGAATAGGACTCTTAAGATTAATGTTTCTCGAAGAACACTCCGCAATAATTCATTTTCGCTACCAAGTCATACAAGGGAAAACGGGGATCTAGATTTATAGCTGTGGTGGACCAGTGACCTGTGATAAATGGAGCAAGCAACACATTTACCCATGCTGTTTTCGGCTCGGACCTCCTACACTACTACGTAACATACTGATTTGTCCGCTTTCAGAGGCACATAGGTCACTCCATGCCCCGTACGCAAATCCGAAGTGCAGGCCACCAATTTTTAGTAATTTCCGTGGCAATCTGGCCCAGAAAGTCACTTATACATTTCATATCCAATTAATATCAATTCTTGACTGTATTGAGTTCAGTAATGCTGTAATGCACTTTGCTCGAAGTCGCAGTGCCATTTAAGCATGCTCAGCGAGCATTGATACTTGGCATCGGTCCTTGGCAATTCCTATTCCGCAATATCGGATGAGAATGTGTCCCTTGTGTCGAAATGATGCGTGCTATCAGAGATTGTTACACAAGATTACGTCAACGTGATAAGCACTATTAGAATGTTATTACACGACATTACCTACTCCGGCTATATTCAAGATATAGTAGCCTATTACATCATGCAAAATTTAGTTACAGTAGGAAGATAAGGATTTGGGGTCTTTACAATAGTATGTTTCAAAAAGTTCTTGAGATGAGGAGGCCACTAACCAATTTACTGTTTGGCGGTCGCGGAAACTATTTCGAAAGTAATGTCGCCCTTGTGGGCACTGGATGTACAGATTTGACTTATTTAAAGTATATATCCGAAGTACGCAGGATGGTACCTTGGAGGTGTTTGTGCGTAGATGGCACGCCCAGTTGTTAGTCGTGGTCTGACTTTCTCCCTTCCGACACGTCCAGGGTCATGGTCGGTGACAACATTCCTAAACTTGCGGTTCTTATTGACGCGGAAAATGCGCGGTCCTCCGTCGTCAGTCAGTTACTTTCCGAAATCGCGAAATATGGCACAGCTCACGCGAAGCGGGCATAGGGGGACTGGACTAAGCCTCATCTACAGGACTGGAAGGGCGAGCTCCTTGAGAGATCGATCCAACCAATCCAGCAGTTCGCGTATACGCACGGCAAGAATGCGACCGACTCAGCTATGATTATAGACGCGATGGATCTCCTGTACTCTGGGTTCACTGACGTACAGTGCGAGGTACGTCGTTTAACAATAGATACTGTTAGAATGGCGAAGGAAGGTATACAACCATTGAGGATAAAGAAGCCTGGAGAGGAAATAGGAGGAAGTTTGTAATTTCTCTGCATGGCTGCTGATAGTTCTAAATATCGCCTAAAAAGGTAAGCCGCACTTTTCCACGGAAACTTATCGATAAGATCTAACTGGAGCTAACCGCTTCTAGAAGACCTCTGCCTCAAAGCGGCTTAGCGCGGCCTTGTCATATCCAACTCTTCATCTCAGCTCATCCTTCTTTGTTGTCCACTCCTCTTGAATCTCACTACCTTCCTATAAATGAATTTTCTTTCGATTTTAGTCATAGCTGTCAGGGATATCCCGTGGCATATAACCGAAACATATCCCGATAACATTCATTCACCACTCTTCAACCTTCTCTACGAATGACGATGCAAAGACGGCGACAAAGGCAGTTCCCTGTTTCCTGCCAGCTTTGTCGTTCTATGAAGCTCAAGTGTAGCAGAGAACAGCCTTGTTCAAATTGTGTGACGCATGGTGTTGCATGTGAAAGAGCATATCGTGGACCCCTTACCGCGCCATCACCAACCCAGCCACAGCCGCCGCCATCCTCGGGTCCCGACAATAATGATATCTTAGCACGGATTCAGAGATTGGAAGACCTCATTCTTCGATCGCATGGCGTGGTAGATCGCTCACCAGTTGAGCCGACCTCGCAGTCTTCCGCCGCACCATCGTATATGCCTGAGGGCGAAGGAGACTCAAAGTTCCTGGAAGAGGTTTGCTCTCGTGAGCCATCAGTGGTGCGTAGATATCAGCCTGTCTCACCGGACATTCCGACTTTGAGTAGTTTTATTTCAGTCATTGCTAACATGCATCAAGATATCGGATCTCTCCAACGGTGTCTCATTCCACATCCTCTCCATCCAACAAGCACTGTACGGTGACCCTAATTCGGGAGAGTCACCGGGTAATAATTCGCGAGTTATAAAAGCATGGCTGCCGCCAAAGAGCGAAGCGTCGTGAATTCTAGACCAGTACGCAAAGCATGTGGCATCCGTACATCACGTTGTCCATATGCCCTCTGTGAGGGTGCTTATGGATGATTTGTACAAGCAGCTCTGCCTGGGATTTGCCCTCGAACCTAGCCACGTCGCACTAATGCTAAGCATATTTGCTAGTACCGCTTTTTTTTGGAACCTGCAGAAGGGATCGGAGTCAATCTTTAGGAATGAACAAAATGCGGTTCGATGCTCCTTTTTGTGGAGCAAGGCGGCGCTCGATATTCTTGATCAATCCAGTCGAAGTACTCAAGGGTCTATCAAGGATATACAGGCTACCATCATCCTTTCATTTGTTGTATTTAATTTTGAGGGTTTTACTGTGCGATTTCGCACTTTGAGCAGTAGTGCACTGACCATTGCGCGAGACATGTGCCTGCACCGCATCGATGGAACATCCCTAAGGCCTGGCCTGCAAAAGGATAACCCAATGCAAACTGAAATTAAAAGACGTGTTTGGTGGCACTTGGTATCTACGGACTGGTATGTAGCTGCGCACCCAGTGGACTGTCTATTTTGTACTTGCCACTAACCATCCCAGGCTGCTTGCTTTGTCAGGAGGTCCGCAAGAAGGAACCTACCTGGTTCATCCGAATCATATGAGTGTCAATTACCCCGAAATATTGACGATGTGGACCTCGGAGGCAAGGATTCAAGCTATTCCGTACCATTCCTCCAACCCACCGCAATGTCATACTCGCTGCTACGAATCCAGCTCGCAGAGATCTGTCGGAGCGTGGTTGATGCTTTACCGCCTGCATGCCCCAATTCAACTACGAAACTATTATGTCATTAGACCAGCGATTTGAAAAATTCCTGCGACATCTGCCGGTGTTTTCCCAGCTCGATGAAGCAAGTCGACAGCAAAGTCAGGATATCGTTCGCCAGTATCCTCAAATTGCCTTCCAGCGCTGTATCATATGTACCACGGTACACTCCCGGCGATTCAAGTTGAATCAACCGTTTCTTATCCGAACGTCCTATGACCGACGATACGAATATTCCCGGGAGGTCTGTTTAAAATCTGCTCGAACTGTTATTGCAGTGAAGCAGCTATTGGACAATGATAATTATTGTTTTTTTTTCTGGACACACCCGCCTCGCCACCTTCCTCCATACGTTCTTTTTGGCCACGGCTGTTCCAGTCATGGACCTTTGCATAAATAAGGAACATAATACCGATGACCAACGACGACAGGAGGTAGTGGCAGCCTACTGCGTATTGCAGGAGGCCGCAGAAACCTCACTGCTGGCTAGTCGTTTTCTCAAATCGCTCACAGCTATCCTTCAGAAGTATCAGGTTCAGCTCTCGCTTGCTAAGGTTTCGCAGGTACCGTCGAGCTCCGGATCTCCAAGTTTTTCTGAAAATCTGAAATCGAACTCCGCGGAGGATCCCCAGCCACTCCCAATCGGCTGCGAGTCCCAAGAACCGACTGACATTGATGGCTTGTGGCAAAAATTTATTAATCAAGATCAAGTACATAGTGTGGCCAGCTGGGACACTCTATTTTCCGCGCTGGATGCTACGGTGACTTGAGGAACGGCAGAGGGTGGACAAAATCTGGATAATAACGGCTCTTTTTCTCTCTTTAAACCAAGCTATAGTTCTGTTCCTGGGATAAACACCAACTCGTGAGATACATATAGTTAATTCTATATATAAAGTTGTCTACAGTTTACTCGGTCAAATTTGACTTGCAAGAAAACAAGCAAGTCGAGACCAGAGGGGTGTGAAAGAAGAGTTGGATTTTCAAATTTTAAGAACTATCCAACAACAAGCATATAACCTTTTCTACCGTACGTGCTCATTCTTGGCTAAGGAAACCTATCGGAAGTATGTCTTGATTTACAAATAATTGGCTAACAGCCTTAGATAATGTATTTCACGAAGTTGTATTGGCAAAGATCGGGTTCGCATCTGGCTGGTCTTTGCGGGAGTTGGACATCCTGCAGCCACCAACCCATGACTTGACTCTGTTCCAGGCCGCCGTAAACCAGTTTTTAACATTGTTGGCTCACTCCCTGATCTTCTCCGATACCTTAATATATTTTCAGTGCCATTCAAAGTCATTTTTCCCCTCCACACAGCTGTCGGCGCCGAATCAAATAACCCAGATGATCACTATGCAGAATTCAACGGGTTCCTTCCTGCCATCCAGACAATGACGCGTGTGAACTTTCCATCTGGCCCGATGTCGAAGAAGTTGCAATTGTGCATATCATTCTGTGTCCCATCAAGCAGCTCGCCAATATATCTCTGCTCGGTAGCAACTTTACGGGCTTTCTCATCGACGGAGGTATTCTCGATTTCGTGGAGCAGGGTTCTCGAATTATTTATAAAGCTATCAAACATGGAGCGGATCTCATCCACACCGGTAAACGTGACGTGATCAGTTTGAACGGTGAACGTGGCATTGGGAGCAAAATGAGAGAGGACTCCGTCGATGTCCCTTGCGTCTACTGCCTTGAAGAAGCTCGCTGCTCTCGCTGCGAGATCATGATAACTGAGGGATGTTGTTGGAGTTGCCATGAGGGGGGCGGCTTTCAGGCGTTGAATATTTTTGGACGTGGGGGTTGCTGTGTGCCGAGGAATGGATTTGCTTAACATAAATAGGGAACTAGCCACTAGTGCCGCGTTGGGTTTGGTGCCCAAATTGTATCTTACAGTTATGTACAACTAGGGGTTTGGTGGATCAAAGGTTTTGGTGTGGAGATTGGCATCAGTAGTCAACAATGCTACTGAGACCCGCTTTGGTTCCTAGAGATATTCAAATTCCGTTGAGAATTGCCTATTCAACTTATACCTGATCTGTCCTCACAGATTGCAAAAAGGTAATCGACTTTAAGAAGTGGCCTGCTTCATAAAAAAACCTTAAACAACAGAGGAGCATCCTTGAATAGTGTCTTTATGTTAGAGGTTCAGAGACAAACGCTTCCTTTGCGCGCTTTCAGGGTTGCCTAAGAAGGAAGAAGAACGAGACACGAGACATAATACTATTGGTGATGTCTCGAACCACATAAGAAGATGTGAGGAAATGGGAAGCGACGCATGTTACTATGACAGTGTCCGTCTCATTGTGTTTTTCTCTTCTTCTTACCCCTCATCCCTATGCTTCCTTCGACGCCTTGACGAGAAATGTCAATGGAAGCTATTGAATCATTTAGGTCTTTTGGCCGTTGATGATACTATGCAACTATCACTAAGATTTTTGACCCCGGAGTGGTAGGGAGGACGTGGACGAGATTAGTCAGGGGCAAGAGGATATCGAGTGTCTGGCCGCTGAAAGTACTGAGGATGTCGCAGCCTGGTTCATATTCTCTTGCAGATATTATAGGAGTGTCATTACACGCTATTGATCTAATGAGGCTAGTTTAAACTAACAGTGGGGATAATGACCGAAATTGAAATGGAAGGTAGTGTCGTTTAGCTAGTGTTTTAATTACTTCTTCTATTAACAAAGCTTAATTAATATTATAGTGCTACTAGGACTCGCAATTACTAAAAAATAAGCCCAAAGCCGAAACAACGGCAACTGAATCATGAATTCACTTTGCATACAAATGACAGGACTCCCTTAACCTAGCATAGCCTAAGCTCTAGATCTTTCTATCATGTGAACATTCTCAAAGTCAATTTTTTCCGTCCTTTACCGTCATGTGGGCCTCAGCCATTCTTTGGTCATAAAATCTTTCCCCGTTCGGTTGGGGGAGGGTATCACTAATCGTCGTAATCGATAAAACATTGCAAATATTCTTCCGGGTTTGAATACTTTCACCTTAGGCAGCCCATGCTTCATTCAAAACCTTCTGTCCCAGTGCCAGAGTCCGGGAAGGCTCCTCTCCCAGCCACTGGGGCTCCAGCCTGTCCAGATTGGCTTCAATCTCCCAAGCGCGGCCGCCCTCCACATACATCGAGGTCCCGTTGAGCGAGTCATCCGTGAGAACAGCTGCAGATACCCGGGCGACCTCCTCGAGAGTGCTGACAGGCAAGCCTTCCTTGGCCCAGCGGTCCTCAACTTTCTTCGTGAGACTTGAGCGAGAGTCCGTCATCCAAGGGCAGATGGTGTTGATGCGAAGGTTGTGATTGTACGGGGAGGGGAAGTAAGGGCGCAAGGATCTCATCAGGCCCTGCACGCCGTGCTTGGCAACCTGATAGGGAGACACTCCTGGGGTCTCCTTGAAGCCAGCGGCGCAAGAGAAAAGCAAAATGGACCGATCAACTCCGGGGCCACGGTTGTGGCGAAGATAAACACTGGCAACGCGTGTCACATACATAGAACCAATGAGATTCACATCGAGATCTTTGGTTGAAGGGGCCTGGATATTGGATGAGACACTGTGTACGAAAAATGCGGTATGATAAATCAATCGGACTTACCTGTCGAACAGACTGCAAGCTTAGCTTTTGATCGAACCAGTTCTCGCCGGTTTCCATGCTACCCGCCGTAACGACTACATGGTCGATGCGCTTATAGATCTGGAAGGTACGGTCGAAAAGAGTCACAACAGACTGGTAGTCGGTTACGTCAACATGATGAAAGGTGGCTCTGGGAGGCTTAGGTGGCAACGCAGGATCCGAAATAGCTGGCCACTTCTCCAAGCATTTCCTACTCAAGGCCTCTCCACGGGAAGTATCAATGTCACCGATACAAACATAGGCGCTGTTTTGGCAGCAGAGTTCTACGAGACTCGCGCCGATGCCATTAGAACCACCTAGGTCGAAAATATTTAGCTAAGATACGAATATATAGGTCCCAGTGAAAGCATACCAACAATGACAATAACTTTTTCATTGAGGGCCTCCGGATTGATGTCAGGCGAATACTGGGTGAGCGGGGCAGCGGAATTGGAAGAGAGAACGGGATCTGTAGTCGGGGCAATCATTTTGGAGGGATAAGGGTTTGGTGGCGAAGCAGAAAGTGGCATTAACAGGATAAGAAAACACACGAAGATAATAAGAGAGCTGGAGATATGAAGGCGAACGGAACTGCAAGAGCTCTGGGGGTTAAGACCCTTTTTATACTGAAACTGTAGCCTAGCTATCTGCCGATATCACTTGTCGTTCACCCTCCTTCACTCCTTGTGCAAAGCTATCACAGCTAGTCTGGAGCCAATCATGATGGTGCAGCCGACGAGAGAATTTCGATCCCTGGGTCCTGGTGGAGAATGGAAAGGGGAAGCGCCGCTCCCGAATCGGTACAGTTGCCAGTTACATACAGAGCAGGGACCTGTTGGTTGATACGTACCCACCGCAGGGTTCTTCCCCGCCTGTCTGACAGTCCTTCTCATCCACAGTGGATCAACCGATCGGCGAATTGCGGGGAGTAGGAGACAGCAGCCCAGAGATATCTGGGGAAGGATAGACAATATAGATAATAGGAAGAAGGAAAGAGAATAACAGAATGCAGGATGGAGAGTAACCAAGTGGTAATATCCTGTTTTTGTGGTGTTGAGTTTATTATGAATATGATCCACATGAGTGTAAAACGCTACATTCCACCATTCCACCACTTCCATGTTCCCGCCCCTCCAAGCTGGCAATTGCGGCGCCGAATTTATCGATGGGAAAAAAGAACCGGAGACCCAAAGCAAATCAAAAATAAAAATAAAAATAAAAAATAAAAAAACCCTGCCAACCAGCCTACCTTAGGTACTTTCCTTCCCTTGCCGTCTTTCGTCAGAGTTGTAAGCCACCCGATGACAAGACCACACAAGACCAAACAAGAAAAAAACTGGCTGCCCCTGTATCCGGGAATCAGCCCAATGGCGTCCAGGTGTTACCTTTCAGTGCAGCACCAATTGATACATACTGGCCCTGTCCAGGAGAGTTCCCGGCGTCTGGGAGGGTAGTAATTTGACAACATGGGCAAAGATTGAGAAATTGGAGTCGATCTGTCGCCATTTGCGGTTACCGAGGGAAGGAGGAGACCCACCTGTTGCCGTGTTATTGGCGGGATGCCGAGCGCTGCCAGCCATTTTACGTCATTCCGTTGCCATTGATCGGATGGAACGAGGCACATTCCGGCCCTAGATGGTGAGACTGCAGACCGGCAGCCACTACTGCAAGTGCTACGTACACTTTGGCACAGAGTGGTTCCTTTCCTGGTCTGTGTTCTGTATGGTGATGGAGATGGCTGAGTTGCCCTCCAAGACTAGCCCATGTCTGGATGCCCTTTTCTCTCATTATCAAGTCTGGTTTTGCTGAAGGAGTACTCGTAGAATTTCTCGGCTTTTAACTTTAGCTAGTAATAACTTACAACCATAAATCACGCACAATGATGCAAGTGGATTTTACAAAATACCAAATAACGCTTCCGTTGTCGTTAATCAAACCACGACCCATTCTAAGCAGGCATGGTAAGCAGCTCCCTAAGTCTCCCGAAGGCTCGTGTGCCGAGAGTCTTGGTAGCACCTACAAATTCCTCGCAATGAGGCTAAGGTCCGACTGAAGATAATAGCTTGATCATGGGTGCTGCTGCTCTTCCGGAGAAAACTGATCCTACGGAACACCGTGCTCCGTGAACATTCCCCCCTGGTCTCTACACAAGGATTTTTAATATTTTCTCCCCCCATTCCAAGTTAAATAAATAGTTACCTTGTAAATTAAACCACGACGTTATTTTTCAGAGTACTACGTATATTGGCCAAGCGCTAGATAACCGTCGAATAGCCCCATGGAATCGAATCGACACTTCGATAAGATCACGTCTCGTTCCCCACAGGTCCCACCAGATATTCAATGAATTTTAGTAGCCTACACACAACACATGCAATACTTACTCCGTAGAACGACAAACAGTTTAATTATGACTGAGCTTTCCTGCAGAGACCTGGATGGAATTGATCAATACTAACCATACCTTACAAGTGTCACGCCAATGCAAAGCTGAACACGAAGTGCATACTCCATACATACATAGCACTTCGGAGTACTTTGGTTCGCTATACAAGGGATAGCTGTCGCCTGAGCGAACGCCATATGGGGCGCATTCGTTTCCACTCCACCATGTTCATTTTCAATGGCTTCCTTCCCGCGTGAAGGTGTCCACTTCGGGGACATGGCTGAGTTCCTCCATTCTCAGAGGATCTGAGAATGGCTAGGAAGAAGTCTGTTTGGGATTAGTGTATCTTTGCTTCGCAGCATCAGGGTATCATCGTTCAACACATGTCTATTACTCGACACGGACTGCTTGTTAGTGCAATGTATTTTTGATTCTTGTTCCTTTCCTGATTTTTTATCGTGCTACCCGATGCAACTATGAGGCATTTTTATTCATTAATTCTCGACAACGTACGATTATTGTCTGCATTCTGCTATCCTTCTTGCGGCAGCGGTATCGTAGGATGCTATACTCTACTTGTAGATGTTCTCCAATTAAATGACGCCAGTTTATAAGAAACAGAGATTACCAATACTAATATCCTAGGTTAGGGAGCATCAGATACTATCTAATTTATCCACTATACCTTCTTCCACTGACTAGTTTTATCATTAGATTAGCATTGAAACGTTTACTGCAACACGTAGAGTTGCCGAGATGTATAGTTTTATTCCGTCTTCCATTTTGAGTACTACTGATATTCAGCTCATATGGATATGTCGATATATCCCTATTATAATATATTCAGGTGAAATTTTTGACCAGGATTCTATTCGAAGAATAAGAATCAGAGGCCATAACCTACGAAAAGCTGAGTTCCTGCTTAATAGGGCTGACTGAGATAGTTCCATGAAGAAAATTAATGGTGTTTATATATAGTTTTTCGAAACAGGGTTCAGGCCAGCAGTAAATGTTGCCAGGCTGACTGAAAAGGACATTTAGTTAGACTTAGAACACTACCTTAGTTCAAGTCGTGTATCGAAACCCGCCACATGTCCACCACGTGGCAAGTTCCAAATCCCCTACAAGGTATCATCAAAGTATCCAGGGACTGAGCAAAAATCTAGTACCAAACTATTAATATGGCACTATTTTATGATCTATTCATGTGAAGCACAGTGCTCAATTCCATAACGTCGGTATTATATGACATCTCACTCACTTGGACGAGTGAATAGATCTACGGCAGGCTTTGAGGCAAACTTCCGGCTACACTGTCATCTGTTTAAGCTTTCTTCAAGCAGGGGCAGAAAGGCCAGGGGCGACGTCTCTAGTTCCACCATGTTGAAGATCGCGGGGAAAGAAATCTTGGGTACGAAACTAGGCACCAAGAATAGGAACTAGAAACAAAAAAGGAGTAGTAGGGTAATTGAGGGTACTAGGCTAAGAGCATGAAAGATAGTAGCAGCAAAGGGTGTATGTGGGGGGAAGATTTGGTACAGATAATTCTGTCTGTTACCTGGGAATTGCTGGATTTCATGCTCCCTATGTCTTATTCGTACAACAAATATAAATCGCACCTCTGATTTCTCAGTTTTTGACAGTAAACATGCTCTTGTTGCGTGGACATATTGCATACTTGATTGACCATATCCCAGAACCAAAGATAGTTCAAGAGAATAGATGCTATGGATTAGAAATCCCTGTTGTAAGGTATTGCTTGATTTTCCTAGATCCTATCGCGTGCGGTCCTTGGTATCTGATATCGTAAAGTCCTAGAAAACAGCAAAAAATAAAAGTACAGCGGTTGATATCAAGGAACAAAGGAACTAAAGGTCAAACTCGAGACTAGAAATAGAGGGTAGTGATTTAATCGGAGCTAATCAAGACTTATAATTTAGTACTGGCAGTACTATCACTTTGCTGAAATCCCTATTACATCAGTAGTAGAGCCAATTTGAAAGACATTGATGCCTGGCTTTCTTAATTCCTTTTTCATCTCTTTCAGCACGTAGGATTCATGAAATGCAGCTGGTCTATGGATATAAATTCCAAGAGCCTTCTAGAATCCATATTGTTATCTTGCCGGATCCGACAGATCCGAACAATCTCCGACCAACCGACCCACTGTTTTCTACATGAAAACGCCAGCACTTTTATTTCACTCCCATAAATTGCCACGCCTCTCAAGTTTTAATTTCTATCCCTGGGTGGATGCGGTCTATTCTTCCACTCTTTTCTTAACTGCGGCTGGGATCCAGAATCAGTCTCTTAACTCTTATTCCCAGGACCAGTCACATTCTCTTGCTCATAGTGAGTCTCACCGCCAGGCTTTGTTGTAACTTAACTAATAATCAGCCATTAAAATAATAATAAAAAGAAAAGAACTCATATTACAACATGTTGATCACACGCGGAATATCTCTCATCAATTTCGGTGTTGCTTCTTCAGCACTAGCCTTCCAAGTTTTTGTCCTATACCCGTGGCATAACCAACTAGACGACGAGTTTAAAGCCTTGAAAAAGGAGCATCAACGAGTTCTGCAGCACATTGAAGGGAAGGCGGCACAATAAGGGTTGGAGAGCGGAGATCTCATAATTGATAGACTCGGGCATATTCTAGGCAATAGAGAACGCAAGATGGGTATAGAGGATAGATGATTAAACTGCTCACTCCTGTCTGTTACTTCATTACTAAGACGCTGGTGGTCGTAATGGTGATAAAGCAACCTAATCCAACATACTTATGTTTGTGGTCTGTGGTGGCTTCATAGCATGGGAGCAAACTTGTAAATACGTTGCCAAACAGTGCCATTTTTAAAACTGTAGGACAGCACATTCTAAAATCCAAAAAAAAAAAAAAAAAAAACAAAGGCCATTATATAAGTTTGCTGCATATATACTATTGCCAGTCCCTAGCAGTTGGGAAATCATTGTCTACTTCCAATTATTTTCTTCAATGTGGTGATAGCCTGGCTGTTTCATCATGCACAGTCAACATAATGCCTGATGGAAATATTGCATGGAAGACCAGGGATTTGCCATCAAAACAAGAAATATTCAAGGCTATTTTGGTGAAAGTTGCATTCACTGTTTCGCCTACTGATGTGGCAAGTTAAAAATAACTAGATAGTGGCCTAGCATTATTATGCAATTAGACATAGTAAAATCACATTGGTTAAAGTATCCAGTACTATTGATGCCAGAGCAACCCAAATGTCACCTCGTTTAACGAATAAATCTTCCGTCTGTCATTGTGCCGCAGAGCACGAACTATCTGGATGTAGTATATTGTTACAGGGTAGAAAATTGTGCCATACCATCAAGATCTGGGCTTTTCCTTGATACATAAGGGGGAAAAATGTGATGGACAACTGAGTTGCATATAATATTTTAATGTTTAATCCAGTCATTTTAACAATGTCCTTGGTGTAATGTTCACCATCACATATGGTGGATATTTCCCATGTTCAAAAGTATTAGCTGACGCTTCCGCTTGTAGTCGTAACTGAATAAATAGTCAGTGACTGTAACCATATGGAAATAAGCTAGCCTCCATATCGCTCTGCTGCGCAGGATTGCAAAGAAGCCATCTTTCAGGATAGAATGTGTCTGTATTATCACCATAGAGAACATTGTCATGCCATACAACATATGAATGACAAGCTAGCGTAGTTCCTCTGGGTATGTGAGTCCGTAGACCTCCGACGGGAGCGCGATTTCGTGATAGTACCCCATGGCGGGCCAGCACCGCATCGATACTTTCATGATGGCATCAAGGTAAAACAGTCTGCTAATCTCGCTCCAGCAAGGGATGTCATAAAATTGCCCGTCATTAAATACTCTATCCAGTTCATCCTTGAGTGTGGACATGACTTTTGGATACTTTAATAGAAAAAAAAGCTAGAAACGAATGCTATGATAATGGACTCAAGTCCACTCTTAGGGAGACTTTCGATACCTTTGTCAATCCGTGATGTTCGAAATGAAATTGGGTTAGGTATTTGTTCGTCCACCATGCATCCTTTGTACCCCATACAAGATAAAAAGTCCAAGGGGCCCCTCCTTAACGTCGCCTTTGGGTTTTCCAAGAGCATATATTCAGCAATGATAGTGACAACGGAGAGTCTAGACGGCTGTAATAGCTCGCCTTCAATGCGTCATGATGGAACGCATTCGGCCCTACAAGATCATCCATTACCAGACAGTCAACAAAGTCCATACCAAAAAAAGTATAACAATGTTTTTAGATCGATGGCATGATGAATTCTGATGGTTTGCATAAAATGAATGGCCAAGCAGTCAATAATGCCTTCGTATTGATGTTCGCCTCCGGAGTACATTTCTTGAGAATGCAAATTATTCAGTGATCCCTCATGTCTACTGGGTGCTTGCTGCATCGATGGCCTGGCGTTATTTTGATCTGTCTAGTACTCAGAATTCAGATAAATGTCATTGGCAAAGTTGTCAATACTTGGAATACAGTCGCCTATCATTAATCAAACGAAGCACTATAGCATCTGAAACACTGACACGGTTTGGCCCCAGCCGTACAACACCTCCATATGTCCTGTGAAGGTCAACCAAATGGCAACCATATTGGGCTGAACTCCGAGAATATCTTCGCCAACCATCCCAGAACGCGGCAAGCAGTGGGCCAGGAGTCAATTTCAAGCATAGTTAAGAAATACGTGTACAATTGCCAGTAGCCACAGTATCGCTATAGCACGCTCAGTCATCGCCAAAGACTTTTAGAAACCATCGTTTCTACTACACTAGGCGTATGGCTATATTTCGAAACGCATGTCAGCCCAGCCCCTGATGTGATTCTGAATTTCCACAACCGCGCTATCCTGAACAAAAGAAGATCACCGGAAAATCTCGGCTCCTCTACATCTGGTGCTACAAATCCCCTGAAGGTTCGTGGATGCTTGTATGCGACAGCATTGTACCAAATTTCGGCCTGATCAGCCCAGACATTGTTTTTTTTTAATTTTTTCTGGGCTGAAGTCTCAATGCTTCTCAGATAAAGTTTGGGGAAAGCTGTGTCAATAACTCAGGCCGACTCCCTGGCCAATCCGAGAGGGATAACCAGTGAAAGGAGGGCGACTCGTCCTTCTCGTCCAAATAAGAGCCACTTGACCTTCCATCCTTATCGAGCATTTTCATGATTCATATCTTCGCCATAAAGAAGTCGGGTAAATCTGGCTCATCGGGCCGATGGGGATCAGTCAGCAGACTGCGCACCAATCAATACTCCGGAGTATGCCAGTGAAGCGACCGGGCGGTGGGGATGTTCGAAATGAGGGGGAAATTGAGACAACGGTGCAGTGAGACCATCGGCCTGCTGGGCAGATTACAAGCAGATGAATCAGAGACGACTGCCGACTATCGATCAACCGAACTAGACAACAATTCCATTGACTCAAACTCTTGCCAAGGAGCACATATCCCTGTCGCTACGGTCGATCGGATACTGCGGGAGCCACAAAGCCGCATATTGGGCACTAGAATCCACTAGGAGATTGATTGTAGCTTCGTGCTTCGTGCTTCGTGCGTCCATTTGTCGAGTCGCACCGACATCGCCCAACGATCTCGTGGGGAAAGGACCCAAGGCTGTTAGTGCCGTCTCGCGACCAGTACAGTCTTCATTACTATTAGCCTCACGTTACTAGGCTTTAGAATATCGGAATAGTCCCAAGCCTGGTCGTAACCGCTAGGTCTGCTTTTTCTCGAACATCTGCGACATGGTTATCTCATACCCGCAATAACCGTGACTGCCGATGGCTCCAGAGAAGGCGAAAGGCAGAATGTATCAACGATTAGAAGATCGCTCCAATACCCGGCGCTCGATGGTCGCGTATGTCGAAGAGCTATGAGGAGTGCATGATGACCATGGCTAACGATCGTGGCAGATGTAATCGATGCCGCAATAGAAAGACCCGATGTGCAGGAAATCCTCCTCATCCGTGTGCGGCATGTGAGGATGCAGGCCAAGTCTGTGTGTATTCGGAAGCTGAGAAGCGCGTGTCAATTCCAGAGAGGTGAGCAAGAGTCGCAATGAGAGGGCGCGCGATGACAGAGCGCATGATTGCTGACTAGCCAATCAGTTACTATCGTCAGCTCCAGTCGCAGGCCCGGGGGCCTTCCCGTCCAGGTATGAACATATGCCAGTTGCTGCCTGTTGCCTGATATTAGTATTTCCAAATTTGAGATATTGATTACTTTCCTCAGATGAGAGTCCCAATCCCAGTCCCGCGCAGTCTAGCCCATACACGGGCGTGGAAGTACCAATTGATCGAGATGACTGGTGGTACAAGGGAACTGATAATCTATTTTTGAACCGATCTGGAGAGCATCGTAAGTGTATCAATACAGCGGTGATTTGCACGCGAAGGCTGACGAGGCACAGAGTTCGTGGGAGCATCATCGGCTACCCACCTGGCCAAACGCCTGCACCCAACTTCCGCCCATCTTGCATGGGATGTGCGTCCGCTGTACGACGACCCTTTGTCTCTGCGGATGTCAACAACACGGGCTCTCCCTCAAATGCCGCCTTTCGAGTTTGCAAAGCGGTTGTTTTGGGTGCAGTATACGTACATAGGAACAATATTTTCTCTAATTCATCCCAGAGACTTCGAGGAGCGTCTGAAGATGGTATACAACCAACCTCCTGATTTCTCCAGCAGAGAGTCGTGCCTTGTCTACTGTCAGGTGCTGTTGGTTGTCGCCTTTGGGCTCATGTACTCGGTTAACCAATGGTCGGGAGATGACGGTCCGCCTGGTTTCAAATACTTTAAGCATGCCTTGCGTTTCTTGCCGGACATTCATGAGGAGGGCTCCATATTCTTCGTCGAAGTGTTGTGCTATGTCGCATATTACATGCAGAATCTAAATCGACGCGATGCTGCGTTTCTTTACGTACGTTTGGCATATATAACGTCCTAAATGCCAATGGATATTGACACAAAAGATGCAGATTGGTCTCGCCCTTCGTATGGCCATTTCATTGGGTCTTCATCAGGAAGTGTCGGACTCCACGATCACTGAAGACGATCGAAACCGTCGACGACGAGCTTGGTGGTCAGTATATAGTTTGGATCGGTATGATGCGCCCCAGTCTACACTCCCAAATACAGTCTAACCTTAGACAGCCTGCTTTCGGTCAAGTCAGGTAACCCTATCACAATCCATGACGAAGATATTGGAACAACATGGCCAATTCCTCTGGTAGGTGGCTCATCCAAACATGGTAAGGAAGACATGGTACTGATTTTATACAGGATGGAGCGAGCGCTGTTCCATGGCCATCCGTTGTACTTACTTATTACACGCAGCTGTCAAGAATCTTAGGTAGGATTGGAGAAGGTGAGATGCATACGCCCCTCGTATTCTAGCAAAATAGCGACTGATCGTGTGGGCTTAGAAATCTATCGTAAGAAGCCTCGAACCGGCTCCAGCCTATTTGTCTCTGTACAGAGTATCACGAATGACCTGTCTGGTTGGCTGCATCGGATCCCTGATCAGCTCCGTATCAATTTCTCTACCATCAATGAGCATATAAATCGTGAATCAGTGTCAATTTTCTTACACTTTTATTCCTGTGTCAATATGACCGCCAGACCTCTGGTGTTCTACGTTATTCAGCGACGCCTGGATGCGGAAGATCAAGCATCTGCGACCGAGGATTGGAAAGGTGGGCTCTCACAGAATACAGTGGCTGTTATCGACAGCTGTATTACCGCAGCCCGTGCGACCACCATCATTATGGATGCTGCGGCGAAGCATAATTTGGTCGGTATGTGAATGTTTCGGGCTTCCAATTTCTGTTACCGTTTATTCCAAGCAATCTAATTTACCACATAGCGACGTACGGCTACCTCGATGGTGAATACATATTTTCGGCAGCGTTATTACTCGTCATGGTCAATGCAGCTTTTCCTTATAATGAATCAAATGCTCGAACAATGGATATGGCATTGAACTTGCTCCGCAGCATGGCAGACCGGGGGAACGCTTATCTTGGGTCACGCCATTCACTACTACTCGAGCTCAAGTCGGCCATCGGGTCCAATCACTCCAGGAAGGGGGATCTTCCTGCATGCTCTCCTAATACTCCCAGCAGCGCCCAACAGACGAGCCCATCAGCGAATGTGGTCCAAGAGCAATCCCCGGTGGTCTCCACCGAATGGCCTTCTCAGCAAGATTTACCGTCTATGCGGGATATTTCATTCAACTTTGACATCAATGACGATCCTGGGCTCTGGGAGGAAGTGCTGGGTCAGATTGACATCGACATGGATACCGACTGGATTGAGAATACCCTGAGAAAATGACGAGAGACGGATATGTATATGTTTGTACTTTAATAGAGGGATTTTACGATGTATTGTTATGATAATAGCCTCAGAAATAAATTTAATCTTTGACAACTACCGTACACTCCGTATAACCACTACATCATCACTGGTGGTGGAAACCACATAACTCATTCCAGTCTTAGAGCGCCACGGTGTCGGCACCGTCGGTCCGCCCGTCCCGAAGACAGCAGCATCGGGCCGACACGTGACCGCGTTCCCTCCAGTAGACGACCCCAGAGACCCATCGGGAAATGGACCATTGGCGATGTCGCTATCATCCCCTTCCCCTCTGTGGAGGTGCTGGATATTTTAAGCCGGGGAATGCCCCTCGTCAATACCCCAGTATTCCTCTTCCATTCTTCTGCGGCCTCATATAGTCCATATCAAACACCATGGCCGGGAATGGGAAGGTTACTATTTCTATCGACCGGGGTGGCACATTTACTGATGTGCATGCCATTGTCCCCGGTCGCCCTGACATCATTCTAAAGTTACTTTCTGTTGACCCTTCCCACTATCAAGATGCTCCCACCGAGGGTGTTCGACAGATCCTCGAGATGGTCACGGGTGAGTCATACCCACGAGGAAAGCCTCTCAAGCTGGATGCTATCGGCAGTCTACGCATGGGGACTACAGTGGCCACCAATGCCTTGCTGGAGAGGAAAGGTGCTCGATCCGCACTCTTAACGACAAAGGGATTCCGTGATCTTTTGAAGATCGGTGACCAATCGCGTCCTAACATTTTCGACTTGTCCATGGCCCGACCAGGCGTTCTGCCCGAGGGAGTGGTGGAAATCAATGAGCGGGTGGTTCCCTGTCACCCATCCGCCAGTAGAGACTCATTTTCTGGTTGTCGTCTCGTGGAGGGCGTGACGGGTGAGAAGTTTCGCGTCGTACAGGAGTTGGATGTGGACGAGGTCCGATCCGAGCTTCACCGATTGAAGGAGCAAGGGTACCAGTCCTTGTCTGTTGCCTTGGTTCATTCGTTTGCCTATCCGCAACATGAACGTGTGATCGGGGAACTGGCCGAGGGCATGGGGTTCTCCGTTACTTTGTCTTCCAAGTTGCAACCAATGATTAAAATTGTGCCTCGAGGCATGTCCGCTGCTGCTGATGCCTATCTGACTCCAGTTATCAAGACCTACATAGACTCGATTTCGTCCAGCTTTGAAGGCGGCCTGGAACGACAGCGAGAATGCCGGTTCGAGTTCATGCAGTCGGATGGTGGACTTGTCGACTTCCGCAAGTTTAGTGGGTTGAAGGCGATCCTTTCTGGTCCAGCTGCCGGCGTGGTGGGTTTCGCAGCGACCAGCTATGATCCCACGGAACAGACACCAGTGATTGGCTTCGATATGGGCGGTACCTCTACCGATGTATCTCGATATGATGGCCATCTGGAACATGTATTTGGATCCAAGCTCGCCGGCGTTCTCATTCAATCTCCACAGCTCGACATCAATACTGTCGCCGCAGGTGGTGGCTCGATCTTGGCATACCGCAACGGACTTTTCTACGTCGGACCCGAATCAGCATCCGCTCACCCCGGTCCTGCTTGCTACCGCAAGGGGGGTCCCTTGACAGTTACAGACGCTAACCTGTTCCTTGGCCGTCTGCTGCCTGAATATTTCCCACATATCTTTGGCCCTAACGAGGACCAGCCGCTCGACCTTGAAGCAACAACCAAGCTTTTTACCGAATTAACCGAGAAGATTAACAAGGAGCGTAGGGAAACCGGCCAGTCGGAATACACGCCAGAAGAGATTGCACTGGGATTCTTGAAGGTTGCGGATGAGTCCATGGCTCGCCCTATTCGGAATCTTACCGAAGCTCGTGGTTTCGAAACCGCATCGCATCATTTGGCTTGCTTTGGTGGAGCAGGTGGCCAACATGCATGCTCTGTTGCAGCTTCTTTAGGCATTTCTCGCATCATTATCCACAAATATTCCTCTGTGCTCTCGGCTTACGGCTTGGCCCTGGCCGAGGTTGTGAAGGAGTCACAGGAGCCGGTTTCCACGGATTATTTGAGCTCTCAATCAGCGCTCGAAAAGCGATTTAGCGAAATGACTAAGTTGGCGACAGAAGATATGAATATCCAAGGCTTTTCGAACGAGCAGGTCCGACACGAGCTTTATCTCAACATGCGTTATGATGGCTCAGATACCAGCCTCATGATCCTGAAGCCGGAAGATGGCTCTGGTTTCTTGGAGCGATTCCGGGTTCGCCACCGGAGGGAGTTCAATTTCAACTCGGACCGCCCTGTCCTTGTTGATGATATTCGTGTGCGTACGATCGCTGCGTCAAAGGTGCGGACGGAGAAGAGCCCCCTTGCGCAGCTGAAGGAGGCCTCCTTGAAGGATGTCGCTACCTCCCCGGATAACACCTCAAAGGCCTACTTTGATGGCTGTTCCAGTCGTATCGACACGCCTGTCTATCTATTGGACAAGCTTGACAAGAGTACGCGTGTCCATGGTCCCGCTGTGATCATTGATAAGACGCAGACTATCGTGGTGGCTCCGGATTCGGTGGCCAGTATTTTGGACACTTGCATTGTCATTGACTTGAAAGAGTCCCAAAGTGGCTCGACTGTCAGTGGCGTTCCTTCAGGAATTGATCCTATTCGCTTGAGTATTTTCGGTCATCGGTTCATGTCGATTGCGGAGCAGATGGGCCGTACGCTACAGAAGACATCTGTATCCACAAATATCAAGGAGCGTTTAGACTTCTCCTGTGCTCTATTTTCTCCTGACGGAGGACTGGTTGCCAATGCACCCCACGTTCCAGTCCATCTTGGCTCCATGCAGTTCGCTGTTCGCTTCCAACACAAGAAATGGCTTGGGCAATTGAAGGATGGCGATGTCCTGGTTGCCAACCATCCTAGCTCCGGCGGAACGCATTTGCCGGACATCACAGTGAGTGACCATTGGATTCTAATATGTAATAATTTTGCTAATTTATCATGCAGGTCATCACCCCTGTTTTCGATAGGCCTGGCGGCAGCGAAATCATGTTCTATGTGGCATCTCGCGGCCATCATGCCGATATTGGAGGCATTCTTCCGGGATCCATGCCACCCAAGTCGACCGAGCTCTGGCAGGAAGGAGCCGCGATTGAGGGTGACAAGGTTGTTAGCAACGGAGTCTTCGACGAGGATCGCATGATCGAGCTTTTGGTCCGGAAGCCAGCAGAACATCCAGGATGCTCTGGAGCTCGATGCGTCAGCGACAACATTTCCGACCTGAAAGCACAAATTGCCGCTAATACCCGTGGTATCACTTTAATCCAAGGTCTTTTTGCTGAATACGGCGTTGAAACAGTCCAGAAATACATGTACGCAATTCAGGAAACCGCCGAAACTGCCGTTCGCAATCTCCTAAAAGATCTCCATCATCGTTTCGGCGGTCAGCCATTGGAAGCAGTCGACTACATGGACGATGGAACCCCCATCAAATTGAAAATCACCATCAACGGGTCTGACGGATCTGCTGTCTTTGATTTTGCAGGGACCGGGCCTGAAGTGTACGGTGGATGGAATGCTCCCATTGCCATAACCCACTCTGCCATCATCTACTGTTTGAGGTGTATGATCAATGCAGACGTTCCTCTCAACCAGGGATGCTTGGCCCCTATTGATATCCAAGTACCATCGCCCAGTATTCTCGCACCCACGAAGACCGCCGCCGTTGTTGGAGGAAACGTCGTGACCTCACAGCGTATCACCGACGTTGTTCTAAAAGCCTTCCATGCCTGTGCAGCATCCCAGGGATGCTGCAACAACCTGACATTTGGCACGAACTCCAAAACTGACACAGAGACCGGCAAGATAACCCCCGGCTTCGGATACTATGAAACCATTGCGGGAGGCAGCGGCGCCGGACCAACATGGAAGGGTGAATCGGGTATCCACGTGCACATGACTAACACTCGTATCACGGACCCGGAGATTCTCGAGAAACGATATCCGACACTGCTCCGTCAGTTCACGCTTCGTTCCGGGTCCGGAGGTAAGGGTCTGAACCCTGGTGGTGACGGAGTGGTTCGCGATATCGAGTTCCTGGCGCCTATGGAATGCTCGATCTTGTCGGAGCGACGTGTCCACCGTCCTTACGGACTTGAAGGCGGAGAGGACGCTCAATCTGGTCTTAATCTGTGGGTTTCTCGGGACCGCGAGACTGGTCAAGAAAGGGTTGTGAATATCGGTGGTAAAAATACGGTGTCTGTGCAGACTCATGATCGGGTGGTTATCATGACTGCTGGTGGAGGTGGCTGGGGAGCTGCACAATAGATTTAGATTATCCTGTGTATATTTGGTTATGGATGTGATATTGTTGATTAGAATATATTTATTTGAATGTCTAGATGGGCGTGAACTATTATAGAATGTAGGGGTCGTGTTAGAATTGTAAATATGGATACAGCCGTAGAAAGGGTAGGCTACCAAAAATATAGACAGTGTTCTGATACATTCTCTTAAACTCTTGGTACGGAGGATCCTAATACATTAGTTAAGTGGAATTGTTTGTAGATACACTTCGAATTAAGTTTTTAAGTGTACGCTACTCCTGACTTTTCATATGAGGTAGCTCTCTATTCAAGAATACAGTCTATATACTATCATGATAATAATCTTTGTACACGTCTCAACAGATCCAAAAATCTGAAGATCAGCCAGATTTGCGGGTGATATGATGCCTCTTCCAACTAACCACCATAAACAGAACCGACACAACCAATCCCAACCCTGCAAACCCAATCCCTAAATACAAAGCTCCTCGGTAGCCTTCGAGAACGTGCTGACCGTCCTTATTCAGATTGGATTCCACGGTGCCTGCGAATCCGAGACCCAAGGAAATAGAGTAGTTCACCGTTGTAGTTATCAACGACGCTGCAAGGCCCTGGTGTTGACCCGGCATCGAGTTGCTGAGGATTATCGTTCCAGAGGGGAATGACATATCCCTGATTCACGAACGGAAGGTTAGCTAGCTACACTGATAATGTATCAATGGTAATAACTTACATCCCCCATGGTGTGATCAGACTGACTAGAAACGCCTGTGCCCAGTAGGTTTGAGAAATAGGCAACGTTGCCATAAGCGACAAGCCGATCGTAAAGCAAATCATAGCGCAGAACATAATGATACTGGGAGATACTCGACTGAGAAGAAACCCAGTAACCATGGCTGCGACAGCACCGGACACCGTAGCCGTGGACATTTTGGCGGTTGCTAATAGGGGCGTATCTCCTTTGATGACCTGCATAAACTGGTAGAAGTAATAGACAAGAATTCCGAAACTCGACCATCCAGCAGCGATACAGCTCAGCACCCAAGCCAAATCGCCCGTGAATATCGACCGTGGCAACAGTGGACATCGTGCAGATCGCTCAATCACTGCAAATAAAGCCATAAGGGCGAATCCCACGATGAGAAGAACGTAGGTATATGGATTTTGCCAGCCCACCAATGCGGCCTGATTCCAAGCAAAGTTGATCAGAATGAGTGCGGGGATTCCCGCAGCTGCACCGAGCAAATCCAGCCGGATCCAGACCGGCAAGTCCTCCTTGAATTGAGGTCGAGGGGTATGCGGGATCACCCACAAACCCAGCGCCGCGAAGACAAAACACATGATGCCCATCACCCAGTATCCCCAAGGCCACCAGACGAACTGGGCAAAAATGGAAGAGAACGCGCCGCCGATGATAAACCCACCGGGGGCGGTAGCACCGAAGAGGCTGAAAATCATCTCTTTGCGCAGGCCGGGTGGATAGGCGCGACCGAAAATAGCAATGGCATTTGGCAATAGCATAGCGGGTCCCATGCCTTGAAACGCACGACAGCAATCGAAGAACATCTGGTTGGACCATACACCGAAGCCCCCGAGAAGCGACCACAGACCGAACCAGACGAAGCCAATTGTGAACATCAGTCGATGGCCGTAGACATCTCCTAAACGTCCAGCAACCAAAATAAACGTGCCGACGGTTAAGCTATAAGCCGCTGCAAACCAACTCAATTCTCCCGGATTCGAGGTATTGAAACTTTCGCCAATGATATGAACAGGCACAACTGACATTGCTAATCCGGCTTGCGTCGTGAACTGGGCCATACATACAACCGTTATGAAGATTATCTCCTTCCACAGGGCCTTGGGAGGCTCGATGGCTGCCGACTGGGAGGTCTCGACCTGGGTCAATGGTTGAGGGTCTTCATCGTCGTCAGTCGGGGAAGTCTCATTCTGGGAAGCGTAATGCCTGTGGGACTCGGATTTGTACGAGAAGCGTACATCTCGGTGGTCGTTTTCCACGCTCATGGTTGATTCAATCTTCGAAGACCAGACGGAATCCTGGAATGTACCCTGGGGACAAGGCCACTTAAAAAGATTTTTCGCGCCATGACCGGATGGCGCATGAATCTCACGCCGACCCACTGTCCTTCCACAAATGGCTTGAAAATCAAGAATAAGGTAGCTGAAGATCGTAAAGCGAACCAAGGATCTCGTTGATTCCGCAGAAACGCGGGTGAAATCCGCGTTGATTGATAAGACGATACGAGAGGGAATTGATGCCTTAGCGATAAGGCTCCCTTCACTGAATACGATGGAGTTATAATATCAGCCAATTATTTCTGGTTTCGCAAAGAGCTCGATTGCTGCAATCATCCCAATCGCAACGTCCCTGAGTTCTTGAGGAATGAGACCCAAAATGCAGGAGTTATGCAGCAATTATAGGCTAAAGTGCTGTACTCCCGACTAATTCATCCCTTGCAGCGAAGCCACCCAGGTCCTCTACCAACAAAGAGCCCGCGACAAGATGATACAACTAATCATATCAACAATAACAAGTCATCAAGCTCATAGTGGATACTCCTAGATCCACTACTCGGTACTATATATTGAGTTAAAGTCAATTGAAATGCTGCCACAGCCCTTTTTATAAGGAGAAAACGAACTCAATGTGGTTACATAATCGGGAATCACATGCCCTGCCCGACCAGGGGATCCCAAGCACGACGGCTTCAAAACATTCGACCTAGTACCTCCCAGTGACGGCGCAGATTTTTCTGCTTCGTCGCTGCCTATTTCCACTCTGGTCATCGTGATGTGAAGAGGCATCTCTTCCACCGATTTTGACGGCGGCTGGTGACACATTCACCCACGTACTCGACCTCTCTCTCCGATCATGTCTTCCTCCTGACCCTTACCCCGCTGGACTTTCGAGATACCCCAGGAGCTTCCCCCCCCCCCTCCATCACGGCCTGGAGCGTCTGGCATTCTTTTCTTTTTTTTCTTGTTCTTCTTCCAGCCCGTTTGATATTTAGCCTGTCCAGAGTCTTTCCCGAGCTCCGTTCATGGTTTTAGTTATTTGATCCTCTGCCTAAACTTTTCGTTCCTTGTCTTCGCCAAACATCTACTTTCCAACCGTCCTCTCGCACTCTGAATTTGGCCATGGGGAACCCCCCGACAAAAATTATTATTGTCAGGTGAGCTGTCACCTACCCCGAAGCCAAAGGTGTGAACAGAGGGACCGCTAATTCTTAATAGGCATGGCGCTCGACTGGATGCGGCCGACAAAAACTGGCATCTCACATCCCCCACTCCCTACGATCCTCCTTTATCCTACGGTGGTTGGATCCAATCTCGTACTCTTGGGGCACAAATCATCACCTTACTGCAGTCCTCGGATGATGAGCCCTTACCTCAGGAGAAAGAGGAACATAAGTTGCCGTCCTTTCGCCCACAGCCCGCAAGGCGGAAACGAAGAGTGATCATTCACTCGTCCCCCTATCTTCGATGTTTACAGACTGCGATCGCAGTAAGTTCGGGGATTAGCCAACACTATCCGGATACAGACATTGCCTTGTCGCCGAAACCCCCGGCGATCAACTACCCGAGAAGCCACTCCGCGGGCAATGGCAGAGTGTCAGTCCACGGGTTTAATGTTAGCACGGCCGTACCGAATATATCTGCCAACGATCATCGCTGTCTTCTACGTGTGGATGCTTGTCTAGGAGAGTGGCTACACTCCGGCTATTTCGAGGATATCAGCCCTCCTCCCAAGTCTGAGAGGATGGTAGCAGCTGCCAAGGCAGAGCTACTGAGGCGTGACAGTATTGTTCCTGATGCCGATATTAATTCTAGGCCGTCTGTCGGGCACTTCCCTGGTGGATGGGGCAGGAGTGATATCCCTCGTCTCCCGAGCATGGAGGAAAAGGAGGAGCAGACCAAACCATCGCCCGACTCAGACAGGGGCGGCCGCAGAGAACAAAGGAGCCGCGCGGCGAGTTACGATTCGATGCAGTCAGCCGACACACCAGTCACCCAGAGAATTCCCGGCAGGATAGATACCAGCCTGTCGCCTATCCCCGACGGACTGTATGCCCCTCCAACACCCAGCTATGCTATATCCCCTTCGGAACCTATCCCAACTGGGTACGTCTCTCATGCCCGTGACGCCTGCGTGATGATCGATTATCAGTGGGATAGCATGCGCGAACCGCAAGCCTGGGGTAGTGGGGGCGAGTATGAGGAGGAGTGGAGTACCATGGATACCCGCTTTCGTGTCGGACTGGAGCGCATGATCTCCTGGTACCAAAATCACGACCTATCCATACCCTACAACAGGCCCCGGCGTCATTCACAATTGTCAGATAGCACCGGGGATGCTAGCGCGGCGGGTGACCGCGATGAATCGATCGAGACGGTTCTCATCATAGTGACTCACGGGGCCGGGTGTAATTCGTTGATTTCCGCCATTAAAGGGGAAACTACTCTCGTGAATGTTGGGACGGCTTCCCTCACCTTAGCGGTTCTTAAAGATGGCGACAAATCAGCCACCAAGTCATCTGCTGTTGGTGGTCCAGTAAGCTCACACGAAGCAAATGGCGATCAGTCGGTGTTACAGAACTATAGTTTGCAAATGGTCGCAACGACCGAACATTTGCGGCACGGGGGGAACCCGACCATGTCCACCCTATCCTCTCCTACGGGTCTAACATCCCCTTCTGTCCCCTCGTACCGTCACCGTGGCCTATCTCGAAATTCCATCTCACAAAGTTCGTTTGTGATCGGGCCCTCGACAACGTCGGATACTGGATCCCGGGGGTGGACGATTACACGCCCCTCCACTGCTTCTGGTGGCCTCTGGGGTTCAATCTCAGCAAGCAAATCGAAAGATGATATTATGCCAAACTTTGGGGATTCCTGGTTGGGACAAGCTGCCAGTGCAGAAAATAGTAACGGAACAATATCAGATAGTACCTCGAATCAGCCCAAACAGTTACCCCAAAGGACCTTGTCTCAGCGTGGACTTTGGGGAAGTGCGCCGTTGAATAAAGACGCTGAGTCGGGCGTTAAGCGGCGTTGGACAGTGACAGAACGACGAATATAATCTCCTTTGCTCGTCCCTCCCCAATCCTCTGCGTTTTTTTTTCTTTTTCTTTTTTTTTTTTTTTTTTTTTTTGTTTGGGCATACTGCAAGGCGTTCAGGTGTTTTAAAACGCCAAATCTGGGACTGTTCGCACGGCCGATGGAAAATTAGATATTAGCTGCATGGATACCACTATGTCCCAAGGAAATCATACTACACCATTGTACAACAATACAAGCTTGCTATTACCTATGTAGTAGGTCCTATTGCCTCGGCATCTTGGTAACTATGGCTAGAACGAAGTAGGCTCGTAATGACGAATTGTACATGTAAGACTAAATTTATGAGCATTATTACCTAATGATTAAAGCTGTGGAGTAGCTGGCCATATCGGAGTATCTGATTGGCTCTACTAGGCCGAGAAACCCAGATGCCTGCATGCCCGATTGGGATACCTGAGGTCGTCAACGCCATTCAGTCATCCCCGGATTGCCGCTGACACATTTCCTCCCTCTTTCAACCTCTCCTCCCCTGATACCGATATGTCTGCAGTTGAGAAAGACGGTTTGTCGATCACCCATACCTGTGAAAGGACGGATGCTCCGGACCTACGCTTGATCCATTACAATGACGTCTACCACGTAGAGTATGAACCCCGCGGAGCGATGCGACCTGTTGCCGTTCTGAAATACTGACGATGAAGCTGAAGGGCAGGATCTGCCGAGCCAGTGGGCGGTGTTTCTCGATTCCAATCTGTGGTCAACTACTACCGATCAGATCCCCGGTTTGCCTCACTACCAAACCTTCTCACGTTCTTCTCTGGAGATGCCTTTAATCCTAGCCTCGAGAGCTCGGTGACGAAGGGCCGACACATGGTACCGTTTCTGAACAAAATCGGCACCGACGTAGCATGTCTTGGGGTACGTGTTGCATTTTCTTGATGGAAATAATGTAACTCCTGGGCTGGGCATAGCTGACATCTGCGGGCCTTGCAGAATCATGATCTCGACTTCGGTGTCGCACAGCTGCGCCACTTGCGCAGCCAGTGTCGGTTTCCTTGGCTGTTGGCAAATGTCCTGGATCCCGCTTTGGGCGAGGATGTTCCCATCGCTAACTGTGAGAGAACGTGGATATTAACATCGTCGAATGGGATTAAAGTAGGAGTGATTGGGCTAGGAGAGCGAGAATGGTAGGCTGCAAAGATTATGGTTGGTTCTGTTGTTGCATACTCACGATCTCCAGGCTCGGAACGATCAACTCCCTTCCTCCCGACTTGATTTATAAATCTGCTTCCAAAACGGCTATAGAACTGGTGCCACGTCTCCGGGAACAGGGCGCCGATATTATTGTCGCTGTCACTCACCAACGCGAGCCCAACGATTACAAACTGGCGGAGAATGTCCCGACGGGTATGATAGACATAATCTTGGGAGGTCACGACCATTTTTACGGCCATGCTATGGTAAATGGTATTCATGTTCTGCGGTCAGGAACCGACTTCAAACAATTAAGTTACATAGAAGCCTGGCGCAAAGAAAACGGACCCGGATGGGATTTCAACATCGTTCGCCGGGATATGTACCAGTCCATCTCCGAAGACCCCGCTACCGTGGCTCTCGTGGGGAAATTGACATCTAGCCTTAAATCGAAACTGGAGAAACCTGTTGGATATACCACCCGCTCGCTTGATGGGCGATTCTCTACAGTGCGGCAAAGAGAGTCTAATCTGGGGAATTTCGTCTGTGACCTTATGAGATTCTACTACGGTGCCGACTGTTCTTTAATGGCTGGTGGCACGATCCGAGGCGACCAGATCTACCCCCCCGGTATCCTGCGTCTTAAGGACATCCTGAATTGCTTCCCCTTCGAAGACCCGGTGGTATTGCTGCGCGTTCCAGGAAGCGCGCTTGTCGATGCTTTAGAAAACGGAGTGAGTCTCCTACCGGCACTAGAAGGCCGTTTCACCCAAGTCTCAAATATCTCGTTCAGCTTTAACCCGTCTGCTCCCCCGGGCTCACGCATTAATTGGGCCAAGGTAGGCGGGCGGCCGATTGAGTACGATCGGAGCTACCTCCTCGCCACACGAGGATACATGGGCCGTGGAAAAGACGGGTTTGCATCACTCCTTGTCCGGTCTTCCGGCGGTGAAATCGAAGAAGTCGTGGACGAAGAAAGCGGCGTACTGCTCAGCACCATCCTGCGACAATACTTCCTTAGTTTGAGGGTGATGGGCAAGTGGCAACGCTTTAGTAAAAGTATGACGCGACACTGGACCAATGTGCACAAGAATCTTCACGCCGATGGTTGGCTGAAACCAGCCTCTTCCACAACCTCGCCGGTCTCAGAGAAGATACCCTATCGACCACAACGACCGACGCTGAAGCGTGCCAAACGGTACCATTACGGACGATTCGCCGAAACGGACAGCGGAGTGGACAGTGGGACAGAGAATAAAATCCATGACGACGAGGCTATGGACTCCGACTCCGATTCGGATCCGGAGATCTTGACCTCCCTGCACCCTACTACCAACTATGTGACTCTGCCTGCGCGGTCGACAGTCGAGGAGGAGCATCGTCTTCGGCTTGCACGATGGGCCACTCGTAAATGGATGCACAAGGCCGGTCTAGAACCGTCTACTGTTGAAGATACTAACGAGTGCCCGGGTGTCACGCCGACTTGGACACCGGGTATTTCGCCACGACTAGAAGGACGAATTGTGATAGAGGGGTCAACATAGACATGGTTCGGGTGAAGGAATGACTTATGATGAAATGATTGCAGTTTAGACCTTATATATGAAGATGATACTTATATTTAGTTAAATTGGAATGAATCACTATGGTACATAATGCAGTAGCTGGTCAACATCGTTGAATTCCAAATAGTAGTCTGTTCACGTGGGCGCGACTAGCTGAAAGTCATCCATCCCCCAGTCCTTCTTTATGTAGTTATTAATAGTTATAATCATCAAATCGTCAGGTCGTCACGTTGCCTCTCTAACTACCGTATTCTATTCGATACTTCCACACAGATGCTGCCCCTATGCATCAGTCCATCAGACAGTCGTAGCATATTAAATATTCAGCATCCAACCAGCACAGCTCTGCCATTTGTATCCTTCTTAGACTTTCAATCCTTCTGTCACATAAGATAATCCCCTCGTCTCCGAAACAGTACCTTCGGACAATATAATCTGCGCCGTGTGATGGCGTATTGGGATACGCGACAGGCAGGATATTGTTGGTCTGGGATATCCGCAGGATCCAAGAGATTGGGGCATCTCAGAGCTGTTTGTGGTGGGCTTGCCATTGGACGAATGTTTAGAGAACAAGGTCCATCAAATCGATGGAGACGGTTTCGGGATGAAAAACCTCCAGTGATATATGCTTAGTGTGGAAATTGTCGGCATTATATTGTCAGAACAGTCACCTCGGTCCAAATCACCATAGGAAAAATCAGAAACCATGATAAACAAAAATGTCGAAGGCTCATTGTACTCCAACTGGCCGTGCACCGGACAGATTCACAACCCGTCCCCCGGCAGCCGCAGCTCCAAAAGTATTGGCGCTGGCAGGTGGAGGCTGCACCCACCCAGGAACACTGTCATCATCGCCTTCTCTGGCAAGTATTGTTTGCCAAACATTGGGGAAGCCGGTAGGCAGTGCACCACGGATTCGTGCACCTGGAATGGCGAACCTGGGATTTTTATGCGTAAGATATCCACGCATGAGACCCTGGCTCAATAGTGATGCGAGAATCGACTCGAGCTCTCGCATCATCACTGTCGGTTTTCCTTTCTCGTTTTCAGAGTCAGAGTCACTGTAGTTGGCATACGGATCTAGCTTGAGATCTTGATAATCCACCGGAAGTTGCCCGTCGATTAGAGACTTGGTTAGGTTTGGTTGGGGAAGTCCCTGCTCATCAAAAAACACATCTGGGCAGAGATAATCAGCATATTGAGACAGCAATGTCGAGTCTGGCTTTAGTTCGGCCCCGTTAACCTGGTCAACACCGGCAAAATCCGGATCCGAAAGCTTATAAATGAGCTGCGATCCAATATCGTTGTTTCCCGCCTTTGCGTCAATACCCCCATTTCTCTGTCGGAACCCAAGCCCGCCTTGTGCTGACTGCGCATGTTGCCACTGAAGCCACCGCACAGCTGTCTCCAGCTTGTTTAGGTAGAGAAATGGAGGAGGCCCACGTTGACTTTGACCTTGTGGTTCGCCATGGAAGCCACCGTGGGTAAACACTTTTCGTGCCAATGACCGCCACACAAGAATTTCGCAACGATTTCGCAAGGCAAGTAAGATGCCATTTTTTGCAAACCATTCGGTTGATGGCGAATCTAGGGCAAGGTGCTCTCGGAAGGCGATATAGTCCCCACGCATGATGAGTCGGCATATCGGAATAAATCTGTCCGCTAGCCCTTCTGATTCCGGGCGCTGCAATAATCCCAACGAAGGGAAGCGACCCATTATCATATTGCACGGAATAAGGTAGGTAAGAATGACCCGTTTTTGGCTCAGTGCCCGGCAATGGCACTGGTCATAGGCTGATTGCAGGGCTATTCGCGCAGGGAAGAAGAGATTGTTAAAGAAGAGGTACCGCCCGAGGTACTGTAGGTATGTCACTCTCTGAGATGCCGGGAAATACTTTAGCGGCGGAGATTGGGCACTGATACTGGCAAACATTTGCTCTGCGTTTCGAAGCTTCCCACACTGAACGGCTGTTAGTCATTGGTCCTAGCATAGGTCGCAATCACCAAAGCATTACCTGGAAAAGCAGTTTCAAACACAGATTTGCCATAAGGTAAATGCCAACCCGTTTCCCTTCAGGCTTCCCCTGCACTCCCGGGGTACCGCTACGATCCGTGAGGCATTTGATAAAAGCCTCACGAACAACATTTGCAGATTTTTCCACCAGTGTTACCTTCTCGATACTTTCATCCTGGTCATTGTTGCCCTCCATTCGGAGCAAATGCGCTACTAGCTCCGGCCGACGATCTAAACCCATAGCCAATTTTGCTAACACCTTCGACAAATATAGGACAGTAGGCAAAATAATGACACCAAATTGGCCATCACCTAGTGCCAGAACACATTGACTATGCAGAAATGAAGGGTCAGACGATCCTAGAGAGCGTGCCCGAATTGCAATACCGAATCGCCACCCGCAACTGACGGAATGACTTACTTGACTAGTCCTTTCAGCATGTTATACGTCTCAAGAAGGTTGTCAACATTAACGTCTCGGAGAAAGGTGAAGTAGAGTTTCATGAAGGTCGGGAAGGCAGTCCACGAGCTACTGCCCTTAGTACGTGGCACTAGCCCTTCGCATCGGCGCAGTAGATCGGCATCTTTCTGAGGCGTGTTGGGGTATTGTTGTTGTAATTCGTTCACCATCTGTTGGTATACATTAGATAAAGGAGGCTCAATCTGTAAAAAGTCTTGAAGCTTGTCCCCATCGCGATTTTTAACCAAGTCGGAAAGCCCTGATAGGAATCGGTCCAGGACCGGAGTCCCTGAAGAGGCCATAATTGAACTGATTCGAGGGTATGGTGTGTATAATGATTCGGGGGATGACCATAAAAAGTAGCTCAGATCAAAAGTTGCAGCTTATTGCCCTCATGGATTTAAGATACGCGCGTGCCCTTTTAACGAAGGGGACGGCTCAGCGGAGGACTCGCATTATAATAGGGGCGTAGTCAAAATAGTAGGGAAGAAACAAATAAGAAACAAGGACAAAGGTTGAGCACCCGAAGAATTTACAAAACCAGAGAACTGTTGTTGTCGTTTCTATCATTGTTCCATTCGAGCTGGTTCCGCTCAAAGGCGTTGGTGGACCTGGTCAGGTGACTACTTGGCATATGATGATTAGGTAATCTATCCCGTTAGGTTAGTTAACTTAACTTAGTTAACTAGATAATTGGCTAGTCAGCAGAAGTCACATGTTCTGAACTTCTTTCCACCCCATACTATTGCTCTACAGAGCTTCTGCTGCTGCTCTTGATAATGCCTGCAAGACCATCTATTGGACGCAGCCTTCCATCGGAGCTGATCAAGGAAGAAGAGTCATTCTGCAGGACGCTGCTCAAACAATGCCATTAAGTTGGATTTTGCGCTTACCGTGTGTTATATATTAATTGAAGCTCTATGCTACGAAAGCAGTGGTATAAACTGGACGATACGACCCTATGAGTCTTCGAAACAGGCCGCTTGAGATGTTATGACGATTATGGATTCCGATTTGGTCAAGTTGATATGTATGAGAATAATACTAGAAAAGCAGGGCCAGGTGTAGAAATGAAATGATGGGCATACACAGCAGGATACCTAAGTTGACCTCCATCGACCATTTGTCGTATCGAATTCCTTAAATTGTACAAAATAAAAACACTATTTCCGTTTTGCAATTCATCCTAGGAACATTAAACAAACTATTTACATGCCCACTTCAATTAAGACTCAGACTCAATCTCCGACACCTTCCTATCAATATCATAGACCGGATTCCCGCCCTGTAGGAGAAAATTCGGAATATACCCCTTCTCATCGACCCAACTAAGGAGAAAATCCCCAATGATACAGATAAACATAACAAATGCCTGGAATATCAAAACCTAAATATCCCACATGCGGCAGTACAAACTTAATATACTCAGTCGGCTGGTACAAATCGTCCTGCATCGTGATATAATAGAATGATTTATCCCCATTCGTCAGGTTCTTATCTCCCGGGTCAGTCGTAAGGTCCAGGATAGTTGTCAGCATGACGGGTAAAACATGGAATGGGTTCAGCCAGATGGAGAAGATTTGTGAGAGGGTCGCGTAGAGTCTGAGATTGGGTTCGTCGGGCGCTTGGACTTGTCAGTTGCACGGTTGTCTCCTTGGAAAGGTTGTATGGGATAAATAACGTACCCACTGAGTGCACTTCCAGTTCTATCTGCGGCGACATGATCTTATACCATTGGTAGATCTTGACGGCCCAGCAAGTGAACCGGCAAGCCCGGGTCTTCCATTTTTTGTTTTAATTTTTGTGTCTCTGTACGTATTATCCAGGTTCCCTTTTTGGTTTTATTTAGCCTTGGGAAATGCAGTGGAGCTCGATATGGACAACATCTTTCAAAAATGGAAGAACAACCGGATTCGGCAATGACGTCATACCAACAGGAACAGGGAAATTCTGCTCACGACGACGTCAGAATGGATCCACAAATAGCTGCCAGGAAATTTAGATGTACAGGTTTCGCATAGACTTTGGGCCATACTGCTGCTGATGGATGGCTTTCCCGAAGTAGTTGTTTGTAAGAGCACTCTTACAGCCTCACAAGGTTGGCACTATAGGTCAGCCCTTGACATACATAACAACTATAAAGTATAAAAAAAGTAGTATGCCATTGTTGTTATTATATTATAGTGCGTTTAAATGGAATCCATGTTGTTGTTTCACTTTCATCTCTAACATATAGCCAATGCCTTTTGACTGTACAGCCGAAATATATATTTCAGTGATACTAAAGACATATAAGGGGACAGTGTAAAAATGCCTGGAAGTTATCCCACTAGTTGATTTTTTATTTGTATTTGTTCTTTTGTTTTAAAAAAAATGCCACAGAAAGCATGACGATTAGTAGTTCCTTATGATGTGTGCTTATTTAAATACAAAAACTAATGCAACTTTTTAATTACATGGTATCGAGTAAATGGCTAACATCCTACAACAATCTATAAACACAAAACTACCGCTTCCAGCTGTCAATCTTCTTTCGTCGTTTCTCAAAGATTTGACCCACACCGCCATCATTGCGAGGGCCATCCTCTGTAATCTTTCGCTTCCGACTTCTGTCCAGTGCGCTGCCACTTCCCTTGGCTTTGCGTGTAAGTCTTGAAATGCGGTCTGCACCCTCGGTGAGACCTCTCCACTCTTCACCACCGAATGTGCTCTCAACCCCTTTCCCACGTTTCTTGGCTCGCTCCTTCTTACTTTCTCCCAAAAGTCGGGTGAAGTTGGTTTCTTCATACGCTGTTCGCTCAGCTTCAATTTCCCTCTCCTTCTTTGATTTCGTGTGTCTTCCGCCATGCGTGATAGTGCTACCAATACTAGGCTCCGCCATGGGAGCCGATGACATCTCAGCACTGACGAACTCGTCAATAACCGTTGACTTCCGGGGCCCGCGTTCCCTGGGTTCCTTGCGTTCAGCGGTAGGCAGAGCTGTTGGCATGATCTTCGGTGGCCGGTAAATACCGTCACTGGGGGTGGTGTTCTTAGCGGTTTTCCCGGCTTTCTCTGAGGGCTCAATTTTCTTCGCAAAGGCGGTAATATTGGGTCGATATGCCGTTTCGTCAATATCATCTTCACTGTCACTAGAGCCTTCCTCTGACGCAGATTCATCATCACTGCTAGCTTCGTCTACTTTGCTCGCCTTGGTCTTGGACGTTGTGTGTTCCGCTCTTTCAGCATCCTCAGCAGCTTTTATCACTTTATCCATCTGATATTTCAACCGTCCCTCCAATGGCCTGGCGCCGCGATCCAAATAGATACGTAGTTCGACGAGCTTTTTCACGATGTCTTCCCGAAGAGACTGATCCGTCTCTGCATCTTTGTTATTTGTTGATAGCCCACGTAGCTCGTATATCATCAAAAAAACGAGGTTATGCAGGTAGGAGAGGAGCAATTCGCATTTAGTGTCCAAAAGCGAAATTCCATCTTGCAGTGGCTCAATCGACACGTCGGAGAACTGGTCGCGCTTTGCTTTCGGGAGAGACGATCCAACAGTATTCAGACAGCCAACAATATTTTCCAATAGGGTTGAGATATTTGGAAGGCTCAAGCCCTCGGATTGCGATACTGCCATGGCCATTGCGAGAGGAAATGTTTTGTCGCCTTGACTGGGAGGCTCTCCCGGCGTGGGAGAATTGAAATGGAAATTTTTGGACGCCTTATCGACACGTGATGATATATTACCGCTGACTCAGACACAAAAAGCTCATCACGTGTGCCAAGACCGCTACTTGGCCTCAACGCATTTGGAAAGTCATCCTGCGACCCCTATGGGCAGACTGATTTCCGTCCCCTTTTTTCATTTATTCCACATTCTTTCCTCTGAGCTGGTGGTCAATTAACATATCCAACGCCTACTTCATGAGATCTTGAGAAATACCTCCGCGGTGTGGCTGCTGTAGACTGTATGGCACCCACAAGCTATTAACTCCCAACCCGACCCAGTATCTCACCGAGGACTAATGCACAACTGAGCTAATATCACGCTTCGTTGTCAGACATCCACAATGCGGTTCAACATACGAACGTTGCCCATTTCATCCCTCGTCCTCACCCTTCCGTCCCTCTCCGCAGCCTTCTACCTACCTGGTGTAGCTCCCACCTCGTACGATGAAGGTCAATCTGTTCCTGTGTATGTTAATCATCTCACGCCAGGCCTAGCGCAGCAAGATGAACAGCTGCATTCCGTGTTCTCGTACGATTATTATCACCCGGCGTTACACTTCTGCGAACCCGAAGGTGGACCGAAAGATATACGGGAATCGTTAGGAAGCATTTTATTCGGCGACCGCATCCAGTCTTCTCCGTTCCAATTGTCTATGGGTAAAAATGAGACGTGCAAGGCAGTATGCAAAGAGGTCAAGTTCGACGCGCGAAGCGCTACGTTCACCAACCGGCGTATTGCACAAGGGTACAATATTAACTGGCTTGTGGACGGTCTGCCGGGTGCCCAAATCAACGTTGAGTCAGTTACCGATACCAAATTTTATAACCCTGGCTTCGCTTTGGGCACGTTAGATGAGAACGGACAGTCGCTTTTGCACAATCACTTCGATATCTACATTGAATATCACCGCGTGGGGTTCACAGGCAAGGACAAGTATCGGGTCGTCGGCGTGCTCGTTCAGCCAGACTCACGAGGCAACTCACGAGTCGTCGAGGATGGAGCTGCCGACTGCGGTAGCAGTGACACCCCCGTTATACTGAGCGAAGAGGGCGACACCTCGGTTAGTTGGACGTATGGTGTGTACTGGCGCGAATCGCCTACTCCTTGGGCTACCCGTTGGGACAAGTACTTGCATGTCTATGACCCCAAGATCCATTGGTTTTCCCTCATCAACTCCGCTGTTTTCGTTGTCTTCCTGGTTGGCATGGTCAGCATGATCCTTGTTAGAGCTCTGAAGAAGGACATTGCTCGATACAATAGGCTGGATATGATCAATCTTGAGGATCTAGATGGAACATCGGCCGCTGTGGAGGATGGTATTCAAGAAGATTCTGGCTGGAAGCTGGTCCATGGTGATGTTTTCCGATGCCCTAAGTCTCCTTTACTGCTGAGTGTTCTCGTTGGCAATGGAGCACAGCTCTTTATGATGACCGGAGTGACAGTTAGTAAGTTCATGCTTTACTGGCAGGACAGTCCGGTGAAGTTGTACTGATTGGTTTGCGTAGTTTTTGCTCTCCTTGGCTTGCTGTCTCCCTCAAACCGCGGCTTCTTAGCTACAGCTATTCTTCTCATCTATACGCTCTTTGGCTTTATCGGAGGATACGTATCATCCAGAGTCTACAAGTCATTTGGCGGAGAAGCGTGGAAGCGCAACATTATCATGACCCCTGTGCTGGTTCCGGGGCTCATCTTCTGCGTTTTCTTTCTACTAAACCTTTTCGTCTGGGGTAAAGGATCGAGCGGGGCAGTTCCATTTACCACGATGCTCGCATTGGTTTTGATCTGGTTCGTCATTAGCGTGCCCTTAAGCTTTGCTGGTAGCTGGCTCGGGTTCAAGCAACCGGTAAGTAGAGAAAGTACTGGCTGACAACCGAGAGAATGAGTGTATTAATTTGTTTGCAAGGCTATCGAAGGTCCGACCAAGACCAACCAGATTCCACGTCAGGTGCCTCCAATGTCGGGTACCCTTCGTACGATTCCTTCTATACTGTTAACCGGCATTCTTCCGTTCGGAGCCATCTTTGTGGAGCTTTACTTCATTATGACCTCCCTTTGGACCAACAAGATCTACTACATGTTTGGATTCTTGTTCCTTTGCTACGGCCTAATGGTGATCACCTCTGCCGCTACAACGGTTTTATTGGTGTATTTCCTTCTCTGCGCCGAGAATTATCGTTGGCACTGGAGGGCCTTTGCAGGCGCGGGTATGACTGGTGGATATGTTTTCCTCAACGCTCTTCTTTTCTGGGCGACCCGGGTAAGCTTCGGAGGGTTCACCGGTGCCGTCCTGTACGTCGGCTACTCCGCATTGATCTCCTTCGTTGTCTTTATCTTAACAGGTATGTGCGAGTGAGCTGGGATATTCTTGCTCAATGAACCTCTTGCTTACCATTAACGTTTTTCATCAGGTTCCATTGGATTCTTCGCCAGCTGGGTGTTTGTGCAGCGCATCTATGGCTCGATCAAGGTTGACTAAAGCCTTAATTGTCGGCATATATTCTTTTTGGTTATATCGGTCGTCATACCGTGTGGTCCCATCACCCCGGCTGGTGGTTGGGTGCTAATGCGTGTTGACTCCCAACGAGGAGGCTAGAGTATCGGTTTCCCTTTTGTCCGTAGAATATTTTCGAAGGACTACCGCTGAGTTGATTTTCCTATAAAATGATCCCCGGACATGTATGTATAGCGAGTGTGTATTTTTTTTTTTTTTTTCCGTTGTGGTCCGTTTATCTACCGAGCATGATCACCCATGATTTGTACATAGAGCAGAAGAGAATGTAGTTCCACATCGAGCACGGGGAGGTGTACGATATGGGAACGGGAAAAGTATAATGGACGTATGATACAGACATTGACCTTGGAGCAATGGAAGAACAAAAAGACCTCCAGCGAAACGGTGTCTGCCCGCCAAGTCCGAGCGGGAGGAGTCTGGACCGGCGGCTCACCGACCCGATTATTGCCACTAGTTAACTGCGACTAGGTTGGTTTCGTAATCCATAAGACCCTGGATTCCCCCTCGCTCTACCGAGTTCTTTGTCGTCGTTGGATGGACTCTGCCCTAATCCGCCCAACTTCCTATCCATTGCACTAGACTCAACCGGCCTGCATTTGGATCGTCCCAGCCCTTTGAGTGTCTGCTCCTCGGCGAAGCGGCGCACGATCTTATCTAACTATTCCTCACCTCGTTTACCCCGCGTCTTCCGACCCTCCGCCTCATCTTATTTCTCACCGGTGCACGACTACCGCGGACTTGGCGAACTTGACTCGTGTGCGAATATACCGGCTTTACGTGATCATATATAACTGGGAGTTTAGTTGGGGCGAATCCGTGTTTTGACAATGGGCAAGTCGTAAGTGCTCAAGTCCTGTCGCTCCGCATCCTCTTCCGCTCCAGGAAACGCAAACAAACGCCCTGCAAAGCATCCACACCACGTGCAGCATGTGACGGAGGGGACACCCATTTCATCTGCTTGGCGGTGTGGTCATCTTCTGCGCTGTTCTTTCTGTTCTTGCGCGGGTTCTCACTTCCTGGGTGTCTCCGTTCCTAACGATGTTCTCTACCAGTCAGTCAAAGCTCTCCCCCTCCCAGCTCGACGAGCTCCAGAAGGCAACCCATTTTGATAAGAAGGAGCTGCAACAATGGTATAAAGGTGCGTGAACGGATCTGAGGTCGGAATCGCAGGATAGTATAAGTTCATCGGGTTAACCAGCTATGACGGGGTAGGTTTCCTCAAGGACTGCCCCTCAGGGACTCTGACCAAGGAGGAGTTTCAGAAGATCTACCGACAGTTCTTTCCCTTCGGCGATCCGTCCTCATTTGCAAATTATGTATTTCGCGTATTCGATTCGGATAATAGTGGCATGATTGATTTTAAGGAGTTCATCTGTGCGCTGTCGGTCACGTCGCGGGGCAAGATGGAGGATAAATTAGACTGGGCGTTCCAACTATATGACATCGATGGCGATGGCAAGATCACGTACGAAGAGATGTTGGCAATTGTCGAGGCGATCTACAAAATGGTATGTTACCGATGAAATCTGGGCTGGTTTTCGCGCTGACGCAGGACTTAGGTGGGCTCGATGGTCAAGCTCCCCGAGGATGAGGACACCCCGGAGAAGCGGGTTCGCAAGATCTTCCGCATGATGGACAAGGACGAGAACGGGAGCCTGGACATGGAGGAATTTAAAGAAGGTAGTAAACGGGACGAAACCATTGTCAGTGCATTGTCTCTGTACGATGGGCTGGTATAGCGGATGGCCACAACTGTATCTTTATATCTCCCGTGGTCTCCCAACTCCCTCCCTCTGGCGAATGTGGCGCAGTTTGAAAGATTTTATTGTTACGCCCTTTACCTTTCCTCGTGACCGTTGTTACATGCTGTTCATTTGCGACTTTAGGATTCCCATCACAGTTTGTCCTTGTGCCCACGACCCGCCATGCGCCTCCGATATTATGGCTATTTACAGCTGCATGACATGTTTCCTTTTGTATTTCTTGCTGCCATGTTGCTCTGTTTTTCGTTCCATACACCCTCCTTTGTTATCATTAGTTTGAAAGACGAAAATGCGGTGGCCTGCTCTGATTGATTGGTATGGCACTTGCATATGGCAGGAGATGTGAGCCATTGGGGAGAATGTAAATGTATGTCCGTATATTAGTCTCCGAGCCTAGAATCGACTTGCCGAACTGGAAGACCAGAATTAGTTCACGAAGGGGCCAAAATCTGATCTGCGCGGCGAAATTGCAGCCTCACCTCGATTCGGTAAATAGCCAAACCTTCTCAAGAAGTCTCCACCGGACCATCTCTCCGACTTCCCCAACGATCCTCCCTCCCTTTCTTTCGGTTCTAGATCAACTGAATGATACTTCTCCATGCCGAGTTTTGCAGATACGATAGTGCTCGATCTTGCTTTCTGTATGTGCGACCAAAATGGTGCGAGCCCCGCGCCGCTGTCAAGGCTGCAATATTGCTCAGCTTCAGGTCTGTGGTTTCCGACACTGCTTTAACCCGATTTCCCCTTATGCGATTCTCTTTGGCCCTCCTTTCCCCCTTTCCCTTTCCTACGATTCCTGAACGGTCGCAATGGCGTGACAACTTCCTTTACCCCTTGTTTCCGAGTTCCCCATTTCTCCAGTCTGCCAGTCCAACCAAGACTCTAAGATCTGCCGTGAAGCCAAGTGGAGCCGGTATCGGATCCTAAAACCTGGTTGTTGATTCCGGTTGTTTCTAAAACTTCGAGCTTCAACCTTGTCCTGACTTCAAATCAGTGCGACGGTAGGACTCCTTGCGCACGATGCAGAGATCTAAATCTCGTCTGCTTCGGCCACTCGTATTCTGGAAGACCCGGAGAACGTACCTCGGCCCTGGACAGACACCAGATAAATCCGCAGTCGTCTACACCATCTCATGCACCTCAACCCGGTGAGCTCGAGGCGCTGCCTTATCGAACGGGGCGCATTGTAGCCGATTATCGACCGATCTCGGTGCCGATAGACGGGACGTCGTCGCCGTCGTTAGCTGTGACAGCCATCACAAGCCAGCAAACCGAAGTCTTCACTAACTATGTCCTAGCGTGCTTCCCTTGTTACTTCAAGTGCACCGAGAAGCAAGTTCCCATTAACTGGATCGAATTTGTGGATAGTAGACGAGGCTCCATGGCTTCACCATTTGACTGGGCGATCCGTGCCTGCAACGTAGCATATACAGGGGCGCTGCACAGCGATCCACGATTTGTCAATGCATCGCGAGCGTTGTACATACGCTCTCTCCGAGGGCTCGCAGGCCTACTATCTGACACTTCGACCGCTAAATCAGATGAAGCTCTCGCCACGGCCATCTCACTCGCAATATACGAAAAGCACCACTGCATCGATGATTCCTGGCTCCGCCATGCGTCGGGAATTCGGACGCTATTCAAGCTCCGGGGCCCAGAAGCCCATGCGCATGGGTTCGGCCGCGCTTTATATCAAGCATACCGACACTTTCTCGTCACCCACTCGCTAATATTAGGCGAAGAATGTTTCCTCGAGAAACCCGAATGGCAGGCTCTAAACGAAAAAATCGTCTCTGACAATGCCAAACTTCCAGATTCATCACTATACACCGACGTGATCGAACGTGCCAGTCTCCTTGTAATTAAGATCCCAGGTCACATGAAGCAAGTGCGCGAGCTGCGGTACAAGTCGCCAAGAGAGCAGGCCAAGCTACGGCCCGCGCTCTTGCAGCGAGTGCGAGCCACGCGCGCCGCTCTCCGGGGTATCTATACCGAATTCGGCGTCGCGGTGTCCATGCTTCGTTCCGGACATAGCGATAAAAAGGAGTTCATCGGTCCTCTTCCACACCTCTTTTTCGACGCCTACTCAACTCTTTTCACTAAGGGAGTTCGCTCCGGACTGCGCATTCTCAATTACCTCGTTATATTACTGGATCCAGCCCAGCGATCATTAATGGAAGAAGAAATCCGTCAGCTGTCCGACGACACCCCCACCAGATCTGAATACGGGGGTAAATCGCTCCCCACGCCTCCGGGGTCGCCGGAAGAGCCCAAACTCGAGGTCAAATCGTTGATTACGCCGGAAAACCGAAGACCTCCTATTACTCCCTGGATGGATAGTCTTGTAACGACCATGGGTCTGGAGGGAGTGGAAATCCGTCTTATGGAATAGTGAGCAAGAAGTGGAATGTGTTATTTTTTTGGGGCTTTTTTTTGATACCCTTCTGTGATGAGATATGAGATCATTGAGTGGATTAGGTGCAGGTAGATTGGAATTGAATAAATGTATAGCATATTACTTGATTATTAGATATTAGGTAGCGAATGCAAAGTCTCAAATATAAAACAAGTAATCCCTGAACGTGATTGATAAAATCAGATTAAAAATTCAACTGCGCTGTCACTTTCCGCTTTATTAAGATACTAATGGAGAGGTAGACTCAACTTGTTCGTAAGATTATAATATCTTCCCAGCGAAAAGCTCTGCAACAAATTCACATTTGTTAAACATCTTTGTTCTCCAACTATAACCAGTATAGTTAATTAGTGCTTATATTACTAATACAAGATGCATGACTACTAGCAAGACAGCAAGAGGATATAGAGCTAACTCCTCTCCCTCTGCGAGCTGCTCCGGGGGCGGCCGATTGTAAACCCTTTCACTTCGTTTCAGGGCAATCGTGTATTGTTTCTTATAGAGCATGAACAATTGGGTTTGACCTATAGTAGTGCTTCCTGGTATTCATATCTTGATTATACTACAGTTAGTTTCAGATGATATTGCTGATAAATTAAATTAATCAGAGATCAACCCCAGAAGTTTTACAGCTATTTCTGGATATTTTTTTTATCATCTACACCTAACTGTATTCATGATTGGTGCTAACCTGGTGACTGACTGAGTTGAGAAATTAATCCTTATAGTTGATCCATCAAATTCAAAGATTCTATTTTATTTTATTTTTTATTTGTATTTTTTTTTTTTTTTTTTTATCATATAGTGATTTGAACTGAGACCCGAGGGCAAGGCAAAGACAGGCTCTCATGAGTCATGAGCACCAATGTACCTTATAAGATATACCTAAGCAAATCCCAAGAACTAGCAAGCTATCAAATACATTGCCCACAACACCATGCCTTCCTGCTGTAGAATTCTATGTAAGTGAACCTGTTAGGCTAAGCACTTGTCAACCTCATCTTCTCAGCTGGGGTTTGTGATAGTTTGGTTGTCTCTGCGCTAGTTGAGGTAAAACCACTTGACCATATAAAAAGGTACAAGACAACTGATCGAAGATCAGTCGCATCTAGCGCCCTATATAGTATGTTACAGGTTCAGCCTTGACAGGGTTGAGCCGTTAAGAGCAATAGCGGGTGTTCCCGACCGAGATACGAATGCTACAGGCTCGGCGGATCACCGGGGCATCTAGGGGTCTCGCATCCAAGGGTAGGCCAAGTATTTGCAAGCTTCAGATCATAGAATTTCTAAAAACTGTTGAAGAGAAACAGAACTCACGAGTCTATTCATTAATCTTTGTTTCAGCGACCCTATAAATCAACCCCGCATTAATATCTGACCAATAAACTATAGTGGAAGTCGCTGCTAGACTGTAGCTTCAAACATGAGATGTTTTGATTGACTCTCAATTGTAGCGAGGAAATATTAGGTAAATTTGAGCCAAATTATATATATATATGGTTTGATTGAGTGTACAAGTCTTAAGCACCAATATCCGACCATCGTTATTGAGTAAAATGGAGTTTAAGGGGCGTGATGTTTAAAAAGGCCCGTGTCCCCTTGGAAAATACCAGGCCTCAGTAGGTAAAACGTCAGCCCCCAAAACCAGCTATTGGAGCAATTACAATGTACTGCCTATTTTTGCTTAGCGTCTTGTGGACCTTGTCAACTGCAACTCCAGCTGCTATTCCTGAGTTTGTTTTTGACGGAGATGCTCCTTACAATATTCCAGCAGATGCCCTCCGGGCGTCGCTCACTTGTCCAAATGGCACACCTAATTCCAATGATAAACCAGTGCTTTTGGTTCATGGCACAGGAAGCACTGGCAACGAGAGCTGGGGCCGAGGTTTCGTCCCTGCCCTAGCTGAGACGGGCATGAAGGCCTGTTTCACGAACTTACGTGAGACTGAGGACACTGCCAATTCTGCCCTTGTGGCCTTTCTAGCTGCTGACTTGTTTCTACTTTTTAGCAAATCGATCTATGTCGGACGCCCAAGTGAGTTCCGCCTATGTCGCCTATAACCTCCATTATCTCTCCTGGCTTTCCGGCTCTCCAGTAGCTGCAATTGGGCATTCACAAGGCAGCCCGAACATCCAGTGGGCTTTACGGTTCTTCCCCTCCACTCGCAATGCCGATGTGACTCGGGCCTTTATAGCCATGAGCCCTGATTTTGCTGGGGTTGGCTTTGATGGTATAGCTGCATTTTGCGATATCATCGATGGTGTCCGTTTCTGTACTCCTAGCTTATGGCAACAGGCAGCTGGAAGCAACTTCATGAAGGCCCTCAACGGTGGGTCACATGGGATCAACCGTGCGTATGTCCCCACGACAATTGTCTGGTCCAGGACGGATGAGATTGTGGTTCCTCCTTATCAGAACAGCCGGCTCTCAGGGGCGGTTATGATCGCTGCTCAGGACTTGTGCCCACTCCGAGTTGTCGGCCATCTCCTCATGACTATTGACGCCGCTGGTTTTGCAATTGCACTTGATGCGCTGAACAACGATGGACACGCCAACGTTTCTCGAATTGACGAAAGTGTATGCCGGAATTTTTTGGCTCCCGGAATGAATCCAACACTTGCATCGTTGACTGAGGCCGGAACTAATGATATTGTGAAAGGGTTCCTGTATGTTGACTTATCTTCCCGACTTCGTCTGAATTTTCATGCGCTAACACTGAGCAGACTAGGAGGACCAAAGACTAAGGAGGAGCCTGCACTCCTGCCATATGCTGTATAATCACTAAGTTCAAATTCAAAAATTTGCGAGTTCACTCATTCACCATAGAACAGACAGACCTCTAGGGCAGCACACGAATTAGGAGTTTGCTCATTGGTAGCATAGTCCAACACCGAGCGACTATGTATCGAGTGGAGTAACTACACTAGACTACGACAAATAAATAATGAAATATAAGAATTAATTCTACACTAGTTCTTAACTACTGAAAATTACTTAGAAAGTCTTACTCATACATCTTTGCATACTCTATATTATATCCTCGGTCGGGGCCAAGAGTGGCTGGAGCTCCAAGACCGAGGTCCGAGCCGTACTTTGTCTTGAGAGTGTGTATCCCAGAATGAAAGGTGGGTTCACTTAAAAAAAATAGAAGAAAGAAAGAAAGTATTTGTAGATCATAATGCTGTATGATGAATCGCCTCAATCATTGGCTCTGACTAACTAAGCGAACCTCCCATCTATCCCCCACTCAAACCCACCTTGCGTAAACCCACAACACTTGGACTTGCCCTCTGTAAGTATAGTCTGGAGTACCAATACGAGAATATGTTTCACTCACATGTAGACGGTCGTGACATTGCGAAATTCTATCGCGCCGCACTCCCGCCACCTCGGCGGTGCTCGTAAGACTCTCCAATTTGGTCTTATGATTCGCTTTGGCCTCGAAAGTCATCAACCTCGAAGCCGAATTGAGTGAAGTTTCCAGCGTCGTCCAGGCAGATATAAGCGATGAAAGGACGGCGCTGAAGGTCGCAGCATTTTGTTAGTGAAACAACGACATAGCCACCACACTTGCCAATCAAAGTAATGGATGTACTTAGTGTATTGTTCAAAGAGACACCAGGACCGGCACTGGTCGAACATCGCAGCCCAACAGCAAGCCTCACGACGAGGACAACCTGGGCGCCAACTATAAGGCCAAAACGAGGTTTAACCGCCTCTGCTACAGTACAAGAGATAATGAAGTCTCTAAGAATCGTCAAGTCGTTGTTCTGTAGTCTGAATCGCGATTCCCATATCAAACGCCCAAATGGTGGCGCGACCGTGGACGGTTTCCAGAAAGCACGCGTACAGGGGACTCTGACTTCGAGTTCTAGTAGTCGCAGCTGTCTAGAGGTGCGGAGGTAAGCGTACTGAAGTGCCCAGATAGTGGAAATAAGGAATGGAATATTGGAAACCATCGTCGAGCTGGTGGTGACCAGGGAGGCTGATGTGATGGATGAGAATAGATCTGAAATCGTTAGTTTGCAGTCAAAATAAATAGGGTTCGATAAAATATTCATACTTGATACGGCAACAAGGATGCTGAGGCCAACTGTCCCTCAATGATAGTCATGTCTTGACTGAATCAGATTCAAGATAGAGCTCATGTCGTGGATAGAAAAAAATGACTGAGGTGCCCTAATAATATGGTCAAACCTCGAGACGGACTGACAGTTGATATATATCCCTCATGACAATTTTCAGCAAGACTGTATGCAGTTTACGTGAAGTATACGGAGAAGTGAGGATCAGTATATACCTTTAAGATATCAGTTTGCTCTATGTTGTATTCCTGTTTCAGTTCAATCATGACTTACCAGACATATCCAGCCGTCCCAGCCGAAGTCAACCGTCAGACAGAGTTATACACTCATATAGAGGTCAATCTGACTTGTATGCATCCGTTTAAGCCAATATATATGGTGCATAGCTTATGCTAATATATGACAGTGGGTGTAGTGCTCGCATGGGCCATTCAACGCCAATCGATATTCCCGACGACTTAACAAGATTTACTATGGACACCCTCGTCCTGTGTACTGTGAATTTTAGATTTAACACTTCTACCAAGATAGTGAGGATCATCTTTTTATTCAAGCAATCAACCAAGCTTTTCGTGTAGACCTGCATCCTGTTCCCGAGATTTTATAAGCCCTCTTCGCCTATTTGCTGCCCGACGTATGTCTGGTGCTATGTAGGTGAAACGTGCATACAGCCAAACAAAATCTCACCCCGGGGCAGTGGGCTGTCACTATGTTCAAGACAGGGTGACGGTGGACAAAGAGACTATTATCTCTTTGTGGAACCAGGGAGCCTGGATATATGTCTGTGGGCTAAGAGGATGGCTCAAGAGGTGAGGGAAATGTGTGAGAAAATCCTCAGTAGGAGTCTAGTAAATTCGGAAGATTCAGGGGAGGAAAGATTTGCTGTGTGCATTTTTTTTTTTTTGATTATTTTAGAGACAAAAAGGAATAATGCAACAGACATCAACAAAGCAGGCGGCAGGGCTAAGAATAATATCCCCTGTGCCAAATTGTCCGTATGGATGGGGAGTTCCATTTGCCATGCTGTCTGTAACGTGTCTCGAAACCCCAACTGCACAAGTATGATAGACGCATTGGACATTCACGCATCAACATTCACCAGCCGTGTATCTGTTCTTCCAGTCACCCCATCTTTCCTGTTTCACACCTCTTCTTCCCATCCCCATTCATTCCAAAGAAGCTGTCCCTAGTCTGCCTTTCCATAGCATTTTAGTTTGAATTTATTCAAAATGTCTATGAAATACTTTGTTAAGATACGAGGAACCGAGGCCGACATTCTCCACAAGCCTCTTCAAGCCTCCGGAGGAGAGCTTGAGTACGCGTCGAAGGTGGAACCACACTTCCTGAAGTATCTCTACCTAGCGCCTACTCTATAACTATATATACCCTCTGCTTTATGCAGTAAATTTTGACTTCAGCATTAAACTCGAACCTGTTTAGATAGAGACAGTCACTCTTATCCAGTTTAAAGAGGACTTCAATGGCCAGGCTAGTGAGAATGCCAAGCTAGGGGGAGTGGATAAAATGGCTGTCAACAGTAGTCTGTTAGGTTATTCGCACATTTTGGCCAGATTAAAGGGACTGATATTCCCTCAACTTCACCGTGGTGACGGAAGGGTAATTACAACATCGACAAATGGAGACATTTAATCTACGGAGGTAGTGAGAGAAGAACTATTAGACATCTATCAACTAAGCTCAATTGTCCCATCATGCAGAAAAATACATGATATACCAAAATTAATGCTCAGCCTATAGGATTTTACGTGGCTGAATAAATTTTTGTCAACCATAAAATTACGCGTATTCGCAAGTATCGATCCTTCATTGAATTAGGTCTCTGATTCAATTAAACTACCAAAACATCTCGCGTTTATAAAGGCGATGTAAACAAATGAAGAATGCAAACTAACTAATATAGGAAATATACGCGATCCGATGATGTTGTATCATCAACAACATTTGACTGAGAAAGGTGCTGAATAATCAAAATTTACCATAGTTAATTATCGAAAATTTTATGTCTATGCATCATCCACTAGCCATCAGAAACAATTTGAGTCATGCTATATATGCATTTAATATACATGGTTCACATTTCTCGTTTAGACGCTTCGTATCCGAGAGTGACGCTATTCCCAAAAGAGTTCCCGCTGTCATCAACCGTGGAACAGCATTCCGAAGGGTCTGAGACTCGACAAATCGGAGCCATCGTTCATGCAGAGATTTATGCAACATATAGCTACTAGCTCATTCCTGTGAGTCAAAGAGGAGACGGTCGTCAAACTTGTTACCAAATATTTAGTAAAGATCACTCAAGCGAGTAAGTAATCCGCGAGAGTCCCAGGTATATAAGGATCCCAAATTTCTCTCAAGGACTATTAGAAATCTCGGAACAGTCCTAGAATTTGGTACAGACCTAGGGAAACGGCTGATCAAGAAGAATCTAACAGTGTAAGTGACCTTCCTCTTTTTTACAATATATTCCTTTTTACTCTGGTATTGTTTTATTCCATGATGAGGTATTTTTCACTCGCCGAAATGAAGCTATTGGATATGCTTAAGGCCGATAGCGAAAGGATTATCTGTTACACTAATCTGACCTTATTGCCATAATCTTCTGTTTCAGTGCCTTAATCGTGTCAAGTTTTGAATGCTAGCCATACTAACTGTTTGGTTGTCTACCCTCTAGGTTACATGTGTGAAACTAATCGGAATTTCGACATACTACATTTTCGATTTAGATGTTGTCTAAAATCTAATATAAATATAGTTTATAGCTTTGCAAAGTTTATTTTTATATGTTTTGTCTTGTCGTCCATGCGTATAGAACTATGAAGAGTGGATATATAGGTGCTACACAACCTTTCTGTAGTTGTATATTGGTAAGGGTACTTTAAGGCCAAAGCCATGCTCTTGTATGTATGTATTTAAATCACTAGAGCAATATAACTTCTATGGATATATTCACGAGCGTTAGATACGATGTCGGTCAGCTGACTACGTGTATGAGCTAGTATCACCAATCATATAATAATATAGATCTGCATTGACAAGGATAAGGTCTCTAAGGTCTCTTAAGGGCTCTAACTATCTGAATCTATCTGGGAGAGCTGGATAAAAGGTGAAAAAACAAGCAAGGGAACAAAGTCGGACCGAGCGGATGCTGAATAATGGGTAATATTGGCCTACTTTGGTCAATATACTGTCAGATATACGGCTAGTCCCGAAGAGGAAATAGAGTACGATTGGTAAAAAAGTCTTATTTGAATGAATTGAGCTGGTTGGGCTCTTCTTGATTATTCTTCTTGGTTATTCTTGATTGATTATTTTGTTGTGTGCTCCGCGGGGGTTTTACCCCGATCTAGTCACATGATTCTGGTCCACCAACGGCCATATTATTTGACACATACTAGTACTACAAACAATAATTTTTAGTGTAGAAATACTTGTCGAAAGCATGATCACGTGTAAAGTATAGATAATTCGCCTTGGGCATAAAAAGGCGGTGAGATGTAACAACGGAATGATTCCCCGCCAAGCATCCAACTGACAGTAACCATCCTCAGCAATGGAGTGAAGAGTAAACATATGCCAGACCCAATGCTCCACGAAAGATTATCCAAGACATGCGACCGCTGTAGATCACGTAAAGTCCGTTGTATCAGTATGTCAGACTATAGAGAAAGGGAAGTTCCTATGCATGTCTAACAAAAGACAGGATTACGAGAGTCTCCTGACAAATGTACCAACTGTGTGGTAAGTTTTCCAGTCCAAGTGGTGCATTCTAGATATCGCAGCTAATCTGGCTTAGAAACGAGGAGAGACATGTAACTTTCGATTATCGAAGAGGAAGTTCTTGGTCTCGGAAGGGAGCCCTGCTGCGAGTACTCATAGTCGTGAGTTTCATGAAGATGTCCTCCCTCCAGCTCAGAATGTGCCATCTTTCCCAGTCGATGGTAAGCGATGATCATCACCTGGTTCGACATTCTGGGTAACATATTGTAGATTCTCTTTCCACCTCGCCGACATTCCGTAGCGATGCACAAGAGAGTTTCGATCCGCCGCCTCTGTATATAGATCACCTGATTGAGAGTCAAGAAGCTGCAGGACGATTTCTTCATTCGAGCCCTTTCTTCAAGGTGCGTTGATTCCGATCCGTCTATACCCCGGTCTTCCTATAACTCTGTTTTAGGCAAATGATAGTCATAGTAAGTAAGCATCGCTACACCAGCCGGCTATTCTCCCCTGACAATGCCCTATTCAGTTGCCAGCGCAGGCGTAGCCTATTTTTCGGAAAGTCGCATTCAAGCAATCTCAAAGAAATTAGGAAATAACGGGCTTGAGATACTAATTGAACGAATAAATCGATTTGTAACAAATCGCTTTGAGTGCTTCGAACACGCTCCGAATGCCTCAGCCATATGGGCAAAACCTGACGACCCGCCTCTGGTCTCGACAGAGACTGCGAGGATCTACTTGAACTGTATGGTAACTTTCAGTCTTTCGCTTGGAGGCTATCAAGGAATGCTGACATTGGCCCGGTTGGTAGCATATTTTACTCTAGTCCATCCGGTTTACCCTTTCCTTGATCGACATTCATTTGAAGGGAGGGCCTTTGGACCTGGACTAGTAGCGGATCTTGCAACAGACATACACTGGAGGGCCCTATACTACGCAGTCCTTGCGCTGGGAAGCCAATACCATGGTGGAGGTGCCTTTGAGCCTCGGAAGGGGGAATCCTGGAAGTTTTACCAGATGGCTTTTAAGTCTTTTCCCAGCTATTCTGATCAGTACGAAGAGCCTCGTTAGCATCCATGTATGTTTTTTTGGGAGTCCTTCATAGGTTTTACTGACAAGATATAGGCAATTCTCGCGATGGTTTGTTTGTTCCTTTTTTTACTTGTACTGACTAACTTGCAAAGGCTATTTTCGCACTCAATATCTCATACATGCATATAGACGAGTTACTGATAACAGAAGCTGCAAGGCTAGCCCAGTGCATGGGATTAAATGGCGCTTCTAATTCCTCTGATAGGGAGATCGAGTATCGGACGTTTTGGGTTATTTATAGTCTGGAGAAGACATTGGCTTTTACATATGCACGACCCTCGGTAGGTAGTGGCACGCAGCATTTGTTGCATTAATAGGCGCTTACATTCAATAGGTTATCATGGACTGCAATGTTGGCTGCCCTATTCCTACTGTTCCAGAGGCGGTGTTTGGTGACTACAATTGGCTTCACGCGTCTGCCAGCTTCGCCCGCCTCATTTCAAAAATACACGAAAGTCTCTTCTCTCTCACGGCAACTTGGAACACTCAGCATACTTACTACCGCAAAATAGATCAGATGACTGGTCTCCTGGAACGTTGGCGGCAATCGATTCCGCAAGCCTTCCGTCCGGGGGAGGCATTTCGACCCCAATTATTTTGCAATCCATCCGCGACATTAATTACCTTGCGGACTCACTTCTACTACTACGATGCTTCTATAGCATTATGTCGCTTAACTCTTCATTTGGGGAAAAATCAGGACAGTCCACGTGAGATGACCAGCAAAAAGGATCTTATGCAGTCTGCGCGGTCAATTATTGAATTGCTTCGGTACATTGACATGGAAGCATATACACCAGTCTAGTAAGGGCGCTGGTTGTTTATGAGACACGGATGCTAATATATAATAGTATCCTTGCACTACTGCCACTAACAGCAATGTTTATTCTCTTCGATCTCGTAATTCACAACCCAACACACTCTGAAACATCAAGCAACCTAGCATTATTAGAGGTAGCAGGCGGTCATTTCAGCAGGCTTGAGTATGCATCTGGAGGCACGCTGCCTAGTTCTATTCTTGCGGAATTTGCGTACCTTGCCCGCACATTTGTTCGCAGTTTTACGTGGCAAAAGGAAGGGCAGCGACCCGTTGGAACTACGATGACTCCCGAATCTAGAATCGCTTCGGGACCTAGCCAATTGCCAGACCAGGTAAGTCTGTCTCGTCATATCTACACCTTTCTCACATTCTATAGGGCCCCGATATGCTCTCCCTATCCTTGGACCTCCAACCACCAACGCCTTTGTTTCTCCCGTCCCTCGAGCATATGTCGCCTGAAAGGGGTCTTCTCCCGGGGTTCAATGTGATGGACCTTTTTGGGGCCGTTGTCCCTTCTGATCAATATGTGTTTTACGATACGTCTTAGCGATTATGTACTACCAGACTGTGCTTTGTTTTTACAATTCGTCACGCGGCTCCGAAGTCTTAGCCGTCAACAAATAGAGAGACAGACAGAGATTGCATTATACCCTGTATAAATCGGAGATACGGATGCTGTTAGATCACGGTGCAATTCATGCCTTCCACGATTACAATGTCATTATGCGCGCTGCTGAGAGATATCATTCGTAGACAACAGTCTCTACAATACTTACGCAGCTTACCAACGTTACGGGAGCCAGAATAAACTCATACTTGTCTTTTGCATTGTAATCCAGAGTATAAAGGCTAAGCAAAGATCTGTCTGGAGTGGTAATTGCATAGCCGGTCCTCTCGATTGACATTAACCCGATTAAATACGGAGTATTCTAAATACAGTATATTAGCCTTACAGCTAGGATCTTCCACTTCCTATTTTTGACATTTGGAAGTCGCCCGTTCCGTACTCGGTGCTCGGGAGTCGACCGGCGTGGCGGCAGCTAACACCGAAGTCCGAGGGCGTCTGGAGAAGAAATACAATTAATCCCGGTGGCAGCAACTCTTAAATAGGGCTTATATGGTGATGTTTTCCTAATGGGGGCTATTATACTCTGGCGAGGTGGTGCCTTGTCTCCTGGTTTATATTTAGGAGCCAGAAATTCGATCCCGGCATTCCTGCGTCTACAACGGACTTCTGGATAGACGATTGCTTCTATCGGATAACCCGGGCATATATACTGTAATTGCTACGCTACGCTCCACTGTTGACACTCCTCTCTATCTTCGTGCTTGACGATGGATAAAATTGCTCTCCAGAAGGGTTGCCATGCATTGATCGATGGTATTGAAACATCGTATGGATATCAACCATCATTCGCCATCGGCATTATATTCTGCGTGCTATTTGGGTTGTCACTGTTGGCGCATACCGTGCAGCTTATATGGTCACGTCAATGGTGGTGCGCAGTGTTCGCTATTGGGTGTCTGAGTAAGTCCACCACAAACCCACCGGAAAGTATCTAACAGATACAGCGGAGGTAATGGGGTGGGCTGCTAGAACGTGGTCATCGAAATGCCCGTATGAAATGGATGCCTTTCTTATGCAAATGGCTACTCTAGTTATCGGTAGACCACCACTATCAAGTATATGATATCCCACGGCTAAAGCTTCTAGCCCCAACCTTTTTCACTGCCGGCATCTACATCCTCCTAGGGAGTCTCATCAACTTCCTTGGTCCCGAAAGCTCCTATCTGCAGCCTCGATCCTACCTCTGGATATTCTGTGCCTGTGATATCATCTCCCTCGTTGTACAGGCCATCGGCGGCGGAACCGCCGCAACGGAAGCCAGCAAGGTTGTCGGAGACACGAAACCAGGAACCAACATCATGGTTGCGGGAATCATCTTCCAGATGGCATCCATAACGACCTTTGTGCTGTGCGGAGTGGACTTCCTCCGACGTGCTCGCAGGCCTCATCTGCGGAAACAATTCACGCTCAGGATGGGGTATCTGGTCCTGGTGACAGTTTTCTCCGTGGTGTGTATCTATGTCAGGAGCATTTACCGTACGATCGAGCTGTTGGAGGGTTGGTCAGGGTATTTGATCACGCATGAGTGGTATTTCATTGGACTGGATGGGATCACCATGGTGTTGGCGGTGGTTACCTTCAACGTGGTTCATCCTGGATGGTTTCTACCGGAGAGGACTATGTCACGAAAAGAACCGTTGTCGTCTGTTGATGAGGGAGATAAAATAGCGCTTCAAGATGTAGAAGGGGCTAGGAATTGTTGATTTGTTTTTGCTTCTGTTCTATAGAAGTGTGCCCATTACTTCGGTTGTACTCTTTACAGTATTCATGACTTCTCCTATCTTATGTACATAGTAAACTAGATCTTTCTATCAACAAACCGTCAAGGATTCAAAATAATAGTCTTTGTCTGCAAGAACTCCTCTACCCCCCATTTCGCACCAAACCTCCCCCAACCACTTTCCCCCTGGCCACCATGCGGCAAAGTAGCTTCATCATGCACCGTCATAGCATTTACATGGATAGCCCCGGAGCGGATATTACCGGCTAACTTCAAAGCCTTGAAATGCGACGCGGTGAAAATCGACGCTGACAAGCCATACGCTAATCTCTGCGATAGTTCATTTGCCTCCACTTCAGACTCGACTTGCATGATGCCGACAACGGGACCAAACGACTCCATCGAGAAGTAGTCCATGTCAGATGTAAGACCCTCGATCACTGTGGCAGGGAACTGGTGATCGTGCAGACAGGGAGTATCAGCCTGGTGGATGGACGCTCCCTTCGCTTTCGCATCGTCGACTAGATTCTGTAAACGCTGTTTACTAGCTGGGGAGATAACTTCGTACGGGCTGGTTATTAATTCCAGATGTGACAGGATGCGAGAAGTTATGGAGGGAGCAATTTCCTGTACGGCGAAAACTAGATCCGTTGACATACAGATTTGCCCATTCTGAATCTGTGCGTTAGCCCATTCCCATCATCTGATACACGTATCTTTGATCATCCACTCACATTCAAAAAAGCCCCTTTGATAATCTCCCTCGCTGCTAGCTCGATGTCCGCATCGTCCAACACCAGAGCAAAGTTCTTCCCTCCTAATTCCAGCAACACGGGCTTCAGCGCCCACGCGGCTTTCGACGCGATTATGCGTCCTACGTTCGTTGATCCTGTGAAATTGCATTTCCGAACGGCCGGGTGGGCTATCATGGTCTGGAAAATATCCTCCGCATCTTCAGCTCGATGGAGAATGAAATTCACAACACCGGGAGGAAATCCGGCGTCGCGAAAGAGAGAGGCCAGAAGGTAGTGAGTTCGAGGACTTAATTCGGAGCCCTAAAATCGTTGGCGATGAGGCGAATAAAGGAATAAAAAGAAAAAGGGAAGACTTACCTTGAGAATGACCGTATTCCCAGCTGCCAATGGTGCCACTATCCCCCTTAATCCTAGTATAATGGGAGCATTCCACGGCACCATAGACAGAACCACGCCCAACGGCTCCTTCAACACCATGGCATACGACTCTCCATTCGTGACAGGAACCGACCCCATCATGGAATCAGAAATCAACCCAGCGGTCTCGTTTAATAAGTTAATGCTATCGTGGACATTGATTTCCGCCCAGACAGCTGGCGCGTGTATTTCCTGTTGCATGCATTGCACGAATTCATCCGCGCGTTCGCTCAGCAGACCGGCGATTTTCTGTAGAAGTTGTCGACGGTACGACGGGGAGGATTTCGACCAGCTCGTGAAAGCCTGCGCAGAGGAGCTGATTGCCTGTAGAGCTAGAGCGGGCGTGACGCCTTGAAAAGTTGTCGAAGAATCAACCGGATCAGCGGATGTCGGGACGGTATCTTGACCGTTGATGAGAAGGGGAGTAATCTGCATGATGTACGAGAATATGTGATCCTAGTTTCGTGTGTATGCCATACATGACGGGCTGATGAGTTTATGTACCAATGTGCTCTATCCCTATAAAGTTCGGTTCCTCACCTTGCGATGTAGTCCCGAGGCGCTTACCGATAGGCGGACTCAATCCGCAGTGGAGATTCGCTCGTCGTGTTAAATCCGGGGGCGGGTGGTTCTGGGTTTCGATATTTCCCTATTTCCGAGGGCCCACCCAAAGTTTAAAACTTTCGTAGATCGAGCTTTAATGCCGAATTGAGTGCCGGGAGTCAGCCATGATGAGTGTGGAGAGTTTACCATGCATATTTACGAGATTATTCTGTAGATGCCGACTGGTTGATATTATGACGCATCCTTTAATAGGTCACTTCACCTTGACTACTGCACAAGTGACCTGTAACCACAACTTTGGGCTATCCAGCTCAATGCCAAGGATTAGTCAGCTTCTAGACCCAGTTGTCTATGGAATATTGCACATTGCTTTTGATAATGGATGAGATGAGAATGACATGTTTGTGATAGAGAAAATCATTCCATGGTCCTCGCTTGGTGGAAGTAGAGATCGGTCGTAGTGTATGGAAACTCATATTTCCGACTAAGTCGCCTCGCAGCACATTCAGGGGTAAGAAGTAGTCAGTCAAGATATTTTTATGTCTTATTTTTCGGTCTTATGGTAGGCAGACGAATATTGTGAATAAAGAATGCCAAGCGATAGCCCACGACTATCAGGTTCATTTAGCGCAGCTGCTGTCATGCTACAGTGCCCCCAAAGATCGAGAGCGTGTCCCACCAGATCTTCTTTCATTGCATGCTGGGCCCACAGCCATATCACAGAAAGATGGTGCCAAACATGACAGACCTGCGCGAGTTACCAAGTACTCTAGACCAAGTTTCATTGGTATAATCGCGTCTAGGAAATAGAACGATGGAATTCATAATCGATATGGACCGCTTAAAGAGTACGAAGGACTACCCAGATTCTGTCGAGTAATTAACACAACTTTTTGAATAGAAAATTTCCTTCAGTCAGAATCCAGATTGACTGTAGAGCATATGTTTCCGCAACTGACCAACAGTGTAGGAGCTCTACAGTATGTATTGTCCCAGAAGGAGTTATTGTGCCGCTTGTGCACCTACTTAGACCTTTTCTACTCCAATTAAACGACATACTTCGAACCCGTCAGCAATTCTTCACTGCCTCTATCTGCATTGCGAGCTTACCGGAATGAACAGATACGGAACCTCTCTCTCATAGCGCTTCCAGGCCTCACCATACTTTCTCCGACATCTATCAATATCCCTCCTGGTGCGATGAATTATCATAGCCATGAAGAAAACAAAGTAAAACCAAGGGAATGGGCTCCTAGCAGACGGTCAGCCATCACAACCTAGTATATAATTTGTTTTACCAATAAGACCTACTTAAACCCGGTGATTAGGCCCCATGACATAGAAAAGAACATATCCGGGACGTAGTTAGGCTTTCGGATAATTGCAAACCATCCATCGACCATAATACTATCGCCCGTACTCGTTTCGATAACCTTGGGGTTCTCGATAGCTTGCCACGGCACTTGGGGGAAGGTGTTCCGTTTGACAAGCTGGCCCTTTTCCTTGTGGCGGAATGCGTTCTTCTGGCCATTGGCACTATCCCACATCCAGTAGAAGAAAAGGTAAAAAACACTGAGCACGGTTAAAGCGTATGGATTCCAGTGATATTCGGACGGGTCATGTGTGGCCAGGTATAGAGCACAGTGGCAATAAGTGAATGGCACGCCGGCCATATTCCAGAAAGTGAGCATGAAGCCCAGTTTTTCAAAATACATATCCCTAGGTCAATGTAAGCTCGGTCAACACTACTTCCCCACCACCGTCTTTTCACTTACCAGCTTGTAATGATCATCTGCTCCGCTTTAGCACATGCGTTGGTGTATAAGTAATGCGCGGCGGCCAAGAAGGCCACCTCGGCGGAAACATAACCGTACATGTCGTACTGGCGAGCAGCCACGGAGCAGGTAATGAGGAACAGGATGAACCACGGGATCCTCACCTCGTAGAACATTTTAAAGTCCAAGATGCCGATACGAGGATTCAGCTCGGCGCCCATGAAGAAGTCGTATATGGGATATCCTGTAAGTCTATGTGTTCGTCCGCGCACAATAGCTTGGATGTAAACGATGAAGCTGCTCAGAAAGCCAGATAGGATAGCGACGGTCATAATAGAGCCGAACTCGTCAATCAGCGTGTATAAAGGGAATATACGGGTGACATGCAGGACGGCGGCGATAGCGAGCGTGGAATAGAAGCTGATGTAGGCGGAGCAGTAGTAGGGAAGTCTCTTGCCTCCTTCGTGACGGAGTGGTCGACCGTAGTTAGATACACCGGGCATGTAGCAGTACATAAGGGCCTGTAAGAAGAAAAATATCCAGTAGATAGCCCAGGATTTGGCGGTTGGATAAGCTCCATCATAGACGAGTTGACATATGTGGCAGACAAACTCAGTCCAAGTCTGGTCAGGTGCAGGGATCGGAAGTTGGCCATCGTAGTATGTTGCACCTATCCACATGTACCACATCAGCAAGGGGAAGCCTATCATCAACGAAGCAGCACCAAATGAACCACCAAACTCGAATTCATCTGTTGCGCCATCAGTGACCTTGGTCATTGTAGTTGACCCGGTCCCTTTGTTCTTCTTATCTGGCATGGCAGCAGCGGGAGGATTTCTGTGTGTTGCACCACCCATGACTGGACTCGATGTAGTAGGTGGTGATCAGAGTGTTGGAAGGACGAGTGTCGAGTTTTGCAGGCGACAGCTGCACATATAAATATGACAGGTGACAGCACGTGCCTTCAGCTTTGTACTACCTTACCTGTGACCTGCATTTTTATAATTTCCAATCCTTCATCGCTTTCACAAATGGTCTTAATACTGTCAGGCGGCATTTAATTACTACCACCTCTATATTTATCAATACATTATTGTTTTGTACAGATAAATAAGTACAGTCAACATTTAAATTGGAATGGCTTCAACACATTGTAATATCGGACATTGATAAAAATGCAGGGGTAGCAGACTATAGAACATGTCAGAAGCCGTGGAGGCCGCGGAGGCCGCGGTCGTGGCCCCACCAGTATATCCTTCAATCATTCAAGGTTAATCCAGTTCTTACTTACGGAAGAGGTTTAGAGGTGGGCATCAGAAGAATGATACCAGATAGGTAGATTTTATAAAACTGTAATCATATCTAAACAAAGAACATAAAATATAGTGTTAGGGGCCTTTAATTGCAGTAACCCATTCTCGATTTCCTGGCCGAATGGTACGTGCGCGGGAGGACACTTGACCTGTGATGACCTAGTTGCCATTGTCTTATAGCTAGTAATTATTGCTTTATTAATATATAGCTTAGGTTTTATATTGCCTTTTCTTACCATTATTCCTACATATTCTAGCTTCGCGAATTCTTACTATAAACTAACCAAGTTAGATTATTTTTTGATCCCTTTTATTAAACTAGCTTAGATTCTTGGAATTTATCCTTTTTACCTTATTCTGCTCTCTGACTCTGTGTATCCATGCGCTTAGCCTAATTCAGAAATGGGGTGTGTTTTTAACAATTCTCTAGCAGAGATCAAGTAGCTATTTATAGGGCAGTTTGTGTCTGCTCTTCTATTTCCCAGTGGCCCACCCAGCGCCCTACAGAAACTAGGTGACCTTTGCCCATCATGGATTTGAATCCACCGCGGTTCATGTGGATACACGTATGACATGAAATAACTCCTTACCTTGATTCATCATTTGCTCTATGACTCATTACAGAATGATATTAAGCCGCCGAAGTACCCGAACACGCGTGAAACTACTGTACCTAAAATTGCCCGCCCTTCGAAGTCTTCATCCGTATACTTGACCCAGCCGACGTCAACACCATCATGTGAATACATAAATTGTGCACTTTTCGCAGTATTGTTAAAGTATCTAGTATATAATAAATTACCTATATTTTTTAATTTAAAACCTTTAGAATACACTTTTAGACCAAATTCGATTTCTTTTCTAAGTCTAATATTACAGCTTATCAATCTCAAATCCCTTAGATAGCTTAGGCTTCTTCCGAACCCTCTCTAACCACGCCTACGTCTTCTCCTCAATTGGTATATCCAGAAGTGGGAGACTATTATTAGTATTATTTACAGCCTTAGAGGTTTTACTTCGGCACCGTGTAAAGGGCTGGAGCCCATTTGACCTGTCGGGTTAATGTCCCTATTATCCCTATTATCCCTGTTGTCCCTATTGTCCCTATTGTCCCTATTGTCCCTACTGTCCCTACTGGCCCTACTGGCCCTGTTGGCACCTTTGGCCCATCGGCCCTCGATCCATATCACGTGACTTCCCACCTTTGTTTACCGCTCATTTTCCCCTTCCTTTCTTCCCTTCTTCAACGATTCCTTCTTGCATAACCTATCTTATAGGTTCTATGGGTTCAGCCCTTGACACACCGCTTCTGTTGTACCTGCTTAGTTTGAGCTACAGGCTGCATGGTAGATAACTCTTTTCTACTTTATTATCAGATTCCAGTCCTCTTACAGTAATATTTCAGGAGCTTAATATTCTAATGGCCTTATATCACTGCCGTGAGGTCCTGGCCCGATCCCAGCCTTACTAAAATTAGAAAGTATATTGCCTCCTTGGGACGCATGAGTCGTGAGAGATAGATAGTCTACTTAGATAAAATCTACTTGCGGTATACAGGGGATGCGCATTCCTTGTTTTTAAGTTTTTATAATAACTTATTATTATACACTCCCGGGAGCATATTGCCTGGGTGCACGTCTATAAAATGTTAAGAGGAGCTATAACTAATAGGGGCAATCGAGACAGTAGGAACAATAAGGACAATTAGCCTGAGAGGTTAACGTGCTCACTGTTTTAACCAGAACAGGTGTACCTTCAAATTAAAAACAAGAGTATGTAAGCCGTATAAGTGTCACCTAATTATACTAGAATTAGTTAAAGAAGCGAGAGTTATGATAAAGCGGTTTTCTTGCGGTTATCTATGGCTAACCGTGGTTAAACTGCAAATCTGCCGTTGTGGTTTTGATTATGATACCCAAAACCGCGGTTTTGCCGCAGTCTACTGCTATCTTTTTAGTGTATTTCGCGAAGGCTTTACCTAGGAGCTCCGAATCCAAGCTTGAAAATAAAATATGTGGAGCTTCTTTTACTAAGTATCTAGTTCCTTTTATTCAGGCTAAGTTGTTAATCGGCACCGATATAGTCATGCTTAAAGGGATATTATTTAACTTTGCTTGTTAAAGGGCTTTAATTATATCCTGCAAAGGATTTGTTTTTTCTATTGTCTGCAAGGCAAAGCCCCGTTATTAACCCAAGCAAGCGGTATATACTGCTCCCCGAGTTGTTATTGAACCCAAGGCAGAATTCCTATTAAGCTAAAGACAGGATTGCCCGGAGACTGTGACTATGCTTTCAAACTTTTAAATTGCTTTTTTTTAAGCTATTTTAGCGTACTTATTCAAAAATTCCTTTTCTTTTGTCGACGTTTTAAATAACCAAAATAAGCCAGTAACACTTGCAAAGCGCTGCTGCCTAGGTACCTTATTTAACACAGATAACTGTTTTACCACGCGTATAGGGCTGAAGATCTAGTTCCATTCCTTTAGATAATAGCTAAAAAGGAGAGAGTGTGTGAACGTTGGTGATTGCATTGGTTGCGCAGTCAATATAGTCATTATTGTTATTCTCCCTAGTAGACTACCGGTGTGTAGTTGGTATAGTTGTTATAGCCAAGCTCAGGATCTTAACTATTCCACTGGACTAAAGACCACTATATCTGATCCCAGAGCACTTTATATAGCCGCTCACTGTAATGTTGGATGACGCACCACACCTAACACTCCTCCCTTCTTCCCAAGAACGATCCTGCCAGCTGGTTTTATTCTTCAAGCAGATATAATGTGACTTGGACATCTGCTTTCAAAATGAAAGAAAAGAAATGAAATTGGTCCACGCGTAAAGAACTTCACTTCCAATGTGTTCTAACCAGTATAAGAGGATATGTTTTCACAAAACAAGCTTAACTTCCCCAGCAGCATATGGACTCTTTGCCCTTAACATGGGTCCTTTCGTCTTCAACAACCATGGAGCTACGCTCCCAATCAGCACAGCGACCACCGCCAGCAGGGTGCTTGCCCAGCCATACCCCAGCGTCTGATATAGCATCGGCGCAAAAATGGGCAGAGAAAAACCCGCCAGCGATCGGAGCACGGTCAAGGCGCCCATGGCCGACGCAGCGTACACTGGGTAGCAGTCAAGTACGTACGCCTGTATGCATTGATATCCCATCAATAACCCGAATGAGTAGATGAAGATGCCTATGTCCGGCATGGTCCAATGCAATTGGTAGGTTGCTGACCACCCGTACCAGAGGAGACCGCAGGGTACTAGAAATGCGCTGGGGATCATGAGCCAGATTCGATATTCGGGGAGGTCGATACCATTGTTTCGACGTTTGAGATGCGCGTATATCTGGATAGGTTAGTCCTCAGTCTTGGGGGTTTATATAACCCAGTAGGGCAGCTAGGGGAGGAGGCTTTACTCTATCATTCATGGGACCTGCGGTCTCGCAGCCCCCAAAGAATCCAAGACTGATGGAAAGATAGTTGAGACTGCTGATAATATCGGACTGGTGATAGTGGTTGCGCCAGAGGGCATGGAACGTAGAGATGGTGAGATGGTTGAGACCGAACAGGAGACCCATGTATATGGCGAGAGTTTGAATGATGGGCTGCGTGCCGAGAAGGATGAATGGGCGTGCGAGATCCACTCGGATTAGCTTTCGGAGTCGATCCAGTTGACCATCCTGGAGGTGTTTTGGAGCGTCGTAGCCTCGCTGGTTCCACCTCTGGATTCGCTTGCGATAGAGGATCACTGGGCCGAAAGTCTCGGGGAGAATGACAAGACCGAGGATTAAAAGAACAAACGTCAATACCGAGCACAGAAAGAAGATCTCCTGCCAGGTGCGATATTGCATGATAATACCTCCGAGTAGAGGACCGGCCGTGGGCCCGAGAAGGGGCATCACTGTATACACAGCCAGCGAGATGCCACGTTCGTCACTGACCCAGAGGTCGCTCAAGACTCCGGCACCTAACTATCTTCAGGGTCAGCAAATGTTTTTATCCCTTCTTTTCCAGGGTGTGAAATAAAAGCAAAAAAAAACTGACCGACATGGGGGCACTCCCAAACACACCACTTATAAAGCGTAGAGTCAGAAACACATTCTTGTCCATTGTCAGGCCGCACAGTGCATTGAAAATCAAGAAGCCCAACTGTCCGAGATGCAGTAATGGCGCACGACCATACAACTCGGACATCGGGCCGAGAATCAATGGCCCTAGACCCCAACCCAACACGTAAACGGAGAGCGTGAGCTGGGTGACAGAGGGAGATTCGATGTTCAAATCTTGCGTGAGAGCTGGCATGGCTGGCACGACCATGGATGAGGCGGTTGGGGCGATGACACTGTACACTGAGACCAACATGGCGCAGGTCCATTTCCGAGCGGACGGCCAGTTCTTAGGGTTACTTGGATCATTGGGACCATCCCAGTCCTGGTCCTGGTTAGCATATATATATCCATCTAAGAGGACATGGACGAAAGTCTTGCTATCTCTGAGTCTTCCTCCTGGCCATCATAGGATTGGCCGGGCGACGAAAGGAGTCGTGTTCGTTCGTCGACTATGTCTTCGACAGTCATCGTGAAAATTTTCGTGGATGCGGTTCCTATTTCTTAGGAAAGGAGTCTCTATACTATGTTATCTTTCTCTTTTTTTTATGTTTGTTTCGTTCTTAAAAAAAAAAAAAAAAAACGTTCAAGAGCGTCGACCGCGCAGGACAATTATGGTATGTTCGCTGAAGGTACCCGAAAGTCCGATACGTTCGGCCGCAGCAGCCCGAGGCCCCCAGTATCGGGGAATGCACATTGAACGCAGTCGGTCCATAGAAATATTACCTAACGTTCGAATTGTCCGAGCTGGAGAATTGGTCAACTTTGTTCCTCTGTCCTGTGCTGAGCTGGTTGTGGAAAGGCAAGGAGGAAGGTAGTTTGCTGACAGAGTGCCCATATTGCCAATGAACACATTGGCTACATAACTTACTCCGTACTCTTCGTTCAGTCTTGATTTCTAACCATTCGAGAATCCCCCATTCACAATGACAATCATGGAGCATGAGGATCAGCCACCCCCCCCGTGACCGAGACTCTATGTCAATGGATCTCGGATTTACAGTTAGAAGATGTGCCCATCCAGGTCCAGGAGCGAGCCAAACATCTTATCCTAGATGGTATTGGCTGTGGCATCGTTGGAACTCAGGCTCCTTGGTCGAAGATTGCGGCCCAGGCTGTCAGTGAATATGAGCCTGCTGGGTATTCCCGAGTGATTGGGCAGACGCAGGTGAGTGGCATTCTTTCACCAGGACAGCTTCGTGAAGAATAATACTAAAATAGATGGCGACAAACATAGAAATACCCACCCCTTGCTGCAACTCTCATCAATGGCGCCTTCATCCAGGCAATGGAACTCGATGACTACCACAGCAAAGCGCCCCTGCACTCCGCCAGCGTAGTCCTTCCTGCTCTTTTCGCCGCCGTGGAGGCCCAGCAGAACCGCCACGGGCACTCCTCCATACGCGTCTCCGGAAGGTCATTCCTCCTGGCAGCTATCACTGGGTTTGAAACCGGTCCGAGGGCCGGCAATGCAATCTATGGGTCGGATCTCCTCTCCCGGGGATGGCATTCCGGCCCTGTCTTTGGATCTCCAGCAAGCGCCGCCGCGACGAGTAAGCTTTTTGGCCTCAACTCCGAGGACACCGAGTCGGCCATCGGCATCGCCTGTACCCAAGCTGGGGGGTTGATGTCAGCACAGTATGAAGGTATGGTGAAGAGAATGCAGCATGCCTTTGCGGCGCGGAACGGACTGCAGGGAGCCTTGCTCGCCCGGTCCGGATACCTGGGCATCAAAAAGGTCTTTGAGCGACCTTACGGGGGCTTCTTAGCCATGTTCAGCCAGGGAAACGGCCAGACGCCCCCGTACAAGGTTGAGGAGTTGACTAAGGGGCTGGGGACTATCTGGCAAACACAAGCAATCCGTTTTAAGCTTTATGCTTGCGTGGGCGGCTGCCACGGCCAGATCGAGGTGCTGCAACAGATGCAGCAGGACCACCCTGATCGGTTCGCCCCGGAAAAGCTGGGAGGCATCGAAACCATCTCCGTGTATCTGTCCGAACCGATCTTCGCGCATGATGGATGGATACCGGAGCGACCTCTCACGTCGACGGGGGCGCAGATGAGTGCGGCCTATATTGGCGCGGTTCAGCTGGTGGATCGTCAGGTGTTTCCGGCGCAGTTTGACGAAGCGGCTCTGGACCGAGACAGCGTCTGGGAACTAACTGGCAAAACCACCTGCTATCACAGTTCGGAATTTGATCAGCCCGACCACATCTGCGGTGCGCGGGTGATTGTCAAGTTTCACGATGGGTTCGTGCTCGAGGGGGCAACCCCGTACCCAAAGGGCTACGATCCGCCTCTGAAGAACGCTGACATTCGCGAGAAGTTCCGTGGGCTGGGAGAGTCTGTCATGGATCCTGGTAGAGTATCGAAGATTGAACAGCTGGTTTTAGGGTTGGAGAAGCTCGACGATATGGTGGAGCTGTTAAGTCTGCTCGAGGGTTAACTAAGTAACGCAATGTAAATATTCGACCAGTCTAGGGATGACCCCAATATCTGCAAGTTCCACCTCGGTAGTTTGCTTTACAGAATGTACGATTCTACTTAAATGTATGCTAGTTGAAAGGATTCATGTTTCTTAGTAACTGCGCACTAGAGAATATGGATATTCCATCAAACTACTACAAAATCCCCCAGAGACCATAATCAATCCAATCCAACATCAACTACCGATCGAAATTGATGTTCGTATCTATGCCTTTGGATTCTCCAAGCGATACGGCCAACCTCCAGTCGTCTGCCGACGACTCTTCGTCTTCGGATCCAAATACGGCACCTCGCCCATCACCATGCACCGCCATCCGATACGAGATCCCACCTCGAAGTGATCCTGCGTGGCCGCATGGAACGTGCACCGATTATCCCAGACTGCCAGGTCGCTGGTACTCTCCCAGTGGAACCGCACCTGGGTGTCCTGGTTGTCCAGAATTAGGCGCGTGATCTTATCGAAGATTTGGTTGCTTTCGATTTCTGTCACACCATCAATGCGGTGGCAATTAATGCCGTACCCGAACAGGCTCTTCCATCCCGTCAGAGGGTGAGTGCGAACCAGCGGGTGGTGATTGCTGAACTCGAGGCCGACGTTGCCGCTGGCTCCACGCGGGCCGGAGTCCATGCCTTTGGGGTCAGCACGGGCGGCTTCAATCAAGGCAGGGGATTTGTGGTTGGCCGTCAGGGAATCGAAGAACCTTTGGTAGGGCGGAGAGAGACGGTCATAGAGCTCATAGCCCGAAGCCCACAGGGTGTCTGGTATAATATATTAATATTTTAAGGAAATTAATTAATAAACATAAGTGAAGATCGTATACCTCCACCGGTTTCGGGCATTTCCCCCAGCCTCAACACCGTGTAGCTGGGGGGCATACGCTCGAAGCTCGAATCAGTATGCCAGTCCTTGACGTGGCTCTGACGAGGCAGCCCGTCCAACGGCTTACTATACATCTTGAGGATGCGATCTGGGTCAACTTTTCCCATCTCGGGATCGGCACCTTGCATAGCTTTCAGTGAATGACGGTAAAAGCCATTCTCTTTGGGTGCACCGGAGACCTCATTGAGTCGACGACAGAATTCTTTTTGCAGGGTATCGGTGATATTGAGTTGACTGCGGAAGAACACGACCCCTCGTTGTGCGACTAGGACATAAGTTAACGCGAGAAGAGAGATCTTATTGGAACACAGATATGACGACTACATACGGAGCAAGCTCAGATCACGCAGGATTTGGTCTGAATTGGGCTCGTGCAGCCACTGGGTCACATCGACGTCGCGAAACTCACTGCCAATGGCAGGAGTCAAGTGGACAAGTTTGTGGCCCTGGAGGGAGCCCGAATCCGGGAAAGGTGGGTAGGAGGCAGGGTAGGAAGAAGAGATGGAACCCATGGTATGGATTTAATTTATCAGAACTGCTCAGAGTAATGAGAATGTTTTGTACTAGCTAGATAGTCTAAGTGTCCTACTATGATCTCTTTTGTTCCCACTCTGTATAAACTTATATATATTCACAACTTTCATCATTCCACTAAAACGTAATGTGCATTCCCCATGTCGAGCATCTTGCTCCGAAGGGCTTATGGCCCTCAAACCCGAGCTCCTCCCCCAATCTGCTCGGATTTGGCTGACTTCCAGGTTGAAGTGTCCAGGCTGTGGTCTGGTGGATAACCCATTCGGCCCCGGATTCCAGCGTCCGAGAGACGATGCGGATTGGCCAGAAGGATGACATGGGCACAAAAAAAACCACAAACTAGAAAGAGAAGAACGAAAGGGGGTGGGTTTAACTATTGGGAATGAATTATCAATCCTGATCTCGAATTTGGATTATTAATCCGTCAATGCAAACCATGAAATCCATCGAATTATATTTGACTGATGTTGGCCGATTTCGTCACGGGAATTACTTGAGGATAGAGCTTCTTTCCTTCCCTTCAGTCGTCTTGCAGTGAATAGCGAACCTAGAATGGAATCTCCGGAGTCGTCTGCCTCTGCTTCTGACTACTCCCAAACTCGTGCCGAGGATGGGTCGAATCTGCCAGAAGACTTGGAAAAACACACGCCTTCGCTGCCTGAACATCAGCAGGGCCGGGAAAAAGACATTGTCGTGTGGGAGCCAAGCGACCACGAAAACCCGCATACGTGGAGTCTGAAGTACAAGTGGTTTGTGACAGTTGTGTTGAATACCCTGCCGTTGTTTGTCAATGTGGGATCCAGCATTCTCAGCGGTTCCGGGGAAGAGTTCATGAAGGAGTACCATGTCTCCGCCGAGGTGACCGTGCTGGTGACCAGTATGTTCCTCTTGGTAAGTAAAAAAGCATTCCAAACTAAAAAACATGATGGTCTGACCGGCCAAGGGGTTCACCTTCGGTCCTCTCTTGTTTGGCCCTCTTTCGGAGCGGATTGGTCGCAAATTCCCCATCATTCTGGGCGTCACCCTGTTCTCCACGTTTTGCCTGCCTATCGCCCTTGCGCAAAACTTTTATACAATTCTGATCTCGCGCTTCTTTAGCGGACTGTTCGGTTCGGCTGCCATGGCTGTGACTGGAGGTGCGGTGGCCGACATCTGGCCGGATCCCATTACTCGGGGAGTTGGAATGGACATCTTCATCGTGACGGGGTTTTTTGGACCTATTCTGGGCCCTATCGTGGGGAACTTTATTACGCAGAGCTATCTGGGATGGCGCTGGGTGATGTGGATCACCTCTATCGTTGCGTACAGCTTTACGATCTTTGCATTCTTTGCCATCCCGGAAACGTATGCTCCGGTTCTGTTGACGCGGAAAGCGGCTCGTCTGCGCCTGAGGACCAAGAATTGGTCATTACATACTAAGCTGGAGGAACGAGATACCGATCTGAAGACTTTTGCGAAAGCGTACTTGGTTCGGCCGTGGTGTATGATCCCTCCATCCTTTTTTATACTGCTTACCGGCTAACAACGACAGTACTATTGGCAACGGAACCGATTTACCTGGTGGTAACCATTTACATGTAAGCTGGAAAACCTTGTTTGATTACAGTATTAAGACTGACCAGTCAGGGCCTTTGTCTATGGTCTTCTTTTCCTCTTCTTTAACGGATTTCCGATCGCCTTCCACGAAGTTCGTGGGTGGGAACCGGAAATCGCAGCTCTCCCCTTCCTGGGTCTGGCGATTGGCGTCGTGATCGCCGTGTGCTGCATCATATACTACACCCTGACCGTCTACAAGCGTCAGGTGGAGTCCAATCCGGGGGTGATTGTGCCGGAGCGTCGTCTACCTCCGATGATGGTGGGCGCAGCACTCCTCCCTCTAGGCATGTTCTGGGCGGCGTGGACTAGCCACGCTTCAACGCCATGGCCTGCCCAAGTGACCGCGTATATTGTGGTGGGAGCCGCGCTCTTCATAATTTTCGTACAGGGCTTCAAGTATCTGGTGGACGTGTATCTGAATGTCGCCAACAGTGCCATCTCCGGGAACACCTTTGCCCGAAGCTTCTTCGGAGCGGGATTTCCTTTGTTTTCGACAGCCCTGTATCACCATCTGGGGGTGCCGTGGGCGACGAGTCTGTTGGGATTTATCGCGCTGGCTCTCGCCCCAGTCCCAATCCTATTCTTTATCTACGGCAAGAAAATACGGTCATTTTCAAAGAATGCGCTGGCCGATGCGTGAAATCTTTGGGGTTAGTTCGTACGCGTAGTAAACTTGAAACGGAGCCATCGTGCCTATCTCGGAGGATGAACTCCGATGGGCTATGGGGACGAGGCGATAGTTCGGGCTGTTCGGTCTCATCGCACGAGAATGAAGGATATATATAATAATACATAGTCACTGGTAGTTTTCTATTTATATGGCCCTCATTCCCCAGCATATAAGCAACATACCAATTAATATGTCTTTGCAATACCCCATGGGTTCCTGGCCCGCCTCCATCGTCCCCATTACCCAACCTTGTCCAGGGTATGAGTTTCCCTCGGTGCTGTGCATCAACAATTACGGAGCTGTTCTGCCCGAAGATTTCGAACGTATCATCTCCCCCGTTGTTGGCGACACTGACACGTATGCATCCACCTCGGTGCCCTCGGACCCTTCGTTCAAACAGCTCTCCTCAGCCAGCTTCGTCGTGTGGGATTCCGCGCGCGCTGCAGAGATTCTGGGACCCTCCCCGGAGGTGGAATACCATTTCACAGTGGACAATGTGCCCCATGAGGGTCCGACATACGAGCCCAATCTGAATGTGATTTTCTTCTCGCGTCTGCGCTCCGACCCTCCGGCGCAATACGTGATCGACTTGAACAATGACCCGCCTACCCTGGAGCAGAGGATCTCCGACCCTCCGCTGGTCGTGCCTTGTGGATCGACCTATCACAATGGTTTGATCTACTGGTGCGGAAGTGCAAGCCGGAATGGCATCTACGTGCCAGGTCTGTATGCGATGAACGCTACCACGGGCAAGGTCAAGCCCGTCGCCAACAACTACTTCGGATACAACTTTGGCACGTGTGATGATCTGGCTGTAGCTCCAAATGGGGATATCTGGTTCACAGATAACTGTAGGTCCTGTTATATTATTCCAAAATACACCGAAACCAATATCATATCATCCAGGGTACATCCACGGCGTCCCCGACATCAACCACAACCGCACCATCCACCTCGAAACCGGCATCTACCGATTCGTCCCCTCCACGGGACTCATCCAGCTAATATCTGATGACTTCGACCAGCCCAACGGTATCGCATTCTCCCCCGATGGGAAAAAAGTCTACATCACTGACACGGGAGCTGACGCCATTTCGCTCACTACACACGATATCAGGTACTACTCGTATCGCAGACGAACCGTATACGCGGCCGACCTCCTCCCCTCCGGCACGGGATTTGTCAATAAACACGCCATCTTCCTGGCGCAGGACCGCGTGCCGGATGGCATCAAGGTCGCGAAGAATGGATACGTGGTCACCGCTACGGGTCATGGGGTGGATGTCTTGGATGAGTTCGGTGTGCATATCATGCGTGTGCAGACGAATTTTACCGTGCTGAATGTCGTGTGGGCCGGTGAGGAGTATATGGATTTGTGGATGGTAGGGTATAACGGGGTGGGGAGGGTGAAGTGGGCGTTGGAGGGAAAGAGTATATCCTAATCTTGGATTTACAATATAAATGAACATGTGTCTTGCTCGTAGGATAGCTACATTATATAGTAAATATAATTTATATCAAACACAATAGAGCCCTGTACAACTCCGTACCTGGATATGAACATAACCTCCAATACATACCCTCGAAACCCTGTCTAACAGAGACGTTGAGATAAATATACAACTATATCCAACTATATCCTCTAGCCCTGTAAATTCCACCTCACCCTAGCAATATTCCCTGTCCCGACAATCCATAAATCTCTCAACCCCTCCCCAGCAAAAGCGATACTCGCTGCGCGAAACGGCGTCTGGACCCTCGCCAACAACACTCCACTCTCATCTAGCACATCCACCCCCTGCCCAGTCGCCGTAACTATATATCCATTCCTGGCAACCTGGATCCCATCCGGCACCCAGTCTTGACTGAGATAGATTGGACGTCCGCTAACAATCGCGCTGGCATCACTATCCGTGGCGCTGGGCACCACGTCAAACGCAAATAACGTCCGTGGGCCCCGACTATCCCATGTATAGTGGATTTCGTCGAACGGGACGGACAATGGCCCCGACGCCGCACCTGTGTCTGATACGTAGAGCGTCTTCCCCGACGGGGAGAACCGGATTCCGTTGGGTTGGCGGAGTCCTGTGTGCACAACTTGCACGGCGCCGGTGCTGGGTCGGAATCGGTATATTGCTGGAGGGAGAGCGGGTCGGTCAGTGGAGGTTTTGTCTAACCAGCTGTAGACTTAAAAAAAATTAGTATAATTTAATGGATTATTGGTATGTAATGGGCTCACAGTCATCCGTGAACCAGACGTCCCCGTTCCTCTCAATGGCGAGATCATCCGCCCCGTTGAAGAAGTACCCGAAGTAATTATTCAACAGGGCCTCTGTCTTGTTTGTCTTCGGATCAAAGGTATATATGCCGGGACTCGTCACGAAGGCTGGATCACTTCCATTGCGGCCAGTCGTGCTATAATAGACCAAGCCGTTGTGGTACACGGAACCGGTGGCTGCATACAACGGTGGATCGCCAGTCATATACTCCATGGTAGGCGGGGAGACGCTGACATCGATGACAATCTGCTTCACGAGCCCCGTCGACACCTGCGTGACATAGAGCCTTTGAAGTTCAGGGACGTACACCGGGGCTTCCTGGGGGACCGGCGCAGTGTGGAACATGATGTTGAAGGAAGGATGGGCCCCGAGGATCCCTTTTGCTCGTGCAAAGTCGAAGACGAGAAACGTTGCGTTGTGGATAGAAGCAAAGGTTGCGTCATCGGGAACCACCGTCGTGTGAAATGAATCCGTGATGGAGGGGTCAGTGGACACGGCACGAGAGAAGTGCCCCGGTAGAACACTGGCGTATTTGTTGATGCAGAGAACCAATGGAGCGTCCCATGATCCGCAACTGTTGTTGACCGCTGTGGCTGCGGCGGAGCCGAAGAGAGAGGAGAGAATGAGGAAGAGAGCGGCCATTGCGTTTGATCGTCTGTTGGCATGGACGGATATAAACCATCTTAATATATATTTCTGGAAAGATGAAGGCCACTACTCTTCTTGACTCGGTCTCACCTCATCCCGATGGGGCCATTGCGCGCTCGGGATTGTGGCGCCGACAGATACGAGGTCTGTAGGTTTGCTCCGTAGTTGACGACCGAGTTCAGTTACTGCCTGGGTTGGACTAGTGAGTATTATCTACGTCTTTTTAGTTATGTTTTTATAGCGAGACGTTGATTATATTCCTTGCTATGCATACATTCCCCACTTTCTTATGGGAGAAGGCGTTTAGGGCCTCAGGTTCTTGCTTTATTAGGAAAGCACCTGCATATCTCGACGCTTCAGTTGTTGGGTTCTAATAGGGTAACAGAAATTCGAGTTGAATTGAATTGAGAATTGCCTATTGTGTCTGTACCAACTCGGTAAGTACCTGCAGCGTATCTGCAACTGCAGGCCAGGGTATGCATGCGTACATACGTGGATTAATAAATCAGGAGACGCAAGAAATCCAGACTCTACATAGAAAATTTACCAGTAAAAATATAAATTTCAAATAAAGCTTATTGTAGGATACTATCAACAGATAATCTACCGTCTCTCCCCAGTTAGAGCAAATGCCTCCCGACGAGACAGACTCTCAGGATCAAAGTACGGACGCTCCCCCAGGCCGGTGGCTCGATAACCCAATCGGCCTCCTTCGTGGTCGCGAGTGGCAGCGTGGAAGACACAACGATTATCCCAGATCGCTAAATATCTACGTGAGGAACGTATTCTCTCTCATGTAATACCGGGCAGGGATAAGCTACTTACCAACATCGTTCGGGTTTGTCCATCGATACCTCACCTGCATATCATGATTCTCCATAATCATCTGCAGGAACCAATTCTTCAGGTGGCTACTCTCCATGTCGGACAGCCCATTGATGCGCTCGACATGCACCCCGACAGGAAAGATGTTCTTCCACCCCGTCACTGGGTTCGTCCGCACCACTGGGTGGACGCTGGTCAGTCCCGTGCCCACGTTTTCAGGCGCACCTCGCGGGCCATCGAATAACTCGAGTCCCTCGCGTCGGGCCACCTCGTGGAAATGGTTTTGACTGCAGGTAGCCGTCAAACTCTCCAAGAACCGGCGATACGGCTCCGAGATGCGGTCATAGAGCTCGTACCCGGAAGCCCACATAGTGTCTTAAAAAATAGAAAAGAAAATAAAAGATATCAGCCCATTCATTTCGCACTCTAAATATTATATAAGGATCGGCTTACCACCACCCGTAGATGGGAATTTCTCCATCCGCAACACGGCATAATCGCAGGGAACCTGTTCGAAAGTAATATCACTGTGCCATTCGAGTCGACCCGACTGTAGCTTCCCTGCATTGTTATCCAGGAAGAAACCTCCCTTTCCTCCATATGCCTTGGTCTGATTGTCTCCAATCACTGTGATGTAGTCATCAGACTGCGTGCCGCGTCGGCTATTGTTAATGGGATGAATATGGAGATAGGAAGTCGCCGGTTTGCCGGAGAGCACGCCCATTTTGTGGGCCAGCTCCTTCTGCAGCTCCGGAGTAAGGTCATCCTGGGCGCGGAAAAACACCACCCCACGGCGAGAAACTGTCACTGGTCATTTTTCCTGTTGCACGGAGTGGGACGGAAGTTGGGGGTCGTACCAGTAATGGCCAAATCCCGGATTAATTCGTCCGCATTGGGTGCGCGCATCCATTCCACCAATTTAGCCGTGGGAAACTCCGTGCCAATCACGGGGGTGGGATCAAACTGCTCAAACTGGGACAGGACGCCAGACAGCTTCAGTGGCTCCTTGTGGTAGTTCCGAGGCGTGTCAATAGATCCCATGCTGATGTTGTTATTAGAGTTTGATAGTAGTCAGTGAGTTGAGTAGATTGACCGGAAGTTTTATAAATATAAATATATATATATATGCTAACTATATAGAAAGACTGATAGATTGCTATACATATACACATACATCGTCACATCTCGGACTTCTATCCTGTCGCTCGTCCATCGAATTCATCCCGAATGGCCGATCATTTCGTTTCGGCCTTCGCGTCCAGGTGCCCGAGACACTAGTCTGAATAAGGCGTAGCACAGTGGGGGTCGGGCCCGGAATCCGGGGCCGAGGCTAAGTGCATATCTAAGCCTTACTAACTCCACACATGCAATCTCTTGATGCATTTCTTTAATGTGATTTGGTTAGATCACGAGTGATTATCAATCACGGATTATCAATCAAGCTAATACTTGACCGCGGGGAAGACTCTTAAACTGGAAGCAATTCTTCCCACGGAAACTTAACCATCCGGAGAAAATCCAATCTATCCTTAAAAATCGATCATGGCCTCCCCACTGTACGACGTCCCATTTAATGAACTCCCCAACCCTCGTCAGGTTTGGGTCGGTGAGCCCGGCAGCGAGGAGGAAGGAATGGGCAAACTCTCATTACTTACTCCCGAGCGCGTAGCCGCTGCGGCCGCCCGTGAGATCAAGACGGGTAAGCGTGTCACGCTGCAGTGGGATATGTCCAAGTTGGAAATAGTCGCGTTGGGGCGATCAACGGCGCAGCACCATATCCTGCCATTACTGGGCGGCATGTGTTTTGATGATGTGTATATTTTTAATCCTCGTGAGTAGACCGGTTCCTCGCGAATTAAGATTAAGACTGATGGAAATAGAGGTCAGCAGTCAATGGGATGGTCTGCGGCATTGCTCGCAGGGGGTTCCGGGACAGGAACAGCGCATGTTCTACGGTGGAACTACAGCAGCTGAAATCCAAGATCGATCCAATAACCGGATTGGGATGCAATTTTGGGCCCAAAAAGGAATCGCAGGTACCAATCTCAACGGAACCTACTAGAAAGAAAGATTGACGCTAAGAATAATACAGGCCGCGGTATTCTGATTGACTACGCCTCGTACGCTGACAAAAAAGGCATCAAATTCAACAGCTTTACTCCGCACGAGGTCAAGCTCTCTGAAATCCAAGATATCATCAAGGAATGCAATATAACCATCCAGAAGGGCGACCTTCTGTTCATGAGAGTAGGCATCACCCGGGACTGGGACACCAAAATGTCCATATCAGAAAAGACCGACTACGCTAACAAGCCCACGCCCGAGCTGGCCGGTGTGGAACCCACCGTGGACATGCTGCGCTGGATCTGGGATTCGGGCTTTGCGGCTGTCGCGGGCGACAGTATCGCGTTCGAAGTCTGGCCCCCGCGGAACCCCGAAGTCATGCTGCATGAGTATCTGCTCGCGGGCTGGGGTATGCCCATTGGGGAATTGTTTGATCTCGAGGCGTTGGCGGAGATGTGTAAGGAGCTGAACCGGTGGTCGTTCTTCCTTTCCTCGGTGCCTTTGAATCAAAAGGGAGGCGTGTCTTCTCCTCCTAGTGCGATGGCAATATTCTAGCTTGTAGATATTCGATATATCAGGGATTCGGGACGTCGGTAGATGACAAACGAAGCTATATATCGATATATAACGTACATCAAATTATAATAGCCTTACGGTCTGATCTGATCTGGAATTTATTGGTTATTTTCTGTTCTACTCTTTTTTCTATTCTTTTTTTTTCTTTTCTTTGCAATATGTGAGAAGTTTCTGGGTGTTATTAACTTGAAGTTGGTGAATGAAGTGGCTGCAACAAAGCAAGAATATCAAATAGTGATCGTAGATCTAATCCTGTTCCACTCTGTTTATCATAATAATCTGGAATGCAGATCCTAAAATGTATACTGTTTCGGTAAACAGCCCGGACATGCCAGGCAATTTCCTGCCTTCTTACACCCCCTTTTACTCCGTACAGCCGAACTTTCTATTGAACGATTAGAACGACCAAAAACATGATAGAAAGCAAAAAAATAAAGGATCCACCTACCGGGGTTGATCTGCTCAGGATGAAGATTATCCATCTGGAACGAGTATTCTGACGGGCCTACTCGCGCTAAAGGATCCAAAAACACCGTCACTTCGTCGTCCTTCTTCCAGGCTGAATTTTCCTTTGCCTGAAACAGAGACTTCTGGCGTATGCCCCTGATAAACTCCTGATTGCCCTTCTGCTGCCGTTCCAGAGTGCGCACGCGATATTTTTCAAATTGATCCTCGGTCAATGCAGAAAACAAGTATCGTGGAGCGACCGCCAGTGCCAGCCCGCCCTTCTGACCAAAACCGAAAGACGTCAACATGAATGCCTTGACCCCTGTGGTCTGGATACTTTGAGGGGGATAGAGTAAATGGTCATGCGGCCGCAGGGTCTGGTCGATGTTATCCGCGTTGCGATTCCCCGGAACCAGTCCCGTCTGCAGGACCTGTAATCCGCCGTTGAACATCCAGGCTCCCGCTGCGCCCTTGGGGTGACCCGTGAGGTATTTCTGGGAAATCGTGAAGAGGGGATTCCCCTTCGACCGACCAAGATGAGTCATCTGCATTTGAATCACCGTCGCCTCGTTCAGGTCATTCGCTTTGGTGGATGTCCCGTGCAGCGTGGCCACTTCGATATCATCAATCCTTAATCCCCAGACTGCCAGCGCCGCCCGTAACGGCGACAACTGGGGAAGTTGTCGACGGAGGTCCATTCCCCAGAGACTCTGTGCGTCGCGGATCTTACACGACGTGATGGTTTCCACCTCCTGCAGCTGCCGCTCGATATCATCACCTGTGTGGTGTTTCATCTCCTGCAGCCGAACCGTCCGCTCCTTTTGAATCTGTTCTCGGGTCTCCTCGAGCTGCTGCCTGCGATACTCTAGATCAAGCAGTGGGGACTGATTCCGGGCATCGGGACTCTCCCGCGCTGCAGTGAGAACGCCTTGTCCAGGCGCCGGCACCGAGCGACCAATGCGATCCCCCGCCATTTGGGTGTGCGCCACAATGGAGTATATGGGGAGCCCCATCTCCAGAGCGAGTTCCGCCGTGGTGATGATTTGAATGCCACAGCCCGCCGACTCCGTGAATCCACTGCGCGAGGTCGTGCTCGGCCGGGACATTTCTTTGGGCAATCGGCCCTTGCTGAGTTCGTCGACGGTACTCGAGGTAGCTTTCATATTAGCGAATTCGTAGGACATTTCTTCTTGGAAATCGTCTGTTCCACCGACCACGGCCATCTTTACTTTACCGAGGAGGATGGACTCGCATCCCGCGTCGAGGGACCTATAGCGATTAGCAGGAAATGATGTAATTAACAGGAAATATTATCATAGGCATTTAACTCACTCCACAGCTGTCGCGCAAGTTCCAACGGGAGACTTGATGGGACCACTCGATCCCAGTAGTAACATGTTGGTCCACGCCCCCATTGCATTTAGATACGATTCTTGAAGAATGTCGCTCTGCACGGGACGATCGAGGTATCGCTCTCCGTAGATCCCCCGCATGGAGACCAAGCCTCCCACCCCTGTTCCGATGCAATTGGCCAACTCCGAAACATGGATATACCGATAGATTTCGAACGGGTCTTGGATCCCGGCGCTCAGCATGGCTTGACAAACGCAGCACAGCACATACAGCGTGATAGGATCTACCTGGGCGACAATTTCGTCGGGAATGCCGTATCGCGTGGGATTCCATCCAGTCGGGAGCAAGCCAGCCACCTTCCGAGTGAATGGGACGGCCTTGGGAACCAAAAAATGCGCACCCTTCTTGATCTGCACCTGACATGTGTCGCTCTGGGATGGAGAGGCAGCGGACACGCAAACTTTATCCCCGAAGCGGAGCTTCAACGCATCGGCGGTGTCTTTGGAGGCTTCAAATGCAGGCAAATCTTCATCGACCACGACTTCATGTAAGAACTCCTTTCGCTCCGGATCGTACCCGTTCAGCAGCTCGGGCTCGATGAAGCGAATCCCTGCATGGTCATGGATATACTGACCATATCGCTCGCCGATCTCGTCATCATGAACGGGCTGTTTGGTCTTGCCGTCGACCCATCCCACGTAGGGCTTTCCCTCCACGTCTCCGGTAAAGGGTTCAACCAGGCCCATCATCCACGCCATCTCCAGGTATCCTTCCAGGGAAAACTTGCCGCTGGACTCCATCTCCCATCTGGTTCGGGAGCTACCCCAAGGGCCCAACTCCGAGTACCCGACCACAACGACGGTTTTGCGCAAGTCTATCATCCCGTGCAGGCTGGGAAGACCGTTTGTCACCGTCGGGAAACCCGGCAGTGGAGGATATCCCACTTGAAGGTTCGACCGCCGTCTCCGGGAAACTGGGGCCGACGGTGCCTCAGGTGGACCGTTCAATAACTCTTGCTGGCGAGCATTCTCGGCGCTTAATGCCTTTCGGAGCCGGCTCTGATCCTGCACCTCTCGCCGGGCGGAGAATAATATGCTCCGGAGATCTCGGATTCCGCTAAGGTTTCCGCTGAAATCAGCGAGGATAGGCTGTTCTTCACACGCCGCCACCAGATGCGGCTCGGCCAAGAACGCGAGGATATTGAATGCCATCTCTGCCGCGGTGAAGGTCAAGGCGTTGTGCGCTTCCACTGCGTCCGCGAGGATATTGTTGCTCGCCATCAATCCAGTGCCTCGAGTCCAGCCGATTACGGCTCCACAAACTGCCAGGTATGGCGCCCACCGCTCGGAATAGAATCGATTGAAGAGCGTCTCCAACCCAATCTTTGACTCCGAGTACAACCCATCCCCACCAAAAGTGCCGTGATTTGGCGACAGGGGCAGCACAACGGTGGTCGGCCGTGTATTGATCCGCCGGCGGGATTTATTCTCTTTGATCGCACCCAGGAGACGCAGCAGATTGACCATCATCAGCCGATGGGCCAGTTCGGTTGTCTCGTCCAGGCCGCCTTCGATCTGCCCGGCCTGACGGACGGCCGCGAATGGGAGCAGAATGTCGATGTCCCCTCCGTAGCCGTCACGACTAGTGTAGATGTGCTCGATCAGTGCCTCGCAGTCCTGTTTACTCCCTTGGTTGAACGGTAGCACGACCAGGCTGCTCCCTCGGGACCCGTGCATCCGGTACATGGAACTGTAGAATTCAGCAGTGGTACTCACGGCCCGGCTCGTAGTCACAATTACTTGGGCGCCCCCTTGTAACAGGCCCTGCACCACGTCCGCACCGATAGAACCGCTTCCAGCCCCGGTCACTACAACGACCCTGTCCTGGAACGACAGTCCCGAGGTCGCTCCTCGGGCGAGAGACTCCAGGAACCGATCCGTCCAGGCTTGGTGGTATTGCCAGCCGGGACCGTGGCGGCTCCGCAGGTGGCAGAAGGGCATGGCATGGTCTGCGCCCTGGGCAATAATGGACGCGTAATTCCTCTCGTTGAGACTGCCGAGCGAGCGCCGTACTACCTCCGAGTAGCGGATTTCGCCGGTGGGATCAACGATGGTCTTGGGAGCTAGAGCGGGACCCCTAAACCGGAATGTCGCATCACGGGAATGGGGATTGGGACGATGAAAGAGGTCCTGGAGATTCAATCCACGGGCTGCAGATACGAAATTCACAATCATGGAGCAAGACGGGGTCCATCGGTTCAGGATCATATGGATTTCTTCTTCGAGGTCCGAGTGCGATGTCTTTCTCGGATCCAGCCGCTGGACAAGCGCGAGGAGGTCGACGCGCACCCAGTTCCACCAGGAATCGTAGCGGCGTGCTTTGTGAGGATCGAAGATTGGTGACGTCCCCATCTGCATCTGACCCCCAAACTCGGCGGTCCAATGCTCTAACTGCGATTCCAGCTGTTTAGTTTGACGTTCCGACTCTGCCGGGTCCATTCTCTGATCTGTCTCTGGGAGGAACCGTCCGAGCACAGTGTGTATCTTCCGAAGAGCCATTTGGTTCTCTCGCGTCGCGGCCTGTAGAGCGGATGCATCAACCATTGTGATGGCCCCAGACGATGCGCCGCTGCTCACCGACGCAGGGGTCAAGTTGATTTTCGAAACCCCCGCATATCGCGATACGACGGTATCGAGAAATGTAGCCGCGGCGCTGGCATCGGCCAACCGTGATGCGGGCTCCATCGTCGTGGCGTAGCAAAGCACGGCGGTCTGACGCTGAGATTCTAAGCCCCAGCAGGTATGCAGGTGCTGGCGAATTGTCTGCTGGTTGAAGCCGGCGGGCATTTTTGAGGAGACCAAGCGGGCGATGAGACCGGTCATCAGCTTCCCCAGCTGGCCGGAGAAAGGCAGAGCGGCCAGTCCTTGCAGGGGGGTGTTTTCACTGCTGTCTGGGAGATGGCCTAGTTCCGCCTCGAGGTCCCCAATGAGTTCATTTTGTAGAGTGGATTTTCCTTTTCTCGTCAGTATAAGTGACCAGATAAGAAATAAGAAGCTCACCTCCTGAGAGATCACGGATGGACATGTCCATGGGTACTTGGTCAAAAGGCTTTTTCAGCTTCTGTGCTACCAGACTTAGCACGATGTCCCCAGCGGTCAATGGCGTGTCTGGTATTGCGGTTGGGAATGTGGAAGGGGCTGTCGGAGTCGCCTGTAGTGATGTTGAAGTTGGTGAGGGCTGTGGTATGGATGGTTGTGGGGTTGATGTCGGTGGCAATGGAGTTTCTTGCTCTACTGGATCCCCATATTCATAGTATATCTCGTTGAGGTTGCCTGCCGAGCTGAGAAACTGTCTATTGACGGCATATGCCTGATCTCTCGAGGCCGTCGCCCCCGTGGCGGTTTTCTCGGCCATATTGGCGAGGACCCGGGAGGGACCAATCTCAACCACTCGTTGGATGGGAGGATCATGCTCGAGCAGAGCCCGTTGTGTGTCGATCCTAAAGGTGTCAGCCGATGATTATCGTAGAGAAGACCAAGGTACCTTACCACTGCACTGGGGAGGCGAATTGATATCTGTACCAGTTAACAAGCAAGTCGCAGAGAATTGGGGAACGCTCACGAAAGAAGTTCAATCAACAGCTGATGGGCCAGTTTCCTCCTTTCAGCATCTGACCAACTGGGAGCACTATCTGATGCCATGATGGGTTACACGACAGGTAGGCTCATTCACGGGGCGCTGAATTCATTTCTTTTCATAGTTATACTTGACTTTATATAGTTAGAAGCATTCCTATCGACTTCCGGTCTTACTGACCCTTGTATTGTCCTTTTAGTGGCGTTGAGGGTATTCTCGCACCCCCAACTCCGAGCCCCCGGAGAATGTGTCCGAGACGCGAAAGCGAACTCGCCTTCTGCCCGAACGGCTCGGAAGAATAAGCCCAGAGTTAAATCCCTCGCTGAACAATTTCCGATATTCACAACTATCCAACGGTCACGGAGCGAGCCTGACGAATATAGTGGTTGTTACAAGAGACCGCGTTATATGTTTGTGGCATCCTCATCATTCGAGGACGTTCTCGACCGACTACGAAACTTGCATACATGCATTGTTGAATTTTTTCATTTTTTTCATTTTTTGTTTTTGACGTAGTCTCTATCCATATCTATCATGATGGAAAACGGCACGAATGATGTCAACAAGATAAATCCCTCGCTGCACGTCATTGACAGTCGAACAGGAAAATATTATCAGATCCCCATCGTCCACAATGCCATCCACGCCAGTGAATTCAAACGCATCAGGGCCCCGTTGAATCACGAGTACTATGCTGATCAGACCGATAGTGGGATTCGGATCTTTGACCCAGGATTCTCCAACACGGCCGTCAAGGAGAGCAAAATCACCTACATGTACGCACTCTGGGCATAAATAAATTACCGCAGAAAGCTAATCAACTTAACCATATACAGTGACGGCATGAAAGGGGTCATCCAGTATCGTGGGTACTCCATTGACGACATCATTGCCGAGGGAAAATCCTTCATCGACACGGTGCATCTCCTCGTCTGGGGTCACTGGCCATCACCCCTCGAAGCTAGCAAGTTGCAGAACAAAATTTTTGCCGCACAGCGCCTCGATGGGAGCGTTTATCAAGTGATTCGCTCATTCCCGTATGCTTCCCCCTCTCTTGTCGATAAGCGGTACAGGAAAAACATAAGGAATAGCTGACTTCTCAGTCCCAATGGATCCATCATGGGGATGATCATCGCGGGCCTTTCAGCCCTTCAATCCACCCAGATGGAGGCGATTCCTGCCCATGCGGCTCAAACCCTCTACCTGGGCCATCCGCACCGGGTCGACGAGCAAATCATCACCGTCCTCGCGGCACTCCCGGTCATCAGCGCTGTCGCGTATTGTCATCACACGGGCCGGTCATTCACGCCGCCGCGCAGTGACCTGTCCTACATTGAGAACCTCTTCCTGATGACCGGTCACGTGGAGGAAGCGACGGGCCTTCCCAGTCCCAGATACGTGCGATATTTTGAGAAACTGTGGGTGCTTATTGCCGACCACGAAATGACCTGCTCAACGGCGGCCTTACTTCAAACAGCCTCGTCCCTACCCGACGCGCTGTCCTGTATGATCTCTGCCATTTCCGCTATGTACGGACCTTTGCACGGGGGCGCCATCGAAGTCGCGTATAAGGATATCGCGGCCATCGGCTCTATCGAGGGCTGTCGCGCTAAAATCGATCGTGTCAAGACTGGCAAGGAACGGCTGTATGGCTATGGCCACCGTGTCTACCGTGTCACCGATCCCCGGGCCGTGTATATCCAGGAGGTCCTGGGAGAGTTACAGGAGGAAATTGCGCAGGATCCCTTGTTGAGTGTCGCCTTCGAGCTGAATCGGATCGCGGCCGACGATGAGTATTTCACCTCGCGCAAACTGAAGCCTAATGCGGATCTGTTTGCCGCCTTTACCTACGGTGCTATGGGCTTTCCCGATGATTTCATCCTGCCCATCTCCATCATCTCGAGAACGCAGGGATTCTTAGCACACTGGAGTGAGGCCATGTGTAAGTCTTCTTGTATTCTTTTGGTTGAGTCCTACTAATATAGGTACATGTATATAGCTGGTCCTGCGAGGATCTGGCGACCGGGTCAGGTGTATGTGGGCGACTTGGATAAGAAGTTTTGAGCCGTTATACGTTGGTATTTTAATTCGTATCGCGCAGATGCGAATATTTGATTTCTCTTGCGATTTGTCTTTTTGATTTTGTTGATAGATTGATTTGAAGAAATGAAACAATTTCTCTTCGTTGGCTGAGGATGGACAAGTTCATCATAATGTATTTGGTATGCTTATCTTGCTTCGTGGTTCAATTCAGTCGATCAAATAGGAATCCCATTCATCACTGATGGCACCAATTGAGCGAGTATTACGTGCCGGGGTAGAAATCCAAGCGATTTCTTGATGGAAACGGTCAAGTATGACAAAACTCGATGGCTTGTGATTACCAAATTGGGTAAATGTACGATATTGTTTAGTTTTATGGAAATACTATAATCCGCCCGGCTTGACGGTGCGGAGTTGTGGTTGTATATTCAATGGATTCAAATCCTGAATCCTGTCAACCATAAAATTATGCGTATTCGCAAGTATCGATCCTTCATTGAATTAGGTCTCTGGTTCAACTAAACTACCAAAACATCTCGCATTTATAAAGGCGAGGTAAACAAATGAAGAATGCAAACTAACTAATGTAGGAAATATACGCGATCCGATGATGTTGCATCATCAACAACATTTGACTGAGAAAGGTGCTGAATAATCAATATTACCATAATTGTCGACAAATCCTTTAGTTAGTAGAGCACCTTGAGGTTGAGCACCGAAGACCTCTAGTAAGGAATGGAAGGGACTCGGTTGAGATACTGTGATTCCCGGTGTTTCCAAGATGACGTCTACTTCCTAATTAGGCTAGTGGTCTGCATGTAGTTTTCTATAGCTCCCTGCGTATCCCTTTCCCTGAATTCACAATAGTTAGAGGTCTGTGACAATCTTATTTGTAACCTCAACTTCAACTAGATTACAATGAAAGAGGTTGATTATGGCGGTAGGGGGGTGCGTGGTGGTTGGCAGCTTCCTTTTCTGTGACCCTCCTCTGGTTCGTCCGCCTCAGGCCCCTCAACAGCAAAACCTCTGTCAACAGTAATTAAATATTACATTACACCGTTTGTGGTTACATGACCTGGAATCGCTGTAAGAGATGTACTGTATTCGGTATAGTCACGTGGCCTCTATAGTCACCCATCTAGATAACTTAGACAGATCACCCAAGCGGGTCGAGCCTCTTGAAGAGAACCATGCCTCGCGAACAATCGCATGACTGCTGTTTGCCTACACCAGTCAAGGAATAAACATATCCACAAAAGCATGAACAGGCAAAGACAAAAACTCCTCTTCCTCTGCCAAAGACAGAATTCTCTCGACCCTCTCCTTTGGAAGCTTCAACGCCAGATTTCTCCTCGTCTTTTCCTTCACGGCCGCCTTTGTCTCCTCGCGACGGACATGACCGACCGGGAAATCTACCACCACCTCCGCCAGCTGGGTCCCGTCCTCCAGCGTGACGCAAATCGCATTGGCTAGACTCCGAATCTCCGGGTTGTGGTAATCCCTCGTCATCTGCAGATCCTCATGGAGGGTGATCTTGTTCCGCAGCGCGTCCACCCGAGGGTCACTCGCCCAGGGACTTGAGTCCTGATAATCAGCGGTGTCGATAGGAGCACCCTTGAGTAACACCACTGCGACCATGTATTTCAAGCAGTGATCGCGATCCGCCGCATTATGCAGTGGGCCTTGCTTGTTGATGATGATCATCGCGGCCTCTTGCGTGCGAACTCGGATTCCGGCAATCTCCTCGGGGCTTCGGCCTCGTCGCTTCAGGTCCCCTGCCACAATCAATGCCGCTTCCACTGCCGTTAACCCATGCCCCTCGGCAGTGCTTACTTTGAACAGTACATTTTCCACAACCCAGCTCCCGAACGGACGCGGCAGATCAAACTGCTTCCCATGGAAGAGCACGTCGTAGAACCCCCACCGCGGCGTCGTTAGCACCGATTTCACCCCCGGCTGACCCTTCTGCACCAGGAGCGCTAGATGCACTGCTCGCATGCAGGCATCACCCCCGGCCCATCCTTTCCGAGGCCCGGCATTTGGCGCCTGGCGATACACCCGCAGCGGATGACCGTCCAGCCAGGCATGCGAGACGGCCGCGAATGCTTGTTCTCGGTTGAGACCCAGCAACCAGGATACTACGGCCGTCGACGCGACCTTGACTAGGATGACGTGATCCAGTCCCACCTTGTTGAAGGCGTTGTGGATCTGGAAACAGCCCTGGATCTCGTAAGCTTTGATCAGTGCCATCAGGACATGTTTCATCGTGAGAACTTGGTCTGCCTGGTTGTTGGCAATAGCTTGTCGAGTGAGAATGTCAGCGGTCGCTATGATAGCACCGAGATTGTCTACTTTGTTAGCTTGACTCTAGTGACGTAAATAAATATGGAGATATTGGAGATCGTGATACCCGATGGATGTCCCCATTCTGCCCCCGGAAATGCATCGTTGTGATCAAGATACCGGATCATCAGCCCCAGATCAAAGGCTCCTTTCAGCACATCCAGCTGGTAGTTGGTCCCGGGAAGTCTGAAGCCATTGGGCACCTGGTCTGGGGACGGCCATATCGGACCGATCAACTGGCCACACTCGGCACTGGTGGCTAGGCCTTCGAAGGCAGCCCCCAGCGCATCGAGAAGGGTGACTTTGGCCCGCGTGTAAGCAATTGGACGGGGATTTTTGAAGTCATAAACGTAGTCCACGATCTGCGTTACGATGGTGTCATATGGGGGCTGGGTGTTGTCGTCGGCCATGGTCCTTTTTTGTTCGATATTTTAAAGGCCCAAAAAAAAAAAAAAGATCTCAGTTTGTTCACGTTAGTGATTTCGCTTCTTGTTATTCCCCTTCTCTTGCTATATTTGAATTATTATTAATTATTATTTTTCTTCTATTTATTTTTAATTTATTATCTTTTTACTATACATTGTTTGTTTCTATCAGGTAATTACCCTCGGACTTCGAAACGCGAAGCCTCGCGGTGGCTTTCCGAGCCCCGAACGGGGATATCCAACCCCGACAGTCTTGGATGGAACGAGCGAAGAAGAGGAGAAGGAGATGTCTGTTGCGTAAATGTAAAGACAGAGGGTTGGCATATCCACCAGACATGCTCATTTGGACAAAATCGAATGGCTGACCAGGTCAACATGTCTAGCTCCACCCCATCGTATGTCGAGGTAGCTTCGCCTCTAGACGACGACGTCTATCGTCTCCCTTTCTTCATTCAGTACGGGCACTTAGAGTATACCACTCATATTCCGAGCCAATATCTTGGCTACTGTGACCATTCCAAGGCTCTCTTCCTCTCTTCCCTGTCGTCTTCCACCTCTTCTCCCCCTCCTACTTCTACGGCCGCTCTCGTACTTCTGTTTCTCCAACATCTCGTGGATTGCCAGGGACAGATCCCTGCCATCCGATGTCTCATTCTCGCCTTTCAGCGGGACTTTGTACTCCCCAGGGACATCCATACCGTCATCACCGGGCTGCCCGAGCCTCTTTCGGTGCAGAAACGTCTCCTACGAGCCTTCTATGCCGTAGTCACCCACTGCTCCATCGCTCCGCAGGTGGAGAAAAGCATTTTGTTCACCGAAGCGGAACGGGGCCTCACTCGTCTCGTTGCTGTCTTTGGCGGCCAAAATGCCAGAAATCCCCGCTGTGTCCAAGATCTCCACGACATCTACTCCACATACGCTCCGTTGCTGGATCCCCTCGTCGATACCGTCGACCGGGAGCTGGACAAGCTCTGTCACCACCCAGACACCGCCGATTTCTATCACGGTCGTCAGATCCGTCTCCGGGCCTGGATGGACGATCCGCATCTCGTCCCAGATGAACAGTACCTGCAAACAGCCGCTGTGAGCTTCCCGATCATCGGGGCCATTGGTCTGGCCCATTTCTGCGTGGTCTGTCGCGTCCTCGACCAGACGCCGGGCCAGGTGCGATCCCTCCTGCATGGAGTCACCGGCCACTCGCAAGGGATCGTCGTGGCTGCAGGCATTTCTCGGTCCGACTCCTGGTCGTCCTTTTACGAGAATGTTCGGTTTGTGATGCGGACGCTCTTCTGGATGGGATATGAGAGCCAACAAGCCCCCACGGCCCGGTCCCAAGTACCGGCCCCCCTGGTGGAAGAATGCATCTCCCACGGGGAAGGCCGGCCCTCACCCATGCTGCACATCTCCAATATCGCAGAGATGCAGGTGCGCCTGCTGATCGATACCACTAACCGGGAATTGAGCCCGAACGACCAGGTGTATCTAGCCCTGGTGAATACCCGAAATAGCTTCGTAATAGCTGGCCCGGCACGCTACCTCGTCGGCCTCAGCCGTCGCCTACGCACGCTCAATGCGCATGCCGGACGAGATCAGTCTCGCATCCCATTTGACCGTCGGAGTCCTCTCATCCAGCACCAGTTCCTCCCCATCACGGCCCCCTTTCACACTCCCTACCTGCACGACGCGGCACAGAAGGTCCAGGCCCGATTAACGGCGATGCGCTTTCCATCATCGGAGCTCCTCTGTCCCGTGTATCACACCCGCGATGGGGGCGTGCTGGGACAGAGCGGAACCGGCGTCCTCGATACGTTGGTGAGCGCCATCATGACCGATCCCGTGAACTGGCCGTCCACCATCCGACCCCAGGGCCGCACCTACGCTCTAGCATTTAGTCAGGGAGTCGGTGACCTGCTGTTCCGCAACAATGAAGGAAAAGGGGTGCGCATCATCTACAGCACCCATCTCACGCCCGAGAGGGAAGGAGCCGGGGCCCAGTTGGACATGTATGCGTCCTATCACCCGGATACCTCGCATGTCGTGGTTCCAAACTGGCTCGAGCAATTTCGGCCCCGGCTTGTCCGCACAGAACGTGGTGACGTGCAGATGACAACGAAGTTAACAGACGTTCTCGGGTTGCCGCCAGTGATGGTCGCCGGGATGACGCCCACAACTGTACATTGGGACTTCGTGGCCGCAATCATGGACGCTGGGTATCATGCCGAACTTGCCGGGGGGGGATACTACGATGCTGACAGCATGGCTGTGGCAATCACGACGCTCGCTGAGAACATTCCGCCGGGGAGAGGGATTACCTGCAATGTTATCTACGCCAGTCCGAATGTCTTGGCGTGGCAGATTGCGCTCCTCCGTCGACTGGCCCAGTCAGGCCATTCCCCCGTGGAGGGACTCACTATCGGAGCCGGAGTCCCCAGTCTCGATGTGGCGACAGAGTACATCACTACCTTGGGCTTGCGGCATATTGCATTCAAGCCAGGGTCAGAATCGGCGATCGAGCAGGTCTTGCTGATCGCGCGCGCTCATCCCACGTTTCCTGTGATTCTGCAGTGGACGGGCGGCCGCGCCGGTGGTCACCATTCCTTTGAGGACTTCCACAGCCCGATTCTGCGGCTATACGGCAAGATACGAGCCTGTTCCAATGTGATTCTTGTGGCGGGAAGTGGGTTCGGCGATGCGCAAAGCATATCCCCATACCTGACAGGGTCCTGGTCCGTTCCGAGGGGTTACGCGCCGATGCCCTTTGACGGCATTCTCTTGGGAAGTCGCATGATGGTGGCGAAAGAGGCCCATACATCTGGACCGGTCAAAGAGCTCATCTGCCAAGCCACAGGAGTGGAGGAGGAGTCGCAATGGACGACAAGTTATACTCGACCCGTAGGAGGGATCATCACGGTGCAATCGGAGATGGGACAGCCCATTCACAAACTCGCTACGAGGGGCGTGCGATTCTGGAAGGAAATGGATGAGCAGATCTTCGCTCTGCCGCAGGGGAAGCAGCTCGAAGCCCTTCAGAACCGCAAGACCGACATTATTCGCCGCCTCAATGCGGATTACTTCAAGCCTTGGTTTGGTCGGAATGCGAAGGGGGAGGTAATAGACCTCAAGGACATGACGTACATGGAGGTGTTGGACCGACTCGTCGATCTGATGTATATTTCGCATCAACGACGTTGGATTCATCCATCTTATGCGTGTCTGGTGATTGCTGTAATGAATCGCACTTTTGAGCGCCTCCATCATCACGCTGATGGCCGACAGCTTACCCTCGCGGCATTATCCCACAATCCCCAGAACTTCCTGGCTGTTCTGCGCGGCACCATTCCCAACGCTAGCGCCACGATTCTGCATCCCGAGGATGTGCAATGGTTCCTCTTGCGCTGCAAAGCCCGCGGCCAAAAGCCGGTCAACTTTATCCCGGTCATTGACGAAGACTTTGCGTTTTGGTTCAAGAAAGACTCCCTATGGCAGTCCGAGGACGTGGATGCCGTGACCGACCAGGATGCGGGTCGGGTTTGTATACTTCATGGTCCGGTGGCCGCCCATTATTCTCATCGGGTGGACGAAACCGTGAAGGAAATCCTGGATGGAATCAACCAGTCCCTGGTGACAATGGTGGAAACCGAATGGTACCAGGAGACACCTATCCCTCTGTCCGACGGTGCGCAGGATGACGAAGCCCCGTTAGCCGCATTCCAGCCTCGATTTCCCTTCCATGTCGTGGAAGAACACCCCGGAGTCACCACGTATCGGCTCCTGCCTGACGCAAAGGCCCCAAACTCAGAGGAATGGTTCGCATACTTGACACGGGAAACGATGGGGTGGATGCGCGCCGTTGTAGGTAATCGGGCTATGATTTGTCGGGATCGGATTCGACGACCCAACTGGCTACGGGACTGCCTGGTCCTCGGATGGAACACTGTAGTCCAGATAGATGGCCCGGCGTCGAAAATCACCGCCACTCAGGAAGTCGATGGATGCTTACGGCATGTACTGTCCATGAACAGTGACGATGGTATTCTCATCACTGCTCATGTCTTCTTCCACTCGCCTCAAAGCTCATCGTCTCCTGTCCCGCTCGAATTACGATTCTCATACAGTGCAGATGCCTGGAGCGGCAGTCTCAGCGAAGTCGGGGACAATCATGACGTACTGGTCCAGTCATTCTATCGCCGACTATGGCTCGGGGAGAGCTTCAACGTCCAACATTCCCCACCGACGGGGAAGAAGACCTTTCTGACGGCTGCCATGCGAAATGCCTGGATGTCATCCATCGGCCTGGCGTATCCCAATGAACGTGATCTGCCCGTAGAAGGAGACTACTTCCCCATCCACGCTGCCATCGTTCCCGCATGGGAATCATTGGTTGCCCCTCTAGTGACTCCGGGGAATGAAGGTGATCTCCTGAAACTAGTCCATCTATCGAATGAGTTCCGCATGGAACCGGGAGAAGAACCTCTTCGTATCGGGGACATGGTTGAATGCTCCTCTTCCTGCGTAGAGGGAGTCGTGGTTGACGAGAAAGGGAAAGAAATCACCGTTACGGCAGAGATGACCCGCAACGAACGACGTGTGCTGACTGTCACCTCAAAATTCCTCATCCGAGGCAGCTTCCCCGGCTCGAGTGAGTGTTTCCGAAACACCATGGAGCCGGAGATCACTCTGAAGAATGTCACGCCCATCGACGAAGCGCTCCTGCGCGATAGGGACTGGTTCCTCCTCGACGACCCAAAGTCCAGCCTCGTCGGAAAGACAGTTTCTTTCCGATTACGCACGCACAATGTGTGGAGTAAAGACCGGAAGGCGTTCCACACCGTCCGGACCACGGGAGAGGCAGTTGAAATCGGTTCTGGGAGCGGTGTTCATTGCCACCGAGTTGGCCAAGTGCGATTCCATGCCCTCTCCTGCTCCCGAAACCCGGTGCTCGACCTCCTCCATCGCAGGGGCATGCCGGCCACGGTGCGTCAGACACTGGATCGTCCGGGATGGCCATACAATACCAACTCCATGACGGTGCAGATGCCCGCCAGCAGCGAGCGGTATAGCCAGGTCTCCCAGGACCATAACCCCATTCACAGCTGTCTTGTGTTTGCCCGCATTGCCCAGCTGCCCGGAACCATCGTCCACGGGATGTACACATCGGCGGTGGCGGGCAGTGTCCTGGAGCAATTGGTCGATGGATGGAGTCACCGGCGCATGCATCGCTATTCCGTCTCCTTTGTCGGCATGGTCTTTCCCCGAGACCAAGTCACGGTTCGGTTTACCCATACCGCCATGATCCAAGGGAGAATGGTCGTCCAGATCGAGGCTTTCCGGAAAGGCGTGGACGGGGAGGAGCACAAGGTCCTGGAGGGAGAAGCGGAAATCGAACAGCCCTCTACGGTGTACGTATTTACCGGACAAGGTAGTCAATCACCTGGTATGGGCATGGATTTTTATCGGTCAAGTCCAGTGGCGAGGCAGATCTGGGATGACATGGACGAATACTTCCTCCAAAACTACGGTATGCCACTCCTACTACCTACCTATCTGCACAGTTCGTCCCAGCCCTAAGTATACAAACTAATCCGTACGCTACAGGCTTCTCCATCCTTCAAATCGTGAAAGAAAACCCCAAAGAACTCACCATTCACTTCGGAGGCGATCGTGGCCGTCGCATCCGTGAGCGATACCAAGCGATGCGCATTAACAGCATCAACCCGCACCAGGGGGAGACGAGGAGCAAACCAGTCCTCCCCAATCTCACCTCCACAACGCGGTCCTATACTTTCAAAGCACCACGCGGTCTCATCTACTCGACGCAGTTTGCGCAGCCCGCCATTACCATTCTCGAAAAGGCCGTGTTCGAGGACATGCGAGCGCGAGGGCTGATCCAGGCCGACGCCCCCTTCGCGGGCCATTCCCTAGGCGAGTACGGGGCGCTGGCGGCGCTGGCGGAATTTATGCCTTTCCCATCACTCATGGATGTGGTGTTTTACCGTGGCCTAGCAATGCAAACGGTCATGGAACGGGACGAGGCAGGTTCGACGGAGTATTCGATGGTGGCGGTGAACCCGACGAGAGTTGGACAGAGTATGATGCTCCCTTACCAGAGTCATGATAGTCTTCTGTGATAACTAATGTCAAGCTAGTGGTCAATGAGACAGATATTCGGCAAATCACCGCCATGATTGCGCAAGAGAGCCTCCAGCTCTTGGAAATTGTCAATCTCAACGTACACGGGGAACAGTATGTCTGTGCGGGACATGTACGTACCTATCCTTTACTTCTAATCCACATACAGGACTGAATTAATGGACTGACTACATATTTACAGATCCGTAATATCCATGCCCTCACGGAAACCCTGAACGAGCTATCCCGAGCATCCCCCGAGCAAATCCGTCTCTCTCTCCGGGAAGCGGCCACTTATAGTAGTGGGGATAGCGCTGACGGTGATGACGATGCGTCCACCGTTCTAGGAAATATTGTTGGCCGCGCCGTCGCCGACGCACAGGCCCTGCCAAAGCCCATCCGTCTGGCGCGTGGAAAGGCGACCATCCCCCTGGTGGGGATCGATGTTCCCTTCCATTCATCCCTGTTGCGCTCGGGAGTCGACCATTATCGACACTTCCTGCAGGCCCGCATCCAAGAGGAAGATGTGCAGCCGGAGAATTTGGAGACGCGATATATCCCCAATCTCACGGGCAGTCGGTTTCAATTACATCCGCACTACATCGCGGAGGTGGTACGGGCAACTGGGAGTCGGGAGTTGAAGGAGTGGGTGGGTAGTGCAGCTTGATCAGTCAACTTTTTTCTGTCTCTCATTCAATGTCATGCTGTACATGGGTTTGAACGTGATCCACCTCATATTTATTAAACCCGACTATTTTCACACCCATTATCCCCTCGTCCAGTGAACTTGGTCAAAATAGCGCCTTGGCGGAGCATTAAATTATAATTGGCTAGAGCTATGACCGCCCAACTATTCTACCACAACTGCATCTAACACGTACAACGTGTAAAGGGCTAGAGCCCGTTTGACCTCTCGGGCCAATGTCCCTATTATCCCTGTTGTCCCTACTGTCCCCGTTGTCCCTACTGTCCCTATTGTCCCTACTGTCCCTACTGTCCCTACTGTCCCTACTGTCCCTACTGACCCTTTTGGCCCATTGGCCCTCGATGTTAGGGACCTACCATATTCGGTATGGTCACGTGGCCTCACTTAGTCACCCATCTAGATAGTCAGCTCGCCTGAGCCCCTTGAATTCAGAGAATTGTGCCTCGCGAACACTTGATGTTAGAGCATATTGCCAAGCACTTGGCGCCCTGCCCCCGGTTTCGACCTCGCTTAGTCATCATTTATGTAAGCTAGCTTCTAGTAACGTAACCGGTAAACGAGCTGCGCGTGTAAGCGGGCTGCGCAACTCTGTATTGCATATTAAATAGCCCTTTTTATGGCCTTAATATCTCAACAGCAACATATCAAGAGGGCCTTAAGTTTTCGAATCTGGACGGATATCATATAATAAATGCTGATATTGGCTGTGGGGGCTTTAATTATATATTTTGTTTAATATATAAAGAAAGAGGTTTAAATACCGCTGTATTTAGAACATTCATGTATTATAAGATAGAAATAATGTTAAAAATTTGGAGTAAATTATATAAGTATTCTATATTGCCTATATATTAGCAACTACTTCTATTTTTGCTGTAACTTATGTTGTTGTTGAGGTGTTATGATTATGAAAAGTACAATTTTATATGCAATACAGAGGTGCGCAGCTCACTTACACGCGCAGCTCGTTTACCGGTTACGTTAGTCGCGGCCACCCGGCCACCCATTCAATGGAACAAGCAATCGCTTCCAACAGGTTATGACCCCTTGATTCAAGCTAAACGAAGACCTTTTCGTTCATAAAAATATACGGAATCGCTTCGGATAGCGCTGAGCTACCTGCTGTATCTTTTATGTCTTTATTCCACCCCTATTGCATGTTCTAGGGGGGGTTGAATTATTGTTTACTGATTCATTGTTTACTTCTATTGCGGATTTACCCCTAGATTCGCTACCAGTTGCGATAATTATCGCAGTATTACCACCGCGATGCCTCCAAAAGCCTCAAAAGGAAAGGCTAAAATAACTGCACCGCAGAATCCTTTATTGGTAACACCAGCTTTAACCGCTGCTGGCCCTTCTACAGAGTAAGAAGGCAGCCCTTCACCAACATCCGATCCCATAGAGGAAGCCGGAGACAACAACGTCGATATAGTGACGCCACCAACCAGTATAAATACTGATCTTATTCGTCAGATCACTGAGTTAATTCGTGATCAAATTGCGATACCTCTACGCGATGAAATCGCGGAAGTACGCCAGGAAATGCGACAAAAAACCTCGCAACCTGCTGTGATGTCTTAACCTGTAGCGACATCCCAATACAAACAACAATCAGCCAGAACCGCCACTCTTTCGCAATCTGCAGTAATTAATACAACACAAGATCTTGCATACCGTGAAGAGGAGCGTGTACGGCGCTTGGCTAAGAAGAAGTTTACTAATCGTGAACCAGAGATTCTTAAAGGCCGCGAAAATTTTACTATTTGGTGTGATTCTATTTTGCTAGATACACACCTCATCGAGGCAGAACAAGTCCTCGAAACCCCAATTTAACCTGCTACGGACGATATAGCTCACGCCCGTTGGCATAAATAGAACAAGGTTCTACACACAAGAATCCTCCATTTATTATCCCCCAACATACGAGAAACCCTCGGTTGGCAGGACTTAAAGTCTGTGTACAACCTCTGGAATAGCATCACAACCACGTACGGTCTATCTGCAGCAGAGGAACACCTTATAACTGTCAAGGCACTTCTTAATATTTCCCTACAAGGAAATTATCCAGCAATGGTCCGTGATTTTTAATAGATTATATTAAAATTAAAGCGATTACACATCTCTGTTAATAATATCTTTCACAATATATTTCTTTGTATCTTGGGTAATTGGCAACATTCCTTCGTACGGACGCAATTGGATACCTTTTTCTTAACAGGTTGTGGATTAATTCAGAATATTAACATATCCACGCTCGCAGACCAATTAATTGCCCGAGAGCCTACCACAGCAAACACCCAGAAATACGTGCCGCAAAATCCCTAGAAATTTTAACAGGAATCCAAATATCGCACCAAACAGCCAGATCCCAAGGATTCCAAACTTTCAAAGGATTCCAACAATTCAAAGGATTCTAACAATTTAAATGGTAGAAAGCCACTCAAATTATGTTCCCTTTGCAAGAAAGGACTTTACAAGGAAGATAATTATTGGACAACATATCCCGAGAAATATCTACCTAAACCATCGGACGACGACTCCACACCCAAGAATCAGGCAAATACTTTGCAGATTTCGCCTGTACAGGATAAATAGCTTTTTAACACAGCTACTAATCTGCATACTACTAATCAGCGCAATTTATTTACTAACTTTATAAATATTATAGTATTTATTAATAACGCTGGCCAACACACGCACGAGATTAAGGGAATTGGTATAATATCTCTGTACAGCGCTAATATTCCTAACGTATGTTATACACCAACTATCCTATTAAATCTACTATCCTTCCGGCAGCTAGATCGACAAGGATTCGATATTTTTTTAGACAGCAACATCACGCAGAAATGTTTTCTTATTAAAAGTCCTACAGGCGTCCTGCTATCTGCTAGTCTAACAGAAAATTTAGATTAATACCTTATTCGTCCGGTTGTCCACGCGATTCAGTCCAAATAATATAAGCCCTCGGCGCCTATTCCAAGCACCACCATGGTGGAATAGCATTAACGCCTATCCCATGTCCATTTCCGTGCTATATTGCAACTCGCTAGGATTAAAGCAATAAAAATCAAAGGCCCAAAAACCATACCTTTCTGCGAAATCTGTTAACAAGCACATTAAACCAGGTAGAATCACAAGGATCCCGCTCCTCGCGCGGTAAAACCGCTAATGCGAATCCACATTGATATTGCAGGTAAAGGTGTAACACTGGATTGTAATAATACTCACGCACCTCCTGGCCTCAAGAATATACAATATTTTATGTTAATCACCGACGACGCTACTCGAAAGCGTTGGGTCTATTTTCTTTAATCCCGAAGCGAAGCTATTCCCATGTTCGGGCAATGGCTAAAATATATTAAAAATTAAGGATTCGATGCCCCTGCGTACGCACGCAGTGATCGCGAATTCCTTACTAAATAAACTTAGCAACTTTGTAAAGAATACAGCATCTATTAGGAACCAACTGCAGCCGATTCTCCATGGCAAGATGGCGTAAGCGAGCGCGGAATCTGTACACTTATAACCCGCGTCCGCGCCATGATTTTTGACTCTGGCCTACCTTGTTAGCTATGGCCGCAAGCACTTCAAATGGCGATAGATCACACTAATCAACTGCCTACGAAAGCACTTTTATATAACAATTAACGTCCAGGATCTACCACTGCAGATCCCACCGTGAAACCTTCTTTGCATGTTACGCCATATTCCGCGTGGACCAATGGCGATATTAAACTTAAGCATTTTGTTAAATTTGGCTCACCCGCCACGTTGCACCTGCACGGCGCATTAAAATCAGCCGGCAAGCCTAACACCAAGCTTAACCCGCACACAAAGAATATTTATATTGTTGGATATCGCGGAACTTATATGTACGTTGTATGGGATCCTGAAACAAATACTGTACGGGAAACCAGCGATGTCTCGGTCAACGAGAACTTCCGTCCGATTCCTGCAAAAGCGCTAAATAACGCGCACAACAACGCACTGACAGTGCCTCAACCCTCTGCTAAAGAAGCATTAGCAGTCCTAGACTTAATGTCTGAGGACACCTCCGAGATTGGTCTACGTGAAGACCTATATCGACCTGCCAAAGGACTTGCCGTCTTAAAATCTATAGACTCGTCCTCCACCGCACCATCGTCTTATCGCGAAGCCACTACCAGCCTAGAAGCCGACAAATAGATTAAGGCAATGCTTGAGGAAATCAACATATTAAAACGCAAGCAATGCTGGGATCTTGTATAAAAAACAGACATGCCTTCTAGCGCGCGTGCTATCCCGGGACGTTGGATTTATAAAAAAAAGCTTAATCCTGATAATTCAACTCGGTATAAAGCTAGATGGGTGATCCGCGGTAATCTTCTTAATAAATTAACATTTAAAGGTATCACATACGCACCGGTTGTCGAGACAGTTACTTCTCGCATTTTAATCGCCACTGCCGCGTATTACAGATGGCATATTCTTCAAGCAGACGCAGTTCTCGCCTTTCTTAATGCGAAACTGCACGGTACTCCTGTATATATGCAACAACCTCTGGGATTCGCAGAAGAAGAACCCGGAGCGCTGGTTTGCCTGCTTCGGTAATCCCTGTACGGTCTCACACCGTCCGCGTGTTTATAGTATGATAATTTACATGCATTTTTTAAATCTATTAGATTTAACATTTCACCACATAATTCCGGCCTATTTGTTTATTTAGCCAAAAGACTTTATATCACCACCCACGTGGATAATTTCAAAATTGTTGCGGAAAGCGCTGAAATTGCACAACAAGCGCTAACTGACTTAAAATCTCGCTTTAAGATAAAAGACGTGCCTGATTTCTCGCGATATCTAGGCATGAATGTTCACGCGTCCTCTACAGGCATAAGGTTATCGCAGGAAGACTATATTCGTGAATTAGTTGACTCCTACGGCCTCCAAGACGCTCATCCCACCAAGACGCCACT